TGTTAAAAAAAACCCCCCCCCCCCCCCCCCCCCCCCTGAGTAGCAGGGCCGAGGGGGTGGTCAAGACGACAAGCCCTACAGGCCGCATCTTGTAGTGTTGAATGAATGGTCCAGTGTGTCTCCTTGCTGGCCTCCAAAAGCATGAGAGACCGGATCATTGTGGCCCCCTATTCACATCCTACCGGATGAGTGACTGACTGACCACAGAACCCTCCGGCTAGTCCTTCCTATGGCAGCCAGCAAGTCCTGACTACTGTCCTCTATCCATGACAATGCTGTGACCGCTGCCTAGCCATTGTCGAGCTCCTTTTGCGGGCCAAGGCCCCCCCTCTGGATTGTCGACATGCGGCCCAAGCTTCGCCGGGGAGCTCGACGATGTCGTTATGACATCGTCAGTCACCCCCTCGACCACACAACATGTGACTTGAGGGCTGGAAATAGGCAGCGACGTGGCCAAAATTGCTAAAACCTCGACAGTGAGGGGCCAGAGCTGCTTTTCTTCTTCTTCTCTTTTCAGCAGATGCCCAGAGGTACTCTTCCATCATAACCACCACCCAGAGCATCACTGCATCATATCTTCTATCCGCATCCCGCTATTTATAGCACAAGAAGGTTCGTCAAGTCCGGCAGAGAGCTTTCTTTTGCCATTCTTCCATACTTGTTCTTCTTTCGGACTCGAGGTTCTTTGGCTAACTCGCCTTCTCACTCTCCTTTGACAGGAAAAAGCTCCTCCCGTACCGATTCCACTGCATCCATTCAGTTGACAATATGAACGCAAACAACAATAACAACACGAGTAAGTTCCTTTCGTCGTCAGTAGATGCGTTCCCATTATCGCCAGACCCAGACGGCTGGGTTGCGGGGTCTCGGCGGCTCTCGAGGACAGAAACACCTCAAACGGCATCTCCAGTTGGAGGCAGAGAGAACGAGCCATCGGCAGCTCGCGCTCTTCTCCAGCTTAGGTATGGCAGCCAAGAAAGCGACGGAGTAGTGCGAGAGACAGAGATGAGAACAGAGCTGAGGGACTCCCAAACCCTCGCCTCGACTCCTCTCACTCGTCCTCGATACACCGAATCCGACCCGTCTCGGCCAGTCAACGCCACAAGGCATCTTGAGGCTTCCCCCTTCACACCCTCCACACTTCGCCTTGCATGGCCAGGACTCACTCCTCTGGCACGCACTTCTGCGGGAAATCAACAAGTCCATCAGCGTCCTACGCCGATGCCCAGTCAAGTCGCCTTGCCCCTTCCCCTTCCCCTTCACCATCACCCCGAAGCTGGTCCGGGATCTCCCTTCCAGCCAGCTCCCGGCTCCGTGTTGCCTCTGCCCATACCTACACAGACAGGCGTCTCGCGGCCGCGTCCATATGCCCCATACCCCCCTGTCCCCTTCCGAGCTCCCCATCTCGGCCTCGCACCTCCTCCAGCCCTCCCCCGTGCGCCTACAACCGCCAGCCAGCGCCCGCGCGACCCCATCCTCGGAGGCAGCGTCCACAACGAATGGACGAAGAAGCACGCCCCGACAGCCATCTGCGACTTCTGCAACAGAAAGCGCCACAAGACGCTGCAGCAGTGCACCCGCTGCGCGACACAGTGCTGCTTCGAGTGCATGCTGCACCGCCGCTTCGATTCTCAGCACCACCTCTCCGAGGGCACGACGGACTGGGAGGTGACCAGGCGGCCGCGGAGACGGGCTCGGGTTCGTGCGAAAGCCCGCCTCCAGAGAGCGCACTCGGACGCCGACGCCGGCGGCGCTCCTCCCCCGACCGCTCAGTGATCCTGCTCCTGCTTGTGGCAGGCACTGGGAGGCTCCTGGCGCCTCCCTTGCTCCCCCGGGAAGAAGCAGTCCTCCCGGGGCGGGAAGGGGAAACATGACTAACGAAATAAAACACGCGCGCGATGGGGGGTTGTTGCCGAACTGAACGAACACCTTTTTGCTAACCACGAATTCTCTCTTCTCTTCTCCACGATAGACTCCGGCCAGATGCGCATCTGCCGGCGTGGCCATTGTGGCAAGCCGCCGGTCTACCACCCGATCGAGGCCTTCCACAACGCCAAGGGCAAGGCGCTCAAGATCTGTGCGTACTGCAGGAAGGAGGAGAGCGCGAAGTCTCGTAAGTCGCGGGCCAAGAAGGCGGCCCAGCGCGCCAGCAACGTCGTCGGCATCCCCCACCCCGCGGGCGGCCCCCGCGGCCAAACCCAGGGTGCCGCCGCCCAGGCCGCCTCGCCTGCTGCCGCTGCCGCTGCCGCCGCCCAGCCCCAGGCTGAGGCCGCAGGTCCCGCCACCGCCGGGGCCACCGCCGAGGCCACCGCCCCCGCCACCGCCCAGGCCACCGAGGCTGAGAACCACAACGACGAGTAGGAGGAGGAGTATGGCACTATCTGAGCACCGTCAGATTTGTGCCCGGGGCTTGAGAAGTGAGAAGGGATGATCATGGTTGCGTTGTCTCGCGTTTAGGAGAGCCAAAGGCCTCCAGGAGTTCTAGGACAGGGATCACAATGGAAACTTTGGTCTTTTAAAAAAGTGGTCTTTATGTTATGTGGTGACTGAATACGCTTCTGTGATACAGGTGAACTGCTCTGCTTCTATGTTGCCTTTCCTTCTCAAACACCAAGATCGCTTTTTGTTGTTGTTGCCAACCAGCCCAAGTAATACACACCAGAAACGCTACCTACCCTACCCCAAGATCATCTCCACCAGCTTATCCTTCTCCGCACTCCTCTGGACCAACTCCCAGAACGCCCCGACGTCCTCGTCTCCCTCGCCATCACCCTCCTCCGCCTCCTGCTCGCCGCCGCCCTCCCGACGGGAAGCCTTCTCCATGCCCCTCTGCAGCAGCTCCTTGGGCGTGCCAAACTCGGCCACCCTGCCCTCCTTCAGCACCAGCAGCCGGTCAAAGTCCGCCACCGTGCTCAGGCGGTGCGCGATGACCAGCACGGTACAGCCTCCGGCGGCGAACTCCTGCCTCAGAGAGTCCTGGATCGCCGCGTCGGTTCCGCGGTCCACAGCAGATGTCGCTTCGTCTAGGACCACAACCTTGGGGCGAGCGAGAATCGCCCGGGCGAGACACACGAGTTGACGTTGGCCTTGGGAGAGGTTGGCGCCACCAGCCGAGATCGGGGTGGAAAGGTCCTTGAACGTGCTGCTGCTGCTGCTGGTGTCGTTGGCGTCGGAAGACGTAGTAGGAGTGTTGGCTTCGACCTCTGTGTTGACAGCGACTGCTTCCACGCCCTCGTCGGCACCATCAGCGGTGGAGGTAACCCCGGTGGCAGAGGCCGGATCCGGTGCTGCCAAGATCTCCTCCGCGATGGCATCCTCGACTGATCCTTGCCCGGCTGTGTCATCTGCTGGAGCATAGGCGCTCGGCCTCTGCGGGTCGCCGGTCTGGGGCTCGATGAGGTGGACTCGCTGCAGCACAGTCTGCAGCTCGTAGTCATCCTTGACTTCCTCCATATCCAGGTTCGACCGCAGCGTGCCGGAGAACAGGAACGGGTCTTGCGGGATGATGGCCAGCCTGCTCCTGAGCTGGGACAACTTGAGCGTCGCAATGTTGATGCCGTCGATGCTTACGGTCCCCTCTTTCGGCTCGAGCAGCCTGAAAAACACAGCTGCAAGCGTCGACTTGCCAGCGCCCGTCCGTCCCACAATACCAATTCTCTCGCCGGCCTTGACGTCAAAGTGCAGGTTCTTCAGGACCGGCGGCAGATCGTCGCCGTAAGATACGGTGAGATTGTCGACTTCGATCTCGCCACGGGCTGGCCATGCTGCTGGAGCCTCGATGCCACTCTCGGGTTCGGTCTCGATCTCGGAGTACTCGATGACCCTCTCGGCAGCGTTGAAACCAAGCTCTACACTCGTCATGTTGGTGAGCAACTGTGTTAGAGCTGCCGAGTACCCTAGCGCGAACGTGAGCCCGAAACCTGCGAGGGCAGGCCCGACGCCGCCCAAGGCCACGGCCACAGCGACGGCGGTGACGAATACAGCACCGAGCATGCCCATTCGGAAGCTCATCCAGCGAGAACACAGCTGCAGAGCCCAAGTCGCCTTGGCGCCATTGTCGATAAGGCCGTACATGCGGTCCATGTAGAAGTCGGTGCGGTGGAAGGCGCGGATGGTGGAGAGCCCGGAGAGCACAGAGCTGAACTGGTCATAGATCGGCGAGCTGGAGACGGAATTGATGCGCTTTACCTCGCGAGCGGCGGTGATGTACGTCTTGGCAACGCCGGCGTAGAAAATCAGGAGAACTGCTCCACAGACGATGACCCATTTCGAGACCACGAAGCTCGAGGCGATGATCACAATGATGCTGAAGTTGTTCGAGATCAGGCCACCCAGTTCGCCAGACAGACGACGATCCACGGTGAAAGTATCGGAGGTGAAGCGATTCAATATGCGGCCAGACGGCACGGTGTCGACCCATCGCAACGGAGCGCGGAGGATGGCATGCGTCATCCGCTCAAACAGAACCCTTGACGCTCTCAGCCCGATCATGATAAAGGTGTATTGCCGTGCCACGACGAGAAAGACGTTCGAGAACGATATCACAATGTACGCGATCATCCAGAACCTGACTGATCGCTCTTGCTCCATGCGTGTTATGTCCATCGCCGGGTGATGGAGGTACATCTGGGCCTCATTGCTGAATGTCTGCGTGTGAAGCCCGCTGAAGAACATGCTCACGCCTTCGGTGGAGTATGACTCGGCAAGCTTCTTCAAGCTCCACGTCCGCCAGACAGTGAGGAAACGGCTTCCGAGAATGAAGGCGATGGCAAGCACCCAGAGAAGGATGGAAGCGCTGGCGGCAATGTAGATGGCGTAGATCCTCCACTTCACACGGCCGACTTCACGTTTCTCTTCGTCGTCTGACTTCTTTGATTTCTTCCTCTCCTCAATGGAGGTGTCCTTGGCCTGGTCGTCTTGTGAGCCGAGTACGGTGTCATCACTCGTTGAAACTGCCGTAGAGGATTCGGCAATTGACTCGGACAGATCGCTATCCTTTGGAGTAAGCTTTTCAGCGCTCTCCAGGGCGCCGTTCTGAAGTCGGACAACATAGCTGGCACGGGGGAGGCACATCTCGGCGTGATGAGTAGCCAAGATGCGGGTACGTCCTTGGGCAAGATCACCGGTCAAGGCTTCGTCAACAATGATCCGGCCAACGTGGGCGTCGACTGCACTGAGCACATCATCGAGGATAAGGATACCAGCTCTGGAGTACAGGGCACGGGCGAGCGCAACACGCCAGCGCTGCCCCCCGGAAAGAGTCACACCCTTGGGGCCGACCTCGGTCTTGTCACCGTCGACCAGGAGCTCGATGTCCTTTTCCAGCGCGCATGTCCGAAGAACCTTTTGATACCTTGCTTCGTTGAAAGGCATGCCGAAGGTGATGTTCTCTTGGACAGTTCCAGTTTCAATCCAAGGAGTCTGAGACACGAATGAGGTAAGAGAAGGAATGATCCAATCGGCCTCAGGTACCTCATCAGCTTCAATCTCCAAGGCAGGCGGCACGGCGGGGATCTTGATCGATCCAGACAGTAGCTTGACCTCTCCCAGAATGGCTGCAAGGAGCAAGCTCTTTCCGGCGCCGGTCTTGCCCGCAATGACGCTCAACTCCCCACGAGGGAATTCCAGGGTAACATTGCGAAGAATCGAGCGAGTCTCTTGCTCATCGACTGCTTGCTCCTGATCCTTAGACTCATCGACCTTGGGCCATCTAACAGTGGCGTTGTCGAAGACAATGTTGTCTCCGGGAAGAGACACAGGTGCTTTATCCGGCTGGCTGAGATATTTCTCTAGGCGAACGCAGCTGGTCCAGGCCTCCATCATGTAGACTTGAATCATTGGCAACAGACCGATAGCCTCGTCGAGCTGGTCAAACAGACCCAGAGACGAGAAGATCACCGAGGCCCTGACGGTGGGACTCGTGATCGTGTATACGGTCAGAGAAATTGAGGCCAGGAGAAGTGGCCCGAGGTTGATGATCATGATCATGAAGCACATCCAAAGATTGACGATCCAGTACTGCTTAAGCTCCTCGTCGCGGCTCTTAAGGATCTTCTTCTCCCACAGGGTCTCGAGAGCGGAGTATTTGATCTGACGCATGCCTTGCAGTGCTTCTGTGAGGATGTGTGCCTTCTCGTCGCGATACTTCATGAGTCCAAACTGAATGGCACCGTATTTCTTGGACATGAGGTAGCTGATGGGGAGCACAACGATCGCCGAGAGGAACCCGGCGAAGAAGGCTCGCCATCCAAGAAGCTGAATCAAGAACGAGCCTGCCAGAACGAGCTTGAAAATGGCCAACGGGAACCACTACGTCTTGGTCAATAGGAAGTCGTTGGGAAACTTGGCGGTCTTGATAACTTACAAAGTTGTACGATGGAAAGATGATTACTCGCCCGCTAAGAGAATGTGAGTAGATGTTGCGGCAACGGCGTCGAGCAGGGGTACATACCTATCCAACTTCATGTGGTTGACCACTGACTGACGCACATCTCCTCCGCCGGCTTTGGATTCCTTCTTTTTGTCATCTTTCTTTGCTTTGCCAGCCGCGTCCTTGTCTTCGCCATCATCCTTGTCCTGTACCTTCTTTCCGGGGTCAGCTGCTTCATCCAGTCGAAGAGCCTTCTGGAAGACCAAGGACTGAAGCAGTGACAGTAGAGGAGCCTCAAGCTTGCTACTTGTCAGCCATCGCATGGAATTGCCGACCCACACTTGCAGCAACAACGCCACGGCGAGTCCGACAACCCAGACCCAAAGGGACATCCTCTCCTTTCCGCCTTGAGGTTGATCCTCCAGGCTTTCGAGGAAGTGATAGAGCACGTATTGAGGAAACAATGCCAACAACGCTGTCACAGCAGTCAAGGCCCACTGCATTGCCAGCTCATACCGATACGCGTGAAGGAGTTGTCTCCAGAGCCTCGGTTTGTCTCCACCATCTGGATGAGACCGTAGATATCTCTCGGTGACGTTCCTTGAACGTGTGTTGCTATCCAGAATCGGCAGGTCCTCAAGGTTGAGTTGCCGTTCGCGGGAAATTTCAAAGACAAGCCGATTCCACGAAAAGGCGAGACGGGTGAGCAGGGAGACAGCGTGCTGTTGATCAACTAGAGTGCCCTTGTGGTAGACGTCCGGCCTATGCGGGAAGGAAGCAAAGGCAAGAACGGCGGAGAGAGCCGCAAGGTGCTCAAGGAGCCAGCAGAGGGCAATGGCAAGTGGCTCGCCATCATGAGAAGCTCGCCAATGACGATAGCTCCAAGGCAGAGCCCGGATCGTGACAAGCCCCAGCCGAGCAGTGATAGATAGCAAGAGACTAAGGGTAGATACAAGCCCGACGATGACGAGCTTGAACCGAGCATCGTACTGGGCCTTGACCGGGAGGCTGGCACATTGTATCAAGAGCAGAGTCTGCCGCGAGATGATCAGTGATCTTGACCTTACCAGCACATTCCGGCCCAAGTACCAGGGAGGAGACAAGACTTACCCAAGCCGGCACTTCTGCCCAGTAGCTAACGAGCTTCCAAGCTGGTGGCGACCCACCGTCGCCTGTAGGATTCCTCTGCAGTAGCACGCCAGACGCAATGGACGCGCCAAGCCCCACGACGATGCTGATCCACGCCGCTGTGCGCGCTTCTCTATCTGAAAACTCGCTGACCGATTCTGCCGTGGCCTGTCCGTCCTCGCTCTCGTACACCGCAGGTGCAGCAGGTACGGGAGACAGGGTTTGATAGCCGCCACCGCGGGACAGGCGGATTCTGCTGCTGCTGCGGCACGATCTCCAAGCTTGCAGAAGTGCAGGGATAGTCAAGAGCGCAACTAGGATGACACCCGCCGCTCCCACGGTGGGATGCAGCTCAACAGCATTGCTGTTGCTTTCATCCATCATCCTCCAAGGGAGTTGCTGGGGCTCTTGGCGCGTGCCTGGGTTCGACTATGCCTACTTGTAGTCCAACGAGAAATTACCATACCAGTTGAGACTGCTGACTCAGCTGCTTGTCTGCATCTTCTGTGTGGAATTGTGTCAAATAATGAGAGAAAAGAATGCGATATCTCAAGATGGAGGACTATGTAGAGAGGCTGACAAATGACCGAAAACGACGGAGACGAAATCTTTATATCTGGATGCTTGTTTAGAGTTAGCGTCAGTGCTCTGCTGTCTTAAACCCCTGTATCCCAGGCAGCTGCGGAATGCGTCAAGTCAGCACACAGCAGGAAATAAATCTACATTTCACAGATTTTATGAACATGTCATTTCACTGGAAGTCAGGAGCACGAGGCATACAACACTTTGAGGGAGTGAATCTAGTTAGTACCAATAGAAAAGACTTTCACGGCTGCAGCTGTCACCCATAGCAGCCAGTATCGCTTGCAGCTGGGCGTTATCCACAACGGGTAGCTCAGGGACTGGGCGTCTTGGGCACAGGCACCTTGATGGCCTGCAGGGCCCGCCCGGACTTTACTGCAGCGTTTTGGGGCATGATATGCAACTACTCCAGACCACTCCAAGTCACGTCTAGGCAAATCACCTTTTGTCTTCTGAGAACCCGGATGGCACCAATCTCATCGATATGATACTTGAACATGTTTGAACCACTTGTTATTGCTTGCTCGTCCTCCATCAAGTCGTGTCTGATAGATTGACCTGGCCTGTTACCTCCCGAACTCCTGAAGCCCTGCCCGGACCCGAACCGTCCGTCGATGAGCACAGGCTTTCTCACCTATCACCTACCATCTACCACCCCTTCCAAGAAGACCACTTAACCGTTAACAATCGTACCGCCGTTGCAGTGGATTGTTTGCCCGCTGATAGCGGCACTGTCGCGAGACGCCAAAAAGACGACACAGGTTGCAATCTCGCTGGGTTGAGCCGGCCGGCCCATTGGGCTCGTGAATTGCTTCTGGGCTTTCTCGTTCATAGTCGCCGGGATCAGAGGAGTCCAGACAGGGCCAGGGGCAACGGCATTGACCCGGATGCCCTTGCCAACATACTGGTTGCTCAAGCCCCGAGTGAAAGAGACTATCGCGCCTTTCGTCGAGGTGTAGTCCAGTAAGTCTGGCCGGCCAACGTAAGCGTTGATGCTTGCGTTGTTGATGATGGTGCTGCCCTCGTTCATATGAGGGAGGGCGTATTTGGAGAGGTAGAAGAATGGGTGGATGTTCACATTGAAGGTGTGTATCCATTGTTCTCTGGACGTTGATCATATCAGTCGAGCTCGCTCTCTAGCAGATTGGTCCTCCTCCTCGGGTGGGCACTTACTCGGACAAGTCTTTGATATCCTCAACCATCATCTGGTATGCGGCATTGTTGAACAGGATGTCAATGGAGCCACCAAAGACTTCCAGGGCTTTGTCAATGACCTTCTTGCAGTTGCCTCGGTCTGTTAGGTCCGTTGCGATCAGATAGCACTTCTGGCCGTGTTTTTCGACCTGCTTCTTACTCTCCTGCGCGTCCTCCTCTTCCTCAGGGAGATATGCGATCAGGGAATCGGCACCTTCCATGGCAAACAATATGGCAGTTGCACGGCCGATACCCGAGTCTCCACCTGTGATGATGGCCTTCTTGCCCTTCAATTTTCCTGCCGCCTGATAGTCTTGCACACCACCCTGACTCGTAGAGATCTGTTGGAACTGAGGCGTTGGATTGGGCATCTCACTCTCCTTGCCAGGGAAATCCTGGTCGGTGACCGGGACGCGGTGATCTAAAGGCTAGTTAGTATCTGCAATTTGTCTCTGTTGCAGCATCGCACTTACCGAGGTCGAACTGCGAATTTGACATGATCACGGATATGTTTCTGAGCGTGGGGGAGGAATCACAGTCAGGCAGGCCTTATTATCGAGTCTGTTCGAGAAAAGAGAATCTTTTGAGAAATTGCAACGGAAGACATCACTTGCACTTATATCGTGAGCCACCCGGAGCCGTTGCTCCTGACTGCTGTCTCCGTACGTCGGGATGATGGAGTTTGGTGATCATCGATGACGTAGGTGACAGATAATCCACCTTTTCCGATCGCAGCGCCTGCAGACTTCTACAGCCATGACGATTCGTAACAGCACGGCTAGGCGAGCCCTATCATTGCTGAAGCGTTCGAATTAGTACCCAGGTGGTTTTCGATAGTTTTGTTAGAGGTAAGATTCTAGGTCTCACTTAGTCTCGATCATCCTGCACGTTAGCGCAATGTCGTTGACCGCATCAGGAACATAACACAGCACAACGAAGTCGGAATAAATGTAGATAATCACGGCTTTATTCATTGATGAATCAATTACCCCCCAAGCATGATGGCGGCTCCGTAAAGGCACTGCGAGACCCTCGCGTAGACTCGTATCAGATCAGCACAGCGATGGCTGATTTAGCTATCGAATATCTTTGTGCATCCCCAGATCAAAATGAGCCTCAAAAGACTAGAAATTTCCTCTTATAAGAAACCAGCTTGTTCTTCTCCCAAAAAACCTGCTGGAGATCCATGGTCCTCAAGCCGGGCCCATCAGGCAGGACCAATCCAAGTCTTGTTGCCTCGATGATCGTAGCAAGTCATGGCGCCGTCATCATTGCCAATGAGGGTGTCTGCGAAGTATTGTCAGTGATTGAGGATTCCTTTACTTCTGTGAAGTGTACTGACTGAGGTCAAGGATGGTGGCCGGTGTATGGCCCTTGACGTCCTTGCAGTTACAGCCAAGGTTCAGTGTGACATGGTCATCACTGGCCGAGCCATTGAGCTTGACCGAGCACGGCTTGCAAGAGCGGAAGAAGGCACCACTGTAGATGTTATGTGTCAGCTCATAGCCGATGTCTTCTACCGTGTAAGAACCGACGCGAAAGACTCACTCTTTCTTGGGAATGAGACGACCTCCATAGTTGCTAACACAGAGGTTGAGATCAATCCTGTTATATTCACGGTCAGTGATCTTGGGTATTCTGGACCTCTGGTAGCAAGTGTGCTGAGAGTATTTGGCTCTTACCAAGTCCAGTTGTAAAGGTACTCGGCTGTGTTGTGGTTGTTGCAGTACATGCCGAGGAAGCTCTCGGAGAGGCGAGCACCGCGGACTTCGCAGTTATTAGCGAATCCATAGGAGGCCATAATCGGTTGGGGAATGAGGCCAAGCGAAGTGACGAGCAAAGCAACTGTGGCAACCATTGTCGGTGAGAATTTAGTGCCTTGATGGACTGATACTGGTGATGTCGAAATATCGGGCAATGGAGGAGGTTGTTGGTTGGTATTTGAATGGCCACAGCGACGATATTGCTGCCCTTTTCTCGCCCATCCAAGTGAGAGTGAAGAAGGGGAATAATCGCAGTAGCTCAAATGAAGAAGGTACTCCAGGACTCCTGCCTAATTTCACGAAGAACCAATCTAGGTTTGATATAGATGGAAGGCGCGGTGGGCACGTCCTACTGTCCTAAGGCCGCGAAAGCGCAGTGAATCACTTATGAAGGACTTCAGATGAAATATCGCGTTCTGGTCACGAGGGAAGCATATATCAATCTTCGCCCCCCCTTGGGATATCTTGAGGAATGAAAAGTTGCCTAAGTCGGTTGCACATCAAGCAACCCCTGTCTCAGGTAAGTCACTTGGACAAGGCTAGGCCCCATCGAAACTGGACTGAATAGCTAGAATAACAGACTGTCGTTCATACAAAACATCCGGTCCAAGTCGATGTATTCTTGGCATGTTCAAGAGGTTCATCACCAATCCTCCTATTCTACCATCGAGTGGAGGACCGAAAATGACTCTCATTGATCGTAAGACCAACAGTCCGAACAAGCTCCAACATACCGTCCGTATGTGGCCCATGAATCCCCACGATCCATCCTGCGTAAAGGCTGGCCATGAGACAGTGGATAGAGCTGACTCTGAAGGACGGCCGAGACATGCAACTGTGGCACCCGAACTCCAACAGCACATGGGCCAGATCCGGCACCACGAGTCACCCAGAATGGTGATTTATCAGCCGCCAATGTAAGAGATAGAGTATGGTGGCAAAGAGTCGTGTATTCAAGGCTGACAGAGACTGGGTGAAGAACTGCCCAGGCTCAAACCAGACAGCTCGTGGAACGAAGAGCCGTCTTTGTGGAAGGCAAACATGTCGATATCGCTGATTGCACATGGTCTGCCGCATGCATGCGGGTGCACGCCGGAGAAAAAACAGACAAACACATCTCTGGGTCACGATAGCACAAGCAGGAAGCGTCATACAGCGTTTTGTACTCTGGCCACCAGCTCGTGTCCAACGTCCTGTACCGATCTAGACGATGGTCCCGTGCCAAACCAACGACCAATCCATATCGAGACCCGATGCTAGCCAGGGGAGGTGTAAAAACCAGCAGAACTCCAGAACTCCAGGACAGCACGCGTTGTTACCGCACCCTAAGCCACGATTTGCAGCTGACCGCTGTTGTCAAAGGCGACCCTGCCTTCGTCGACAGCCTGTCTCATCTCTTTCCGTAGCACCTCCCGCTCCCCGGTAACCGGATCCCATTCCCACCCTTCGCGCATCCACATCCATCTCAGACACGCCCTCAGCTCCTTGTCATCCGGCAGGACTCGCATCCACTCAGGCTGGAAGCCGGGTTCTCGCCCTCCACCCTTCCAGTCACTCGCCCTGCCCAAGAGAGCGTCTCGACAGAATATCCGCCAAGAGTCGATGGCGTATTTTCCCTGTGTCAAGTGGCCAATCTCCCACAGACAGTCTTTTCCTCGAGTTGGGTTCACTCCATCGCTGGGACCGGCATCTTCCGCTCCAAACTCCTCTCCGGCCCTCACGTCCTTGCCATCCACAGGGTGGGGATAGTTCTTGACCGCGTAACGACGGCCTTTTGTCGGAGGTTGCTCGCACCATATCCTTGCGTACTTCTGTATGGCTGTGTATCGCACAGCTGCCAGACCCAAGTGCTCAGTCATGCCGACGAACTCGGCCCGGTCAGCATTCGCAAGAGCCTCGGGCGATGGCCAGCGCTCCATAACCTTTTCAAACACCGGGATGGACGCTTTCCCCGATGTGCGGATGAGGAAGGTGACGGCGATGAGCAGTCGAAAAGCATCGCCGGCAAGCCTCTCCTGTACCAGACCAAAACAGGGCGCCGAGAGAGTCGGGAAGGGGAGGCTCGACACAGTGCCTCGCGGAGGACGGGTGGATTTCCTCGGACTCCCGTCGGCGTTTAAGCCAAGACTGAAGTTCTCAGTAGACTTTTCTTCGGTCGCTGGCGGGGTGAAGTATGGCGATTTCGCTGATTTCTTGGATGTGACAACGGCCGGTCCAGACCGTTTGTTTGGTGATGCGTTCCCGCTGACCAGCTCAAACTCTTTGACTGCCTCATCTGCTGCGGGCGTTTGAAGGCTTGAACGAACATCCTTGGGAGGGCCCCGGTTTCTGACGTTTACCGGGACATCTCCTAATGGTTTGACAGGCGAAAGCTGATGAAAGCTGTCGCCGCCGTTCACTGGCTGTTGAACATGAACGGAGCTTCTTGGTGTTATCCCGGGGGATGTCTTCGTTCGAGGTTTCCGGATAGAATCAGTACCCAAGTCGCCCGTCCAGAACGGCGATTTGCCCTTGTCTAGTTGCTTTTCCCTTCCTGATCCGGCTCCCTTCCCATCTTCATTCTTGACAGGCTGTGGATCCTCCCTTTCGACGAAGGGGATAGATAGCCTGAACTCTTCCTCTCCGAGAGCCATGTTTTGCAGGCAAAGGTACAGCCCCATGCTCCCCGACTCCGGCCCCAAGACGCGATCCCTCAAGGCCGTAGCACACGCCATCCTCAAGTCCCAGTCCTCCGCCCCAGCCATCAGGCTCACCCGGCGCAACACGTCGAGCTCATCGCGCGGCACATTCTCCGAGGCGATGAGGGATGCGATGAAGTCCTGAGACTTAGTCGGGACTTCAAAGCCGTATAACAGGTCTCTGGCGGCGTCCATGCTTGACCGTGTTTGCTGCTCTGTGCGGGTCGCGACGTGAGAGGTCTTGGACCTCTTTGCTTGCCTACCCATGTTTTTCGGAATTCTCTAATGAGAAAGGCCGGGCGAGATGGCCACCGGAGTTGATCAAGAAGTACCGTTGGAGTTCCAGAGCAAGATGCGGGTACTAGGCGCGTCATGCCTCTGCAGCCCAGCCAACGGCATCGCAATGTTCCATCGGGGATGAGGAGTAGAGGCTAAATCCCATTGAGAAATCGAAAACAAAATGACGAGGCTTGAGTGAGGAAACCAGTTGCATGATTTGTTTGTGTTCGGTCATTTGCGGGATGAAGAAGTGAGAAAATGGTCAATTGGTTTCTAAGCCAAGCGCAGGTAACAATACAAACTGGGGTAACTGCCTTTGCGACTAAGCCATCATCAATACAACTTTGATCCAACTATTTTCAACGACCTGAAGATTTCCTACAGATCAATTAAGTGTATCATGGATAGTGGGTGAAATCCGATCTTGATTCTTGCTTTTATCTAGTCACTCATGGCAAAGATCGCTCTCCGCTTAGCCTGCAATTCAAGGGCGTTTGGGGATCCGGGCCTGAGATATGCCTTTCACCTATGCATGAGAGAGCAAATAAGGTCTAGGTTGCGTATATTTCAAGAAGAAAAATGAAATAGGTCTTTGATTTACACTCTACTACCCACTATCCACGCTCTTCCCCTGCCCAAACCCAGATCGCTCCAGAGACCGTAACCTGGAATCTCTCTCGTCCATGCGAAAACAAAGGAGCTTTCTCTTTTTATGCGGGGAGACACACGACGTTACTATAACATACAAGAGCTGGCCACCATCAAGATGTTGCTATCCTCGTTTAGTGACGAGTAGCATCGGCCTTGGGCGGGTCGTAGGCGATCTTCCTCGCCTTCAGGTTGGCCCACTTGTACCGCTTGACCCAGACGCTGAGAGCAAACAGAACCGAGGTAACAACCAGGACCTTCATACCCATGCGCTTGCGGTCGTCCATCTCGGGCTCGGCGGCCCAGTTCAGGAACTCAACAACATCCTTGGCCATCTGCGAAGTCGAAGCCGGCGTCTCGTCCTCGTACTCGACCAGGCCGTCGTAGAGAACACGAGCCATGGCAATACCGGTACCGGGGAAGTAAGGGTTGAAGTTGAGGCCAGCGCCAACCTGAGCACCCGCAGGGGGCTCCTCAGGGTACCCAGTCAGAAGGCTGAAGATGTAGTCGCAGCCACCGTGGCGAGCCTTGACGATCAGACTTAGGTCTGGGGGCAGAGCACCGTTGTTGGCAAAGCGAGCAGCCTCGTCGTTCGGGTAGGGAGCAGGGAGGTAGTCGGACAGTTTACCGGGGCGCTTCTCGATCTCGCCCTGGTCGTTGGGCTCCGTATCGTACTCGTTCTCCTCAGCGAGGGCCTTGGCCTCATCGACGGTGAGGACGGCACCGACGAGTGTTCGGTAGGGGATACGGCTCAGAGAGTGGCAGGAGGCGCAGACCTCACGGTAGACCTGGAAACCTCGGCGGAGTCTGTGGATGATGTTGTGAGCAACTTGTGACCCATAGGGGGCCAAGGAAGATAGCTTACGCCTGGTGGTCGTAGGTCTTGAGCCATTGCTGGTGAACCCACGGGTACTTGGTAGCGTGAAGACTACAGTCCTGATATTAGCTTCGATATTCTAACAAGGAAAGAGAAGGCCTGGGTGGCGGAATTCAAGATGTTGTCGAATATGCCGCAAGCCGAACAATTTTTTCGACGAGAGCTGCGATGAAGGCAATTGAAGCGGGAGGGGAACTGACCCTTCCTCAGCTGGAGTCATAGCATGAGCTACGGGGCCGTAGAGATGGTAGTACCATGCGATCGATCCGATCGCGACGGCGGTCGAGGCAGCCGCGGCAACGTTGAGCCGAATGGGAGTCTCGGCAGCAGCTCCGGAGCTCGAGGTCGAGGCAGCGCGCTGTAGAAAAATCACGGCATTAGCACAATTGAGCCTTCCTTGATGTCCCCCGAGAGCGATTGATGTTGGTGGACCGCATTTCCGTTGCTCGCGGCTGGTGACTGTGCTCCTGAAGATCGAATGATCCGTACCTTTGAAATATTCAGGGCGCCATTTCGTACTCCAGCGAAAGCGCGCGTCGAGCGCAGGCTGGACCTTGCGAACATGATGGGCGAGCTGCTTCTCAGCTTCGGCAAGATTCTGAATGGGGCTGACAGGGCAATTGACTGCCAACGTCGTCTGTTCGAGGACCGAGGATGCTCAATCAACAGGTGAGGTTAGAAAATCAAAGCGAGAGAACTAGAAAGCCCATCACACCCGATTTAGCCCGGCCCTCATTGGCTGGTTCGGCTCGAATAGGCGGTCACGCACTCGCCCACGTGATCTTCAGCTTCCAGTCCCCCGACCTTTTCCCTCGATATTCTGCCAAAGCCACCCAATCCAGACTAGAAGGGATCATCACCTGTGCTTCTTCTGCTGACTTTCGTTGCGCATTTGATTGGGGAGAAAACCGCAACGCCGCGACGAAAGGCCAACAAACCATTTGTGTCAGAGCACACCATTGCGGAATACTTTTGCATACAAAATGAGAGAAAAATGAGACAACATCGGTATTCGCATCTCAATCCGGTCATTTTCATTAGTTTCGTTTCGTAAAGCACTCGAGGAGCTTTTGTGACTGAGAGGGAGTTTGAAGCAACTTTACTACAAATCAATATTGCCAAGATTTATTCGCCGATTTTTCACAAGATGCATTGATGAGGTCTTTTATGCTGCTTTACTTTTGAGTCCGTTTCCCCGCAACACCGAAAGCACTACTGTTCATCACCGACAAGCTAGATGTTCGCGGCTCTACATCGTCACCCGAGTTTAGGAGCGTAGCCACATTCTACCCCGTCTATGAATGGCCGTTGGCTTTCAAGACTTCTCTCCGCTTCTTGACAGCTGCAGCAAGCTGATCGAGGACGGCCACTGTATCGTCCCAGCCGATGCAGGCATCGGTAATACTGACACCGTACTTAAGGCCAGCCTTGCCCTCCTTGGGTACCTTCTGGTTGCCTGTTGTGTTATGCGTAAGTATGTACCTCTGTGGTAGTGGTAATTGGAAAATAGTAGTTACGCACCTTCATTGATGTTGCTCTCAATCATGACTCCCATAATGCCATCCTCGCCCTTCTCGATCTGCTCGGCAAGGGTGGCAGCAACCTTGGGCTGGTTCTTGTGGTTCTTGAGTGAGTTTCCGTGGCTGCAGTCAACCATCAAGCGCTGCGGCAGGCCGGCCTTCTCGAGTGAAGCCTTGGCCTCGGCGATGCTCTGGGCATCGTAGTTGGTGCCCTTGGTACCACCCCTGAGGATGACGAAGCAGTCCTCGTTGCCAACCGTGCCCACAATGGCCACTACACCGGGTTTGGTAACAGACAGGAAGTGGTGGGGATGCCTGACTGCGCCAATGGCATCGATGGCCACCCCGAGGGAGCCATCAGTTCCGTTCTTGAAACCGACAGGGAAACTCAGACCACTTGCGAGCTCGCGGTGCAGCTGACTTTCAGTCGTCCGAGCGCCAACAGCGCCCACTGACAAGACATCCGCGAGGAACTGGGGTGAGATAGTATCGAGCATCTCGCTAGCGATTGGCATACCCTTGCTCGTCAAGTCAACGAAAAGTTGACGCGACATCTTCAGGCCCTTGTTGATCTGGAAGCTGTTGTCGATCTCGGGATCGTTGATCAATCCCTTCCAGCCCACCGTCGTACGCGGCTTCTCGAGGTAGGAGCGCATAACAATGATAAGCTCATTCCTGTGCTTCTCCTTCTCTTTCAACAGCATATCGCAGTATTCCAAGGCAGCCTTAGGATCGTGGATTGAGCAAGGTCCGATGATGACGAGAAGCCTGTTGTTGGGGTCGGTGCCGTTCACTGCAGCTACCGCCTCTTCTCTTCCCTCCAATACTGTCTTCTTCGACTCCTTGGTTTGGGAGATCTCGTGTTGCAACAGGTCGGGTGACGTGAGCGGGTTGTAGCCTCGAACTGTGAAGCTTGTTAGGAACTATTGGTAACCTCGTGCTGTATTTCGGGCATAATTTACTTCTCCAATCCTCGCTGTTGCCCTTGTCACCGACATTGGGGTTCGGGATGAAGAAGGACTGTTGTGTTGCTCGAAGTCAGCCCACAGTGCTACAGCAGTGGGAAGTGCATATTCTCGGGCGCAACTTACAGACATGGTGTCGAGCTTGTCGTATCCTCTCAATTGAGTGATAGGAATGACAAAATGCCTGGGAGGGAACAATTGCAGTGCAACAAGCCAGGGAATATGGATACTGTGTATAAGAGAGGTGTGTGTGAAGGACGAAGAGGATTAGCCGTGAGGTGGCCAAATACCAGGTATCTATGGAGGGGCTGCACCTTCAATTGTACTGATGACTCAAAACCTCAACTCAAGGCCTGGCAAAATTTTAGTGGGGTAAAAGTTGGAGTTGCAAAGTTGCAAGGCCAGGCTCGCCAGGGTCTCGACCGTCTCCCCCCACTGCGGATCGCTATCCCGGGTCCAAGCTACTTGCGCTTTAGCACGTGGTATCACTGTTGGTTTTGCTAGAAGCCAATTATTAAACACACATTTCTTACCACGAATTTGCTCATGGACCCGAGTGACAATTTTCTCGATCTACTTGTACTCGGAAGGAAACCCTAATTGGATGCCTTGGACAGATATGATGAAGAATGTCGCTTCCTCCAACTCGCAAGCATTCTAAGTCTCATCTAGGTCTACATTTATGCACATACATGTATCAACGTTTCCCCCAGCTTATAGTGTATAAGGGAATTGGTCGAAAAGAAATAAACTTAAAGTTATTGTTCTCTTGTTCTCATCGCTTGGTCTCTTCAATCCGCCTTGATAGGATTCACGGCCTCCTTTTGAAACATCTCGATGCCGTTCAGCTTGCCATAGACCCATTTCAACGCCAATGTGCTGAGGGTCATGAGGAAGGCTGAAACGGTGAACAGCACAACGCGCTGGCTCGTTGACAGAATCTCAAAGATGGGATATGGGTAGCTGGTGCGTTGTTAGCGAGATGCCTGTGTGGCGGGTGGCTGTCCTGGTTCACTTACAAGCCATTCTTGGTGAAGCACCATTCAACCCAACCCCAGTACAGGAACGCTAGCACCATACTCAGGCTCATCGCACTGTACATTCTGATTGTCCACGGCGGACTCAGCAGCAAGAGATCAAGCGAAAGCAGGATCGCAGGCATCGCGTGGAACCCCACATCTGGAATGATGGGCAGTAGGTGCTGAACGTCTGGAGGGACGACAAGGCTTTTGTCAATAGAGACCAAGCCCCAGTACAAAATACTGACAAGCACCGCGAGAGGGGTCGAGCACACGGAGAGGCTGTTTTTGACCGTGAAGAACTGGGGTATCAAGAAGAGATCTGCGAGAAGGCCAGAGACCATGGTCATGAGAGCCAGTCCCAGGCCAATGATGGTGAGAAACTGAAAATGACCGCCATAAGTTGTATCAGGCAGCTGCGGATAGAGCTGCAGATATCTGAACGAGGCCGAGAACGATACTATCCCAGCAATATGCAGCAGCGCTGAGAAAGATCGCGAGGGCGATGCCAAGCGCTGGAGGGGATGACGAGCTGCCATTGTGAACTTGCAGAGCACAAGTCGAAAAACACGGAGGAGCGGTACGCTGTTTAAACAGACCTAAAGAATATGCTTTGCTTGGCAGAACCTATAGGAAGTGAAGAAGCGAAAGTAGAAAGAATTCGACGTCTTTTCTATTTTAGCATATTAACAGAATTGAGGAGGGAACGGGGGCCGAGGCAGAGCGACTGGAGTGAGGGTTGGGGAGCTTTTCGAATCAATGGATGACATCAAAGTCCCGCCTAAACCCCTGGCGAGCGTGGAGTCCCGGGGCCTTCAACATGCCCGCAAATCCCGAAGCTCGGCACCAGATGCAGGGCGCCAACAACCAACCCACTTCAGTGGACTCATTTGGCACATAGGCCAGCTAAATGCCCCAAGCTTCCCTAATAGTGGGCCCAACAGAGTCGAAGCATTGGAAGCTTTAGTGCTTTTCTTCTAACTAAAGGAAGCTAGATTCGTTTGATTGGGTGCCTGCCAATGCTGTTACCACGCCAAAAACCTCACGATCTGGGAGACAAAATTTGCAGATCTCAGGACTCAACCTGCGCCGTCGCGTTGCACACTACCAGGTTGTATTTATTTGCTGTGGGACTTCGCCATGGCTCCTCCGAATGACGACGACGATGTCAAATCAAACAAGAGAAGCCATTCGGAAATGGCCGACCAAGAAGACACTGGTAAGACTTGAGCACTGGAGCGCGTGCCCAGATTAACGTTTACTCACGATTCGCATAGACAGCTCCTCCGACGATGACATGGGACCGCAGCTGCCCTCTGCTGCTGCACCCAAGAAGAAGCGTCGAGTTCTCAAGCACCAGAAACTCTACGTCTCCGCACTACCCACATCCTCTCGATACTCGAAGTCTTTGATGCACAAGGAGCAGATCTCGTTCGTTACGATTACGCCCTTGACCGAGTTCCTCATTACCTCTTCAGTCGATGGTGTAGTGAAGTTCTGGAAGAAGATCGCTCAAGGCATTGAGTTCGTCAAAGAGTTCAAGGCACACAGCGGCGAGATTAGGTCGGTGTCGGTCAGCCAGGATGGGAGAAGCTTTGCGACAGCGGGCGCAGATAAGACGGTCAAGATCTTCGACGTCATTACTTTCGACCTCCTATCGATGCTGCAACTGGAGTTTTCCCCAAGGTGTATATGCTGGGTTCACAAGAAAGGCGCCTCTCTGCCGCTGCTCGCCATCTCGGAGGCCGAAGCTCCCTCAATACACATCTACGATGGAAGGGGCGAGAAGCAGGAACCAATGCATACCATCAAGAACCTGCATCGCAGCGTCGTGTCAGTCATGGCATTCAACGACAGCTATGATTGTGTGGTATCGGCAGATGACAACGGCATGATCGAGTACTGGAGACCCAGCGGCAACTACGAGAAGCCAGACAACGTCTTCCAGTACAAAAGCTCAACCAATCTCTTCGAGTTCAAGAAGGCAAAGTCTGTGCCCACATCTCTTACTATATCTCCATCTGGCAACCAGTTTGCGACGTTCTCGGTCCCCGATCGCAAGATTCGCCTTTTCGAATTTGCCACGGGCAAGCTGTCGCGCACATATGACGAGTCGCTACGGACCATTGAAGAGATGCAGCAAGCAGGAACTGCTCTGCACAAATTGGAAGACAACGACTTCAAGCGCCGACTTACTCAGGAGCGAGATGTCGAGTCTTCTTCTTACCGTGATAAGGTGAACATCGTGTTTGACGAGTCTGGACACTTTATTATTTATGGCTCCATTCTTGGCGTCAAAGTGCTCAACACCTACACGAACCAAGTCGTGAAACTCTATGGCAAAGATGAGGGCTTCAGGGCCTTGAACTTGGCCATATATCAAGGGCAGCCGCAGAAGAAGGGTGTCACGACAGTTGAGATGGCTGCTTCGAGCAACCCGCTGCTGCAGGAGTCCGAGACAAGAGATCCTATCCTATTCGCTACAGGCGTTGGCAAGGTGCGATTCTACATGTTCACGAATGAAGAGGACATCTCAAAGTCAACACGAGACGTTCACAATGAGAAGCCAACCATGCTCGGCGGTGGAAAGAAGACGGCGGAGGAGAAGAAGACAGAGACTGGGACGGCGGCCATCATCCACACAACTTATGGCGATATTCATATTCGATTATTCCCAGACGCAGCACCAAAGGCCGTGGAAAACTTTGTCACTCACTCGAAGAGAGGCTACTACAACAATACCATCTTCCACCGTGTGATCCGAAAATTCATGATTCAGTGCGGCGACCCTCTTGGGGATGGAACCGGCGGCGAAAGCATTTGGGGTCGCGAATTCGAGGATGAGTTCAGCACGCTGAAGCACGACAAGCCATACACGGTGAGCATGGCCAATGCTGGACCAAACACCAACGGCAGCCAGTTCTTTATCACTACCGAGAAGACTGTAAGTGGCGAGCTTGAAAAACCCGACGTTGAATCTGTGCGGTCTGCTAACTTTGATCTGTTCTAGCCGTGGCTTGATAACAAGCACACGATTTTTGGTCGCGCTATCCAAGGTCTGGATGTGATCCATAAGATCGAAAACGTTCGAACTTATAAAGAGAAGCCGGAGGAGGACATCAAGATCTTGAACATAGACATTGTGTAGCCAAGTTAGGGACCTTGGAGCAATATACCCCGCATCCTCTTCTCGCTTCACAGTGCAAGGCTTAACATGGCTCGATCGTGAGAATATGAAATGAGCTGTTTTGTCCAAGGTTTCCTGTTCACGCTATGCTGTGAGGCGAGTTGGCTGTGCTAACTAACTAAATGGCCCCGCCGCGCCTTGGATTCAAGAGTCGGCTCTCTCGCATACTCCTCCCTTTTTGGGACCCCGCATCCCAGAGTCGTTTCCACCCACCGTCAACCTCCGGATCGACTCTCCAAACAGGGTTTAACCTGTCGCTTCTGCCGGGCCACCCGTTTCACCACGGACGAAGCGCCTCCGTCTCGGTTGGTTTTCTGTCCCGCCGATCTCCCGGGAGCCGCAGGGCCGCAGGAGCATGGGGATTGGTCCTCTGCCGATCAGCGTGTGCGTGCGTTGCCGCCCCGCCGGCAGCCGCCTTCCGGTCTGAAAAGACTTCTCTTGTGCCGATCCTCCGGCAGTCATCCCTCCAGCGCGGCCGCGATGCCTCGCCCGAAGAAGCCCGGCGCCCCCGAGCCGAAGCGGAGGAGCCGCAATGGGTGCTGGTATGTGTTCTTGTCTTTTTTCTCCTGTCATGCCCAGCCCGGTCACGCATGGCGGATGTTGTTGAACATGAGACTTTCAGCGAAAACCCTTTCCATCTACTGCCTTATACTAGCCAATGTAAATTGTGGTAGCAGTTCTAACCCGATGCAAATCTACAAGGCCGTGCAAAGCGAGGAAAGTGAAATGCGGTGAGGAACGTCCTCGTTGCTTGAAGTAAGACCTAGGAGTTATCATGACGGAGTCTACATTATACACCAAGACTAATCCCGATTCACAGTTGTCAAAGAAGTGGAGAGGCCTGTGATTATAGCATTCGTCTCAATTGGGAGGGCCGAAGAAGTAAGAAGGGAGGTGACGGCTTTGGTGTGATCCAGTTTGATCAAGCCTCTTCCCAGTCAGACAAGAGCACACCGTCATCTAAACTGGCCACCTCGCCGTCAACTTCTGGCTTCAAAGCAGTCAACTTCGGGCCTCCAAGCACTGTGAAGCGACCTGCAGCAAAATCTAGTCAAGCTTGGTCCTCTGAAATTGCCTCCGGTCCTCTATACGTTCCCGTCTCAGCCGCAACTGCTTTCCCGACTACCCGGTACGACTTTCAGTCACAGATCTCTTTTGCTCCCAACAACGACAACACCCACTCGTCAGGCACGTTGCATCCCTCTCACGATGCAGGGCTGGAAAGAATGGACATGCCTGGGCCTCCCTCAAAGCGGCTGAAGTATTCGCTCGGCGGGAGTGAGGGAGATGATCCATCCTTCCAGTCCATGGCGGCGCCTTATCATCCCAGAAGCTCGGAGACGCATGTAGCCCCGGACCATCTCGCACCAAGCGCATTCCATGATGATTTCCACCAAATGCACGCTCATCCGACCCCGGAGGCATTCCGCCGGCTCTCTGTCAACTCTTTACTGTCTGGCGACTCAGTTCCATCCCAGGAGGAGCGATTGAGGGAGGCTACGGGAAGCTACCTGGGTCTGGATTCCAAAGTCAATCGGCTTCAGAAGAGTACCTACTATGGTATCGACCGCGGCTTCACGGACTTGGATGTCGGTGTGAACGATGATCTTAACGCAATCACGGGGGCCTCGCCGAAGCTCTCGAGACGCGAAATCGTGGGCGAGGAGGACGCCGAGGAAGAGCATCCTACAGAGTTTGGATTCGGAGCCTACTCCAATGAGGTTGATGGTTTTGCTGGGGGCTACTACGACCGGCCAGTGATTGTGCGAATACCTCAGACCTTCGAACCCCTTCCGGACAAACTGAGGGACAATCCCATGAACCTGCTGTATTTCCACCACTTCCTCAATCACACCTCTAGGGTCTTGGTACCTCACGATGATCCTGGGTCGAACCCTTTCCGCACCGTTCTTCCACTGATGGCTGTGACAAACGACCATCTCTTGAGCCTTTTGCTGGCATATTCTGGTACGTGCAGTTGCGTTCGGTATCGAGAATTAATACACGGCTGACGCTGTCTTAGCATCACATCGTGCGAGGCTGTTGCAGCAACCAGAGCCTGCCACAAGGATTGCACTCTGGGTTCAAGACATCTTTCCCGCCCTCCGCCATGCCCTCGACAACCCCGATACAGAGATCTCCAGCACGGACGTGGCCACAGCCATCATGCTTGCGTCTCTGGAGATCATCTGTCCTTCAGCGTTCGAGGTCCATATACCCTGGCAGAAGCATCTTACTCTGGCTCGCGAGCTCGTCACGGCTCGTCCAGCTCTCCTCAAAGTCAACCACCATAGTTCCCGAGAAGCGCAAGCTCAAGGCCATCAGGTATGCGCGTTCTTGTGGAGCTGGTTCGCGTACCTAGACGTCCTGGGCAGTCTCAGTGGCGGAGGGCAGGACGCATCACCGGTTTGGGTTCTCGAGTATCGTGTGTATCACCCTGATGACGACGACGAGATTGACTGCATCATGGGGTTCACCACGTGTTGCATCTACATACTAGCCCGCATCGCAGAGCTGGCGAAGAAGAGCGACACCGAACGTCTGCGCGCCCAGTCGCGGCGAGTCACGGGGCAGGGCGCCATCCGAGACGATGGTGCACAGAACGAGACTGACGCCATTGAGGACAACGCACTTTCCACCTGGCAGCCCAGCGCCGAGGCTCAGGCCAAGGCCCACAAACTCGAGGCCGACGTGCGTGAGAGCCTGGCTCAGCCGCCGCGGCCGTGCCAGCACATACACAACTTGAACACCTGGGACCGGCGCGAGATGATCGCGACCAACGAGGCCTACCACTGGGCGGCCCTGATCCATCTCTGGCGGCGGGTGTGGGGGGCGCCCACCGAGGATGCGCGCGTCCAGGAGGCCGTGGGCAAGATATTCGACTGCCTGAGAAAGGTGCGCAGGTGTGGCAGCGCCGAAGGCTGTCTTCTCTTCCCCATGTTCACCGCGGGTTGCGAGACGAGAGACGCGGAGAACAGGGAGTATATCTTGGAGAGGATGAAGACTGTCGAGAAGACGGGCATGACGCAGGTGAGTTGCTCTGCTTGTCAAGGCAATCCTAGCTCGAAGTTGCATCATCTTCTGACACCCTTGATTTACAGGTTAGCAGAGCGCGTCGCCTAATGGAGAGGGTATGGGAGGTAGGACAGCCATGGGAGACTTTACTGAGTACGGAGTTCATCGGATAAGATACCAATTTCACGTTATTTGAGGTATATATAAAACTGTATAAGTCATTTTGGGACCTGGCCATGAGGCATCTCCGTTCATGTATGATGAAACCATGTAAGATGCGTTTACTGTTGCAAATTAGCGGGATATCTCTCCCTCAAAGTCTTGCATTCTGGACTTGACAATTCTACCAATCCAATAGTGTCCCCAGCTGATGAATCCAAATCCCGATTCTCGCCAGGACATCGCTCCTCAAGAACACTAGCAGCAAAAGGTCCTCAGAATCACACATCCTCGGAATCATCGTCATCGCCGAGCTGATCAAACGCCAAGTCGAACGACGGCCCAAAGTGGCACACCCGGCTCGCCCTGCTCTGCGCCCTCCGGAGCCTCACGTCCTCGGCCTCGATGGCCTCGGCCAGCTCCTCGCGCACATGGTCGCTGCTCCGCCGCGTGCGCCGCCGGCGCGCCTCCGTAGACCCTGCCAAGGAGACCGCGGAGACGTCCTCCGTCGCCCCGGCAGCAGCCCCGATCGCCGCCTCCTCCTCGCGCCGCTTCCCCTCTTCTGCTTCTGCCTCCTCCTCCTCCTCGGCATCGCGCTCCCGGTCGCGCCTCTTCCCGAACGCCACCGCGGCGTCGACCTTCTCCTGGAACTGGCGCGCCTGCTCCTCCTCGCCCAGCAGCGCGTAGTGGCTGCGGCGGAAGACGCCCAGCGCGCTCAGCGCCAGGCCCGCGACCTCCCAGGCGGCCATGACGGGCAGCGCGTAGCGCAGCCGCGGGTTGCAGCCGCGGGACCAGATGTCGGTGAGCACCTGGTAGACCTCGTGCGCGGGCAGGGCGTAGCCGACGCGGTAGAAGGCCGGGGACAGGGCGAAGGGCAGCAGGATCGAGGTCACGTTGAGGATGACCCAGGAGATGAGGGCCATGGGCACGTAGGCCAAGGGAAGCCAGACGGTGAAGACGTCGAGCGTCAGGAAGTTGAGGTGCGCGAAGAGCCACAGCGCCATCCAGGTCAGCCCGAGCTGGCTGCCGGAGACGTCCCAGCCCGAGCGGAAGGCCCAGATGGAGCCCGCGACGCAGAGCGAGCCGACGAGGGTGTAGGCCGACGAGATGGCGTTGCGCACGAGGATGATGCGGTAGGGGTGGATGCGCACGTAGACCTTGAAGCTGGCGTAGAGGCCGTTGATGGTGCCCAGGTAGAAGAACTCCTGGATCAGGATGAGGATGATGACGAGCGTGTTGTAGATGGCGCGCGACCCCTGCGTCGTGGGCTGGATGTTGACGCCCGTCAGCTGCCACGGGTTCGCGAAGACGGCGACGGCCTCGGCCGACGAGAGCTGCCTGCCCGCCGTCTCCCCGGCGGTGCCGGTGCTGTAGGCGATGCGCGCGGCGTTGGAGAGGCTCTGCAGCGGGGAGGCGATGACCGAGTCGACGACGGTCGAGTAGAGCGCCTCGTTCCAGACGTAAGTCAGGACGTCGGAGCGGTTGTAGGCCAGGGCCGGCGGACCGCCCGCCAAGGCCGCCTGGAGCCGGTCAGAGGCCCCGGATTCCACATACAGGGCCGCCCAGTAGGTGGTAGAGCAGACGGCGTCCCGGAGCTCCGTCGGGCCCGGGAAGTCGGCGGCAGACCGCTCGTAGAGGGTGGGGAAGCTGTCGCCCTTCAGGCTCTCGTAGGCCCTCCTCACCGCATCGCCAATGGCGCCGCCCTTGTCATAGTCGACAAACGCCACGCTGATGTTGTGCGTGTGCGATTGCTGCTGGAACAGGGAACCAAAGACGTAGGAGAAGAGGCCCAGGAAGAGAAGCTGGAGGAGAACGAAGTTTATGGCAGCCGCGCGGAAGAAAGGGCGCCCTGGTGGCCTCCAGCGCTTCTTGTGTGAGTTGTGAAAGGTCAAGCGACCCTCAGTGGCCCTCGGATAGAGCCTGTTCACAAACATGGGTCAGAGTCGGGATATGATTTGTCGAAGGGCTTATAGAGATCAGTAAGTCAGCTCTCGGTACGTGTGAAGTTATCGGTACCACAAGGTCGACTGGGAAGGAAATGCATCAGCAAACGTCATTCCGGATCCAAGTAAATTGTAATCGAGCTGCTCAGGCCTGTACAGCTGCGAGCACACCTATTAGAGTACAGAGATGGGAGCTCTCGCCATTTCTTGGTCTAAAATAGTGCCCTCGAGAAAGCTCTACCTTGTTGGTGTTGACCATCGGTCTTATCTCGAGACCCAACTAATAAATGCGGCAATTGACTTTGAGCGGCGGGTGTTACTAACGACAGTGCTTACGACCCTGCAGCCTGCATATTGGAGATTGGAGGCTAGGACCCAGATGAGCAAATCAATTCATGTACCTTATATGACATACCCCAGCAACATATCTAGGTACGTACAAGAAATGGAGTGTTGGATGCATGGCTTTCGGGTGCAATACCCGGGTGCCATCCATGCAGTCAGTCCCTCACAGCACCGACCGCACATCTCCGCCGTACTTCACTCGCCTCACCATCCCCCTCGTCAACTCTTTGACTGACTTTATGCCCGCCAGGCCCATTGATTGGTGCAGGTCCGCCAGTAGACCTGCAAGGACGTTCTTGGCGCCCTCCTTGCCCGCGATGCCCAGGCCGTAGATCACCGGCCTGCCGACCAGAACGCCCTTGGCGCCCAAGCACAATGCCTTCATCGCATCCGCCCCGGTCCGCACCCCCGAGTCGAAGAGCACCGTCATCTTGCCGCCCACGGCATCCACAATCTCCGGCAGCACCTCCAGGCTCGCGATGCTGCCGTCAAGCTGCCGCCCGCCGTGGTTGCTCACCACAATGCCGTCTGCGCCGTGCTTCAGCGCGAGCTTGGCGTCCTCGACACTGACGATTCCCTTGAGAACGATGGGCCCGTCCCAATGCCTCTTCAGGATCGCAATGTCTTCCCAGCGCCGTGCTTCACCCGAGAAGGCCTCGGATATCCAGTGCAGCGACGCCTCGATCACGTTGTCGTCGGGCGTAATTTCCTCGTCCCCATCCTGGTTTCCCTTGTCCTTTTGCGCGCGGGCGAACATCTTCCGGAACTCCGGGTCCGAGAAGCCATTGGCATTGCCCTCGCCCAGCACAAAGGGCAGATACCCCAGGTCGAGGTCTCGTGGGCGCCATGCCATTGTGAAGGTGTCGAGCGTCACGACCAACACCTTGCATCCGGAGGCACGGGCGCGTTTCAGCAACGAGGCAGTCAGTGATTCGGATCGTGGCCAGTAGAGCTGAAACCACCGAGGCGCCTCATTGCCGACGTGCTCTGCGATCTCCTCGATGCTGGAGCTTGCCGCCGTGCTGATAATGAAGGGGACACGTAGATCTGCGCAGGCGGACGCAACCCCGAGCTCCTTGTCTTGGTGGTAGGCACTCATGACACCGACGGGGGCCATAAGCAGGGGGCTCTCTACATGCCACGGTTTAGTAGCTGGCCCAAGTACGAAGACAAAGAAAAACCCCAAAAAGCGTATCTAACCATAGGTGTGGCCAAAGAGCTCGACGCGCATGTCTCGGTCCAAGGCAGGGCGCATCATGCGCGGGATGAGCTTCCACTGCCGAAAGGCGAGTCTGTTGGCCTCCATAGTCGAGCCTTCGCCGGCGCCTCCGGCGACGTAGTTGAAGCCCTCCTCGGGCATGACCTCCTTTGCCTGCTTCTCCAGCAGGCTGGGATCGGTGGTGGTGGGAGGCGCTTCGCCGCCGAGAAGCTTGTTGCGGTAGATGGTGAACATGTGCTCCCCGTACCCGGACGGCGCAGCACCGTTTTTCAGGTCTGATGGATCCGACATATTGGTCCACCACGAGACGTGCGTGATGTGCGGAGACGTCGGCTGGGACAAGAATCACCAATTCCGTGAGAACGCACCGAGTTCTCAATATCTCCAAGTCAGAAGTGTGTCGGGAGTCGCCTTTTTGCGAGTTGGTTAGGTGCGGAAAGCTCGGCAGTAAGGGGTGGGCTGGCTTGCACAACGAGGCAGCACGAGAACTTCCTCCTTGCCTCCGCTCTGTCTTTGAGGATAGACTCAGAGAAGCATCAAGTGATTGTAAAGTAAACATCCATCGCTCCAGTAGCTCTTCCAGGCGACCCGCCAAGCCGCTGACAAGCACCGTAGGTGGCATCGAGCTCCCCACCCACCAGGCCTCGGCATCTCCTTGTCGTGACGTTTCTCCCACAAGCTAAAGAAGAAGCTACTAACGATTTGAGAGACCGCATCCTAAGCTTCCCAGGTGGTTTTAGCTAGTGCTCTTTACGGTGCTCACCTCATCGTAATGGATGCCCACCCGCCCACCTGACACTTTGGTCGAGCCAGGTTTAGCGCCTTGCCACCCACTACTCCCACCCCAACGCAACTGGAAATCAGCACCAAAGTTGGGGGTTTTTGGTTGATTGTAGGTACCGACAACGGACTGCATGGGTAGCCACTTTGGCTGTCAGCTTGTCATTCTTTAGTGCTGATTGATTCCAGGGTTCGAGGATGGAGAAACGGGAGAACCAGGGCATAGAAGAGGACAACGAAAGTGCGACAGTGGGAAGGGATAGACGGAAAGGGAAGAAACACAGGAGATGTTTGAACGTGCAAAGGATGGCTAGCTGCGAATGGATGTTTTCTTTGGAGAGACACCACGAAGACGGGGGTCGAGTCTCTTGCCTCCATCCCCGCACCAGCGAGCCTTTTCCCCCCCACACAAGCCTGCACCGGCCCCGAAAGCCGACAAGACGGCGGCCGAAGGCCGGGTGTTTGCACAGCACATCTGTCGACACTCGCCTTGCGAACTCCGAGATGGCGTGCGCCTGACCGTGAATTGCGTCCAGAAGATGCGTGAACTCCCCGAGTTCCTGCAGACCGGGGAGTATGTCCTAGGACTGGATACAGATCTGAATATGTGTAAATAGCAACGACATCCAGGCCATCGAGAAGACGGCAACCTAGACAGATCGCTCTCGCAATACCATACTTCAGGTTCTCTCTCCCATAATCCAGCGAACTTGAGAGAGCAAAGATGGCAGGCGAAGCAAAGAGGCCAAACTTCCTCATCGTCGTCGCCGACGACCTGGGCTTCAGTGACACCTCCCCCTACGGTGGTGAGATCCGCACTCCGGTGCTGGAGAAGCTGTCCCAAGATGGCATCAGGATGACCAACTTCCACACGGCCCCTGCGTGCTCGCCCACGCGGTCCATGCTCCTCTCCGGTACGGACCACCACATCGCCGGTCTCGGCCAGATGGCGGAGCATATGCGCCAGAGTGAGGATCCGAGTGTCTTTGAGAACAGGCCCGGCTATGAAGGTTATCTCAACTTTCGTGTGGCGGCCCTGTCCGAGATCCTCAAGGATGCAGGCTATCTGAACATCATGTCCGGAAAGTGGTGAGTAAACGATCCACACACTTCCTCAATGGATTTTCAATCTAAAACGTGAAATAGGCACTTAGGTATGAAGCCAGAGCACTCGCCATACGCGAGAGGCTTCCAGAAGGTCTTCTCCTTCCTCGCCGGGTCAGGGAACCATTACAACTACGAGCCCCAGTTCGACGACCCGCGGTGGAAGCTCCCCTGGCGCGGCCAGCTGTGGATGGAGAACGACCGCTACGTGGACCGCAAGACGGAGATCCCCGGCGACTTCTACTCCACCACCTACACGACCGACAGGATGATGGAGTTCCTCAAGGGCCGCACCGAGGAGGAGAAGAAGCAGCCCTTCTTCGCCTACCTGGCCTACCTCGCGCCCCACTGGCCGCTCCAGGCCCCGCGCGAGCTCTCGGACACCTACGCGGGCATGTACAGCGACGGCCCGGACAAGCTCAGCGAGCGCCGCGTCAAGCGCCTGATCGAGCTGGGCCTCGTGCCCGCGGATGTGATCCCGGCCAAGCCGGAGGGCCATATCGGCAAGGAGTGGAAGGACCTGTCCGACCTGGAGCGCGCAGAGTCTGCCCGCAAGATGGAGGTGTACGCAGCCATGGTCGAGATGATCGACCAGGGTATCGGCCAGGTCGTCGACTACCTTGAGTCGACCGGGGAGCTCGATAATACCTTTATCTGCTTTATAAGCGGTACGTTTCCTTCCCCCACCCATAATTCAGTCACGCCTAAGGGAGCAAAGGAACTGACATTGACATGATATACTAGACAACGGTGCTGAAGGACTCATGATGGAGGCCCTCTCCACGATGGGCTCCGACACCACCATGGCGGACATCATCAACGCCTACTACGACAACAGCCTGAAGAACATCGGCGAGAAGGACTCCTTCGTCTGGTACGGGCCGCGGTGGGCCTCCGCCGCCACCGCCCCCTCCCGCGGCTGGAAGGTGTGGCCGACGGAGGGCGGCATCCGATGCCCCTGCATCGTGCGGTACCCGGGATTCAAATCCCCGGCGAGGGCCATCACCCACAAGTTCACCACCGTGATGGACATCCTGCCCACGATGCTCGAGCTCGCCGGCGTCGAGCAGCCCAGGGGCACCTTCCACGGCCGCGAGGTCGTGCCCGTCCGCGGCAAGTCCTGGGTCGCCCACCTGGCGTCGGGCGACTACGAGGGCACCGAGGTCCACGACGAGGACCACCACGTCCACGGCTGGGAGCTCGTCAACCTGCGCGCGATCCGCCGCGGCAACTGGAAGGCCGTGTGGATGCACGAGCCCCGGGGCCGCGGGGAGTGGGAGCTGTACGACCTGTCCCGGGACCCCGGCGAGCTCAACGACCTGGCCGCCGTCGAGAAGGAGATCATGAAGGAGATGATCGGCCACTGGGAGCAGTACTATGCCGAGACGGGCATGTTCGACATCCCCTTCGAGATGGCCACGGCCAAGGGGTAAGGGAGAGCCGTCCATAGCATAAAATGTCAAACAAGTAAAAAAGCAAGCATGGAGTACTACTGCTGGACATCCCAGAGGGAAGGAGTTGCGTGAGACGATAACCATGATATGCATGCATTGCAGATAGTTCTCAATTCCTTGTATGTGGGCTTCGCCTTGAAGTACCTATGTAGGTAGTCTACTTCCTTTTCGCCAAGCCTGAATCCTACATATTTTCTAGGGCTCCAAATTCAGACCGTCTCAAACGCCATTCTGCTGGTGAAAATCAACGTCATGCTTAGTAAAAGTCAGTTTCCTCCTGAGCAAACAACATCCATATCGTCTCAACACACGTCCACTTATCACCCGGGGGAACAGAATCAGGGCTTGATAGACCACAGCTCCCTCGACCAGCCCATCTCCCTGAGCTTCTTGGAGCTCGCGCCGGGCCCGCCCTTCTTGACATCGCTCGTCCAGATCGCGAGGGCCTTGCTGCACGAGGCGAACGACTCGATGAGCTCCTTCATCCGGCCCGACTTGACAAACAGCTGCGCCAGGTCCGAGTCCTTGTCGGCGATGACCGACGCCAGGTCCATGCACTCGAGCAGGTAGTCCCGCGAGGTGGTCGTCCCCGCGAACTGGAGCGTGCTCGCGTAGGCGATGATGACCTCCGGGAGGTAGGTCTCTCTCAGCTCTTGGTAGTCTTTGTCCTCTGTGGATGAAGGTCAGTACCTGCAAGATGTGGTATATGGGGCGTTGACTGGATGCGACCCACCTTCGACGCTTTCCAGAAGCCAGTCCTTCAAGACAGGCTTCATGAAGCCCTTCATCAGCTTGGCGTTGTCGTCGATAGCCTTGGTGAGGTCTCTATTCTGCGACGGATCCTGTCGATTGCTGGCCGCGCCACAGGCCGTGGTCTCCAGGCAGTCAAGGGCGTTAACCAAGCACTCCAGTTCCCACAAAGGCCGAGCATGGTTCGCTAGCTGCTCTTTGGAAATTCCCATCTCGCCAAAGCCATCCTCGTCCATGCGTTCGCCGATCTCGGGTCTCGTGTTTCCAAATGTCTCGTCCCACCAATTCGGGTCCAACTCTTCCTGAGGAGATCCGAGACCGACCTTCGCACTCATGAGCTGTGAGCATGACAATCTGGACGCAAGTATGCGGGCTGCTAAAAGGTGTTGATTTTCTGCACGGAGATCAGTCTCTGCACGACCACAACAAGTGATTGATTATGGGGACTTACTGAGGAAGTACTTGTACAGCCTGACACCGTATGCACAAGTTTCCAGGACCAGACCATCAACCAGCAACAGCCACTCGAGTGACCGGATGAGATGATCGTCCTTTGGATCCGCCAGATTGGGATCATCGGGGTCGCCTCCAAAAATGCCAGGCTTGATCAAACGTCCGTACTTAAGATGGGGAGCAGTACCCTCGAGAATCTTGAACTTGCCCTTGGCTGGGCAAACGCCTGGCTCGTCACGGACTTCTGAGAAGTAGAGCAGTGGTTGGGTCTTGACGAAGTGTACAACATCAAGGCCAAGCCGCTGCATGATGTTGAGGATTCTTAGTTGGAAATCTCGCTCATCGACTCCGATGATGTTGCGGCTAATGTTAGAGTAGCGCCTCTCTCCGATAAGTCTCGAGGAGTAGAGCGGGATGAGCTCTTGGAGGTGTACCAGCCGCAAGTAACTGGCGTAGGCAGCGATACAGTGGTCTTCTGTTTGATGGCGCTTCGCCATCAGGCCCACCTCAGTGGCAACCTTGCCCTCGAGCCTCTCGAGAGCGGAGACGATAATATGGGCATGGGCCAAGATCCGCAGCGTGTCGTGGTCGGACAGGTTGACGAATCGAGGACTGTCCGGCACGGAGGCAGTCGTGTCATATTTGGGTATGAGCTTGGACTCCTTCTTGGCATTAGCCATATCTGCGAGTTTGCAGCCCTGCTGGTAGAGGAACGTCGACAGTCTATCCTCAATGATGGCCGCCTGTAGAGCTTTGGCGGGTGTATTGGCAGCCTTGCGGTTGCGTTCTTCTCTATCTCGAGAATCCGAAAAGACTGCGACATCGCCATGAAGCATTGTCATGGCCTGGATTGCTTCTGGGTCGCACTGTTTAGCCAAGTACGCGTCAAATTGGCCGCGGAGCTCGGCATTGTATTTGGCAAAGGTGAAATCGTCCCAGGTCCTGGAGACTGCCTCCACGCTGGTGATGTCTCCCGACAAGAGACCGTAGACGGCCCGCTCGAAGCGGTCCGTACCCCGATCCCGGGTCAACTTGTGACACATGCGACGCCAAAGAACTGTGGGATAGGGGTCATAGTTCGGAACATCCTCATCGTCGCCAGATGAGAGCGGCAACGCTGACATAGACGCTGCCCGCCAGATCTCGGTTCTCTCTGCGCACCAGTCCCGTATCTCAGACATGCTGCGGCCTCTGCGCAGTAGCTCGAAGCACCCAAGCCAGAGTGCACGCTCGAAATAAGCGTCTTCAGGCGCTAGATTACGCCCGGCCTGCCTCGAAGTGACGTCTGGATCGAGTTGCGTGACGATCTTCCCGTTCTTATCGAGGTTCGAATCAACGAGATCTGGTGACCGTGGGTCAAGTGCATCGGATGCGGCGACAAGTCGTTTGTGCTGCTTAATGGCACCTCTGGTGTGGAGCCAGCCATGAGTGAGCAGCTCTCCCCGTTCAGCATTGCGCTGGAGGTCCTTCACTAGCTCGTCAATCTCGGGCCCCTTGCTCGCATTGTTTTGCAGCCATTCCAGGATCGTCTTGTGTTCCTTCGCCTTCGGCTCCGACTCGAGAAAGTCTAACCAATACTCCCTGCGCGTGTGAGGCACCTTGCTTGATGCGCGCTTGGACGTAGACCCTGCACTCTTGTCACGATATCTCAGCGGCAGGAGGCGTCGAAGTAGATCCCACGTCTCTGCCTCCTCCTCCCATTTCTTCAGGTCAGCGTACTGCTGGCTCATGGAGTTCTCGTCCTGCTCATCGACGTCCATGTCATTGGCATCCTGGCCGTCTCTCATTCCGCGCACAGCCTTCTTCAGCCGGTAGCGCTCCCGCAGAGTCTCTGCCCGATCGCTGGCATATTCGTAGTAATTGTCAACCAGTCTAAAGATTCTTGATCGTTGTTCGGTCGGAGAGCCCCGCGTCGCAAGGCAGTCGTCAAGATACCTGGCAAAGGACTCGACTTCTTCGCCCACTTGCACCGAACTTTGCTGATATGTATCCTCGAGCATAGCCAGTTCGTCGGGAGATATGCCTTGATTGCCATCCTCGGAGTCGGTAGAAGTCTGGCGCACGAGCGCGCCTAAGCTGCCTGTTGAGTGGAGGTAGCCAGGCAAACCAGGCTGGACAGGTCGCTTACGGTCAGCTTGCTCGAGTGCTAGAACAGGATGTTATGCTTGAGCCTTCACTTACCATACCTGGTGCCATCTTGACCTGCGAATGCGCAACCTTTCAGACTTGCGCAAGCCGACAGTGAAGGCACTCCAGTCGAAAGGCGGGAGCTTCGAGTGCCCTGCCAACGAGCTTCTCAATCGGCGATCCAGAGATACTTGAGAAATCGAGGTATCGAACCACACTGTGCAGGGAGTTGCCTCTTCAGAGACGCAGCATTTCTGACTTTGTGAAGTGTTTGTTGATCACCCTTGTCGTGATACAAGAGGCTCTTTTGTCGGCTTGGGAGCACCTTGTTCGAACAAACGCGAGAGAGGTCGCGCGCTTTGGCCTTTCTTTCACTGGGCGACCAGGTCCTACAGCTAGCGCCTAAACCACCCAAGCGTGCAAACATTTGGCGAAGATAAGACGAAGTGCTGGGTACCTTTCTTATCAGAGAGGTCGCCCAAATTCGAGGCGCATTTCTTAGGCTACCAAGCTCTGGCAAAGTACCGATACTAGTGGGGCCGTTTTTGCTGGGACTGGGCTTGAACACCACAAATAGGCTGGCTCGAAAATTCTCGCCTGCTGCGTTTTCTCTCTCTTCTTTCTTCTTCAACAATGTCCACGGCTGCCATATTAGAGTCTCGGAACAAGATTTTCACTGCTTGTTCAGGTCCAAAGAGGCCTCGCTGCGCGCTCAATGACAGCCAAGAAGAAGCATGCACTCTCCTTTAAAAGTTACCTGATTTATTCCGTTTGGGTGGACATACGGTCCTGGGACGAGTGATACAGATCAAGATGTTTGGTGGTGGTCTATCTGGCTTGAGCCCTATGGTTTCTAGATACCTTCTGTGACGTTGCGCCTCGCCTTTGCTATGACTTCGCCTCGCTTCGCTGCTTGATCTTGAGCCTTAACAAGTCGGGTTTGGGGCAGCTGACCGAGGTTGCCGTCTCGCCATTCCTTTCGTAGAATGCCTGGCAGCACTCGTAGAGCGCGTCGATTACGTTCTGGCACCTCTCCTCCTTGTAGTTGTTCTTTGTAAGGCAATCTGGGACGGGACGTCAGAAACAGCAGGCCCTGTCGGCTTCAGACGGGTTAGGAGCTGATCTCACTTTGAATCGCACACTGGACAGCCGGATGGATATGTGTCAGCCTTCATCTACGATGCTCTCTGGACGTAAACATCATTGGGTTCCCTATCACGTACAGCTCGTGGGTGGCATGGCGGTTTGGCCGCCAGGTCCTTTTCTAGCGACTTGTAGATCGTGCTGTTAGAGACCCATCCTGAAAAGCATCGAGTCCAGCCGTTCGGTTGCACATACCATGTTTCTCTCAGGCCTCTCCGGCTGGTGATTGGCCGTGGTATTGTGGTTTTGTATGGAAGAAACAAAATATCCTTTCAGAAGCTGCGAGCGGTAGCAGCCAAACTTAAGGAGCCGAAAAAAGCAGGTATCAAATACTGGAGAGCCAGCTGGGGTGACAATCAGTTGGTTGCACAACTGAGGCTCAAGCGGTATAGCAATTAAGCATGGATGTATGGAGGCTCGGCACTAAGGTAGCCAGCCTTCTGGCCCCTGGGGATGATGTCACGCGGCCCCGTTGCTTTGTGATGGACGGTGTTGTGAGGATGTTGACAAGACCTGACCAGGGCCACAAAAGGCATGTATGCAGGGTTCGCCAAACAGCATTGCATAGTCTCACTTATGACTTCCGTCTCCATTGTAGAAGAGTGTCTAATTGGAGTGTTTGGGCTCATGGATCGCATTGCGCTTTGCTGAAAGCATAATCTGATTGCATGCATGGCATGACATGGGAGCAAAAGGCTACCAAGGCTACTTCGCTACCTAGGTCTACTCTCTTTCAAAAGTATTGGTATCCTGGCTGGCTTAATCCGTTTTCCCTTTCAGAGAGTGAGGGGATTATCAAATCCATGACAGTCTCCCGACTCAACTAGATTTCACGTCCAGTTCAATCAAAATCTGAGCTCTGGATCAGTGACATTGTCGGCTTTAAGTCGCCTGAGCAGTGCCTTCCGACTGGGCCTAGACCGCTTCCAGTAAGTTCCATAGGTCGTTGGTTTAGCTGGGACCAAAGACCAAAGACCAAAGTGCCCAGCGCGCCCCGCAATCGCGCCTCCCTCACTGAAGCCGACCTCGCCTTTCCTTCGGCGCACTTTGAAATCGCAAGACGGCATTCCCAAAAACTTTACCCAAAAACAAAAACTCTCAATCTTTCTCTCCTCCTCTCTTCATCACCTACCTCCTTCATCCCAAACAAACCATCCACCCATCCTGCGAATCTTCGCACCTGCGCAACCCCGGCCTCGCGTGATCCCATCTCGTCGCCGACAAATCAAACCCCGCCAACCATCTCGATCAATAACCTCTTCTCTCTTCGATCCCAAACCGCCCATCACAAACAATGTCTGGAGAGAACGAGAACGGCAGCCCCGCCGCTGACCAGCCGCCCACGGCCCCCGCCGCCTCGGAGCACCTGAACATCAAGGTTACAGATAACAACAACGAGATCTTTTTCAAGATCAAGAGGAGCACCAAGCTGGAGAAGCTGATGGGCGCGTTCTGCGAGCGGCAGGGCAAGTCGATGCAGTCGGTCCGCTTCCTCTTCGACGGCCAGCGCGTTCAGCCAACCGACACACCTGACACCGTGAGTTCCCCCCGAGCCTCGATATTTACTGCCAACCGCCGCCTATGAGTGTGCGCTACAAGAAGCACGCTTTTGCTAATACGTTCTGCCAATCCTCCAGCTCGAGATGCAGGATGGCGACACCCTAGAGGTCCATCAGGAACAGGTCGGAGGCTTCGCCAGCCTTTAGAAGGGTGGACAGACTCGCGCCACCGTCATCGGTGTGATATGAGACTATCTCGACATCTAGAGTCCTCCGTTCCTTTATGTCATGGAAGCATTCCGGCAGGCAAAACTCGGAGGACATGGGCGGAATTACGGTAGCGGGTGCATCAAAAGAGAGGGTTTTTTCTTCTTTCTCGGAGACTACGCACTACTACTACATACAGCAGCAAAGACGGTCGATATTGATTTTTCCTGCGGTTACTGCTGTTCATCACAGGTGCGACGGTCTGGCTTAGGAGGTGCTTTCTCTCAGGGTTTGGTAACTTTTCGCATCAATGGAACTGCTTTCTTCACAAAACCGCTCAATTATTCTCACGGTGCCAAGTCCGGAGGCAGATCCGTGCTACTAGAACAGGAGGGATCACGTCTTAAAATCTAGGCAGCAGTTCACGAGCCTATAGAGCACGGAACTCCTACGTGAACGACTTGCAGCCATTCTTGACTCTTTCACACCTTTACAATGTGACTTGTATCTCACCAATGCCTGATAACCATGTACTGAGTAATTTTGCTGTGCCATCCATTGAAAAAAAAAGATCAAAGGGCGCTATCATCAAACATTACACTCATGATACACAAACAAGCTCATCTAGATCCGTAGTCCTCATTCCCTTCCAGAATCGCAAAAGAATCGCAAAATAACACCAAACACGCTACCAAAAAAAAAATAAGCAATGACTGCTCTCCAATCTCTACGCCCTCTACTCTAACATCAAGACTCTCCTCCCCAAAAAAACAAGACTACCATAATAAAGCCGATAGCAAAGCCACACCGTGTTTCACGCCTTGAGCTCCCTCTCCCGGCACCCCGTACACAGGATCTGCATCCTTCCCTCCTTCCCCTCCCGGGGGAAGACCTGCCCGTCGTCGAACCCGCCGCCGCACGTGGCGCACCGGAAGCACTCGTCGTGCCACTCGCCGCCGAGCGCCTGGACGTACTGCCCGATGACGGCGGCCCGGCAGGCGCGGCACTTGGGCGCGCGGCGCTCGGTGCGGCGGGCCTGGCAGCCGACGCACCAGGCGTACCCGTCCTTCTCGATGTGCGTCTGGCCCGGGCCGAAGGGGTCGCCGCACTCGGCGCAGAAGAAGTGGCCGTAGTGCCAGTGGCGGCCGAGCGCCACGACGTGCTCGCCGATGATGGGCGTCGTGCAGTGCTTGCAGCGCGGCGCGAAGAGCTCGTGCCAGTCGAGGTGGCAGTAGAAGCGCAGGCGCTCGTCGCCGTCCTCGGCCATCGTCTGGCCCGGCTCCTCGGGCAGGACCTCCCCGTGCGCCCGCCGGCGGATCCGGTCGAGGCGCGCCGCGCGGTGGACGTCGGGCTCCGGGGAGATCTCCAGGGCCTCTAGGGAAGTGCCGCAGGTGTAGCAGCTGAAGCATTGGGGGTGGAAGCGTGCCGATACGCCCGCGAGACCGACGAAGCGTCCCTCGATGGGGAATCCGCACTCATGGCAACAAGCAGTGGCCCTGCTGCCGATGGGCTGCTGAGCAGGGGACCAGTGAGCCCTTGGTCTTGGTAGGGCCCGACGTGCGCCTCCCGAGCCAGGAGTCGGGAGCGGTCTCTGAGCAGGCGTCTTCTGCTCATCGTCCGGTGTCACAATGGCTGGCACTTGAGGCCCATTACTAGGTTCGTCGTCAGGCGTGATGATCATAGGGATGCCCGGCCCGTCATCAGGCCCATCAGGTAGACATATGGTAGGGATCGGTGGCTTCGCCTCGGAAACAGAGATGCTGGGAATAGAGGGCTCGGGGTCTGACACTGATATGCTCGGGATAGTGACAGAGTTTACTTGAACAGGGGGCGGGCGGTTGCGGTGCGAGGGCTGCGAGGACGACGGGGCCGCCGGTTTAGGATCCTCCATAATTGTGATAGAAGGGATTGACGGGGCTTGACGGATTTCAGGGACCCGGTTGGTCCCGACTGCACCGCTCTTTCGGGAGTCTACCTTCTCATCAGTTGCCTCCTCCGGCGCTTTCCAGTTGTTGTCAAAGCTTACGATTGGACGACCTGGGTTGTCACTGACGTAGGATGGAGTCGGGAGCTTGGTGCTGCGGTCTTTCAGCTTCATGCTCGTAGCTTCTTTGATATCATCGCCGCGGATCTCCATCCCGTGCTTCGTCGGCGTCGCTTCCCTAGAAGAAGGACGCTCCGACGGGGAGTTTGTGGTGTATTGGGGGTTTCGAGACTGTGAAGGCGGGTTCCGATGGATCTCAAACTTGGACACCATCTTTGAGATGTTCGAGGGTGGAGTCTCAGGAGAAGGCGGCGCTGCCGACGCGAACTGAACCCTGTTCAAGGGATTCTTTGCTTTGATGCGCAGGGGCTGAACCACCTCAGCAGCTTCTGCGACAGGTGGTGGCCTAGCCGGGGATGAGCCCTCGGGTTCTTCGTAGATCTGATCGCCCGAGAATGGACGCTGCACTTCGCCGCTGATGTTGCGCTTCATGCTGCTGCGACGACGGGAACCCTGCACAGCCATGGGACGAGGGCCACCAGTGATACCGGCGTAGGGTTTGTTGCGGGCTGATTCCGACGACGTCTTCCTTCCTTGCTCAAGGCTAGTACGGGCACTATCAGGGTTGCCAGAACCCAAAGAAACCCGGCTTCGACGCGTGCCGAGTCCATCACTAGAGGTCGAGCTTCCGGACACTGACCGCGAACCGGGATCTCTGGCGAGGCCGCTCGGTTCGATATCATCTCCATATCTGCCAACGCTCGCCGTACGGGCGTGGGCATAACTATTCTTGCGGAGATGCTGCTTGTAGCGGTATGGTGCGCCAGGCTTGGGCAACTTGACGCCGTTCTGGTGCTGCCAGACAAGCTCGGACGCCTCGTCGAGAGCAGCCTGATAGAGGCTCTCGTCCTCTTCGGGCTTGTCCTTGACATCCATGTCCTCCATGGCTTGGCGCAGGGAGTATGCCTCCTCTTTCTCCATCCATCTCTGGCCTCGCTCGATATAAGTCGAGCTTGGCACAACCTCGCCTGGCTTCAGAGGCGGTGCAGAGGGTCTCTCAGGGTAGTAGTCACGGCCAGCCCCGCTCATGGTTGAGTATCTTGAGGAAACGCTGGCTGAGATGGAAGGGCGTATGTAAGGACTGGGCATTTCGGACTGGCTCCTTTGGTGCAGAGACGAGGTCTCGGAGACGACAGAAGCCGCCAGAGATGGGCGACCTCCAGACAGACGCTTGGAGTCGCTGCGGATGCTTTCTGGCTGGGGTTGGGGTCTGGCACCGCCTGGGCGATTGACTCGGTTGGTCCTCAGATCTGCAAGGTATTTGGCTGGTACATCACGCGTCAGCACAATGATCTTCCTTCACGGTGCTCGGCAACAGCAGAGATAGGGGGCTTCCTACCAAACTGGTCGTTCGACATATAGCTTGGGGAAGGCGGCGTAACCTTCCTCGTGGAGCTGCGCTCCTTGGACGAGCCACGCTTGAACATGGCGAGTGCTGCACCAGTCGTCGCGGGTTTGATGTGAGCACGTTGATTTGGGTTTGACTGAGCGAGTTGTGAGAGTGTTTGGCGTGAAAGAGGGTGTCTGGTGGTTGGAGGTGGCTGCGAGTTTGCGTTGCGAACCGGACTCTTCTCTAGGATGCACTACGACTATGTACAAATAGGTGCTGTAAGGCTGCTGTTTACCTGATACTAACAAGAGGATGCGGGTAGGAAAGGGAAACGAAATGTTTCACGGTTGCTAGGTTGCCAGGCAGATGACGCTTTGCATTGACGCATGTGAGTCTTCGTTTATGGAGACGCAGGTCTAGCCTGGCCTGACCGACTGGGATTTTCCCAGGGTCGAATGTACCAGGGCATGAAATTTGGGTGGGTTCGGGGGAAATTTCGTGTTTACCGGCGCTGGCTGGGCAACAATCTTCGGAAGCCCAACCCCGGGTGATAATGCGCGGGCAGCTAAGGCCCTTACATAATCCGGCCTTCTTCTGGGGACGAAATGACTGACAGCGCATTCATTAGGTAAAACAAATCGATACCTTAGGTACCTCCCTCCGTCCTCGGGTCTGGGTAAAAGGCCACCCATGAACTGTGTGCTGTCGAAGCTCATGCGCTCACTCCGCACCTCGGCATCTCGTTGCTTTACTTTTCTGACTCTCGGTCGGGCCAGTCGGCTTTGGACACCACAAGCCAGCAGCCAGTGCGGCAGTGGTTCCTCAACGGTGCGGGAACACAACCGCCGAACATGACGCCAGCCGCTTCATATCGAGACCGTCTCCATGCGATGCTGCCAAGATACGAGCAGTCAGTGATGGCACTGAATGAAGAGAAGAATGTCATGACACGACATGGCGCAAAGCGCCTGTATCTATATGATGCACAGCAGGCGGCCGGTTAGATTTGCACTCCAGCGCAACCATGAATCAGACCTCCAGATCAACACCCCCGCAGCCGCGACTTGCGGCTCTACCTAACCCAAGTTCGCGGCACCCCAGATCATCCACAGCTGCTAATGATGGGTGGCAACGCAGCAGCGTACACTTTCCACATTGGGAAGGCCCTGCGCAGGCATGACAAAAGTACTCCACGAGGCCTGGGGGTAGCGTGCGTCCAAAAGATATGTCCGACAAGAATGCGACTTGGAGACCATCTGCCAGTATCGTCGTGGCTTCTACACGAAGCCGAAGACGCTGTAGTCTTCTGGAGATGAGCATCAATCATCAACTCATCTATTCACTGCTGTCTCAGTTATGAGGCATTGACAAGTGACTTATGTACGCTGTGCATCCTTAACATGGGCGCAGTGAACATTGATGCTTATTCCCGGCGGCTTCCGCTCAGACCCGCTCGTCCATCCACCGCGATTTCTGGGTCCACCCAGATTTTCCTGGAGATAGCTTCGGAATATCTGATGTTCTTTCAGAAAGCGGCTTCTTTCAAACGGATCTGTCTCGGGTGAAGCATTGCTGTAATCGTAGCAGGCTCCGTCCGGCGTGCCGTTGTACGACCAAAGATATCCGGCCTTTCTCCGTCAGCCTCCCGGATCCAACCCGGCGATACGCCAGAGACCAACCAACCAACAGGACCCAGTTTGCCGGCACCAGGAGCCGTCGTTAGTGTGCCTAGTTGTGCGGGGGGATAGGGACATAACGCAGTCGGGGGTTGCTTGTTATAAAATCTTTCCAAGACTCCCTCACTCTCAGAGGCTTCAACCCTGATGTGCTGAACACGACAGCCTAACAGCTTTCGCTCCTTGTTTCCCCCGAGCCTCGTCCTCTCTATGGCTGGTCCCTCTCTCTATTTTTCTCCTTTCCAACATCAATTGGAACCTTTTAATACCTAATGGCACCGCTACCCGCGTCCCACCCGCGGACGCCGGAATCGGCCCAGCCCAGCGCTGACCAACGAGAAGACTTGGTGGTCAGAATTCCGTCCCAAGACGAGAGAGTTGCGGAATCCAAGGAGGAAAAGGTAGAGGGCAATACTTCATCTGGCGAGTCGGCAGCGCCAACTAAAGAGTTTCAAGAGGGCGGCTATGGCTGGTAGGTGTATCCAACCGAAATTTACAAATCCACGAATGGGATCTTGGGACTAACTTTCTTTCAACAGGGTTGTTGTCGCTTCTGTCGCCACAATTAATGCTCATTCTTGGGGAGTGAATGCCGTATGTCTTTGCCAGCTTGACTTGCTTTGCCCTGCTTCGCAACTAACAAGCTTGCCACGCCAGGCCTACGCCATTTTCCTGGCGTACTATTTACGAAATGATGCCTTCAAGGGCGCCACTCCTTTAGCATACGCCTTCGTCGGAGGCCTTTCCTTGTCTATCGGTAAGCCTGGTTGTCTGGCTGAAATGCTGACTGTTACGCCGTTACCAAGCTCGATGCTGACCCCCTATATAGCATTGCTCTTTTCCCCTATCGCTACAATCAGCATAAGAAAGTTCGGTACGCGGATAACTCTGTGGATCGGAGTCGTATTTGAGACGTAAGTACAAGTCACCAAGATCTCCCAACTCGGTTCTAGTCGTTGAACCCATGTGCAGAGCTGCCTTCGTCGGTGCCTCCTTCACGAGCGAAATATGGCACCTTCTTCTCAGTCAAGGCATAGCCTTTGGTATCGGCATGGGTTTCCTATTCACCGGATCTGTGGGAGTCGCGCCGCAGTGGTTTGTCAAGAAACGATCCTTTGCCAATGCACTGGCGACTAGTGGCTCAGGATTCGGCGGTCTCATCTACTCCCTCGCGACCAACGCCATGATCAAAAACATTGGGCTGGAGTGGGCCTTTCGAATCCTCGCCATCATCTGCTTCGTGGTAAACGGCATCTCGGCGACATTGATCAAGGACCGGAACAAGCACATCGGCTCGGTGCACGTCGCCTTCCACAAGGACCTGTTCAAGAGAATCGAGGTCATCCTCCTGATCAGCTGGGCCTTCTTCTCTCTCATCGCCTACGTCATCGTCATCTTCTCCCTGACGGACTACGGCCAGACCGTGGGCTTCTCGGCGAGCCATGCTTCCCTGCTGGCGTCCATGTTCAGCTTGTCCCAGGGGATCGGGCGTCCGTTGATAGGTCTAACGAGCGACTATTTTGGCAGACTCAACATTGTCTGCGTGGGCACGTTCATCGCTGGTTTCTGCGCGCTCTTCCTCTGGATCTTTGCTGGAAAGTACTTTGCCGGCGCCATCGTCTATAGTTTGTTCGGCGCCTTCGCCGGCATGATCTGGGCAACGATTTCCCCTGTCGGCGCCGAGGTCGTGGGCATCCAGCTCCTCCCTTCGCTGCTGTCAGTGACCTGGATCATCCTGGTGCTCCCCGGTACCTTTGCCGAGGTCATCGGTCTGAGTCTGAGGAAGCACGGCGTCGACGGCTACCTCGATGTCCAGCTCTTCACGGGGTTCATGTTCATCGCCGCGGGAATCTGCTCCTGGCTCCTGAGGGCGTGGAAGCTGCACGAGCTCGAGACCATGCGCCTGACCAAGGAGCAGAGAGAACTAGAGATCCGGGACGACGACGCAGTCCCACGAGACCCGAACGCGCGCACTACAACTACCAAGGGGTATCTGATGTACATCATGAAGGGCAAAGGCCTGTTCGAGTGGGCGCATGTATGAATATAAGTTCACATGAATGAGTGTAGATACACCAAAAAAATCTTTTATAGACAATAGCATATTGTTCAAGTTCTACTTTTAAAACCTATATATCCATTATAGCATCAAAAATCTCGATGCAGAAATCTATAACCAGTCACCTCATCCCACCTTTCACTGTCCCGAAAGCTCAATGGCCTTGGCCGCCGCCTCCTCGAAGTCATCAAACGCGTAGATGGGCAGCCCGCTCTCGGCGATGATCCGCTGGCCCTCGGCCTCGTTGGTGCCCCGTATGCGCACGACGACGGGCACCCGGGGCCGCAGCTCCTCGAACGCCAGGACGACGCCGCGCGCGATCATGTCGCCGCGGGTCAGCCCGCCAAAGATGTTGACAAAGATGACGCGCACGCGCTCGTCGCGCAGCACGAGCTCGAAGCTCTTCTTGACAGTCTCGCTCGTCGCCTTGCCGCCCGTGTCGAGGAAATTGGCGGCGCGGCCGCCGGCGTCGGCCAGCGCGTCGAGCGTGTTCATGGCCAGGCCGGCGCCGTTGACGACGGTGCCGATGCTGCAGCTTCTGTCGTCGCTGCTGCCGAGCCTGATGAGCACGATGGCGTCCCGCTCGGCCTCGACCTCGGCCGGGTCCTCGGCCGCGGGGTCCCTCAGGGCGTGGATGTCGGCCTGGCGGTTCGCCGTGCGGTGCGCGGCGTCGTCGAAGCCGAAGCGCGCGTTGACGATCTTGACCTCGCCCAGGCGCTCGACGACGCGCGTCTCGAGCAGGAAGGCCTCCTTGTCGTAGAAGATGGCGGCCAGGCTGCCCAGCACCTTGCGCAGGGAGTCGCCCGTGCGGGGGCCGAGCTTGAGGTGCTCGGCGATGCGGTTGGCCTGCAGGCCGTCGAGCCCCCGGTTGTAGTCGAAGGGGAACCGCTTGGTCTGCGACACGGCGAGGTCGGGCTCCGTGGTCGGCGAGGCGACGATGCAGGGGGATCGCGTGGAGCGGTCGATGCTGATGGCGAGGAACCGGCGGGTGCCCTTGCCCGAGTACTCTGCTGCCGTGACGCCGTACTGCCGGAGCAGGTCGAAGGCTTGGTCTTCGCGGATGTAGAGATGGCGTTTCTGTTGGTGCTGAGGGCTTCTCGGTTGCGTTGTTCTGGCTCTGCGGACGGCAGTGTGAATGCCTCGCTGTTGTACTCCAGACTTGAATGGGGACGATGGCTGTCCGCCGCTGGTGGTTTTGGTGTGCTCTGCCAATCTTGCCTTGAGAGCGTCTCCAATCTTCGAAGGGTGGTTGACCATAGTCACCCCCGCGGCTTCGAGGGCGGCAATGTTTGCACGAGCATCAGGCTCGCCAAGGACCGTGAAGGCACCGGCGTGGCCCATGACACGGCCCGGCGCCGCATGAACACCTCCTATTAGACCAACGATCGGTCTGGTGAGATGCGTCAGTATATAATTTCCTCCAAGAGATGACGCCAATCCAACGACTTACTTTGGATTCGCCGTCCGGGCATTGTACTCCTTGATCCACTGCGCAGCCTCCATCTCACCCCATCCCCCAATCTCCCCAATGAGCGCAATCCCTTCCGTGTCCTCCTCCTCCGCCAGCACCATCAGCGCCTCCCTCAGATCCGTGCCAGGGAGGATATCCCCGCCCACGCCAATACACAAGCTCTGGCCCAGGCCAGCGCGCGTCGTCGACGCGACGCACTCGTAGCTCAGCGTCCCGGACTTGGCCGCGACGCCGATCTTGCCCGGCGCGAAGCACGGCAGGGGCTGGAACCCGACGCGGCACCGCCCCGTCGCCGAGATGACGCCGGGGGAGTTGGCGCCGACGAGGCGCGACCGGCTCTGCGTCTTGAGCATGGCGTGCACGCGCAGCATGTCGTGCAGCGGGATGTGCTCGGCCACGGCGACGACGAGCGGCACCTCGGCGGCGACGGCCTCCTCGACGGCCCCCGGCACGTCCTGGTGCGCCGCGACGTAGATGCCCGTGACGTCGGGCCGGAGCCGCTCCACGGCGTCCTGCACGGTGGGCAGCAGCGGCAGGCCGAGGTGCTCGCCGGTGCGGCCGGGCGTCACGCCGCCGACGACGTTGGTGCCCCAGGCGATGGACTCGGCGGCGTTGGCTGTGGCGAGCTTGCCCGTGAACCCCTGGAACATGACCCGGGTGTGCTTGCCTATCCGGAGGTTCTTGAGGGTCGAGGCGTAGTCTTGAGACGGGCCGGTGGCGGAGAAAGCTCGCCTTGGGAGCGTCGTGGGCTGGCTGGTGCCGCTGAGACGCGGCAGGGACCGGGGGCTGCGGCAGGGCCGGAGCGGTAGGCTCGGCCGGGGCAACATGGTGTATGAGCTGTGCCCGGCCGGCTTCTAATTTGAAACGGCGGCTGGGATGGGTTGAGACCACTTGAAGAACTCCGATACAAGGTACAGGTTTCCGAGTCCAGATTACTATGACCGGGTCAATGCAGATACACAGACCGGACAACGAGGTGCAATCAGGCTGCGCAAAAAAATCCGGGATAAATTAGGGGATAGTAGAAGATAGGAGCACAGTAAATACAGTCAGACCACTCTTGACCGAAATCACACGAGGAGCAGTGATGTACACAGTTGTGGACGGGCCGAGGGAGGAAGAGAACCCCAGTCCGGGATTTCGTGTTAGTGCGGGTTGCGGGGTAGAGAGACGGCGGCTTCGGAGCCCCGTTGTAGAACCACGGCTTGGTGAGATGGGATGTAAGACAGAGACACTCGCTCGGGGGTTATTTCGAATAATTGCCGGCACTGCAGGGCAGAGAATTGGTCAGAAGAAGAGATGCACGCTGATTAGATGCGAATAGTACAGTCTAATATACAGAAGGCCGCTTTCAGGACGGCGCCCGATGCCACTTTTTCACCCACAGCCTCGGGTATTCATGTGATTGTCATACACATGCTGCCTCTTCCACTCCGCTACCATCTTAACTCGCCTTTTACGCCTTGTTCTTCTGGTTGTGTTTTTGGTATGGCTGGTTCCTGGAAGCCGAGATTCTTGAACTCATCTCTGGCCATGAGATTTCTTTGAAGAGTGGCATGATCAGTAAACCGGGGTGCATCGTCAGTAGCAGAGTCTCAGACTCACTTGTCCATTCGACATGCCAGATATGCCTTGGCAAATTCGCGGCACTCATTTTCGTTGACACCTCTGACTTTCTTCATGCACTGGAGGTAGTCCTTCATGACATGCTTGCATTCCCCTGTAAGAAGGCTGCGGTCAGCGATGGTCTTGAAGCGAGCGAGCTGTCCATGCTAGGGCAGACAGCTATGAACTTACCATCGTGATCTAAAGGAAAGCTACCCCTTTGAGGACTGTAGTAGGTTTTCTACATTAGCTGCGAAGTTAGGATCAATTTATGTTGGAGCTTACGGAATGGGCTTTTGAGCGACGACACCAACACCGCCAGGGGAACTCATTTTTCTTTGATAGTCTAGAGGGTCAGCCAATGATACTGTGTTTTGCATAACAGAAGGATAAAACCAGTACTGGGGGCTAATAAGACTGTTCTGATATACGCTTGCCTGGATGTAAGGAGGCTGACTTACATGCAACTCAAAGGCCAATATTTCAGGGCACTGTGATCGACCCGGACTTTCGTTTCGGCAAGCAACTCGATGAACCGTGGCACGGCCAATTGCTGTGTCTCTCTCTCGAAGCGATATGTGTATGGCAGTATGTCTGGCCCAAATGACTTTCTAGCCTGGGTGGAATAGAGTCAATCGTTCACCTGGTCACTGGCTGTCTCTTTTTGCCGATCATGAGGCTGCTGTCAGTTGAGACGGGTGTCTGGAAAGATCAGGCCAGTAAGAAATCGGCGTTATCTAACATGTGAGTGCGGATGCGATAACACGGGCTCCATGGAACCACGACTGGCACTACTGCAACGCAAGCTAAGCCCTTCCGGGCGGGTGTGTGGCTTGCCAGGCACAAATTCAGCTGCTAGCCTGCCGCCGCACCGAAGGGCCTCGGGACGTGGGTGTCGCCTGAGGCAACAAGAACGATGACAACACAGCAGGCCAACTAACAGCCGGCTCTGAATTGCTGACGTCGCTCCACTGGTTTTTGTGGCGGCTGCTCGCTCCTGTGGCTGCTGCCCACCCGGTTCCTGAGCGAACCCACCGCCCTACCCACGTAACTACCCAAGCACGCAGCAGACGCATAAACCTTCAATTTCCAAGGTAACCATACGCGGTTTTGACGAGTCTCAGCGTCTGACGGCCTGCAGTCCAAACCCTCCACCACCCCGGTATCGACAAACAACTGGGGATTCCCTCCCCCACCGGCATGAACTGACTGCCCTGTACTTCATATTCTCCCTATTCCGCGACTGTATTCTATTCTGGTCCCCTATTCCTTGCGCTCCTGTATTGAGATCCCGGCTCGGGGCCCACCCAGAAAAGGACTCCCTCTCGCCGGAGCCATCCCTTCGAACCTCGCTCCTCTGTTGTTGACAAACTCCTTGGGATCCGTGGCAGGACTCTCTCTTCTTTTCTGAAAGAGCCTCGCCGTCGACTTGCCAAAACGAACCGAGCGTTCCTTGTACAACACACGCCCACATCGTCCCGGCGCAGCGGAGATCGCGTTTCGCTCCAGCGTTCAAGATGGCAGCTCTTGGCGATGACCTGCTCGCCACTGTCAACAAGTTGCAAGACTTGGTCTTCAACACCATCGGCAATGACTCCCTCGACTTGCCGCAGATTGTACGCTCTCAGCTCTTGCGCCCTTCTAGCCTGTGCGGCCGGACCGTCACTAACTGAGAAATTTACTTGCAGGTCGTCGTGGGCTCTCAGTCAGCCGGTAAATCGTCGGTTCTCGAGAACATCGTGGGCAGAGACTTCCTGCCCCGTGGCAGTGGTATTGTGACTCGAAGGCCTCTCATCCTGCAACTGATCAACGTCGACGAGGATGAGAATGATATGGAACCGGTGCCCATTGGCGGTTACCAGAACCCCGGTGCTGCTCGTCGTTCGGAATGGGCCGAGTTCCACCATATCTCCAACCGCCGCTTCACAGACTTTGGAGACGTCAAGCGCGAGATCGAAAACGAGACTTCCAGGATAGCAGGAAACAACAAGGGCATCAACAGGCAGCCCATCAACCTCAAGATCTACTCGCCCTATGTTCTCAACCTCACCCTGGTTGATCTCCCTGGTCTGACCAAGGTACGTGCTGCGCAAAACTCGTGACACAATCAATTTTAGCTGGTTCTGACACATCCTCGCAGGTGCCGATCGGAGACCAACCGACAGATATCGAGAAGCAAACGAGAAATCTCATTTCCGAGTACATCGCGAAGCCCAACAGTATCATTCTCGCCGTCTCTCCAGCCAACGTCGATATCGTGAATTCAGAGGCTCTCAAGCTTGCTCGGCATGTCGATCCTTTGGGACGGAGGACTATCGGTGTCCTGACCAAAGTCGATTTGATGGACCACGGCACAAATGCTCTTGACATTCTCTCTGGGCGTGTCTACCCACTCAAGCTTGGGTGGATCGGCGTGGTGAATCGGTCGCAGCAAGACATCCAGGGCAACAAGCCTATGGACGAGGCCCTGAAATCAGAAGCCGAGTTCTTCAGACATCACCCTGCTTACAGGAATATCGCGATACGCTGCGGAACCCAGTATCTCGCCAAGACCCTCAACACGACCCTCATGGCACACATCAGGGATAGACTGCCCGACATCAAGGCTCGACTCAACACGCTTATGGGGCAGACCCAGCAAGAACTGGCGAGCTACGGCGACATGCACTTCAGCGGCAAGGAGCACCGCGGCTCCTTGATCCTACAGCTGATGACCCGGTTCGCAACATCCTTCATCTCCTCGATCGACGGTACATCGACCGAAATCTCCACCAAAGAGCTGTGCGGTGGCGCGCGCATTTACTATATCTTTAACTCGGTGTTCGGCATGTCGCTCGAGTCTATCGATCCCACCTCCAACCTCTCCGCCCTCGACATCCGGACGGCCATCCGAAACTCCACAGGCCCTCGCCCTAGCCTCTTCGTCCCCGAGATGGCATTCGACCTCCTCGTCAAACCACAAATCAAGCTCCTCGAGATTCCCAGCCAGCGCTGTGTCGAGTTGGTCTACGAGGAGCTGATTAAGATTTGCCACACATGCGGGTCAACCGAGCTGTCACGCTTCCCTCGACTGCAAGCCAAGTTGATCGAGGTCGTCTCAGATCTCCTCCGTGAGAGGCTAGGCCCCGCCTCCACCTACGTAGAGTCGTTAATCTCCATTCAGAGGGCTTATATCAATACGAATCACCCCAACTTCTTGGGAGCGGCTGCCGCCATGAGCCATGTCGTTAATGAGAAGCAGGAGAGGGAGAGGAAAAAGTTCATCATGGAGGAGCGCGAGCGCCGGGAACGGCGCCGCCTTAAGGAGCTCGGAGCCAATGGCACCGAGACACCCGAGGAGGAGGATGAGACTACGGCAGCGGAGAAGGCGGCTAATGCGGCCATGCGCAAGCCTACCAAAGGTGCTAGGAGCTCCTCGACTGTGCGCGAGAATGGCACTTCCAGCATAGCTACGGCACTCAACGGCAACCGTTCAGCGTCTCCCGCTGGTCTGGGCCCTCATTCCGTCAACTCGGCCAAGGATTCATTCCTGAACTACTTTTTCGGCAAAGATGGCGCTCCCGCCGCCATGCCGCCGCACAATGCCAACATTGGCAGGCATGTGAGCCAGACTTCAGAACCCTCCTTCAGCCAGAGCATTCGGAGGCCAGAGGAGAAGGCTCTCCGGTCACCTGTCCAAACCATCCGAGAGATGGATGACTATCCTATCAGGGGATCTGGTGATACTTTTGCGGCACAATTTGTACGTCTTTCCCCACCCTCCTATCCGTTTTGTACATCATTGCTGACAACTTGGCTACAGGGCGCGACTGGCGAGCCTGCGCTAACCGATCGTGAAGCGATGGAGACGGAGCTCATCCGCGCTCTCATTTCATCCTACTTCAACATTGTGCGCGAGTCTATCGCCGACCAGGTGCCCAAGGCTGTCATGCACCTGCTCGTCAACCACTGCAAAGATGTGGTCCAGAACCGCCTCGTCAGCGAGCTCTACAAGGAGTCTCTGTTCGAGGAACTTTTGTACGAAGACGACGGCGTCAAGAAGGAGCGCGAGAAGTGCGAGAAGTTGCTCGAGACGTACCGCGAGGCGGCCAAGATCATTGGCGAGGTTGTATAGATGCGGCGTGTTGGTTTAAGACTGTAGGATGTTCTGCCGGGTTGCTCCTCGGACTTTTCCGTATTATCTACCTGCCCTACTCTGTTCATTTCCCGGGGTTGTGTGTATGTAATGCTGTATGGGAAGGCTGAGATTACTAGAACGCTCCTCTGCTTCTTTATATTACTGTGTAACCTCTACTCTTTTGAAAGCCTGGACGAGGACCGGTCGGAGATATGGTACTGTCTTCAAGAGGAGGCACGCACTGGGACTAGCATGGGAGGATACACAGAGTGTCGGAATGCCCTCGTTGTTCTCGGCTCTTGATCTTACATTAAAAGAACACGAATAATAAAACCACTTTAAGAACTTGTATGTGTGGAGTGGCCCATGTATCTCCTCTGAGTAGTTAAGGACTTAGAAATGAGATCACTGCCAGCCCAGCACTTGAGGCAATGCTACTGAAATATACTTACTGCCATGGCACACTTGGGGAAGAATTTGATGGAATTTCTGTGTCAGTGGCCTACAGTGGCTCCTTCCGCTGCAGTAGAGTGAGCACAGCTCTTATCTAATCACAACCACAAAAGTTTAGCCTCAAGTCCACCACGCGCATCTAGCGGAATTCCAACACTCAGCCTTGTCGCTCACCATCACCTCTGGACAAGCCTTCTCACGCGCTCGAGGACACGACCAAGCAAGCGATGCAATGCGTCCGCCAAAGAAGATACTTTTGATACCGTCAATTGTTCCTAGGCTTCTCCTACGCAACTGAAAGCACACGGATCCCACCCACGACCTACAACAAGCACCACATATGCCTAGCTCCGAGGTTCATGTCGTGAACTCGTGAGCCTTATCATCGAGGAAACTTGCAAGGCATTATTTTTCTTGAGATAGGAAAGGCAGCTCCGTCATGCATGTCGCATGACATGTACACAGCCATCTTCTCTGGTCTTGTCGGCTCTCAACCACTCAACTGACAAGTGTTGATTGTGTTTGATTGCATCTTTTCCATCTCCCACTTGTTGCTTGTGGTGACACTGGCAGCTTCTTTCTTTTACAATCCTCGGCTGTTGCACTATCTTGTCGCAACTTACCTACAGTCTGATGGACCAGGGTGCTTCCTCTCAAGGGCGTGATGCAATATCACAAGCTGAAGATGCGGCGGTCGTGACTGACAAGCTAGGAGACGACCATGATTCGATATACTCTTCTGCCGACTCCGAACCCGCATATCAGCGCCCTGAAAGTACCCACTCGACCTCCGATATATCCATGTTAGCCGACACAGATGACGAGGACGGCTATGAGGCATTACAAGCTGGCGTACCCGCAGGTGCCAACGCTTCTACCATTGACGCCTCATTGTCTACCAACGGCGGGCTTCTCGGAAAACGCAAGTCACCAGATGAAAGTGTGGAAGGTTCAGAGAACACTGCAGGGTCTAGAACAGACCACAACAAGAAGGTGAAAATACATCACAATGTGGCCGATGAGGTTGAGACTTCTGACAAGTCTCAACTTCCGGCTGAGATCTGGCACCATATTTTTACTTTCTGCCCCCCTAGATCTCTAGGGCGCTTGTTGCTCGTCAACAAGCTCTTTCACTCCTATCTTGATCCCTCATCTCCACCACATGCCAACTCTTCCACAAGTGCTCCTTCCGGTACACTCTCACCTCTCGGTGCAAATGCGATCTGGCAAGCTTCAAGGAGGCTTTTCTGGCCCAATATGCCGGCACCTTTGCTTGGGAAAACCGAGCTAGAGATGTGGCGATTGGCCTGCTCTCCTTGTTGTCTTCATTGTGGCAAGCACAGTGCTCGAAACAATGATGGGAGTGGGAATGACCAGCTGCCTGGCCCTGGAGCCAATGGTGTCTCGATCATATGGCCATTTGCAACACGAGCTTGCGGCGAGTGTCTAAGGAGTAAATCAATGAAGGTTGGTAATCAGATATTCCAATGCGTCTGAATGAGGGTGTCTGACTCTCCTTAGGAACTCGATATACTACTCTCTTCGTCAATCCCCTCTGATCTCCTCTCAGGACTTCCTGTGGTCTTCGTGACCGAGAGTATGGATGCATTCTCGGCGCGAGCCCTTGAGAATGACAGGATATCAGTCAACACCAAGGTCACCAAGCGCTTTTGGGCAGACGATGTAGAAAGTCTGAAGCAGGAATTTCTTGAAGTCAGAGCTCTCGGGGCAGCTGCCGCAGAAGAATGGCTCAAAGGCCTAGAGGGACGTGGCTCCCAACAGCGCAATGATTGTTTGCGATGGGAGAAATTCGCAGAATCTCCCTCAATGTCGCAGATGCAGACAATGCTACATCCAGGCTACATTTCCCAGAGGTTCCCGAGCCTGCCGCCGTCTACGAAGAAGCCGTCTAAGGGGCATCTCGCTGGAAATGGTAAGTGTCTGTTGCAATGCCATTAATACCTACGGATCAAACTTACAAGTTACTCCAGAGGCCCAACCCGAAGTGGCGTCTAGCAACCAGCCACACCCACTCCCTCCTCCGCCTCATCGTCCAGAGCGGACCATAGGAGAAGTTGCGGAACTCAAAGCAGCGCGTAAGGCCGAGATAGAACGACGTGCTGCTCTTCTTAACCCCCCTATCAAGCCATCTGTGCTGGTGCATATTCCTTCATTTCAAGCAGCGATTCAACTGATCACTCCCTTGGATGATAATGCATGGGAAGTACTGAGGCCACGCCTTCTCGCACAGCGAGCCGATGCGGAACTGCGTGAGCAGAAGCAAGCAGCGCAAAGTCGCACAAATGAGAGTGCTGAGCAACAGCGCGGCCGCGAGGAAATTCTCAAAGAAAAAGAGATCCTTGACAAAGACTGGGAGGTTGTGCAAGAACCCCTCCGTCGGCGCATTGCCCTCCTTGCGGATGAAGTCATTCGCGACGCCTGGGGCGGAGGCGAAAAGGTCACCAAAGAAAACAGCCCCAAGTTTGCTGTCGACGTCTTGCTCTATGTGCGACGCAACTTCTACGCGGAAGTCGCTAAAGAAGCGGCAGCTGCACGAGCGGCCGGGAATGAGCCTGCGACCGACCCAATCCAGGGACCCTTCACTCAAAAGCTGACATTGGAGAATATGAAATGGATTTTCGATACCAAGATCAGACCCCGCACGGAGAGTTACAGGAAAGAGCTGTTCCTGTGCAACGGATGCGAAAACAACCCCAAGTTTTATGGATTTGAAGGCGTCTTACAACATTACGCTGCCAAGCATACCACAGCTCTAAGCTCTGGTAACATTGTGGTTCATTGGCGAGCCGAATGGCCGGAGCATTCGCCCTTCTCCACGGATCCCCAAAATTCGAACCGGAAGCAGTACCTACAACAACAGCCACCAGCCTTTGCCGCTCCTCACCTGGGCTCACAGCAGCCGTACACGCAAACAGCCTATCAGCCAGGCATACCGCCGGCTGGGCCACCCGCGCAGCCTTTTCCGGGAGGCTCAGTGCAGTTCTCGGCACCACCCTATACTGATTCATATGCTCCACAGCCGTATCATCCTCAGGGCAGCTACCAACTACCCGCAACAGGGTACACGCCATCACCCTTCCCGAGTCAGGAAGCCCCTTATCCATATCAACCCCCTTATCAACACGCTGCTCCTGATGCCTCGCACCCGTATGCTCCGGCTTCTTCAAACGGGATGCCAGTGGTTCACCCGCAAGCTTCTCAGTACAGCTACGATCCATACCAGACACATCCGCAAATAGATCCCAGAGTGTCCCAGGGCGGACACTATGCTGACCAGTACCGGTTCCGGCTGGATGCTATGGCTCGAGATGCCAGAGAACTCTGGACAACAACTTCGCAAATCAAGGACATGTCAGGGAGCGTCAGGGTTCACATTGTGATACACCATCTCTCGAAACGCTTCAGGAGCAAATTCAACGAGGCCCCTCCATTGGCGATGTTTATAGACGGGCTGTCAAACAACAAGGACATGCGGCCTGTTCGAAATGTGAACGAGCTGAAGTGCAAAGTCTGCCACTTGGGTTTAGGAAACAGCTATGCGACTGAGCAGGACAAGCGCTCCTTTTCCCTGCCTCAGCTCGTGAATCATTTTCAGGCCAAGCATGTTGATGTCCTCACGGACGCGCCTGCTTATAGCCCAGTGCTCGATTGGACTGTGGACATGGTTCTCCTTCCTGACGCCCAGGCCCTTCAGCGAGTCATTCGGTCTACAGGGACTGATTCTCAAAAGTCTTACCTTGTCAGCGAGGCTTTGTCTCATCTTCTTGGATATCCTCAAACTGCAGCTGCGTGGCCTACTCTGCAAGAAGCCGGCGATACGCAGATGCCTTCTGTCGATAACCATGACCGGTACTATACGTCTACGTCACATCCACCGACTATGGACTATAGTAGTCAAGACCAGTCATTGCAGCCTGGCATCGGCTATGAGCCGGCGGCTTCCCAATCCCATGTGCCGTCGTATCCTTATGCACAAGCACAAGCAACTGACTTTGGCAGTATCATGGAGCCCGCCCCGGCATTGCAGCATCAGGGTTCCGTGCAACCCTTGGGCCAAGCTGTAAATATGGGAAAGCACGGGGATAGTGGCCGGACATCGACGCAGTCTCGAAATCCCAACACCCAACATGGACGTCAGGGGGGCTCCAAGAAGAGCAAGAAGAACCGCAAGAAGCAACGCAATGGATCCGAGGAGGCCGAACTTGCACGCCGGAAAGAAATTGAAGAGCAGGAGGAAAAGAAGGCCGAGGAGGAGGAACGTCGCCAAGAGGAAGAGATACGTGCCATGTGGGCGGCCGATAGAGCCCAGGCTGCTCGCGCACAGCCGCCGGCTGCTGCTCCTCCTCCGCCGAAAGTGCCCGAGGACGTTCCCATTTACACTCCGACCTTTACATCCAACACCACGAGTAGGTCTAAGACCCCGTCAGTGGTGGCCTCAAAGCCACGGTCGCCCCAGGTTCGTCCCGAACCAAGACCTGCTCGTAGGCAAGAGTATATCCCCGCCCAAGATGAATCGGATCTGCTCGGAGCTTTGCAGATGCATCTTGACGAAGAGCCCCCACGACAAGTTCGAGAGATCCAGCACCATCGCCCGTCCAATGTCATCTACATTGACGATATAGAGGAACTTCCCGGTCCACATGAGCGCCGCCAAAGTCCTGAGATGCCCATTCGTTATGTCGATGAGCACCCAGCTGCTCCTCGCGGGCGTTCCCCATCTCCGGTCTACATTAGGTATGCTCGACAGCCACCCTTAGAGAGTTACGAGGAACGCAGTCCTGGTCCACCCCTCGAGCCATTCTATCGCATCAGAGAGCCGGCACCAGTCCAGGAGGGCCTCCACTACGAGCGTCGGGCACCCCCACAAGAGTACTACCGCGTATACGCTGATGAAGTCCGGCCGCGGCCGGTTGAATACGAGGCGTACGAGCTTGTCCAGGTCCGGCATCCGGACGGTGACTACGTTGTGCGCCGGCTAGTCCGTACTATCGTTCCAGAGCCCGAGCCCGAGTTCGACCGCGTCCCCGCTAGGTACTACGCTCGGTATGAAGACGAGGTCGAGGCTCCGAGACCACTTGTGCGGAGGGAGATGTCGGCGTACCCGCCGCACCACCGCTATGAACAGCAGGTCGTGTACGCGAGGGAGCCTGGTGGTGGTGGCGGCGGTGGTGGCCCTCATCAGCCGCCTGTCGTGTACGAGACTCGCCCGCCGGCGGCCCCTCCTCGCGCGGACCAGATCTCTAGGGCGGATCCTGAGTACTACGAGGAGTACGACCCGCATTTCCCGGCTGCGCAGCAGACGCAGACGCAGACCCACGCTGCCGGGTCGGTGGTCCGCCGGCAGGTGCGGTATGAGTGAGCTGGGCTTTCTTCTTCTGCGAGGACGCATGAATTTTTTTGTTATTCTGTATTATGTTGTATGATTGGTTTGTGGTGGAGAGTCGATGTATGACAACATTCTATGTACTAGGCAGACCAACGAGCTGTCCCCGAGTGTGCTTTCAACGCAAGAACGAAGCATTTTACCTTCCGGCTACCTTTCGTGTTTCTGTTGTTCCGCACATGTGCATCAAATCCCTCCCACACCTTCAACAACACCCTGCAGCCATACTGCACTTGCAAATTACCCATGTTCGCTTCTGTGATTGGCTGCCTCATTGCGGTCTACACCCTATCACATTTTCAGATTGCATGCGTGGCCAAGGCATTGTCGCTTCCGCGATTGAACGCCTCGCTGCGGCCTACACCCTATGCATACACCCTATTCTGCAAGTACCCTGACATCAAAGGATACCTTGGCGAAGCTTCATAGCGAGTCAGATAACAACAGACGAACTCATATTCCCCCAATGTCCTCCTCCCCATGTTTCTGTGCTTGTGTAATCAAACCCCAGCAAACAGCCACAGCCCTCCAACGATCATCAGACAGCACACCACCACGAGTAGACCGCCACAAGTACTCCAAGATGGCACAGTACCCTTCCGAGTTCCTCAACCTTGGACAGAGCCCGGCAGACCCCAGTCAGGTTGAATTCGGCGACTTGTCGTTCTTCACAGACAGCCACGTCACCACGGGCATGAGCGCCAATGAGGCCTTTCTCAAACCCTGGCCTTTCGCCTTCGATACCACCTTCTTCAACTCACAACTGGCTCAACAGCGTCCCGGGCTTGGGGTGGTCTCGCCCAACGCCAATGCCTGGATGGCTGTCAGCGGGACAGGCGGTCCCATCTTCGGTGACGCACCCGTCATGTCTCTCGGGACCCCTGCTGGGGAGCCTGTTGAGCCATCGACGATCTCGGCTACACCAGCCACTGCGCTGCGAACCACGCCCGGTTCGCATGACGCGGTAGGTTTTTTTTTTTTTTGCTCTTGCTAAAGTTGCTGCCTGGGGTAGCCCCGCAACGAAGGTTTCCATCTTGCTCGCAGGGCTGTTGGCTACCCTACCTATCGTTGCGCATGCGGTGCAACCTTCGCACGTCTCGACGCGCTCAATCGACACCGCAATCGCACACCCAAATTTGAGTGCCCAGAATGCAAGAACCACGATGGTGCAAAGGCGTTCAAGCGCCGGGACCATCTGATGCAGCACCTCCGCACCTATCATCGCCTCGACAACAAGGGCATGGCTCGTCACATCATTCGCCAGAGACGTCACTAACTGACAGCCTTGTCTGGACAGTTTTGGAACAGTTGGTGGAGCTTGGGTGAGCAAGCTGGGCTTTTCATAGGGTTCTGCGATTTGATGAAATCTTGGTGGGAGACTTATACGGCTCAACGGATGGGTCAATACTCTCTCTCTCACAGTTAGAGAGTGGCACTTTTTAGTTTGAATAGTGAAACAATCCATTCATTAAGATGTGGCAGACAAGGTCTGACAGAAAAGCCTGCAACTTCTTTCGTGTTGTTTACAACCAAGGCTCAAGAGTTCGCTAACTTCCTGTACTTGATGTACAAGCCCTAAACTTCTAAAGGCAAAGCATCTGCAGTTCTCCCAACCTGCCATCACAATCCCTCATCAGCTCGGTACCCAACTATCAGCGAGTTAGATCAGTATGAGGAGAAAGTATGACCTAGACCTGAGAGTGACAGTTCTTGTTTGTGTGTGAAAGTAGCATAGCATTGTGGGACTCTGTACCTCCGTCCCGTAAGTGTACTCCGTAACACTTTTCATCGAGATTTAAGAACCCTTGGCTTTCTGTCAAGGCGGATACTGTCGGGCAAATACCAACTTGTCAACAATGTGAATCTATATACTATCTTGATGTAGCTAAACTAGAAGCGATGTAGAAACATTTGACTCTCAATACTAAATCGTCGAGGTTGTCTCCAGAGTTGCGGAGTACTGTTCCAGCTTTGCAATACGAGCTGGGAAACATCACCCCTGGACACCAGCGAACGAGAATGTCATACGGCTACAGTGTGCTCCTCGACCAATCCAGACGCCGAAGAGCATTGACAGATCTTGCAGACGTCCCTGTCAGCCCCTAGCGTGTTTCGCCAAGCTGAAACACGCAGGCCATCACGGCGAGTGATTGGCAGGTCACAGAGGTTCAGGCGGGGTTGCACCCACCGCCACGATTGGAGCCTGTTGATCTGAACTCCCTTCCTGCACAGCATTCAAAGCACCTTCGTTTGCCCCTTTCCAGTCGTGTGGATTCGCCCGCTTTCTCAACGCCACTGCAGCCCCCAGACCAGGGGCATCAGAGCATCGTGATCAACGAGCCGGGCGGCCTGTTCAAATGCAGGGGCTCTGGCTGGTTGGTGCCCCTTATTGCACTACGTACGGTCAGCTAAGTGGGCTCCTCCGTGGCCATACAGGTGAGCATGTAAGTAGCTACGCTACATAAGGTGTTGACGTGCCATCGTGCCCGTCACCAGCCTTGTCGTCTCTTCCCTCATTTTGAATATCTAGTCTCTCTTTTCCCTGTCTGTCTCTCTCTGCTTGGTCGCTCCTTTTTTCACCTTGCTCATTTCTATCACAATCTGCCCGGGCGGCTATTGCGTTCTTTCTTGTGTGCCATTCATCAGTGTGTTGCAGCCTTTTTTGCACGCACAAAGGACCTGTCCAGAGCCTTCATCACTTGCTCCAAAGGTTACCATCACCGCCTCAGCCATTCAACCAAGACTCGTTGTACGAGTCACCTCTTTTCCAAAGCATTATAAAGCTCCTCTCCAAGACGCCTCAGTCATATCTTCGCTTCTCTGCTCGCTCCCGTTGAAACAGAAGAACCCCCCTCAAGAATTCAAACCTCAACTCTCACCGTCAACCCATCGCAACAAACAAAAATGCTCTTTCATACGCTCGCTCCTCTCGCCCTCCTCCTCCTCTCGGGAGGCAGCCTCGCAGCCGCCGCGCCCGCCGCCTCACCTGCCGCCGGCGGCAGCAGCCCCGCCGCCAAGATCATCGAGCAGATCATGCCCAAGTCGGCCTCGTGCGACGGCGCGCCCGCCGCCGGCGGCGGCGCCGACTGCCGCACCGCCGCCCAGGCCGCCGACTTCTTCGTCGCCGGCTTCCAGCGCTGGTCCGTCTACGCGCCCGCCCAGATCGCCGCCGTCCTCGCCGTCTCGGCCCTCGAGTCCGACGAGCTCAGGTACAAGCACAACGTCAGCCCCGGCCGCCCCGGACAGGGCACCTCCAACATGCAGATGATCCACTACAACCTGCTCTACGCCCGCGCCGTGCCGGAGCTCCGGCCCAAGGCCGACGCCATCGCCGGCGGAGCCGCCGCCGCGGGCGAGAGCCTGCCCGCCGACAAGGCCGACGCCGTGCTCGCGCTCGTCACGCCCGACGAGTACAACTTCGCCTCGGGCGCCTGGTTCCTCGCGACGCAGTGCTCCGCCGACGTCCGGAGCCAGCTGGCCACCGGGTCCGACGCCGGCTGGGCCGCCTACATGGGCTGCATCGGCGTGCCGGCCGACGACCCGGCCCGCGTCAAGTACTGGACCGCGGCCAAGGCGGCCTTCAACATTTCCTGAATCTGGTCCATCCCGAGCCGCAAACGACAAGACTTTGGTTTAGGCGGCGGCGAGAACGGGGGGTGGGGGACGAGGGACAAGGCGTGTTGTGATGAGGTATGAATGACGTTCACTTCTTGATTTGTGATGGATATGGACCTTTTTTTTTGACAACAGTCTCTCTTGAGACAGATATTTGTTACGAGAGTCATTTCGATAGCATGTTAGGGCGTTAGTGAGACAATACCATGGGTTGCATCCTGATCGACGAAGGAAGATCTTTTGACTCCCCCGCACAAATTGAACACTGAAGTGGCCCGGGACAAGTCTAGCAAATGTGTTATTCATTGAGAAGGGTTATTTGGTTTCGTCTCTCAAACCTGCCGAAATCACCGTATCGCAGTAGTAGTACACATGTTCTCTCGACGTTCCCGACCATTCCCAAAATTCAAAAACTTCCTGTCTAGACTTGCCAACGTAATTTGCTCCTAGTAAAGCCATCAAATGAGTTGCCACCCAGAGAGCGCCCCAGCCTCTTTCAACATCTCTCATTATCATGGAATGCACCGACCAGGCCAATGCCTCCCTGTATTTCACATCCCGTTCCCACTGGGCCCCGTGCTGGGACCTGACCCAGAGCCGTTTGCGCTTGGCGGTGTGTATGCGAATCCGCTTCCGCTGTCTGTGGAACCCGGGGCCTGGGTTAGGTCCGTGTTACCAGAGAAGAACTGGAACGACTGATCGGTGCCGAAATTGCCCGACTGTGCATAGTTTTGTAGAGTATCCTGGGACAAGATATGTTAGCTTCTATACATGTCTCTGAACACGGGGCCGGAACATACCCAGTCGAAATTCTGCGTAAAGTCCATGCCATCGTTCATATTGTTGAACATCGAGAAAGGCGAGCCTGGGTTGTTCATGCCAGACATCAAGTCGCCCTGGAAGTCTGGCGTCATGCCGGTGCCAGTTCCCTCCATCGCTGGTCCGAGAGCCGGGTCGATGGCAGGATATGACGTTCCTCCTGGGCTCTGAACAGTACCAAACAGCGCGGCCGTATTTGGCGTCAGAGCACCCTGCGCCATGCCCAAAGCAGCTGCTGCATTCTGATCCGGCACCTCACGCATACCTCCGAGACCACCAAACATGTCATCCCTCATGGGGACGTTCGGTTGTTCCTGCGCGTTCTCGGGGCTAGTGGATTTGGCCTGGATCTTCTCCAGGACGATTTTGAGGATGTTGTACGCCTTGAAGGCTTCGATCGAGCCATCACGCAGACCCTCCCATATGTCACGTGTAGACTCGAGGCAACTGACCATCTCCTCACGCTGTTCCGGTGTCCAGAAGTACAGGACCTGAGAGTCCTGGCGCCCTCCCTTCTTCTCGGCCACATTGTGGAAATGCAGTTCGAGAGAGACAATCATGGCCGGCAAAAGGAAGTCCTTCGTGGCGATAGAAGTCACGTACCACTTGATCGATCGCAACCGTCCATTGCCTTGGGACTCTTTATGAAGCGTATTCAGATGTCGCAACATCTCCAGAGAAGCCTCGATAGACCTCCGGCGTGAATGGGCGTATCGGGGGTTCTGCTGAGCGCGCGTCATGTATTTCCTGTGAAGCAGACAGAGAATCTTCTGGTACAGAATGTCGATGTTATACCGAGCAATGATGAGAGTCAGCGGGTCGTTTGAGCTGTCAGGCTGATGCAACTTCAAATGGGGAGGCATCTCAGCCTCGAGTTCTGAGAGTCTGCTGTCGAACCGCAAAATCTCGTCGTAATGTACCTGATTCCTAACACGGCTTGTAGCCTGGAGAATGTTGCCTAGCTCCAGACAAAGCCTGACCTTGGCAATCATGTATCCGATAGGTGTAGGTTCCGAGTTCGGCCGGGATTTCGGCAACACCTTGGTGTCTGGCCCGAATTCTTCATCGAAAATATTGTGCGGGAGCTCGGTGTCGCAGTCATGATCATATATCATGTTTGGCAAAGACACTTGATGAGAGAATATCACATCGCTCATTCGTACCAGAGCCCATGTTCTCCTCCTCATTTCCTGCAAAACCTGTCAGAAATTATTGCAAGGAAGGGTTCAAGAGAAACACTTACAGCCTGGAAAGGCGTCAAAGAAGGGAACCATTTCGCATCTCTGTGGTACCCCATTCTGAACGCTACTCTCGTGATAAGGGAGCAGATCAGCCAGAGGCCGAGATCGGCATCCCACCGCGAGGAATACTCGCCAAAGGTATAAAGCAGCATCGTCTCGACAGTATACTCAACAGGCTTGGTGTAATCAGCCGCGGTAAGACATTGTACTGTCCTGAGCCGGTACAGTGCCGCCAGCTCGAGGGATCGCCCCTTCCACTCTGGGGGCTCATCTCCGACCTTGTGATAACTGAGCATCGCCAAACACAGGACCGAGTAAAGCAGTCCAAGCCACATGATCGGTGTTTTGGAAGGATCTTGCCAATGTTTGCGAAGCTGTGAGTGGAAGGTCGGGGCGTGAATGATATTGACGGCGTTATCCATCGAGTTGAAATACCGCCCACAGAGAGTAAGAACACTGGATTTTGGAGGGAGCTCTGCTCTGAGCTCAACCTCTGTGGCAGGAGTTGATCCGATGAGGAAGGTTGGAGCTTCCCGAGCCGTTGCTGGTTTACTCCGAAGTACCTTCTCATAGCTCGACTCCAGGTCTTTCTTGTGGTTGATAAAGTATTGTCTCACTTCAGCAATATCGGCGAGGATGGTGTGCCAATGCTCCTGCCCGATATACATGGACTTGCCTCGGTCGGCATCGACCTTAAGGACGCCCAGAGACCTCACGAGATCATCACTGTCGCTCTCGTCGTCGCCTTCGTCGTGCATTCCCCCGTCGTCGTCCTGATCCATCCTGGCCGACGATGTGCTATCGACCGTTGAAGCCGATACTGGGTCTGTACCAGAGGTTCCTACCGTGTTACTAGCAGAAGAGGAGGTATCGACCGTTGCGCCGCCGTGCATAAGGGACAGAACTAGCCCTTCCAAGCGGTCAATGCGGTTTTGCATGTCGTCAGGATTGGTGTTTGCTTGATTTTGGTTCTTTTTCCGAGATGCGGGTGTGGCATAAGAACATGATGAAGCGTCTGCGCCTTCACGTTTCACGCAGTTACTGCAAGGGTGACCTCTGTCACATTTCCTAGAAAAAAGTATGAGTAAAGACCAGCATACTCTCACCCCACAAGGGCCAGCTTACAATCTAAATCGATGGTTAGCAACGAGATCTTGAATGGTAGAAGGTGCGTCACGTACTTTCTGGTTCGGCAGGGATAGCAACTGAGTGGCACCCTGTTCCGCTTGCGCACTACTCTGAATTGCTCTTCAGGAGAGCGCACTCCTGTCGAGGAGTTGGTGGATGGTGGAGTTGGCGTCATATTGACAGGAATATTGGGATAGCTCGTGATTGAGTCCCTGTTGACCGAGGATGCGATTCGTTCGAATGGATATCCTAATCCCGATGTTTGCTCGGATTACGTCGTGTCTTGGAGAATGCCGAGGAGCGGGCTCTCACCGCCAACGTGCACTCGAGAGCTGTGATGACTTCTGCGTTCGAGGGCTATTGCAGCGCTGTACTCGTCCAGTGTGGGGAACTGAGAATGTCGGTGCACGCCTCCTATGCCTGGGTTCAAGCGCAAAGTGTCGCAAAAACCCAGTATTTGTCTCCTTCACACTACTGACAACACTTTCAACCCGGCCAAAACCCTCACGCCCTGTAGTATATGGGTGGATTGAGGGAAGCAACGGCGCCAAAAACGGTCGGCGGTAGCTGGTCCCGTATAGGTCAACGGCGGTAGTCGCGTCGAGGCTGCGGGCTCTTCGCCGAAGCCGAAGAACTCGGAATGCAGAGAGGTGCTCGTAAAACAAAGTCTGAGTAACGGTCAGCCTCTGCAATGGCAGACTCGGATAGTGAGTGGAATGGGAAAGAAATGCAGAAGACGGACGAGCGCAAGTGTTCATTTTTGAGCAAGACGTACGTACTAATTAGTTGGCCGGGGTGCGGGAGGATAAGCTGCCCGAGTCAAGCCAGTTCTCAAATGGAGGTTCTCTTCGCTGAACCACTGAGGTAGGTCGTCGTCGAAGGAACAAGAATGCGCTGCTGGCGAGAGAAAATGTAAGAAAGAGCGAGAATTTGGGCACAAATTTACAAAAACAATGTTTTTTTCTTTCAAAATTTCCCTTTCCCCTCCTAAGTAGACATGCGACGGAGGAGGAAGGAACAATTGGGTGTGCCAGAGGACGATGCGAGGATGGTGGAGTAACAGCGTGGTGGGGGGTGAGTATTGGGGTCAAGCAAAGCGCCGGAGTTAAGAAATTTAAGATTTCCAGGCTGTAGAGGAGCTCCCCGTAGTGGTCTAGGCGAGCGTCTAGTATTCTCGATGAAGAGACATGGAGAATTGTCCGAACTGGACCACGAGACCTACCAGAACCATGACATAAGGTACCCTATGATGCAAGCTGCCTACGGCCCTGTAGTTGACTGCTATCTGATCATCGAACGGGTCCTCGTTCCTTCGTACGCTTCAACCATGTTGCCATCTCAGGGAACACCGTCCCTGACTAAGCTGAGCTTTTTATCTTGTATCCCATCTTTCAGAGCAATTGCCACGAACCAGTTCACATATCAAGAGAGGCGTCTCTGTAAAACGCTGGGCATGCCGCATACCAATGCCAGCAGCAATCAGATCCGGGAACGAAGATGATCGGCATATGTCCATTTGGAGTCGAGACTTAGATTTAGGCAGCTAGTGCTGACGACAGGCGAGACGGGCAACGCCCATCCCTGCAGAGACCGCGACGCATGGGCTGATTAGTGTGTAGCTTAAACTCGACCGTCCAGTGGTGGTGGGTGCGGTTTCGGGCCCTCACCTTGATGCGTCTTGATGCGTGGGGTACAGTCAGCATCGACACTGCTAGTCATCGAATTAGTTGAAGTCTCACGGGCGGTGTCTGCTTAAACTGCTCTATGCAAGCCCCCGCTGTGTCTCATTAGTCTATCTTTGCTGTGACTCATCGGCCTGGAAAGGGGGTTGCTTCAATCGGCCGTGCATTTATGATCTTCTCCCCCAAAATCGAGACGATTTCGGTCCTGCCCGTTCAAACGAAACACGGCGACCAGTTGGATGATTTGTCAGCCCGCAAAAAGTCGAACTGGGGTTCCGACAGCCGGTCTGTGCTGGCCCGTCCGATCCTTGGCAGGGCTGCTAGTTGCCGGCTGCCAACCGCAGGCCCGGCGCTACGACGCCGGCAGCATCGCATGGTGTCGCTTTTCAATGAATAGCGGTCTGCCATATGTTGAAGTGTATCACAAGTCTCGACCTTGATCTCGGAGCTGTTGTAAGCATTAACCGCGGGACACTGAGTGGTAAGTCCCTATCGATTGTAAAGCAAGGTCAGAAAGAAGTATGGAGGTTGAACTGTTCCAACAGTTTTTGGCGACTTGATTATATACCCACTTACACCATATCACTCTCGTCTTGTCTTCGAGTTCTTCGTTATATAGGTGTCTGCCTCTCTGCTCTCTGCTGTTTGTCTGTCTGTCACAGGGCGGTGTTCAAGAAGTATGCCAATTCTGCGGTTCTGGTTGGTGCAGATCCACTGCCAGTCACAAACTGCCAGTACCTAGGTAGGTACTTGGACGAAAACCCGCCTATATTTAGCGTGATGGTCCCGGCCCCCAGACCCATGGGCCTTTTGCCAAGCTTTTCAGCCAACCACAACGTCAGACGTTACCACGAGTCCTCGTGGCTATGCGCGCAATCCTGGTAGACCCTGTATAACTGGCGAACACGCGACTATGAGACCGATAAGGCCCAGAGATGGTTCGAGGGGTGAGGGACATGGCAAAATTGTTGCCTCTCTCCTCCGCAGAAAATCTCGAGTGGACGAAGGCAAGAACACCAGTCGTCTCGGGTCTTGCTACATGATGCGCTGCTCCGTGAGGTGAATTGACAAGATTCGCAATGGCGACCGCAGCACAAGAGCCCGCAGCTGGACGGCAAACCGAGCGGCAGCAATTGCTGGGTGGCCGTCTGAGCAACGACGATGCCGGCGACGAGCAGCGGGAAAAGCTCCTCGCTGACGATGTTGAGCGCGGCAGCAGCGAGGATGGACAGCGCCGGCCACGATCAAAGCCAAGTAGGCCCTGGCCGGCAGCCTTCTTCGTCGCGATCTCTTTTCTGGGCTTGTTCACTCTGTTAGCACTTGTCAAGCTCTCGCTCTTTCATACACCGAGGACGGCCAAGACGGAGCCTCAAGTCGCAACGACCTTCACGCGGCGGCCGGGCTCCGAATACGTATTGACATCAGACTGGGACTTTAATGCCGCGCCGACTGTCCGCGAGTACCACTGGGTCGTCAGCGACATGGAGGGCAATCCAGATGGCGTGTTCCGTCCTATGATCATCATCAACGGCCAGTTTCCAGGAGAGATGATCCGGTGCAACCGTGGCGACACCATCGTAGTCAATGTCGAGAACCGTGCTGTCAATGCCACTTCCATCCACTGGCACGGAATCTTCCAAAACGGAACAAATTGGATGGACGGAACCGTGGGTGTGACCCAGTGTCCCATCGCCCCTGGTGGTAAATTCCGGTACGAGTTCAAAGTCGATGGGCAAGCCGGCACTTGTAAGGCAGATTCCTTGGTGGTTCGAAATCCCAGACAATAGACTAACGCGATGGGTCGACAGACTTCTACCACGGACATTATGCTGCTCAGGCCCTCGATGGTCTGGTCGGGCCAATTGTCATTCACTCTCCTGAGGAAAGGCAGAGCCAGCAGATTCCCTACGTCACGGACCGTGTGGTGATGTTGCAAGACTGGTACCACGACTTGTCGAGCGGCCTCCTCCTGCAAACACTGTCTCCCGGAAGCGAAAGCTCCCCAGTACCCAACGGCGCGCTGTTGAATGGCGCAAACGTCCTGGACTGCTCGCTGCATCCCAATCGGCGTTGTGACAACTCGACCGCCAGCTTACCGAGCTGGGACCTGTCGCCAAACGCGAATCACCGGCTGCGCTTGTTGAACGTGGGCGCCTTCGCCTGGTTCGAGGTCACCATCGACGAGCACCCGACCCTGCCCATAACCGAGATCGACGGCGTCGACATCGAGCCGTCGCCCGAGAAAAGCGTGCTCCTCGGCCCCGGCCAGCGATATAGCGTCATCCTCTCGACGGAAGACACCAAGAGCGACGCCGTCTGGTTCAGAGCCCGCATGGTGACCCACTGCTTCGCAGAGAACGTGCTGCCGGAGCAGGGCCAACCCGAGGCGAAAGCCACCATCGTCTATTCGAGCGGCGCCATCGACGCCGCCACCGCCACCACCCAGGACCCTATCGTCCCGACCTCCGAACCCGACCGCAGCGTCTACGCCGTGCAGTGCCGCGACATGCGCACCCGGAAGTACGACCCCGTGCCCGCCGTGCGCGCCCCCGAGCGCGCGGACCACAGCTGGCGCGTCCGCGTCAACCTCGCCATCGGCGACTGGCGCCTCGAGCGCGGCTACCTGAACCAGTCGTCCTACCGCGTGGCCGACCCGCGCTCCCCGACGCTGCACCGCCTCGTCGACGGCCTGCGCTCGGGGAACGACTCCTTCCTCGCCGAGGGCTACAACGACCGCGCCTTCGACCCGGAGCGCGAGCTCGTCGTCAGCAGCCGCGGCGCCGCCGAGGTCGTCGACGTCGTGCTGCAGAACATGGACGAGGGGAACCACCCGTTCCACCTGCACGGCGCGCAGATGTTCGCCCTCGCGTCGGGCCACGGCTACTTTCCCGGGTACGAGGCGCTCGGCTTCCACGCGCACGGGCGGGGCCTGCTCGACCCGGCCAACGACACCGTCGTCGCGAACCCCGTGCGCCGGGATGTCGCGACGGTCGAGGGGTTCGGGTGGGCGCTCATACGCTTCGTGGCCGACAACCCGGGCGTGTGGCTGTTCCACTGCCACATGACCTGGCACGGCGAGGCCGGCATGGCGATGCAGTTTGTCTCTCGCGTGGACGACATGAAGAGCTGGGAGATCCCGGAGCAGAACGCCCGATTGTGTGAGGCGAAGCTCGAGGAGCTGGAGAAAGGAGGCGTGCCGAAAGATGACATCTGGATCGGGTCTTTTGGCACTTGATGAGCCAGCAGCTTGCAGCAGTGGCAATGCCACCGACCAGAACGAGAACCTATCATTGTCACATTCCGTCAAAAACTGGCGGACGTGTGTCAAGGGCCCCAAAGAAGAAGACGCGATATGCTGTCCTCGAGACCGGAAAATTGCAGCAAGCAATTTGTAAGCCATTGGATTGGCTGGCCTATTGAACATGTACTATAGAGCAGAGCACGCGCAACGCAACACGTACATAGAGAACACAGATTTGGAAAGACAGAAGATTGATCCATTCGCCGTGCCCCTTCTATCAAGATGCAAGCCCTAAAGGGAAAAGAAAAAGGTGTATATACAGTGACCCGCCCAAATCCGAAATCATGCCAGCTCAGCCTTTTCATGACGCAGCAACACCCTCGCCAGAGGACTTGACGCTGTACGCCTTGAAAAAGTCCTCATTGTTCTCCATTTCCTCCTTGACCTGTAAGAGAAACCATGCGTTAGTAGAGTGAAAGCTGTATTTGACGAAAGAGTGACTCACGATATCGAGACCTCCAACAAGCTCACCATCAACCCAGAGTTGAGGGTACGTGGGCCAGTCTGCATACTCCTTGAGGCCCTGCCTCACCTCATCGTCGGCCAGGATGTTGAAGAAGCCATACTTGACAGCGTTCTCGCGCAGAATCGCCACCATCTGCCGTGAGAAGCCGCACTGAGGGGAGCTGGGCGTGCCCTTCATGAAGAGCATGACCGGCGCCGCCTTGACCAGCTCGCCAAGGCGCTTGAACAGCTCCTCCTTTGCCTTCTCCGGGTCCTGCTCCTCCTCCGCCTCCTTCATCTCCGTATCCGCGCCTCCATTGACAGCGGCGGGCGCAGCGCCCGAGGAAGTGGCGTGCTTCTCGATCGCATTGCGCACCTTGACGGCGCTGCTGCCGCTGACGGTCTCGAGGACTTTTCCGCCGCGCGACAGGACGAGGAAGGGGACGGCGGTGACATCGTACTGCTCGCTAAGCTCGGACAGGTCCTCGGCGTTGACAGAGACCCAAGAGGTCGTGGGGGGCTCGGTGGCGGGGTACTCGGTGGCTAGGGTCTTGAGGACAGTGGACATCTGGGCGCATGGGGCGGCCCATGGCGCGTGGAAGGAGATGATGAGGAGAGTCGACGGCGCGAGGGAGGAGACGTGCTGCTCCCATGCCGCGAGGCTTGTGATCTCCTTCATTGTCGACATGGTGTGACTTGATCTTGCGGGTGGGGTCTTGAAAATCAGAAGGGCGTCACGGTCGCTTCAGGTGCCGCTGTCGATGGCGGCCGAACAAACAATTTCCTCTCTGGTAGTTGAATGCGCTCTGTGGTCTGGCTGCTCACAGATTCAAACCCTTGGAGGATATGGAATTGTTGCTGACATATCACGAAGATCTGATAAGAGAGTAGGTTTTCTCCAGCAGTGTTGGAGATGCGGTGCCGGACCGGTGAAAAGTGGGTGGAGCTTGGAGGAGAGAACCCCGCGGAAGCCAGAAAAAAATAGTCGGCCCTCATTGGCTGGGTGCCTCTTGCGTCATTCAAGAGCTACGGAGTACGTACCAGTTGACACCACCAGGTGCCGTTGTGGTCAGGGCCAGAATTGGGGAACATAGGTCTCCCTTGCGAGGAACTCGCCCCTTCGGTTTCGAAAATGGGATGGCCCATTAGAGAGGCAAGTGGTGGTCAGATTAGTTGATGAACTGCTAACAGAAGTGCTTGACTATCCATCAAGCCCCTCGGATTTAGGTCGTAGGATAACCCTTCCGAGTTCCAGGGGGCGAGGATGTGACAAGGAGATTTATTGTTAAGACTGAGGTAGCTCCTGATGAACCTCCGTCATCTGTTCAGGCGCCCACTTGAGAGTTGAGAGGTGATGGTACCTGGCATGGATAATGAGATTTAAGCCTGCAACGATCTAGTTACATACAGGAAGCAACCTGGAAAGGCATGGGGCCTTCAACCCCAGCTCTGCATCTTGTTCCTACATCTGAAACAGCACACAACAGAGAAGCAAGACAAGGAATGCAACAAGACCTCACGTTTGGCAGTTATTGCATCCAACATCTCCAGGAATTAACGAGTATAAAGTCAGGAGCATTGATCAGATTGGATACTGCACAGTGATCCTCACCGTCAGACTAAGCAACACATTCAACGAAAGTGAAGAATAGGCTATCTTGCTTACTACCTTCTTTGCCTCCGAATGGGTCACAAGCCAGGCTATCAAGGAAGCACTCTTGTGGTCATGGGTGTTTTCAGAATCTAGACAAGCAATTTGTGATGCGAGCTGAAACAATGTGAAGATCCTGGTCCCAGTCAGAGTCCGATCTTAGACGCTCGGCGGGTGCTGCCAGAAGTCTAAAAGCCGCAAAGCTTGGCTTCCACATCCAATCACAACTGGTCGCAGAGAAGTCGTCGCAACCCGTAGGATCGGTTCTGATCCACCGAAACTCTTCAAGAGTGATCGATCTATGAGCGCGTTCATTGACTGTTGAGGACCCTGACACAAAAGGGGGCTGATGAGTGGTGTGGGATCTGTGTCAGGCTTGGCGGCCTCCCCCCCCCCAGGAAACGGCCAAGGTCAACAAACTCTCTCTCTGCATGGGTGCAATCAGCTGCCTCTTCTGGGTACGGCGAGGGTGGGTGGTGGTGACCCGAGCTCGTCTCGTTTCACCCAGCCCAAAATTTGTGGCGTCTGCTTTACTTTGAGCTAACTTAAGCATGGAATAGAGTGAAGGCCTTCCTCGACCTCGGTCCCCAGCCATTTGCTTGCGACATTTTCTCGCAAGGCTTTAGATTCCTTCTAATTTAGGGGGAGGAGTTGAAAAACAGGTAGCGTTGGCTCCGAGGGCTCCGTGAGTTCTGCTGTGATTCGACCCTTCGTACGGTGGTACCATTACAGGGATCGCCCAGACGGCACATCAGAGCCGGTCCATGCAGCAGTGGGGAGGGAGAAAGGAAGGGTCTGATCTAGTGCCAAAGAAATGCGAAACACAGGCAACCGGTTGGCAAGCAGCTTGCGAATTGCCATACGGAGTAGACTCAACCTCGTACCTGCTGACCACCCGTATGTGGCCACTGATAGAGAGAGGACATGATGTACGGTCCCTGCTGTGCAGGCAGCGGTCGAGAAGGCGCTTGTCATTGACCGCATTGCTGGACCAGCATCGCTGAACAGCCCGTGTCGGTTCGGCATGCACATCGCAATTGAGGGTAGACCACGTAACCTGCCGGTGGCTAGGGGCCCTATCGGCCAGCCCAAGCTTGGCGCTAACAGCCCAAATCGCAGTGGTGCTGAGAGCCGGGCTTAGCTCGTAAAACGCGCCAAACTGGGCCACCTGGGCCCCCGCAAGAGAGTGCTCAGAGTGCTCGTCACTGACCACCTCACTCGCCCTGCTGGGCCTCACTGGAGACGCGGCCAGGAACAAACGATTCGACCACTCGGCTTTGCCGTCATCTGGGCCCCATTTATCTCAGCATAATCCCCGTCTGACTTTCCCACCACCTCTTTCTTGTAGTCCTGTCGCTGATTGTGTTTCCTTCTCGTCAACCACAACCTCTTCACTCCTTGGCATCAAGAGAAAATCAATCACTCCGGCAGTGGTCGCATCTCGCCCTAATCTTCAACCAAGCCCATCTTTGATCGAAAGCCTCGACAGCGCATATCACAATGTCCAACCAGGGATACTACCAGCAGGGTCCTCCTCAGGGCTACGGCAGCCCGCCGCCAGGACCTCAGTACCCTCCTCAGGTGAGTCTCAGTCTCGGTCGCGACATCCTTATTCCCTTCATCGAAGGCGACTTCAATCTGCGCTCCCATGGTAGTAAGCGAGACGACATCTGACTTTATTTCTCTCCGTCCACAGTCCTACGGCCCGCCCCAGGGCCAGTACTATCAGCAGCCTCCCCCGATGCAGTACCAGCAGCAACCTCCTCCTCAGAAGTCGAGCAGCGGTGCCGGCAAGGGCTGCTTGGCCGGTCTTTTGGGATGCTGCATCTGTCTTGAGTGCTGCGACTGCTGCGGTGACTGCTGCGAGATGTGTGTTGAGTGCTGCTAAACGGAGACAAACAACAACCCTGGAGAACGCGCGGAAAGATGGATGGAGGGCCATTGGGAGAGGTTGAGGCTTGCGGATGGAGGCCTGGACGCGGAAGAAGGACGCACTCGATTACCCGACCTGCAATGCTCAGCCTGGCAACTGCTTCTTTGTCTTTTCAACGTCTGCTTTCTTGATGGATATGCTTGTTCTTTGGCGGCAATCGAATTTTCTCGACGGATGAGGATAATGAAGGCTTTTCCCTCTTACTTAGTCAACGGTACTATGGTGAATTGACACTCAAAACCCGAACTCTGGTCACCCCTCTTGCGGGAGGCCAATTGCTATTTCCCCCCATGCGCCTCACTGTGCCTCTTTATCGCGGCGAGAATGAGAGACATTCCAGCTTTCTGAAATAAAAGACTAGGTTTTTACTGGATCACAGTATTCTCCGATTCTTATTTGTCGACGTCTTTTCATGGAACATCTCCGGAAATTGGATTATGGCTTTGACCAATCCCGAATCCTCGCACGATTAGGCTGCGAGATTTCTGCTTAAGCTGCAGTTCTGCGGTAAGAAATGAAGCGATCACAGTGCAAGTCGTACAAGAACTGGCTGCCAACTCAAACATATTCTATACGGTCCTTCAGTAATAGTCATAGCCTCTCGTAATTCCTCTAATAACCAAATTTGGGGATATCCTTCTTCATGTTGAACAACAAGCGGCGGTAAGTTCGTTCTGACACCGTGTTGCCAAGACAATCCACGTAGCGGGCCCGGAGCGAATCCGAGAGCTCAACACAGTGAGGGCCTCATTCGCGTGCACGGTTCAATTACGTCGGCCTTGCCCAGCCGCTGCCCCGCTTGTTGCTCCTGAGTAGTGCTGGACCTTGGATGCCACAGCAGCCAAGCTCAAAGCACAGCCTCTCTCCGACGTACTTGACTCTGGCTTCCAACCTTTAAAACCACTCCTGCCTGGCCTCGTTTCCTTGACTCCTCGGAGAAAACCCCAGAGAGCTTCTGCTAGAGGAAAAGAGAGAGAGAGACCACACTCTTTCTCCCATACACTTCTCATCCGCTCTCTCTTCATACTCAGCCCAAGATGGCTTCACTAAACCTCTCCATAAATGGCCCCTCGATCAAGAGCAGCTACCAAGGCGTAGTCAATGCGACACTGCCGTCGTCAAGCTCTTCAACTTTCGCCCACTGGGCTCTCTTCACTGTCCAGGCCCCTCTTATGAATGCCTTCCAGGACAGCGCGGCAAAGGAGAGCATTCTCAAAGTGCAGGACACCGGAGGTAAGCTTACCGATCGCTCCGACGCCGCCAACACCGTTCGTTCTAGCAGCTAATCTCGAAACACGCAGAGGGCGAAATCGACGAATTGATCGAAGACTTCAACGAAGGACGCATCCAGTTTGCCTACCTCAAGGTCAAGGATCCCAACACTGGCCTTCCAAAGAATGTCCTGATCGCATGGTGCGGCGGCGGTGTCCCTGAGAGGACCAAGGGCTACTTCACTAGCCACCTGAACGCCGTCTCCAAGATTCTGCATGGCTATCATGTTCAGATTACCGCACGATCCGACACCGACCTCGAGCCCGCAAGCATTATGAAGAAGGTCGCTGACGCCTCTGGCGCCAAGTACACCGCTGGCGGAGCTGCGCCCATGTCCTCTGCCCCACCCCCCGTTGCGAAGAAGCCGGTCTTCACTCCCACCACGTCGAGCAGCGCTGCCAGTCCCCTGATCGCAGCGCGTAACAGGAGGTCAGAGAACGTCGACGAGGATGGCTGGGGCGCCGACGCACCCCCGGTCACCCGCACGCAGATCGAGAAGGTTGAGTCGGCTTACAAGCCCACCAAGGTCAACATCGCAGAACTCACTGGCCAAAAACAAGAGCCTTCCAGATTCAATGACAGCCGTCAGGATGACGGTTCCAGTGACGTTGTCAAGGGCGCTTACCAGCCGGTTGGAAAGGTCGACATTGCAGCAATCCGTGCGGCTGCTAAGGACCAGAAAGACGACCGACCGACTATTGTCAAGGGCGCCTACGAACCTGTTGGAAAGGTTGACATTGCGGCGATTCGTGCCAAGGCCCAAAAGCCGGCTGCTGAGGAGCGGGAAGTTCCTCAGGCCTCCGAGCCCGCTGAGCAGCCCAAGAGTCTTGCCGAGCGAAGCGCCGCCTTCAGCCAGCCACAGTCGGAGCGTCTGACCAGTATGCCGAAACCCAAAGTCGCAAATAAGTTCGGAGGCGCATCTTCCTTCACCGGCACCAAGGCCCCAACCCCTGGTGCTCTTGGATTCGGCACCCCCGTCGCATCAGCTGCTCCTCCCGTGGGATCTGCCAGCCGCACCTTTGCGGACCAGGGCGGTAAGACTCCGGCACAGCTTTGGGCTGAGAAGAAGGCCAGGCAAGGAGGTGCGCCAAGTCCCTCCTCGGCAGGCCCAGCAGCGGAACCTGTCACGGCACAGAAGAGCGGCAGCGAGTGGAAGAGCGGATACCAGGGCAAGAGCTGGGCACCGGTTCAAACCGCAGGTTACGGCCAGGGCCACGTTGTAGAGCAGAGGACCGGCGAGGAGCAACCCGCATCCGCAGAAGAGCCTGCTTCTCCTTCTTCCGGCGGTGGAGTATCCGCCCTGCGGGATCGCTTCAAGGATGCCCAGCCCATGGGACAGGCGACGCGCGAAATGCCTCGGGCTTACACCGGTGGCGATGATGAGGCTCCGCCGCCCCCACCCATGGGTACCCGTCCTTCGGCACCCTCTGGCGGCTTCGCATTGCCCGGCCTCCCATCGCGTCCTGCTGCGGAGGAGGAAGAGGAGGAAGAGCCCGAGATCCGGCAACGGGAAGAGTCCCCGCCCCGCATTGCTGTACCGGTACCTCGCATCCCCGAGCCCGAAATCGAGCCCGCGGAGATCGAGCCGCCCCGAGCCTTGCCTGTTCGCCAGATTGCAAAGGAAATTCCCCAGGAGGAGGAGCTCCCCGAGGATCAAGAAGCCCACGGCCTTGCTCGTGGTGCGGCAACCGCTGTTGCTGAGGAGCACTTTGGCCACGACCAGGTCGCGGAAAGCCATGTTGCGCCGGGAACTGGCGGTGGCAAGCGCGCTCTGGTTCAGTACGACTATGAGAAGGCCGAGGACAACGAGATTGAGCTCAGGGAAGGCGAGTACGTTACCAACATCGACATGGTGGACGAGGATTGGTGGATCGGCACCAACACGCAGGGCGAGAGCGGCCTGTTCCCGAGCAACTACGTCGAGCTTGTCGATGACGATGAAGCCGCTCCGGCACAGCCCCACGCGGCTGCTGCTGCTGCTGCTGTTCCCCCGCCTCCTGCTCCTGCTGCTGCGCCCGAGCCTGAGCTGGCCGCGGCCTCGGCTGGAGGTGGTGGCTCGACGGCCACGGCTCAATTCGACTACGAGGCTGCTGAGGACAATGGTAAGTCTACATGCCAACTCAATTCTGGTTCTTGTATTTCTTGCAAAGTTGATTCTAACGGTTTTAACAGAGTTGAGCTTCCCTGAGGGTGCCAAGATTACCAACCTCGAGTTCCCTGACGAGGACTGGTGGTTCGGCCACTACAATGGACAGTCTGGTCTGTTCCCTGCCAACTACGTTGAGCTGAATCATTAGATACTGTGTGCTGGCGTGGTGATTGGGCGTGTCGGAACTTTACTTGACTGGTGAAACTGCATATTTTGATAGTTTCATCTGGGCTTGTTGAAAAGCTATTTTTGTTCTGTAGATCTCTGAATTGGAATTGGCCACACCGTGGTTACAACTTGCTCTCTCTTGTTCTTCTATTCTTGACAAACGTATATGACACAGTATAGTACAAAAGCTTTACGGCGGACTTTGCGGCACACTGACGGTCGATTCTACAGCTGGTCCAGGAGCGCCTTGGTATAGGCAGGCAACTCGTCTATCGCGACCGTCTCCTTGACCCCGAGCCTGCGACACTGCACCTCGCACATGCGCGCCGCCTCGCTCCACGACTTGCCGACGACGACGACGACGGGGTAGCCCACGAGGTCGGCGTCCTTCATCTTCCACCCGAGCGAGCTGTCGCGGTCGTCGAGGACCAGGTCGCCTGCCGCGCCGGGCGCGGAGGCGAGCGCGTCGTAGACCTGCGCCGCCGCGCCCTCGAGCCTGTGGCCCGCCAGCACGGCGACCTCGTAGGGCGCGATGGTGCGCGGCCAGTTGAGGCCCCTGCCGTCGGCGAGGTGGTCGGCCACGGCGCCGATGATGCGCGACACGCCGATGCCGTGGCAGCCCATCTGCAGGGGCGCCGGGGCGGTGGTGGGGGACTTGCTGCTGTTATTGTTGGGCAGGGCGACGGCGGCGCCGAGGGGCTCCGAGTAGCGCGTGCCGAGGTGGAAGGTGTGGCCTAGCTCGATGGCCTTTTGGACGTTGAGGGCGCCCGCGTCGCACTTCGGGCAGGGGTCGCCCGGCTGGATGCGCAGGAGGTTCAGGGGGGAGGAGTCCTCGGTTGTGGTGGTTTGGGTTGTGGAGGGGAGGGTGGCGAGGGCCGCGGCCAGGGAGGATGTGGAGGGGAAGGGGCATAGCGAGGGGGTGTCGGCGGAGGTGTCCTGGGCGGCGAGCTGCTCGGCGGAGAAGGAGGGCAGGCGGCTGTCGACGAGGTTGAGGAGGCGGGGGGATGGGTCTGTTGCGGATGAGCTGGGGTTCTGGACTTGGTCGAGGACTGTCTGCCAGAGGGGGAGGGGGTCATCGATTCCGGCGTCTAGGCCTGGGACTAGGGTCTTGACAGCGTCGATGTTAACTTCGTCGTCGTCGAATCTGGTTGTCCTCCCCTTTGAGTCGGTGACTGATGCCGGGTACCAGACGTTGACGAGTGTCGACCTGTCTTTGGTGATACCGCGCCAGACACGAATACCTTGCACTTCGGGCTTTGGCCAGAGCGGCTCGTTCTGCGCCACAGGACGAGTCTCGGCTAATTCGGCGTTCGCAACATAGTCGCAGCTGTCGCAGCTGATGACATGGTCTTCGCCCAGCGAGGTTGCAATGTGGTACTCGTGGCTCAGATCCCCCCCCATGTCGCCAGAGCTGGCCTCCGCGACTAGAATGGGGACCTTGAGCTCTGCAAAGAAGTTGTTGTACGCACTGCGTATCTGCTCATATGTGGCGAGCGCCGCCTCGGTGGTGGTGTCAAAGGTGTACAGGTCCTTCATGGTGAACTCGCGCGAGCGCAGCAGACCGTGACGGGGCCGGGCTTCGTCACGGTATTTCCTCGCTGTGGAGCAAGTCAGGAACTCATTGCCGGACGCAGAGGGTATGGGAAAGCTTGACGGACTTATCTGGTAAAGCCGTATAGGGAGGTTTTTGAAAGAGTTGACCGTTTGAGAGACCATGTTGGTGATCTCTTCCTCGTGGGTTGGGCCAAGCAAGTACTTGCCCTTCTTCCGGTCACTGAGGCGCCAGAGCTTCAAGTGAAACCAGTCAACGATTGTACATCCTTGATGCGTATGGTATTGAGGGGCATACCTCGGAGCCAATGCTCTGCAGACGGCCGCTTCGCTGCCATAGTGCCTCGGACGAGATGGTCGACAACGCAAGCTTCGACGCACCTGAGGATATCTTAGCCAAGTCACGCGAACAAGTCTTGTAGTTGCGGATCGTCATACCAACGGATCTCATATGCTTATCAATAAGGTCCTCAATCTTCTGCTGTACCCTATGGCCCAGCGGCAACATGTGGTAGATACCGGAATGCGCCTGGAAGTGTCGTTAGCATAGGGTTTTCTCAACCTCGACACTCATGCAAGACTCACTTGTCGCAGAAACCCAGCTCGTATTAGCTTTGAATGTGATTCTACGTCGCAATATATTGTCAGTCGTTGGGTATTCGTCTGGGTGTCCTCGACGACCTACCCTCATCTTCCTTGACGTCCTTTGCAGCCACAGTAGCAGCAGGGATCCAGACGTTGGATAGTCGATTCCGATGGTCAGCATGAAGCTGTCGGGCCTGGTATATATATGATTAGCTGGCAATTGACTAAGATGTTCAGAATCTTTGCCATACCCCTGTAGTCTGAAGACGAACTGCCTCATGATGAGACCGAAGCATGAGCCGGCATGGTAAGTGCAGCAGCCCCAACCGAAGACGAGCACCCATGATGGCTCCGAAGAGGTGCCTTTAGCACCAAACCAAGCTCAGTGTCAGGTTTTGGATTCAAGACGACCAGGTTTCGTTATCTTATTTCCAATTAGATAGATTCAATCCGATGTTGATAGCCTTGCATGAGATCTACCTAGGTTGATAGCTCTTCCCAGCCCTGGACCAGTAGCTCAGCCCATTGACTGCTTGGAATGGCCCGCCCTCGAGCCGCAAGAGCCTTCTCCACTAAGACCGCTACCAGAAGAAAGGATTAGCGTGTGGAGTCCGCTAAACGCCTGGACCCCTCTCCGAGCTGGCGGCCCACTAAAAAGTTTTCGGCGTCGACAAAACTTCAAGTGAACTGGAAGACCGTAATCTCAAAAACGACTTTGCCTGCACTGCTCCAGCAGACCTCATTGACGCGCCCTCCTCTCAATTCAAACCGAGGTCCACGTAGACATCGGTCAGGGGTAGTCTTTTGAGAGTTTCTGCAATTTCTACCGATATCCGATCGCTTCGGGCAGGGATCTATCGCGTTTCGCCGTCTTGCATTATTTCCTGTCTCCAAGATGGCGCCAAACCGGTCAAACAAGCAGAACAAGAAGGGCGCGGCCACCGCGAGCCGTACTTTCGACGAAGCGGCTCTCTCGCAACTCACAGCCAAGATCGACAAGAATCTGTCCAAGTCAGAAGAGGCCCCTGGCTCAGGGAAGCGCAAGCGTGACGACAGGGACGGCAGCGACCACAAGTCCAATAAGAGGCAAGCTCAGCCTCAGGGAGACCGCAAGGACCGAAAGAGAAGCGATAAGCCCAAGCAGAGTGCAGACGAGAAATTGAAGACGCTTCTGGAGGAGATCAAGGCACTTGGCGGCGATGAAGGCGATCTAGACCTTGTGGCGGGCATTGACTCGGACGCTGAAGAGGGAGCATCAGCCTGCAAGACCGAACAACCGCTTGACGATTCCTTCAAGTCTGAGCTAGCGAAATTTGCCTCGGGACTCGGTTTCGACAAAGTGCGAGACGATGAAGAGGAGGAAGAAGAGGATGAGGAGAATAGAGACGCATATGACGAGGATGACGATGAAGAGGACGAGGACGACGAGGAAGTCGATGAAGAAGACCAGGTGTCGTCACAGCCGGCGCCCACTCCAGTAGAGGATCCCAAAGGCCGCAAAGCCAAGTCAAAGTTGGTTAGTAAGCCGCTCACTTACCGTCATGCTTCAATGTCGTTGTCTCTAACAAATTTCGCAGATCTTTGAAGCCCGCCCTGACTGGCATGGCCTCAGCCAAGATGGCCTACCGCAGCCAACCACAGACGAGATTAGCGAGCACTCCCAAACGATCTCCAGCATGAAGACGTTTGCACAGGGTCTACTAGACACGGACACTACCGCATACAACACCAGCGTCGCAGCATCGTCAACCCGCAAGTTCATGTCGACAATCATGTCCTCCGGTACTATGTCCGATAAGGTGTCGGCCCTGACCCTTGCTGTACAAGAGTCCCCCGTACACAACATTAAGGCCTTAGAGAACCTCATGAACCTTGCAGGCAAGAAAAGCCGAGGACAAGCCATTGCTGCCCTGGGAGCTTTGGTCGATCTGCTGGGAAATGGCGTCGTTCTGCCCAATGACCGCCGCTTGAGATCGTTCCATATGCAGCCAGGCTTGCTCGGAGCTTTGCAACATGGCTCGGTCACTCATTGGAGGCCGGGTCAAAAGCTTCCCGGCCAGATCACGGAAGCCCATCTCATTATGTGGGTTTTTGAGGACTGGCTTAAGGATGCCTACTTTAAGATTATTCAGCTACTTGAAGTCTGGTGCGGCGACGAGATCGAGTACTCGAGATCCAGGGCGCTCGACTTCGTCTTTGGTCTGTTGCGAGACAAGCCAGAGCAGGAGGCCAACCTGCTACGTCTTCTCGTGAACAAGCTTGGAGACAGGGAGCGAAAGATCGCATCCAGGGCATCATACCTTCTCCTCCAGTTGCTTAACATTCACCCAGGAATGAAGGCCATTGTCATCAATACGATTGAGCAGGAAGCCCTACTGCGTCCTGGCCAAAGCATCCGTACGAAGTACTACGCTATCAACACACTGAACCAGACGATTCTGAGCACCAAAGAGCCATCCACCGCTGATACCCTGATCCGGATATATTTCGACCTCTTTGTTTCCCTCCTGAAGGCTGGTGCGCTGGAATCGGTGGACACCTTTGTGGGTGATCAAGCCAACGGAAAGCAAGACAAGAAGAAGCCTGCCAGCAGAAAGCCAAAGCCTGGGCAAAAGAAGGATGTCAACGCTGCCAACGAGCGTGAGACTGCTGAGAAGCTGGTCTCTGCCATCCTGACGGGCATCAACCGTGCCATTCCGTTTGCGGCAACCGACGAATCAACACTGGAGAAGCATCTCGACACTCTATTCAGGATTACCCACTCTTCCAACTTCAACACAAGCATCCAGGCATTGATGCTTATCCAACAGGTTGCAACCACCAAGCAGTTGGCTATTGACCGCTTCTACCGAACTCTGTACGAATCTCTGTTGGATCCAAGGTTGATCACGTCGTCTAAGCAGGCGCTATATCTTAACCTTCTCTACCGCTCTCTGAAGAATGATGTTGATGTTCGACGGGTCAAGGCATTTGTCAAAAGGATGCTCCAAATCGTCAACATACACCAGCCATCTTTCGCCTGTGGTGTGCTGTATCTCGTCTTTGAGCTGGAGAGCACGTTTCCGGATCTCAAAACGCTTCTCAACGACCCTGAAGATAACGAGGATGATGAAGAGATCTACCGAGATGCGGATGTGGACGGTGAAACCAATGGTGCACCAGTCAACGACGAGCCCAAACTCAACAAAAGAGCTTATGATGGGCGAAAGCGAGATCCCGAATACAGCAATGCCGATCAAAGCTGTCTCTGGGAACTGGTAAGTCTTTGGCTCATCTCGCAATATCCGAGGGCGCCTGCTAATACTTTTCCAGGTTCCGTTCTTGAACCACTTCCACCCCTCCGTAAAAGTCTTTGCATCGAACCTGTTGGTCAAGCAAAAGAACCTACCCAAGCCGGAGCTGGCCAACCACACGCTGATGCACTTCCTTGATAAGTTTGTCTACCGCAACCCCAAGGCAGCAGAAACGAAGCGCGGTACGTCGATCATGCAGCCGGTATTGGCCGCCGGCAGCTCGTCACATATTGTCGCGCCCGGCAAGGATGCGGCTCGGCACCAGCCCACCGTCAACTCTGCTGCTTTCTGGAACAAGAGGTCGGAGGATGTCGCCGCTGAGGACATCTTCTTCCACCAATACTTCACGCAGGTCGGCAAGCCGGCCGAGGCGGCCAAGGCCAGGGCCAAGAAGGAGGCTGCTGAGCAGGAAGACGAGGATTCAGAGGCCGAAGACGAGATCTGGCAGGCCATGCTGGGCTCTCGTCCCGAGATCCAAGGCGACGAGGACGCAGACGTGGACATGGAGGATATGGACGAGGAGGGCGACTCGGAGCTGGCGGAGCTGCTCAACATGTCCGACAGCGACGAGGACGGCTCTGACGTTGAGGGCATGGACGAGGACATGGGCTCCGATATGTCGGATGGTGGTGTTGAGTTCCACGACTTCAGTGGAGATGAGGACGAGGAAGCCGAGCCAGAGGAGGACGAGGATGAAGAAGAAGAAACAAAGGGCAAGGGCAAGTCGGCTTCCAAGGCGAGCAGGGAGCGCAAGAAGAAGCTCAAGGCTCTCCCTACCTTCGCATCCGTCGATGACTACGCCGAGATGCTGGGTCAAGAGGAGGATGAGGACTACGCATGAACATAATAGTAGCATTGCCAAGTACGGAGGTCATGAAACGAAACCGTTACTGCGATTGACGACATTGCATGTCTTGTTTGCCTAAGCCGTTCCTATTTTGATCACTCTCCGCTGCCAAACACAACTGGGTATAAGCCATCATCATCGCACACACTCTCCTCTGCGTCCCGCCGGGGGGTGGGGCCTTTGTAGCCTTTCAAGCATCGAACCACTCGAGCGGGTCGTTCTTGGTGAAGATGGCGCGGAAGGACTTGCCGCCGCCGTCGGCGTCCTCCTTCTCCTCGGTGTGGAAGCTGTGGAACTTGGCCTCGTCGTCGGGCCCCGTGGAGAAGATGCGGAAGTGGACGTAGGCGGGGCCGTCCTCGGGCATGGCGGGCACGCGCAGGCGGCCGAAGAGGATGACGCCGTAGGCGCTGACGGCGGCGCGCACCTCGACGAAGTCGTCGGCGGTGAAGCCGGCGAGCTCGTGGTCCGAGAGGTGGCGCACCGCGGCGAAGTACTCGGGCTCGTGCTTGTCGTGGGTGTGGCGCAGGTGCACGAGCTGCTTCTTGAGCTCGTGCTCGACCTCCTTGAAGGCCTTGACGGACTCCTCCTTCGGCGGGTGGGGCGGGCCGAGGTCGACGGTTTCCTTGGTGGCCTATGTGGTTCGGGGATGGGTTGGGCTCTTGTTAGTTTGTGGGTTTGTTGCGGTATGGATCGTGTGTTGTTTTGCGAGACGGCTTACCATGGTGGATTGATTTGGTAGGATCTGGGTTGGATGTGTCTTTGCTGTTTGCTTGAAGGATCTTGGGTCTGCTATTTACTATCGGCAGGCAAGGTAGGTAGATGATAATAGATTGACGAGTAGCTTTTGAGAGAGAGAGAGAGAGGCAGGTTGGTGTATTTATGCATACAGGGGCAAGCTGGACAGCTCACCTTCATGCAGGTGTGCGAGCAAGGCAGAGAGAGGCAGAGAGCATGTTACGGATCTGCATCCTTGCGTAGCCATATGACATAGGCATTGGCCCTGGGATTGGCTCTGGTCAATGCGGGGTGGCACAGCCAGTGACGACAGCTTCCCCTTCCCCTGTGCATCATCGCCGCCAGCTGGGAACAGGGCGGCTAACTAGCTTCTCGTGATGGCAGGCGGCAGGTCGCATCAGAACCTGAAACGCCAAAACTTATCATAACAAGCTTCGAAGCAAACCTGGGTCTCGAGCAGAGCGAGCGCTGGCAAACGATGCTTAAACACGCCGCTGGGCTTGACATCATATGTTGGTTGCTCACGGTACGAGCTCCCATCGAACATAGGTAGATACTTATGCCGCAAAAGAGGCGATACCATCAGTTAGCCTATCCGTCGATGCATCTCTGACCGTCCTGTTCGCGATTGGATACCTACAGACCTGTTTCAAACTGGCGCTCCTAGTGAGCAAGCAGCGATGACGGAGTGAGGGGGGGCCGTATCTTATCAAAGATCTTATCGCGGCCCCTAACTAACCCCTTGTCGGAAAAGCCGAGACTGTCGGGGATGCAGAGCCCCGGTCTGCCGTGCCTCGGCTGGAAAGAATGGAGCAGAGACTTCATCGCAAACTCTCCCCAACAGTTTGGCCCATACCGACACGCCAAGCGGGCACCTCTGCTTAGTGACCGGCGGCTTTATTCCATTAATCGATTCATGCCCGAGACGGCGCGCCTTGTAAGTGGCCAAAACGCCTCGAAAACCCTTGCACAATCGCCGGCCCTCCACGCCCTTGGATCCCCTTGCGCCTTTGGTCCACCGACGCACTTACACACACACGCACGCACACCGTAGCTGACTCAACAGGCCCCAAGGATAGTTTTTCATAGGACGGCCTGGCTCCCGAGGAACTCCGTGTACTTCTTCAGGGACCCATAGCCTCAACATCTTAGACCGCCTGTTGCCTACTGCGTGTGCGAGTGCGAGGGCGAGTGGAGACGAGGGAGGCTTCTCTGCAGAATATATAACAAAAGATGCTCGCCCGCCGCCTCGTCGGGCTTGCCACGCGGCAAGCCCCGGTGCGCACTTTCATCCCACAGACTCCGACCTCCCTCGTGCGGTCAAGACATATTGCAAGGCAAATACGCTTCAATTCAGCTGGTGAGACCCGCCCCCTCCCCCCCCCTATCGAGAGCATTTGTCCCGGCTTCGTTTGAACGAGTCACTAACAGCCACCTCGTGCATGTAGCAGCCGATACCCTCCCCGCGAAGGGACCTGGCATCATCCGCACATCACTCAAATACGGCTTCTGGGGCGCCCTAGCATTCTTGGTCACCTTTGTCTACACATCCGATCCCGTCCTCGACTACTTTGGTGAAGTCTTGAGAATGACCCGAGACCCGATCCCGGACAGCGAGACGCTGGAGATGTACGAGCCCGAGAGCCCGGAGGAGCGGGAGATCGAGGACTACATCAACGCGCACCCGCTGGCCGCCGAGCTGCGCAGCGACCCGGAGATGATCGAGTCCCGGCCGCACCTCAAGATGCCGGCGCTCTTCCGCCACGCCAACTTCACGGGCAACACGCTCATGGGCAAAGGCCGGGTCACGGTGCCGCCGGTCGCCTGGGCCGACGCCCACGGCAAGTCGATCACGACGATATCGCACCTGGGGACCGACATGTGCGGGCACCCGGGCATCGTGCACGGCGGCTTCCTGGCCACCATGCTGGACGAGGGGCTGGCGCGGTGCTGCTTCGCGGCGCTGCCGCACAACGTCGGCATGACGGCCACGCTGACGGTCAACTACAAGGCGCCGGCCAGGGCGGACTCGTACATCGTGCTCCGGGCGACGACGACCAAGGTCGAGGGGCGCAAGGCCTGGGTCGAGGGCCGGCTGGAGACGCTGCCGGCCGAGGGCGAGCAGCCGGTCGTGATCGCGACGGCCGAGGGGCTGTTCATCTCGCCCAAGAACGCCGAGGTGAGTCTTGGCCTGTCATCACGGCGTGATATCTCTCTTGCTGACAATGGGCGTGCTCAGAAAATGGCGAATGTGTACTCGGTCAAATGAGCAAGGGAGCAGGAATTCGCTGTTGAACCAACGATGTTGACTGCTGGAGAGGGACGTCTAGACGAGGGAGCAAGCGCGGAGCTAACTTGGACAGAAATCATGGCTGCGAGGTCTCCATGATCAAGGAATTATATTTCACACGCAGCACGATCGAGGCGTTGAGGCTGGCTGATCATACAAGGCGCCTGGAAGATTCAAAATGGGTAGAGCTGGACAACCAGACTGGCATAGAATTACTGATTCGGGAAGCGCGCCAAATCTACCGAGATACCTTCTTCTCTTTGGTAGTACGCCCAGAGACTCTAGAGAAGGCGCCCATCCGTACTAATACGAACATCTTGATACCAATTGGCGTGCGTGCCCTTGGTGGTCCATTGACACCTTGCGTGACGACATCGTCCCGCTGTGACTGAGCTACTACTTTTCTGTACAGACCCCCAAAAACTCTGCTGCCGGTTCAAAGCGAACCTGTCTGCACCTTATTCTTAGCGCCCACTTACCCGGCGGGCCTAAGAATGCCGTCATCTCCACATGCGATTGTGCCATACCTGCTTGCGCTAAAATACTCATCGATCTTCCAGGTACCGAGCGGCTGTCGCTGTTGGGATGGTGTTTTGCAGATTCAATCAAGGTGCATATCGAGGATCTTCTTATTTTCGATTTTCATTTCTCAACTTTTCTGGTATAGAATCTGTAATTGTGTCAGGAGCCATCCTTTTGCAACTTTGATACCCCTTTCCCCTCTGTCCTTTGTATCTCTGCAATTCACCCTCTACACTCGCAATGGCAACGTAAGTAACATCCCCGCTACCCCACTATCGTCATCGCCATCACCCAGCACCAGCACCAGCACTGCAATACACCGTCGCAGCTTCGAGGAAGAAGACTTGAAGCTCATGAAAATGCCGGCTCGGAAGAGGAGGCCACACACATCTCCCTCCCCTTCCCATCCACGGCGCAGAGAATAGCCCCCTCCTAAACAAAGGTGAAGCCAAGCACCCCGCGACTAACACCGGAGCCCTCAAAACAGCAACATCACCTGGCACCCGGGCCTGACGCGCCACGAGCGCTTCGCCGCCCGCAAGCAGCGCGGCCTGACCATCTGGCTGACGGGCCTCTCGGCCTCGGGCAAGTCGACCGTCGCCACCGCGCTCGAGCAGCACCTCCTGCACCTGGGCCTCGCGGCCTACCGCCTCGACGGCGACAACGTGCGCTTCGGCCTCTGCCGCGACCTGGGCTTCTCCGAGGCCGACCGCAACGAGAACATCCGCCGCGTCGCCGAGGTCGCCAAGCTGTTCGCCGACTCGGCCGCCGTCGCCATCACGAGCTTCATCTCGCCCTACCGCCAGGACCGCAAGGTCGCGCGCGAGCTGCACGCCTCTGCGACGCAGGGCGGCGGCGACGACGACCCCATCCCCTTCGTCGAGGTCTACGTCGACGTGCCCATCGAGGTCGCCGAGCAGAGGGACCCCAAGGGCCTGTACAAGAAGGCCCGCGCCGGCGAGATCAAGGAGTTCACCGGCATCTCGGCCCCCTACGAGGCCCCCGAGAGCCCCGAGATCACCATCAAGACGCACGAGTCGAGCGTCGAGGAGTGCGTCGCGCAGATCGTCAAGTATCTGCAGGACAAGAACCTCCTGACTGTGTCGCAATAGGGGGTGAGTTGGGCCGGGCTGGACGGCCAGAGTTTGTCCTGGAGGAACCCGTGGAAAGAAATATCCCAAAGACCCAAAAGAGGAAGAAAAAAGGGGCTATGATTAGAGAACAAGGAATAGACCAATGAGATTTTTTGAGATGAACAATTATGCATTGAATGCTGCAAGTCTACAAATATCCCGATAACTAGCCTTCTTAGCCCTTTCCCTCTATGGGAATTCCATCTCGTAGTATACATATGCCGTATACTCCTGCCCCTCGCCCATGCCAACCCCTGCCGCGGCCATTTCCGACGTCAGGGCAGCATCGTCCTTTGTGATGTTGCCCTTCTTGTCCCTCCCGAAAGCGTTGCCGCCCAGATACGAGTACGATGAATCCAGGTTCGTCTTCACCTTCTTGGCCAGCTTCGGCGTGGTCTACGGCGAGTCAGTAGACGCAACGAGAGTAGGGATAGAAAGAACGGGAAGGGAAACTCACCTGAATAAGAGCACTGACAAACTCCAGGGGCAGACCGTAGCGCAATACCGTCTCTACAAAGACGCGCAGCGCCATGACGTGTGCCCACACCATGACACTCTCGCTCCAGCCGGTCCTTCCCAGCCGCAGCGCCTCGCCCCAGACCTTGCGCTCCTCCTTGGTGACCCGCTCGAGCTCTCTCTTCTCCTCTTCCTTTCCTCCGGCGGTGTATTTGTACTGGCGAGGCGTCCATTTCTGCTCTCGACACTTCTGGAGGAACTCGGCGCTGTGCTTCTTGAACGTCGTGACCGCAAATAGCGTAAACTCGTCGTCTTGTGCCACTTGTACCGACGACCGGGGAACGACCATAGGTGCCAGTGTCTCATAGCTCTTGAGGTAGTCCTTCTTCGCGCTCGAGGGAACGACGATCAGGTGCGTCTCGAGGTGTTCGGAGTCTTGGACGAGCAGGGACGGATCAACGATCGGGGTAAGGGACTTCGTGGCCAGATTGCCCCTGAGACGGAAAGTGTTAGAAGAAAAGTGCCGGGGGGAGCCGCATAGCGTAGCGCATACGTTTGTTTCCTCTCCAGTGCTGCCAGATTCGACTTGACCGAGTTGTACTGGTTGAACTTCCCCTTGACATCATTGTCGATATTGACCAGTTCCTAACCGACTGTCAGCTGTGAACCAGAGCCGACACGAGAGCTTGTCTACCTTCTGAAGGGTGTCGATGAGTTCGGCAAGAGGTCGGTCCGCTCGATATCTGACCTTGTTCCAGCTAAAGGAGCGCAGGTAGTGATCAGTGGGCTCTGCCAGGTAGCAGTTAGCGAAGGTCGCGACTTGATAGCCGGCAATATCCGTCACGTACTATCATTGACCGTCTTCTGTTGCGCAATCTTGTCCTCGTCGCCATCGAGGATGGTCTTCAGGGAGTCGGCAACACGACCCACAACGCCTTCGCAGCCGCTCTCGAGCTTAGCGAGGTCGTCTGCTTGCTGGACGAGGGCGTCGAGGGTGCCGATCTTGAAGTCCGGTATCGCGAAGGGCAGCACAGTGCCATTATCAGCAGTGACAGTAGCTCGGAGTGCCGACAAGGCTTCCTCCTTGTCGCTGGAATCGAACGTCCGCAGCGGAAGAGAAACAAGTATAAATTTGTTCGAGGCCGACATGGTGGCAGGTTCCTGTAGGCAGCCGGGAGAATGAGGAGCAGTACGTGGTCCAAGGGAAAGACGCCCGACAGAGAGTGTGCCTTTCTGCTTAACACGCTGATCAGACTCGCAGGTCTGATCTGAAGCTCCTCGAGGGATGACGTCGGAGAGGTCGAGATGATGCGGAAAGTCGCGCGCGTAAAAGGAGCGCCAGATCAAGCTCTCAATCGGGGAGTCTCGATATGAACAAGTACTACAATAAGGCCTCAGTACGAGCCTCGACTTGTGAAGTCGAAGGAGAGGGTGTGCTGGAGTCAAAAGGAACCAATCGAAGGCGTAGTCGTCCACAGGTCATTGAATGGGAAGTTGGAGGTGATGTGGGGAGCTTTGGTGGGGCCACACGTACGTCTTGCCAGCATTCTCGTACCGTTTCTTTTGACCAAAGATTTTCCACCGTTTTAGTATACTTTAACACAGTAAAGCCCACATTTTCAACAGACGTAGCCAAGCTATGTTTCGGCAAATTTGGGGGTCGAAAGGATGTCAGTACAAGTCTAATCTCAAGGTTATATTTTTCTCAATGCAGTTATGGATGACTCTGTGTTTGACTTCAAACTGCTAACTCTGTTTTGCTTTATTTGCCTAGGGGCTCTGTTTACCTGGGTCCTCAAGTCCATAGACTTAAATAGTTAACAAAGCAAACTCAAACTGAGTTCACTTATAATAGGTCAAACTCTTATTCACTACGAATATGAGCTCACTTCCCTCCCTCTCAAGAGCAGCTGAGCCAGAGAGTACCTTCGATTAAAGTCACAGATATCTCGGGAGTATTATCTATCTATGTATGAAAAACGGCACACTATCATTATTTGCTGCTCCAATATCTGACTATCTTCTGCTTGCTTCATGCCCAGTCGACTTCTATGCAATCAGCTGATAGGTGAAAGCTGAATACAAATCTGACAAGTCTTTGACTTGAAATGATTGTCACGCTCGCTCGCTCGACATAATCCAGAACCCTCATGGAATCTGGTACCGCTTATCGCCTTTTTGGCGCCCTAGTCCTTCAAGATCCGGAGTCTCACTTAGACTCGTGCTCGCTTCAGCGACTAAGAGCCATCGAGCCATATCTACGCGACCTCGAAGAAAGGCATCGTGGTGCTGCAAGCAGTAGGTCACCCATTTGCGACCTCGCTGAGCGGGCGGTTCGATGAACTAATGATGACAGTTGTCGATTTTCTGAAACCTGCGTGGGAACAGAGAAAAGCCTTCACTGATGCAGTAGATAAAGAAGTGAGGCTGTGGAGGGAGAAGGGAGTCATACGCCGCCGTGATTTCACAGTTGGGCCTGATGGACACTAGGGCAACAGTAGCTTGTCATCTCCATCGCCCTTCATTTCGGTCAAAAGTCCATACTTTGCCCGGGGCGGGGATGAGACCAACGTGTCGATCTGTCAAGTCATGATGATTGGCTTTACTCTCGACAAATGTCTCATATATGACCATCCTTTTCGACGCGAGGCTATGGATGGGCTCAAGCATTACCCTTCTGATCTTCTCCAGGTTCACGAAGCCTTTTTGCATGATCTCAGGGACAATATGTGCGCAGTGGTTGATATCTGCTGGGGCAAATGCGTTCAGGCAAGGATGATTGAAATTCTTGATCTTGAGCCACTACTTCTATGGGGCGATTTTCAAGGCATCAAAATCTAGTTGGAGTAGGATTTACAACCTGATGATACCGAACGGCGGCGCCTCAAGAGATTCGTTGTTTTTGTTCTCCACCCTGAAGCAATGATATATGCTCCGAGGTCGACATTGGGCAGAATTCAAGATCAGCACCTTACTGCTGCTGCACGACTTGGCGGCATCAAGATTGACGAACAATTTTATCAGACGAGCCATAGGCCAGGAACATATTCTCGCCTGCTACGAGTTGAGTGGGCGCAGCAAAAGGATCTCAATGAAGAAGCGAAAGCTCAAGTGTTCCTCGTTGCTGAGAAAAGATCTACAGCCATGGCTCATCGCACTGCTCGCAAGAAACACCACATCCTTAACAACAATTCGTCGCAGGATATGACTCGGTGGCCAGCCGAGGCATTAGAGACAGTATCATCCAACACAACAGGCTCAGACAGTGATGGATCAGAGACTGCTTCAGAAACAGTAAGTTGCCAGCTGCCTACTCCTTGTTCAATAGTGTTGTGTCAAAGTCGTATCTAATAAAGGACCAGGATAGTAGCGACACAACTCTCCAAATACTCCCTGAGGTCAAGAAGGCCGTTCAAGGACCTCAAGGGCTTCAGTATCTGATCTCATCACTTGTCACCCCCGACTTTGGAGTGGATGATGCGCGTCAACTCTGTACGCTTAGTACATCAAGAGAGTTTGAAACTCTTGGAGAGCCCGATTGGGACGATACACCCTAGCGCTTGCGTTCCTGGCTACATTGTCAGCCAGGTCTACGAATCCATGGCAAGCTAATATCATCGACCGAAGACCTTAAACACGTTCATCGACTTCTTTGTCGCAAGACTTCTGGACTACGCAGCAACGAAGAAGTGGGCATCATCCGGATCATAATAGATATCGCTCTGCGATACTATAAGCAAGTTCACGTGCCCACATCGTCGAGCAAGATTGCAGGTCTCACCATGCAAGGCAAAAACCCCATGCACAGGAAATGCAATATCTGCGGCACACAGCTACTTGATGATCCTTTCCCCAGATTCAAGAAGACCGATCCAACACGATACGTAGCTCGATATCTAAAGGGTGGATGCGGTATGGCAACCTGCAAGGCGCAAGGAGACAATGCATGGGCTGTTCCGAGCGATGATTCGATTCCATGGTGTCTAGCAGATGCGAACGCTCTTAAACGAGTACCGCGGCGAGCTGCTTGGAGCGATTTCCTACTCCGTAAAGGAGACCTCTCAACTGACCTCGCTTACTCTATACAATGCATCTGTCGGGGCTGCAACAGCGCAGAAAGCATCGTTATGGATAGTAGTGCGCGGTGGACGATTGAGACTTTGCCTCGATACATTCCAAGAAAACCGCGGTGCACTGTCTGCAAGAAATCGACAACTTGGAAGCCTGTTGATGCTTCTATCGAATGGCTTGACGCCGCTGCTTTATCGAAAAAATGGACACAGATTTGCAAGGAGCAGTGGTCGATAGATGAGGTGTTGAAGACTCCTGATAGGTTCTTCTCATGTCGTGCAAATGCGGATTGATGTGGTTAGCTGGTGTGCATTCTCCGACGGGTCTCTCACATCTTTGAGGATAGGATAATGAAGGGTGATAACTAACTAGATAAAGGAGGCAGACAATGAATTGGATTGTCTCGGAAGATAACTATTTGGAATCCCCTCCCCCTTTTTCTCCCATAAAAGGGCAAAAAAAAGAAGATGAGGGACACCCGGATCGAACGGATAACCTTTCGATCTGGAGTCGAACGCGCCTATTTGTTGATGGTTAGTTTAATTCCTGAAATACAGGGTTTTTGCCGTATACGTACTACCATTGCGCCAGCCCCCCGAATTGATGGTGGTGGGTCATATTTTAGCATCTATACAGTCTATGATTCAAAACCCGCCCCCTTAGTGTCTCAACCGTCTACATTATGGAAGAAAACCAACTGAAAATGCCATGATACAATTGTACCCGAAGCATAGGACGGAGAAAGCCGAGTTGGAGACTATGCTGTAATTTGCTAATGTTTGTTTTCGCCAAAAACCTGGCTTCTCGTAACGGGGGCTGAACGGTGAAAAGACGGCTGAGTCGGCGTTTACTAGTTTTCGATAAATATGTGGGGCAGATGGTACCGTTTTTGGACGCCAGAGTTGCAGTTCCCACGCCAGATGCTAGTTCGAGGTTGAGCTGACCGTTGTTACCTGTCGCAAGAGTTATTAGCTCCCGACAGCTGCATCACCAATTCGCAAACACTTTGATCCCGCAGATGTCGGTGAACCTCCAACTTTCTCCATTCAGATAAACCGAGTCAACTGAAGACAAATAAATCCACAGGCACCAGGGTATCTCTGCTCTCTCTGTGTCGATCTCTCGGGAATACACCCCTGTTTCGCGCCACTTACGCGGACCATCTAGTCCCCTGACCTTTTGATGCCATCGCGAAATCTGGCTGCGATGCCACCTTGACAATTCGAACAGGCTTTCACCCTGCGGCCTGGCCCTGCTGAGGTTGACCATCGAACTCGCTATTCATTCCTGTCCGGGCAGAACGGCTGGCGGCCGGAGATTAATGTGCAAGACCTTGGTGTTACATCTGTCCTAGCCGTCTTGGGGAGATGGCCTAGGCCTGTCGACGCGAGCATCTTGTCGATCACCTCTCTCGGATCTGCGCTGCCCTCCGTTTGGTCCACGACTTCGGTCGTCATAGCAGTCGTCCTTCTTCGTGTCGACACCCGTCGACTATGTGATTTCCCACATTTCGGTACCTGGTCGGTCTTTCGCTGCCAACCACTCAAAAGGGACTGGCGTTACCCCGCAAATTAGACACGACGGCTTGAAGGTATCGCGAGGCAGCTGAGACCGGGGTCATAGCCAGCCCTTGGCTCGACGCAATGGCTTCGACAGGTGTGTATAGGCGTTACATCGCCCAGGCGATGATCTCTATGGACATCAAGTCACTGACGCGTTTCACTCTGTCTAGGAGCACCCAGGCGGCCCCGGCAGACCTCTACCACCACAGCTTCCCCTTTCTCTACCTCTTCCTCGCTAGACCAGGCGGCTCAAACCACGACCGTCATGATATCCACTACGAATGTTAGTCAGGATGCTTCGTCACAGGACTTTTCGCAACAGCCTAGCACGGGCGCCCACCGAAATACCGTTTACACGGGTGAGCCAGACACAACCGGGTTCGGGGTGCTCAGGCCGACAGAGATTGTCCCCGAACGCGAACCAACGGGTCAATTTCAGGACCGGCGCGTCAGGGACCCTGTTCCGAGCAAGCTGAAAGGCAAGGCAGATGCCAAAAAGGGCAATTTTGCTGTGATGCACATGGAGGTGGCGACAGCTGAGTTCAAGGAGAGGCACAAAGCGGCCAAGCGAACGAGCGAGAGCACGGAGCTGGCCGCCAGGAGAGCCAGTCAAAACGGCTACGTGGGCCACAACAAGAAGAGATTCATGCCCGTCGCAGATCAGAATTTGATATACCCAGCAGGTCCCATCGAGACCAAGGAGGACCAGGCACGACTCCTCACACTCCTCCGCAGCTTGAATCCAATATCTGTTGTTGATCAGATCTGCAAAGCATTGGCATATTTTGGAGGCATACCAGGTGCACCTCCCCCATCCCACGGGAAGTTTCCCGGCAGTGCTCGAGGCAATGGGTCTGGTGCAGTCTTTGTGGGCTGGATCGCGGAGATTTTCCCAAAAATTGAACAGGACGCTGCGGCGATCGCGCATCCCCTGCAGAATACATTCCAAATTCCGGAAACCAGGGCGGAGAGGCCAGCAAGTCCTGAAATCATCGAGATATCTCCGCCACCAGAGGTCACGGCACCGCTACTCTCGCCAGAGAACCCTCCCCTACAGTCTCCATCACCAGAAACGCACCTCGATGTTCAGCCTCAGCCCCAGCCCCAGCCCCAGCCCCAGCCCCAGCCTCAGCCTCTTATCTCAGCGCCACAGGACAACACCCCCAGCATCAATCCACCTGTAGAGAAACGAGGCAGAGGAAGACCCAAGGGGAGCAAGGCCACGAAGGCTAGGAAAGATAAGGGCATCAAAAAGGGTCCCCTCAAAGCTCGACAGGGAGGCTCAGCTGTTCAACCTAGCCAAACTCCTGGCAATGCCGCCGATGGTAGCTGGGTGGACATGGACAGCAGTGTTATTGAAGCTGAGCAACAACCTCAAGCACCAGTGAACCAGTCCTTTGCTCCTTCTGACTCGAGCCAGCAACAGAGTGCCGCTCCAGCCGCTTTGAGCTCGTCGGCCGGGAATCTATCGCAGTCCGTCTCGGCAGATGTCGAAACAACGCCATCCGGGAAGAAGAGGGGCCGGCCAAAGGGATCCAAGAACCGACCAAAAGATGCTGCCGCAACTTCAAGTGATACTCCAAGCGTGCCGAGTGCAGCTCCCTTGACAGTCACGCCAATCCCACCACCCGTGATCCCGCACATGTCGACCACGTCCCCGAACGCAAAGAGGACCAGCCGAGTCGAGGCACCTACCGGTAGTAGTTCTACTCCCTCGGGTCAGCAGGGCCACAGGATCGCGCCAGAGTCGGCAGTCATCAATCAGACCCCAAGCAGCGCACAACTCGCATCTGACCAACTGAATATCAGCCAAGTTGGTGCATCACAGGGCTCCTATTCGCAATCCCCATCGCAGACAGCGTCCTTCACGCCAGCAAATGCTCTCCGAGCGAGCATACCGATCACTGCCTCTGCTCCACCAGATCAGGCAGACTCTACAGGCGCGAAGCGCAAGAGAAAACCGCCCAAGAGGTCTGATCAACGTCAAATAGGCGATGAAAGCAGCAGCTCTGTGCCACAGCAGCCGCCTCAGCATTTGAACGACAATTCCGTGAATGAAGCAGGGCCAGCGACAGTTCCTGCCGGTCCCTCTGCAGATCGGTCCATTGCTGCTTTGCCCCCTGCCAAGCGTCAGAAAAATGGCAAAGACGTGCAGAGGTTGGGAGCCAAGAAGCAATCCCAGGCCTCCCAGGCGATTGATAACGAACCGGCCGCTGCTGCATCACAAAGCGAGGCCGGGCCTAGCTTGGTCCCTGGCCTCTCTGTTGATGTCGATGAGGATGATGCGGCGATCGAGCCATTTCCATCATCGTCAGCCTCGTTCAGTCAGAACCCGCAGTCTCTTCCACCGCAAAGCATGCAGGCTATGACATCGGCTGCACCAGGGTTAGGTCAACTATCGGGTCTGTCGCTGGCGCAAGCTGCTCAAGCTAAAGCCCATGCTGAGGCGCAAGCCAAGATTCAACCTCATCTTCGAACACAACCAGGGTTACAACACCCAGCTGCCATTACTCACCAAGTGCCCAGCAGTGATGCGATGCAAACCATGTCAAATCACCAACATAGACAACGCCAGCAGCAGCAGCAGCAGCAGCAACAGCAACAGATGTCATCGCAGCTCATGTCTCCCAGTCCCTCCCAAATGCACAATCCAATGGCGAGTAACATGATACCGTCCAGCCAGCAGACTCACCGCCAGCAAGTCAACCCTCAGCAACTGTACGGCCAGGGCCGTCTTGACGCGAACCAATATACTCAGCAACAGAGCCCACAAATGTCGGCACAATACCCACAGTTTTCCGCCCAGTTTCCACAGTCTCAAAGGCAGTACCCCCAGCAGCGTCAGCAGCAGCAGCAGCAGCAGCAGCAGCAACAGATGAGCATTGGATCTCCCAGCATGGTGGCTCAAGGTACGACAACGCATCAGGGCTCGCCCCAGTTTAGCGCTGCCAGCCACCAGGGACTGGCTGCTCCCGCGTCCATGGGCTACGCCGCCGGCTCTTCCTTTAGCTCCCGGCGCTCCGGCACGTCTTCTGCTTCCCCCTCTCTCAACCCGGCTTACGCAACGCCCACGTCCTCTCAGCACGCGCTGTCGCACCACGGAAGTCCTTCTTTCGGCCATTCGCGCCTGCAGCAGCAGCAGCAGCAGCAGCAGCAGCAACAGCAGCAACAGCAGCAGCAGCAGCAAGCCACGGGTAGTTCAGCCGCTGCCAGCATGCAAGCTTTCCAGGGGTTCGAGAACTCGTCGCTGTTTGACGGCATGGGCGCGCTCGACCCATCCTCGGCGGCGAACGGTGCTTCGTCGACGGCAGCGTCGTATGGGGCCAGCAACGTCCCACGCACGTCGTCGAGTGGCGCGATAGCGGCGGTCGCTGCCGCCAGCTTCGGCAACGCCGGAACTGCTGCTGGCGCGAGCCACGGCATGGGCGGGTATGACAGGTTCTATGTTCGCCAGCAGTGAGACGAGGGCCAGCCAACCACGTCCAGAAGGTGTGTCCGTTGTTTCTCTGATTGATTTGTCGGTTCGTGTTTTTTATGTTCCACGTTGCAAGATTCCCGCACCCGCTGGGGTTTGGATCTAATGCCTTTCCCGTCGAACTTTTTTTCTTTCTTTTGTGTTGCGATGCAAAGCACGAGACGCGAAACACACAGCATGACGCACTTGTTGCTTGGGGACAAGGCTAACAAGGGGGGTTGAAAATCACACAGTTTTTCTCATGATAATACTTGTACTAACAGCTACGGCCATGACGACATGAATTGCTTTTTGTTTGTTTCTTTCGGTTCTATTTCTTCTCCAGCACTTTCTTCCTTGACTTTTGCTTTTTTTGTCTTATATATCCTACAGTAATGCCATCATGGGCCAAAAAAAGCGTAGCAAGCGAGGGAGTTTGTGGGAATATATACATGTTTGTAATGGGAAATAATGGTATTGGTCCTTCTCACCAGGAGAGAGAGAACGGGGCTCAGAGTAGTATATAGCTCATCTCATCTGGTATACTGTGGGTTGCCTGAAAAAAATGAACTTTGGGAATTTTGGGTATCACGCTTGTATCTCTCTCAGACCTCCTTCTGCTCGATGTCAGTGTCCCCTGCCTCCACAGCGACTCAACACACCGCCGGTGCTACACTTTGTGTGTGCATCGGGACAACACCAGGTACATGATGAATACCACCACCACCACCCCCCAAGGAGGCTTCATGTGGCCATGACGTTTACTCGGCATATCAGGTGGCAGAATTGTTTTCCCAACAGTTCCGAGGTTGTCTCTATGGCATCTGCAAGCAACGAGATACATTGATGTGTATGCAATACCGCCTGGCCTCCCTCCGGCACACCCGCACCCGCTCGTCACATGCACCATCCGCTGAAAGCCATCCCCCCGCAGACGCCTGAAGACAGGTCAGGGGGGCAACAGAGCATATCCAGCCTAGGTTTTCGATGGCTGCAATGGCCTTCTTCGACCCAAACATCACAGAGACACAAAGAGGCTTTATCAAGACACTTTTTCAGGCGAGGTATCGATGAAGGATCAAACAAATGAATAAAACTTGATCCATTGGGTGCCTTTTATTCTTTTTTGCAAACTCCCAAAGTGTAGAAACAATGAGAAAGTAGGTAAAAGTGGTAATGATATATGAATTTCTCAACCCAAACAAGACGCTAAGACGCCAAGCCACAACTCTCTCTCTTCTTTCCCAGTTGCCAAAGATGTGACCGCATCCCGCTATCCGTTGAACCGCAACCCGGTCCCGAAAATACCCCCTAAATACGCAAGCAAGGTGAAGGCCCGGGCACGAGCTTTCACACAGGTCCCATAGTACACACACAAGAAGATGATGATACTGGAAAAAAAAAAGGAAAATGGTGCATGACCATGTATGTTTATGTGGGTTGGACGCGATGCCAGAATCCGCAAAAAAGAATAAAAGCTATGACTGCCTATGCCTGGCAGAGCCCCCCCGTGAAAGAATCCTTTCCAGATCCAATGATCGAACGCCTGTAAATGCTGTAGATGGTTGACAAAGAAAAAGGCTTTAAAAAAAAAGGAGATGGCGAAGCGGTAGTAGTAGTAGTAGTTGAAGGATATGTCGAATAAAAGAAAATGATAGGTATCGTCAAGAGGTCCAAGGAATAATAAAGGGGGGGTATCATGTGTCGTTCGGGTAAACCACAAATCTAATCCTCAATGGGGTCTTCGTCGATAGCATCCAAGGGCGGCCGGACCGAAGGCGAATCGCCTTGGCCGTACCACCACTCATCTTCGTCGGCAATGCCGTCCTCACGAATGAGGTCGAGCATGACCTGGGCGTTCTTCTTGATGTCGGCAGGTCGCTCCACGATCTTCCTCTCCAGGATCAGTGCCTCGGCCGTGGTCAGCCACATTTGCTGGAGGACGGGCAGATCCGGTACGAGAAGGTCGAGAGTCTCCTGCGGAAGAGGGCCCATGGGCATGCCCTGCGACAGGCTGCTGCTCCAGATGACGCTGTTCCGACGCTCGAGATTCGACTCCATAGATTCGCGGGTGCCGTTGACAACGTCGCCAGAGGAGGCCTTTGCGGCCTCCCGAATCGTCAGCGACGACTTCTTCCTCCCCAATCCCATCAGACCTCTCCTAGGTTTCAAAGTCGGCTGCGGTACTTCCATAAGCGGTGCCCTACTGGTGGTGATGATAGAGTTGTACCACCTATCCACCTCGCCTCGTCGACAGTTGTATCCCTTGATCTCCCAGAATCGTTCAACCTGTCGCAGGCCACCGATGCACAGCGCTGCAACGTGAATCTCGTCTGCCGGCTTCTCCTTCAGATAACCTCGCACCGTTCGCTCCACCCTTCCGACGTACGAGGGCGGTCGTAACCGACGACAGAAAGAGGCAACGACGAGTGGGAAAACCTGGTGCACCTGCAGTAGTGTCCTGTCGTCGTACATGCTCATCACCTCGGCCTCGATCGGGTTCAGGGTGTAAGGCGTGTGTAGCAGGCCCTTGCCATTATGCTCTTGCAAGAACTGGATGTGGCGTGCCCGGTACGTCTCAAAGAAATGGTAAATGGTGAACAGTAAAGGAATCAACCGGCGCCTCATTCTTTCTCTTTGCGGCGCGAACTCTAACCTTTGTGTTTCCGTTGTCCTCAAGAAGATTTCTTTCGTAACCCATTCGCAGATAAAGGATGAGAGTTTGGCGGCGATATGTAACCGGTGCCACAGGCCGCATACGTAATGAAGACTGAGACTGGAAGGATCCGGCGGCGGATATAGCCTCTTGGCATATGATGGTATTTGGTGATCGAGATGATATCTCGCGATTGGTCCCTCATTTGCTGTGATGATGGCATGGAATGCTCTAGACCAGCGGCGCATGTTGAGGATGTCTGAGAGCGGTAGTGAGGCGATGACTTGTATTTGCAACTCGGTCGGGAGATTGAGGAAGAGGGAATCGAAGGGAAGACTGCAAGCTGCGTCAGTATGCCGGTGGTAGCAAACAAGACCGCTTGTCAATACGCACCTGGGCCGTGGGTAGGCCTCCCCAACGAGGGGTTTTGTTTGCTCTTGTGGTTCGCTGGGGACCACGAGAGACGGTTTGTGGAAGAATGATATCCCCAAGCGCTTCTTCTTCTTCAATTCGGGTTGATGTGCGGCCTCTTCCGCGGCTGGCGTCTTCAAGCCGCGTAACGGGAGGATGAAGGGCGCGCCCGCTGATGACGGACCCCCCGGGCCATGTTGGTCTACCTGCTGCTGGTTTTGCTGTTGGCTCTGCTGCGAGAGCTTCTCGAAGTATCGCGCCGAGGCAAATTCGGTGAGGTGGGCAGGTTCCACCATCACCGGCCTCGGCGGTTGTTGAGCCATGACGACGTGTGAGCCGGCTCGGGCTCAGAAGGGGTCGTGGCGCAACTCTTGGCGATTGATTCCTTCCTTATCGACGGGAAGAAGTCTCGACCGCGTGTGTGGAAATCTCGTTGACCAAAATCGACCGCAGCTCAAACATGATGATACATCGGCCACTATGTTAGAGGGGTTAAAGCGTTTTGAACCAGACAATCAATCGTCGCCTTCGGTAATGATCCACGGTCCGACTGACCGACACCAACGGTAGATGTGGTTCGGGGCTTCGCTGACCAAGGCTCCGCGCCTGACGGTACGCGAATGTGTTCTGATAGGTTCAACCGTCGAGATATCGTGGTACAGAGTCGTCTGGTACCGAACCTGTCGTTGACGAGAACAGATCTCGGCGAGAAAGTCGGGGTCCAAGTAAAGCGAGCGGCAGGCGCAATGCCAGTTCAGATCATTAAAAAAGGAATCGAGTAGGCGGCGCTCCGACTGCACCCCAAATAGACGTGATTGATGAGTTCGACTGGTTCGGATCCTCCAAGCCACTTCTCTCGTCAGGCCGTCAGAAATCGCTATCCCAAAGAAAAGGGCCGCCCCGGAAAAGGGAGGGAAATAAGATCAATAGCGCTTATGGTCTCGAGCGCAGCCGCCAGTTGTAATCGGGAGGGCGAGTGGTGTTGGCCGAGGACGTTCGGTTGCGTACCCCCAAGAATCGTCGAGAGAATGGGTGTCAAGAAGATGTAGGAGAGAGTAAGGAAATCGGCAGCGGATGCGGCGTGTTGGTAAATGGCGAGACAGGCGCGAGGAGCCGTCGGATGGTACCACGATGGGAGGGAGAAGAGTTGCATGCAATGCAGAAGTGAATGGCAGTGAACGAGACTGGGCAGGACGGTTTGGTAAGGGTGTAGGTTATGTTGGTCCTTGCTTTTTGGTGGTAGGGACTGCGTGGTGGCTGCAGGCGGGAACGGATAGAACGGGGGAATTTCTGGGACAAGCGAAAAATAGGGCCGCCGCTACCGTACCTAATCGATCTTCACACACCCAAGTGCCAGTTCCAGGCCAGGCCGCACGACTGGCTGCAAGGGAAAAAAAAGACTATGACGGGAACAAGCTCCAGCCAGACCCAGCATGGGGCCGAGTCGGCGCAAGATCGCAACAGGAGATGTGGGGATCTCGATAAAGCAAAGGGCAGAGAATCGAAAGGTTTCAATGTTCCGACCCGAGGTCCTTTTTTTCCCTCTTCTACAGTAGATTGGTGAGGTCGAATCGAGGGAAGGGAATGGATGAATGAACAATTAAGATGTACTGTGCTACTACAGCCATGATTTTGGGGAGGAACCAGGAGAGGGAGCGGCATGGAACCATGATACCTGCCTCACATCCCCTCCCCCTTCCGTTACGTTGGTGTGGGTTCTTGATTACTACATTAGGTACTGTAGGTGCGATACTTGCCAGTCAGTAAACCCGCCCAGCACTGGAGGTGAGTGGACAGGACAGGCTGCACACTGCTAACTACCTAACTAGATGGACTTGCAAACCCCGACCAGGACGGACCGCGGCCGGCCACGATGGGAGCGAGCGAGAGTGAGCGAGGAGCACCAGACGCACGCACGCACGCAGAGCACGCGGTCGTGGACACGGGCACGAAACGGGCACAACAGCGTTGTAATTGGGAATTTGGGGGTTGAATGGGAAAAGATGGGGATCCAGGATGGACCCCGGCGGTTTGGCCGGCCTAATAGTGGAGAGCCCATTCGGGGCCAGAGTCCACCAGAGTCAGGCAAGTGTCGCCCTCAAAAAGGGAGGGGGAGGGGGGGGGAAAGACCTTCGAGCCCAGTCGCCAGACGGGCGAAACCTGGGATGGGAGGAAAGGTACCTGGCCGGGGCCTGGAATACCTGCGGAGGGTCCTTTGCTACTGCTGGGCCCCTGTCCATACAACTAGGCGGGTACTCGTGCTCCCCACACAAAAGCCACCAGAACTCACCGAAGCGAGAGGTAGCCCCATAACGGACGGCAATGTCGTTTAGACCCTCCTTTAATAGACCCGGAGTACTCCCGCAGGCTCTCCCACGCAGAGGTAGGTACTCCGTCTCTCCCCATTTCTCCAGTCGGCCCTGCTTCATGGAGATTTTCCCTATGGGTTAGTGTCCCCGACAACCTTATCTTTGTAGCCTGTACCAGACTCTGCCCATTTCAGGCCACAGCGGCCATGCCCTAAATGATTCCCCGAAGCCCTCTCCTAATGCACGCTAAGCCACGTTGCTCAGCTGCTTCCCCAGACTTTGACCCCCTAATGGTCCTCTGGAGCCACAGCGACGCTCCTCGGGCAAGTTTTGCACCCCCGCAGGTCATCAGTACATCTGCACCTGTGCCTGGGATCCAATCCCAAAACCGTCATCTCCACGCCGCTCGCAATTTAGCCGGGGCCAGTAATATCAGATGTGTGGCCGAGAGCGCAGCGATTCCACTCCCGCATTGCATCTTTGACTCGAATTGAAATTTCCCTACCATATTACTTCATTTTCCCCGTCTGCAGGGATTAAAATCGACACAAGCATCACCGGATATGTAAACAAGCTCGTCGGGCGGCATGCTAGGACCTGTTCAGCCACGCCATACCTACGCACCTGGCCCTGAAAACAGATGAGGAAATGTCACGATAGCTTCGCCAAAGAAGACAAGAAGAAGCTTCTTCTTTTCTGGATCTACCCACCCTGTGCCTACTGACGCCCGTGGCTGGCATCTCGATGTGCTGTTTTCGATACCACCCTATGTCCTCCACCTATGAGCATCAATCAGCCAGTAACTCTCGTATGTGATATGTCTTGCGCAATGTCGCATACACGTACATACATACCTGGATGGTGCAATGCCGCATGCGGTGAACGGATTTCTGCTCGGTAAAGGAGACGACGACACGAGACGGCGCGCGGTCGAGGCAACTTTTGCGAAATAACGATCCCGCAAGCCACTGACTGCTTTTGGGTTGACACAGACGACGATCACTACCGTTTCAAAGGGTTTTCTGCGAGCATGCTGGGCCTGCGACCAGGCCTGCCCGCCGCCCGTTCTCACCTTTCCGCACCCTACATGTACATATTGCATGAACCTGCTTTCCGTAAACAGGTACCTAGTCTAGCCCTGTCAGCACGAGCAAGGTTATCTTAAATTGCATCGTACGGAGAAATATCATCCTGTTGAGCCTTGCGAGCCTCCCTCTTGCCAGCACTACTCCGTACCTGCCCAAGACAGTCACCTAACAAAACCACATAAGCTCAAGCCGCCATGATGCTGAGCTCTGTCGGAATGTGCACCTGCAAGCAAGTACTTGGCCGTTGCAACGAGGTGAGAGAGGCAAGCCCTTGTTGCAACCCCCCGCCCCCCTTGGAACGGCAATTGGGCGTCTATATGACGATCCCTAGGCTGGCCGTTGGGACATTCTCTCAGTCACCTATGCCTCTTGCCAGTCAAATATAACCCGGACATTGCTCCCTGTGCTGTTGCGGGGTGGGGTGTGGCCCAAACATCAATGTCGGCAGTTCATCCTTCAGGTTGCCTCCCAGGACGAGCCCAGGTTCTGTCATTTCCCAAAAAATGCTTGAGTGCCCGCCGTACGTGCCTGCAGACAAGATGAGCCAAAAAAGCTCCGAAACAAATTGCTGCGCACACATCAGATCATTGCGGTTCATCATCGTGGACCTGGATCTCACAATCTCACAATATTGCGATGCGCCGAGACGCCGCCTCTTTTGTGAGAGCTGTCGGAGTTTCCGCTTTCTGCAATGTCCCAGTCGTCGGACGGAGGAAGCACCCAGTTAGCGTCCAGAGTGGGAAAAGAAAAGAGTCGCCACTCCGGCGCGGCGAAGCGAAGGAAAAGAAAAGCATTACACAGCAGGGGCCTGGAGAGTACATGCAAATGGGGACGCCGAGGTGCCAGGCCATGCCAAGCAGGACGCTAGAGCCCCTCAATCGCGTGCTCTGGTATTGTTACTCCGTACAGGAGCCAGGGGTTCGCCCCCGGCCGGCCGGCGCAACAAAACAAGCACCAACAAGCCACCACCTCGGGGTCGTGTGGCTTGAGAAGCAGGCTCTTCTGGAGATCCAGATCCAGGAGCGCTAATGGCCAATGTAGATCCTTTGGGAAAGACGTCGGGGAGAAGGGCAAGGCCCGCCTTGGCGGACAGGTGCTTGCCCAGAGCCATTGACGCCAGCGTATGCCAATCACAATGTCTCCAGTTTCAGCTCTGGTTTTTCCTTGTCGTGCTCCTAGTATTGCCAGTTCAGCTCTTGCGCTGTCGGCATTTTGAACCAGCATAACACATGTCCCATGGTTGCTGGAGACATACTTGGAAATCCAGGAAGCATATGGTACGCCGCCAGTCGCGCGTCGCGGGTGGCTACAAGTCGATAACTGTTAGCGAGCACTCCATATAAATAGCTTCAAAGACCACGTTTATTCGATAGATAGGCGGTATTGCGGCTGAAGGATCCCTCATAACTATGAGGCTAGGCGAATTCCTTGGTGATGAGGAGCACGCAGCCGCTCGCCAACCCCGAACTGACGGCGGTGGTCCCGTCACAGGGCACCGCGGCTCCCGGGACGGGGCGGGCGCATGGGCCATCCAGTGGTTCTTAATGCTCCTTGCGCAGAGCCGCCTCGAGGAGAGATACCTAAAAAGCCCCCGAATGGGGATGAACTCCCAGTCAGAGTTCAGATAGGCGACACTGGACGACCACAATGAGGCCGGATTTTACCCGATCTGCCCGGAATGGGGCTCGAGGCGTCTCAATTTGGGCCCGTCGAGGTCCTACGAGCGCCAAAACGGGAGTTGTGCTGGGCGCCTCTGTCCACGTTGACCGTCACGGCCCTACTCCGGCCATATGCTGGGCGTCTCGTCAGAACGTGCGCAATACGGGCTTGATTGGGTGTCTCCCTCTCTTGCTCTGCTGCCCCCTTGCTGTTGCTATCGGCCCAGACTCTATCGAGGAGCGTCACGAGTCCTGAGCCTCGTCGGGTGCTCCGCTGTCTTGAAGTAACGTTTAGTTTCCGTGCCCTGGCGGCCTTCCGGGGCCGTCGCCGTTTTCCACAATCGGCCCTCATTACAAGTAGAACCTTAAAAGAGACAGTAACTCGCTCCACTCCTTTCTCACCGCATGCTGATGGCCTCGATAGATCTCGAGTGACGCTCGGTGTCAATCCGGGAGCATGATTATGTATGTCTCGCCGAGACGCTCCACGCGTTCAGTCGCATGCCGAGGAAGATTGCGTTCTTCGCTGCCAGTGTCTCTCTTAGATGCGTCGGTGAAACGTATCTTGCCTCGATACGATTCGATATAGATCAGGGGTACCAAAGAGCTTGCTATGCTGGTTGCTCACACTCACAAGGGGGGCTGATACGATGCTGGCTTGCTCACGATCTAAGTCTCGTCCTCAATACGTGGCAGAACTGGCCAGTGTAAGAGCCTCGCATGCGTCAGCCCGCACAGTTCTCCCGAGACATGTGGTATCGAGTCGGCGCGATACCACGGGCGTATAAGCTTCAATGTTAGTGATGCCAGCGCGAAGACATCGATGCCCAGGGAGAAGTTTAAGCATTCAAGGATCGGCAAGTGCCAGACAAGCTGCAGCCCACGCCGCACTATCCTATCCACTCCGGAGAGTTTCGATCATACCAAGATCTCACCAGTGATGTCATGTTCTCGTCAACCTTCACGTGTGTATCGTCCTCGAGGTGTCGTTTCTTACCTTGGATTGCAAGATCACATATGGCAAAGGCGGTCAGCTATTGATTGCCGATGCGAATGTATCACGAGAAGAGTATATGTTGCAGTAGAGCGAGACGCGGTGATGCATCTCTCGGACAAGCAATAGCAACTGGGTTATGGTATTCTCCCGGCATGGAAGCGATCCAACCTGACTCGTTCCACTCGGTTCGCTGAGTGAGGGCCACCATGCTTGTCCCTTGAATGAACCTTAAAGGAGAACTTAAGCAGAGCCCTCTGCTTTTCTGCAATCAGCGATGGCAACTCGTTCCGGTCGGTCATGAGATGCCCTGGTCCTCAATCTTGAGAAGGGCGCATGGCCGTCGGGCTCACCCGTCGGCACATTCACGGCCAATGTCCTGGAGGGAAGGTTTGCGAGAGGGCAGCCGGTGTGACAGCATGCAGTGCCATCAATGGATGGCCATGGCCGGGCCTGCCTTCTCCCCTTGCCCTCCATCGATGCCAAGTCGGCATCCACGCCGGCAGTGTGCCTTCCAGGTTGGGCGCAGCGCACAGCAACCTCGAACAGCGTCGTCGGCGGAAATATCCTCATCTGGAAGCTGCGTGCGGTGCGGCGGGCCCTGAGTGCTCAAGTTCTCCTTGATAGGGCCTGCTGGCTCCAGCGCCTCATGTGCTTTGACGTGGCCACTCGCCCGACTTGGACGCTGACGAGTCTCCAGTCCTCCACGATGCCAATCCCATCTACCTCAAATGAGAGATCTTGAGGCGCTCATTCCCCCCATCGTCGACGTTGACGCAACATTGGATGCGTTGTTGATCTTGGACGCCGTTCCCGACCGACCAGGATCTTCACTCCCGCAATCTTGCGAAGATCGTCGTCGGTCATGGTGTAATCCCGAGCAGCTAGCCGTGCCGTGCCGGCTGAAACAAGACAACGAAACGTCCCTCTTGAACACATTCCACGGCCGCGGAACCTCTGACCTGAGCAGTCCTCTTATGCTCTTGGGCATGCCTATCTTGAATGTTGCCTGTTGTTCACTCGGCACAATGCATTCTCCGAGAGCTTTGCGTATCCAAGCTCGCCAAGTTGATACTCTTTCGACAGAGGCTGACTAACATGGGCGATTTCTCCAACCACGATCCAAGTCTGCGGGATAGCGGGGAGTTTCCGCATTCGTACACACCAAGTCCACCTGTCAAGTCGTGCCAATTGCGCCAAACTCCCGTTCCGCTCTTTGTTATTAATAGGTAACATCACATCGGGCCCTCCTAGAAATACCTACTAACTACTTGCTAGTGTTTCGACGACTCTCGAAAGGCAATCTTGACTTCGACCGCAATGGAGTATGAATACACCGGGCCCTGCTGCTGGATCTCATCCAGCTCCTACTCGATGTCCCTTGACGACTCGTTCATCTCACCAGTTTTTGAGGCGAGTAGCAGCACCTCGCTACCATTCACGCCGAGTCGTGAGGCTTGAGCCCCTCGGTCGCATAAAGGCCATATCCACGCTCTCGCTGGTGCCAAGCTCAATCTATTTATAGTAGCCCAAGAAGCGTCTCTTGGGGACGAGCAAACCTCTGATCACAAAGCCCCTCGTCCAACCCCCGTTTCGGCTCCCCTCCTGTTTGCTGGACACACCAGAGATTCTCTGGTTCCGGCTCAGGTATACTGAGCTTTTCTCGGGGTTTAAGAGGGCCAGAGTCTATGCCAGAGCATGGTGATCTGCCTCAGGACCTGCCCCAAGGGGGTTTGCTGACCCGGGTGATCGGATCATGGGTCACGACGACAATCCTTCCCACTGGCGCACACATTCATGCGCTGAGGTTGAATGAAATGCTCTCGCTGCGTCCTCTCATAACGCTACGCAAGTGCCCACCCAAGATACCGGGCCCCTGCTCGCGAATGGTGCGGGCGGGGTTTTCTTCGTCTACCTCGATTTTCCAAATGAAAATCTGGTGACAGTTCTTGCCCCCAACCTTTCTCCATTGTCTCCTGTGTGAGAAGAGCATACTCGCAGTACTCGTCCCGGTGTCATCAACCCTTCTCTCGTGGTAAAGGCCGTCAAGTCTAATTTGTTCCGCGGATTCCGTCTTCACGATCTGGACCATATACCACAGTGTCTGGGCGAGTCGGCAGGCCGATTCCTGAATCGAGGCCTACCAGCCAGACCCCAGCCCGTTTACCTTTCTTGGCTGGAACCACTGCTCTTGTAATACGTACAGCATTATATGCCCGCTTGCGCCGCGCACAATAGCTGTGTCTACCATCTCTATACCATTCCCGCCAGCTCCGGGTACCAAACGAACCAAAAGACCATCTCGCGCCCTGTTCTGTGCAGCCCACTTATAATATATTGAGGTACCATTTTCCACACACTGTCCACCACTGGCCTCCCACCTATCTGCATCTGTCCTCTTTGCTACCCTCAATTACGTGTGACGTGCCCTATCCTGCGGTGACAGAGACTCATACCACACAGGGCGCTTGTTGTGTCCTGCGTCACGGAACCCGGCCGTCGTACAAGACACTGCGGAGGTTGTCGCAGGGAAGCAGTCCATCCCCTTGCAATCGGCCGAGGAAGCCTCCGAAACAGCGGCCGGCAGACCGCCGATTCGTCACCTTGACCGCCGTGGTCATTCCGGATTAGCCGTCTCACTTGCAGAGCTGTCGTTCCACCTAGGTCTTCGTACCCGCAGCTCGCTCCTCCGTGCTCCGCCACTCGAGCGTTCTACCCTGACCGTGCAGCAGCCAACCGGGTCATGCGCCGAGCCTAAGTGCTGCCGCATACCTTTCGCTTCGATCGGCCTTACCAAGGTGTGACCATCTGACGCCATGGCGGTTCCGACAGAAAACGAGCAGCTCCCGGTGGTGGAGACCCCGACATCGCCGTCATCGGCGTTCGCTTTATCGCGCTTCGAGTTCGAGACCGATAAAGGCAACGAGGGCACCAAGATCCTCATGGTCGAGTGGGACACGTCGGTGGGCGGTGAGCAGTCCGCCGAAGCGCAAAAAGCGGAAGCCGATTGGGAGGTGTCTTGGGAAGGGAAGACCACGGTACTGCCGGCCAGAGACCCGGCTCCACTGTCTGGCTCCGAGAACGGGCCCGAGATGGATACGGATACACGGCGGGTGTACTTCCTCCTGCCGCCCGGCGCGCCGATACCGCCTCTTGTCAATATCTCACAGAGAGGCAAAGGCGGGACTCCTGGGGCCACAGTGTTGCGGACGAAGCCTATGCCCGCCATTTTCCCCAAGGAACTCGGAGCTAGCTCTCACGAGGAGGGACATCGCGGCGTACTACATAGCATCTGGGCCAAGAAGCGGCTATCGGAGCTGCAGGCCGAGATTGCAAAGGAGATGCGCCTGAACGGCGAGGGCATCGGTCTAGAGATGGCGCTTCAGGAGAAGCAGTGGATCGAAGAGCAGTTCGGTGTAGGAGATGGATCGGGCTCTGGAGGGAAAGCTGCCGAGAGCTCTGCGATCCCACCGACGCCGGCAAGCCCTACGAGCCCGCGATCGCCGATTGGGGGTAAACTGGGCGAGAAGCTGAGGGGACTGAAATTGGCGACTTCGCCCGAGGGCCTAGCGGCTGCGACGGAAGGTACTGTGTGCTCCGAGACCAAACCTCTTCATAATGATGGCATAGCTGACTGGATCTGCGACTACAAACAGCCAGCAAGACGAAGCCGCAGCCGCATTTCAACTCGCTCTCTCCTCAGGCAGCTGACATGGCAGTTCCATCTTTTCATATGTTTCCTGGCCGTGCAGCGCCCAAGGTGAGCGCTGGACCAGAAGGGGTTGCATCGCTAGATGCCATCATCGGCGGCGATGCTCCCGCGGCTCCGGCTGCCCCGGGCAAGGGGTCCGAGGAAACGGAAGAGGAGCTCTTTGCCTTGCCGATGAGCCCTCGGAGCCCCGAGATGAAGAAGAGCCCGTTCAGCCTTCTGAAATGAGTGCTTCTCTACTTAGGCTGGGGTGGCACCACCAAAGTGCGGCATAAATGTAATGGGTGATGACTGAATGACTTCTGGGATGACACGAGATGTAGATATGGAACTTGGACACTCAGCTCCGTCTTCAGGTAAAATACCTTTTCAGGGGCTCCGTCACGACCAGGCTGGGTATCTGGTTTCAAGATGAGTGAGATGAGACATCGAGACAGGGGCAGCGGCTTTACAATCAGCGATATATACAGCCGGCGAATACCAGTGTCACTTATAGAAATTGGCCAACTTGTGTGTGACTGAAATGTCTTGAGCTCGCTTGCTCGGGTTTATAGCTACGCTGAGAATGTCTTCTATCAACGCTATTGGGAGGATAGGTAGATTTCGTATCCAATCCAGCGATAGGACGTACAAAGTCGTCCTTGTTGACACTCTGGCCTATTTTCATGGTGGTATGGATATCATTATCATTCGACGACATGGTCCAGCCATAGGGTCCCCCGATGAACATCGACTCCAGGTTAATGCAACCCGCTCGAGTACCTCTCTTCTCATGCGAATCCGTAGCGAGGAATGCGATGGTGCTGGCAACGCTGGCCTTCTCTCTCTCTCTCCATGCTTCTTGATTGTCTTCCGCCAACATTTCTGTCATCTCCACCCGCCCACCCTGCCCTCATCCCACCTCTCTTTCCTCTCCTGCCGCAGGTAGTACAGCTTCTTGGCCTCGCGATACCGCCGCACCCAGTCCGCCGCCTCGCGCTCCGTCGCCATCGCCGCCGTGCCGCCACCGCCACCACCACCGGCCCCGTCCTCCTGGCCGTGAACGTGACCGCCGCCGCCGCCGCCGCCGCCGTGCTCGAGGAAGCTCTCCTCGAGCGCCTCGCACACCATGGCCTGCTCCTGCACGCCCGCCACGAGCCGCTGGTACAGGCTCGCGGGGGCGAAGGGCGCCAGCGCGGCGTCCATCTCGCCCTGCTTGGCGCGCCAGGCGCGCTCGAGCTGGCGCGCGGCGAGGAGCTGGGCCTGGGCCTGGGCGCGCTGGGCGGCGAGCCGCGGCTCGGCGTCGTCGCGGAGGTGCGCGGCCAGGCGGACGTTGTCGGCGAGGGCGGCGTGCAGGGCGGCCTCGGCGGCCGAGAGGGAGGGGTGCGCCGTGTCGGGGCTGTGGGTCAGGGCCTGGAGGAGGGGCTGGGAGGAGAGGATTGCGGCGAGGTCTTGTTTTCTGTTGCAGCCGCGTTGTGGTTAGCTGGATGGGCTCGGGGGTGCGGAGTTGGAGGGGAGGGGGGGGGGGGGGGGGGGGGAGGGATACGTACGATTTATCTTCGAGGACCTTGGGGAGCCATTGCGGGCCTGGGTCCGGGATGGACTGCGGAGGCGAGACTTGGGCTTGTACGGTGCCACTACTCGTAGTTGTGCCCGCGAAGGCGGCTTCTGGCAAGCTGGACGAGGCGTCTGTGGGGATGGGAGGTGGTGGGCGAGGAGAGTTTGTGGTTGTCGGCGGAGAGACGCGGTTTGGGTCGTTTAGGGGTTTCGGAGGAGGGACAGGTGGTGCTGAGGAGTACATCTTTGTTTGAAGAGGTGCAGTCCCCCAGAAGTCATAGTTCTGTGAGTATTCAGAGGATGGAGAGGGCGCCGTTGCAGCTCCTTGTTGTTTGCGACAATACAGGTAGACAATCTCGAAGCGATCCCATGGATTGAGGTTAAGAGTGCGCCTGCGCCTACGTCGTCACAGTGGGGGGCCTTATCTTATCTAGAGCTCCCAATGTACCTGAGAACACCAGACCCGACCAGACTCATTGAACTGAGCGAGACCCCACTTCAAGCCTCTTCCAGCAGAGAGTTGAGTGAGCATCACATCTTGACTTCGAGACAGTCCGAGGGTGCACATTTCAAGATGGCTGCCCGGCAAGACCAAAGTAGGTGCCATCGACTGGCCTGTTTCACATTGTCATCCTACGGGCCCAAGATAGCTAACAACCATCTCAGTAAACCTCGACACCCTCAGCGCACAGCAGCTCACTGCTGTCAAGAAGCAGCTCGACGAGGAGGTAGAGCACCTGACCTCCTCATACTCGCAGCTCCATGCCGCGTTAGGAAAGTTCAGGGACTGCCTGAGGTGTGTCCAGCAGCAAGGAGCCTCGGCGTCTTCCGGAAGAGGTGAGACCACATCCACCTTTGGCAACCAGATAGCTACCATTCATTCATGGACAAGAATATTCAGCCTCTCTATGCTACATGAAATTAACTCACCTGGCTACCCTAGATGCGAAGAAGAACGTCCTCGTACCGTTGACCAACTCTCTATACGTCGGCGGTCAGCTGACGAATCCTGACCGGGTTCTTGTTGACATTGGCACTGGCTTCTATATCGAAAAGGTACGAAGACTCACCGAGGGATATCCATGATCCCAACACTACAATTTGATCCAAGCCCTAGTAGCTAACACGGGTCTCACTCCGCATTGCAGGACACCAAGAGCGCAGCGACGTTCTATGAGGAGAAGATCAAAGAGCTAGGCGGAAACGTCTCAGACCTTGAAAAGATTGTCCAGGGAAAGACGCAGAATCTTCGAGTCGTCGAGGAAGGTACGTGCTCTGAGTGACCCGAAAAGAAGTGGCTTGCTGCCCTGAAGCGAGGTCATCGTGTTCTGACAGCTGTGTCTCAGTGTTGCGGCAAAAGGTCCTTGCGGAGAACGCCAAATAGATGGGATGCAGTGAGACACTGGTTGAATCGTGTCCTACTTGGTCAGCTTTCCGACTGGGTGGCTAAAAGATATCATAAGGTATCTCTATTCAAGGATATGGATGGTCCATAGGCCTCCCTTAAGGACTCTGGGCTTCCATGCAAGGCTTTGTAGCTACATATACCCACATTGTTTTCACTCTATGTAAGGCCTTTCGATGTCTTGTGACGGCATCTAGACCAGGCATGTTCTTGACTGCTTGGTCATCCCGGAGCTCCTACACATTGTGCCTACTCCTAGATCAGGGATAGGGTTGAGGTAATAAAACACTTCAATTCCTACATAAAAACTAACTAACTTTTGATGAGCAGACGTACAAGTAAAACATCTAAAGCAGAAACAGTTTACAGTAATGTCAGTGATAAACAGATGAAACAGCAACTTTCAGATGAGTGTGAGACACAAACAAGTGAAAGCAAAAACCTATGAGCGATGTCAAAGACAGACAAGTCGAAACAAAAGATGCGTGAGTGTGCCAGATGAAACAAAGTGATACCCAGGGACCACACCGTTACTCCTTGTTAGGGAGATGTCCTCAGCTCAGGCTGAGCCAGTGCCAGAGGAAAACAGGTGATACCCAGGGACCACACCGTTACTCCTTGTTAGGGAGATGTCCTCAGCTCAGGCCGAGCCGGCGCCCTGAGACTCGAGAGGCTGCTCCGTAATGGACTCTTGAATATCGCCAAGAAGGTCCTGGGCAGGCGTTGGGGCACCCTCAGGGGCGCTCACTGGACCAGGGCGGTTCACTGGGCCAATGCTGTCGAGGACATCGTGTAAGTGGTCGACCATTTTTAGAAACGCCGCGTATCCGTCCATGTATCCGGGTGCCGGTCCGTTGGCTGTTCCGCCTGCCGCTCCGCCCGCCGCTGGTGCCGTTGGTGCCGTTGGTGCCGCTGTTGCCGTTCCATTGGCAGTGGCGTTCCAGGCAGGTACGTCCCGGAAGAGCTTCTTGTTGTCCTGACCCCAGTCTCTAGGTTGATCCGCGAGATTGCGAAAACGCATCTCGTCTTCCCACTCGTCACAGTACATCGTAACTCCGCAGAACTTGGTAAGGGGGCTCTTGGTGTTGATGTCCTCGGGCTTGCTGCCCTTGCCACCCTGGGTGCTGGGGCCCTTGATACTTGTGCCAGTGCCATGGGTGTTGGTGCTCTTGGCTCCGATGCACTTGGTGTCGGCACGGCTCCATTCTCGGTAGAGAGAAATCTCCACGAGGTACGAGGTGTGTTGCATGCGTACCTTCCATATGGTCTTGCCGGCCAGCATCTCAACGCCATACTGATGGAGGACATCTTTCGGGATTTGTGGCCTTGGAAACTTGTCTTCACCCTCCGCCTGGACAAACCGGATATGGCTGATGAGTTCATTGGCCCACCGCGGGAGCCTTGCGAGTTCGGTGAGGACCTCCACCTTCCAGTCGTGATGCCTAGCAAAGATTAGTACAAGATCTAGCCCGAGCTTTGACAAAGAGCTTACCTCTCGGGGCAGAGGGTAGTGATCTCGATCTCCTTGTCCCGTCCAATATGATCGAAAGCCCGAGGTGGGCCGCAATTAGTCTTCGTTTGGGAAGGTCCAGTGGAGATTGTCTGGATGGGGATCTCAATCCTGTAGCCCCTGGCAAAGATCACGACGAATTGGTGAGCCGGCGTATCCTGCATGCGGAAGATGCGAGCATGCTCTGGCTCAAAGATCGCGGTCGACTCAAAGACCCTCTCCAGAAGCTGGCCAGAAAACCTCTCATCTCCCATGCTGATGAGTGTTAATCATATCGGCCTGATTGGTGGACGATTGGGAGTACATAGAGGGCCACTTACTTGAGATCCATCTTGGAACATCCTCGACGTCCTACTTGACGGGCAAACGCCTCAAAGTCGTTGAAGCTGTAGAGATGCTTGTCTTTGTGAGATTGGGTAAGTGAGAGGCAGCCGAAGTGCACCCTCATCCGCATCTCGGCGGGTACCTTCCTGAGTTCGCTTGCCACCTCGGCAATGGCCCTCTTGATCTGATCGCAACGCGCAGCACGGCGAGTATCCGCATTGGAAAGGGGCAAGTGTTCCGCAGGGTTTTGCTGAACCACAGCCCGCCTGCCATCCGACGTGCTCACCAACAAGACCTTGGTAGCATCGGGCTGGGTGGAAGGGACCTCCACCAGGAACAAGGGAAAGAACGTGCCTCGACTACGCCCCGAGCCCGAGAGACTCAGGAGGCTGTGGATTTTCCACAGAGCATCGGCGAAGTCGCCACGCTCCTCCGCCCACAGCGTCACCATGCCTTCGACATCGTCTTTGACGACAATCCAAACCTTGCATGCATTCTTGATCTGGTTAAGCAGAACCTGCAGCTCCTCCCTCTCCAAGTCAAGCTCGTCGAAGCAGACGGAAGGCAGGGCGAGTATGAGCTAGTCACAGTAGTCAGTATTAGCCTGGATTTCTTCCTTCGCATCCTGTGTCTTCCAAGGAAGGAAGATGGCATACCTGGTGGAGACGTGGAAGCATATCCGGTGGCGGGTGTCCCGAGTACCGGTTATCCTGTTGTAGGCGCATCATTCCAAGGAATTGGGCTGGGTCGGTCTCAACCCTGCGTCCGGTTGTGTAGGGCACATGTCTGGCCGTAGCCAACATGCTGAATTGTTTAGACATCTTGGAGTGCCGGGTGCATCTGAGGCGGGAAGGCTGGCCTCCCAAAGTGGTGAGGTAAAGACAAAGTGGTGAGGTAAAGAGGATGAAATGAAATGTATTTGTTGGTAAAGTGAGAAGAAGTTGAGGGCTCAACTCCTCTCTGGGGAGTAAGGAAAGGCAAGATGGGAGAGAGAGAGGTCTGTGGTCAGGTAGTTGGCTCGCAGGAGAGGCAGGAGATGGGAGAAAGGCTCAGGGGCAGGAGCTCCAGCGAGTGATTTGGTAAGTTGGACCTCAAGCAGAATGCTTCTTCTGCAAGACAGACAGACCAGGAAGAAAAGAGTTTCAAGGTTTTGCATTATTTGTCTGCTGCTACCCCTCTTCTTTTCTCCATGATAGTGGCAAACAACGTAGGGCGTTGAGTCCCTATCTGTGATTGTTGCACCTGGCCGTTCTGCATCTATCTACCAAAGTTTGTTCATCATGCTTTGGCAGCACAGCATCAGTCCACTTATTTACCCTTGTAAACATGAGATACATGTGCTATCAAGTGCAGAAAGCTGGTAACTTACATGACACTGCAGTAGTTGAAAGTCCATGCCACAATCATACACCCAAGCTCCCAGCTTTGTGGACCATTCATCTCTGCAATGTAGTCAGGCCAGTACACACAATTCTAGGACAAACACACAAGTAACAGATAGGTCTACGTCCCTAGCTGGCTGAATTGATCAAATATTCCAATGCTTAAAAGACAGGTCTTTCAAAAGCTGTCGGTATTGATTGCTTGATCAATATTGCCCCAGTGCACAGGAAGTACATAGTAAAGCACAATTCCATCACCATCAACACCTGTATTGTGACACATTGATCCAGCAGTTGTAAGAGCCAAAACACCATTCTGTACTGCAGATACCGCCCCTGTCTGATGAACATATTCGAGTGAACATCAATCTGAGAACCTTGGGAGAATTACACTTTGGATTTGGTTGGTGCTGGAAATGTCCTGAACAGCAGTTGTACTATAGTGGGCCTTTCGTCCATCTTACGGGGATCTTAATTGAACCACGAAACTTCGCGTCTAGCAAGACGCGTCCACTTCAACCAGATTCTACAGGTAGCAACAGGGGCCAATGCTTGCCTTCGACCCAGTGACATAACCAGGCCCTTTCTTTCTTTTGTTGTTGTTGTGTCGAGCTGCCACCACACTTCTAAACTAGATTACTCTGCGTCATTGATTTCTTCTCTTTCCCTTTCAATTACCCGCGCAGTGAGCAGCTCTTGCGCGGTCCCAGCAACAGAATGCCGGCAGAGCACCACCTAGAGCGCAGGAAGCGCAGGACCCCGAAAAAGGTGCCTGGCGTCAACAGAGATGACTCGGATGACGAGCTCGGGATCGAGGACCTCCCGTGGGAGTGGATCTACCAAGAGCAACAGGATGGCAGTCCGGCCGAAGACGGCAACTCTCGCAAGCGGAAGCGGACGCAACAGGACAAGATCATTGGCGCCCGGATGGGCAAGTTCGAGTGCCGGCTGGGCGACACGGTCCTGCTCAAAGCCGAGCTGACGAACGAGGCATGGGTCGGCATCATCTGCGATTTTGTCGACAGCGACGGCGACGAGGGCGAAAAGTCGGCCAACTTCATGTGGCTCTCGACGGAGCGAGAGATTCGCAACAAGGAGAAGAAGCGCACCGATTTCTACCCCAACGAACTCTACATATCCCCCTCCTGGGACCTCAACCCCCTGGCCTCCATAAACGGAAAGGCAACGGTCACCTCGCTCGACGCGTTTCTCAAGAAATACCCGAATGGGAAGGTGCCTCGGAGCTCAAGGGATCATGGCAAGATCTTCGTATGCCGCAGAGGCTGCAACACGCGGACGGCGACCTACACTGATGAGTTCGTCTGGGAGGACATCTACCATGGGTCCGAAGAAGACATCTTCAATCTCGTTGAGATGGTCAAGAACGGCACAAAGGCGACGAGGAAGCGCAGATCAGCCAAGCAACCGTCGCCCGACGTGTACGCTTTTGAGGAGGACGCAGACGATGCTGCCGCACCCCGAACGCCAAAGAAGGCCAGGAACCAGGATGCGACAACGCCAAGCAAGCAGAGGAGTGCTAGCAAGCCGATGACGCCTTCGCATCGGAAAATCATGATCAAGAAACAGCTGGAATTCACACCCCTAGCGACCCGAACTCTCTCTCCTGCAAACCACCAATCCTCACCATTCCAGATCGCCCGCGCAAATCTCCACGTAGCCTCCGTGCCGGCGAGTCTACCCTGTAGAGAGTCTGAGTTCAGCCTCGTCTACTCCCATCTCGAGGCCGCCATCACGGACGGCATGGGAACCTGCATCTACATCTCTGGCACCCCCGGTACAGGCAAGACAGCGACAGTCCGCGAGGTGGTGTCACGACTGGATGAAGCCGTAAGCTCGGACGAGCTGGACGATTTCATATTCGTCGAGATCAATGGAATGAAGATCACGGATCCTCATCAAGCCTACTCGCTGCTATGGGAGGCCTTGAAAGGGCAGCGCGTCAGCCCGGCGCAGGCCCTCGACCTTCTGGAACGGGAGTTTAGCCATCCCAGCCCGCGGCGAGTGCCCTGCGTCGTGCTGATGGACGAGCTCGACCAGCTCGTCACCAAGAACCAGGGTGTCATGTACAACTTCTTCAACTGGCCCGGTCTCAGACACAGCCGGCTCATCGTCCTCGCCGTGGCCAACACCATGGATCTGCCAGAGAGGACGCTGAGCAACAAGATTAGCAGTAGACTGGGCCTGACCCGTATCACATTCCCCGGCTACAACCACGAGCAGCTCATGAAGATCGTCCAGTCCCGCCTCGAAGGCGTTCCCGGCGACATCGTCTCCCCAGACGCCGTCCAGTTCGCCAGCCGCAAGGTCGCTGCCGTCAGCGGCGACGCCCGCCGCGCTCTGGACATCTGCCGCCGGGCCGTGGAGCTCGCCGAGGCAGACAGCAGCAGCAGCAGCAACAAGTCGGCCCCGCCGACGCCGAGCAAGAAGAACGGCGCGGACCCGGCACCGGCGGAGAAGGAGACCGCGCGCGAGAAGAAGCGCGGGCGCGTGACGATCGAGACGGTCCGCCGCGCCATCGCCGAGGCGACCTCGAGCCCCCTGCAGCAGTACCTGCGCGCCCTGCCGTTCGCCGCGCGCCTGCTCCTCGCGGCGCTGCTCGTGCGCACGCAGCGCTCCGGCCTGGCCGAGAGCTCGTACGGCGACGTGCTGGGCGAGGTGCAGCGCGCGCTCGGGCTCGTGGCCGAGGACAGGCGCGTCGAGCTGCTGGGGCGGAAGCCGTTGCGGGACGCGTCGGAGCTGTACCACCAGTCCGGCCCCTGGACGGGGCGGCCCCGGGCCGGGGACCACGGCGGCAACAAGGCGGCGCGGCTGGCGGGGCTGGGCGCCGCGGCGGTGGACCTCACGGGCGCGGGCATCATCAACCTCGAGGGCCTGCGGGCGGAGAGGCCGAGCAAGATCAGGCTGGCCGTGGGCGACGAGGAGGTGCGGCTGGCGTTCCGCGACGACCCGGAGATCAAGGCCATCGGGCTTGTATTTTAAGAAAGCATACATAGACTACTAATCGTGGTAATAAACTCCTCCAACGCCATCATTACATGGGTCCGGCGGCAAATCCTTCTAAAAATTGCCACACACACGATATGAACATACAGAATTTTATATGACAATATACCATCATCACAATACGACAACACGCACTCCTTCTCCTCTTCCACGTCCAGGCACGATTTCAATACTTCCTCCGCCCGATGGCCGGCTTCCAGTCGACGGGATGCGTCTGCGGCGTCGCCTGGTCGTCCGGCCTCCAGATCTTGATCGTCTTGTCCGCCTCGCCCACAATCAGCCTCAGGCCGCTCCTGTCAAAGGTGGAGCTCATGACGCCGCTCTCGGCGTCGAGGGAGCCCGGCTGGGCCGTGGTGTCGAGGGCCTGGAAGCGGTAGCCCGTCTTCCAGTCCCAGAAGCTCATGGAGCCGTTGTCGCCGCCCGAGAAGAGCACGTTGTCGGCGTTGACGGACAGCGAGTTGATGATGGCGTTCTGGCCCTCAAAGTTCTGCATGAAGGCGCCCTCGGGGCACTTCCACTGCTTGATGCTGCCCGTGCTGCCGCTGGCAAAGGTGAACTCGGTCGGGTGGGCGGCCAGGGCGCGCACGCCCTTCTTGTGGTGCGTCAGGACGCCCATGGTCTTGCCGGCGGCCAGGTCCCACATGCGCACGGTGCTGTCGAGCGAGCCCGTGATGACCTGCGGGTCGGCCTCCTGGCAGATGAGGTCCGAGACGGTCTGGGTGTGGCCCGCGAGCACGTGGATGTTGCTGCGCGTGCGCATGTCCCAGACGCGGGCGACGCCGTCGCGGCCGCCCGTCACGAGCACGTCGAGCGTCGGGTGCAGGGCCAGGGTGTAGACGCCGCTCAGGTGGCCGTGGTAGTGCCGGATGACCTTGTTGGTCTCGAGGTCCCAGCACTTGACCATCTTGTCCTCGCCGCAGGAGAAGAGGTACGGGTGGCGCGGGGAGACTGCGAGCCCGCGGACCGTCGAGATGTGGCCCGTCAGCGTGAGGCGCAGCTGGCCCGAGACCATGTCCCAGATCTTGATGGTGCGGTCGCCGGCGCCCGAGGCGAACCACTTGTTGTCGGGCTCGACGGCCAGCGCGCGCACCCAGCCCAGGTGGCCCGAGATGACGCGCATCAGCTTCCACGGCGGGTGCCAGTCCGGCCGCGGCTGCACGTGCACGTCCTGCGCGCGCACGAGCTGCTGGCCCGGCTGGCCCTTGGCGCCGCCGCCGCCTGCCTGGCCGGGGGCCCGCTTGCTCAGCATGAGCGCGCCCGTCTGCGGGCCGCCTCCTCCCTGGCCCGGTTGTCTCGCCGGTCTGCTCTCCTGGATGCCCTCGATCATCTTGCGCGCCTTGTCCTCGCCGTCGGTGCTCGCGTCCGCCGCTGCCGCTGCCGCTCCCCCCGCCGCGGGCTTCTTGCCTGCCTTCTTGCGCGCGCCGGCTGCGGCGGCCTGCTTGGACGCGAGCGGCTCGGGCAGGGTCTGGACGTCGCTGTACTCGGCGTGGAAGCGGATCGAGAGCGCGCTCTTGTCGATGTCCGGGTCGTTTGTGGGGTCGAGCCTGATGCGCTTGCCGGCGGCAGTGTCGGCGTAGAGCGCCTTGGTCTTGCGGGCGTTCTTGAGGATGAGGGCTTGGAGGTCGCCGTGGCCGGGTGCAGTGGCGGCCGAGGCGCCGTCTGCGACTTGGGCGGCCATCACGGCTGGTGAGGGTGCTGCTGGTGCCGGAGAATGTGTTTCGATCTCACCCGAGTCCACTGTGTTGTGAGTCCTGTCGAGAAATATCCAAGGGCCCGATGTCCCCAGGGTAGATAATTAAATGCGAAATGTGATTCCAAGTCGAGAAGTCGAGCTTGGACGGCCTTTCCAACGCGATCTAGAAATTTTGGAGCTCTGGAGAGATGTGGGTCCGGCTCTGGTTGCACTCGTTCTGGGCATTACATAAGTCGGGACTGCCTGGACTACACGACATCGCTCGGCATTCTTGGGTTTGTCTGAACATCCGATCATAAGAACGAGTCCGTATTCTGATCTGGTTACTGAGGATATCGAGTTTCCTGTTTTCCAAAAGGAAAAAAAAAAAAACACCGACCGAATCAACACCTCTTCGCGGTTGAAAGTCGAGCCACGCCAAGATGGATGACCAGCCCAAGTTCGCCATCCACGCTGCATGCCGGGAGGGCAAAGGTGAGCTTCTACGTCATGCATCGCAACCGACACAGCTTGGCTCACATATTGAACAGTTCAGATCGTGGAGTCGCTGCTGAATGTATGAGATCCCATCAGAGGCACTTCCCTGCATCCGCCCATGGCTACTGTTTTCTCAACCCGGCGTCCCACTAACACCGTCTCCAGGCGCATCCGCAGCTGGCCAAGCTGAAGGATGACGATGGCCGCTACCCCATACACTGGGCCGCTTCCGCAAATTCACTCGAGATTGTTCAGCTTCTAGTCAACCAGAAAGGTTTCGAGGTCGATGTCCAAGTACGCTGGGTATCCCGGGATCTCACTTCTACGTTGCTGAGATGACTGACTCGGCCATGATGTACAGGACGAGAGTGGCTGGACACCCTTGATGATAGCAGCGAGCGTCAAGGAATCCGACGCTGTCGTAGACCTGATTCTCAGCAGAGGCGCAGATGTCAACGAGAAGAGTAAGTCACATAAACCACCCGAACTATTCTAGTCACAGAACTGCCTGACACAACCTTGCAGACAACAGTGGTCAGGTACGAGAGAGCCCCCCCTCTGGTCGATGTGTGGCCTCGATGAGGGAGGCTTGCGCTCCCTCCTCGTGGAGGAATCAACTAACAAGACATATAAAATCTCATGTAGACTGTCCTTCACTTCGTCGCCTCCAAGAACAACATCGACATCGCCCGGAAGCTCTTCGACCAACAGCCGCCGGCATCGGCCCGGGTCCGCGACAAGCGCGGCCAGTATGCCCTGCACCGCGCCGCGGCCGTCGGGTCAGTGCCGATGGTGAGCCTGCTGCTCAAGAACAAGAGCCCGCTGAACGCCACGGACGCTGCCGGATACACTGCATTGCACCATGCAGTGGCGGAAGGACACGGTGAGCCCGTCACCCCAGAGACACAAGATGCCCAACTTGTCAGGAAGAAACTTGCTAACTCGAACACGCTAGGTGACACTGCCGTCGCCCTGCTCAAAGCTGGAGCGGAGACGGACAAGAAGGACACAGATGGCTATCTCGCCCTGGACCTCGCGCCGGACAAGGAGGTACGGAAGTACATCGAGCAAGCAGCAGAACGTGAGGGCATTGAGCTCTGAGGCAATGGCGGAAGTGTATCACCTAACCGGGGGGACAACCAGTAAAGAGAAAATGAGTCCATGCCGTATAGGCACCGCCTTGTAATATATATGATGAATTAAATCTAATCACTAGCGTAGCTAAACAGAAAGGGAGGCCGGCTAGTTTCATCAACAAGAAGGGGAACTCCCCCTCGTCATCGAACAGCGCTCTCCACAAGATCCCTATACATGGCCTTGACATCCTGCACGTCGGCCCTGAGCTCCTCGACGAGCTCGCTCTTCTCGCCCAGGAGCTCGAGCGTCGTCTCGTACCGCTCCTTGACCTCGGCCACCTCGGCCTCGAGCGCGCCGACCCTGTCGAGCGCCGCCTTGCCCGCGTCCGCCTCCTTCATGAGGCTCAGGACCTCGGCGCGGGCCTCGTCCCGCTGGTTCGAGATGCGCGCCAGCTCCTCGCGCGCCGCCACCTTCTCGCTCTCGAGGCGCCGGATCGCCGCGCTCATGCGCTCGACCAGCTGCACCGAAGGGCCCGCCGCGACGGTCGAGACCGACACCATGTCCTGCACCATCTGCTGCGGGGAGGCGGTCGTCTCGCGCTCCGACATGTCGTCCTGCTCGAGCGGGTGGGTGGCGGACGGCGTCGGCAGCGCCTCGATGCTCGGGCTGAACAGGCCCGGCGAGTGCGGCAGCCCTGCGAAGCCGCCGGACTGGAGGGATGGCCTCGTGGACGGCTGCGCCGACGGCCGGCGGGCGAGGTACCTCTCCGCCGGGTCGTCGTTGCTTGGGGTAGATGTCTTGCGAAGCTTGTTCGGCTGGAGGCCCAGGAAATCCGAGCTCCATGTCCTGGATGGCTGGAGCAGCGAGGGCGAGTCTGGTCGGCTGTTGTTCTTGAATGGTGGGTTTGGAAGGCCTTCTAGCCATTCGCCCCGATCCCTATCGTCTTTGTCTTCTTTCCACGAAGATTTCTGTTTCTCAAAGTCTTCCCTGGCCTCTCGCAGGGCGGCTTCCGCCTCTTCGACACGTTTCTTGAGCGCTTCTATCTGCGACTCGTATGATTTGACATTATCCTGGGCTGAAGGGAGTTGAGCCCTAGCCTCCTCAAGTTCCGCTTCAGTGCGCTTGACAGCCAGATTCTACGTAGGATTAGTACGTGGAGCACATGTCGATGATAAGCTTGGTGGCACTTACAGCAGTACGGGCCTTCTTCCGCATCTCGGACTCCCTTTCTTGCGCCTCATCCCTCTCCCTCTCAAGGTTGGATATCCTCGCAAGCAGCGTAGCCTCGATGCCTTGCCAATTCTCACTCGCGATGGCATACTGAGACTGCAGAGTCTCGACCTGTCGTAGCAGCTTGGCTTGTGAGTCGCCAATGGCCCCTGAAGACGCTTCTTCCGCGCGAACGCGCATTGACTCGAGCTTGCTCTCCATCACTTGAACCTCGGCCTTCATCTCGACCTCGATGAGTCGGGCACGCTCTGCGGCGCGCTCAGCCTTCTCCTTAAGGTCGCTGGCTTGGGCTTTGGCCCTATCCGCCGCAAGGTTCTTCTCGACTTGCAGGTCGGACAGTTGCTCCTCGAGTTCCCTGACACGCTTTCTCTCTTTCTCTAGAGCCTCTTCGTTCACCTTGGCGGTGAGGTTGTTGGCATGCTCCTTGGCCTGGTTGAGCTGCTTCTTCAAGTCCGCAATGGTCCTGTCCTTTGCAGCATTCTCTGACCGTAGGCTGTCTATCTCTTTGCGTAGTTGCGCAGACTTCTTGTCTGACTCCGCAACGGTCTTTTCGAGCTCATCGACGCGTTTCAGCCGTCGCTTTGCACCGTCCAGCTCTGCCTGGACCTTAGTTCGTGACGTCTTTAGGTCGTTGATCTCCTTCTCGTGCTCTGTGATAGTCGTGCGGAACTTTTTCATGATAGTCCGGTGTTTTTGCTCAGTGACACCGAGTTTCTTTCCCTCCTCCATGAGCTGTGCAATTTGCAGGTCCTTCTCGGCGAGTTTCTTCTCGGCGCTCCCGCCTGGGGCGCTTTGAACCGCCTTTCTAGCGGCATCCGTCGTTTCCCGAGAGAGGTATTGCAGCTTAGCCTGAACAGCGTCGAGCTTCTCGACATAGTCATGCACCTCCTCCTGGTGTTGCCGTTGCGCTTCGGCCAACTCGTTCTCGAGCTGCTTGATCCTGGCCTCCTGCATGTCGTTGAGGGCCTTATCGGAATTTTTAGGTTCAGATTCATCAATTGTGGGTGTGATGAGAACCTGAGGAGGAGGAGAAGCCACCTTCGGGGGTGGTTCGTGTTCTTGTCGAGTTGCGCTCGCGGTCACCTTCTCCTCGTTCTCAGGAGCTGGAGGTTCCGTCACAGTCGCCGTCTCTGCACCCTCTGTGGTCTCGCCTTTCTCCCCCGGAACACTGTCCATGGAAGGACGCGCGACGCCATCTTGAGAGCCCCGCACGGATGTCGTCTCCAGTTCGGTCTCCTTAGGGCGATCTGTGCTGTCGGTCGAGCCACGGCTCGCAGCATCGACACTCTGCCGGGGGCTAGGGGCGGTCGACGTTCGTGCTGACGACGCCTCTGTCCTCTGGCCGGCGGCAGCATTCTTAGCAGCAACAGCGCGGGCCAGCCTCTCTTGCAATCGATCGTTTGCGCGGTTCGTCGAGGCAGATCTAGACGGAGCTGCATTCTAGGCATCAGCTTACGGAACAACCAGGACGAAATCTAACGTGTCGACTTACCGGAAGGCTTGTTCTGGGCTTGCGCACCATTTGAAGGTGTCGAGGGCTTCGCTTGCGGCTTCCCAGACTCATCCCCCTCCGCCAGGATGGTATCCAGCCGGGCCTCGACACCCGCTACGGCTGAAGACAGGAACGAGCCCCATCTGGAGCCTTTCGCCTGGTTCGCCATGGTGATGGGGGGGGCACTCAGGACCGACCAGGGGGTTCTGAATCGAAAGGCAGAGACGATATCATCAAGGGTTACAGGGCCAACTACCGCTGAGGCCTTCGATGCATGTTTCTGGGCGCGTGTAAGCAACGGCGTCGTTATCAGGCAGTGTCGAGCTGATGCCTGCCGGAAGAGACGCCGGGCTGGTTCGGGGGAGAAGCTGGGCTGGGGATCTTGTTCAGCTCCGGCCCGGAGGGTGTTATGGGCGTCTTTTTTTCGCGTCTTGTCTCAGGTCGCGCAGAGCTGCGAAGCCAGGGCGCACTCGAGGAATTCGGCGATCAATGGGGGTGTGATGTTCTAGAGCTTCGGCTGACGCTGCACCATTTCGGGAAAGGCTGAAGCCTGGAGCCACGCATCAATTAATTGACACGCCCTCCAAATGGCCTCAGCCACACAAGGGACCCGGTGCCACGGCCAAGACTGCGCTAGATGTGCAAGGGGGGCCACCCGTAATCACACTGTAATGACGAGTTCGTACAGGGGGACAGGGGGCGATCTTGGCGGGGTACAGTAGCAATCAATATCGAGCATTTTTGAGTGCCTGGTTCTACTTGTACCGAGTTGTCAAGATCCATGGATGGATGGATGGATGCAGCAGAAAGCTGGAGCTCCCTTGTGGGGGTTTGGACGAACCTCCCGGCTGAAGCTACGAACGAGACTATCGCCGTCTTCGGCCACTTGGAGGGAGAGACGCGGCATAGGTTCCAGGTCGGGTGCATTAGCTCCGCCTGCATCAGACCCGTTCATGTTTCCAGGCTTTTGCCCTCCGCTCACATCACATGCCAGTCATGCCTCCTCGGGGATCCCTCCACAAGCTCCAGCAGTAGCCCGGATTCTTCGGGAAGGGCTACCTGTCAGGAACCAATTCTTGCTAGCCTATCTGATGTGACGTATTTCTTTGCAGGTCTTGTCAACAACGCCATCATACTGCACAGTGCCTTCTCCTTCGCCGTTTCTCGTCGTGTGCAAAGATGCGGGCATTTTAAATTCACTGAACCTCGCAGTCTGAGTGTGTACGGTCTGGAAGGCGTACGGAATACTCCTGGACGAGGTAAGAGCTGTTTTTTCTCACCCACTCTAGCTACTGGCCGCCAAGCACGACCCCGATATGTCACGGACTTGCTCCGAGGTCATTGGGGGCCTTTCTGTCTCTTCTGCCTTTCGAGTTTTCTAAGCTCTTTCAGGCCGGCCAGTACCTGCCGAGCGAAATGGAACACGATGCTGGATTGTTTTGGAAACATCGCCAATGGCTCGTTGCGGGTTTTTGTCGGCGTTCACGATAGCGACGCTTACTAACGCCGCGTAGTATATCTTTGGGTTGCAGGCCGAAAAAGACACCACCACGATCGTGCAAAAACTTCCTAACGAATGCGAGCTGTCACAATATGTCGTTCTTACAGATACCGTACAGAGAGGCGCGAGATGGGTTCTGGGGAGAGCAGACCTCGACGCTCAACTGGTGCGAAGAGGTGAGTGAAGTTGCATCCGAAGAAAAGGCAGAGCGGCTGACCTGTTCCGCCCCCACGTAGGATTACAACATAACGAAGTATTGTGCCGAATTCGTCAACACTGTGACCAATGTCATGTTCCTTTGGCTTGGCAGCAAGGGTATCCGCGACTGCCTCACCTACCCATACTCGACTGTTTTTATCGTAGGGTTTATTGGGTACATGGTGGTTGGCATGGGCTCCATAGCATTTCACACGACCCTCAAGTGTAAGTCCGGTCGTTACTGGTTTCAAGGGAATGCTGAAGCCTGATCTGACCTGGTTTTTTACCCGACTAGATTCCATGCAACTCGCGGATGAGTTGCCCATGATCTATTCCACATGTATCATGGGCTTCACGACGTTCTCACACGGCAAGTCGCGCAAGGTTGCTACCTTTATCGGTCTGGGATTTTTCAGCTTTGCGGTGGCAGTCACTGTAAGGAAATAGCCGGCAACCTTCATCTTTAACTTTCTGACCAACGGACAGGCCATCTACTGGATCACTAAAGACCCTAGCTTCCACCAGGCAGCATACGCCCTGGTCACCGTGACGCTTGTGTTTCGCAAGATCTATGACCAAGAAACCGTGCTCAAACCGGCGCTTAGAGCTCGAAACCCTGCAAGAGCCGATCAATTGATGAAGGAATTGCGGTTGATCTCGTTGAGTGGTACGTACTTGGGCTCGTCCGAGTAGTCCTTCACGGCATAGTGGCGGGACAAGTACTAATTCGATATGGAATAGGAGCCGTGATCTTCCTGACTGGCTACGGTATTTGGTGGCTCGATAACTTGTATTGCCATAACCTGCGGGCTTGGCGATCCGTCATACTCCTCCCTTGGGCAGTCATACTGGAAGGACACGCGTGGTGGCATCTATTCACAGGTCTAGGTTAGTGCTCTTTTGCTCCATCACTTATTTCTTTTGAAAAATCACTAACAATTGCCTCCCTCTATAGGTGGTACGTTATCAACAACTCTCCTTGGTTCTACTGACACAGCTAACATGTCCGAAAAGCTTACTACTTTATCGTATGGCATATCTGGGCGCGATTCCTGGAGGAGAGTAGGGAAAACGACTACCAGCTACAATGGCCATCGATCTTTACATCCGTTCCCCGAGTCGTCCCCGTTCGCCACGACGCCTCAGACAAGGCGAGAAAGACGAAGTAGGATTGAGGCATTGTACCTCAACGTTGTAACGAATGTCGCTCCCGCGAAATCAATGCATGACCATGGCATAGACAAAATAGAGGATGTATACCCTCATGCTTGCGATGAAGCAAGGACTAAGATATAGAACTACGGCAAGCACATGAATGAACTTCATGCCTGTTTCCATCTAGGCTCGCCGATGTCAGTGGGGAAATTTGATCCATGCTTGATACATAATCCAAACCTGCGACTGAATACTTTCATTAAGACTTGTAATTCCGGTCTATATGCTTTTCTTCGTATTTCAGTCTGTTGAGCAATGCCTATTTCAAAGTGTTGGTTGTGCTGCTCTGTAAGTCGACCACAGTACGCAGGGACGCTGGCACTGTACGCTGGATGCGACTACTAGGCGACTGGCTGCCCCTCCCTCCTAATCCCATCAAAATTCCCACACTACGATCACCGGCGCATGTGAGAGTGAATGAACCTCACTTTACCAGGTCTTGAGAGTCTACAATACGCGGACCGCGCATTCCGGTACAAGGGCATCACTTCCGATCATTCGCGAGTAGGATTCTTCCGTGGCCTTTTAAGATAATCGAACTTCCTGAGTGCCTGGGCGCTCCATCTCTCACAAAATGTCGATATCAAATGAGGCATTGCAGAAGGTATGCATTCCGAGGGGCATGAATGCCCCTCAGGATCACCTATCCTCACACCATTTTGAGGAAGGCTGGCTAACTCTGGTGTCCCCGACCGCCAGCTGGTGATGGAGATTGAGACGCAAGCCATCCAGGCGCAGCAGCAGATCTCCCTCGTGCGGACGCAGATGGCCTCCAAGCAGCGGGAGATGCGGCTGGCGCAGCTCACGCGCAGCGAGATGGCGGCGCTCCCGCCGCAGACGGCGGTCTACGAAGGGGTGGGCAAGATGTTCGTCGCGGTCCCGGGCAGGGAGCTGGACGGCAAGCTGGAGAAGCAGGTCAGGGCGGCGGAGACGGAGATCGAGGGCCTGGGCAAGAAGCTGCACTACCTGGAGACGACGGCCAAGAACAGCCAGGCGCACATCGAGCAGATGCTCAAGGGGGCGGCCGCGTGATGGATGGATGGATGGATGGATGGATGGATGGATGTGTGTGTGTGTGCTGTGAAAGGGGAGGGGAGGGGAGGGGAGGGATGGGCGGGACGATCCTCGTTTCATCCATGCTGTTGGGTCCTCCTGACACGGTTATGCTCCAGCATGGCGGCAAAGGATGTGGCATCTATGAGGCGCAGCATGAAACGCGACGGGTACATATCATCAACGGCACTTGACAAGTTGTACGAAGGCGGAGGGTACTGGTGGGGAGGCTGTACTGGCCAGGAATAGACCCCTAGCCGCGGCTGGGCTGGGGGATGCAGATGGATGGATGGCAGAAAACATACACCACCGCCAATTTCTACTTTCTGAATTTGCAAGCGAGATCTTCTCCGTACGGTTGGCGCCGACTTGTGTGTAATTTCTCACCCAAATGGGTGAGGCATGTGATGCTATGATTTGTATGGCCACTGATTGTGGGTATGGGTTGAGTTTCAAGAGACGCCGAAGCTCTCGCGCTCTTGGCAAACCGCCCACGTTAGACGCCGACCCTCGATGCGGCCGCAGATGGCCCAAGCGGTAAGCCGCAAGGGTGAATCGGACGGACGATCTGGCTTATCTCGGTGCTCCTGTGGAAGAGCAGAAGTTGGGAATCAACTCTGTCTCATTGACGATGTCTATGGCAGATCAATCGTGGTTTGTGCTTGTGGTGTTGTGTTTGATTGCGCATTGAGTGTGTGTATCAGTGTGTTAGTTACATCTGCAAAGCGCTGGGATTCCAGCATGGTGGCGGCGTGCGCGGGGGCCTGGGCAAGTTCCGTTATTTGCACTTCAGCCCTATCCGCCCAGCAATGCCAATGTCGCATTGGTTTTGATTAGGTCGACACCTTGCTGCCCCTCTCACTCTGTTTCCTCGATGCGACCAATGCCCCTCCTCAGCTCCTGTCTGCCACATCGAGTTGGCTGTTTGGCACCGACGCATTTGCTACTCTCTGCTGTGACTGACTGCAGTGCGCTGTTTGTCCACCCAGATTTGCAACCAAAGATGGCAATTGACCCGTCACTAGACCAGCCAACAGTCAGAAACCAGCCCCCCTCCATCTTCGTCCTTGACCACACTCCTTTCCTTTCCCTCTTGTCATGGGCCGGCACGCGTCGGGCAGAACCTTGACTCCACATCATTTGCCTAGTCTCCACGAGCCGACTTTAGTGACTCTAGTGAGGAGGAGCTTGGAGATGCTGGGAGTATGGGACGGACTGTTTGTGGTCGAGTTGTAGTGGACCTCACTCCTCCTCCAAGCGCTGACATCCATGGAGCCATCCATCTCTGCTTCGCAGTCTGTTCTTCCCAGCCACGTCCAACTTGGACTCCTCGCTGTCGCACCAGTCCAATGTCACCCTTTCGGCCCCCAACGACAAGACGTGGTGACCCAGTTTCTTTTGTCGGCGCGCACATGCATGCATTCGTAATTTTAGTACCGGCCAAGTGCGGTCCTAATTCATGCAGCTGCTGACAAGCCTATCCTCGACTGTGTCTGCTCTCCCTCTCCGTCTCCACACACCGCCCATCTGCCCAACTGGCGGACGTCTGGCCTCGCGACCGGGCCAACCAGATGCAGCTTCGCGCTCTTCGATGGCTCGACCAGAGCGGAAGCTGATGCTGCACACATCAGATCCCTGCCCCTCCTGTACAGCCAGTACACGCCGTCTTCAGCCAAGCAGTGTGGCACCTGCCGGGGTCCCCCCCCCCCCCTCTCTCGTCTCAGGTCTTCTTGTCGCCGGTACGTGACTGGGTGCGAATAAGCTGGCGGGACCTCTCCGTCTCCCTCTCAGATGAATCTGCAGATTCCGCACCCGCTTTGCTGCCGGTTGGCGACTCTAATCAGAGCACTAATGGTAGGCTCGGGTCGAGGTACGTAGGTATGGAGTAGGAGGGAGAGACGGACATGTATCTCTCACAAGCACACTGCACACACAGACACATAGTTGTGTTACTCATGGGTCCATCCCGGCTGCTTGGCCCTTCCCCTCCCTCCCTCTCCTCTCCCTGTCTCGTCCCGCCGTTGACCACGGCGCCGCCGTCAGCCATCTCCCAATATAGGGTGGGCCACACCCTTCTTTTAAAACACCCCGCTTACCCGCTGCTTACTCTTTTTCCCTTCTGTCTCTTCCCTTGCCTGTCAGTCAGTTACACCCGCTTCCATTCTCAGGACAGAGTTGTCTTTCAGATCTGCTGTTGGTACAGTGGTCCGCGATCCAAGTGACAGTGGCAGAGCGTCACCAACACTGAGGCTTGGTCACCCCTTCCCCAGGTCTACCAGTGTGGTCACCCCAGGACCTGACCTGACCTGACAGGCATCATCTTCGCCTGGGCCGAGTTTAAACCACCATATCCAGACCCCGCTTCTCGTACGAACGTTGACCATGAGTTCTTACGGATATACCGACTCCGAGGAGGAGCTCGACGTCCGTATCCATCGCCATCGCTCTCCGCCGGAGCGCCGCCCGGCTCCTGTTCACTACGTCGAGGCCCGGCGTCCGGCCCGGCCGCAGAGCTACTATGCCACCGGCCCCAGCTACCTGGCGCCGGAGAACCGCATCGTCGTCGCGTCGCGATCCCGCTCAAGGGACCGGTCCCGCGAGCGGCGCTCCTCCCCGCCGACGTCGCAGGCCCCCCAGGCGCCCATCGTCATCAACAACTACCAGAACCACAACAGTGATTCCGATGACGACTCGTGGGACGAGCACCACGTGCACCACCGCTCGGCGCACAGCAGCCACTCCCGCTCGCGGGCCGCCTCCTCGGCCGCCGGCGCCGGCGCCATGGTCGTCGCCCCGAACCAGGCCTTCATGACGCGCGAGGAGTACGAGCTCGAGCAGACGCGGCGCGAGCTCGAGGAGCTGCGCCTCGCCCAGATGAGGCGGAGCGGCCAGGACGACCGGGACCGGGACCGCCGCCGCCACGAGGACTGGGAGCTCAAGCACACGCGGCGCGAGCTCGACGACATCCGGTCGCAGCAGACCCGGGAGCGCGAGGACCGGCAGCGCCAGAAGGAGATGAACGACCAGGCCGAGCTGCAGCGCGCCAAGCGCGAGCTCGACGAGATCAGGCGCCGCGAGGAGGCCGAGGCCGAGAAGAAGCGCATCAAGAAGGAGCTCGAGATGAAGCGGCTCGAGGAGGAGGCGCGGGCCAAGGAGGAGGAGGAGCGCCGCGAGAAGGCCGAGAAGGAGGCCATCGAGCGGTACAAGCAGAAGGAGCTCGAGCGCCGCGAGAAGGAGAAGCGCGAGAAGGAGTGGGCCGAGAAGGAGTACCAGCGGCGCCTGCAGGAGGACCTCATCAACTCGGGCGTCGACGAGAAGGACATCCAGGCCATCATCAAGAAGGAGAAGGTCAAGCGCGCCGAGCAGGAGGAGAAGAAGGAGCGCCAGACGTACACGCGCATGGCCCGCCGCCACCTCTCGCTCGAGACGCTGCGGGTGTATGGCATCGACTACGAGTATGACAAGGTGAGTGGGCTGACTTGAACCCCGAAAAACCAAAGGAGCCTTTGTAAACACTGACACCGGTGCCCTGCACTAAAAACAGGACCCCAACTACCTGGTCATCAAGCGCTGGGTGCCCGAGGACGAGCAGGACATCCTGTGGCGCCACACCAAGATCATCCGCGAGAAGCGCGAGCGCGCGCTGTACGTCGAGATCGACGAGCACAAGAAGAAGAAGTCGTCCAAGCTCGAGCCCGAGTTCGAGTGGGTGCGCAAGAAGGAGCGCCGCCGCAGCAAGTCCCCCGGCCTGCTGATGTACCTGGCCGGAGCGAGGTAGATTTCTCTTCTTTTGAAAAAAAAAAAAACTGGACCACGCACGCACACACACACGACTTGCTACACGAGGCCGGTTCGTGATGTTTTTTTTTTTGGGGGGAAATCCCTGCTCAGTTTGGTTGTCTAGACTGCTTTGCTGTCGACGGTTTTTGGATTTGACTTTTTTTTTTGTTTTGGTTTCCCTCTCCCCCCCTGCTTCTTGGTAGTCTTCTTGTCTGTCTGTGAGGCCTTTCTCCGGGCATATGGTTTGTGGAAATTCATACAACGGCACCTTCGTGTGTCTTTGCGAGCGGGTACTTACTTTTTGTCTTCGAGGGGGGGGAAACACCAAAGGGATGAGCTATGATGAATGATATAGCAAAATAAATTTTTGATTCTTTTTTTATGTCAAATGCTTTGCACCCATAACGCCTGCTGAGTCGAGATCTTGGCCAGCCCCTCCCTTGTCCCTTGAGTTACATTGTCAAAGAGTCGCCTCATTAGTCAAACACCACCCTCCGTCTTGTTTGCCCCAGTCGGCTGTTGCTAGTGTTACATGTGTGGTGATATGTGTGTTTGTGACGAGTTGTATGATGCGTCGCAATTCATGTCGCGTCGTGCGTATATGTGTTGTGGATGTCGTCCGAGATGTAGCATCACATCCCAAAAAAAACTACACCTTGCAAGCACCCCCCCCCCTAGAACAATAAGTCTTTTTCACAAGACGTCCCTCCTCGCCCTGTTCTTCTCGAGCGTCGCCTCGGCCCGCCGGATCAGCTCCTCGTACAGCGTCCACGCGAGCGCCGAGCTCAAGGCCTTGCGGCTCATGCGCAGCGCGAGCCCGTCCCACATGGACCGGAAGCCCTCCTCGCCGAGCATGCGCCGCGCCGCGTGCGCCATGTTGCGGTACTCGGCGGGCTGCAGCTGGATGCGCGTCTTGACGGCGTCGAAGGGGTTGGAGATGACGGAGCAGACGGTGGCGGCCAGGACGCCCGAGGAGAAGTTGATGGCGGCGGCGCGGGACATGCCCATCTTCTTGCCGCCGCCGCTGCTGCTGTTGTTTTCGTCGGTGGCCGTGGTGGTGGTGGGGTACAGCCGGCTCAGGGTGCGCTTGGACTGCTCGTAGAAGAGCACGTAGAAGCCGGCGTAGGGGGCGTCGCGGATGGCCGTGGCGCCGAACCCGGCGAAGAAGCCGCGGGGGCCTTCGGCGCGCAGGATGTCGCGCCCGGCGCCGAGGACGGACCCGTAGGCGTACAGGCTCGACTCGTAGCGCACCTTGATGACGGTCAGGGGCATGAGGACGAGGCCGGCGAAGGCGCGGGCCGCGGCGCCCGAGAGCATGTTGGCCGTGGGGCCGAGGCGCACGAGGCTGCTCGAGTGCTGCTGCTGCTGCTGCTGCTGCACCGCTCCCGCGGCTGCTCCGGACGACGACGACGACGACGAAGCAGAGAGTGTGGTGGTGGCTGCCGCGGCGGACGACAGGCGCGAGACGTTCTGGCGGATGGCGTTGAGGGTGGTGAAGTAGATGGCGGAGCCGAAGCCCGTGCGCAGGGCCGAGGGGACGGTGCCGCGCCAGAGGGCGGGCAGGCCGCGCGGGGAGGAACGGATCTCGGCGAGGGACTGCAGCAGCGAGTGGTGGCCCGACTGCTGCACGCGGGTCTTGAGCAGGTCGATGGGCTGGAGGAGGACGGCCGAGAGCACGCCCGAGCCCAGGCCGGCGGCGAAGTGGAAGGCTGGGTCGTTTGCGCAAGAGTGTGTAAGTCTTGGGTTGGCAGAGGCAGGCAAGCTGGTGGTGCATCTGGACAATGGCACGTTGGGGGGGAGGGGGGGCTTACTCGACTTGGAAGCGGCCTTGCGAGCACCGCCATCGGACATTGTGACTGGCACCAGCAATGCACAGGAGGGAGGGAGGGAGGGAGGGAGAAAGAGAGAGCTAGGTGGGTTGCGTGAACCGTGGTCGAAGCTCAAGCATCCGGCAGAGAGCTCTGCGTCCAGCGCAATGTGACTGACGGCTTTCTCTGCAGATGCGAAGAGCCGGAGGGTTGTAGCTATCGGGTCATTGTGTCATCGGCAGACAGTGTCGGTCACCCTTTGGGCGTTTGATCTAAAAGTACAAAAAGGTACAGGAATTGGAAAAAAGAGCAAGCGAGGCTTCTCCGGAATAATCATGAGTCAAGATGTCTGTGGTATGTCTTGCACGGCGCGGAGTAAGCCAGATAGCTAAGGCTCAGCTTTAGTGGCTCGGCCTAAGAATCACGCGCTAGAGGAGAGGTTCGTCCGTCCTGATGGAGCTGGCCTGGCTCCAGGGCTGCCTATGACGGCACTAGAATCGCAGTGGAAGGGTGTCACGGGCTTCTGCGACAGGGGTCCATCCCCGCATACCTGGTAACCCAGGAAACTTCCTGACCCATGTATCCGGGTTGTCCCGGCTGGCGAGGACTGCAGATGACATTGTCTCTGTATTCATTATATTATTCGGTTTCCGACAGGATCAACAGTCTGGTTCTAGGAGACTGCAGAAGATATACCAAATGGAACAATACCTCCTCCGGCACGGCCAATGACTGACTTGAATTCCTCGAGTAGATGGAGTGTTCATACATCAAAACGGTTCCGTCTATTATTCGTAAAGAAGTGGCATCAATACGTATCTACTTCAAGTTCTTTTCTTTTCCCTCTCCCACGATAGACTCAAGGCGGCCAGCAAGGAGCCGGTGCCGCTTGACCACCTCGACCCATTCACCCTCGGCTTCGCTGCCGACATCGAGAGTTGCCAGGAACAGTCCGAAATCGCCGCCCAACCTTCCCAGACTGCCCGCACAGTACAGCACCTGAGTGAGTAGACTGTCCCGCGAAGCCTGGTCCTTAACCGTCGGGAGATAGTGGCGTAGTGTTTCTAGCAGCATGTCTACCAGATATAGAGGGAATGTTGACAGTGCTGCGGGAAGGGGTTCGAGAGGATCTTGCGGCTGTGTATCGACACCACCCTCGGGTTGAACTGGGGGAGGGAAGATACTGCGAAACATAGAGACGATAGCGAAGCTCTGCTCGCGGAATATCTCGATGTATCTCTTCAGGTATCTCTCTGTCTGCTGCCCGCCGGACCACGCGTTGCCGCTGCCAATCGACTTCTGCCGTGCTTTCTCCTGGTCTGCCAGTTCACGCAGAGGGTCGAGAGCCTCGAGCATGGTCATCAGCGTTGCCAGGCGGCAGACGAGAAATATAGCTCCCAAGACTCGCTCCTGAGAGCTGTGGCCATGGCCCAGACTGCCGGGCGATTCGAGGTCCGGCAGCACTCGTCTCAGCCAGCTTATCGTTCTCAAAGAGGCAGCCAGCTTTAGGCTGGGCGATTTTAGGGACAAGATGAGGCTGGCGGCCATGGCTCGCATGGACTCGTCGGCCTGTGCCGATATCGATGTCACTAGCGGCGACTTTGGGTAGAGGGAGTGCAAGCGCCTGATGTGGCCATTGAGGTCCAGAGCCGAAGAGTAGTTGACAGGCGCGGTCGATATGGCCGAGTTGAGCAGCGTCGGTAGCTCGAGTACGTCGACAAGGCGCTCGCCGTTGCGCGAGAGCAGTAGCGCCCGCTTCCTCCTGGCTAATATCTCATTCTCACTGGCCTTGTTGTATGTTGTGGAGAATCGCACGGCCTCGTTATCAAGCTTGGGGATGGCATTCCGTAGCTCGGCGGTGCTTGCCGCGAGGGCCGGCAAGGTAGTCCTCAGGGAAGCGTGGTGTGAGGCCGACTCGATAATCGGCTTGTGCGATTTCTTCGAGAGCGCTTGCAATGAGAGGAGGAGGCTGTGAGATGAATGAGAGAGCGACTGGGGCTCAGTCGTCTCCAGTGATGAGAGGGGTTGTGAGGTGAGACTTGTGAGGTAGCTCAGAGCCTCGGGGTCCGGTGTCGCCGGCAGAGGAGAGGCATCCCCTGACTGTGACCTCAAGAGGTCATATAGAAGGTCTGCCATAACGCCTTGCTGCCACCGCCTGCCCGCTCATTCATGCTCCCCGAGCACACGCGTCGTCCTGTGGGTGGTTGCTCTTCGTGATAGGCCAGTTCTCGAGATGAGCGTGTTCGGGTGTCGAACCACAAATTGGCCCAAGCAGTAGCAGCCCCCGACCAGAGCCTCGTGTCCGGTTCTCTTCGCGCGACCTGCCTTATAGAAGTGTATGTCGTCGAGTCTGGACCTCAGCTTGGTGAATCGTGGCTCGTAGTGGGGCCCTCATGAAGGGTGCAGAGTGAGACAGCGATACATGTGCCTTGTCCTGCAGGCACATCTCAGGTGCTATTGGCGCCTGGGATGACCACCATCAGGCCTTGTTACCTTGTTTCAGCCAGCCTTTAGTGGGCTCTGTCAGAGCTTCCCGCCCTCCTCACGAGCTCTTTGTGGGCGGGTGGGGGCCTCGGCCGCGATAAAGGCTTATCATAGGCTGGCGGATGTAGCGGCTACCTGTGATTTGAGCAGCTGTGCAGGCCAAGACCAAGTAGCCGTTACGTCAGACCCGCCGGATCTGGATAGCGTCCCAACAAAGCCAGGGTCCTGCTCTCCTCACCTGCCTGCTTGTGCTCCTCCCTCTGAGCGTCCTGGCTTTTGTAAAAGCGCTCGAGTTCTCTAGATCCGACCTGACAGACTTCTTGTCCTTGGAGTTCGACTCTTGGTGGCCCCCAAGTTACTCCCAGTCTCGATCATCAGCCTGCAGTTCCTGTGAAAAGACACTGGCACTGGTGAACCCTATTATCCACGGACCGTTTCGCATAGACGAGTAGGTCCATATTCGACAGCCTCTGCTGCGAGTCCCAAGGCTTCCAGGCCACCACTCATCCGTATTGGGTCACCTGTCTCCCCAGACCGTTTGACAAGGTCTTGTGCCGAGTGCAGTTCGAGTACTATCCCATTTCAGCCAGTCGGCTGCCTGGACTTGGTGGTACATTTCCGCGTCCAACAGCGTACCAACGACCCTCCCCCTTCGAGCCTATAAATCTCTCTGGTCCGTACTCCGTGTCTGTCAATTTTCGTCGACAGAACAACAAGCTTTCTAGCAAAGCTAACGAGTGGGAGAAGCAGATCATAGCTCGACATGAGGGATCCGTTCCCTCCCATACCTGCCTTGAGCAGGGCAGTACAGCCTTTCGCCGACAAGTACAACCTGCCAGCACTGCCCCTGCATATACACGAAGTCCTCTTCGCGGTCGTGTTTTACTACTTCGTCCACCTTGTTGTATCGCCATGGCTTTCGACAAAGTGGTTTCCCGCCTACTATCCTAAACAACGAGGGAAAAGGGTAAATTGGGACTCGCATGTAGTCTCCCTCGTTCAGAGCACATTCATCAACATCGTGGCGCTGTATGTCATGGTCTTTGACGAGGAACGCAAGCACATGGATTGGGAACAAAGGATCTATGGCTACACCGGCATGTCGGGGTTCGTCCAGTCCATGGCTGCTGGCTACTTCATCTGGGATCTGATCACCACGGTCGTCTTCATTGACGTTTTTGGTCTTGGCCTCCTGGCCCATGCCTCGAGTGCTCTACTAGTGTACTCCTTCGGCTTCGTAAGTGCTGATTCGTATCTGCCAATCCCGCAGAGTGACCTCAGCGATGGACGTAGACGACTAACATGTGTGTCAGAGGCCGTTTCTGAACTACTACGGCTGCACCTTCATCCTCTATGAACTGTCAACGCCCTTCTTAAACATCCACTGGTTCTTCGACAAACTCAATATGACCGGCTCCAAGGCACAGCTATACAACGGCATAACGCTTTTGTTCGTCTTCTTCTCGTGCCGCCTGATCTGGGGAACTTTCCAGTCTGGTCGCGTCTACGTAGATATGTGGAAGGCCATTCATACTGGCCCGACCATGCCCCTCTCCACGGAGACGCCCAAGAATTCTTCGATCGCGTACGGCAACGACGACCTCATGGTCTTTGCCAAGGATGCGACTCCCATTCCGGTCTGGCTGGCCGGCCTGTATTTCGCAAGCAACATCGTTCTCAACTCGCTGAATTGGCACTGGTTCTTCAAGATGATCAAGGCAGTCAAAAAGCGGTTCGAACCGGCCAAGGAGGCGCCCAAGGAGACTCCCAAGGAAAAGATTGACGGCAAAAGCACGGCAACTGGCGCCCAAATCGCTCTCGAGAAACTGGACGAGTTGCGTCGCCGCGCCATTGCCGAAGGTGTCCCCACCATCGAAGACGACTTGGCAGACATGCAATAAAGACAACCTCATCTTGGAGCTTGTCCGCCAATTGTCGGGTCCGGCTTCAAGATGTAAATGGCGTCTATGGAGGACGAACCACAGCATAACGGAGTTTGGGGGCTGCGTTTAGGAAGGGTCTTTCCCTTTTTGCTCAATGCACAGCAAGCATTGATGTTTCACTGAAGCCAAGTGTAAAGGTTGTTGCTTTATAACTATTTCGTCGACGAGCTCACTTCAGCTCCCGGTAACAGAAGCTTACGAAATCATGAATAACAAGGATGGTATCAATATACAAAGACCAGCTTCAAACAGACCACAGGACACCTCTACTCATCCCCTTCCAAGATGGGTGGGTGCCTGTTAATGTAGCGCGTGGTACTGATGGGCGAACGGGCATCTCAGCCGAATATCTGAGATATGGATAGAAGAAGCTCAGCGGCCGCCCAACGCGCCGGTCAGCCCGCCAAGCACGCTGCCTAGACCGCCGGCTCCAGCCCCAGCCCCAGCCCCAGCACCCGTGCCCGCACCCGCACCCGCACCGGAGGATGCAGTGGGAGGCTGGGCGGTGCCAGTACCGCTTCCGTTGCCGGCACCGGCACCAGTACCAGCGCCGGCGCCGCCTCCAGTCAGACCGCCCGTGAGACCGCCGAGGAGACCACCCAGGAGGTCGCCAGCACCGCCCGCGCCGCCAGCACCGTTGCCAGCGCCACTGGCCCCGGCCCCGGCACCCGCGCCTCCACCGAGGAGGCCGCCGAGGAGCTGCTTGACCTGGCCGCTGGTGAGGCCGTCTAGCAGGTTGGTAACGCTGTCGACAGGGTTTCTATTTGTTTGTGTTACTTTTGTGTTAGCCCAACACCCCCCAGCTATCAATGCAGTGAGTGGCCCCTTGGGTCGCCGAAGAAAGAAGACTTACCCGCCATTGTTGGCCTGGCGCTCCTTGATGACGGGCGTCGGCGGGGAGCCCGAGGTCGCCTCTGTCTTGACGTAGGGGAGGGCAGTGGAGACGGCGGCGAAGCCGGTGAGGGCCGAGAGGACGATGGTTTGGAAGTGCATTTTGTAGAAAAGATGGTTTCGGTACACGGGGTGTTGTAATGAGTGGTTTGTTTTCGTTTGGTTCGGTCGAAAGGTTTGTAAGAGAGAAGAGGTGACTAGCACACTGGACGAAAGGACTGAAAAGGTAATTGGTTTGGGGTATCGGAAAGAGAAGGCTTGAAAGAAAGTGGACGATCCAAGAGGTGACTGGCACTGGGCTTGAGGAAGAGAAGGCTCGAGAGTTGGGATGATTGTTTGACAGGCCGGGCCGTTTATATATTCACATCTATTCTTCCTCTGCCGGCGCAGTGAGATCGACCATTCCACCCCTTTCTCCGTTTATATGAGGATGGGCAGAAAGTATCATGCCTTCATGTTTCGCACTTCCCGGTGCCAGCCAATCTTGGCTCTTTTGCGCCAGGAGGACGGTGATGTTCGTCAAGGGGGGGCAGGCCGGTACGTGTATCAGACCGTTGATCCTCCACACTTTGGCCCGGGAACCCTGTGCACTTTGGACGAAGAAGACAGCCCATTCAACCCCGGTCGTCCCTGGGGAGAGGATTGCTGTTCGAGTCGTCATCGGGCCATATGTGTGGAAATGTGGTCCGTTTAGGTCGTTTCGGCCACTCTTTGACAGTCAGTCGTATGGACGACCCTTGTCCTTCGATGCTACTCCATCCGGCACTGCGAACGAGACCTCGCTTTTCCTACTTGTCCATGGGCAATCCGCTCAACGAACGAATCTTGCTGTGCGATGCAAAGATTCTTGCTGTCAGGGGAACGCTCGTCCCATCCCTCTGCTCTCCGAATGATCGACAACCCCTGGGGAATCGGTTGTCTCTGCGAGCTATGGAGCAAGAGGCTATCAAGTAACCTATGTCAGCACCAAACATGAAATGACTATTGGCGATTCTCAGAACTTCTCTCTGCCATTGATCTGCCCGCCCTTGAAGCAAACAGTACCTAGTGTTCCAGCAGACGCAGGTAGGAAGCCCAAGTATGTACAAGTACTTGGACATGTCAAAAAAGATCCGCGAATAAGGTGGCGCAGATCCGCCCGCATGGCAGATCGGCGTCAACTCTGCTACAGATCGGCGCGCGGGTACCGGGCTTCGGTCCTGGGGTCCCATCGAACCCAACGAGCAGACCTCCCTTGGGATAGACAGGTTCGGATCGCCAGGGGGGCAAGACAAGCAGGAGTCGCCCTTTACCTAGATATGTGACGAAAATCACTATAGTATCATAGACCGGATTTTCCAGCAGGAATTTTTTCAAGTCGGGCCATGACGGCTTCAGTCAATGCCCTTGACTATCTTCATTGTCTTCCTTTCCCGAACTTTGGCCTGGCACCCTGGCAGACCCTTGCGCGTATAAGTCAAGGGGGCTTGTTACATCCTCTCATCCTCCCCCGTTTCGAGATATATGGGCCTATGGCCATGTTTCAAGACTCAATGTAACGCTCACGAATAAACCAAACGGCAATCAATGCCAGGAGGACTCGTTGAAGCACGCACGCATCATTGAAGAAACGTCAGGGGATATACTCTGTACGATTTCGGACCCCCGACACGCTATGGCAAAGTATCGTATGAGCGCAACTTGTACAGAAAGACAAAACAAGATCAGTATGTCCAACAGCAGAAGAAACCAACCCGGCTCCGAGAGGGCACCTACCAAGTCAGGTTCTCTTTCTTAAGTCGTTTGGTTCTTAGAAAATCTACCTGCTCGTGCTCATGCTCGAATGTTCTATGCTGGTGGAATAACGCTCATCCCCGATGCTTCTGTCTGCCTGTCTGTCTGTCTGTCTGCCTCTCCTCCAGCTCCTCGCTCATCGCAACAACAAGAAACCAGCTTTTCCATCCCTCTGGCTCCCCGTCCAACATCTCTGTCCAAAATAACTAAAAAATAAAAAAATAAAAAAAAAAAAAGAAGAATGAATAAAGTATGTATAAATCCGCACCGGAGGCAACGGCAATCAGCCTCCAGGCTTGTCGAAACTCTCCTCCGTCTTCGTCTCCGTCTCCGCTTCATGCTTGGCTTTACATCGTGATCAACTTACAATACAGCTCCTTTGCATCTTCAATCCACATCTCCGAAAAGGGGGGGAACCACTGGAAACACTATGCGCTACGCGCACAGTCACAGTGCCGAACGCCTGGTGGTGTGGCCTTAGAAACCAAACGGGTTTGCAGGTGCTAAGAAGAAAAGCCAGATAGTCAGCAACGAATAGAGCTCCCCGAGATCAATCAAAAAGCATGGCAACACGATACTTACTAGCAGCAGAAAGATTCGCCCTCCGCCCCGTAGGCTGCGGAGCCAACTTCTTCGCCTCGGGCTGCACCCCGAACCGCACAGGCGGCGCGGGGCCCGTCGGCTGCGGCACCAGCGGTGCTGCCGGCGCCGGCTGCTGCTGCTGCTGCTGCTGCTGCTGATTTCCAAACTGTTGGTTTCCGAACCCGTGCGTGAAATGCAAACCAGTCTGCTGGGGCTGCAGAGGCTGCGGCATGCCCGTGCGCTGCGGCTCGAGAGCCTGGGGGAGGAAGGCGTTCACACCCCCCACCCCGGGTTGCTGCTGCGGCTGTCCGAACTGTGGCTGGCCAAACTGGCCCGGGAAACCGGTGGGCTGGGCCTGGATAGGGGAGAATTGTTGGCCGCGGGAAGGGTCGGCGAATGGGCTCTGCATCATGTTGGGCTGCTGCATGAACTGGCCGGGTCCGAACTGCTGGGGCATGCCCGTCATCATCGGCATCATCGGCTGGCCGGTGGGCTGCGGCTGGAAGCCCTGCATCTGCATCTGCTGTTGTTGCATCTGCTGGGCGAATTGCTGCTGCATCCTGGCCTGGTTGATCTCGTTCAGGCTCTGGCCCGGCGGCGCCACTTGTCCCGTAATGCCGGTCATCTGGGGCTGCAGAGGAGGCGGTGCGAACTGACTAGGTTGCGCAGACTGGGGAGCTGAGAGCGGCCGACCGGGGGGAGGGGGCACGAGCCCACCTTGGCCCTGGGTATACTGCGGCGCCATGGGCCGCTGTCGAGCAACACCAGATTGTGTACCGTTCACAGCGGGTTGAATACCCGTCTGCTGCTGTGCGAGGGCTGTAAAGAATCCAGGTGTTGCCCCGGTAGGTGCAGGCACCTGAGCAGGTGCTGCCGGCGGCGGACTGATAGTGGGAGGGGAAACCGTTGCCGGTTTGGCGGGCTCAAGTGGTTGCGTCAGAAGAGACAGGTCTGCGAGACCACCGGTCAACTGCCTGACAGGCTGAGGAGCAGGTGGTGGGGTCGCCACGGGACTGGGAGCCGTAGGTCGAGCAGTCGTTGCGGGAGCCGCGTCTGCCGCCGGTGACTTGGAAGGCTTGACGTCCCAGGCATCATCATCGAAGCCGCCCGCTGGCGCGCCGCCAGCCTTGGCAGTGACAGGGCTGGTGACGGCCGGAGCCGGAGCGGCTTTGTGCTCGCTATCGCCCGACTTTTGCTGTGAGAATGCGTTTGCATCAATGACATCGCTGGGCCTCGAGGTAGGCTCCGGCCGGCCTCTCCGAGTGTTATTCCGGAGAGTGCCTCCTGGACCGGAGAACAGACCTCCTTCGGCCTCTTCTTCACCACCCTTCTTCTTGTGTCGCCCGAACTTGTTATCCAGGTAGCGCATGACCTTGATGATGTCACCCTCGCGCAAACCCAGGTTACGCAGAACAGTAGCGTCGACATCAGGCAGAACGCTCTCGTCCATTGACTCTTTAGCAAATCCTTGAGCGTATCTCTCACAGAGACCGACTGCCACCTCGCACTCGAGGAAGAATTGGAACCAGTCATAGTCAGGCTTCTTGGGTTCGATGGAGGCGCCGACCTTTGAGGAGGACCCATGCTCTTGATGTGAGGACCTCTTCTTCATGCTGGATAACGGTTTGTCCTCGTCGAGAGACACGCCGGTGATCCGCTCAACATATTCGAGATCCTCGACGGACATCTTAGCGACCGGAACAGCAATCTTGACGCCATTAACCTTGTGGAGATTGATCTTGCCGTCCTTGAGACCGAGGAACTGCGCCTCGACACTGAACGATTTAGACCGATCCGTCCACGTGCGGACCTTGGAAGGGTCGGGTTCTTGAGATTGAAATTCATTAGTTTTGGCCTTCAAACGGATGACGAAACTCAGAGAAGGGGTTCTGCAACTTACTCGACTTCCCAGAGCGGGAGCTGCTGCCGCCATCAGCTCGTCCGTTTTCGCGCTTGCTTCGCTGTTGACCGGTATTGTTATTAATATCACGAGCTGACAAACTGCTATTACGCTCAGGCAAACGCATTCCAGGTCCTACCTCAGAGTGCCGTTTCGACTCGTCCCGCATGGCGGCCTTGACTGCCTCCTTGGTCAGGCGTTCCTCTTCCAGCCGGTTCTGCGCCACGCTCGATTTCCCTGCGTTGATTCCGGAATGGGATACTGCGGCCGTCGGTGATTTGATAGTCCCCGTGATCTCGATGTAGCTGCTGGGTACGACGCCCTCCTTGCCGTTCTTGAGACGTCGGACTTGCCACCACTCTTCGCTCTTGGTGTCGTCGAGGACGTGAACTTCGTCGCCTACCGCCACGGTCACTTCGTCGTCTCCCTGGGCCATGAAGTCGTACAGGATGACGCCCTTCTTCTGCTCTTGCCCTGAGCCGGCCATAATGACCTCGCGCAGGCCTTCTGCTTTTATCGCACCAGCCATCTCGCCCAGGGCGCTGACAATCTCCTCGGCGGTATCCTTGGCTCCGGCATGGAAATCAACACTCTTGCTGGGTCGCACCAGCTCCAGAAAGACATGCTTTCCTTCGCGAGAATAGTGCGTCATCTTCTCACCAGACCACTCCTGAGATGGGCCGTCCTGTGCTCTTTCCGGCGCAATGAGAATCATGCCGGTAGTGAGATTGATGCCCAGCGTCGTAGGCATCTTCTTCCTCTTGCCCATGACCGATACCATCTCGTTGATGTTGTACATGTGGAAACCGCCTGGGGACAGGTAAGGCGATCGTTGTTCGTAGTCGTTGGTGCCTTGCCTCGTCGGAAGTGGGGGAGAGCGTGAGTCCTCCATCGAGTGCATAGACTGTCCACGCGGACGGGCCGGGAGAGGCGGGGACCTGGCGTCGTCGTCTTCCGATTCGACATAGTGTTGTTGAGGAGCGAGATCTAGAGGTGGGGGAGGCGCATGGCCAGCTGCCCTGCCGGCGAGAACACCAGCAAGAGCTGCCGCAGGGTTTGCCGCGGAAGGGCTACTCGGTTCGGAATCCGCCCCTGTTCCTCTTTGGGGCAGAGGAGGGCTGGGGATGGTATCGGCTGAAGGTCTCGACGGAAGCGCCGGTGGCCTCGGAGCCTCGGCGGGCGGTCCGGCGTCGTTGTCCTCCCCCATCTCGATGTAGTTGGACGGGACAAATCCATATTCACCGTCAAGACCCACGAGGATCCAGTCGGGATCGGAGGTGTCGTAAACGGCGAGGCGGGCGTCTTCGGGAAATGAGAGCTCTTCGTCGGTCTGTCTGGTGTATTCGTACAGTGCCCGGGCATGTGCTTGTGGCTCGGCCTGGAAGAGGAGACGTTAGGGACATTACACATAGTGTGGCCATACGTGTGAGAGATTAGCCTCTCGCGATGATCTTGTCTACGTACCTCCTCGATGTAGTTGTTCGGGATCAGACCCTCGGGTTCCTCCTCGTCCTCCCCGCTGGCCTTCTTCTTCGCTTTCCACCAGCCATCCTCGCCGCCCTTGTCGAGCACGTAGAGCAGGTCGCCTTCGGAGATGGCGAGCTCTCCTTCGGCCTGAGGGGCGTAGTCGTAGAGGGCCTTGTAGACCCCCAGGAACGCCATTGTCCCGCACTAATGTGGCGTACTGCACCGAGAGAAGAATTGGCGGTCTTGGGATCGTCAAATCGGGGGGACGTGGGATGTCGTGGCTACTATGAGTTTCTTTCTTGAGATGGCGCGCAGGCAGTGCGCTGGGCCGGTGCTGGAGTTGCGTCCGGGTGTTGTGCGGTTGATGAGGTAGGCGGGAAGAAGGGGGCTAGACAACTGCGCGCAGCTTATTGCGGGACCGCTATGGGGTAGCAACCGTTGTCGGCGGCGGCGCTTCTCTTGAAGAATGGCCGGCCGGCAAGGTAGGAGATGCGGTTTGCGATGGTGAACTTGATGCAGGCCAGGTCGTGAACCATACTAGTGGGTCTCCGCAGAGATAGGGAGCTCGAAGGCGGGTTGGATCCCAAAGAGTTTCAAGTGCTGAGCTTCCGGAAGGCCTGGGAGAAATGTCAACCGAGCAATGCGGGAGGGCAGATGCTGCATGAAACGGCCAATGAGACAAGGTGTCGCTGTGCGGGATGGGCAAAATAGAGATATTAAGGATTACTTCGAGATCGTCCGCAGATCGAATTTCAGTCGGGAGGAGGTGACAGAAAAAAAGGGTTGTACGGAGGTCAGGAAGCTCAAAGACGGGCGGCAGCAGGAGCTCTCATGCAGCCGTGTGCATCCACATCATCATCGTGCGCACAAGATGGAGGAGCAGCATCGAGTACCTAACTGCTACAAATGCGACCCAGTTGCTATAGATTGGGCGGATGGGCGGCCCAACCACCCCCCAGCCAAACCGGATTTCACGCGTGCTACTGGCCCCTAATCAACCCGCCATGGCCTGAAAGCTGCTAGTCCGCTCCTCAAGCCCGCTGGACCCGACGCCTACTGTAATAAGCGACTCGGACTGGCGCAAAAAAAAGCATGAAAAGGGGGACAAGCTCGGGAATGACGCTGCGCACGTGACTCATCACGGGCCTTTGATACAGCGACTCAGCTACCCAGCCCGGCACGGCCATGCAGGCGAAGGAAAGAAAGGGGTGGTACAGATTCAGTCAACGTAACGGAATATCCTGTATCTCTCCCAAGTAGACCAAATCGAAAAGGCTGCACCCGAATCGAGTGTACAAACTGGCTCTCATCCGGCGCCCGGCCCGTCCCAAAGTAGCAATGAATTCGCTTAGGGCGTCCAATCTATAAGTACTCATTCATTCCTCAAACTCCGTATTGCAGAAAGTGCAAACATGAGAGAATCGAAAGAAAATCGTAAAAAGTCTGCAGCCTCACGCTGGTAGACACTCACCATCTCAAACCACTACGCATCCGAGTCCCTACCCGAGATGACCGTATCCCTCGTCGTCGTCTTCCTCAACCCGCCTGGACGGCCAGCCCCCTCGTCAGACTCGTGCAGCGAGCTCTGCCTCCTCTGCGTCCTGCTCACCACGCCCGGGAAGTACCGCGGCTCGTCTCCGGACAGGTGCGTGTTGCTGCCGTCCAGCTGCGGCCAGGTAGACGAGCCCTCTCTGCTAGGGTTGTTGTTGTTGACCACGCCACTCGAAAGCGGAGAGGCCACCACGCTGGCGCCCGGCAGTATCTGCGACGACGTGGTCGTGGAGACGGGCCCCATGTACGGGCTATTGTTGCTCGTAGTTGTCGCTTCCTGCGACTGCTGCTGCTGCGAGGCGGGCAGGCGGGCAGCTGCCTGCGGAAGAGCACTATAGCTCGCAGTGGCGCCCGTCTTGACTGACAACGCGGGAGACATGGGCAGTATCTTGGCGCTCTCTGGCGCAGCCGTGGCCGCAACCGAGTGTGGTCTACCTTCATTGGTGTAACGTTCGACCCTGCAGAGGAAAGGAGAGTATTAGTCATGACATGATTCGTAACTTTGCTCTGAAGGCATGCGAGGCATCGGAACTCACATCTGTCGCTCCTCCATGAGCGTCTGGTACCTGAAGTTCTCCCTCCTGTCAGGCACGTTGGTCTTCACCATAAGATTGCCGCTCGCACCGGGGAGGTGGAAGGTGGGCCCCAGCCACTGCTGCTTGACGGAGAACTCGTAGCCACTCTGCTTGACCGAGTTCTTGGCCAGCTCGCACATATCCACCGACCCCAGCTTGTAGATCTGCGCTGCCACCGCGTACTCTTCTATGAGCGGCTCCTTGGTAAAGGCGAACTGCAGCGGGTCGTCGGTCGAGAGCGAGACGTTGAGGCCGCGCTTGAAGTACTGGTGGAAGGGGTTGCGCTCGTACGCCAGGAACAGGGCGTTGTTGCTCAGCGGCGACATGGCGATGCCGATCTGCTCCAGGTAGAACACATACTGCAGAAGCGGCACTTTGCGAAGGAGTAGGCCGTGGCTGATACTGTGGCAGCACATGGCTGCCACAGCCAGATGCTCGCTATCGCCCGCCTCTCCACAGTGCGGTCTGAGCACAAAGGTATTGAAGTTGCGCTGTTTGCGCCAGAAGTTGAGCGTAACCATGTTCGCGAAGAGGTAGTATTGCCAGTAGCTGTAGGGAGGATTCTGCTTTGAATCCCACGCGCTTGGCACCGGATACTTCTTGAAAAGGCGTCTTTCCACCTTGCTCTCGTCATCCACGCTGTCGAACCCAATGACCCTCTGCAGGAACACATGGAGCTTTGGGTGGCTGGAAGGGTCCTTTGTTACCTCGAATAGAGGCTGGAAGATGTTCTTGACGACCTGTTCGAATGTGTCCATGAGGCCACTAGCCTTGTACACATCAAATAGTCGTGGGATTTGAATGAGCCACCGCACGTTGTGGGAGAACAGCTTGTTGTCGACTACCCAGGCGGCGAGCTTGTCCCACTCGTCCAGTGACTTTCCATAGATCGAGATCCGCCACTCCACCATCTGATACTTACTCGACTCTAGATCCGAGATGACTTCCTTTGTGATCTCAGCGAGATACCGACCCTGGATGAGATTGTCCGTCTTCAAGAAGATGGTCCTCAGTCGGGACTCTCCGATGGGATTGTACTTGAGGTTGAACTTGTCGAAGCGGTGGAAAGAGTCGGTGTGCGCATGCATATCCAGTGTATCGATACTCAAGTCGTATGCCGTCAGGTTGATACTTTCAAATACTTCGGCAAGTGTCAGGTGCTTGTCATCTCGATAAAGCACAGTCTCGTCCGGGCATTTCTTCATCTTGCTCTTGATGAAGCGCAGCAAGTGCTTCTGGTTCATGCAGGCCGAGTGGTGAACGTGAGTGTCCACTTTTCGCACATTGTAGAAGTCTCGATGGGGCACCTTCTTGCTCTCGGCGGTCTCCTGGTACTCGTTCAAGAGAGTGTACAAATTGAACTTGCCCTCGAGATATTGGAGGCGGCGGTACGCAAAGCTCTTGCTTGGACCATCCGCACAGACAGAGGTAATGGCCTCGAGATCCATGTAGAACTCCTTGAGCGTGGGCACTGTGATGACGGGCGGGCATCCCTCTCTTTCATTCTCATAGACCTGGTACACGCCAGTCTTGTCCTGATTGTATGACATCTCGCTTGGTCCAGGAAGAGGGAGGAGATCTTCCATGTCAAAGTCAGAGCCTATGTCTTCACCCGGCTTGCGCCTCTGCTTTGGCGCCTTGTTGAGCTCGGGCTCGAGCGGCGGCCGATCACCCTTGTGGTCAGGTGATGGATGGGCATTCTGCTCCGGCAGGACAGTGCTGTTAGCCAAGCTATTGGTGACGCTGTTTTGGGCTCGGGTCCCGTGCATGAGCGTCTCGTGTTCCGCGACCCAAGCCGGTTCAGGAGGAGGCGGGTAGATGCTCCAGCTTGGGTCATCTTTAGGGTTATCAGTCGGTCCCTGGAGGGACAGTCTAATGTACTTGTGTCGAATATCTAGGATCTTTTGCACATTCTTGAAAATATTGCCAAGCTCCGAGGTGATCTGAGGATCGGCATCAAGGTACTCGCTACTGCCAATGCCAGTCGGCGCAGCAATGGTCATGTATTGAGCCTGGGCAGCGGGATCCGCGAGCCCAGCAGCCGTGTCGACGGGCAGAGTACCCGATCGCGACGGCAGGCCGGGTTGAGGGCGCGCCGCCTCGGGTGCAAAGTGACTACTGTCCCTCTTATTCAGCTCAGAACCGTGCTCGTAGGCCAGTTGGCCGTAGTGCTCTGGGAATCGCTGCGCAAATGAAGACACGCGAGCGCTCGGGTCTAGATCATATGCAGGCGGCAATTGGCCATATGAGCTACCCTCATGCCCTCCCCTAGACGAGGCGACGGGGCTTCCTGGAGGGCTGGCCTGCGGCAGGGCACTTGCGAGCTTGTTCAAGTCGAGCTGACTCCGCTGGTAGAACAGCTTGGCATCGGTCTGCGTCATCTGGCGCTCTGCGACCGGGTCGTAGAACGCCGTGCGCTTTGGTAGATCTCTGGGCAGCATACCCTCCTGCATGGCCAGCTCGTCATCGCCATTTGCGTCTGGTGTAGGGGTAGACCCGGACTTGTGCTTGTCCTCGTCTAGCTCTTCCTCCTCAGAGTACTCCATGGTCCTGGGGTCCTCATAGCCGTCGTCCGAGTCGTGATCCATTGGTGTCTTTGGCGTGGCAGTTATAGGTTGATGTGAACTCGACAACGACGTCGAATCGCAGGAGAGTGATCGCTCATCTAGAGGAAGTCAGTCGGCCAAGTCGATTAATGGTTGATTCGCCGCCGCCATTTCCACTAAATAGCAACAAGGACGCAACGCGCCTAATAAGATAGAACATTGAAGCTAACGTAGGTCCCGCAGCTCGGGGCAGAGCCAAGACCAGCAGAGAGCCCCATCAAGACCTCCAGAAGACTCACCAGCCATTTTGAGGTGTTCTCAGGTAGGAAGGCAGCCTAGGAATGCTATGTTGTGAGGACGACAGGTCGGTTGGATCTTGGGATCCAGACCGACCCTTCTCCAGGGACAGGATAATCGGTATTGTGTCGAGGCTGGCTTTGTGTAATGTTTGACCGATACAGGGCGCACAGCTGCCTGGGACTGTGCAACCTGCATCGACGAATGCACCTTACAGCGGTTACCGGCGGAGTTTAGCGCCAAGTTTAGGCTGATCGTGCAGCCCCTGGACTGCTCCAGCTTTGGGTGGAGTGACTCCTCCCCGAAGCTCAACTTTTGACGTTAGTGTCCAATGTTGGCGCTAAGCATTTCAACGACGACCTCTTCCCACCAGACTTGGCCCTAGGATCCGCCCAAAGACTCACCAAGCTCGGACAATTCTCCGACGGAATTTTTTTTCTTTGGTACGAGACCCAGTGCAGTGGTCCCTAAACGATTAGTCTCACATGGAGGGAGACCCTTGTTGGAGCTGGCAACGGGAACAGACAGCGAGTACACAAGACTAGTTTGTCTCTATTCTAGGTATCCTAGCAGACCCTATATACAATGCTCCTGTTGGCCGTTCCTAAGGTAGGCAAGCATATCTTGCTTGGTCCTATCCGGCCTTTACACTAGCAGCACGTGGCCGTGCGGTGGGCTTCCTCTTGCCGTCAAGGGAATACAGGCCTCCGGCGAAGAAGACAACCACAGCACCCACCAGCGTGCCAGGAGCAAGCCTGTTTCCAAACAGCCAGATGCTAAAGAGCAGGCTGATGAGCTTCCGGATGTTCAGTACAATGGTGACCGTGAGAGCCGAGGATGCCGCTGCGAGAAGATTAACACCTCGAATGCATGCGTACTGTGTCAAGACGTTGAGAACCAGGTACACGAGCTGGCTCGGGATCTGGATGTTCTCGATCCCCTTTTGCACCATGGCTGCTGTGGGTTCAGAAGCCAGGATGTTGGAGAAAGGGAGCGTAAGCGGCGCGCTGTTGGCCAGTTTCATGAATTGACGGACCAGAGAAGGTAGGAACGGGATGAAGAGCGGCAGGGACAGCATATGGGAGTAGAATAGGTTCTCCTTCCACTGCGGGCCGTACATCTTGTAAGTCTCCTCTGTGTAAAGTCCCATGATGGCCGACAACACCTGGGCGAAGAAGAGGATGGCAAGCCCGGTGATGAAGCTCGAATTGCCGTGGGTAGCATTAGCCGTGGTCCCCTTGCTCTGCGCGTCAGACCAGGCGGCGGTAATGACTCCGATTGACAGCAGAATGACCGCGATCACCTGAATGCGCGAATATCTCTTGCCGTAGAGAAAGCCGGCAATGAGGGTGGTGATACTGCCTCCAGACCGGAGGATGATGTGGACGGGGACGGAGATGTCATAGCTGAACGCATGGTTGTTCAGCACGTTGATGCTGAAGAAGAGTATTATGTTGATCATCCAGCGTCGGAGGGGCACCTTGTTGGGCCGGATGAAGAGTGGTGGGCGACTAGAGTCGAATTGAGAGATATAACCCGTAACAGCCACAAATATGAACTGCACAAAAGTCAAGAGGGTTCCTGCACCATCTTATTAGTCTCTCGGCCCAAGACACCAAGGATAACATGTAGTCTCGGGTTCCAGAATGGCACAACGTACCGCTAGCTGGCTCGACCTTGATAATAGCCTCAAGCGCAAACACATTGGAACAACAGCCTCCGAAGATCAGGGCCAGCATAGCCCCGATGGTGAGCCATTGCGGAATTGTCTCGATGAAAATTCTCCCCGCAAGGGCCATGGCCCGCGAGAAGAAGGGTCGCTCGTCGTCGACCCCGTACATCTCGGCCTTCTCCAGAGAGGGAGCGGCGTTTATTACTCGGTGGCCCGAACAGACGACATGTTTGGGCGGTTTCTGGTGCGAATGGCGTCTGCGAGCGTTGGAATTGGTGGTCATGGACGCGAACAGGTGGGCTTATGGCCGGAAGGATTCGGTAATGTCGTCGTGTGGGTTGTTAGAGCGAGGGGCGCGCACTCGTCAAGAAAGCCAACGTCCATACAGTGCGGGCTGGTCGGAACGGGGGACGGGACGAACGGTTTGCGTCGATGGCGACGGGTTCTGTCCAGGTGTCGTTTGTCAAAATAAAAAGTCTCAATTTTCGTCTACAGCGCGGGGCACTCTCTGAGACTCGATTGCGATGTGGTCGGGATAAGGCAGCGAGTGATGGTGGGCCGTCGAGGCTGGGATCAGGAATGGTCGGGATACCGAAGGAGAGAGTGAGGCAGAAACAGCGCAACAGCAGCAACCCGAACAGGCCAAGAGAGGGACAAGGAAGGGATCACCAGGGGACAACGCCTTTTAAAGATGCTGTGCGTCAATGCCCCCGATCCGAAAGTGCGATTGGGGGACCTTTTGCGGGCGGTCGAAATTGCGCCCTGTCAGCGAACCCATCCACGGCCTTGTCTCCTCCGTTTTTTTCTCCTGTGCAGAGTTCCAAGTGGCCATATGGGACGGACGTCGCGGTAGGAATGGGGTCGGATCGGGCAACTGGATGGCCCTTGCTAGGGCCTCGCAGCGGGAGGTTAGGTAAAAATAAATCACCCCTGCCCCACCAAGCCGCTAACACAACAAGTACCGATCGTGAGGCTTGGAGCCTCCACCTGTCGGGTTGCTTGTCTCAAATAACCTCCTTGGACTGGAGCCAGGTGCCTGCATGCTCTATTGCTTGACCAGTACCGCCTGATGGGCCGGTAGGTAGCTTGGGTGGTCTGTTGCCGCTGTCCTCTGTCGGGCCGCGACCGTTGTCTGTTTGTTTGCACCCTGCGCCCATCGATAGATAGACTACTCGGTTGATATGCCGGCAAGTAACAGGTAGGTGCAGGTGGTTTCCAGCATGCACGCAGGCCGGTAGCATGTTGAACCTGGTAACACCATCCCCGTCCGGCCCGCCTTAACCGGATCCCTGGGCAGTGGTCGAAGAAGCGTGTGCGTGCATGCAGCTGCTACCTATCGAATAGTACATACGAGACGAGATGAGACAGCATTCATGCCTCCCTCTGCGATGGTTATCCAGAGAGAGTGAAGCTGCAAATCCGGAACCTCCGGCAACGGTAAATCCCAGCAACCAGCCAAATCCGCACTTCCGTCAGACCTAGACTAACCCCTACGCGTAATCACCCATCTATTCAGGAGCAATAAGTCTCGTGGCGGCGGGAAATACGCCGGCGCCTCCTGCTTTTGAGACCGGTGGCATGGCTTCGCCGCAAGGGGGCATGGTCATCTCAGGTGTGAAGGTCCGGATGTGATGAGAAGTGTGAATATACCTGCTTTGGTACAGTACTAGTCCGTTCCGAGTATCTCGCCTTGCATGAACCTACAAGTTAGGCAATGGGAGCAGTCGAATTTCAAAAAGTCAGGGAGGACCCTAAGCTTGAAGTCATATTAGTACAAGAGAACCAACAGGGTCTGCTGTAGAGTCTGTTTTCTGAATGTCCAACTTAAACCAGAGATCGACAAACCTGCTGCTCAATGCCTTTTTTAAGACGCCACCAGGAAGAAGCTTCGCACCTCATTTCGCTCATAGCAGAGGGGCCTGTTTTTGGTCACCGCGACACCACCACTTACACCGACAAGGGCCACGCTGTTGGTCATCCGGTTCGCTTGAGCAATGATCTTTATTTACGTCGGGTGCTGTCTGAATGGGTTCTATGCCAATCATCTTCCACTGCTTTGCCTCAATCTGCTTCTCTTGTCTGAAGCACGTGCCCGGTTTCCTTCCTCCTACATCAACCAGACCATCCATGCAGCAGTGCCCAGACCGTAGGAAAGATCGTCAGGCAGCTTGCTCATCGACTGCCGCTCCCACTCGTAACGGCCAATCCAGTATGCAGAGTGCGATCTACAACCTAAAAACATCAATTTCATGATCTGGCCCTCCAGGGTGTATCGACATGCGCGCAACATGCGTTCCTGCACACGGCCCATAACACGGCATGGTCCCTGGACGTGCATTGCCTTTACCAACGCATAAGAGCATTCAGTAAGGACTCTGAGAAAGAAGAAGCCCCAAACGCTGCCAAAATCTTGATGTTTTGTATCCATCCCCATGATGAATACGTGGGATGGCGTTTACAATGCCGAGAAGACAAAGAGCTAGAGGAAAAGACCCGTTAGCCACAGAGCACGCTTGACTCGCCAGGTTGATCACTCACATTATTCGTAGCCGCGATTGCGATACTGTCTTCGAAAGGATGCCAGCTCATATGCAGGATCTTCTTGTTGAAGTCAATCTGGTCCGCGTCCGTCTCCTTCCTCATTCGCTGGCCTTGGCCAGCCGCCGGGCTAGTCGCACGAGACCCGCCCTTCTTGCCATTGGCCGTAGGGCTGGTCGAAGCATTGATCGGAGTAGGAACTCCCACCTTCTTTGCCTTGAAGGCCGACTTGTCTGCCTGCAGGACAACCTCAACCTCTTTGTCAGGGTCAGAAGGGTAGATCATGAAGTTGTTGTTGTAGCTGCCCGTCATGACATTCTTGGAGTCGCCCGAGAACACAACTTCAAACTTGTCGAAAATGCTGTCGTTCTCGTAGGTGTCGCAGAGCCTGGGGCGAAGATGTTCGTGGATGGGAATCGTCTTGACGGGTTGGCGTTCCATATTGACGTCCCAAATCTTGACAGTTAGGTAGTCGCGCGACAGGATGTAGCGGCCGTCGTAGGAGAAGCGCACGTCAGAGATAGAGGAGATAATCTCCGAGAAGAAAGATCTTGAAGAAGGATCTTCCTCTTGTTCGAACACTGGAAGGGTAACACAATCAGCTCGGCACGGCCCATGCTAGGCGGGGAGGGCAATGAACATACTCTTGGCGTGTTGGTCACAGAGAGCGCTCTCGCGCATATCAGCTAGCTTGATGGTGCCCTTTGAGCTGGCATACATGAACCAGTTGCAGCTGAGCGGGTGGAACTCGGCGGCCGTGATGACCTCGGTCAGCTCTTCCATGTTGGCGGGCTTGATGTCAACGATGTTGAAGCTCTGGTCTTGGATATGAAGGTTCCAGAGGTTTATACGAAGGTCATCGCTGCTGATGAAGGTCTCTCCGTCGCTGTTGACGGAGATACTGTTGATGTGATACGCGTGGGCATTGGCATAAGTCCTCCGAGGGACTGCGGCGACGACTGTGTCATGGTGGGTTAACCTGGGCAGCTTCAGGTCGGTGGCATTCTGGAAGTGATGGTGTTGCAACGGCCTCGGGGCTCCTCCGCCGCCTGCCAGGCTGCCGGGTGTGAGATCGTGTGAGAGGTTGTTTTCCGCCACTACTTTCAGGGACTTCTCAAAGACCTTCCACAGCTTGATCGTCTTATCGTTGGTGGAGAGCAGGTAGTGGGAGGCGTTCTGTCGCCGGCACCACTTGATCTTGTTGATCTTCTCCTCGATCTCCAGGGACTTGAGGTAGTCGAATTCGGGTTCGTGAGACTGAAACTCGGTGTGGAACTTGTACTCGCAGGTTTTTTTCTGGAAAGAGGGCAAGCCTTAGCCCGCGTGTCGCACGAATAGAGGCGTGTCTTCAACTTACCGTCTCGTTCCTCTCGAATAGGACAACGCGTCCACCCTTATCACCAGTGGCTAGATAGTTACCCGTGTGGTCAAACTCCACGGTCGAGATGATGTCGGCTTGAAGGAAGTCAGCATGTCGATCAGCTCGCACGAGTCGTCCCTTCGAAAAGCGCGTGCGCGAAAGGCGAGATGCAAGAAGTGAATGTGGGTGTGGGATGTTGGAAGCGGCATACCTTCAGTGATGTCCTCGACATCTCCCTTGTCGCCGAAGCATCTACATAAATCGATCAGTCAACATTCTCGAGTGGTTGTATGAAGGAGGGACGGCGCAAGACGAGTGGCCACAAGTCTACCATCCATGCCGAGCCAGACGGCGAGGGCGTTTGGACAGGACAACATACTGAGTGAATTTCCACGTAGGAGAGTTTGTGTCTGTTTCCACCATCGTATAATGACACCTGGTGCAGCTGAGGATGACCCCACGCTACCGAGATGATGCGAGATACCGGTCGGAAAGGTCAGGATGTGAAAATCTCGGCCAGTCGAGTGATGGCTGCGGCGAGACGGGGGAAAAAAGGATACTCGAGGTCGACAATGTGTCGCGTCCAAGGTATCAAAGCGATGTAGGGTGATAGCGAAGGACTGCTATGGCCGGAAATTTGGAGAAGGAGGCTGAAGTTGGGAGGTTCAGCGAGCTACCTGGGGAGAGAGAAGGTATGACCTCGCGCGACGTCAAGGGAGCTGCGGGGCGCCAAATCAAGAGGACAAGGGGGGAACAAGGTCGAATGACGACTCCACGAGGATCGGGTTCAAGGACAAGAAGGGGGTAGCAGAGCCTCGATGGAAGTCGAAATGCGCAGGGAATCGACAGGCGAGGGCTGCGACAGGTCTTGGGGGGGGGCTAGGAGAAGAGGATGACGATATGTGTTGACCTGGGTAGGTGAGTTTAGCTTGAATAGAGTTGGTGGTGATGTCCCTCTGGTGTGGCCGCAATGGATTTGTGGTGCACAACTAGTGGCCAGTGCGCCCAACCCATGGAACATCAGATTGCTGACAATGCACCCAAAACTGCCCAGGTGCTGCTATCCTCCACTCCACCGCCTGCCTGCCCGCCCTGCAGCGCCAGATCCAATCCTTGGGCCCGGCTGTAGCGCCAGGTAGAGTTACCCGCGCGCCTCACCTTCCCCCGCTATGAGCAGTGCCCGAGCCCTCCCATTCAGCAGTACAGAAACCGCGATCTACTTGCATTGGCCCAGCCTCGATATGCTTCTGCCCGTCCATCAACGATCTCGCATGTACCTAGGTCTTTGACTGGCACAAGTGCGTATTTCATGCCATGTATGGAGGTAAATTGCAGCTCTCTCATTTCTTCTCGTAAGGGGATTCTTTCTTTTTAAATCTGTCTGGGTTCTCAACACCCACTGGCCCCCCCCGAAACAGTGCTTCGAGGGTTTGTTGAAGATACTGATTTCATCTCGGCTTGGCCCCATCACCTGCTTGGGGAAATTCCTCGGCAAAGATCTCCATCAAGACCTCGATTCATAGGTACGGAGTCCATCGTCCACCTACCACCTCCGGTCAACTTGACATACAATGCTATCCTGATATCTGACGAAATACGACCAGGGAAACTGTATCATTTACAGCATTCATTTTCGTCACGATCGAGATTTTTTTTTCTCATCAACCATTGTTACTGCTGTCCAAAGTGTTTGAGGTGTGTCATACACAACTCGATACCATTCCAACGGGGATTACACCTCTTATCATTTCAATCGCATCTTTCGCCATTCCAAGATGGATGACAAAGAAAGGACAGGCAAGAGCAGAGAAAAAGCCAAAGGCAAGGAGTCGTCCAACGAAACTAGCAACGACTCACTGGCTGCTCGTGTGGCAAAGTCGGCTTCTGTTCTTTCTCAAAACTTGGTGAGCAGTCGACCTACAGGGGATGACATATCCCAGGCGATACCTGCCGAGAAAGGCCAAGCTAGACGCACGTTTCCATCGGCACTGGTGGACGACAATGCAGGATCTTATCAAAGCCCCCCGGCGGCAGCCAGCTCAAGCCAAGCAGCATTCCGAGGTGGTCAAACGAGCCAGCACATCGCCCAAGAGGAGCAGGCCTTTTCGGACTTCCTCGATACTCAAGTTTCAGTAGCTGAAGAAACGCCTGTGCTCCCACCTGCTCCTCCATTGTCTTTTCAGTCCACACCTGGAGAGAGTCGGTCAAATCGGAGTCTTTCCGCATTGTCCATAGCCGAGCAGGAACAGCGGGATGGAGCGGAGGTCCTCCATCTCCTATCGCAGGCGGACAATGAGCCACTCGAGTTCGACGACGCTCCAGAGATGAGCGATGAAAGTCTGAACAGCCTGCGGGCCGCTCTCTTCTCGGGTGGAGCGTCGACGACTCGGTCGAGAGAATGGGATACGATGTTGAACTTCATACCCGACTTTGTGCGTCCAGATGCGGATGGCAGGGCAGACCACGCAGGCAAGAACGTGGACAAGTCCCTCGAGACACAGTCTGCCATGGGGCTGGAGCATTCGCCAGACATAGCAAGACTATGGGTTGAACAGTGGCATGACGTCCTGACCGCCTACACAGACGAAGTCTGGGGGGACCTTGGGCCACTTGTTCAGCAAGCTAAGAAGGAGATTGAACAGCTGCAGGAGGCACCGCCAGATCAGCCACCACCAAACACCAAGGCTCTGCAGAGGCTGCGGCTTCTCCTAGGCCACATCAGAGAGCAATAAAATGATCTGGCTAGCATGGCTTCGCCGATGCGTGGCTCCCAGAATTTCCCTTCATCGTTCAAGGTTTGAAGTCGTTGGCTTCATCGTTCCCCACTTCCCAATATCATGACATGATTAACCTGAGACCTGCCATGTAATCAGCAGTGAACCCTTCCGAATATAGCTAGGGTTATGAGAGTATCAAGGGTATCAAATACCCTCGTTTACGCCTCAATCTTTTACTCTGCAGACATGATAAGATAGCGCCGGCATTGTCTGCGAGTTTCTTTGCTTGTTACCTACTTACCCCGCTGTAACCCAAAGCCGGGCAATTGGGTTGCTGTGCCGACTGGTTCTTGGGACATAATGACATCACGCTTCAGTTGTTAGCTGTCTCGAGCAATCGATCTACGGAGTACCTATGCCGTTTATGATAATCATATCTTGAGCCTGAAGAATTAGCATCTGCTTTCATGATTGGTGATGTTTGCGGATAGGCAGGTTCTGTAAAGAGCCACTGCAACCAAATTGGATATCAGACGAAAACATGCGTGCCAATGCACTCGAAATCATCTGCTCATTCCATGCCTCTCACGGTCTGGTCTTGGACTTGACCCGGAACCAAGATTATCAGTGGCTCTAACACACGGGACCAAATCCCTGTCGTCTCTTTTAAGCCACAACACAACATCATCCGGTGTCTGCTTCCTCCACCCCAACACATACTCTTTCATAAGCAAAGACAACTGGCAAAAATAGCAAAATACTACCGAAGACGTGGATTGAACACGTGACCTCTTCATTTGTACATACGGAATACGAGTGAAGCGCTACTACCACTGAGCTACTCCGGCGAATCTAACGAGATGCTGGCCGGGGTGGTTGGGTGGAAGAAGAGCTCTCCCCGCTTCAGCGGAAGCGGAGCTTCACTTGCATTCACAATGCAAAACCACTTCTCGAAGACTAAATATTAGAACGAGAGAGTACCTCTCAGGATGCTCATTATGATCCAAACTCGAGGCTATATTTGAAAGACTCCTGGCTTGTCAAGTCTTTGAGACTTTGAAATAGTGGTAATCAACTCTATTGATGGCTGTGCACAGGCCCCCAAGGCACAGGCCACCCTGCCAGTCGCCGTAACAACACTGCAGGTGGAGAGCTTGCACACCGCAGCTACCTAACTACCTGTTTTGGGGTGGGGAGCCAACTTGACGTAGGTATGTACTTCATCGCCTGCCACGATCAAGTTTCAACCACCGGACTTCCACGCTTCTCCTGCGTTGGAGATATCCCAGAAGAATATAATTTGGGATCTGCTCGAGAGCAGGGGCAGCCAGTTCCCCAGCAAACCTCTGGAGCTCTCACGCCACAGATACTTTGCATGCGTCAAACGCTTCTTATCGATCGGAATGAGAAGAGATCGGCTGTTTGGCTCGTGGAGCTTAATTGTGCCACTCACACAGGCCGTCGCCGCGAGTCAACTTCCATTCCAGCCCGTCCAGACGGCACTCGCAAAACGAGACGACGGCTGCTTGGCCAATTTCTTCACCTGCGCAAACCAAGGCGCCAACTTTGCAGGAGTGTGCTGCCAGAACGGACAAAAATGCGCCTTGGATGCCAACAACCAGCCGGCATGTTGCCCATCGGGGTAAGTGAGAAAGATCTCGTGTTGACCGCTTTTGCCCTTCCCGCGGAGCTGCGCCATTGTCCCTCAAAACTTTTGTACTCCTCTATATCTACTTGCAGGCAACCGACTTACATGAGACAGGATCGTCTGCACCGGAGTCGCACCGGCTACTTTCGTTGCTCCAACAGCAGCGCCGACGGCGGTCTCCTTTGTGCCTAACCAGTACTTCTCGTTTCCGTACATCAGTACGGCATTCGCCAACAGCGCGGCTTGTACGTCCGCCGTCTCACAGTGCAGTCGCAACTATGACATATGCACCTCGGGCCTCCAGGGCCAGACGGGCTTTGGCGTGACCGTTGTTGTGGGGGGAGGCAGTGGCGGTACGACTGTTGCGAACCAGGGCGGAGTCAATCTCGGCCCAAGTAGTGCCACGAGTATCTGTGCAAGTCTGAGCAGCAAGGCCTGCTTCAACATCCAGAGCAGCTCGTGTACTGAGACCGGTGGAGGAGGCTTTGTAGTGGGGACTGGTAATGCGGCGGCGCGGCCGACACCACCGCCGGGCTTGAGCATAATGGGACTCGGAGTGATGGCTGTCGGCGCTGGCCTGGGCTTTATGGGTTAAGTAATGAGATCATGGGGCGATGACTTTCTTGTCGATACGGATATTCGGGTTGGACACCCAGGACGTACATTCTCGATCTGCCAGTGGCATCTACTCACGAAGTTATGAAAGAGCAACGAACCAATATTCACCTGTCACCAAGCTGGGAACTGCGAAGGTTTAATAAGGGTGGACGATGAGTGCAATGAACGTATTGAACAAGTCCTTTCACCTGAGAGCATTTACCTGTAAAACTTTGGATATATCTCGCTGTGACACACTTGAGGCAGATCATAGTTATATGGATTACCACAAGTCTCTGAGCTGAGGCACCACTTGATGCTCCAATGTAAACTGTATCTCAATCTGCACGGAGGCTCCCACGGCTCCTTAGCTGGGTGGACTACACTAAAACATACCGTGGATGCTCCCCAGTAGCCTGCCCGGAGGAGCCAATAACGGTGAACTGCAGGTCCCACCCCCACTAAAGACATTGAGAGAGCGTCGACAGCCGCAATTCTCCTGTGACTTGGGTCAATCAATATCTACTACTTCAATCTGCACACCATACCCCCATCTTCCACGACGCTCGTCAACACACAGCTCCCTCCGAACCCTCCTTGCCCCGGGCGCGAAACGGCAGTCACCATGGATGATTTTGTCAGCGAATCTGACAGCGACTATACTAGCTATTGGCGGGATTGGGTATGTTTGTTCCCTGGTCTTCAAACCCCTCCATGACTGGCCTGTGCCCCTCCTGTGCTCACTTCAGCCTGCTTTCACCTTTGCCTTCTCATTCCGAGCAGAGTTGCTCTGGTCATCTCTCACGAACTGCCCTTGGAAATTTCGTCGCAAGAGAAATGTGGGCAATATGCCGCGGATCAGCATCCTCACTCCGCTGAAGCGGAAATGGGACGACGACATGTCGACTGAATCGGAATCTGCTTTCATATATGAAGTTCGAGCAACCTTCCCTGCGATTTCCCATTCAATATGCTTTCTGTGCGAGAGCCTTTTTACTAACATCTGATGCCATTGACAGTTCATATCTTCTCGGGGAAACGAGTACTTTTGCGAGATCGATGAAGACTACCTTACCGACCGCTTCAATTTGACCGGCCTGAACACCGAGGTTCAGTACTATCAGTACGCGCTCGATCTGGTTACAGATGTGTTCGACCTCGATTGCGATGATGATATGCGGGAAACGATAGAGAAGTCGGCGCGGCATCTCTACGGTCTGGTTCATGCGCGCTACGTCGTCACTACGCGTGGCTTGGCCAAGATGGTATGTTGACTTTCTGCGCTACGTTCATGCAGCTTTGCGCTGACGCCTTCCGCTTCCATCACCAGCTCGAGAAGTACAAGAAGGCAGACTTTGGCAAATGTCCACGCGTCAACTGCCACTCGCACCCTCTCTTGCCGATGGGCCTCTCTGATATCCCTAACATGAAGCCGGTGAAGCTCTACTGCGCGCGGTGCGAGGACATCTACAACCCCAAGTCAAGTCGGCACGCCACCATTGACGGCGCCTACTTTGGGACCTCCTTTCACAACATCATCTTCCAAGTCTACCCCGCCCTCATCCCCAACAAGTCCGCCGAGCGCTACATCCCGCGAGTATATGGGTTCAAAGTGCATGCCGGTGCAGCTTTGATCCGTTGGCAGAACGCGAAACGCGACGAGATGCGGAGGCGACTGCGGAAGCTGGAGATTGAGAGTGGTTTCAAGGACGGGGAGGACGAGGAGCCCGAGGACGAAGAGGAGGACGAGGAGGAGCTGGATTTCGAAGGCGATGAAAGAGGTGTTGTGCAAGGGCAGGAGGGTATGCATGTTGCGGTCTGACAGATCAGTCAGGATTCAGTCAAAGGCAATTTTCTTCACCTTCCGCCGTCAATATGGGTTCGAAGGGGGGGGGGGGCGTTATGATCAGAAAATACCCGAAGAGCGGCAGTGGCGTTCAGGTTCATGGCAACGATACGAGACGGTGCCAGAGATGTCAAGCCGATTTATGCGAGAAACTGCAGGGACGCAAATTCATCGAGGGTATAGGGAATATCCGGTTGGCATCTTTCTAGCCGCAAGGCCGCCGGGGCATGACAATGTTTTGGGCGCGACGAGCTTCTGGATGGTGCCGAAGTGCACACCGCATGTCCAGCTATAGGGCATTGATCTCCGTGCCGGGCACAGATTGCTTTAGAGCAGCGTCCTCTGCAAAGAGGAGAAGTCGACCATGGTAGTCATATCATAATATAATTCAGCGAATGCTCTTGTTGTTTTCCGAACCGCTAGACTATCGTCTCAACACGCAAGGGTGATTTGCGTCTTGTTGCCCGTCCAAACTCCTTCCTCTGCCAGAATCTTCTGATGGAGTATACATTCGCCCAGCACTTTGTGCCCAACACTTTGAAGGAAAACCGAATACATCTCACATCCCGTTTTTTGCTCTACCTCTATGCAGTTCATGACCCAAGATGTTTTTACTAAGATTAAGAGGAACAAAGACATGCATCAGAGATCGTACACTCGATAAGTCGAGGCAACAACATCAAGGTTACCCCGTGGGAAAAAGGGGGGGGAGGGGGTTTCTTGTTTGACCAAGTGCTCTCCCCCACCCCCCCTATTATGTTTTACTCCCAACCTCACCGGGCACTCCCGATTACAGCAGCGTTCTGCACGTCCTGCACGCGGCCCATCTCGACCTCCTGCCGGCCTCCTCCGAGAGAAGAGTCCTTGGACGGGCTCTGCTTCCGCCGGTACTGGCCGTCCTCGGGCCCGCCGCTCCGGCCCGTGACCCCGGCCGCGCCCGTGTACTCCGTAGCACCACCGCCCAGCGCCTCCTCCTCGTCGCCCGCCCGGCCGCCGTAGTACCCCCCACCGCCGCCGTAGTGCGCAGACGCACCACCGCCGTCGTGCCGCAGCCCAAAGAGCTCGGGCTGCTGCTCCTCCCAGGCGCCGCGGTCGGTGGCGTAGCTGTAGGACCCGACGCCGGCCCAGAGGGCCTTGTCGTTGCTGCGGGGCGCCCAGGCCCAGCCGGCGCCCTGGCTGATGGGCAGGTGGTAGTAGCGGAAGGCGAAGAAGGCGGTGACGGTGCCGATGAGGAAGCCGAAGAGGATGTCGAAGCCGTGGTGCCGAAAGTCGAACCAGCGCGAGCTGGCGATGAAGATGCTCAGGAACCAGGGCACGACGCAGATGACGAGCAGGTAGAGCGGCGGGGCGGCGGCCTGGCGGCGGGCGGCGGCGACGGTGCGCGAGTGGCTGGCCAGGCGCTTTTGGGCCGAGGGGTCGGAGGGCAGGGAGAGGGACTCGTTGTTGTTGTTGTGGCGCGAGGCGCCGCGGTCGGCGAGCTCGTAGCTGTTCTGGTCGGCGATGGCGCCGGGGGCGGCGAGCCGGGAGGGGAAGGCGGAGAAGGAGGAGGCGTTGGCGTACGAGGCCGGGGCCAGGAAGGGGATGGTGATGGCGAACTTGGAGGCGATGAAGAGGGACAGGTAGATGAGCCCCGCGGCGCTGGAGGAGCTGTGGCCCGAGGGGTAGCTGCGGAAGCCGTCGTCGAGCTTGGACTTGTCGGTGCTGGTGCAGATGTCGGCGCTGACGAGCTGGCCGTTGGAGGTGGTGTTGGCGATGCCGCCGACGACGTAGCGCGCGACGTTGGCGAGGTCGGGCTGGCAGCGCGCGAGCATGTCCGGCCGCGGCTTGCCGAAGAGGTTCTTCATGCCGCTCGTGATGAACCAGGCCGCGACGACGGAGAGCGCGAGGCCGAGCCAGCCCGCGTGCAGCTCCCAGAGCTTGCGCTTCCAGATCAGCGACTTGGGCGTCCCCGCGGGCACGGTCGAGCCCGGGACGAAGCAGAGGGCGATGATGAAGACGACGACGATGGGAACGATGACGGCGAGAGTGACCAGCAGCCACGTGGGCACCGTCTCCTTCTCGGTGAAGGGGAAGCTGTGCGATGCTTGTTAGCAAGACCGTTGTGCATAGCAGGATACAGTTTTTCGGTGCTCCCTTACGAAATATCGGGGTCCTCGAGCTGGAAGGGCCGCTTGTTGGGCGTGATGTCGCCGAGCACGTAGCCTACGGCGGCGGCGGCGATCAGGACGACCCAATCGAAGACGTACGAGGCCACGAGCACCCACCCTACCCTCTTCTTCTTGTACGGCTCGAAGCGGTCCATTCTAGCATAGGATTGGAGGCGCGGGAAGGCAGGTTGTTGCGGATGTTCGATTAGTGGCGAGGCGACGTCCACGGGGGGCATAATCGGACCTCTGGACGGGCTGGCAATGAAGCTGGGAGCACGCGCACGACCGCCCTTTGTTGGACAAAGGATCGAGCGCGGTGTGTGTGCGTGTGTGTGTCGGTTGTCTCGATTTGTGTGTTTGGCGCAGATCGTCAGCTACCTACCTAGGTAGTTAGACTCGTAAGGGGTGGGTGGTCCCGGGACTGTGGCGGTCGCTGGTATGCTCTAAACTTTATCTTCTACAGGTAGGTATTAGGTAGGACGTCGGTCTTTGGAGCTACTGAGAGGTTGACAGCAGCTTGGGTTTTGAGAGAGTCAGCTTCTCTGATGAGACACGAGACCACCTCTTCAGGTTTTGAAACGAATCGGAGAGGCAGGCAGCAGACAAAGACTTCTTTTATTTGATCCCGAGACGCGGGAGGCTTGGCTTGCTGGAGCATCCATAGCTCCCAGGTACGCTGGCAGCGCTTGTATTCGTGCTCGGCGCATCCATTGTGGCAGTGATGAGAGCGCTGCAGCGCTGGTGACCGTTGATCTCAGCGTTGTGGGGCGCAATTGCGTGTCTCGTCAGAGATGGTTTGGGAGAGAGCATGCAAGCGTGCTACCTCACACGACCGCTTTTGGGGTCTACCCCTCCTAGTGGTTCCCTCGTACAGTAAAAATAAAGCGAGGGATGGTGTGGGAGAAGTCCCGAGGCGAGGCGTTGTTCTAGAGCCAAAGTGGAATCTAGTCGTGTGCGGCCTCCCAAGCCAATTGACTGCCCGTTACAGGCTGAACAGTGAGGCTCCGTTCCCCTGTCAGAGGTTCGCTATTTCAACGAAATGGGCCATCACCTCTCCCTAATAAACCCGATGGACAGGGCAGGTTCATACAAGTACAAGTGGATGGTGTTGCTTCTGAATACTACTTGTAAGTAGAGGGATAATCGGTAGTCGGGAGCTCCAAGGCGAAGTCTCACCCCCCTGTGCGGTCCTTGGAAACGCTGCCAAGATCGTTTGTTCCGTGGTGCTATTCTCACCTAGGCAGTTTCTTGGCGAGAATGCTGATCCAAGGATGAGATTGCTGCACTGCACGCGGCCTTCTCCAAAGCCCGGACTCTCCGTGCAAAGTATGAATACATGCAAACACGTCAGCAATTGCAACAGTGAGACTGTTTACGGGGAGGCCTTGTTCCTGCGATCTCAGTCTGTTTCCAGGAGCAGGAAACTATTGGATGGGTGGCGGCGGCCTATCCCGGACGATATATTGGGAAAGGGGGCAGCTCCTCAGTCTGGCTCGAGTAACACATCTTCTTGACAAACTATTACAATTCTGATTGATCGGCTTAGGCAAGTGGTCCAAGTGTATAGAGGAGAAACATCGTCCGGTTCGGGCCAAATAAACGCGAGGGCTGGGCGTAACTGTCACAAGCGCGCGGAATGCCTCTCTTCTTTACATCGCGAGAGACCCACAATCTTCACGGTACCGCGAGCACGGTAGTTGACTCGACTACTAGTGTGAGTCAACGTCCAAAGTCAAAATTTCTCATTGTTGCTAGTACCGTCCTGGTATGTGTTTCAGAAAGGAACCGCGTGCTTGAATCTCACTATATGGACACCAGGAGTTGCGCTTGTACTAGTAATAAGGGCACTGGCCATGCATGTTTGCCAGATGGTATATCGATTGATACATGTACATGAGAGTTTACAATATTGAATGTCGTATCGTACAAGAAGGCCATAGGCCTTTTATGCCGAAGAGTTCTTGCTTCTGCGCTTGCCCATGTTGCGCTCGCGAGGAACAACAACATACTTGTTGATGTTGTGCTTCCTCCTCGTCTTGTAACCACCTTTGGCCTATCACGACGTCAGACCATACCCTTATGTTTAGACTGAATATTACCGAAGAACTTACCGGTGTGCCCCAGGGACTGGTAGGGTGCCTGTTACCCTTGGATTTACCACGACCACCACCGTGAGGATGGTCATCTGTGTGCAACTGTTAGCAACAGTAGGCAGGGCTGAGCATGGATGTGTACAACTTACTTGTGTTCATAGCCACACCTCTGACAGTGGGCCGGATGTTCAGCCATCGACTCCTACCAGCCTTACCGAGCTGCCTGTACTGGTGATGCGGGTTGCTAGCTACACCAATAGTGGCGCACGCATCCTTGCTCACCTTGCGCACTTCACCGCTCTGGAGACGGACTTGGATGAACTTGCCCACCACTTCCTTGGTACCGTCATCCCTCGTCTTCTCGTCCTTGGCGGTCACGATAGCATAGGTGCCGGCACTGCGGCAGAACTTGGCGCCCTTGTCGCCATGCGAGCCTACATTGTAGACCATAGTGCCAATGGGTACCATGTGCAATGGCAGACAGTTGCCTCTCCAAGCAGTCTTGGCAGCCAGAATACCGGGATCAATGATGCCACCCATGGCATCGAGAAGATCTTGGGGGATACCAGATCGATAGCTCTGGACGATGTCTCCTGCCCTCATGCCCTCGGCAGCAACAATATACGACTTCCTGCCAGTAGCTTGGTCGGTGACCAGGGCAATATGCGCGCTGCGGCCAGGGTCGTGCTCGATGCGCTCGACCAGATGCGGTCCAGGAGCCCAACGCTCGAAGTCGACGGTGCGGATCCTCCGCTTCGCACCACCTCCGCGATGCCTGACAGTGATCTTTCCCTGATTGTTTCGGCCGCCCTTTCCGTGACCCTTCTTGGTGTAGGTAAGCGGCAGAAAGGGACGGCCCTTCCAGAGATGGTCATTAATGGGCCGCTTCAGATGGCGCACACCGGGAGTTCGGGGCTTGTAGGTGCGCATGATGACGGACGAGGAGGAGTCGGTGGTTCGACTGGCCATGTTAGAGAAGCCGCCAGTGATCGGTGCTGACGAGGCGGCATCGTGGCGCGCAGGTTCTACCGGAGTCGCATATGTCCTCTTGGTCAAGTGAGAGAGGATGGATCGAGATATCCTGGCCTGGCAGGACACCAGCGGCCGCAGTCTGGGTTGCAGCATGATGGGCCGATGAGGCAGGCCCGGGTCCGGGGGCCAGGCGCCTGAGTTTTTTTAGGGGAGCTCAAAGGCAAGATCAGGACATGCCAGCAATACGGCAGTCTGATTGGTTTTATGGGCCCAGACGAGGTGATGTCGTGAGGCAAACTGAGGTCCCCTATGATCGGATGTCGTTGAGCTCTTGCTCTCCCGAATTGAGTGGCCCAATGGAGCTTGATCAAAAAGTTTCGCTACGTTTTGCCGACTCCGATGCAAGGGGTTTCCATTGGTGGTTGCATGCAAGTGGCCTGGCTGAAGGGGCTAGCCGATCCTGGGCTAGGGTCTAAGATTGGTCCTTCCAGGATAAAGTTGAGCCTCAGCAGGGTCAGCCACTGAGCGTAGGTATGGGGTCATTCAGTGGCTTGACAAGCAACGACTGGGCGGTTTCAGGGCGCGATCAGCCACAGATACGAATCGCGCACGCAAAAACGCGGGAACTGGCGTGGTGCATGGGTGGAGTGCAGCTGGTCCAATGAAATGCCCGTTGCCCTGCGGTTGCCACTGTTGACTGTGGATGCTCGCTTGGACCAGCCAGCCCTTGCATCCAGAAATGCACGTCGAGGTACCTCCACCTGCGCGTTGCTGTGTACACACGCCTTCCTTCGTGCATGTACCTTCTCAACCCACCACTTGGACTCGACTCGACTTTTTGAAGATCAGCACAACCACCAATCGTGACGGTGTTGTTTTATACTTCTTGTCTGCTCCCGTTGTGGTCACAGTTGTACACATTCCCACACACATACACATTCTCTCTCTTCTCTACATACTGTTCGTATAGACGATATACCTATCCTGCAGCGACAATTGCCCAGCGACCAGCATCACCGGACATCAACGTCAACGGCCCGCCATCTCGCTCGCTCACCCAGTCCTAAAATTTGCTTGGGTCATTGCACATACCTGTGCTGGTCCAACGCCATTTCGCAGCATTTCCCAAGCATCCACAGGCGCGCTAAACCTTGCAAAGTCACGTTGCTCAGCTACTTTGCTGTCGGAGCGACTTGAGACGAGTGGTACCTACCCTTACTAGCCCGGCACGTCTCCCGGGGTACCTCGCTGTGTGGTTGTCCCACACACGTCTTTCTTACCTGCTGCCGCCTCGGACACCACAGAGACGCTGCGGGACTCCACTGCCAGGCCAAACACCTCTCAAAAACAAGGTCTCTCCGCCCCATAAACACCAAACATCATCCTCACCCAGCCCTCCCTCTCTCTTGGTTGTCCTTCTCAAATTCCCTCCAGACATCGCTCGATTCCCCCTCTCCGAGTCCCATCCTCATCCTCACGAGCTGGTGGTCTTTCTGAATCACCTCTCCTCCTACCTGTCCTCTTCGCGTCTGGAGGACCACCTCGCCCTACGCGTGCCGCCAACCGTCGGTACCAACACAGCAGAGAGTTTGGGATCTGTTGATATCAGCTTCAGAGCCATTGCCGAAGCGTCTGTGGACCAATTCTTCCGGTTCAGACTTGATATTCTCCCTCAGAGAGCTTGACTCTGGTAAGTCTCGTGTCCCTTTCCCGCTCAACCACCTGTGCATCACCCCAGGCATGTACCATCTCCCGATGACGACCCGTGTTGCCTCGGCCACGCCCATCTGACACGCCATTCACACAAAACTCTACACCATGGAGCTCTTGCACGTGAAGCAAGTCAAGAACTCCCTCACTAACTGACAATCGATAGACTTGCACCGAGTTTGAATTGGATCTGACCTTGACAGATCCAACATGCCTCCTGTAAGTCTTGGTGTTCTCCACTTTTTCAACAGCAAGACGCGACCTCAGCTGTCTATATCGCGTTCCAGATCGTTCCTAACCCTCTCAATACAGGCACGTCCCGCCAGACGAGGTCTGGTCTCGAACGAGAATGACGAGAACAGCGGATCGACGCGTATGACGCGTGCAAAGGCTGCCGCTGCCCTCAACACCGACGACCTCGCCGTGCCCAACAAGCCCCTTCAGTCCAAGAAGACTGGACTCAGTGTGAATGCCCAAGGTGCCCAGCGGAAACGCCCTGCCCTTGGTGATGTCAGCAACGTCACCAAGGTTGAGATCAACGATGGAAAGAAGGTAGCTGGCAAGGCCGGTCTTGTCTCCAAGGCCGCCCAGCCTACCGGCATTCAGAAGAAGAGCAGCGTTGTTCGAACGGCCCTTCAGCCCAAGGAGTCCAACAAGCCGGCCCAAGTGAAGCGGTCGGGCCCCGGTGCCATTAGCGTTCAGAAGCGAAAGACCTCCGGCTCCCGGTCATCCTCATTGACCGTCAAAGAGGAGAAGGCCGATGAGGGAGAGCCTCTTCGGAAGAAGGTCCATGCGCTCGAAGTCGAGAAGAAAGCCATCAAGGCTGAAGAGAACAAGGAGAATGCTTCGTCCAAAGCTCCCGTTGGCCCTGAGCCGCAGTCTCAGGCCCCCCTGTACCCGCCCGGCGTTCCTGCCCTCGACGATGAGGACATGGACGATCCATTGATGGTTGCCGAGTACGCCATCGAGATCTTCGACTACCTACGCGACCTTGAGTGCAACTCGATTCCCAACCCTCAGTACATGTCGCACCAAGATGATCTCGAGTGGAAGACTCGTGGCATTCTCATCGACTGGCTCATCGAGGTTCACACTCGCTTCCACCTTCTCCCCGAGACTCTGTTCCTGACGGTCAACATCATTGATCGCTTCCTCTCGGAGAAGGTTGTGCAGCTGGACCGCCTCCAACTTGTCGGCATCACTGCTATGTTCATTGCTGCCAAGTACGAGGAGGTCATCTCTCCTCACGTCTCCAACTTCCGCCACGTCGCCGACGATGGCTTCAGTGAATCGGAGATTCTGAGCGCTGAGCGGTTTGTTCTTGGAGCCCTCAACTTTGATCTCAGCTACCCTAATCCCATGAACTTCCTTCGCCGAATTTCGAAGGCGGATAACTATGACATACACGCCCGAACTATTGGTAAGTACCTCATGGAGATTAGCCTGCTCGACCATCGTTTCATGGGTTACCGACCCAGCCACATCGCTGCCGCTGCCATGTACCTGGCGCGCATGATCCTCAACCGAGGCGAATGGGTATGTATACAGCACCAGACATCAAGCCCCTCCGACAGTAGCACTGAACTAACATGATACGCCACTAGGATGACACTCTGGCTTTCTATGCCGGCTACACCGAGGAGGAGATCCAGCCCGTCTTTGAGCTGATGGTCGACTACCTTGCCCGCCCCACTGTCCATGAGGCATTCTTCAAGAAGTATGCCAGCAAGCGCTTTCTCAAGGCCTCCATTCTTACTCGGCAATGGGCGCGGAAGCACGCATGCGCCTTTGGCATCGTAGACGTCGACCTCACCCTTGACCAGATCTCGTGATCGGCTTCTTTGAAGCCATGGTCCTAGACTGCACCTCCTGGATGAACCATATATCTGGTTGGATGGGCATGCACCCTCATGATACCTTTATGACTATAGAGCGCGACGTTGACCTACATCACTGCATCCACTATCCGGCCTTTCAGCCTGCATCTTCACCTTTGCCAAGATACCTCGGCTACACACTTCTTATCGACATATTCGACGCATTGTCACACCCCTGGCCGGTGTGACAGTGCACTCTGCGCTGCTTTCGACACAGGCTTGGGTCCATCTTGGGTCTGACTGGTGATCATCCAACATCTCTTTTGGGTTTCTGCTTGATCTGTCTTTCATCGCGGTGGCGCCCGGCGTTTTTCTCGGCGTTTAGCGCGAGGCTGAATCGGCCAACCTCCGGCTGACGAGTTTTTCTTGCGATGATCAATGCATCTCGACCTCGAAGCAGGCCCTTCAATTTTTGCTTTGCTTTCTGCTCGTCTGGCAGGCATGCCCTGTCCAGAACCTTGGGGTCATCACCAGCACGGCTGGTCATAAACCCGAATACTGTAATGCTTGAGCTTTGGCAAATGGCGGGAAGAAAAGGAAGAAAAAAGGCTATTGGGATGACGATGTTGAGCGGGTGGGGTTCAAAGAGCACATGGGAAAGAGAGTCATTGTTTGTTTTACTGTATGGACATGGGGGTTTTGCGTCTTTTTTTCTGCACGCGCGGGTCGAAGACATGGGGAAAGGACAGGCGTGCGGATGCACATATCATGATGGAGTATCGACCAAGGCGTGTGTACATATCCCTATTTGTCGTTGGTCTATTCCTGGACTTGGACGAAGTATCTGGACTCTTGTTTTTCTAGGGGCATTGGCAGGAATGAGAACATTGCATTGACAAACTCTGGTTTGTTGACCCATGCCTATCTTGTGTGATGCATGGTCATTGGTGACTGCTCTTGACAAACTGTATGGGGGTCCGGCCAAGCTCTTCTACTCATGGCCCTTTCCCATCATGGATGTCTTTTCGACTGTCTTGGTCACTTCTGTCACTCGTGATGTTCTGGGCGTCCAACTCTCCTTTCTCCTCGGGCCCTTTGCTAGCGCCAGAGTCATGGCTGCTGGATGATTCTGCCCTGTGTTGTGGACTGTTTGCTTGAGTTTCATCTCCGGCTGCTGAGACTGGCTGGATCGGAGCGTTGTTTGCTTCATCTCTGATGACAGTGTCGGAAGCTGAGGTTTTGATGTTCTGTCCTGGGGTTTCGATGTTCTGTCCTGGGGTTTCGATGTTCTGTCCTGGGATTTCGTCATTGTCAACGGGACCGGGAGAGTCAGTTGTTTCTTGAGGAGTCGTTGCTTGTCCTTGTGCCTGCTCTTCCTGCTTCTCCTCTTCCACCTGTTTTGTCTCGCCCGTCTTGACCTCTTCTTTCTGCTCCTCCTGGCCAGCTGGTGTATCTGCAGCGTGCCCTCTACCTCCCTGCTCTTGACGCCATTTCCTGAACCGCTCACGCTCTTGCTTTGGATGGAGGAGCCGATCCAACTGGCCACCACCCCACCGGCGTTTGAACTCTAGTGCCGGCAGCTTGGCCTCCTTTGCAGCCTCCTGTCGAGCGGTCTTGTATGCTTCCTCGTCCCTGGCGCGCTCTACTCTGGCCTGTGCTCGCGAGAGGTAGACTTCCCACGTTGGTCGAGGGCCGGTGCCGCCTGTGATGTACCACAGACCGAGAGGTATAGGGGAGTCTGAACCTCTAGGCTGGGAGTCGGGCTTTGCATTATCACTCATGGCTGCTGCGGAGGTACCAGGTGTCTGGAAAGAAGTAAGTATCCAGAAAAGGGTGTGTGTGTGTGTGAGCGAGTATTTTTAACGCTTTTCTCTTTGCTTTCCTTGTGATACTGCCCCCCAGAAGAGTTCATATTATATCACGTTTTCAGTCATAGGGAGAACTGCCCTGTTTTGAATTTACCATATGGTCGAGTATGCTCGTCGCATGGTGATTCATTCATATTCATTGCTCAGTGAGTAAAGCAAATACAGCGAAGGGCTCAATGGCCATGACTCTTGATACACAGTGACAAGCGAACCGACTCCTGCCCCATCCACTTTAAAGATTGTCTGGAGTTTTCGAGGCCAAGTCCAACCAGTCAAAGAATGCAGTTGCCAGTTCTTGACACAGCATCCAACACACACTTGAAAGCTTCCCCAATTGCTAGTTCCTATCTCCAACAACAACATCAAGACTTTTTCCAAGGGGAAAATAAAAGGGGGTCGACCTGGATTCAGCCCCTGAGCCGCGGCCGGCTCTCAGACGTCTGCCACTCCTCCTCGCCCTCGTCTTCCAGGAGCTGGTAGTGTCCAAACTCCTCGGTGTTGCGGCTGTGCCGCGCCCGCCCGCGGAGCTTGTCGAGCTTCCCCACCAGCTTGGGCATGCCTCGTCTAGCGGCCTCTGCCATGCCGGTGAAGCGCTCCTTGAGCCTGTTGGGCCGCGGGTTCTGCGAGACGGCCGAGACGACGTCCCAGGACGAGGTGATGGAGACGCTCTCGTCGTCGTCGTCCTCCGGCGGAGGCGGGAGATGCTGCATCTTGCGGGCCGCATTGTTGTTGCCGTTGTCCGTGGCATTTGGCGCTTGTGGGATTTTTGTTAGTTTGTGAGTTGCAAAAAGGGGGGGGAGGGGGAGCGATGAGATGAAGGTGATGACCACTTACCGGTATTGGCACGCTGTCTCGACAGAGAGGCCAGGTAGCTCGACGACTGCCTCGACATGACCCTCGAGCACTGGCTGTCGTCAAAGACGACGCTGCTGCCGCTGCGCGCGCCGACGCCCTCGAAGCACGCGTCCAGGGCCTCGATGTCGCTCTGCGACGGCGAGATGCTGGCCCGCTCGAAGCTGCCGCCGTCTCTGCCGCCGTCTTCCCGGATGCTCTGCAGTCCGCCGTGCCCTCCTCCTCCTCCTCCTGCCGAGGGCTTGGGCGGGCGTCGGCCGGGGATGAGCTTGTCTCGCAGGCGCTCCCAGGGCTTGGGCTTGAGGCCCCTCGCCCGCCCGTTCTCGTCCACGGCCCTGAAGTGGATGTCGGCGAGGCGGGACCGGGCCTGGTCGGCGCGCCGCCCGTGGGTCTGGATCAGCATGCCCGAGTCCGCCTCCTCCTCCTGCTCGTCCCGTCCGTGGGCGCCCACCAGGGGTGGTGCTGAGGATGGTCGTCGGAGGACGTCGGCTGGCTGGCCGTTCTCGGATGAGGCCGGGGTGGTGGTGGTCTGGGTCGTCTGAGGTGCGGTCGTGCTTGGCTGCGCGGCCGACTCATCCGCCTTCTTCTCCTTGTCGGCGGCGGCCGAAGGGCGGTGGTTGGCTTGCGAAGAAGACATTGCTCGGAGGTCGGATGCGATGTCGAACATGAGGCAGTATTCCGAGTAGGGTCCAAAGTAGGACATCACCACAGGCTTTTCTCTGTATGTGAAAGGCGTGGGTGTGGGAAAGGATGGCGTGCGGATGAAGGGACGGATGTGGTTTGGGAGGTGAGGCGCGGATGAGAAGAGAGAAACGGCAAGACCATGAGGTGTGGAAGACAGATGAGAACGCAGGATGGTTTTAAACGGGCGTAGGTGTCTTTTAAAAAGGACAATCAAGATGTGCGAGGAGGAGAATGCAGGTAGTGACTGAAGGGGTTGTTTCGATAGCGACAAGTGAACATGAGGAGGATGTGACACGCCCCTGAGAGTCAATAAGGGAGCAGATCTCTTGACCGTGGCACACTCTTTATAACAAAGTCATTCAGAACTTCATATCAAGACCGATACACCTCTCGGGACCTTGGAAACAGAACACGGGAGTGAAGTAAGGAAGCTGGTCTCCTGCTATTTTGGCATCCAGCCCACCATCTTGAACTTCACGCTCACAAACGCGTTTAGGGAACGACTGTGTTTAACATGGCTTCATAGCGTGGACATATTTATAAATTCAAAAGGCAAGCCAAAACGACCAAGTTTGTTGACTGACGTGTCTCCCCTGAAACCATAGAGTTAATTTGTTCGGCGGTGGCTGCTCTGCCGGTGACTGAGGCGATCTTGTGCCCTGGGGGCTTTCTCCAGTCTAGTCTTGAGAGTGAACAACAAATGGTGCAGGGCAATCAAAGAACAAGAGGGTCTCCCCAATGCATTGTGCGCTCTGAGGACAAGAGAACAAACAATATCGTCCCCCCATATCCGGATAAGAGAATCCATGGGTACTCTGGGCCTAGTAACGCTAAAGGCGAGTCATTGAATAATTATCCTTTCTCTTCATCGGCCTATTCATCCTCGGACGACCTGTGTGCCCTCGCAGCTGATTCGAGATCATGAGTAACAAAGCCTGTCAAGCTAAGCTGTTGTTGATATGAGAGCCTTACTACCCACTCAGGATGAAAACATCTCCGTCTTCTGTCTGAATTAGTAGGTTATAGAAATCATTCTTCCTTCTTATCTGGCAATCAAAACAATTACTGTTGCGTCACGGATCGCAAAAGAACACTATCCAGGCTTTGGTCAATCTTAACATCAAAGCCGCTCACATACAGACCCAAGATCTACACCACATTGTTGTTATGAATTCAAAACAGGGCCCAAATCGAGGCCTTGAATACCTTCTAGGCTGACTGCAACACGGTATGTAGTCTGGGTAGGTGGGTGGTATTTTGGTTGCTGCACAGAAGGTATAAGCTGAGCACGAGATAATAGTTTCACTCTGCTATGACACATCTCCAAGGCAACTTGAAATGATACACTCCTGTAGCCCAAGAGCATGTGAGCAGAGAGAAATCAATGCTCCACTAGAACGGTGACCCTAGACGTTCATATGGCTGAAGGGTCCGGTCGATAATTTACTTTGTTTGGCACTGTACATTATTGAAGGTTGAGATTTGGCAACAGAAGTTGGTAGCTTATTCAGTTTCTGAAATCTGTCCTAGAGAAAGAGGTCCCTCTCGCAATGAGGGCAATCACAACTTTTTCATATGTCTTAATCGCTCGTAAATTCTCATCGAGCCAAATGAAGAAAGAATAAGTCTGTCGGCCGTCAAAATAACAAGACCTCCCTCTCCCCCTTCCCGTGTATCCAAACAAACGCCCCTTGTTGCGCCGTTTGTATCCTGTATTCAAGCAAGCCCAGTGTCCCGTACCCGGTCCCAGGACGTGGGCATGTTATGTGTTCCGTGTGAGTCAAAAGTGGTATAGTAAGAGAAAAGCGAGGTTCTTTGCTCCACGGAGGGTACATCCCGTCCCAGTCATCTCATTTCGACTTCGTTTGTCGAGCGTGTCGTCGTTTCCCAGCTGCTTCCTCCAGAGCGCGTGGTTCATGTGTAGTGTAGTATAAGTGGTGGAAAAAAAAGTAGCCCAAGAGATCAGAGAACAAATGCAGTCCAGCCACAACGAGACCGGACCGAAAGAGGCGAGTTGATCGCCAATTAGAGAAGAAAAAACCGTAGTAGTAGAGTAGAATGGCGAAGAAGAAAGGAGGGCTCCAGAGCAGCAGTGGGGACAAGTTTCGGGTCCCGTCTAGAAGGAGCTCATGCGCTCCTCGACGCTGCCCCAATAGACGATGGGCCGGGGCTCGAGGATGTTGAGCTCGCTGCCGAAGCTCTTGCGCTCCTCCTCGAGGTCGACGATGGACGACTGGCGGGAGATGATGCTGTTGATGGTGCTGGCGGCGGGGGACATGTTGGCCGAGGAGAAGGAGTTGCGGGAGCTGTTGCTCGACCGCCGGGACGAGGCCGAGGAGGACCGGCGGAAGGAGGTGCGGAGCTTGGTGGCCGAGAGACGGGCCCGGATGATGTGGAAGCGAGAAGACTGCATGTTGGCGGTGTTGGCGGAGAGGTGGCAAGGGTATCGAGTTATTATTGACGAGTTTGTGGTTGTCGTTATTGGAGAGAGCGGGTTGTAGCAACAATGACAGGCTCAGCCTTTGTATATATCGAGAAGGGGTGAAGCGAACGAATGGAAGTGAATGAGAGTGTTTGGTTTAACGACAGGAAGGTCTTGTCTTCATGAGATAGATGCACAAGGATCGAGGTCGAACGGGTGCGATATAGCAGCAGCAACAGCAGCGAGTTTGAAGTCGGGTTCGACAGCACACCGGGTGATCGAGGCACAAGCTCGTGATGGAGATGAGAGGTTCAAGATGGGACGAGAGAAAAGCCTGGTTCTCTTAAAAGAAGGAAGAGAGGAAGCGTAGAAGGCATTGATGCGTTCCTGCTTTGGATAATATATGGGAAACGGCACGAAGAGTGTTAGAGCATCTCCAAGCGGGCAGTGAGTGTGGGACAGCAACTAGTTAGACGATCAGTCCCTTGGACGAGAGAAGGGCCAGGGGTGTGCGAGGTGTGAGCATGGGGCGTGTGGGCGTGGGCGAGGATCGAGACAGGGGCCAGATATCCCAAACGGGTAAGCAGCAGGGCACTTTTGGTGTTGAGAAGAGCCGGACCGGTTTTGCTGGAATGCGGTCTCATAGTCGAGGCAACACGGCCGAAAGCGGACACCAGAGCGAAAGCTGCAGCACACACAGTACGTACGTACAGTACCTATGTACAGAAAAAGGACAAGGGTGTGTGCACATGTGCACGCTCTATTCGCTCCATTCGACACAATAAGGTGGTCAATAGTGTTGCAGAAGAGATACGAGAGAGAGAGAGCTGCGCAGCCAGGGGGTGGAGTTTGTGTGAAGTGATGGCGCAACGCACATGCCTGAGCCACCCTGAGCACCAGGGAGACATCAATGCGATCATCAGGAGCCCCAGTGCCACTGCTACTAACCTCGAACGGATTCAATGCAGAGAGAAGTCTTGGCTATATTCGCTGCTACTGCGGATCGTCCCAAAGTCTCTTATTGCAGACACGGGCTCCCCGTAGTTTGCAGACAAACGCAGGAGGCATGCACCGGGCGGGAGGGAGAGCTGGCTAGAGCGAGCTATTCGTGGAGACTCTGTGGATGCATCTCAAGATCTAGGGACCGGGCACTGTGCGTTTGTTGCCAGCTGAATCTTGCGCCGCCGGCTCGACGGGCAGCCAGTATCAGAAAGAGGGCCCAAGAGTGCCGTGCAGAAAGCTTGCTTCAGGGCAGCTGCACACACAGAGGCTTGGCCGGCTCCCCAGAGGCTTTGACCATTGCTGGCTGGACCGACGATAGCACTTCTGGGTGAGGATCATGAAACAAGTGACAGACGGGGGGGCTTATCACCGAACGAACACCGTAACAACAAGGGCCTTGTTTACGGAGTAGGTCTCTGTCCCTCGCCACCGCCTCTTTGTGCGCCCAGAAGCAGCTTGGCAGCATGACAGACAGTGCCCGAAGAGATGAGATGCATTTGTATCAGGCTTGTTGCAGAACCAGAGGGCAAGCAGGGTGCGGCTGCTCCGCAAAAGCTGGGCTGGGGGTGTTGGATTAACGGCAAGGATGGATAGACGTGTGTGATCGTCGCCGTGGTTGCGGAATGCGAGAGACAGAGAGAGAGAGAGAGAGTGAGGTGACGGCTTGTCGCACGACCGCTCCCACTCTCTTTCTTGCTGGGACAAGTTAGGGTCCTACGGTCCCAGAGATGGGATCGAGGAGTGTGTGAACCCTCACCGTTGCTTCAGGGCCCAGGACCAGGGGGTGGGCACGGCGTGTTTCAGGGCGCTGCTCGCCTCCAGGAGCCCGCCCCGTGTCGTTTCTGACACACATCCATCCATCCACTGCTTGATGCTTCGGACGACCAGGCCAGCTGTGGGAAGGGCAAAATGGTGAGAACCCCAACTGTTTCTGCTTCTCTTGCGGCGATGACGATGCGTCGTTTCTTGCAAGCCATACGGTACGAGGGCAAATGAGCAAATGATCATTGATGCTGCCCTTCAGCAAAGGAGGTACCTAACTTTACGAAACAGTCCCCCCTTTTTCACGACCAGTCCGCTGAATAGATTCATGCACAGTGAGTAATCCGCCTAAAGCTCTAGACCGGTACCACCAGCAGCTCTATTCTGCGGGAAGCCCCACCGATCTGCCGCGTACCTGCATTCCCATGAACTCCATATTTTAACTACGTGGACGGATATCCAAGGGAGAGAGCGCACAATAGCTCGATGGCTGCAAATTGCAGAGAGGCAGCCCTTACGAGCCTATGAGGCTGTGTTTGGCTGCTTTACCATCGATATTGGATTCCAGTCCACTACTCCGTAACCCCTACAGCCGGCGCATTGTATGTACCGTACCATATGTTCCTTCTGATGGGCTTCCAGAACCCCAGTCTCTCACACACACGCGCGCACCTCCTACACCCTACGGTCCATCTCTCACTCCCTATGATCGGCGCCAGGCATGAAAGTCTAATCTCCCCGGACGAACACTGCCTGGATAATGTGCTGATGCTGTCCGCACACCGTCCATTTCGTGACCGACGATGCCAGAGGCTTGCGTGTAAGTCGGCGGACAACGCAGACATCGCCACAGGAGTGGACAGCTTTCTTCAATGCACCTTATCGTATCTCTCTAAATTTGGAAGCACAAATACAGAGATTACCTGACGCTCATCCCTTGGAACAAGTGAAGCTGGAGATGCCATACCGTAACCTGCCTGGCCAGCTTTCGTCTCGTCCTTCAACAAGAACTGCCGAGCGGGCAGCCAAGCCCGATGGATCAAACCCCGTGATCGACTTGACACTCCCGTAGGGGGGTTTTCTCGCATGCTGGACCGGGTCTTATCGAACGATTTATGGGCAGAGTAGTTAGATGATGCATATGAACCAGAACCAATCAGTGCCGGGCCTCGGTTTGAAACGTTGCAAAAACTCTGTAGAATTTCTATCGTAGTTAGGGGTATGATTAAAACAGCCTCTATCGAACAATGCTGATCGGTCTATCTGGCCATGACTTTTTGTGTGTGTTTTGTTTTTCTTTGCCGGTCGTGTGTCGTCAAAAGAAGATTTCCCAACTCCTAAAACACCTCCGCCTTCCAGATGGCTGTAGGAAGAAAGCAACAGGCGAGCAGAAAGAAAAATCAAAGATCGTAACGAGGTGTACATAGTACGACAGACAGTAGGAGACTGGACCTCCATCTCTCCATCCATTATTCCCTCCCCGTAATTCAAGCCTTCCATCGTGATCGTACTTCATGATCAAACACACTTCCCTGCGGTTTGCAAGTGACCCCCTGCTCCCAGCCAACCCAGCCCATAATGCCCCCCCCTACTTGGGTATCATCACCACCATTCATCACTGGTTCCCCCACCCACTCCTCCTCATAGTAGCACTCCGCCGGATACTCTCCACCCAAACACTATCATCAAGCAGCTCCCTCACCTGCGCGGGGCTCACAGCGCTGCCCCGCCGGCTGCTATGCGCGCTGCCAGGCTGACTGCCCAACCCGCCGCCGTCCTGCAGCTCGAAACTATACGCACTCGAGCTGTGCCCGTGGTGACCAGTGCCGTCAGCCCCGCCCGTCGGCGTCCCAGGCGAGTTCGCCGCCGCCGCCGCCGCCGTCGGAGAAGTAGTACTGTTAGACCGCGGCATGCTGAGCGGGTGCTCGTAGGGGAACTGCTGGAAGCTGATGTCCTCGCTGGCGCCGGACCACGACCGGTGGTGCTGCCGGTGCGCGTCGTCGGCCGACAGGAAGACGGACGGCGTGCGCGACGGCGGCGGCTGCGTGAAGCGGTGGGCCGAGGCGGTCGCCGCGCGCTCCTCCTCGTCGTCGACAAAGATGTCGGGCACGTCCAGGCGCGGGACGGCCGTCATACGCGCCGACCGCTTGAGCTCCATGTGGCGCTTGAATTTCCTCGACCAGTAGCTAGAAAAGGGGGGAAGCCAGTTGTCAGTACTCATCGGAGACTGAGATGCAGAAGAGAAATTAGAGGGAGGGATTCAAACTTACAGAGTGTTAAAGAAGCCCAGCACGATTCGGCGCCGGACCTCTTCCTCCACTCGCTGCAGCCTTGCTCGTCTTCGCAAGAATTCATCGAGCCTGTGGCGAGAGTTAGTCAAAAGTTGCCTGCCCCCAGGGGAATGATGATAGCGACTCACTTCAAGCTCTTGCTATCACTGATGATGTTGTAGTGAGCAAGAATCATAAGGACCGTAGTAAACGCAATGCCGCGATCCGGGTCCGCAGAGACCATAACCTCCTCGTAAAAGATATTGAAACGACGACGCCTCTCCCGCACCTTGGCGACGTCAAGGTTGCGGAGCCGGTCATTGAGTCTCTGCAGATCAATGTCTCCGAGCGCGCTCTTGGACGCAATCGACGCGTGTCTGCCCTGGTGCATGTCGGAGCCGTTCCTCACGTCGTCCAGGATGGCGCCGACCGTGTCTTCGGGGTCGTAGATGCGCATCTGGAAAACACCAGACAGCTCCCCGAGCAGGCGCGGGAAAACCTCCTTGCTGATGTATCCCGTCCCGGCCGGGTCTACGCTCCGCCACGCCTCCTTGAACCGGCGGATCTCGTCGCGGTCCACCTCGGCCAGGCCGCTGGACCGCTGGTACACGTACGAGAAACTCTCGTAGATGAGCGAGACGAACAGGTTGACAAAGATGTACATGCTGATGATGTTCCACATGATGAACAGCGTCCGAGCCCAGGCCGGGCTGCCGCAGTCGCTCTGGAAGAAAGTGCTCCCTTCGACGCACAGCGGCGGCTCTACAGTGGCGTAGTCTTCCATGATGGCGTTCCAGCCCTCGCCCAAGCTCATTCGGAAGAGGAGGATCAGCGCGTTGGGGACGGTGCGGAAATTGATGTTGTTCTTCTCGTTCTCGGCAAAGCGCGTCAAGCTAAAGGCTTGGGTCATCGCGATGGCAAAGACGAGGTAGAAGACGAGCCAGGTCGCAAGGAGATTCACGATGCTCGTCAGACTGGCCGCGGCTGTCTTGAAAAGTTGATCCAGTGCATCATTCCGTGGAATCAATAGCAGCACAATAGCGACCAGGAAATATTTGTGCAGTTGAATGAACGTCTCTCGTTGCCGGTCCACGAGGAACATGATAGTCGTCACAAAGGTTCCCGCGACCGCCACCAAGGAGAAGAGGTCCCAGGAGCTTCGCCGGAATCGTGTCCATCCCAAGCCGAAGATTCTGATGGTGATATTGACCATGTAGATCAGGGTGAAGAGGAAGAATACGTAGTCTCTTGCTTCACTCCACCACATGGGTTCGGTGGAGAACTCAAGCAGCAGGAGAACCAAGTGCAGTACCAGGATGGCCGTGATAGCGAGGTACCATTTGCCGCGCTTCTCGATCGCGCGTTTGTGGCACCACTTCTTCCACTTGTTCTTGGTGTCATCATAGGAGCTCTTGGACGGAGAGATCTGGCGCAGAAGCTTGCGCAACTCCAGCCACGATCGCTGCTCGGCAGTCAGGAAGGCGACACCTGTCTGTTCCGTGTAGTTGCGCATAAACACGGAAATGAACAAGGTGAGAATAAAGACAGTGGCCAAGAGGTTGAAGACGACGAAGAACACTGCGTTCCCTTGGGCGACGCCAAACTGGGGCTGCGTGCCACGACCTGTGATGGCCTGGGCAGCAAAGGATACATCCGTCCAGCCTTCTTGACTGACGATCTGGTAGAGAATGAAAAGAGACTCGCCAAAGTCGTCGAAGCTGAAGTAATCGTTCGCTGCGGTTCTTGGAGCAAGAAGAGGCCAGTCGTTATTGAACGGCGTGGCATTGAATTCGCCAAAGCAGTCCACCAAGTTGACAATGCTGCCGCTATCATTGCATTTTACCATCTTGCCATTGAAGATGTTCAATCCATAGATGGCAAACGGAATGAGCAGTGAGATTGACACGAATGCAGCGCTCAATATCTTCCAGCCTCCCACGATGATCAACATGTGGAAGGTCTCCCGGGCACTGTCGCTGACATTGAGAAGTCTGAGCGCTCTCAGCGCTTTGAACGCGCCTACAGCTCGGGAGACGGCACCATCGTTGGCGAAGAGCGTGAAGACATTGATCCAAAGCGTTATGAGCACGACAGCGTCGATGAAACCCCAAGAGCTCCTAAAGTAAGCATTGGGAGTCCAGAGAAACCCGTCGGCGATAACCTTGATGATGGCCTCGGTCGTGAAGACGATTGCAAAAGCCATGTCCGTCCAGACAAACCAATTGTGGAAACCGAAAATGTGGCCCCGATCAAAGTACTCCTTCTGGTACAAAGGGGTGGTGACGCAGGCGAGAACGACCATCACCACGATAGTAGCGTAGACGAAGGCTGAGAAGGTGTACCAAGCAATCTTATTGGGCTCGACGCCATCAAATCGCTCGCTGCCCCGGCCTGGACCAACCAATCTTTGACAGAGTCGACGGAGGGGGTGGTGCGGTTTGAAGATGTACAACGAGGTGTTGTAGTTTGGATGACGGGCAAGATACTCTCGTTGCGCCCTGCGCCGAGCATTGGTAGACTCAACTGCTTGTCGAGCCATCTGGCGAGGATCAAAGCCATCCGTGGGCGCATCATATCGGATGTTCGAGTAGAAGGGGTTCGGCTCACGGTGCGTGACGGACTTGACTATCTTGGTCCACACCGATGACAATGTGCCCGCTTTCAAGGGGGGGCTGCTGCCAACTGGTGGTGCGTGCCCACCATCTTGTGTCTCTTGCAACGGGTCCATGGACTCGTCGAGGAATTCACGGACAACAGCTTCCTTGAGCAGCATCTCCATCATGGCTGGGCCATAGTCCAAAGGATCCTTGCGTTGCTTGCGCTTTCCAAACGAGAATATGGTAGAGAGCGCGAGATTGCTAGACGAGCTGCCCAGTTCTTTCCGCTGCAAGAAAGCTCTGACTTGTTCAAGGCGTTTTTGATCCTCGCCGACATCGAAATTTTCTTGAATGACAGCAATGAACATGTTGACCAGAATAAAGAATGACAGGATGAACCAGCCGCAGAAGAAGATGGCCGCTATCCAGGCTGTGTGGTGGATGTCGGAATATCCCGTGACGTTATAGAGAATGTCTGTCCAGTTCTCGCTGGTAAGGATCTGATACATTCCCAGAAAGGAGTTGAATATTGTCGCAAAGGTAATACGGATGTTGTTACCATCCGAATCAGCCTGTGGAATTTGTCCTCGGAAGAGCTGCGAGGCAAATATCGAAACAAGGAAGGTCATCAGGAAGACGAACAACATCAAGTTGCCAATACCAGTGGCATTGCCAAGTACAAGTTGGATCAGCTTCCGGGTCATCGGGATGGCAAGCACAACTCGATAGGCCCTGAGAATCTGGAAAACCGTGAGCCACGCATATGCCTGTCCTGAATTGTGGATCGGGGGAAGTAGGATGATCGACGTGATCAATGCCAGGAAAAAGTCGACGAGATTCTGCAAGCTATGGTGGAAGCCTCGCCAATTTGCAGCGAAGCGGATGATGATCTCGACGTCAAGCAGTAGGGTCACCACCACTTCCGATGTATCGATAAAGAGTCTGCGATCGTCGCCCATTCGTGCACTTCGAAAAGCCTGTACGACAAGATCGTACACGATTATCAAAACCCAGATAAAGGAAGTCTTGTTATAGATGTGCTGCAGCGACGAGACGCGTTTGAGCCCGTCTTCTGCATGCGCTGGCATGAATGTCTCATCCTGATCGGCGGTAAAGGCACTGCCCTTGCTCTCTTCCCGAATGACTTGAAAGGACGAGGTGATGACTGCAATGAGCAAGTTGGTCATCCACAGCATCATGATCATGATCCCAGCTCCGAAAAAAAGCGCTGCCACTTTGAAGTCCGAGTTTGTCGTATAGTACATGAGATCTGTGAAGGTGTTTGCACTCATGATGACGAAGACCAACTCTAATGAATGAAGTATATCATCAAAGTTGACAGTGCCATTATGCGGGTTGCCTTGCTGGAGACAGAGTGATCCACGGGGGCATATGAATCCCTTGCCGCTGGATGTGCCGTTTTTTTGCGTCGTCAAATCCCCTGGCGTTTCCATGAAAACCCATGGCATAATAGTGGGCTTTGGGTCGGTATTGTTCTTCAGATGACCACCACAGAATTCGAAATCATTCGTATACGCTGCGGTCAGGTTATTTGGTTGCAAAGGGTCAAGCCACACGCATTGGCGGCTTAAACTGGTCTTGAAACTTTGCACGCCGATGATGGCAAACAAGAGCCAAAAGAAGCCAATTAGAAACGATACTCGCAGCAGTAGGGGTGCAGCTTTCTTCAAACTTCGGAGAATGATCTAGGCAGTGGGTTAGTACTATGTCAACGTCAAATTTGGAGTAGTCGAAGGCAACTTACAGCATTGCCTCGTGTCAGGGCTAAGAGCCTCAAGATGCGCAAGCAACTGAGCATGCGAAACACATACAAATGAAGTCTGTGTTCCATGCCAGCGATGCCGAGCACGAAAGAGATCCAGAATGATACAACCGCAACAAAATCCAATCGATTGAAGCCGTGCCGCAGAAAGGCCCTGCGAGCCAGCTGCATCCGCTGTTGTTCTTCCACTGTCTCAGGCAAAGCCTGGCCTTGGAGCACCGTGAAAGATCGAGCAAAGGTCGAGGGTCCGTACTCTGCTGGACGACTAGCTCTGACGGATTTCTGGCGCTGAGGCTGGAAGATGGCCTTGTATTGATCTGCAACCACAGCCCTGATGCCCTTTTTGCGGTCTATCGTGCTGTACTCGGCTGCATTCAAGACAAAACCAGACACTATGATGCGTGCGATCAGTTCGACGGTGAAAATCATGAAAAGGGCGAATATAGCCCAGTCGATGCGCGTAGTACCCCAGCGCTGAGGCCGCTCGTTGCCCGGCTGGAAGACGTTCGGAGCAGCTTCTACGGCGAGCAGGACTGCCTGTAGGATAATGAGGATAAGAATGATGGGCTCTGTCCACGGGAAGACAAGAATGTCACAGAGCTTCATCCGTATAGGATTATCTGGTGAGAAGATGCCTAGGCTCTTTCCCTTTAGAGGATTCGGCATAGGCCGCCGTGGGAAATCCGATTCGGACTTTTCTGCTGGCATTGCAAAAGGCGGCGGTGGGTAGGATGTATCGACGAGCATAGGATCCGACACTCGCTGCGACTGACGACCTTCCACACTGGGCGACCGGGATCGCTGTCGGCGGGCCTGTTGCTCCAACACTTCTCCTTCACCGCTGATGTTGACGACACGCTGCGACATAGCCCGGACGATGGATGCTGTCCTAGACAAGGCACCCGAGGTAGACGGCGACCGGGACCTCCGCTTGTCATCCGGCGTCAGAGAATGACCATAGCTTCGATGTCGACTAAAGCCAGGCTCCAAGTCGTGTCCCAGCATCCTCGTGTCCCTCGACCGCGAGGGACTCCCACCAAGATCGTGGACGGTCTGAAAGCTGTCCCTGGGCGTAGCAGTGACAGGTGTTGTGAGGCCACCGGCCGTCGGCGCGGCGGCAGCAGCAAGCGGGACTCGATCCGAGTCATCCTGATAGGGCTGCGGCGGCGGTTCGTCATAGTACGGGGTCTGCACTTGATCGTAAGGGTCATTGTCGGCGACATCCGGATGCGGACCTAGCGGGTGACTGTGCTGGCTGATATCTGGGGGGAGCGCAAACTGAAGGGCGGCCGGGTCTATCGGGGAGCCCGTGCTAACGGCATCGTCATGAGTTGCAGGATATGAATCGCCCCAGTAGGTCGTTATGCCGGGGAGATTGGCCGCCAGTTGCGCAGTGGTTGCCGGCACGCGCTCATATCTTGCTCTTCCACCATCGGGGAGGTACGTCGCGCCGAGGGTATGGGCGCCTGGACCGGAGGACTCATCATAGTAGCCATGTTCGCCCTCACCGGGACCTCGAGGCACACTTTCGAGGGGTATTTGCTGAGAGCGCGAATTGGAAGAATTCCGAGTGTTTCGCGCCTGGTTTGGCGGTGGGCTCGCCATCGCGGACGGCCAGAGAGGATCGAGGGGCGGCCAAGTCAATTGGCAGCGGGAATCGATTGCTCAAGGAGGTAAGAGTGTCGGGCGTAATGCGCGGCGCGCATTCGCAGAAATCGCGTCACAGCCGGTTTGGTCGCATTATACTGAGGGAGTTGACCCGTTCGCTACGATTATTCGACCACTGCAGCTTGTCCGAGCAGTGGCCGTGTGTGGAGGGAGCTATTCGGTGAGGCACTGGCAGCAAGGGACGACGGGAGGGTCAGTCTCGAGGTGGGCAGTGCTCTATGCGGACGGATTGGGACCGTAGTTGCAGAAACTGTGGTACGCCGTTTTCGTGGGGTGTGTTGACAAGTCTGTCGATTCAATGTACTCAAAAGAGTTGTGCGGCGAGCAGCAAGAGAGGCAAAGCCAGTATGTAGATGTAGAATAGTTTCAGAGATCTACAAGAGAGTTGTTGTCAAGTGGTTATCACAAGCTGGACTGTTTGTTCATCTCGGTGGACTTTTTGTCACTCCCAGCTCGTACACTAGAGTCGGCGGATCGTTGCGCGGCCTCCTGTCCTTAGTACGAAGCCCACACGCCGTTTCAGGGCATTGCTTTAGCGGGCTGGACGGGGTGGGGGGACCAGGGTCTGGTGGATGGCGCGCCAATGGTGACGGGTTCGATGTTGGAGCGTGCCAGCTTCGTACAGCCAGAGACTTGGCTGCATTCTCCTTACATGTCTTTGGGGAGGGAGCAGGTCCTCCCTCGTATTTAATAAGCAACACCCATCAAGCCCTTCTTGCTGGTAATCTTGATTAAGATATTGGGAGATGGATGGTGCTTGTTCCCAATACCACCTACTACTGTGTATGACGTTTCTTTTCCATGCTTGCTGTCCTGATCCAAGAGGATCGGGAGTACCACGAGATACTCTGCACGGAGTATGAAACCGTCCCTGGCAAGTCTGGCATCGTGTATCAGATTTGGAAATCTACAGGTCGGGGACGTCTTGGGGGAACATGAATTAAGCTGCTGCCTGACGAAGGGAAATTGGTCCTGAGGCTGCAATTCGAGTTCTTCGATAAGATAAGCCAGACAGGGAGCTTCCCCAAGAAATGTTACTTCGTACGAAAAGCGCGTGAGATTCGGGGAAATTTGTAGCCACAGTAGCGCCTGGCATGTGCTGTAAACGGAGAGCCTGCCTTTGTATAGCCGGGTACCGCTCCACTGGTATTGCGCACCAAGATACCTACCAGTACTTCTTACCTGACTAGATGCGCTGTCTTGGTCACTTTAAACCCCTGTTCATAGCCAGCGCGCGTCAAGCATCATCACGCTTCCGCTTTTTTCACTGCACATCGAGCAGAGAGCCTCGTCAAGCGCGACAGCTTCAACCCGTCCCGGACTTGGACCTCTTTTACGGCTTTCGAGTGCGCATCGATAGGGTCTGCGCAAAACTGCAACTTCTTTTGAATACCGTTGCCCAGGGCTCTTGACATTCATTTTTCCCTTCGCCTTTTCGTCCTGTCTTGTCATGACATTCTCTTTCTAGTTGTCAATATCCCTAGCCCGGGTCGATTTGCATCAAACATCCCCTTTACTATCCCATATCCTGACCTTCCAACAAAGGCCAACATCATGGTGTCGGCACGGAAGCGCTCCTTTCAGGAGGCCAATGGCGATGCGAGTAAAGCTACCCAGGAACCCAACCTGCTTTATCAACTGAGGAATACCTGGCAATTCGCCAACCTTTACCAATGGCTTATGATCTTCGGGCCTGCCGTCAAAGCTGAAAACATCGACATGGATGCAAGTCTCCCTCCCTTTTGACCTATAGCTACCAAGTCTTCTAACAAGATGCGCAAAACAGGACTTGGAGGCCCAGTGTTTGCAGCCTCATTCGACTGCTCTGCAAGATATTGGCCTTTCGCTCCTGAAATACCTATCATCACATCGAGGCCTGACGTACGTCTACCACTTGTCCCTTGCTATCTCGATACGCGCAGGAAGTCTGACAATGCACAGACCCGAGCTATTTGATGAATACACTCGACGCCAATTTCTTGCCAAAGCCCCCGAGATGCCCAACCCCTTTGGCACCGACGAGACCCCAGCCAAGTTTTCTAGCTTCGACATCTTCACCAAGGTTGGTCATTGTCACTCCCAACTTTACCGATCGCTTGTTAATAGCGCGTATAGATTCGCACTTTGCAACATATGACACAGATCATCATGAAGCAACCCGAGAAGCTAAGGGAGAGGATGACGGAGCTCAAGGAAGCCGATCACGATCATACAAGCTGGGTATGTCTCCCGTATGGACGATTGTCTCGAAGAGGCAAGTCTGACTCCTGAACAGCGCATCGAACCATATGGCTGGGACCGCCACGACCGAACGTACTTCGTCCTCGATGATAACCGCATCTATCGACTGACCGATGCTCCGCCTCCACCACCTCCAGCACCGAAGCCCAAGAAGAACTCTAAGAAGGCCAGGGCTGCTGCTAGAGCAAGCAAGAGAAGACGTTTATCTGCCGCATTAGAGTCAGCAGCCGAGGATGGCGGAGATGAGGCAAGCGAGAACGGCTATGAGCCCGTTGAAGAAATCGACGACGGCCTTGGGGGCATGAAGTGGGAGTGCATTGCCGTCAACCTGGACCAGGTCCGTGACTTCCTTGCCACGATACAGAAGACGAAGGACCCCAATGAGAAGGTGCTGCGCGACCAGGTTCAGGAGCACCTCGTGCCTATCCTAGAAGCGCAAGAGGAAAAAAGAAAACGGCGCGAAAAGGAGCGGGAAAAGGAGCTCCTCAACTTGGCCAAGATGGCAAACGCAAAACGGTCAAGTCGTATTGCGAATAAGGTCGAACACCAGCGGCAAGAAGAGATCGCCCAGGAAGAAGAGCGAAAGCGAAGCGAGGAGGTGGCTGCGGCTCGAAAGGCTGAGCAACAGCGGCGCAAGTTAGAGAGGGAGAGAGAATCACGGATGATGTCGCGGGAAAATCGCCTTAAGGATCGCGAAGCAAGGCGACTACAACATGAAGAGGAGCTTGCTCAGCTATCCGAAGACAGCAAAAACATGAGCTCGGGGACAGGACGCGTCTCCGAAAGGAAACTCCAGGCAGACATCGAGAGGAGCAAGCAGGCACTGAAGGAGCTCGAGGAGGAAGAAGATGATTGGGTATTCGATTGCATCTGTGGTCTTCACGGTCAAGTCGATGATGGCCAACATAGTGTGGCTTGTGAGCGATGCAATGTGTGGCAGCACAGCAAGTGTCTCGGCATCAGCGAGTCGGACGCTGAGCGGGACGACTTCCACTTCATCTGTGAGTCGTGCCACCGGCGCCAGGAGGAGAAGGAGCGCTTGGGTGCTCGAAAACCAGTGATCAAGATCAAGGTCAATCGTCCTGGCAGTTCTTCCTCGGCTTCAGCTCCACAACAGCCTACGTCAACTACCGGTACTCCCAACGGGCCTACCTCGTCTACCCGTATGGTCGTTGAGATTGATTCGAAACCTCCTGCCACGAACGCAACGGAAACACCGAAGCCCCATGCTCATTCAAGTCCCATATCGGTCGTGACCAACGGCTTGAAGGATGCGCCCTCCGTTCTCGCTCCTCCTCGCCCTGAGTTCAATCCAAGCATACCCATCAAGACCGATGGGGCAGCTTCCCAAGAGTCTCTACCTAGTGGCGGCGAACTACGACGGGCGAGTCTGAACGGACAGAACCCGTTCTCATCGCCGCATCCGGGCCTTTCGCCGCCCAACCAGTCTCCCAACAAGTCGCGTGCCTATGGCACCATCTATGATCAGCCTAGTCCCGTGCCAAACAAGATTCAAACAGCCCAGGGGCAATCAGCTGGCACCAGTAACGGAGTCCCTCGCAAGATCTCGACTACTCCGATCTTGCCACCAACATTTGCTCGGCCGCCAAGCAGCAATTCGAATTCAAAGCCGATTCCGGCAGTCTCGCCCTCCAAGGCGCAAGCACACTCTGAGCCAATGGCAAAGGCAGCGGTGCCATCCTCTGCATCTTCACCGCCGACCGTACCGGCCGTACCACCTACACCCACAACCACGCACCCTGGGCAGCAGTCACAGGCTACGCCGTCCTCAACCCTCGCAACGACTCCGCGGTTGACACCGATTCATGGCGGCGGAGCCCAGGGCGACCTGCAGTCCCCGACGCTCCCGCCGCAGTCGGGCGGCCTGTCACCCATCAAGCACTCGCCTCCTGCGCGAAAGGACACAGCAATGTCTGGCGTCTTCCCCAGCTCGAGCCCCACACCTCCCATCCTGCCACCTATTGCTGCGCTATCACCCTCGCCACGGCAGCAGAATCTCACGCCGCCGGTGAAGCACGACAGCTTTTCACAAGAGTCATCTCTGGCGCAACAGGATCAGCAGGCTCCCACCGTCGGAGGGCCGAACGGGGCAAACGAGGCGTCCGTCAATGGGGGGTCTGCTTGAGATGGGGAAGTCGAGGCAATTTTATTCAAGTTGAGGTGTGGTGTTGGGCGCGTATTGAAGTGTTATGGCGATGTGGCGATGAGTCGAGTTTGTTTGGGTATTTGGCGTTCATCCGGCATAGAATGGACAAAGAGGCAACCGACCTCGGGGATGTTGAAATGATTCGTAGTTAGAAAACCAAGAATTGACAATCAGCGCCGATTTGGGCTATCGCGGCTGTTCATTGACTTCGATGCCTCCTTGCCATACCATCGTTGTGTGTGTGTAAACCCATGCCACTTTCTGTAAATCATCATCAGCGCATTAAGTATTCGCCTTTGATACACGGTGATCAGATGATGGGGAGTGAAAGAAGCAATTGTACTGAACATGGTCTTTAGTTCACAAAGGCACACTCGATACAGTCAAGAAAGCCCAGAGGTGAGGAGAACGCATCGGCTCTGCCTTGAAGGAGACGTGTATCTATAAAGTGCCGCCTGCCTTCTCTTCCTTCTTAATACGGCCCTGGCAAGTAACTCACTCCATCTATCCGTGGGGTTGTCATCAAGTCGAGTCGGGTTTGAGCATCGATCTCCTGTAGAGAGGATGGCAGCTTCGCGGGACCTCTCACGAGCAAGATGAGGCGCGCGAAGAGGAGGGGAGGCTAATGCACACACCCGATTCTAATCCTGCCACTTGTGCAGCAGCGACGCAGGTCCCGTCATCTGACGTGTGCCGGACACGATGCCTCCATGGTTCTGGGAGAATCGTGCTCCTCACCCGCGAACCTGCTTCCTGCCAGGCCATCTCAAGCTCTCTCAACGGCCAGGCATAACAGGCACTGGGGGCTTCGGAGCCGGCCGTTGCGTGCATCCAAGAAGATGCCACAGCCACCACCTCTCCCAACCCCGTTTCTATTCTGTCGTCCATTCAAGGCCATTCAGGATCTGCACTAAGTGCGGGAAGAGTGCTCACCAGGACAAAAACCTTAAAGGGGATCGTGGGCGACGTCCAAACAGCATTTCCGCATTTGGGTGTGGCTGAATGGGACTAGCGAAAGTGTGTGGGGGGGGGGGGGGTGTTGGAATGCTTGGCATCAAACAACGTTTGCGTCTAAGCTGGCGCGCCCTGTCAGAACGCTGCTTGCTTGATGAGGTGCCTCTCCTTTAGCGCAAGCGCCTGCACCTACATTCAGCACGAATCAGCTTGCTCCAGCCCCTCGTTTTACACAGACGCCGACGGATGCAAGTGCCGTGCAGACAGAGAGGACTGTCGGATCAGTTCTTGTCCCTGTCTAAGTCTGATTTCGTACGGAAATATGGCTATCTTGAACTTGAAGAAGGCTCTTAATTCCCCAGAGTTGCGCGCCATGTGTAGCACAAACAGGGGGAGAGCACGAGGCTACGAGGCGGTGACTGGCACACCCAGTGGGAGATTGCTCCCCCAGGCCACGTACAAGTTGTGTTCGACTCGGCATAGTTTGCTACGAAGAGGGTGTCTTGGAATTCCGGTCCTTAGCAGGTGCAAACACATGGCAGATCGTCTAGATCAGACGAAACGCCATCAGCCCTAAGGCACTCCGGGGTATGTTAAGGTTGGCTGTCACGTCCTCGTGGCTCTCCCATCCTCGAGTATGGTTTGGCAACCATCTCGAGCAAACGCGATATTCCGGATGTTTCTTTCGATATTGTCAAAAAGTCCGACGATAAGCAGCAAGCACTCTGTAGGCTCGCAAGAGGCGGTGAGTTCCGACAGCCAGTCGCCGTAACAGTCGGGACGAAGGCAGTACTGAAGGTAAAATAGGTTGGATTCTGTCCCAGCAGCTTGGTTTGGTGTGCGTGCTAGCATCTTGGTCAGTGATTGCTCGCGGCTTGATGATCAGCCTGGACTTCCGCAGACGGTGGCGGTCGTGGTTCACAGCAACTCGCCCACCCACACACACCACCCACCGACACATGGCTTGCCCTGATACTTAGATCCAGGTGAATGTATAAAGAGAAGTAAAAATAGGACACCAAGATGAAACAGCCCTCCTTCCATGAGTAAACTTTTTGTTCACGAACACCTACCGCCAAGAGACAAAGATCGCAAGAGGCACCTTGTTTCTTCTGTTTAGACTGAAACAACTCGTTGCCTGCCACAACCGCTGAACAGCCAAAACATCTATACCAGGAACAAAGATAACAGCTTTTGATGTCCAGGAACAAGCTATCAGAGCAAAGCCCTTTAAAAGGAATAACAAGAACGCAAAGAAAGACACATCAGAACATAGAGTCTTGGTCTAGTCGGCATAAAGACCCATCGATATCGCCAAAGGACGAGACGAAACCTGCTCCCTCTTGAAAGGAAGTCATTGACCTGTGGAAGCGCTCCCTGCACAGAAATCACGGATTTTGACTTCTGCACGCTTCCTTTCTGCATCTCAAGCTGCATCTGAAAGAGGCACAAGAAACGCTGGTCGCTTCTTTGCTGCAGGACAACTTGCATAGAGGCACATCCGCATTGCATCCGCATACACATGCGCATCATAGCTAGTAGCAAGTCAAACTGCCATAGCAGTGACCGCCCTGGTCAGTACTCCCCACGCCACGCCGGCAAAGGAACACCTCTTCTCTGTCATTTAAACCAAGCCTTATCTGCTTGCTGGTTTATTGACTAATCAGAGCTTCCAGAACAATTCTATCATCTCTCATCTTTGATCTCAGATCATTGGAGGGCAAGTTGAAGGGCAGTGGCCAAGGCACCATCCCTCATCATACAAACCCGCATTTGCTCGTGGGAGTCTACGAACAAGCAACGGTGCTTTGAGGTTGGCTTGAGCTCGAAGTCACCTTGTCACCTTGTCATAACAACAACCACATCGAGAAAACGACCCACGTGGTCTTCTCGAACAACAAAAGGACGCACATCACTACCTCTCACATGGAGCACACCGCATCGCCGTCACCGGCACCTTCGTTTCCCGGTGGCCACCCGGCACCGGTGAACGACATGATGCACTACCCCAACTCTCTGGCCTCGCAGTCGGTCTCCAGATATGGTAGTCCCATGCCCGGCCCTCAGTACGACATGCGACGCCTGACTCCAGTGACTCCGGAAAGTTTCTCGAGTTCCGTCTCGTACGCCACGCCGTTCAGCCAGGAATCCAGTGCGTATGGTCCAATGCCAGACGATCTGCACCCTGGAGTAAGTTTTGAGCCCCAGACCTATGATCATGTGCCTATCGTCCCTAGGTCCAGGTCGGATGAGTCCGATGAAGAAGTCCTGTCTACAATTTATGTACTGACGGAGTATGACGACGAGCAGTTTTTTGGTAACCAATACGTCACGGACGCCAGCTCTCCTCCCACCCCGACCGCTTCCAAGCCGTCTAATGGACGGACTCTGAGAAGCGGCACCAGTAGGAAGAACAACGGCGGCCAGAAGATGGCGGGTGTCGTGTCGGGCCGCGTGAGGAAGGCCGCACCCAAGAAGAAGACGAGGCGGAGCGCCGCGGACAACGTCACCCAGCTCGAGACGCCCCTGAGCCAGCTCAAGGGCCCGCAGGTCGACCGCGCGCCCGTCGCCGACATCGCGACGTACGTCAACCGCTCGCTGGAGGACCGGCGAGAGGAGATCATGAAGGGCAAGATGCCGGGCAAGATCAAGCGGCCCATGAACGCCTTCATGCTGTACCGCAAGGCGTACCAGAACCGCGCCAAGCAGTGGTGCCTGCACAACAACCACCAGGTCGTCTCGCGGGTCTGCGGCCAGAGCTGGCCGCTGGAGCCGGACCAGGTGCGCCAGCAGTTCAACAAGTGGGCCATCATCGAGCGGACGAACCACCAGAAGGCGCACCCGGACTACAAGTTCACCCCGGCCAAGCCCAGGAAGAAGGACGACGACGACGACGATCGGGACTTTCAGTACGGGGCGGGGCGGGACGAGGAGCGCTTCGACTGGGCGTCTGGCGGCTCCCGCTCCGTGTCCCGGTCCCAGACGCAGACGCCGCTCGGAGAGTCGGACTCGGACTACCAGCCCCCGAGGTCGCTGGCCTACCAGTACACGCAGGGCCAGAACCACCTCTCCGTGCCCGGCGCGCAGTACCCCACGCCCGCGAGCTCGCTTCCCCCGAGCCAGTACGACGCGATGTACATGCAGCACAGCCAGCCGTACTACCAGACCGCCGCCGCCGGCCCCGTGCAAGGCCACCACTCGCAGCTGCCGGACTCATACCTCGACGCCGAGTGCGGCTCCCCGAGCATGGCCTTCCGCGACCTCGGCGGCCTCGTGCCGCACGGCCTGCCGTCGGGGCCCCTGGTGGCAGACTACCAGATCGACCCGGCGCTGGCGCCGAGCGCCGAGTACCACGACGCCTTCTACCCGAGCATGGGCGAGAGCATCCTCGACCCGGCCCTGTCCGGCGGCGGAGGCGCATACCCGGACCCGACGGGCTACGAGACCAACCCGATGTTTGCGCCCGACGGCATGCACAGCATGCTGGCCGGCGGCGGGGCGGACGGCTGGCAGATCGAGACGGAGGGCGCGCAGGCCGAGGACTGGCAGGGCGGCGGCGCGGAGCACTAGCTCTCGCAGTCGCAGGGCGGGGGGCCGAGTGTGGTGGTTATGAGCTGGGCTCACGCCATGGCACTGGGATATGAATGATACCTACGCGCAAGGAAAGAGTAATTTGAAGATGGCCAGGATGGGTTTGGCCCCTGTGTTGTTGTGGATGAGAGGGTTTACGGTTTATGGCCATTTGTAACAATATTGGAGAAGGCATAATGGATAAGCACTTGTTATGCTTTTGGTTTTTCTATTTCTTTTTGGGATACCTACTTTAGCATCTTTATTCAGTCCCTTCGTGTAGTCTGTGGGGAAATACGAAATTTGGTCAACGACATGAACGAGTTCCTCTTTGTAGCCTGTCATGAACAAAGGAACGAATTCCCATGGTGTGTAGAGTGGGTGATGACCCAGCCACGGCTTTTACCGTGACAGTAAAGCGGTGTCTTTGTCGGCAATTGATACCTGCTGATCTCGCTAGACAACTTGACAAATAATCCTTAAGATCCCATAACTCTGCGAAACCTTCAATTGTAGCAAAAGAGAAGAAAGGATGAGAGCAAGAAAGGTGGTGGTTGTCGGTTGGGGCGAGGCTCCAAGCACGCCGCCCCTGGCCGCACTCGCTTAATTGCATACCTAGGTATCCAAGCTCCACGGCTCCACTTGACGTATCTCCAAGCTCGACTTCATCAATACGTACAGCTTTGCTCTTCTAACAAACCATCACCCACCCACCACCCCGTCAATTCATACGGCACCCCTACACCAAAATGACCTGGATCTCCAAATCAATAACGGCTTTCGGCCTCGTGCTGCTTGCGCACGCGTACGTGCCCCAATCCACCCACCCGCATCCCCACCGTCGCGATCGCCCTGAAAGCTGACAAGACCATCCTCTCTCTGCACAGATGCTACTCGGCGCAAGAGCACTCGGCCCTGCAGTCCTTCCGCGCCACCAGCGCCGCCAGCCTCGCCTCCTCCTCGGCCGCGGCGGCGTCGGCCACGTCGCTGCCGCTCGACATCTCCATCGAGGCCGTCGTCTCGCTGCTCGTCACCTGCGCTGGGCTCGTGCTCGGCGCCGAGCCCCTGCGGCCGATCCAGTGGCGCGAGTGGGCCGGCAAGATCGAGCGCGAGGGCGCCGAGGGGTTCCTCGACGGCCGCGGCGAGGTCAACAGGGACTACGTGGGCAACCCGTTCCGGGCGCTCGAGACGCGGCCCGGCTTCGTCGACATCCGGCGGCAGAGGAAGGAGTTTGCCGAGTGGGTGAGGAACAGCGGCGGGAAGTGAATTGGGGCAGGAGGAGTGGCGGTGCGAAAAAAAATAAATGAGAGATTGAGGGTGATGAGGCGGTCTGTGAGGTGTGTCTGTCGATCGAGATTTGAGAAAATGCCAGATTCGAGTCTCGGGGATGGGCAACGCTAGACAGAGCGACTTCGAGCAGCGCCACTCGGAGGTGCGGCGTTTTGGTGATGGCGTATCGTACGCTTGGGCTGCTGCATCGAGCTGGACGGACTGTCATATCCGTGTCCAGTGGCAACACGAAAATAGACACGACATAGAGGAACAAGCCCACAGTTGGGAACAATGAAATCAAGGTTATCCTGTCGATGATGCAAATTCCCGTGCTGCCTGTATTCAAGGACTTGAGACACGCCGACCCGAAAATGGTGCTTGGGAAGGAGCGTTCTGGAAGTTCTGGCTCCTGCCAACCTCAATGCTAGGCAGCCCTTTGCCCCCCCTGGATGAAGAAATGTTTCCCATCGTTGATCTCTCAAGGCTCCCCATCATCAGTCCTGTTTCATTGATACGAACCCATATCACAGCTGTGCTTGTATCACTTATCCGTTTTCAATACTGGGCAGTGGACGAGCTGTGTTAACCAAACACCTATAACGCGGTTCCTTCGCCTTTCTTTTGAAGCACTACATCCATACCCTTGTCCGCTCTGCGAAACCATGTCGTCCAAATCCTCGCGGCAGCGATCTCCATCGGTGACCTCGACTGCGAAACGGCGTCGAGTTCCAAGATCTACACCACCGCCATACACAAGGAGTTCGGCCTCGATAAACGGCCCGGCTTCGTCTTCCGCAGACCCTCGGACACGGCCACGATCAATCAACACAAGTTCTTCGAGGGGAGTGCAAAGAAGTGTCTCTAGAGCACTCGAGTCCGAGCCCAGCTGGTCGCGACAAGGAGTCTGTCCGCAAGAACGATCGACACTATCTCAGTCCTTGCCGATCGCATCGTCACCTCTCGCCAGATTCTCTTGTACTTCAAGATACAGTGGACAGACACACCAGGGATTCCTCGAGGACGAGGATGAAGACCTCGATGCCAGCCAGGAGGTGGTTATGGCCATTGACTTGAAAGGCAGTGTTGGTTGTGCCTACTATGTTGCGAGTGAGGAGACGTTGTATTTGCAAGAGGACATACCTTTGGCGGGTTTGGAGCTCGTAGAGACTTTGTTGTTGCACGCACAGCCAACAACTGTCATTGTCTCGGGACGTGCCAACGATGTTCTGGTCGAATACCTTGAGAGGAACTCGCAAGATCTTGCCGACGGACCGCGAAGCAATGGTCAGTTTTACACACTCGCCGACTTGAACTGCCGCTAATCAATGCATAGACACAGGTATTGCGGGAGCCTACATTCTTCGCACCCTTGGTGCCGGCGAGTTTGGATACGAGACCGCAAAGAAGCGTCTCGTCAAATATGCACTAGACGCGACTGCGTCACAGACTGTGTTGTTCACCACAGCCGCGGATGATGACCTTGATAAGGCAGACGACCTGGGTCTTGGCCCAGATCAACAGAAGAACAAGCTCATGGCACTAACTACGAGAATTGACCTGGACAGTCGTATGTCGGTATGTTATGTGCTTGTGTGCCTAACAGAAGAGAAACGTATCTGATTATCTCATAGATCGGTTGTGCAGGTGCAGTTCTGCAGGATATTCAGCGGCGAAGAGCTGCGGAGTATCTACCCGGCGATCCAGATGCTCCAAGCGCATTCCGTGTGAGACGGCTGGAGATGTTCACCCTCAAAGACTCCATGTTCATCAATGCAGACACACTTATTGCCTTGCAGATCCTTCACTCCCAATCTCTTCCAAACCCCCAAATGCAGGGCGCAGACAAAGGGAGTCACGCAGGAGGAGAACCCCTATCAGTCTATGGCCTGTTCCACCCCCTAGCAGCAACACCACAGGGTAGGCTTCGTCTTCGTCAGGTTTTTCTTCGACCAAGCAACAATCTGGACGTGATACGGGAAAGGCAGCGAACTATTAAAGTCTTCCGTCACCCCGAGAACAGCGAATCCATACAGCATATCTCGAGACTTCTAAAGAAGATCAAGAACATTCGCACAGCTCTATTGCAGTTGCACAAAGGTCTAGATCTGCCTCCGGGGCGAGCGAATGTCAAGAAAGGTGTATGGGCTACCTTGCAACGTTTTGCAGCGTATTCCATCGAGCTTCGTGAAGCAGTACCGCAGCTCCACGGCTCCGAACATGTCCAAGTCACTTCTCAAGTGAGTTAACACCCGTATAATGCTTGGTTCTCGAATAACTTACATAGGACGGCGGTAGCTTATCCACGCCATTGACCCTCGAACGATAACATCGATCGGACAGATGATTACTCGAACAATCGATTTTGAATCTTCTGAGGCTGGCCAGCGGATCCATGTTACAAAAGGGGTCAGTGCTGAGCTCGACCAGTTGAAGCACAGCTACGATGGTCTCGGCTCTTTTCTCCAAGAGGTTGCTACCCGCCTCACCCAGGACGTTCCTGAATGGGCACGGCGATACATCGACACTTGCCTGTACTATCCACAGATGGGATTTCTCATTGTGGTCAGCAGGGATCCTGAGACTGGTGAAGCGGACTATAAAGGCGAGGGCCTGGAAGATGATGCTTGGCAGAGCCTGTTCAACACCCCGACTAAAATCTACTACAAGAATAACTATATGAGGATTCTTGACGATGAATATGGAGACTTTTACACCGAGATCGCGAGTAAGTCATCTATCTACTCTAATCGGTGCTTTTCAACGCTCACATGTATACGCTTAGACATGGAAATTAAGATCGTGCATCAACTTGGAACTCGGATACTGCAGCATGAGGACATGTTGATCAAAGCCTCGGATATGTGCGGCGAGCTTGACTGCCTCCTGGCTCTGGCTGTTGGTGCGGAAAGGTACAACCTTGTGCCACCGGAGATGACAGCATCAAACACTATCGATATACGCGAGGGTCGACACTTGCTCCAAGAACTCGTGTCGCCAACATTCATTGCCAACGACTGCATTCTGGCTGGTAGCCAAGGGGGCAGCGCTGACGAGGGCGATGCCGTAACGAGCAGCAATGCCAACGTACCTAGCGTCCTCATCTTAACCGGGCCAAATCACTCAGGCAAAAGTGTCTACCTGAAGCAGGTGGCACTGATCGTCTACATGGCACATATTGGCTGCTTCGTCCCGGCACGACGTGCTGTGATCGGCTTGACTGACAGGATCTTGACGCGAATAGCCACCAGGGAGAGCGCTGCGAGAAATGAAAGCGCATTTACGATCGACCTACGACAGGCTGCGTTCTCGATCAACTTTGCAAGGCGGCGGAGCCTGATTCTGGTGGATGAGTTCGGGAAAGGGACCGACTCTACGAATGGAGCAGGGCTGCTAACGGCTTTGCTCGACCACTACCTGAGTTTGGGCAACGAAAGGCCAAAGCTGTTGGTCGCAACCCATTTCCACGAGATTTTCGAGTCCAACTTGCTCCCGCCTTCACCGAGTGTGGCACTGGCACACATGGAAGTACATGTTGACCCGGAGGCCAACAATAGGCTTGGCCATGTGACTTATTTGTACCAGCTGGCCCCAGGCAGGAGCACCTCGAGCTTTGGGAGCAGGTGTGCTGCGATGAACGGGATTGAAAGGGCCGTTGTGGAGCGGGCGGACGAGATCAGTAAGCTCTTGGCCCGGGGAGAAGATCTCGCGGCGGCTTGTACTAGAACATCCCGAGCGGATCAAGAGCTGATGGAGGATCTGGAAGAGCTTGCCCAGGACTTCTTTGAGCTGGATTTGTCGGGGGCAGACTCGCACGGTAGCCTTGGAGCTGAAGATGGAACTGAAGAGAGGGTGTCTGTTCGAGACAAGTTGCGGCAGATCTTGGCAGGCGATGACAGTTCGGAAGACTGAATTGGGAGTCTGTCACATACGTTCGCATGTAGTTGCTTGAGCTTGGTAATCTAAATGCTCCCATTGTATTGCCTTCTAAATGCTGCCCAAGCTCTTTTGCCTCTAACATCTAGTCTACGCTGTGTGTATGTTTTCACCTTGGCGTCCTCCCCATGGTTATGGCAAAGTCTACTCCCCATCCAACAGACGGGGGACCTGCTCGTTCAGGTGCTCTACGACGGCATCGGGACCGCGCTCAACCTGCAGGCCGTGCGGGATGGCATGCGTCTTGATGCCCGGCACGATGGACCGCGCCAGCTCAAAGACCTTGGAGCTCTGCTCGGCAGTCCACATGGATGCGCAGAACTGGTTTCCGGAGTTTTGTTAGTGTCAGCTTCCCCCATAGGGTAGGGGGATGGGGGGGGGGGGGGGGGGGGGGGGGGATGGATAAGGAAGCATAGATCATACCAGGACATCGGGTCGCAGTTCCCGGACGGTAGGCTCGACTTGCTCCAGCGCTGTTGTTTTGTCGATACGATGTCAGTCAGTGACGACGGCCAAAACGCAGATCATAATAACGGGTGCTTTTAATCTATGGATAAACAATAACAAAAAAAAAAACCTTACTCTCGCAGTTGGCGACGTATTCTATCGTGTACCGGTCCTTCAGGTCCTCCACCATCCGGCCGATGAGGCGCTTGGCGCGCTCGGGCGCCGTGTTGACGGTGACGAGCCGGAAGGGCCCCTTCGGGGTTGCGGTGCCGGTGGAGCTCATTTTTGTGTTGTTTTTTTCTCCCTCTTTCCGTGTGTGTGTGTGTGTGTGAAAGGTTTGACTACAGGTAGGTGGTTACACAGCGAGGAATCTCTAGTAGGATGAAGGTATCACGAACATAATAACCCTCTCTCTCTCTCTCTCGGCTGGCACCGCCTTTCTCGTCCGTCGGTAGCTCGGTCGGCAGTAGTTAGCTCTCTAGTTGGGCGCAAGTGGGAACATCTCGGTATCCTCCCCGATTTCGCCCTCGGCGGATCCGCTTTCGGGGGTTTACTTTGACTCCGTGAAGTGGACTAGTAGTCAATGCCTGCGGCCAAACGTACATCGTGACATCGGGACTGCTTCAGTTTACGATCCACCATTCAACCAGTGACCCATGATTCCTTTGTCGCACTCGACGTGACAACCATCCCAGCATATTGCAATCTTTGAGTGTATTCATTTCATCTCAAAACCAGAGCTACGCCGTCGCTATTAAGAAATATGTATGGTTCTTTTCCCCGTGAACAAGCCAAATAAACCCGCTTCGCTGGAGTGGTGTCCCAGAATCTCAAAAAAGGCAAACTATCAAAACGGCAAACCAGCTCCCTGTAAATTCAGTATTGGAGCAACCCAGCTTTTGCAATGCCGTGTCTCTGCATGGTTGGTTGACCCATCTCCCCCGTCCAACGACAAGAAACCGAGACATACACAGATATATAGCTGACTTGAGTAAAAATGAGAGTCGCCATCAGATCCCGTATCCCATTTGCCCGCAAAATCCTCATCACGAGCTTTTTCCCATCCTCAACAACACTTTCCCAACATCCCGGGGAAATCAAATAGTATAGTGGCCCCATGACCAGATAGACATTACAAGGGAACAGACAAGGTAAGAAAGTATGAGTGATTATATGGGGTCAGAGGGTTTCTATACATCGTCGAGTACACGTATCGTGAATGATTAGTTTGTTTGTGTTTGCGTGTGAGCGTGTTTGTGTGCGGCGCGAGGGAGAACCACTTTCGGTGATCTCCGCGTGCAATATGACACATCTTGGAAGACAAAGAATCTTGTTTTCTGTTCTTCCGAGTGCTGCCCGCAGAGAGAAAGTCGTTTACTTCCTCTCATGCTCGTCGACGACCTCTGCCGATGTCCCGTGGAGGTTGACCTGGCCACGGTGATCAGGGTCGATGCGGTTAACACTGCCCTGTTGCACGTGGCCGAAGCTCGCGGGTCGCCGCTCCTGCCCGACGCCGTTGCCGCTGCCGCCGCCGCCGCCGCCGTCCGACGAGTCATGCAGGTCGATCTGGCTCATCTCTTCCGTCGTCGTGGCGCCCAGGGAGGACCCCGAGGAGAGGCGCTTCTGCGACCCCGTCCGCTCAAAGGGCAGCCTCGACGAGCTCCCGCCGGCGCCTGGAGCAAGATGCTGCCCATAGACACCACCCGTGGACTCGAAGTGGGTATCGAGATTGAGTGACGGTCCTCGGCTGTGCGTCGGCGTACGCCGAGAGCTCTTTCGCGGCACCTCGGGGACGTCTGGGATGTCGTCATCGCCGACATCCCTTGCTGCCGTATGCGCCGTGTACCTACTGGACTTGGACTGGATTCGGCTCGGTAACCTTATCTCCTCGCCTATATCAATCCCAGGTAGCATGGGAGGCGCGTCGGGTATCCTCGACATCTCGACCTCGTCTCCGTTGTCTTCTTGCGGGTTGCCATCCTCGTCGAGCAGCTCTGTAGAGCCAGCCTCTCCATTCGCTCGTCCGAGTCGCGCAGCCTTCTCGGCCTTCTTCCTCTTGGCCTCATCCTCGTCATCGGACTCGATAGGGCCGTTGCGGAGCACGCCCATCGCCACTGGGATGCCCTCCGGCGGCCCGTCCTCTGCGAAGTCACCTCCCCTAGCCTTCATAGCGGGCGGCATTCTCGAGCTTCGTACAACTTCGAACCCCTTGCCCTTCTCCTTAGTCTTGCCTCCGAGGAACGTCTTGAACCAGCCGGCAGCAGAGGCCATCGGACCCGTGGGATCGGCCGGACCCGTACCCAGCTTCCTGCTCGGTGCATCCGAATTCAGGCGTTCGCCTCGAACGCCATAGTAAAAGTCGACCTCTCTCGTGGAGTAGTCAGCCCTCGGCGCGAAGCTGATGGCAGGCTGTGCAGCGGCAGGTGCTGGTGTCGCCGCTCTCGAAACTGGAGGTTCTGCCTCCGTTGTGATCTCGGGCATCAAGCTCGCGCCGGCCTGACTGTTCCGTTTCACAGACCAGTCCGCACTGGCCCACGAGCCACGAGTCTTATCGGCCGGTGACGCCGTAGTGTCGCGGGTGTCGATCGTCTGCCGTCTCGTCCGTCGCGGTTGCCGGTAGAACGGATCACCAGCCTCGAGAGCCGCAGCTGAAGCAGGAGGCATCGAGTTGCGATTAGCGCCGCCAGGAGACGGCAGGAAAGAAAACGTACTGATTTCTCCCGGCGTAGTGGGCGTGAACGAACTGGCCCCACTATCAAGAATGCGTGGCGCAAAGGGCACGTCCACGCTGGTGAAGTCGAGCGCCGAGGAGCTGCGCTTTCCACGGTTGTTGAGGAGCACGCCGATGCTACCGGCGGACTCACTCCTGACTCGACCTGAAGGCATGACATAGCCCGTCTTGGATGCCTCCTCGTCCAGCATAGCAGTCGTGGACAGGTTGCTCTGACGTGATGGACCTGCGTTGCGACGGGGCATTCTGCGTGAGAGCTGGCGCATGCCAAAGATCTTGGACAGGCCACCCCTGGTCTGGCCCCTGATGTCGTCGTTGCCCGCCCCCAAAAGCCGGGCCACGACCTCGAGAATGGTCTGGATAGCGTTCAGTAAGAAGCCAAGAATGAGGACGCCAGCATGGATGACCAAAATGACATAGCCGACCCAGCCCCTGGCTCCTTCGGTCACACCCAATTGTGGCACGAAGGCAATCATCAACAAGACGGAGGCGATTCGAAGACTCGCGAAAAGCGTGTGATATGCGTTCATGGACGACTTGGTATGAAACGGTCGGAAAGCGTGGATCGTGAGGATCTGGACCACCTCGCAAATGGCCAGGATGACGACCTGGGCCACTCCGGAGGGCTGGACACCGCCAATGGCGATGCCGCGGACGAAGGTGAGCAAGAGCGGGATCATCGCGAAGGCTGCAGCCTCGTCAGAGTACGTGTTGTAGAGAGGACCATACAGCAGCACGGTTGGCAGGTCGTCAAAGAGAACAGCCCTTGGCTTGGTCGAAACGATGAGGTAAAGCAGCCATATCGCGAAGCCAAGCAACACGACGACTGTGATCGCGGCGAGGGCGACGGTGTAGGCGGGTGAGCTGCCCGCAAGGACCAGCTGGAAGGTGGAAAGAGCCACCAGGGGAAGCAGAAAGTAATTGAAGGCGATTCTGATGACGTTCCCCACGGAAAAGGGCACATTCTTTGCTCGGAGATCCTCCTCGGGGATGTGCCGGATGAACCGGTAAACCCACTGCAGCCCGAACCCAAGCTGGCAGACGACGAACGTGCCGGCAATGATGACGAGAAGCCAGACCATCATGCCTGCCCATACATCCTCCGCCTCTTCCATTCCGACCAACTGGGCAATGTGCTGAAGGCCATACTGTCCGTTCGTCACATAGATACCATCAACCAGGCTGGTCAGGCCCGGGGCCTTGCTCACGAAGGTCTCATTGAACATGAGAGCGGACCAGGCCGCCTGGCTCACGATGGGCTGGAAAAATCCGGGGTAGTTCAAAGTCAGGCCTCCAGTGAGGACAATGAACTGGATGTAGCCCAGGCAGTCGCCAAAGCCTGGCGTGACCAATCTCAGGATATCGGCGTCGCGGCCATAGTTGGACGACCAGTGGAAGATGTCCGTTGAGCCCCACGGACTGAAGACCGCGGCGAAGATCGTTGCGAACCCCACGACCAAGAGGATGACAACTGGAAGGATCTTCAACATCCAGACCAGGTCTCCCAGGTCCGGCGTGATCGTTGCTGAGACGCAACCAATGTCGGTCCCCGCGTCTCCATACTTGATCAGAAACGTGGCCGAGAAAGATGTGAATGCATACGAAGAATAGAAATTCTGGGTCAGGTTGAACGACGGCAGCTGGTAGGGCGCGCTAAAATTATACACAATTAGTCCAACAGTCCAACCATGATCGGATACTCAATGACATACAGCACAGTTGTATTGAAAACGGGACCCAAGGGGCAAGAGGCATTGACGAGTGCCGTGTTGCAGAAGTCAAAGTCGCCGTTCCACGGTTCGTAGGTTAACACATTCACCTTGGAGTGCAGCGTGGTGAGCTTGGGATCCGGGCCGTTCGGATTGGGGTCACGGAGGATCTTCCCAAGGGTCATCTTGGGATCCCGCCAATCCGAGCTATTCCAGGCCGGGAGAGGCTCGTTGGTATTCGTTCCTGTTACGTTGCCGTATGCCGTGACACGCAGGCTGTGGGTCGGGTTCTCGGTATCAAAAACCGCATCAACATACAGCGGGACGAACTGTAGGAGCACGGGGTTGTTATTGTAGCGGTAGTTGTCGGGGAGACAGTTCTCGAAGTTGATTTGCGCCGCCTCGACCGGCTGCGCGCACAAGGTTGCCAGAAATATCAGGATCACGCTGGAAAACACAAGCGAGGCTCTGGGAAGGCGATGACGCAGCCATCGGTTTGTGGAAGAGACTAGCCGGCGACTGCGGCCGGTGTCCCTATCTGTGTACTTCTCAGCCGTCTGGACGTCGTGGCAATGCCGCCGCCCCGGCCTTTGTCGTTGCTGTGATTCTGTCATGACGTCCGTGGGCCCGGAGAATGCCGGCATTCCATCTTGGTGGTGATAGGAGCAGATGTGCGAGAGTGCTTGTGTGGTGTCGGCTTCGCTCGCAGAGGGCGCTTGGCTTGGGATGGCCGTATGCGACACTCGCATGGTGGTCGAAGGTGATCACAGGAAGTCGTAGGAAAGGTTCGATTTACTTCAAACCGGAGTTCTAGGATCGGCGCATTTTGGACGTCGTCGTCGTCGGGTCTCGTGCGGTTCACGGTGTATTGCGTCCAGTGCGCACGGCTACCAATCCGCCCTGATGAACGAGCAACGAGCGAATGCGACAAAGATATGCGTGAGACTTCGGCCGCCAAACGTGGGCGTCAAACAGTTCGACACGTTATATTCAGATCGACAGGGCGACCGTGATTGGGCCCTGCGTCACGGATCGGTGGGCAGTGAGGCAGTGCTCTGGGTCGAAACGAGCGTCCAAGAATCCGCGAATAATTTGATTGACGTGAGCGGCTAGAAACCGTGATCCAGGCGCCCGTTTCAAATATCTTGTTCCTTCCTTGCTAACGCGGCAGAGATTGAGCGCGGAACCAGGATTCGTCGAGGCGCGGAGCCACGGTCGGATTGACGTATTTCAACGGTCCCAACGTTTGGCCCAGAGAATAGCGAGCAGAGATGATCGAGCGGTGGGAGCTAGAGCGAGGTAGCGTGACGTGGTTAGCAACTACTTACAGCCTGCTGGGACGCGAACCTTACCAATCGGCTTGCTTTCGAAACGAATGTACAGCATGCCCAAGGGGAATGGGATGGTTCGAATCAAAAGACGAGAAACGAAAGGGCTCGAAAGGGTCAAACGAGAAAAAAAAGTAATACGACTGCCTGCCTGGATGACTGACGGACCAGGAGATGGTGGGGACGAAGATGGGGGCGCTGTTGCTCGTCAAAGCACGGCCGACCGATGAGGTAGGTCTAGTCCTGCCGGAACGGCATGGGTTCCAAGGTAGTACAAGCACTGTAGATACGCTAGGCGTGCTCCCCTGTCCTGGGCTGGGGAGGGAGCTTGGGCTGTTCTGGACACCTGCAGTTAACTACTTCACGTCGAGAACTCTTGTCGTCGCCAGTGCCGTCTTTTGCTCAATTCGTGGAACGACACATGCACCGCATGCACCACGGATTGGGCCCTGCAGAGCACCTCGGCCGGTTGGCAGGTCTTATTGATCGCGGTTTTAGTACTCAATCGCACCCGTTGGCCGTTGGTGGTTGCGCAATCAAGGAAACGGTCATGGACGGTACCCTGGCTCCGTTGCAACACCAAGACGACAAGCATTGCAGACAGACGTCAGTCAACCGATGATCAGCCACCCAGGCCGTCTTCCTCGCAAGAGAAATCCCCCCATGCCTGCCCAACTCGCTAGCCGGATCGCGTGGTGGTGGTGGTGGTTGGCAGAGCCAACACATTGTCACCTCGCCCAGCCCCCGGCCAACTCCCCATGTTGGTGTTTAATACCCGGCTGTTATTGCTCTGATGATGTTATTATGTCGGCCATTCATGATCCCCCGCTAGAATGTGCTTGGAACATTGAGCATAGCCATAAAGCACCTGAAATTGCGTCTCTACACCCAGGGAAAGATTGACATCTCGAGCCTCGGACTTCCACTCGACCTTGGACTAATCACCCATCAACAGCCATAATCATAGAACAGCATTCGTATGCTTACTTGTTTGCTCCCTTCAGAAATGCTGCCATGTTCGTTCCGAACGGCACAGCTGCAGGTCAATCCTTGCAATTCGCCTGTCCAAATGCAAGCCACATGGAACCGCTAATCACAATCATGAATATGCTCCGTAGAGGTGTGCCAAGATGGTTTTGAGAGCCTGGATCAAACACACAAGCTGAACTCTGGAGCAGCTAGAACCCGCTCTAGTTAACAACGGACAGTGACCACGCACGCGTGGTCTTGTGAAAGGGATCAGACTACCTGCTGTTAAGCTTCCTGCAGACTAAGCACTGGCCCATCGACGATACGAGCTGTACCCGCTGTGGGGGGTTGTCAGCCAAGCACCAATACCGTCGGGCCATCCTCCTCAGTGGAGGCTATTTTCAGCAACACGAAACGAACACCATACCCTTCTCGACCACTCCTATCAGCTTGTCCTGTCAGGGGTGTGCTGAACTACCGATATCTTTACGGAGCTGAAGTCAGATGGGCCAGCACCAGGACGACGGGCCCTTGTGAACCCTACCGGAGATGTGGCTGTTGCCCGATGCTTAATAAAGGGGCGAGCTCGGTGAACTATCTTGCAAGTATCACAGCCTCACTGAAGACCTGCGCGTGGAGCAAATCAACCTGGCATTTATCTACACATCTTTATGCGTTTCTAAAAGAGACCAGATGAAAGCACGATCTTCCGGCGATCGTCAATACCAAGCCATCCGTTCGTATGAGCCACATATCTTCTCAGGGGTTCGTCCAGGATAGCAACAGAGATTCCACAATATTGTCCCCATATCATGCAGCAGCGAGTCGGTGAGGGCTATTGCTATGCCTCAATTCAGTCCTTCAGCTGTGCAATGGCCTTTCGCAGCGACGTGTCCATTCCCCAGCCATTGTGGCCTTTCAGGATGTACTGGTCACAAGCTCCAAACGCTGTGGTGCTCAGTTTGAGTTGTGATAAGTCGAGGAAGACGTTACAACAGAGATGACGTGTGTGTTGGCCGGGAGGCGTCCGCTCCAGCGGCAGCTGGTCACTCTTGAGTCTCTTCAAGCTTCTTGCGCCGCTTGTAGACCGTGCAGTCCCAGTTATGTCAGGGCTGAATCTGCTATCTTCATGTAGCCTAGTCAAAAGCTCCTTTGTTGCCGATGTCCTGGGAACAGCGGTCTCTTCTGACGTCGAGGGTGGAAGAACAGAAGCTTGGCCAGCGCCACAGAACAGCGTCGCTTGCCGGAATTTATGAGAATCAGCGGCCGGACGCAGCTTCCAGCTCATCGATCCCCGAGCTTCACTTCTTATCGGGGACGAGGGTGGCGGTGACTGTAATCCGTTGAAAGCAGGTCTTGTCCGACTCCCCCTTCCCGCTGAAGGCATATGATTGTTGTGTGCTGATCGGTCAAATCCACTGCGTCTGTTCCCTCGCCGCTGTGGTCCAGGATTGTCGAAGGTCTGATATCGTCCGTTCCCAGCGTCTTCAGCTCCCGTACCTTGATGGCTCGATGTCAACCCATCACTAGGGTTAGGCACACGTCGAAGTAAGCCCGATAGCGTATCAGATCCTTCAGTCGAGGCATCCACTGAGCTGCGAGGGTTTGGTTCGGGCGGAGTGAATACGAGGTCACACTCTCGGAATTCTCCGGTCTGTGGTGCTTTCATCTTGGCGATCGTCCACGGATTCAGACTACCAGTGGATTCTGCAGCATCAAAATAGTCGTCTCCGTTACTGTTAATCCAAGTCTTCACTAGTTCGGAACAACTCTCGCGTTCGGGGGGCCTTTGAAACGTGGTAGGCTGATGCTCGCTCCCTTCAATGTCGTGCTGTGAAGCCGCTGCATGCAGCTGCTGACCAGGCGCCTCCCTTGACGAGACATGGATGTCTTTTCCCTTGCTAGACGAGAAAATGTCAATAACAAGTTTAGTTTGAGGGTGCTCGGTAGTCACTTGCGGTGCTGGCACTGAGGCTAGAAGTTGTTCGTTTTGCTTCTCAGAAACAACTTCGAAGCGCGTTTTGCAATGATCATAATCACCGCTCGCCTCAGAGGACATTTCTCTTCCCAGCTCCCTGCCCCCAGCCGGGAGATCGTCAGGCAATGAGCCAAGTGCCATCTGCGCTGCATCGTCTGGATCCCCGGAGGCTATCCCGCCTCCAGCATCAGTACTATCAATTTCATTTGGAAATCTGTCCAGCGCCTCAGCAACGGCGACTGATTCAACAGGACGAATCTTCCCATATACTTCATCACACAGATCCTGGAATGGACCGAGGAGAGCATCCTCGTCTGCGAACAGGACATCCGATTTCGCAGGGTCGATGTTCACATCGTAAGTACCAGGCGAGCACTGGATGTTGAGGATCAACAGGGGCTCTCTGCAAGTTTCGACTCCAGGATGAGTGGATACACATCTAATCTTCTTCTTGAATATTTGATAAAGCTTCTTCGCCGTTCCTGTTGCTGGCGAGATCGGTCTCGTATCGACCGACACGAACGCCCCTTTCCCAAGGGTGAGCACATCTGCGCTCACTTTCGGCATCAAGGCTTGGAAGGCAACAGATCCTGACGCATCCTTACTTGATTTCATTCGATGAGACTCGGGTACGCGCTCTCTGACAGATGAAGTTGTCAACTGAAGCTGATTCTTCGTCACGACACCGAGAATCTGAGCTTCTGCGTCTTGAAGACCAGCATCGCGGCCAGGAGCATATGACCAAGAGATCTTGTTGTTTCCCAGCACCTTGAAGGATAGCTTGACGGCTGGATTGGCCAGTGTGTACGAGTAGAGAAGTTCTTTAATCTTTGTTATCGTTTTTGAACAATCCCTGATGGCGATTCTTTTCCTGACAGGTAAGTTCGAGAAGATGTTGGTAACTTCGACAGTTGTGCCAACAGGAGCGCACACCTGTCGCATTTCTTTGACCCCTTGGCCTTGGCCCTTCAACCGAATCATCGTTGCCACTGGCAATTCGACACTCCTTGTGGTGACGGAAACGGCCCCGAAGGTGGCAGCACTGGCGAGCGCTTCGCCGCGAAAGCCCAACGATGTTCCTCCCACTTGAACCAGGTCGTCAAATGACTTGAGCTTGCTCGTGCAGCCGTGGCGGCCGAGAAGGTCAAAGTCGCCTGGATGGATGCCGGTGCCATTGTCCCTGACCTCAACCTTGTCGACAGTGTTGGCAGATACGAGGACCTCGATAAAGGTCGCCTTGGCATCGATTGCATTCTCGAGCAGCTCCTTGACGAGACTTATTGGCGTGCTTATGACAGTCCCTGAGCCGAGTGAGCGTATCGTCGTGTCTGACAGAGCTGTAATGGCCATGACGCATGGAGCATATCAATGCATGCAACATTGGTTGTTCTCCATTCAGATATAAAACAATGGTGAATGTCATACATGCGAGCTGCCAAAGGATGCTCCGAGAAGGATTGAAAGGAGCCATGGCCTCTGGACAGGCACCAGCGTAAATTATCGCATGAAGAAGGAGCATCGTGTGTGAACTTGCAACGGATATTGGAAGGAACGCACAACTTGAGGCAAGAGCATCCCGTACTTTCCTCAAGAATCAATAACTGTATCTCTGTGTTTCAACTTCATTTTCTATCATTTTCTAGAATTCGCATCCAGGTGTGTATATGGTCCAATCTGATGCGCTTTCTGCGTCTGCAACTGGCTTTCCACGTACCAAAGTCTAGCGAAATGTCTTTTGACATCACGGACGGTAATCAATGCGGACTTCATCACAAAGCTTTGAGGGTCACTCAGCATTCCACAGTCAACCTCTGGAGACGAGATATCGATGCTGATGCTCCAACTTCCCAACGCTGGTTGCACTTACACGTCCTCTCACGACCAATATCGGGCTCCCGGCCACGAACATGGTGCCAGAACACACCAGGACATCCCAAGTTGCCATCTGGACAATATCTACCTCGGCCTAGCATTGTGGCTGGTCTCGGTACCTGATGCATCCGGAACATGGTTTTAGAGTTCAACCTGCGCAAGCCACACGACCCCTACCGGCCAAACCTCCGGGAGGGTATCCATTACGCGCGGCGGGTGGCGGCACTGGACGCACTTCCGTCGGATAGGGATGCCCCAAAGAGATAGATTGGCACTCTCGTCTGGATTCACGATGAGTAAGAAAGCTGCAGGGATGCTCCCAGGAAATGCTCTCCGGATCCTGTTCTCGCACCATCAAGAGGCGAGGTATTACGTCGTGCCAGTGTAGCGTCGACTACGAGGTCTGAAGAGGGACAGAGCAAGCCAGGCGACCAACGGTAAAGCGGCAAGGTTGTGTACAGAAGCAGAACAGAAAAACAGGGAAAATATCATGGGATTGTTAGCATCGTGAAACGTAGTAGGACCCCAAAGGCCAAAGTCGTTTCCCCAGTTCCAGAAATGCCATCTGCCCCGAGACGCCGACCCCTTCCCCTCAAAACAGACTCCCGACTGACCGGTCAAGCTCGATTGCTGCACACCCCTCGCGAGCAGGGTACCTATCACCGGACTCTCAACCTGCATGGTCACGTATACGGGGAGTGCGTACCTACATGCAGGTCAGCGGGTTGCCTAGACGGATACCCCTCTTTCCTCCTTCTTTGTCCTCTTGGTGTTTTATATCCGGCAAACACTCTCATACAAAGTATCGCTCTGCACGGGTGCAGATGACCTAGCCAACCCCAGAGAGGAGGATTTCGGGACGTGCATGTACATACTGCTTGGCTTTAACTTGCCAAGTACTGCCGCGACACGTTTTTCTTCCCCTCGTCGTGTCATTACGGGCGTCAAATGTGGACGACGCGCGGTCCCTCTTCGCGAACTCGAGGGGGCGAGAAATGGTTCTTGTTCTTGAGAGAAAAAGTCCGCCTCGACTCCGTCCAAGACTCATGCTCGGCACCTCATCTTGGCGATAAGGAGTCAACACTTTGCGGAACAGCGAATGAACTACGATTATTTTCGTTTATGACGGAAAGACGACGTAAAAAAGGGAACAGACAGATGAGAGTACTTCATCAGTAGCGACTATTCTCGGCACTTGGACAACAACATACGTACAATTTACCTAATTACCTCTATGTACAAGTACTGGTCGGTTTTCAAAACAAACCTTGTCCCTTCTGTTCTCCGCAAAACTTCATGAAAATCCGGGGCCGGGGGTGGCCAAGTCTAACACCAATCTGCATGTCGCTGCTGCGTCTCGCGGCACCCATTGGACACTTGCATTGGCGCACGCATAGGTCATTACTTCGTAGGGCATTCTGCATTGAGGGGTAATGCACGAGAAGGAATAGAGAACGACCTATTAATACAGACACGGCCAAGCCCATAGGTACAAGTGGATGGAGACCCTTGGCTGCATGTACCGCCCAAAGAAAATTGCAAAACGGCAATGTCAGATCATTCAGGACATGACAGTGACAGTTTTGAAGTTGTGAATCATCAATGGGTCCAGCGTTGGAGCACTGTGGGTAAAAGGTTTCCAAAACCGCCCCAGAGCTGAGAGGCAAGGCCGAGGCCGACCCTTCAAAAGTCCCCCAGTTCATCCCATGTCGTGTACAGTACTGTGCTTCAGCCAGTCAATATCTTAGCCGTCCGTTTCCGTCGCAAACCGTTCCGGTCCGTAACGGTGTCCCGCTCGGACATGGCGATGCATGTTACGGCTTCCATCTCGAACTCTCAGCCTTAGTGAATTACCTATACATACTGAGAGATTCTGTCCGCCGACTTTAGGACAGAACTTGCTTTGATCAGCTCCTCAGACCTGCATCTCAGCACTTACCAGAACAGCACGAATTCGGAGCCGAGAAGACGAGCGGTGGCTTGGGTGGAAAACTTAAAAAAATGATAAAGCCGCAAAACGCCAAGGCCTTAGTCGTATCGAAGTCGTATAGTAGTCGAATCGTAAGTCGCCTCCTCGTCGGCCACTCCCGCCCGCAGAGAATAACATCATCCGATGGTCATTTGCAAGTCCCTGGCATGAGCGATTAGGCCCCTTACGGAGAGAAAACCGAGCAGTCGACCAGCACGGACGGTCGAAAGCTTCAGGGACTGGTCTCACGAGTAGGTAGGTAAGGAGACCTGACTTGAGTTTCGCTTTTCGGTCGCTGTAATACAGCCGGCATTAGAGAGCGCGGCGCTATTACCGCTCAAGGCTGTTATTTCCAGCCCTGGAGCCTCCAGCGCTGTAACTGCAAGTGCCACCCCCCATCAGCCGATCCATCAATGCGACTTGGGGGCCCAGTCGACCGCTGTGGACTTGTCTTCCGGGGTGGGTTGACAGCAGGTTTCTTGCAAGTGATCTGGTGTGTGTGCACACCCTTCCGGAGCAGATTCTCCGTAGCGAGACCCCTATGACATAAGGTTTCCCCCAAAACATGGCACGCCAACAATTCACACCCCTTGCAGTCGCAACTCGTCAGTGGCTGGGCAAGGGTCCTGCGAATCGAGCAGAGGGCAGGGTATCTAACAGGGTGGATGAGATGAGCAGTAAAGACTTCTCTTGCGGGATCGTAGGGGGCCGACCTGGTGCTCGATCGTCCTGTCACGCGGCGGGAACAATTAAAACGAAAAAGTCTTTGGGACACTGTATCATTTAGATATCCTACCGGAAATCGAGAGATCGTCCGCCCATGTGAGAACTGAAGTAACGCAGAGAACCCTTTCAGGGTCCTGGCACATCATGTATGTACCTACTAAGTAGGCGAAAGCCTAGTTGCCAGATTGGCGAGGACGAGGCTAGCCTTATTGCGGGACACGGAAAGATTGAATGCCTCATGTTACCAAGCTGGAGTGGTTCGACACAGCTATGGTATTTAGCAGGCCAGCCTCCTGAAAGGCAACCTTGAAGCGAATAAGGCTGCTCAGTGCGGATGGCCATGCCAGAGCGCTATGAAACAACCGCACACAGCCATGTGGAAGTCGGACGAAAAAATGGAGCATAAGAGAGCAAAGGACCAGCGCGAGCCGATAGGCTGCGTCGAGAGGGTGTTCTGCAGGGAAAACAGGTTTGCGGGAACATGCTAAGCAGAGATCGGGACCCAGCCGGTGTGAGATAGGCTGCGACGAGTTAATTGCAATGCGACATCGTTATCCAACGAGGGTCTCCCCTCAGTGCCTTCTGCTCCTGCGCCTCTTTACTCCGTACGTTAGGTAGTGTGTGTGCGTGTGTGTGCGTGTGTGTCGTGCGTTGCGCACGCACGCTGAAGGGGGAAAAAAAGGGTCTCAAGACCAGCCCTGGAAGAGTTCTGACAGGCTAGACGTGGCGGTACTTCTGAAAAGTAGCGAAACGGTCAGAGTACCTCGGATTGACAGGGGCACGGGACGCCCTAGAGGATGACACTGGGGCCGGGGCGTTCAGGCAAGTGGAGTTTGTCTGGTCAGGGCCCTGGCCGCCGGCTCAGGGTCCGCAGAGTCAAAGGACAAGAGAGAGGGGAAATGGATGGGAGTGTGGGCCACGGGGGGGTGTGCGTCCTTCCCAGAGAAGTGGGTTCTGCGTGGGCGCCGGCCAGAGTCCGTCCCGCAAGTAACTAAGCGTTCCGGGGCCTGGCGCGACTTTTTCTTCGATCATGACCAAAAAGCTCGATCTGGTGCAGGAGTCCCCTTTGCCTTTGACTGTCACCCCAACGATCCAGGGCCCTGATGCTCGATGCCGCAGAGACTTCGTCATAGGGCACCAAAGACCCCTTAACCAGCCGGCTCATGCTCTTCGCGCCGAAATTTCCAAGGAACGAGAAAAAAAAAGTCCTTTCGCATTAGTGCGCCGCCATTTGCCATGCTATTAAGGATATTTCCCATCTTTCGACACGAGGAGCCGCAAAAAAGGTCCCGGTCACGACACGCGCTGGGAGTGGGCCGATCACCATGTTTGTGCATCCTCACCCGCAGTGTCTCTCATCAAGGCTCATCAGGGAGGAGAGGCAGACTTGCAGCGCAGACCTCAACTCGCTCACAGGGCGGACCACCAAGCCCCAAGTGGCAGAGCTGTAGGCACTCCCTGCATTTACACACCACGGCCCACGACCTTGCATAGGTATTCAGTACGTAGTGCAGCGAACGAGCCATCGACTGGGGTAAGGTGGGAGGGTGGTGGATCCGTCACCGCCAGTACGTACGGAGTACCTACTTGTAGTTTTTTGCCTGCCTTTCGCCAGTGAGGCCCTTTGGACCCTTTCCTCTGTTTTAGGGCGATGACGCAGTTGGAGGACCCCTTCTCCAAGTACTCTACGTGATGAGTTGCTCGGCAGGCTGTTGCACCGAGCTGTCGGCCTGAGAGATTTCTCGCGTACGTACGGCTGGGGGAGACCAGGCAACATATCGGCAACTCGACAGATAAGAGCGAATTCGCTCGAGTTTCTGAAGATCCAGGGTATGATAGCTCCTACGGAGCAAACGTCAAAGCCACAGCGCTGGGTCTGGGGGACTGGCAATACCAGTCGGGTGCCTCGGGACCCAGGAACGGGAAGTTCAGATGTCGATCTTGCATCCCGCAATCCTTCCTGGGCGGTCAAGGCCAGAAATAGGTTGTGTCCCGGTCAGTGCGGTAAAGAAGAAACTGAGCAGCTGGCCCCAGGTACTGAGCAGACCGCTCAACGACAGAATAGGCCTGTCTAAGTCTTCCCAGGCCGCTGAATAACAAACAACAATACAAGTACACAGCAGATACAGCGACTTGTACTTCGTAGCGGCCTATTGCGGGGATAGTGTTCAGGTGTGGGGGCTCTTTGGGTTGCTCCGCTTTCAAAGTACAAGTAAAGAAGGCCATGGAAACTCTAAACTTGTTGCCCAGGTCTTAGCTTCGACAGAGTTCAATCTTCACGATCATTGGTCAGAATCTCACGGAGGGAAACGCCGATAGGCTGACACGGCTCCTGCCTTCTGTTTCCAGGGTTCTTCTTGGCAACCTTAGTCGGGAAGGATACCCGTCAACCAGAACATCGTACTCGGCTTTAAGACGAGAATGCGCAATAGTGGCAGCACTATGAGCGTCTATCCCTCTTTGGACGGGTTCTAAAACACCTTAGTATTCAATAGAGATATAGTTGATTAGTAGATGCGCGAGACTTGCTGTCGATACATGTCCTCCATGTTATTGAATTGACTTGCTGCTATCTCGTCGGTCTCCAGGTGTGGTGAAGTGACCGAGGTGAAGGCTTGGGGCTCCACGACATACTTGCCCGACAAGGTAAGGTCGAAGTGAGAAGGGGTCGTCGTCGGTCAGGGCTTCAGCCATGGATGTTAATGAGTGCCCCAGCCAAAATCATTAGAGTAGAGGAGCTATTTCTGTTGTGTCCAGGGTCGGCAAATTAAGCCTCTGCTTGTGGGAAGGCCTGATGATTGACGATTGCAGGGCCCAATCTCTGGTGCAACCGAGCTGAGATACCATCTCGTCGCCAATTGGTGCATCTGGACCATGACAGCTATGTCTCCCTTGCCCTCAACGAAGCCCTGCAATCTCGACAGGCTGGCCAGGCCACGAAGGCCATCATGATCCGTCACGTCTTGCCGTCCTTTTGTCTCGCTACCACCGGCACGTCTGCTCAGGAACAAGAGTTGTCGTGCTAGTTGCTAGTTGATCTCATAAAAGAATGGTCCGGCAGAGAGTGATTAGTTATCAAAAACCCGTAAATTATGGGACCGTGACAGCCAATCGCGACAGGCACAAGAGTTGTCTCCGTCGCTATGGCATCTGCCGTCGGAGAAGTTATGGGAAGATAGTGTCGACAAACTCTGCGCTAATGACCCAGCGAGCAGCAAGATGCGGCTGCCAGAGGTTACCAAACCGTGGTAAAGCAATCAGGGGGTGCCTGCGAAGCCCGGTAGTCCGTTCCAGAGCCAACAAGCGAGCGATGCGACCTGTGATCAGGTCAAGTAAAGCACCCTCCATGAGGCTCTCAGACATCATGTCTTAGCAATGGCGAATCGCAAAGCACAGTCCTACCTAGGGATTGGAGATATGTCTTGAGACCGTGAGAGCAAGCCTCTATGCAATGTTCCCCAGAGTACCGGTCACAAGGGAACAAGTCAAGATAGCATTGCCGCTTGCGTGCTGCCCTCCGGCAGTAAAGGCCACACTATCATCTGCCGGACGACAAGCTCTAATGTTAAAGCAACCTGGAGGTTTTTCTGCGGGCGTTCCTGAACCCTTCAGACCCTGGAAGAAGCCGTTGGCTTCCATTCGCGGCTTCTTGCAGTTAGAAGCCTGTCAAAACGGAGCCTGAAATGATCGTACGTAACAGGATTCCCCCTGCTGACGGTAGGGTCTTTGCGCGTTAGGACCCTGGCAGCCGCTGACGTCACAATGGCATCGCCCTCCAGAGAGGAGGGTATTGCAGGAGAAGGATTGGGGATTGGTCTTGAAAGGGTTCCTCTCTGACATGCATACGGAGGGTCTAGGGTTAAAGACACGCCCGTCTCCGCCTCTCCTCCGCCTTCCCCCCTTGGAAACGGAGTGGCTGAGAAAAAGGGAACACATGCCAAGCGGCAGAGAAGAGGAGGAGAATCGCTTCCGTTTGGAGTATTTTGTGGGGACGTATGGCTGGGATCCACTTTGCGATCGATCGAGATTATTGAAGGTGATCGAATCCACGACGAAAGGAGCAATTTGGGATGCATGCCCTTCCTCGAAAGCGCTGGGATCGGCCGAGCCCTTGCACCACGAAGTGAAAAAAATAAAAGAAAAACTTGTTTCGTGCCAGAGTTGATGCCGCAGACCTCCCTTAAGTGGCTCTACCAAGTATCCGAGGGTGTTTCGCCGAGTCGCTATTCATCTGTCAAAGCTCTTGGTAGGCGGGCCGGAGAGATGTGGTTGGCCAGCAGCTGGTAAGCTTCCAGGATAGCGTCGCTTTGTTATGCTAGGTATGCTTTGACAGGCAGCATACAACCGCACGTCCCACGCAACCAGCCACTCCCACCGCGATGGACCACACTGGGCTGGCAGTTTTACGCCACTCGAGGGTTCCGATCAAACACCCCGAACAGAGCTGATCACTCTGATAGAGCGATCATCGTCAAGCATGCGCGGAACGAGCAACGTCGTCCCTGTTGATCTCTTGCTCCTCCCAAGACCCAAGACCCAAGACCCAAGACAACCGGTGAATGCAACGAAAACCTGTCTGTCGGATATCTGATCAGCGCTCTCCACACACTCTCCGTCCTTTTGAAGACTCGGCGCGAGATGCCGACTGCCACTTGTCACGGCGCCGGAGTGCCGGCACACTTTTGACCAGTGCTCTCCTCCACCGAATCCTCTGTCTCTCTATTCTAGCCCTGGGCTCTGCACCCGCTGCAGATGCATCAAGTGAGACCGGGGCAGGCTCAGTGACATCATTGCTCTTGACCGTCTGCACGATGTCCCACTCGACCTATCCTGGACAGGTATCCAGATGGGGTTGCTGTACCCTACCGAGTAAGGTAGGATGGGGAAGGGGGTGTTCCTGGCCGGGGACAAAACGGGCAAATAATGGGACTCTGTGCGTGCCAGCAGGGGATGGGATGTGAAGGTGTTGTCTCCGGCTGGTGCTGGCGAGCTGTGAATAGAGGCATTTCGGCAACCCTGGCAGGTCCCACCGGAATTAATTCTTGGGAAGGGAACGGACAGCCACAGAGGGAGCATTGAGCCGTGTGATTTTACAAGTACAAGTCACGCTGGAGGCAGGGGTTTGAATGCCACCACCGCCGCCGGCATTGCACTCTACACCTCGAACTGAGAGTCACTCGTCCGGAGTTCGAGACACATGCACCGTCAATGGAAACTGACATCCATTCAAGGAGGTGACTAGGTAACTTGCCCGCCCATTCCTGCCTAACAGCAGGCCAGACATGTCAAACCATGCTTGCGGGAGATGAGGTGTTGTTTGAAGACTCGCAACTCGCCGTCTAGTGGCCAAGAGATTGTCGAGGAACAAAGGGAGAAGAAGGCTGAAAGCTGGGCAGCATGGCCACCGGATCGAGATCGCAGGCAGATACTTGCGCCAGAACCCTGCCATGTACCGGTACCGTTTGGCGAGACCTGGCCAGGGTCCCTGAGGAGGGTGGATGTGGCTAGTGGATAAGACACAGAAGCAGTCGAGGGCGCTAATCCCTGCCGCGCATCCATCCCTGTCCGCTGGGCGCCGCCAGTGTGGTGGCTTCTGGGTGCTGGCCACTGCTGGGTGCCCGCAAATTCATACTTTTTCTGGCCAGGCTTGCCAGGCTTGTCAGGAGGGTGTGGCTGCATCAAGTGAGGAGCGGCACAGGCCAAGCAAGCACCTGAAAATGGGGTTTCATGCAGGCCCCGTCACTTTCCCATCGTCGATGGGGCCCCGGTACAAGCCCAGCGGGCCCATACAATACCCACACACCACAGACGAGTTGCATGGTCTTTTTTGCTCTCCCATCGGCGCCATCCATCTGCATTGCGCTGCTGCTGCTGCTAGGTACCGCTAACAGCGACACTCTGGGACAGCTCTCGATCCGATTTCCTTTTTATCTACAAAGCCCTACTGCCTCCCCCCTTCTTCCTTCTCGAATCCCTCTGACGTCTGAAGGGTCTCTCTTGTTGAACGACTTCTTTTCTTTCTCCTGGTTGATCTAATCATCTACTATCTTGACGCTCGTGGCTCATCACACCTCTGTTCTCTCTTACGCCCACCACTCTCGCTCTCACTCTCTCCTGTAAGTGCAACCCCGACGATCACACAAGCCTGTCTCAACCTCGCTGTGCACAATCAACCTGTGGCTAAACTAACGCATACCTTCTCGTATATCTGCAGCCCGACGAGCAAGTTCGAGCAATTCTGCCCCAGAGACAAGACTGTCTTTGTGCCTTAAAGGACGAGATCTGTTGCCATCCCCTCGTTCGGGTCACCAAGGATCCGACTTGCGCCATCAGGCAATTCCCATCCTTTCGCGGTCCCAGAGCTCCGGACTCTGCACAGCACAGAATCGAGCCTGATTCGGGATTCGTTGCTGCTATTCAAGCTGGACGACGGTATCTTTCTACGAGCTTGCACCTGACAAGCTGCCGACTTTCACCTCTCTCCTCTGATCACTTGCTCTGTGAGCACAGCAACGCAGCACCACATTCGCCATGCATACCCGCGACGCCACGGGACGTAAAGTCTCGCTTCTGAACGACGAGCCCACTTACGAGAGCCAGTACTCTGCTGCAACCCATCGGCTCTCCTACAGCGCGGCCAGCCATGTCGTCTCGCAGCCGTATCATCCTGGTCTGACCCGTAGTGCGTCGTCCTCACCTAACACGCCGGAGCTGCTCCGCTCTGCCTCCTACGACTCCCAGATCAGCAACGAGCCGCTGTCTCCAATGACCCCGAACGTCGCCTATGCAGACTATGGACGGACTGTTGTCTACGCTGATGGCCGCTCGCCATATGAGGAGTACATGGCCGATGGGACTGTCTATGCTGGTGCGAAGCGCCCTGCGTCCTTCGCTGACAGCAGAACCTCATCATACGACCTGGATGACAGCGCGACCAGCCCCGCAGCCCAGCCCACAGAACGCACTGGAAAGCGGTACCCGTGCCGCTATCGCGACAGCCACGGCTGCGACAAGACCTTCACCACCTCCGGCCATGCGTCGCGGCACTCCAAGATTCACACTGCCGAGAAGGCAGTGCAGTGCACATTCCACGGGTGCTCCAAGAAGTTCACCCGCGCCGACAACATGAAGCAGCACCTCGAGACGCACTACAAGGACAAGAGCCGCCACTCGACCGCCCGTCCCAGCATCACCGGCCGCAGGTCAAGCTCCTCGGGCAAGGTCAGCTCCTCCAAGCGAGTCGACAGCACTCCTCTGCCCTCCCCCGGGGTCGCCGGCGGTGCCTGGGACATGCGCGCTCTGAACCTGCCCCTGCTGAACAGGCCCAGCGCAGCGCGCACGCCCAGCAGTGGCCTGGATGCGCTCGCCATGGCGGTCGCCTGCCAAGAGGGTGGGAGCGCGTAGGGGACACCCCGAGAAAGGCGAGATCCACAATCTCGTGGTGCGCTCAGGAGAGCCTGAAACATTTTCGCAGCCGCGCACACACCTTCGCAGCTCCATAATTACCCATTCGGGTTGTTTTGGGGCCCTTTTTTCGATCAGGAACAGGCGCATCTCGAGATCTTTCGATCAGGTGAGCTGCCCAGTCCGTGGTGGCCCCATGGCTTGTCCGGACGGCTCCACCTGATCCAAAGGATCGACGATGCGATTTTCCCAGCCTTTGCCGCCAGTCCAGTCGCCCAAACCTCGCGAAATCTCGAAGCCCATCGCCAATTCCATTCCCCGCTCCTCCTAATCATCGCCGGCTATTCCCGCCGTACAATGCTAATCTCTCACAATCTCCATGTTTCTGACACATCACCGATTCGCCACAATACGATAATATCCACGGGCGGAGCAATCTGGGCTTTTGTTATTTTCTTGCGAGCCGGCTAGCGACAAAATCACCACGAATCGTGATCCGGACTTTTTTCCGTGGCACACATACATACACGTCTTTACTTCTCACCAAGTCGGAAACCGGAGTTTCGTTCGGCAGCGTCTTATTCATCTCATCGCATTTCATTTTTATCTATGGGTTCGGTTTATAAAAGGTTACAAGTACACGCATAGTAACCAGGGGAGCATTTTGATACACACGATTGGAACACAAACGATTCCATCGACGACACCAGGCAACAAGAGAAAGAGCATACATCTCAGGATATCGGCGTTCAGTGGCGTTTCTTATTTGATGCGCGAGGCTATTTCACAGTCTCGCCATTTTGCTTTTATTTCTCTCTTCGCTTCGAGTACCCCCTCAGAGACCAGCTTCTCTATATACGGACAGCTGGCGATGACTGCGACGAATTGGAATGTCGGGCTGGTGTGGGAGCGCAACGGATGCGCCGGGACAGTGCCTGCGAGACAGGCATGTGGGAATTGAGAATACGGAAAGGAGTTCGAGCTCCTTGGAAAGAACGGAGACAGGCTGGCTCGCACCCGTGTCGGGGCCGAGCAGCCCAGCGTCGCAACGCAGCAACAGGCCGACCTTTTCAGGTCTTGTTTGGAAGGGAGAGGGAGACAGATTTTCCTTTCTGCTCCATTCCGCCGCCCCGTCTCCTTTTGGGGGCGACAATTCTGGTCTTGCTGCCTGTGCTCTGTTGTGTCAGAGCGAGGATTGTTTTTTTTTTGATACCAAAGATAGGAGCCTCCTGTGTCCCATACATGATTGCGGACAGGACGGACTGAGCCACGAGCGAATAAAACAAAGATAACTTCATCGACTGTGCAATTACTTCTTCGGCCTTGTGACTGCTTGACTGTATGGGGAATCGCCTGTCGAGACCACTTGATCTTGGGCATATACCATATCTGCTATCCAGGCGTCACCTGAGTGTACACACACTCTCTTCGACCCTATCAGTCTGGAAACGGCTTGATCGCAGCAAAGTACTCTCGTATCAATGATAAGTCTAATATTCGAAAGCAACGCCTCTCTCTTAGAGACCTTAAGCAAAGTTGTCATGCCGGTCATTATGTGATCCCAAACCCCCCTCTTTGAAAATATGCTACCAGCAAGCAAAACCCCCCTTTCTCCCATTCTATCACCAGATTTCTTGAGATCTCGCGTATCACGGAATTTCAGAACTCGTGAACCAAACCCTCTTTCCCGTCTCTTCCTCTCGTCTAGTGGTTCCAAACTTCCCGCAATCCTGTTTAACCCCCCCTTTCCTCTCCTCTCTCACTTCCACAGCTGCTCGTCCTCGGCACATCCCCTCGCCATCTCAAACTGCTCGTCCGTAGCGCACACGAGCACCCTGTGCCGGGCGCCGGGCGCCGTGATGTCCTTGACCACCTCGCCCGCCTCGAACCTGAGGCCAGCGTTGGCCGCGCCGTCGACCCCGAAGCCGAGGCACGCGCACTGCTCCGCGACGGCGGCCCGCAGCCGGTCGCTCCGCTCGCCGATGCCGCCGGCGAAGACGAGCGCGTCGCACCGGCCCGCGAGGCTGACGTAGTAGGAGCCGACGAAGGCGCAGACGCGGTCGACGAAGAGGTCGAAGGCGAGGCGGTGCGTGGCGGGCGCGCCGGGCGCCGCGATCTCGCCGAAGTTGGTGGTGCCCGTCAGGGCCTTCCAGCCGGCCTCCTTGTTGAGGATCTCCTCGGCGCGCGAGATGTGCAGGTCCCTCGTCGACTCCGGGGAGAGCTTGCCCACGTCCGAGGCGTAGTGGAAGACGAGACTTGGTGGCGAAGAAAGAAAGAAGCGTTTGTTAGTGACTGACTGACTGACTGTTCATCGCCCGGTCTGCGCCTGGGTACAATGAAAAGGATAATATCAGAAGTCAAAAAAGAGAAAAACTCACCTCGGGTCCACGCTCCCGCTGCGCGTGGCGCCCGGCAGGCCGGCCAGCGGCGTCAGCCCCATGCTCGTGTCCCAGCTCTTGCCGGCCTTGATGGCGCAGGCGCTCGCCCCGCTGCCGAGGTGCAGCGCGATGATGTTGGTCTCGGCCGGGCTCTGGCCGAGGTGCGCCGCGACGCTGCGCGCGATGAAGGCGTAGCTGATGCCGTGGAAGCCGTACTTGCGCAGCATGTTCTTCTCGGCGACGGCCGGGTCGATCGGGTACGTGCTGATGTGGCGCGGGATGGTGGCGTGGAACTGCGAGTCGAAGTAGGCGACGTTGACGGCGGAGGGGAGCGCCTCGACGCAGCCCCGGACGATCTCGAGCGACTTGGTGTTGTGCAGCGGCGCGAGGTCGTTGAGCACCTCGAGGTGGTGGTACGTCTCGTCGCCGATGACCTTGTGCTCGGTGTAGTCGCCGCCGTGGACGATGCGGTGCGCGACGATGGCGACGTCGGCGCGCGACGACAGCTGCGCGAGCTCCGGGTCGCCGACCAGCGTGTCGAGCAGCACCGAGAAGGCGTCCTGCTGCGACCCGATCGCCGCCTCGACCCGGTGGTCCCTGTAGACGCGCCGGCCGCCGCGCGTGTAGTCGAGGGTGGGCGGCGGCGCCGTGAGGCCGCTGACCTGGGCCTCGGCGAGCTTCTCGGGCGCCGCGCCGGCCCTGTCGGCCGTGTAGACCGAGATCTTGACGGAGGAGGACCCGGCGTTGACGGAGAGGATGACCTTCATGCCTGCTTGCGGTCTACGCGGACTGTTGTTACAGCTGGGGGGGTCTTGCGGGTGTGTACGGGGGTTGGGTGATGAGTAAGCCTCTGTTGCCCGGAGTGTCTCTGAGCCAGTCCTCTCGAGGGCTGTGTGTGCACTGTATGGAGTACGGGTGGTGATGATGATGATATGATCGTGGGGTTTTGGCGGCTGTAGCTTTCGATGTAAGTGGCCCCCTCCTTTTCTTGTTGGTGTCTCACTCTCCAAAGTCTATTGAATTGCCCCAATTCGCACGAAACTGAGCTTTTATACTGATTTATGAGGCTTTTTTTCTTTTTTCTTTTCTCGAAATACTCTGCGGCCCTCTTTTCAAGGTACAAGGTTTCGGTCCGTTTCTGGGCGTTCTGGAACGCCGCTCTCTGGATCAGATGCTCGAGGCGTTTTGGTGGTCTGATATGAGCTCGTACAGTAGTGTAGTAGCTTCGTAGAGCTCCCCTCCATGACGTCGCCCCCTCCCGCCGTTTTCTCACACCCCCCCTCTGCGATAAGATAAGCCGTCTCAGCTCCAGACCAAATATTGGCCCACGAGTGATGCCTTCAGCTCTGAAGTTTAGTTTCCTGCGTAATGCAAGATCGGCTTGGGAGAACATGTTATGAGATCCTGATAGCCAAGTTTCGGTTGAGCTATTCATTTCAACACAGTCTCTCTTCAAGAGTTTGGAACATTTGGCCCCACTCTCACCAAACCCGCGGCCCGCCTCCCGTTCGGATTTCGGCGCCAGAACCCCGTGGCAGCACGATTGGCCGTCCGATGTTGCGCCGTGCTTTTTAGCTTGATGATGTCTTCCATCTCTCGTCACCAGGTAGTGGCCCATGGTGAGAAGCAAGATCCATGGTGGGTTGGTCGGTCCGGTCTTGCTGAAAATACAAGGTCAACAGGGTCCCTCCCGACTTGGTTGGAGATGTAGCTGAAGGACATAAACTCCATCTGGCATATTGAAAATCTGCACTCCCGTACTATTTCAACCCCCTGATCTTGTACCTCGACCGCCCTCTCAAAAAGTCTATCTATCATCATCAGTATCCAATATATCAAAAGGCTTCTCCTCCTCACCCCCCAAGTCAATATCATATACACACAGCACAACAAACCACAACCATCCCCTCTCGAGATCTCCCACTTACATCCTCACCCAACTCAAGCCTCATCCAGGACTCACAGTCCCAGAGTCAAAACTCCCCGCCTCGCTCCCAGACTCCTCCGTCGTACCCCCACTACTCCCGCTGCCGCTCCGCCGGCCCCCGCCGTGCATCGGCACCTCCAGCCTCGCCGCCGCCAGCCCGAGCCCCAGCCCCAACCCCGTAGCCCCAGCCTCGCCGCCGCCGCCGCTCCCCTCCGCCGCCCTCTCCCGCGCCATCTCCAGCGCCTCCCGGAGCGTATCCCCGCTGTCGTCCAGCGCCGCCAGGAACCGCGCCAGCTCGCGGCACAGCTCCCAGTCCCCCTCGCGCATGGCCCGGCTCAGCAAGCGGACGCTCTGCTCGCTCGCCGCCGAGCTCGTCGTCGTCGCCGTCGTCGTCGCCAGCTCGTCGTCAAACGTGTGCAGGATGAGCAGGTAGCCGCCCGCCGTCTTGAGGTGGCCCTTGAGCAGCGACTCCTCGAAGAGCTCCTGCGCGGGCGGCAGGTAGGCGAAGAGCGTGCGCCAGGAGCGCACCTCGGTCTTGCGCGTGCACTGCACCACGATGTCGAGGTAGCTCTTGAAGGAGGAGAGCAGCGACAGCACGCGGGGCAGGATGGCGTCCTCCGGCGCCGGCGCCGAGTCGACCTCCTCGTCCAGGACCTGGTGGAGGAGGATCTCGAGGGCGTGCGCAAAGTAGGCGAGACCCTGGTACTGCTGGGCCAGGTTCAGCGCGTCCAGCGCGCGGTTGCGCGTGAGGTAGAAGCGTAGGACCTCGGGTAGGAAGAGGTGTGTCTGTACATAGAGTTTGTTAAGTCAGTCTGACTACCGTGACTACATGTATCCCAGATGTTTGCTTACCCTGATAGCAAAGCGGAAGAAGGAGAAGCTGATGTCGCGCCTCTGCACTAGATCAGGCTCCACGCCCAGGACAATCCCCTTGCCTAGTAAAAAGGAGAGTGGGTAGTAATCTATAGGGATGGACACGGTTGGTGGTAGCTCACCGCCCGAGACTGTCTGCAGGACATCAGACACGTCCGTCCAGGCTTTGAGTTCGCCGCCGTCGAGCATCCAGAGCGAGTTCTGAAGGCCTTTGTCTTGGCCTCCCGGGGAAGCGCTTTCCAGCTGTAGAGGGCCGCTCAAGAAAGGCTGATCCCTCATGCAAGCGTAATACTCGACGCTCTGGGCAATGACGCGCATGTCGTATTTGAGCTGTCCCTCTTCGTTGACCGAAGGCCGCAGCAGGACTAACTTGCCATCGACCAGGAACAACACGGACGCTACAGCCACGTCCTGTGATGGGTCGCCGTCGGCCAGCTGGCTCTCGGGCAGGATCCAGCTCAGACCTCGCACCCTTGCAGGCGAGCGGACTATGCCGTGGAAAGCGATGTGGCCCACCTGGATCAACCGGATGGCTCCCGCGACGGGAGCGAAGATGAAGTGGTAGAGGAGATTGTCGTATGTGTAGACGAGTAGAGAGTCCTCGCCCGACGGTGTGATCATGACCACCGGCGCGGGCATCTGGTGGGTATATGCTATGTTTGAGGTGTCCAGGGCCGCTTCTCTAGAGAACAAACGCAGCTCAAAGGTTCTGTTGGCCTCGACGGCTGCGACCAGGATATTCTGGTACCAGCACATGCCGCCTCGCACCTGGAACTCGTTCTCCTGGATTTCATTACCAAAAGTCTTCCAGCGCCCGCTGTTGACGCTGTAATGCGCGAGGCCTCTCCTGCCGGCGATGGCTACATATCGGCCATCGGGGGAGATAACGGCACAGCGAATGGGCCATTGGTTCATGAGGTAGGTGGAAGGCATCCTGGTTGTGTGCCATAGGAAAGGCTCAGCCGAGATAGATGTGAGATCCGGCAAGTCGTAGCCCCGGTATATCATAACGCTCGATTCTGTCTGCAACACCGTCCGGAACAGGTTGGCCGAGCTGTAGCATCCAGTCACTGCACTGCGTGCCATCTCCAGCAGCCATATAGCCTCGTGCTGTTTCGCTACCAGCAGCATCTCGCAGGCGCCGCCTATCCAAGCAGCTTCTTTGATGCCCTTGATCCACTCTTCTTGGTTGCTGCCCGAGATGGCTTGGTCCGCATTGAAGCTATGGCTGAGCGGTTTGCCATACACACTCCACGTCGCCCAGCCGTTCTCGAACCCAGCAAAGAGGCAATAGCCGTCCGGAGAGTAGCTCATTGTGGTCAACCGGCCCGATTTGCTCTGCGAGACTGGCAGTTTATGAACATGCGACGCCGGGATGTTGCCCACGTAGTCTCTTGCTGAATATACCTGTATGCTTCCGTCGGCGAGGCTGACGGCAATGAGCGAGAACCGGGCATTGATTACTGCCCGCTCGGCGCGGTCATTTTCGCCTTCAGGCGTGTGGAAGCAGTAACCCTTGAAGAGCTTCTTGGGGTCAGTCTCCCCATTCTCGCCCGTAGGCTGGCCCTTGGGAGTCCGCTGGACGGCGTATGCCCTTCCATCGTTGGTAATCCATGCCGATAGGTTCATTGGCCTATCGTGCGTCATGGATGTGATCACTACCTTCTTGTCCAGCCAGCTCATTCGGCTCAGAAGCTCGGTGCTGGTCTGGCTGCCCGAGCTGTCGGGTGTCCACCTGATACACTGGACGGCGGCAGGCTTGTGGGTAGCGACGACCAGCTCATCGTCCAATGCCAACGCGCTCTCGATCCCTGCGTCAACCTTGATCACCATCCTGAAGCGCACGCTCACGTCGCGCACGCCAGCGCCCTCTCCAGGTCCCCACATGATCTGGTCTGGCGCCGCATGTCCAGGGTCGCCCCAGTGGTTCTGTCTTCGCCGCTGGACGTTTGTGTGGCTGCTGAAATGCGGCTTGTAGACCCGCGACTCTGCGTCGGTCGCTAGTGTGTACGTGATGAGGAAGCCCGAGCTCGTATGTACGACCAGGATGGCCGAGTCGGGGCGAAGGAGGAGGTCGACGTTGGCACCATAAGATCGGAGAGAAGCCTCGGAGCGGACCACAACCGCGAGGATCACCGTGGGCTACACGTTTCGTCAGATCGACAAGACCACTTTTTTTTTTTGCTCAGTAACAAGGCGCGGTGCTTACCTTGACTTGCCATATCGTCATAGAGGTCGAGGTGATCGTGGCGAAGAGCTGACCGGCCCTGGCTACCTTGAGCGCCAGCACCGGCTCCTTCAGGGGTATCGTGGCCGTTCGCGGGCCGGAGGGCCGCTCGTGGCCCTGAGCTTCCGTGTAGTCATCTTCCACGGGTTTTATGCCCGGCGTCAGAGGTGTGGTCGGGGTCAGGGGCGTGGCGGGAGAGGTTGAGCTCGGAGGACCCAAGCTCGACGCCGAGTCAGCAGCTAGCAACGACGGCCGTCTCTCGTGGCCAATTCCGTTCGACGACGACACAGGTGGCGGCGAGGGCTGCGGCGGCGGCAAGCCATCCGACGAGACAACGAGGCTGAAAGAGGGCGACTGGCTACTGCTGCTGGTGGCGTAGACTCGAGGAGTGCCGACCGGCCAGTACATGGCTGGCTGTTCGGAGCCGAGCGTGCGGCGGCAGCTTCATTCGTGACGGTGGGCTGCAGCGTGGCGCTCAGATGGATTTCATGGGCAGCGCCTATGGTCTACGCAAGTGCGGTATTCGGTATGAGGCCCCAAGGTCCCCTTACTTGTCGCGTGGAGGGGGGGTTGCTTTGAAGTTGTCGTCAGTGTTGGCCGTGCTTGAGGCGCGAGCTGGAGCCTCAATGCCAGCAATTGGAGCTGGTCAAAGACGGTAATTCAGCCGCAATAGCCACTAAAAGCAGCCTATGATGGGTGTCGTGGAGCACCCGAGACCCCAAGCTTCAGGGAGCTGGACCCAGCGCCACTACTCCGTACAGTGGGGAGGCTCGAGGGAGGGAAGGAAATAGTGGGGCGGTCCTCGAAATCGCACCTTTGATAGCATCCTTTGAGCTCACTCTGAGTGCACCTCCGTCCTTTCAAAGCCTCACACTTCTTTTGCCATCCCGAGCACTCGCAGCATTCGATATTATCAATACTGCCTAGGCGCATCCTGCAAATTTGGAAGATTCATCGTCATTGGGGTGCAAAGTCATCCAAACACTCTCTGTGCTCACTCGCCCTTCTGATGCTCTTTGCTTCTGTTCACCTTCACGCGACGAGTTGAAAGACTGAGCAACTTCAACTTGTTCTCACTAATGCTAACAATATAGCTACGAGCAACCTTGTTCTCACCAAATGGCACCTCTCCTCAGAGCTCGGCAGAGCCTCTCTAAGGAGAGGCTTCCTAGCTATTTTGCCTCTCTGAAGAGCCAGCCGTATCATGACCCAAATCTATCTACGAGACCTAGCGCGTCTGGGTCTGTTACCGGGTGAGTTCTGCTGGTTTCATTCCCTCTCATCTTTCTCCATGGATTTTGTCTTTGCTAATTGCTGACACCTCATGACAGTATCAGGTCTATTGCATGGAACCCTCTAGGCAGCCTTGTCGCAACTGGCTCCGCCGACAGGATTCTTCGAGTCTGTGAGTTGTCACTTCTGTAGAGTCGCAATGTACCAGTCTGGTCAGACAAATCTGATGCCTAGCTGCGTAGGGAACCCAGAGAAGCCGAATGTGCGTTTCTCAACAGAACTCAAGGGACACCAGGCGCCCATTGAGCAGGTTGCATTCAACCCCGTCAAGGATGCCGAGCTATGCAGCGTCAGCAACGATGGGGTGGTCAAGTTCTGGGATGTCCGCACCAAAGCCTGCATCAACGAGGTCAAGGGTCTTGGCGAGGCTTTCACCCTCGCCTGGGCGCCTGATGGGCAAAGTCTTGTCGTTGGCAATAAGGTCGGCATGGCTCTTTTCCCATGGCTTTCACTTCGAGACTGACAAAAGTCCGCAGAATAACAACGTGTTTGTGCTTTCGCCCACTCAGTCCACGCCTCTCTCCTCCCACCAGCAGTCGGTAGAGACAAATCAGATCGCTTTCTGCTGGAGCGGTGAAAAGGTTTTCGTCGCGACGGGCGATGGCAAGGTTCGGGTCCTCTCGTACCCTGACTTTGAGCCTGTCCTTCGAGTTCCCTACACCACTGAGGAAGGAGAGTCAGAAGAGTTCACGCTCAACGGGCACACGTCAACATGTCATTCTGTGGCGGTGAACCCGACGGGCCGGTACGTCGCGTCCGGAGGCGCCGATTCAGTCATTGCCTTGTGGGACACAACGGATTGGATCTGCCAGCGAACCATTACCAGCCTGGTTGGACCAGTCAAGAGCATCAGTAAGTCATGGTCCACTTGCTCTAGTCCAGAGTGTCATTGCATTTCAGCTGACCGTCCTCTTGCAGGCTTCACTTTCGACGGCAGTTATGTCGTTGGTGGTATTGCTGAGGGTAAGTATTTTGCCAACCCCCAGGTGGAGAAGCTTGTACATGGAAGGCTAACCAAGATCTCCAGAATCGGGGTTGGAGATCAGCCATACGGAGAGCGGCGAGCATGTTCACAGCCTTAAGACGGCCGGGGTTTGTCCGGTCGTTGCCTGGGCGCCGACCAGATATTGCTTGGCGTACAGCGATGCGGGCTCATTGCGCATTATTGGCGTTGATACGGATAGGAAATGATACCATCTCCAGGAGTTCATGGTGTTCTTGGCTTGGAATTCAGGGGTATAAGGGGCGGGAAGGATAGTTGTATCTGCATGGAGCCTGCATAGGGCTGTGGGCAACGTATGACCGTAGTGTCAGCTTGTTGTTCTAATTGGGGAATAGTATCGGTTCTCTTGACGAGTATTGCAGGTTTGAGGGTCAACTTCTTGAAGTATCGGCGAGGAGTCATTGGTGGTGATGCAGGATTATGTCTCTGGGGAAGGGTTGAACTAATTATACCAAGCCCGCAAGAAGACGGCAGCAGTGGTGACTTTGCGGACTATCGCTAACCGCCCATGCTTTCTTACAAGCTGCTGCTAAAATCAACTGTACAAGATGCTAAGAGAATAACGATCAGAGTGTGTACCGCTCCCCCGGTCCAGGAACGAGTGAGTCCGGAAGTCAGCACGGGTCAATGCTCAACCGAGCTCAGGTGTACCGTTTCCTTATTGGAAGCTTTCCGTTGCAAGCCGTCGTCCCAGGAAATGCTTCATGAATGAGGCTGTGCAAGAGCAGCACAAGCTACCTAGTACATTACCTAACCTGGAGAGCAGAGAGAGAGAGGGGGGGAAAGGTGTGTATGCCCGATCACCCCTCCGCACAGGAATCCCCTGCCTATTGGAGGGTATGAGATTAGCCAAGGCGCAAGCGATTGACTAGCACCAACTTCATTGTGTAGGACCTACGTTCAGCACATCATCCATCATGGCTTCAGAGTTGATTTATCAGCATAGAGATGTACAGACGTGCTAGATCTACTAAGGTGGGTTGATTGGCTGCTTCGATGCTCGACGAAGCAGCTGGAATTTAGTCAAGCTCCTGCAAGCCACGCCGTTTAATTGAGTGGGGGAGCACGGTCGTGGTCAAGGGTCCCAGGGCAATGAATGGGGGAGGGCTGCGCGTCCACGACGACATACTTTGTCGATTATGTCGAATGCATGTGTGGCAGGCGGCGAGGGCTGACATCTGTGACCCAGAATCTGTCCACATCACATCTCAGGACACGTTTTGGAAATGTTGGGCCGACCGACAGTTGGACACATGGCGGTCCGTCAGATTTAGAACATGCTGCACATCTGCAGAAAGGGGGGAGGAATTCGACTACAGCCCGCCCAGGGAGCCGGGAAACCGGTTGTCGCAGTATCTGCGTGTAGCCACCAGTGCTATTATTAATCGCCATGGCGGCAGCACAGAGCCCGCATCCATATTATCAGATGCATGGCGTGCATGGTGTCTTAAGATCGGCTGTTGGACAGCATGCCTCCCCAGGAGCTGGGCGCCGGGAGCTACCTAACTTGCATGGCGATCATTGATGCACAAAGGGGATGTTTGATAGCCATAACGATAACAGCTATCAATGTCGGACTTCAAGTACGGAGTATTCAAGAATCCCGAGCGAGGGGGATGAACGATAGGGCTTAGAACAGTGTGTTCCGCAGGGATCAGCGAGTTTGCGCTTGGAGAAAAGGTGGCATTGCCGGCTGCACACTGGGTCTTGGAAGGCCAAGATGGCCAGTCACAACAGCGCGGGTGGTTCTGTGAATTGGCCGATGCCATCCACTAAACTATACCTAAACACCCACTAGAGGAGGTGCTAGACCCTGTGGACTTGCAGTATCTCCACCTGCACCGCCTTGTTCGAGGCACGAGAGGGGAAAACAGTGTCGGGGTTCCCAATGAGGGGAGCGGATCAAGCATCCAAGACTTGATAAAAAAGGTTGAACTACTGGGAACTAGCTTGCCATCGCGGACGATGCGAGGGTCATGCGAGAGGGAGCTAAACTGCAATTGTCTCTCTCCCTCTCACCCGTTTTTGCGCGTACAATACGTTTTGGCCTTTGCTGCCTGGCCCAGTCGCAAGGAAGCAAGAAAAAGTTACATGACTCTCCGCTTTCACCTCTTCCCCGGCCACCACCAGATCTCACTCGGTCCCGGGACACCGCACCGTTGCTGTCGAGGGCTCCAGTCTCCCCCATTTTGTATTTCCCAGTGTTTGTTTGCAGAGTCCGTGTGTTCGAGTGTGCGCGTCCGTCTCTTGTCTCTTTCATCCCATCTCCCAATCCGTCCTTGGTCGCCACCCACGTCTTGAGTGAGCCTTCTCAGGCACCCGCAGCCTTCACGCTCCTGTCAACCAAAAGGCAGTGCTTACATGGCTAGCCCTCAGATTGTCTCAAAGGGCCGTCATATCGTATCTCGCAAAGCACTACGGATTGGCGGGGAGCAGATAGTACGTACTCGACACCCTCTCCTCCACCCACTCACACACCAGTGCACCACCCTCCCTCCATTTGCGCTTCGAGTGTGGCACCGCATCACTGGGATGGTACATCCAGTACCCTGGGCAGCTGAAAGCCGTTTCTATACTGGGAGATGTTGACCGTTTCGTCAGCACCCATTTCCCCTTCTCTGTTCCTGTCTCACCATCGACAAAGCCGACAATTGAATCCCCTCGAGAGGATTTTCTCGACGACTGGCCGCCCCGAGCACCTTCGGCTTTAAACTCTCGCCCTCTCTCACCGAAGGCGAAGTATCGCATAGACGACCGATTGCGCGCGCGATAGGGGACGGAAGCAGCGCAGGAAGCGGGCGCCTTGGATGCCAATATTGGCGACATCGTCCACTCCTTCGACAACCACCGAAGCCTCCTCGGACAGGCTAGTCCGACTTCCAAGATGGACACCGACTCCAACAATGAGCAGCGGCCGAATGGGGGCAGCGTACCCCATGTCACCGCCCGCGAGGGCGACAACAGCAATGTGCCCAAACCCAAGCGCCTGGCGTGCATGATCTGCAGAAAGAGGAAGCTCAAGTGCGACGGGATCAAGCCCAGCTGCAGCACATGTACCCGGCTCGGACACGATTGCGCATACGACGAAGTTCGGAGGAAGAGCGGCCCCAAGCGCGGCTATGTAAAGGCGCTGGAGGAGCGATTGAGTGCGTCGCCGAGTCCTGCGATCCAGCGCGATGCGCGAGGCAATGCTGGAACTGATGTGCTAACGCGATAAATATAGAGCAAGTCGAGACGTTGCTGAAGACGCAAGAGCCCGCTGCGGCACCCAAGCCGAATGCTGCCAATGGGATTGCCAACGGTGCGACTCCCGCCGAGCGGGCTATGCCCAAGGTCAACTTTCATGTGTCAGACCCATCAATCAACATCGCCAACAGTCGAGACAAGGATCGATGGCAGTTCAACTCCGAGTCTCCGCCGCAGCCCGGCTCCGTCGACGACTTCAACTTCAACAGCAGCATGCAAATGAACATGAACCCCGTCGACAGCAACTTCACCTGGGAGATCATCAACCTGGGACTGGAGGAGCCTCTTCCTCCGCAAGAGACCATTGATGAGCTGTATGTATTGCTTGCAGAATGTTCGGGCTGCAATGCCGTGTCTGACAATCTCCACTCTGCAGACACCAGATTTACTTTGAGAAAATTCACCCTTCATTACCTATGGTTCACAAATATCGGTACCTGGCTGCGATGAACCTGTAGGTGTCCCTCCTTTCCCGCATGCTGGGGGCTGGGGCTTCCATGCCTCGACTTGATCATGGAGAATCCCTTGCGATTGTCGCCCCTCAACGCCTCTCGGTCTGCTAACCTTGCGCAGTGCTCCAAACCAAAGGCCACCCGTATGCTTGCGGTATGCAATGTGGACACTGGCCTGCTCTGTGACAGAGAAATACAGCGATCTCAAAGACTTGTTCTACCAAAGATCGAGGAAATATGTCGAGTCCGACTACATCAAAGGCTTCGGCGAGCATCTTATCTCGTGTGCTCACGCCCAAACTCATGTTCTCTTGGCGAATTACGAGTTCAAGATGATGTACTTCCCTCGAGCATGGATGAGCACAGGCCAGGCGGTCCGACTATGCCAGATGTAAGGTTCTTTGTTCTTGACTGGATCGAGGTTTGTACTGACTGGAGCAGGATTGGTCTCCATCGATTGGATGGCGCCGGACTGGACGTGAAGCAGTGCCTTCCCCCGCCCAAGGACTGGACTGAGAGGGAAGAGAGGCGACGGACCTTCTGGATGGCGTTTGCTGAAGATCGCTACGCGAGCATCGGCACCGGCTGGCCCATGACTATTGACGAAAGAGACATCATGACCAACCTGCCATCCTCTGAGACCGCCTTCGAGCTGAGCCGGCCCGAGAACACGCCTTCACTGGCAGAAGCCATGACGCCGTTTGGAGCTGGCAAGATATCACCGTTTGGCGGCATCATCCTGATGGCATCCCTGTTCGGCCGCAACCTGATCCATCTGCACCGACCAGACAACGACGATAAGGACCATGACCTCAACGGCGAGTTCTGGAAGCGGCACCGCAACATGGACAATATCCTCTTGAACACGGCGCTATGCCTTCCGGGTCACCTCAAGCTCCCGGCGGGACTTCAGAATCCCAACATCGTCTTCACAAACATGTGCATACATACCTCCACCATTTGTCTGCACCAGGCCGCCATTTTTAAAGCCGACAAGCACAACCTTCCTGGTACCGTAAGCTCGGAGAGTAAAGTTCGCTGCATCACTGCGGCGAATGAGATTGCCAGCATCATGAGAATGGTCTCGCACACGGATCTATCAACGGTATGCCACAGCAAGATTCTCCTTTTACACTGCAATCAGATACAGGATTGCTGATCAACTCATCTAGATGAACCCCTTCGTTTCATTCTGCCTCTATGTAGCTGCTCGAGTGTTTGTGCAATACCTGAAGAGTAGGCCAGACGACACGCAGACCGGCGATTCACTCCGCTTCCTATTGGCAGCCATGAACGCCCTGAAGAGGAAGAATCCTCTTACTGAATCCTTTCTCGTCCAACTTGACGTTGACCTTGAAGCCCTCGGTCAACGGATTCCAAAGCTACGAACCGCCTTCCCACGAAGCGCGGATAGTGTACGTTGCCCTCGCCTCTCTGTCGTTTCACCAACTCTAACTCGCAATATCGCGAAACAGCCTATTACTGTAGAAGATCGCACCACCAATGTACGCCCGGGCGCACCCTGTGACGGGCAGACTGCGAGCCAGTCCAGGAACGGCATCATGGCCTATCGAGACGAATGCGACTTCCTGAAGTTGAACGGTCAAGACAGCAACCCAGTGAATGCACCCGACCTCGTCCCCCCAGAGCCTAGCCACGCTCGCCCATCCGTTTCAGCATCAGACGGCATGGGATCAGGCTGGATCAGCGACCAAGGGATCCCAACCAGAGACCGAAGCACCGGCCACAGCCCCTCGGTGTTTACCCTGCCCAATCTTGTCTACAGCGGCGTCAACCCGATGGTGAGCACAAGCAGCGGCAATTCGATGTCCGGATTCGGCCACAGCGACAGCGGCGACGGGAACGACAACTCGACCTCGCCCGACGGCCAGTCGAACCGGCCGACGCCCAACTCGAGCTGCGCGTCGGACCAGCGGCAGCAGCAGCAGAACGGCCTGGCGCCGAGCCGGATGAACACGGGCTCGAGCCGCAACTCGTTCGACACGAGCCCCGTGTCGCCCGCGAACCAGCAGCAGCAGATGACGCAGGCCGAGATGGAGCGCAACGTGGCCGCCTACTTTAGCGACTCGGTCAACGGCTTCTCCATGTCGGGCACGGGCCTGACCCCCATGATGACGGCGGACACGCCCGGCGGCGGCGGCGGCGGCGGCGGACCGGTAGGGACCGGCGCGACCGACTTCTCGATGCCGCCCGGCGGCTGGGAGATACCCGGGCAGACGGGCATGACGCCCGTTTCGGAGGGCGTGCTCAGGACGATCATGAACATGGGGCCCATGGAGACGATGGATCTCGGTTGGGATACCAACCCATGATCGTGATTTGCAGTGATTTGCAGTGATCGCCCTGTTTCTTTTGCTCATATCTTGATGAACGAATTCTTTTTTTTCTCTCCTTGTTGGGCAGGGTTACGTGACGACGACCCGGGTTGGTTTGTTGGTTCTGGGCGGTGTACGCTGATGATTCCCCCTCTACTCATGAATCCGTTTTTCTTCGCAACCGCGACACACGGTGATTTTTTTTTTTTTGGATACAATCTCTCACCAAGAAAGACATTTATTTGGCTTCCTGGCGTTTTGGTTTTGTTGGGCTGGACGGTCTCTGTGTTTTCCTTTTTTTTGGAAAGGGCGAATACATCCCCTGGTTGTTGGAAAGCCTGGGCAACGGCACATTTTGGGTCTCGTCTGCGTCTAGGGAGACGGGTTATCGACATGAAGCAAAGGGAAGGACTGAATTCAGTCCCCTCCCGACTGATCCAGACTCTGGATGGGAACTCTTATGATTTCGGGGAGGGGTTACTTGGGTTCTTTTATGGTGGCCAAGATATGGCAGGGTGTCGATGAGAGAGAGACCATCTCCCAACTCTTTTCTACTTTTTCTTCCTATTTTAGGCCACGCATGGGGACTGGGAAGATAAGGCCCCCTATCTTGTACAATTTTTTTTCTTTTCTATATATACGAACATCGTATCGGACCTACCAAGGGTGACTGACGATTGGGACAGTGATCATTCGTCACTTACACATACATATATATATACATAGGCAGCTAGGGACGGGCGATTAGCATGCCTCGCGTGTGGCGCGCAAATGACAATCCTCTACTCATGCAATATTGCAAGAAAAACAAGCAACAACTACGAAGCTTTGTTCGGGCTTCTTTTTTCCCATGTTATTAGTGGTTTTTTTCTCTTTTCGTTCACAAGCTCACAACAGCCCGAGCCGTCATACCGCCCCCGAGCGAAGTCTCACACCTAGCACACGAAGAATTTTGCCATGGTCACACAGGGAAGCAAAACACGACAACGCCCACGCCCACAATTGAGAGACAAAAACCCCGTGCGGCCGTGCGGGCGGGGGGGAGAGGAAGTATGTGGCTGGAACCGGTGAGACCTCCAGGCGTACTCCGTAGCTAACACGCTTTCATCCTCCTTGACGAAGCCATGTGGGAGACGGGGAGAGCTGAGCATCGAAGATGGATGGATGGATGGGATGTAACGATGTCTGTATGTGTTGTGTGCCCCCTGAATGGGGCGAAACGGGAACCTGCCAAAGGAGGCAAAACACCAGAACTTCCTCTCAGCCCCCCCGCCTCCTTTTTATTTTGTGTGTGCGGGCGCGCCTTGTGTTTGGCTTCCGGTCCCGACAGAATGGTAACGGGAGGGGGGGACCACTCTTGGAGAGAGCGAGTTGAATGGAATAGAAGTTACAGCTGAGCTTTTTTTCGGCAGAGTCCCGGGCAACGGCAAAGCCCTGAGAGAGGGAGAAAAAAAAAAAGCCACCGACCTCATCGGGCTCCGCTTCCCCGCACGCTCATCCGTCGTGTCGGGACCGACCGGTCTCTTCTTTTTGTGTGTTGGCTATTTTTAAAACTCTTCTTGATTTCATGCAGGGCCTGAGATGTCAGAAAGAGTGATGTAGGGAACCGTTTTTTTTAGTGTTTGTGCTATTCAATGGGTTTCAAAAACACCTCGAGCCGGTCGGTCGATGGCTGGGTTACATGGAACAACCAACAAAACAAGGTACTCAACAGCTCGGAACTCAGCCATGCCATAGCCTCTCGAGTAGCAGTGTAATTGACATACGACATGTAGCAAAAAGCCGAACTCCCATACACAAGTATCGTCCCTTCAACACAAGTCCTCCGAAACATCATGGCATGCTATGAGTAAGCAAACTGTATTCCAGTTCTCATGAGACAAAGGTATATCACTAAGACGAAGGTCAAGCCTTCTAGCAGCATCAAGGTCTTCTCTCCTCATTGGAGTGAATAGTGTTGAGACTGCAAATGCATTGAAACAGCGGATATCTGCAGCTTCTGAACCGGTACCAATGTTGACACGACACTATCAGTCAAGTATTTCGTTCCATGTCCCGTGGCGCAAAGCTGGCTCCCACGCGGGCATCAGAGGCAATGGTCCCGCTTGCGCACATAGCCCATCCCCGTTGCATATATCGAAAGCGGTCATTATAGGGGAATAATGGGCCGTACTGTCGGCCTTTGAAGCTGCCGATGAGACAACAGATTTCACCGGATATCGGTCAAGAAGTCCCCAGACTCCCTATTGCCTTTCTCACACGTTGCCACGCTATTCGAGACAACAGGAATTCGCAAACACCCCTTCTCGTCGATAGAGGAAGCGAATCGTCAGAAACCAATGTGTGTTGAGGACACGTAAGTTACCGCCGTGGCAAGCTGGCGCGAGCCACCTGCTGTGGAGAGGAGTGGCTCTATCAAGCAACTGGTGGAATGAGGCAAATAAGTCATGATGACGAAAAGAAAAGAACTGCTCAACATTCTCGTACCCGAGACAATATTGAAAGAAGAAAAGTAGCATTCGCGAGAGTACCGAGTGGACGACTTGTCCTCAGCTCCCGCTAACATGTCCTCAACCCAATAACACCAACTGCCGATAGTGCGTCTCAGCGCGGTGGCCTACGATCCACAAGTCCACACACTTGAGGACCGGTCTGCTCTCGTCTCTCGTCTCGGCCTCGTCTCGGTCTGCGCGGTGAAGGGAAGGCATGTGATGATCGGCAAAGGTGTGAGAGGGTCTACTACCACTTACTCATGCTCCTGTTGGCCGCCACAATCCGGCTCACTAAGCCGCAGAGGTATTGAAGCACACAACACGTAACCCGCACAGCTGCAAGACATTGCCGTTGAGCACCGGGAGGATACCGGGAAAAAAAGAAAGGGTTGAGCAGATCAAACTCTTTTGAATATAACGAAGCACAGCTGACTTCAGCCTCGAGTTCCTATCATTGCCCCTTTGGGCTGATAGCTGAGACTCTGGGGAAACTACGCGGGCCAGAGAAGCTGACAACGTCAGCCGGGTTTGATTCCGACCAGCAGTGATTGGCTCGCTCTCCGCTCACGTCGACAGCAGCCGTAGTGGCCAGCTGAACCGCTTGGCGCTCTGCCCACTGGGGCAGGTGAACTGGCGACTTGGCTCCATCGGCTTCCGGCACCGGGACGCGAGCCCAGAGCAACACATGCCTGTAATCTAGACCTCACAGCCGCCCCTTCGCAATTTGCGGACTGTACAGGCCAAAGTGATCGCCCGCAGTAGCTTCGCCGACTGGACCTCAGCTGCGGCGACCTTACCTGGATGTGGACCAGACAAGGCGCATGTGCTAAACAGTTGTTCGTCGAGGATGCGGGCTTTCCTATTTCGCCCGCCTCGCTCGTTTGACGATAAAGAGAGGCGACGTGATGGATAGGAGGAATCACCTGATAGCCTCAACGGCCATCGACTGAGAGAGACACAGCCCGGGTACAGCAGCGGCGTTGGTGGCGCTGGGGGGCGTTTTGCCTAGGAACGAAAGGGCAGCTCGGGGAGAGTGACGGACGCGCGAATGCCACCGGGAGGGCACCCGTCCCGGTCGGGGTGGGCATCGAGATCCCGCTCTTTGCAACTGCTGGCCTCCTAGGGTTGCCCTACGGATGGGCCAAACTGCTCGATGGAGCAGACCAAGACAGGTAACGTGGTAAAGAAGGCAGGGGAGGATGCGCGCCAGTGAGAACCGTCGGCGGGGCCTCGGCGAGACATCCCTCAAGAAAGGCCGTGCTGAAGAGCTGGGCGGCCCTGTTGAATGAGTGTTTGAGCTGTTTTTCATTTATTAAACTCGTTTGAAGGTGTGGGTGTCGTCGTCACGATGGCCACCCCTGTTCAGATTGTGACCAGTTGCAGGACGTAGCTGGAGCTGAGGAAGGCATGGGCCCCCTAGAGGGCATCGAAGTCAGTGAGCGAGAGCAGCGGTGTCTGGTGGGGAGCGGCTCAGCCAGCCAACCATCTTGCAGGCAAAGCGGTACCGCTTCGTGCCGTGCAGCAAGGACGACTCATCCTCGAGAGAGGGAGGTAATTCCCATGCCATTCCCAGGCCGCCGACAGCAATATCGCGCTGTAGTTAAGGGCAGGCTACCTGGGTCTGGGTAATTCTTGGTTTTTGCAATGCCTTCATGCTTTGTCCTATCTCGTGCATAGGCCGCTCTCCCCCCCCCTTCCCGCACATAAATTGAGCCCCCGCCTGAAAACGTTCGATGATCGCTGGCGAGGATACCCAATTCAGCACGCAGCAAATGGCGACCGCCCCTGGAGCCGGTCCTGTGCTAAGGCCGTTCCTGGTCGGGGTGCATTGGGTCGGCTCGGTTGGCGCTGGTGGCGGTTCTGGAACGCGACGGACGCGTTCCACGCCCACGAGAGAGGGGACCTCCTGCCGGGGCCTGAGGAGCGCTAGAGTAACAAGAGGGAATTTGTCGGAAGATCCTAGCCAGCCTACTTGTACTTGTGGTACTGCGGGCTACGGTAATCGCTAGCCTCTCCACTCAAAGGGGGGGCCGTTTTTTGACACTTGGGATGTGCGCGACGACCACGGGCGGCGGGCGATCCCTGCAGCCTTTTAACGGCGTTTGGCGTTCGCTGGGCTTGTTGGCTTCGCAAGCTTGCCTTGAATTCGTCGGGACTGGAGGTCGACTTTCCCGACCGCCTAAGATGAATGCACCACCGCCAAAAGGGCGACATTGCTGCGAATCTTCGCCTCTTTTTGTCATCTACCTTCTGAGGTTGGACCTGTGCCAAAATTGTGCTTCTCAATTCGCTTTGGCCCCTAGAGCAACGGTGCACCACGGCCTTGGTGCATAATATTTGCACTGGAGCAGATGCTGGACGGACGGGAGCAAGGGTCGAGGGCGCCGAATGAAGAGCCCACGGTGAGGTGTCGTGGCAGGTCTTAGTGATCTGAGGAGCTAGCGCCCAAGGCACGGCATCGTCCGCAGGCGTCCAAACAGGAAAAAAGAGGTTGGTCGACAAAGCAAGTACGAAGACGACCGCAAGGTAGGTATTGTGCTAAGCTGGGCAAATGGCAAGCTAGCTCTCGGCATCGCAGGGCGACCTCGGAGGTGTGGTAAAGTTTATGTGGCTGCGCTTGGACAGCTGCAACAAAGCAGCTGAGGGTCAGCCCGTGGCCGTTGATCTGTACTTGTGTGCGGAGCAGTTCGCGCGTTGATATGCTGGGCGTACAAACGCCAGATGCCAAGATGATCTACATAGACCGCTTATGGTGGACGTCGCTTTTTGCAGGTTGTTGTTTCGCTCGGATGATGAGAAGGCAGAAGAAAAGATGACGGTCTATGAGCAGCACGACGGCGGGAGATACCGCTTTGGAGGTTGATGCAATTCTGGTTGAGGTCGGATGCGGGAGTGTGTGGGGGAGGAGAGGAGAGGAGAGAGGGAGCAAGACAAGAGCAAGAGCGATGCACCAGCAGACTGTGACGGTACTTACCACATAACTAGCTAGCTTCATGGAGTTACAGCCGGCAAGAGCGAGGGAGGGGAAACAGGTCCAGAGAGAGAGAGAGAGCCAGAGAGCCAGGCAAGAGCGGGTGGCAGCAGATGCACCTGCACGGTTGCAGCGGTGCAACAGCAGCAGCTGCACGAAGGAGCTGTGGCCGCTCTGGTCAGAGCTTCCAACGGTTTTGGCGGAGCAGCAGCTGACCGATGAGCACGATGATTCGACGATATGATACAACCATGCAGATCCTGAATCGAAGATCGCATGGCAATTGGCCACAGCTATCACCAGAGCCCAGCCGGCATATTCGTGAGGTGATGACTGCACGAGATACACCGTGCCATGTGCTTGTTCGGTTCCGCCACAGTCGAGTCTCCTTTGTTTCTGTGTGGAGATTGGCAAAGCGGAGAATCTGTCAAAGTGCCAGCCAGGCCTTGGATCTGGTCATCTTCTGCACACACACACTCTCTCTCTGTCAGACTGGTACCGAAGGGCGCCGTCTATCCGTGGTAGGTATGGAAGGCCAGTGGTTGAATGCCCTTGCGATGTCGATGATCGGTGTGATGACAGCTTGCCGCTAGGAAATCAATGCCGATTTAGCGCATGCTGAGGGATGTGGACGTGAAACAATTAAGTATTCCAGGGATACCGCGTCGTGTGGGTAGAGTCAGGTCTAGAGCTGCAAGGTAGGGCTGTGGTACATTTTTGAGCAGAGGCGAGCATGGCGAGGTACTTACCTCGCTCGTCCGAGATATGCCCCTGCAGCTGGAATGAGGCACGACTGGGATAACACAACCTGCCTACTCCTTGAACGGGGGATTGGAGCGGATGCTGGGAATCCCAGCTCCCTGCTCGGCGCTTCCTTGCCTCGAGACATATTCAACTGGCGACCCCAGCTGCCCTTGTAGATATTCCAGCTGGGTTTGGTGCTTTCCTTGTCATCTGGGCCCCAGCCGGTGCTCCGTATCATCAAACGAATTCCATGCTTAACTACTTGTCTCTGGATGTGCACCTGCAGCCAGCGTGCAATAAGGTTCGGTGTTTGCACAAGCGGCCGCCATGGAGCTCCAACAGGGCGGGAGAAGCCACTAAACGGATATGTCTAGTTACAAGTAGGCCTGCAACCTTTACGTAGCCTCGGCAGTCTACTCTTGTAGATCACGGTGGCGGCGTGTATGCGGATGGGGCCTTACGACAGTGAGAGCTGACCTCCACACTGAGGTGACCGCGAGGCCTGGGAGGATGTGAGGCGGCTTCTTAGTGCGGCATATAATGGTGTGCCTTGTGACTCTTTTGGTGGGAAGCATTGAACTTTCGACCCATCCATCCTCTGGAGGCCAAGGTTCCGGTGATGATGGGAGTGACTGTCATGGGGAGCCAAGGAAGCTGCTGTCGTCGCGATTGTCGTTGCTGTTGCTACTGCTGTGGAAGTGCATGTATCAGACAAAGCTGTGCCGGGTATCGCTAAATCCCCGTACTATGGGTTTGACAAGGTCTGGTGGATAGCGAGGTCCCCGAGATACTTGTAGATGCAGCGTGGACAAGAGAGGGCTTCCCAGCTAAGCCGTTTTTGTATACCGAGCGAGTGTGGGCTCTCTCGATTAAAGTATCTTGGGAGGCCTGTCCTGACTTTAACCTCATCTGTCACAATTCTCTTATTCCGGAAGACGCAGGCCTGCTTGTAGGTAGTTATCCGCGCTGGGTACTTAACCCAGGTACCCTGGGGAGATTTGGATGCCATGCCATATGAGGTGAGGGAATATGAAAGCCACTTCACTGCGAGGGCGGAGAGCAAGACTACACAATACAAGTACGAGCTAAGTACCTGACTACCCTGATATGTACATGCATGTGTCAAAAAAGGACAACCGTCGAGAGTCCCGCATGCCACCAGGCAACCTGCTGGTGTCCTATTCGCTGCCCCGTTCATCCGACAGTCCACACTAGTACAGTCGACAAGAGACTGGCCTTTGTCTTGATTGATTGAGCCCTGGTGGTGGTCCCTGCAGGCGGGGATGCCTACCTGGGTTTATGAAGCACAACTAGCACGAGGTGAGGGGTCAATTTCCCATTTTGGATGCGCATGGAATGGAAGCCAGAGAGAGAGCAGAGGTGCCCATTCCCTGGTGACAGGAAACGCTTCCGTCCTGAACTAGATGACTTGGTAAACACGGTCCATGCTCCGGAAAAGTTCCGGCATCTGCCCCTCTGTCCATAGATGAAACCTCAAGCTGCTTCTTTGCCTACCTCTAGCTACATACTTTCTAGCTTTCAGTCAGTCTGTGTTCTGCTGCCAGCGTGGCCTTCATCCCAAAGAGCCAAGAATCAATTCCAGAGTCGAGCTGGGTCCCGCTGCTGTGGCTCTCTGGGTCCTCACTTGCCCTCTGGATGCGCGGCCTAAAGTGGAAAAAAAAAATAATGAGAAACAAAGGGTCGTCTCTCAGGTAGGCAACTAGCCTGATTCCTGCTAGCTCCCATTGGAGCTACCCACAATTACCACGCTACTAAGCCTATCTAATCTGCCGCCCCAGCTCGAACCTTTCGACACCGGTGGAGCTCCACTTCCCCAATTTCGACAAGTTGAGAACCAGAAGAGACAGCGACAGAGGCAGCAACGAGAGACCTCTAGAGACAGGCACCTCGCCAGGTCCCCCAAATTTCCCACAAGGATCCAAAACGAGGCACCAGCCGGATCCAAATGCACATGAACACAGCTAACTCGCGAACCCTCTTTGCCCTCGAAAGCAAGCCACACCTAACCCGCCAGGCGAGGCAAAAAAAGAAAGAAAAAAGCAAGGGGTGCTGCTAGCCCACCCCCGCTCCAATAACAAGACCTTACCTGCTTCCAAGGGTTCTTCCAGTCTCGACAAGGAAGAAGCCGGTTATGGGAAGAAACCCACAGCTTGGTGCTCCTCCATCCCTCTTCCATCTCCGTCCCAGCATCGCGCACCACGACGTGGGAACAACCTATTGCCCAAACCAGCCAGGCGTCTCTCAACCAGAGAAACATAAACGACGGGCCTGCACACGCGGAGCAAGGCGCAAGAGGGTTTAGGTTTCACCAGTAGCCTGCCCGGACTACCTACCTCCCTCCTAGTCAAGGACAAGGACAGTCGGGCAAAGCTCCAAACGAGAGCTACTCCCTACGTACTCATACTGCGTACAGCTCCTCCAGCTCCAGCTGCTCCAGCTCCCTCGCCATCGCTCGCTCCAATCAGTCACATCCCCACCACCATTGACCTTCTCCCCTCTTGGCCCAAGAGAATCCACGCCACACCCACACGCCCACCAAACACCGCACGCACTCAACGCCGGTCGCCGTCAAAACCAGACGTACAACGTACATACATACGCCCACGCCCTTATCCACACCCACCACCACCTGTCTCGCCTCACACACCTGGTTACTTTACCTAACCTCTCGCACAGCCGCTACCGCTCCTGCTGCCACCGCTGCCACATACCTACAAACCTACATGCCTGCCAACCTGACCTCTCTTACCTTGCCTTACCTCGCTTTAGCCTCCCCCGAACCTATCGCCTGCTCCGAGGCTTTGATTACTTGAGCGCACACGCATCCACCTACCCTTCACGGATTGTTTCTTCTTGTCTTGTTGTGGCCAATTGTTGTCTTCTTCAGCTTTCTCGTCGTCGTCGTCGTCCAAACTACCCTTTCGCTCCTTCATCTTCATTCGGGTACGCTATCCACCTTGCACTTGGCATGTCGTGCTAGCAGAAGCAAAGTATCCCAGACGTATCTGCCCCGGTGATGCATCTTGGAAGCTGCAGCCCCATGCGAGAAACACCTGCAATGTGGCGCAAAAGACGCTCTCGCTGCTTGAGCTGTTGATGTACATCGAGCGCGGTATCCCTGTACCCTGGTTGAACTGCGCTCCCACGGCCGATGCCATCCGCCGTCCAGGTCGTTGCCACGACTCTGCCACACCTATTTCATTTTTTCCCCCAAGCCGAACGGTGCCGGCTATCTTAAACACGAACATTCGTAGCCGCATCCTGCGCGAGACCTGTGCCGAGAGTGCAGGGCGAGTGCTGCGCCCACCGCTGGGTAATCGAGGAGGAGGGCAGGAAGATTCGGGCGGTAGCCTCTCCGTCATCGGATATGGCGGCCGGTAGTGAAGCTCTTCGCATGGATCGCGACGACTTGACCCCGACTAGACTCCCCATGAGCGCGAGCGCACCTTCTGTGAACTACAGCGCCGCCGCCTCCCACGACCCTTCTCTGGACCCGACCATCAAAGCTTTGCTTGACCAGCAGGCTGAGATCCAGGCTCGGCTCGCCCAGCTGCTCCCGGAGAAGTATGGGCCAAACACGAAGGTTGAGCTCGATAATTTGCGCCACAAGCTCCGGGTCTTACGCACTTATGCGGCCGATAACCGTAAGCAAGCACTCTTGTTGACCTCTTCCCTTGGGCTCGTTTGGAGACTGCGATCTTTTAGCATGGATTATTCTGCCAAACTCGGCGTTGCAAAGGGCGGCTTCGGACAGAACACCAAGCTACAAGATCCAGTGGATGATCAGCATTGTCGCGAATTTGGCGTGCTAATATGTCTGTACAGATCTTTTCGACAGAACTCCAGTGCTTTCCGAGATCGAGGAAGCTAGATACCTCCAGTATCAATGCGAATGCATCGAGGCAGCTTGCCTGGAGCACGGTATGTCCAAGTTTCTCTGAAATCGTTGCCCATGTGGAGAATATGTACTCATGTGTGGACTTGGGGCAATATATAGGCCTAGACTTGAACGATCCGAGAGCTCTTGACGGCTTGAAGCGGCTGCTGGAGGACGATGCGCCTGTTGGCTTCGCCGCATGGTTCGATAGGAATCTGTCACAATTCGATCCTATTGTGCGCAGTTGGCGACGGAGAGGGAGTCTGTCGCCTGGTGTCAGGGATCAGTATTCTTACAAATGCTGGGATGATCAATGCGTGCACTACATCTATGGTTTCAGCAACAGAGAAGATCGAGACCGGCACACTCGCGAACATGCCTTTCTCGCCAAGAGAGACTCGGGTCTCTCCGTTGGAAGCACGCCTCCTTTACACTACTCGGACCAATCAGCCGCGCGCTCATTCCATGACCCGCCGTCCTCGAACTCGCCCGGTGTGCCTCATCGCTCCGGCAGCACCCTCCATCTCGCTCCGATAAATACTGGGCTCAACCAGTCGAGAGACCACAGAGACTCGCTGAGATCATACTCGTTTGTTTCCGACCAAGCAAGTCACCAAGCACGAGGTTCGGTTGATTCTGAGGTTGACCCTCTCCTGCCGCCTCTCAAGAGGAGTCGTGTTGGCCAGTCGAAGTTGGAATCTATCGAGGAGCTGAAGCTTGTGCGCGACATAGGACAGTGTCTCCGTTGCAGGGTCATGAACCACGAGGTAATTGGCACAGCTCCGCCGACTGGGGATCTACTGTCCTCATTGTTGTTGAAATTACTGACTATTTCTAGTGTGACTCGAACGACCCATGCTCGGCCTGTCCCGACCAGACCAATCTAGGCAGCGAGCACGACTTTTGGAGAACGCTAGGATGTCATCGAGGACCGCTGGGCAACTTTACGGAGATTATGCTTCCAGCTTCCATATCGCCGCGACAGAGCCAAACACCTATGGCGTCACCTTTGGCGCAGCGTCGCAATATGAACGACTTCCTGGAGCGAACATACCCGCTGATACCAGACGTCGCTCTTATGGTCAGATCGAAACTTGATTTTGATGATGGGTTCTGGTGGACAGAGGACCTGGCTGGCTTGCCAATGTCGAACCCAACTCTCGCTGCCTACCCGAGAGAACCCTTTGAACGACCGCCGCCTGTGTTGAGAGTTCTGGCATCGAGCTGGAATACCGAAGGCACAGCATACAACTTTTGGCAGCTCCTGAAGCTCACCGGTCTGATATCCGACTCGAGGGAAGCAGAGGCCGCAGCATTCCCAACTCTGTATCGTGCAAAGTTGCTGTTGAGAGAGGTCCTCTTTTACGACCTACAACAGCCTGAACCCACAATACGTGCAGAGACGAGCGCATCCGCTCCGCAGACGTTATTCGATGAGGTCGATCACTACGGCAGATTCCGCCTAGTGTACAACTGCATGACCCAGTTCTTGCAATCCTTTGAGAATTCGACGGTCCGTCGAGGCGTCATGGACCCCCGAGCCTGGCTTGCCATGTTCTTCTCGATGTGTATTTTCAGTATTGTCAAGACCATTCTCGTCGACATCGTGTCATACTGTCCCAGGTCGGGTTCCCTGTCGCACTCTGGCTTCGGCCTGAGCTCTACTACAGCTGCGATGCACAGCGTCTACAAAGCTCTTGCAACGGTATTTGCGACTTGCTCACCTCTCCTAATGGACGAGCCCAATCTGCCCATGGGGGAGGACGACCGAGATATCCTGAACACCGCTTCCATGATCATTCGGCGCGACACATGGCCAGAGCGAGGCTTGCAATCAACCGGGGATTTCTTGTTGCTCCTGGGTAACGACGAGATTAGCGGGCTCCCATACCATGGTTTTATCAGGCAAAGAAGTTCTGGGAGACTGGGCTCATTCTCTCTGCCGTCCTTTGCGGGCCACCAACGGGACGACACTCGGAAACCACTGCCCGAGATGCGACCCATGACGGACCCTTGGACGCTCGCTTCGCAAACCTCCTTCTCGGACCGCGATTCCTACGGCATCAAGACGAGCCCAACAAGCATGCTGACGTCTCCTCACAGCATCGACCATAATGTGCACCGACGACATACTGTTGGAGAGAGTCCGACTTTCGGCCACACTAGTGGGCGAGGTATGACGTCTCCAATCCCGGCCACGAGGCTGAGGCCTTCTTACCAGCGGCCACCACTTCGCCGGGTCTACTGCTCCAAGTGTAACGAGTATCCCGAGGGATTCCGTGGAGAGCACGAACTGCGGCGCCACACCGATGCCAAGCACGCGGCCATGGTCAAGAGATGGGTGTGCACAGAGCCGCAAGATCACCCTCCCGGTTCCCCCCTGCCTGTCATCCCTCTTGGCAAATGCAAGGCTTGTGTGACCAAGAAGCGATACGGCGCTTACTACAATGCTGCGGCACATCTGCGCCGCGCTCACTTCAACCCGCACCGTGGGGGGAAAGCCAGTGGTGATTGGCCGCCAATGACCATCCTGAAGGACTGGATGCAGGAGGTCCGTCAGCCAGTGGATGTCCAAGACCCCGACTCTTCAGATGCAGAGGACGAGTCCGACTACAAACCAATCATGGATCTTGTGGCCCTCCCGGACCGGCGTTCGCCCTTGTTGTCAGACGTGCCGAGGCTCGCACCAGCTCCACCACCGCAGCTGGCGTCACACTCGCTATCTCATCCGCCTCCTCCGCCGCCTCCTCCGCCACAAATGCCACAGCAGGTGCACGCCCCTCCTCCATTGATGGCAGCACCCATGGTCGACATGCCCGTGCAGCAACCGCCAATGAGCATCCAGACACATTCAATGTCCCAGCCTAGTGTTACACCCTTCAGCACTGGTAACATGAAGTCTGAAGAGAATCAGTACTTTGACCGGAACAAGTGCCCGCACCCGGAATGTGGCCGCTTCTTCAAAGATCTGGCGGCACACATGCTCACGCACATGGAGGAGAGACCCGAGAAGTGCCCCATCACGACCTGCGAGTATCACACCAAAGGCTTTGCGCGCAAGTACGACAAGAACAGGCATGCGCTCACACACTACAAGGGCACTATGGTGTGCCCGTTCTGCCCGGGCGCTGGCTCTGCTTTTGAGAAGGCGTTCAACCGTGCGGACGTCTTCAAGAGGCACCTGACTGCGGTACACAATGTTGAGCAGACCCCGCCCAACAGCAAGAAGATCCTGCTCAGCCATGCTGCACGCACCGGGGCGGCCGATGCGCCTCAGAGCAGGAGCACGGCCAAATGTTCCATCTGCCACAGCCACTTCCTCACCGCGCAGGAATTCTATGAGCATCTGGACGACTGCGTCCTCAATGTTATTGTGCCATCGACTCCCAAGAGTGCAGGGACCAGTGGCAGCGGAGGTGGAGCGCCGAGCATCAGGAAAGATTCTACGTCGACTACGGCCGCCAGGACGCCGACGACGGCGGGCCTTGAGAAGGATGATAGACCGGCGGAGTTGCGTGAACCATCCCAGGAATGCAGGCCTCCAGCTACCATCACTGTGGAAGACGCCTCTACACCGCACCTTCCACCGCCCCCTGCAATACCAACGACGGGGGACCAAATGGACATGGACCCCTGAATATGACCCTATGCGGTCCCTCGATAGACACGTACGTCATGCAAGATCACGAACGAAAACAGAAGGGGAGCCTATGGCGTTCTTTACTATTTGACATCATCTCCGCAAAGCCTCCTTATCATGATCATGATATAGATTCGGAGAGGGGACGGGGTACGAGGCGTTCGTTTTCTTAGTTTCTGCCGACAAGAAACATACATGCTTGTCACAACCTCATTTGGTTTGACTTCCATTTCTTGCACGGGACGACACTTTATTTCCATATTTTTTTGTCTTGACATTCGACTTTTTAAAACTCCTTTTTGTTTCTCCCAATCCTAGATACCTACCATCATTTTTACCATTCTTGTTGACCACCCCCCACTTCTTCTTCTTCTTCTTCTGCTTCGACTCTGATGAAATCATCTGACAACATATGCGAACACGATTGCTATTTGCCTGGTGGTGAAGGCAACTTTTTTTTCGACCCGCTGGCTTTGAAGTTCTTTTTTTGGCCCTCAGATCTTTGGGAAATGGGGTCGGGGAGGGCGGGAGTGACTATGAGGGGGAAGGGGGGAAAGAAGCGGACATAGGCAAAGAGAAAAATCCGATACAAACTCAAACAACCCAAAAACTTGATGCTTTCCGTTCCCTGTGTTTCATGTGCGTGTGCCCGATGGTGGTAGGCCATGCCTATCCTATCTGGAGTGCTCCTTCCAACGGTAGGCTGGAAACTGAAGCGCCTTGCTGTCGTGCGTACAAGTGTACCCATTAAGCCTTTTCGCTTCCATGAAGGAAAGTATCAGGAGAGGTTGTTTGCCATTATCGAGATGGGAGGGTAGATATGCCATGGTATTTCCTTTTCTAACAACTATCTATCATGTGGGAAAACCCCCCCTCCCGGGCCGGGGGAGTCCTTCCACCCTTTCTGTTTCCAGTGTAAGTCTAATATGCTTGCTTGTCGTCTTCGCGATTTTCGAGTCAAAATGTTGAATGATGCATTGGCTCCTTTTCCCTTCCTCTGTTCCCACGTTGTTTTTTTTTTTGGATCCGCGAGTGCCCTCCCAGATTTATTTCCCATGGCTCTGGCTGGCTCTGGGGTTGCAGATTGCCAGACCAATCTTTCTTTCTTGTAGTTTCGTGGACACAAATCAAACTCCTGGTGAGAGAAGTCAGGCTCCCCGGTCCTCTCCCCTCAACAGAGAGAGGAAATGAGAGAGAGAGAAAAAAAACAAGCCACCGGTACGCCTCGTCATGCAAATGTGTATTTCTCTCCTTTTTTTTCTCCCGTTCATGTAATCGTCCCCCTCAGATATCGCAATGGTCAGCCTCGTTCGTGTCAACACCACGCGAAGGAGCCCGTTCGGTTGAGTCGTAGTCGTGTCGATGGGATCAAGTATTCGTTCAACTTCGTTCCTCGGCCACTTTTCTCAATGCGAGAGACCAGAAATGAGCCGCAGAATGACGCATCTCTCTCCAACAAAGTCCCATGCGTTGGCGAGACCTCTCCCCTCCCCCCCTCAGCTTTTACTCGAGCTGCGCCCACCGCCTCTCCCGGAGGGGCATCTCCGCGCCGCTCTCGGCCCGGCTGCCGTCCTCCTCGGCCCGCCAGGCCCAGTACTCCCCGAGCCGCTGCTCGGCGTACGACGCGTAGTCAAAGTCGATGCGCGAGATGGTGGCCTGGATCAGCGCCCAGATGCCCCAGTAGAAGCCCGGGATGCCGCGGAAGACGTCCACCTCGGCCAGCAGGCGGGCCGTCTCGGCCTCCACCTCGTCGACGTCGTCATCCACGACGACCATCTCCTCCTCCCCGGACCGCCGGCGGCGGTAGCCGGCGTAGGCGCGCACGTACTCGCTCACGAAGCGCCGGCGCTGGGCGACGGTGGGCAGGACCGACATGTCGCAGTCGAAGCCGCCCCACTCGGCGAAGTGGTTCGCGATGTCGAACGCCGCGGGCGAGGGCACGGCGTACTCGTAGTCGATGAAGGTCACCACGGGCTGTGGCGCCGCTGCTGCCGGCGACGCGCCGCCGGTCCCCTCCGGCGAGCTCGGGGGCAGGACGATGACGTTGGCGCTGAGCAGGTCGGTGTGCGCGAAGACGAGCTGCGCGCGGGAAAACCACTTGTCAGTACAACAAAAAGCTGCGACGGCATGTTTTATGCGTAGAGAGTTTCTTCAGCGGTAAAGGAAAGAGAGAGAGAGAGGGAGAAGAAACTTACGCCGTCCTCGCCCAGGCCGCGCCTCTGGCTGAGCTCGCCCACCAGCCTCTCCAGCTCCGTCTGCAGGTCCGCCTGCCTCGCCCTCTGCGCCTCCGTCTTGGTCGGCAGCGCCAGGATCCACTTCTGCAGGACGGTCCAGAGGTTGGGCGCCCTCTTGCCCGGCGCGGCGCCGTCGATCCTCCGCTCGAGGCGGCGGCCGGCGTCCGCGTCCAAGCCGCCGGCCATGGCGGCGCCGACGTGCGTGACGCCCGCGATGCAGGGCACGGTGGCGTGCCACTGCGCGAGGCGGCGGGCGATGGCGACGGAGAGCTCCGGGCGGCGCAGGTCCTCGGGCCGGGCGACGGCGCCGGGGATGAAGCGGTAGGCCATGCCGTTGCGGAAGCGGGCGAGCAGCTCGGGCGCGAGGCCGTGGCGCATGAGCAGCTCGTGGTTCTGCGTCTCGCGCTGGCGGTCGATGATGACGTCGGTGCCGTTGCCGTAGGCGCGCAGCAGGATGGCGTCGCGGTCGGCCTCGTCGCGGGGCACGCCCGGCAGGCGGCGGACGGCCTTGACGAGGGTGTTTGTGATGCCCTCGGTGAAGCGCACGAAGTGGATGTGGTGCTCGTGCTCCTGCTGCTGCTCCTGCTGCTGCTGGCCGTTGGAGTCGCCATTGGCGGCGGCGGCGGCGGTGCAGGGCGGGCGCCAGGCGGGCCGCAGGTGGAAGATGATCTCGAGCGCGGTGGGCTCGATGTTGGCGCTGTCGAGGGAGAGGGGGATGAATGGGACGGTGGGTGCGGAGGACAGGGCGTGGCCGTTGGAGTTGGAGTTGGAGTTGGACAGGGGCTGTTGCTGCTGCTGCTGCTGCTGCTGCTTTACTCCGTTGGAGCTGGTGCCGTTGAGGTGTGAGGGGTCCATCTTGGCGGTCTGCGTGGGAGTGGTGGACGGAGAGCGATGTGTGTGTGAGTGTGAGTGTGTAGACGTCCAGGTCGTAAACGGAAGAAGTAAAGGAAGGAGAATCTGGGCAAGTCCCAAGACAAATAGCAATCCTCAGAGCGGTATCAATCGACCAGGGGCAAGACAGACGTCATCAGCAAGCAAGCACAGGGCGGTGTTTCGTGGGAATCGTAGCTCGATCTGGCTCGTTAGGACAGTGTTGGTTGCAGCTTCGGCGCACACGTCAATACGGCTGCAACAACAAGTGCCGTGTTTGCCAACGCGAGGATGCAGCAGGAAGCGGGGAACGCGTGGACAAGAGGCAACAAAGAGAGGCGAAGTACAGGTCACTCACGGGTCGATCTGGTGGTTTTTCTGGTTCCGGGTCCGGTTCTGTCAAAAAAAGAGTGGGCAAACAAGGATGGCGGCCGTGGAGGAGTGACTTGGAGTCGGGAATGCAGAGCCGGATTGGTGTTCACGGTGAGCATTCAAATGTTGTATGTACTCAGCAATCAGTTGCAAGTGTTGCAGCAAGGGCAAAGGAGAGATACAACAGGACGAAGAAACAATCTGCAGATTGTTTGGTTCTACTGAAGAAAAATCAGATGAAATATGGTACAAGGGCTGTGCGGCCTTTGGCCTTCCACTAGAATTTAGAAAGCGAGCATATGGATAAACGAAAGGCCAGGCAGGGTCTAGCCGGGTGTCGGTAAGGAGGCACGAGGCACGAGGACAATTTCCCAAACTGAGAAGGGAAAAGATTCTTGTACGCTCAAGCCAATAGCTAAGTTGGAGGTTCGGACGACAAAACTCGAACCTATCAATCAAGCTCCAATGTTCAATGCTCCAAAGGAGGGGGAAGCTATCTGAAATGGAGAGTAGTAAGCGAAATGCCTCGTGAAATAAAGTGTTGAGAGTCCCTCTTCTAGGACCCTGGCCACTTTGACAGGTACAGATGGAAACTCTGCACTCCCACTCTCTCTCAACAGAAGCACAGCAGACTAACCATCTTGATCCCGGCAGAGAAGGGAATGGAGGCTGTTCCAAGAGACGAGACTGCGCGATATCAGGTCCGGGTACCTGCACACAGGGCTGGGAACTGCCAGGCCTACCTAGGTAACTAACTACAGGGAGCTTCCAGAGCTATCGTCTGAAAAGGGGGGCTGAGGGGAAACATGCGGACCCCGCCCTAGCAGGCCTTAAATGCTGCACTAGGCTCTGTTAGGGCGCGCACTCAAGGGAGGACCCTGCTGGCTCCTGCTGTAGACTGGACTGTGCATCTCACTCAGTGGCATGTGATTGCAATTCTGACATAACTAGCACTAACCAACTAGCACAAGAGTCCCAATGCATCAGAACGTGCATAACTTTTAGCTCAAGTACCTAGCTTATGAGACGCTGTCATCTCATCGACCTCACAAGGCTCGTCAACCACTACCATCTCTGCAAGGCTCGCCAATCAAAATTGCCCAATCGTATATCACAATAATGGCACAGCATTGACAGAGATACGCAGCTCCTCTGAGAAGATACTCGTGACAACGTACGCTCTGCAATAGAGCTAGATCGGATCGGCGCGAGCTTGCGAGGGATGGCCATGAACATGGGCCGTGTCAGGTGAAGCTATTTAGCCTCGTCTAACGTAACCCAGGCTTGCTGCACGTCCACACAACACGTCGCAGCCATGGCTCTACCCGTCCTGCCCAGCCCGGACAACTTCCTCGGCGTGGCTCTCGTTATCAACAGATCCCGCGATGGGCCTCGCTTCGTCTTCCACTACCCGCCTCACGTCCTGCCCGTGCAGGACCACCCCGCCAAGCAGGACGGCGATGATGACCTGGAGGACGACGACGACATATTCGCCGACAGGCGCACGTCCCGCTCGGCCATGGATGTGACCGGCGCCTCGGGCATGCCCAACCTCGCCGACCTGGCCCAGTGGAACCAGGACGACCACTTCATCACCGAGGGCGGCTCGCAGCTCGTGCCCTGGGAGTATGTCGCCGGCTTCCCGACCAAGGACCTGGAGAACATCCTCACCCCGGCCAGGGCGTACCACAAGACCCTCTTCCAGATCTCCCTGGACCCCATCTACTGCGTCTCTTACCCCATCCACGTGCCGGAGAACGGCATATGGAAGAAGAGATCCAAGAAGAAGGAGAAGAAACAGCGGGAGAAGCAAAAGGCAAAGGAGTCCAAGGAGTCCAAGAGGGAGGATGTCGTGGACGGCGGAGAGCCAAAATCTGCCGATGCCGATGCCAACCCTCAAGATGAAGAGACCACAAAGGCCGATGAGGTCGACGACGTCGACGTCAAGGACATGGCCAAGTCTGCCACCGAAGAGGAGGACAAGGTCAGCTCCATGAACATGTTCAACCTCGTCTTCATCCTCAACCCCAGAAAGCACGAGGCCAAGGAGCTCGTCGACACGATGTACACCCACATCATCAAAAAGGTCAACAAGGCCTACAAGTACTGCCAGCAGAGAAGCGACTTTGTCTGGAAAGAGTCTAAGCGGATCCTAACACTGAAGGATAAGGCCCGAGAAGACAGTATGTATTCCTTGCATCCTACCTTACCATGCCTTCTACAGTAAGTGGGCGGTATGACTGACACAGTGCCCTAGAACGGAGGATGTCTTCGTTGTGGAATGAGATCCTCGCGACTTCGTCGCTGGCAGCTTCGATGCAGGACATCTACGAGGCCATATCTCAGAACAAGATTGCCGCCTTGCAACTGGAGACACCCGAAGGCACTGTCACTCCTTCAGTGCAAATCCCGGTTCCCTTTCACATTGCAGATCTCCCTCAGCTAGGGGAGGAGGACGGCCAGCGCGGCCTCTGGATCACGACTGCAAACTCCTTCACGAGCGAAGACACCGTCGACGAGCCAGGCTTCCTCGACAAGAACTTCGCTCTGCTCCTGATGTACGACGAAAAGAAGATCGTCTCCGAGCTCCAGTCTGACCAAGACGATTTCACCACCTCGAGGATGATCGAGTTTGTCAAGCACAGCAAACCAAACATGTCGTGAGTCCTACCTAGATACATTCCCTACCGATGCACCGACCCGACGAAAGTTGCCTCGCTGACATCACACACCCCCCTTCCCCCACCCCAAGGTTCCACCAAGTCGCCCAGCAGACGAGCAACGTCCTCACCCTCGGCGAGGTCCGCAAGTACGCGCAGCACTTCATCTTCTGGCGGCGGGCCATCGCCATCCCGCCCCTGCACGCCCGCGACATCTACATCCTCTCGCCCAACTGCGACATGGCCCAGCTGCCCCGGGCCGCGGTCGAGTGGGGCCGCGCCTTCCCCTTCGCCCCGACCCTGCCCCAGTTCCTCTCGGACCTGTCCGTCGCCCCGCGCCAGTACAAGTTCTTCTGCCCGGCCAAGAGCTACCGGCCCGACTACCTGCGCATGCTGGCCTGGCTCGTGCGCGGCGGCTGGGTCACGCAGCTGTGCACGTTTGCCTACGTCGTCGTCTGGCCCGAGATCATCTATGAAGTTGGGTACGCCCTCGAGGCCGAGGAGCTGGCCAAGGCCAAGAGGGTGCAGCTCGAGCGGGAGCGGCAGGAGGAGGAGGAGGAGGAGGCGGAAGAAGAGCACGACGATGAGGACGACGACCACCGCCGGCGTAGCAGTGGCCGGCGGCACAACAACAGCGAGGAGGAGGACAACGCGGACGGCGACAGCAGCGCGGGAGGAGGAGGAGAAGCACAAGAAGACCTCCGCTCCTCGACCGCGACCATCAAGTCCCGCCCCCGCGGGCCGAGCGACCTCTCCGACTCCGCCGCCGAACCACACCTTCCTCCCCTCGCCACCCCATCCCCGCTCTCCCCGTCCGCCTCCCAGGTCTCCCTCCTCTCGCCCACGTCCCCCTCCTCCTCCTCCCTCAGGTCCCCGGCCGCAAGCACCTCCAACCTCTCCACGACCTCCTCGTCCCTGGCGCACCTCGCCGCCAGCGCCGCCAGCGCCTCCCTATCCGCAGAGCATCCTTCCGCCAAGCAGCCGCAGCCGCAGCCCACGCCCGCCCAGGCGGCCGCCGAGAAGGCCCGCCGCGCCCGCATCGCCGACAAGGCCGCCCGCGAGCTCGCCGAGCGCGCCACCGCCCACGCCCGCAAGCAGCCGCCCCTCGCGACCGCGCACCCGGCCGTCAACGCCGCCGCCCACCTCGCCGGCCTGCAGCCGCACCTCATCCTCGACGCCAAGAAGGCCACCGGCATGGACAGCCTGTACCTCAGCGCCATAGGGCGGCGGCTGCGCAACCGGGGCGAGCTCCTGGCGGCGGCGGCTGCACAGGCACAGGCACAGGCGCAGGCTGCGGCGCAGGCGCAGGCTGCTGGCGGTGAAGGTGGAGGTGGAGGTGGAGGTGGGAGTGCGAACGGAGCTCCTGCTGCTGGTGCTCAGCATGCGGCGGCGACAGCGACGTCCTCCACCACGAAAGAGTGGGACGAGAGGGTGGCCAAGGCGTGGCCCGTGTTCTGCAAGTACTTCAACGGCCGGTCCGCGCTCGAGAGGGTCGCGCTGCAGGAGGACATGAAGAGGAAGGAGGCGTGGAACCTGCTCATGGCCATGAGCGAGTACCTGCTGTGTGTGAGGCACTGGTGAAAATGAAATAAAGGACAAGAAAGTGTAACATAGTGAGTGTTATTTGGGGAGGGTCTATCATTCACCCTGTTTGATATCACATAGTTTCCTAGTTCGGGGTATACAAGCAAGCCAAAAAAAAAAAAAAGGAAAGGTGTTAACAATCATTCGGGTGCCCAGGGCCCCAAAAACACAAGACTCACGCACGACGGTAGCAATCATGATCAGATTTGTATGTCAATTGAGTGGGATTAAATAGATATACGGGAAGTGGGCTGTCAAAATCCCCCTCCAGCTACCCCCTCCGAGTAGATAAAAGCCCAGCTAGCAGGAGCATCAAGTAGTATAAAGGGGTAGTAGCAGTAGCAGGAAACAATCAAACGAAGCAGTAATAGCCCGTAACCCAGGTCCTCCGACATGAAGAAAAGCAGGAACCAGATGGATGCCCCTGCATACCCCTCTCCCACTTCCCCAAAAGGGAAAAACAAAACAACAAGTATCGAATGGCAAAAGCAGAACCAGACAGATCCCATCCTTTAAAGGAAAACAACAGGAACCAATCCACAGGTATCATCGATGAGGCAAAGCACAAGAAGAGCAAACACGTATGAAGTGACAAAACAGTCCACTGTATAACCAGATAACCAGATACGAAAACCACGAACGACCGGTGACAAGATGGGCGAGCTCAGGTGGGTGAAACAATGTTCATGGAAGAAGCCACTGTCTTGTATCCGTAACCCGAGCCTTCCGTGATGCGCCCCATAACATGATGAATGTCCAAAAAAAAAAAATGAAAAGCAGACAAGCTTCACGAAAAACACTCCTCGTAAATGCAAATGGTGTAATACCTGGATCTTGGCCACCCCCTCACACAGAACAAAGAGAATACATGCCCGATGGCCCAAAAGCTGAGAAATTCCAAGAAAGTCATACCGAAAAGTGCTGAACAAGAGACTGGTGGTTCAACCATCGCGAGGACGGGACCGAGAGGGAACGCTGGCCGAGCTCAAACCCTGATGCGACCGAAAAAAGTGAACGAGGCGTGCAAAGTGTAACGACGAGGAGATCACTGAAGATCCAGCATGTACTCGTCCTCCTCTTTGAAGTCGAGCTGGCCTCCGTCATCATCGTAGTCCAGGTACTGGTCATTGTCGACGAACTCGCCGGACGCCACGCCGTTGCCTTCGAGACTGAGCGATGGCACGGCCTCGTTCGAGTTGCCCCCGCTCAGCGATTCGCCTCGGATATCAGTGTAATGTGGAACCCTGAGTCCCGTCCCGGCAGAACGCGAGTAGGTGAAGCGGTTCTTGTCGCCGTCTTCCTCGGCCCGGGCCATGGCGTCGAAAAGCTCAGATGTCATCCTCTTCTCGTCCTCGGTAGTCTCGAATGGGACGGTGCCGCCGTAATCGTTGACAATGACGTTGACAAGCTCTTCTTGGCGCTGCAATGCCAGGTTCAGCATCCACATCAGATCGCGCGTCCAGCTGACAGATCCGTTCAGGATGTCTCCCTTGTTGGGGCCCTTGTCCTTGTCCTCGACCGGCAGGCCTGTAGTGATGTTCCCAGTGGCACCGCTAGTAGCTCGTCTTGCGCCGGGACCTGCGAGCCCTGAAGTTGCTTGTGAAGGGCTGGAAATACCAGAAAGGGTCGGAGAGAGGGGAGTCCCGCTGGTAATGAGCTTCTTGATCTTCTCGTCCTCCAATCTGTGAATCGGTACCAATTTGCTGAGGTCCTGGATGCGCTCGTTGATGTTGTCTCGTCTCCGGCGCTCGACAAGGTTGTGCGACTCTCGGCGCCGTTTCCTCTTGGCTTCTTGAGTGGAGGACATCTGCGCACCGAGTTTCGCTGGCATAGAGGTGCCACCGCGCAGCATCTCGTTGATCTGGGCGCTGTGCATGGTTTGTTGCATGGGCGAGGAGAAGCCAGAGCCGGGGAAGGACGAGAGGCTCTTGGGCGTGCCTACCCACTGTCCGGAGTGGGACTTCTCGTGGTGCGATCCGTTTGTTGTTCGTATCGGCTGTGCGCCATAGGACTCGGAAGAGCTCATGTTGAGCGAGGCCATCGGTGTCGTCTTGGGCGTCAACGGATTGGCATTGTTGGAAGGCTTGCGTTGCATTGCCTGGGCGACCCGCGCCCTGGCCTTGAGGAAGTTGGGGTCCGTTCCATCGTTGTTGTATTCGGCGTTGCCTAGTGGTGATGCTCCGTAGGACCCCGGCGATTGCAGAGAGCTGCCAAAGGCCTGCGGGTGTTGTATCTGGCGGTACTGCCCGAAGCTGTGAACGAAGGGGCTCTGGATCGGGTCTCCGTCGGGTGTGTTGGAGTAACCGTTGATTTGTTGGTCAAGGGGAAGACCGTGGGTGGCGTAGACGCTGGGCGCAAAGCCACTCATGCTCATATCGTTCATTCCTCCGAAGTCCTGGCCGTTGGCCTGCATGCCCGCCTGCTGGTCGGCAGGATTGGTCAAGCCATCGAGCAGTTCGTCATCGCCGAACAGAGCGGAGCCGCTGGAGAAGCCGTTGGTGCCGCCGTTGGAATTGGAGTTGTAGTTGTTCTGGAAAGAGTTGTAGTTTCCTGCTGACATAGCGAGGTCGTTGGGGTTTATGCTTCCACCATTGTGTCCGCCACCCATCTGGTTGAAGCCGTGTTGGGCCATCGTATGTGGTGTTTGTGCGTGGAATGCCCCGCGCAAAGAGGCTTGGGTGGTTCAGTGCGTTCGCAGTGGACTTGGTCACGGGTTGGGTTGTGTATGAGCTGCGAGAAAAGAGATCAAAGTCAGCGTCGGCCATGCAACGTCATCCTCTCGATAAGGGACGGGAATCCCGGGGCGGGCGGGTTTCTAGAAGCGAGGCTGAGCAAGCGACGGAAACACGAGGTGGCGAGGACAGGGCAATCCGTCCCGCACCATGGGTTGCGACGACTCATTCAGGCTTCCCGACCAGGCCGACCAGCCCGGCCAGAGGGTAAGAAAAGTGGGACTGTGTGCAGTACAGTGCACTCACTGTAGCGGACAAACCAGAGCGACAACAGGTAGGCAGGGAGGAGAGAGAGAGTCTCAGAATACGTACCTGTTTCGCGCAAAAGGAAAAGAGCAAAGGAGGTGAAGTTGGCTGTGAAATTGTCGCCGAGGAGATCAAAGGGCCATGAGGCGGACGAAAGCAACAAGGGTCAACAGTATTGGCGGGCGGCGCGCTGGGCTGGCTGAAAGCAGCGGAATCGGACTGGGACTCGACTCGGTGTGACTCGAGAGGGTTGAGCAGTCGGGGCGACGAGGTCGGTCGTGATACAGGTAGATAACTACTCGGCGACAGCTAGTGCACGTCTGTTGCTCACCGAGCTGAGGGCGGCTTTGGGGCTGTCAGTGGGAGAAGGGGTTGTCGAGTTTGACGACAAGTTGCGACTTGCGATGCGAAGTTGGGCGGGCGGTGACTCGAGCACCCTTTGAATTGTGTGCGGAGCAGGTAGCAGAGGGAGGGCAAATAGCGGAGGCGTGTTAGTGGGCTGGACTGCTGCACTGGGATGGGCCAGGGACCAAGAAAAGCGCTGTGGGTGGTACCCTTTCCAGGTACTACTGTGACTGCAGGCTAGCGCTAAGCCACCTTCGGTAAGCCGGGCGAGTTAGTGGTGCATCTTCCCCAAGATAAAAAGAAACGAAGGGGGAGAGACGGTGAGCGAGGAGCTAGAATCGTGGAGCATCGACTCCGCGCGTCTGCGTGTTGGGTGTTGGACTGGCTTGCACGAGCAGGGGACCAAAGAAAATAAATCAATAAGAAAAAGAAGAAACGAAGAAGAAAAAAGGGCGCAAGAGGCCACAAAGACGACAACAAAGCCAACTCGCGATAAAGCTAGGCAGGCTAAGGACAGAAAAACAGCTTTACGTACCACGTCACTACGATTGTTAGGAATAGGATTCAGTACGCCAAGCGAGGAGAGAGATCCCCTCGGCCTCGGGAGCCACCAAGTTCCTGACACTATGGTCTTTGATCGATCCACTGGTCGTGCACGGAGGCAGGTTTGACAGCAACACAGGTGTCGGAATCTTTTGGTGTGTCTTGGCCGGCTTGGCCTTGCCGTGTCGCACAGTGTGCTATGTGCCAGACACCCTCTCGTAGCGCGTGGTAAGAAGCTTCCCTCTGAGCGGCGAGCGATCTTTGGAATGGAATGGGCAGAGACACTCTGCGTCGTCGCGCGAAAGGCGGTCAATGAGCTAGGATCCAGCCAACACGATGGATTGAAGGCCGGGTGTGTGCTGCTGCCTGTCCTCCAAGCTTGCGTCCGTGCAAGAGTCAGTGATGCGCTTATTAGTTTCCCGTTTGGGGGCAAAGTCGGTCCACTAATGACGGGGTCTGATTGATGGACGGATGATGCCGATTTTACAGGAGCGATCACCTCGGACGCTACCCTGAAAATCGACAACAGGGTCTTTGCTCTTTGCAGGGAATATATATCTCGGACGTTTGCTGAGCGTTTTGTTTGAGGGATGGGGGAAAAAAAACAAAGGTGGGCTGCGTGCGTGAAGGAAGGATGAAGGCCAGAGTATTTGAGGAGAAGCAAATAGGCTGAGGCTGAGTAGATGTGCAGAATTAGTATGAAAGTGCCCGGGCCAGGGATAAGAGGCAGGAAGTGGTGGACGGACAGCGCTGACTGCCCTCAACGAAAGATGTGGATGACAAGAGGTGGTGCATAGATCAAGACAAGGGTGTGTGAGTGGAGGGAGAGGCAAAGGCAGCGCCGTGCTAGTGCGGTGAGCCTCGTCTGCCTCTTCTGGTTGGCGGTGTAGAAGGCATCAATCCTCACAAAGTGATTGCTGACAAGCCACAGCGTCTCAAATCGGACTGGAGCGGCTTGCTACCGAACATTGGGAGGGGTGGAGGGCGCGGAGGGGTCAAGAGATGGGAGAGAGAGAGAGAGCTAACAAGCAGCAAATATGAGGAGAACTAGAGAATTGGATCATGTACCTTGGCGCTCTGCGAGGACGGACTCTGCTCTGATTGCTACACCGTCTTGGGAAGATCGGTTGCAACGGTGATATTGGTTGGCTGCAAGTCGCCAGACTTTCAGCGCCTTCTCGGTCGCTTGTGGTTGGGATTAGCCTCTTCCGGGCCTGGGCTGTTGTACGATCAGCTGCGTCCTCTCTGCGAACAGGAACTGTATTGGTCGACTATTTGACCAGCCGAGACGATGCGACAGGGGATGGGACTGCTGTGTCCCTTTGAAGCTTGAACTGATTTGGTTCCCGGTACGCACCTCTTTTCTCTTGTCGGAGAGCTTTGGATTGGATTCGATTCTTATTCTACTTCTCCAGAGGACGAGGACTCGGTTGTCCCCACAGCGTGTTCCTATCGCCAGGATTCCCGACTTGGAACCTGGACGAAATCCCCGGTCTTGATCCTTGCCTGATGCCAGTAAGCAATCAACTCGGTTTTCCCAGCTGGGCAGTTGGACTGTCGCTGAGCAATCGCCAGCAAAGGACCTACTTTATCTTGGATTGTCTGTATATTAGTGTCCGCCCACTGCGTCGAGCCAGCGATGCGACCAGTCACAATCGGTGGCCGGTGGGGTTGGCTCTCGAGGTGCGAAAGTGCGGGCAGAGTTGGAGAAGCTGCCTGTGTGGATACGCGATGCAGGCCAAGAAGAGGAGCTTGCCTTTCCGTCCGTGTCTTTCACAGTCCACACACACACACGCGCGCACACACACCCCTCCCTCGTTATATAAGCAGGCGGCGGCGTTAAGCCCTTTGCGCAATATGTCGCAGCGACCGAACGGGGTGCCGCTCTGCCGTTTCCTTGCTGCTGCTGGCCACCACCAGTCAAACCAGTCGTCTAATCAGGATGCGAGCTCGCCTCCCCCGTTTCCGCTGCGGGCGGGAACTCGCGACGGCTCAGGACTGGTTCTGCGGAGTAGACTGCTTCTCCACGGACACCTCGGCTTGCGCGGCTGAGCCTCTGGGGTGCTGGTCTCGATGGTGCTATTTTGGGATATATCTCGATATTGGCGATATTGTTCTTGTTCTCGACCTTTCGACATCCGATGAATGCAAACTCTGGAGGGAAGGCGATTGTTTATCTTGATCTCCGTCACTGGACTGCGGATCTCGAACCACTCTGTCTGGTCAAGACGTGCTGCGTCGTCTGGTCCTTGTCGGATTCAGGCCGGTTGCCACGCTCGATCCGGTGAGTTGCAGTAGTTGGTGTGATGTGAGACGCCCAAAGATGGATTCGGATACAGGAAGATGGAAGCTTGCGGCACGACCGAGTAAACTCTTATCAGCACTGCAAAGCGGCTGTGTATTTCTGCTGCACATCCAGGACAAGCCTCGTCGGAGGCGGAGATGGGAAATGGCCACACTTATAAACCAGCTCGCCCGTCGGCCAAAAATATGTATTCAGTCATCTAGAGGTCATCTACGGCAGCTTGCGGGCTCAACACGGGTGTCAGAAGACACTGTCTAGGTCAAAGGGTGTGCTGCCAGGAGAGACAAGGTCTGTCGCGACTTGCTCCGCCGTTTGCACCCCAGACGCCGTGCAAGGCCGCCAAAAACTGTCGAGATGTATGCGTAGCCACCACGGGCTATCACGGAAGGCAAGGTAGCAGTAGTAGTCTCTCTTCCTCTTGTCTGCTAAGGGAGGGAGGGCATCATGAGGGAGCCTACCGTATCAGCGTGACTCCCTAAGCAGCCAATGTGAGACACCATGGCACCCACACATTGACCCAAGCACACACACACAGAGACGTACACACACATAACGTACACAGGTACCTTGGTAGAGCTTGTTCTCGACAATGTAACTGTGCCATAGCACCCTGCTCCAGAGAATACATCACTCGGCAGTAATCCAATATCAACAAGGACATATGACATGCCTGCTCCCATCAATGCGGCCATTCCATCAGTCAGCAAAACTTGCGATATGTGACCAAGAGGACAGGGAGTCCTGTTCGAAACCTGGAAGAAAGTGGCGGGTAAGATGGACAGCTGGGCAGGATAAGTGAGTCTTCTCGTAGGTACCTCGAGATTCACAGAGAAGACATCGAGAAAACGGGCCAGAGACTGGCGTCCTGGGCAGGTATCCCCATCTCTGCCTACTACTCACCGAGCGGCGCGCTACTCACGAAACAAGGATGGAAGGATAACCATCTGGGCAGCGATCCGACGCCAAAGAAAAGAGAGACTGGGGGTGGGGAAGATGGCAATCTTGAAATCCACATTCCGCAGCTGCTTTGCCACATCCTGTGGGAGAGCAGGGAGATCCTCGTATCAGATCCCGGCCGGTTCGTGATTTCGTGTCTGAGATGCACCCGGCTTTCGACGGGGCAGTTCAATCGATCTGGCGTCATGGCGGAAAAACACGCAGGTGGGCTGGCAGACCTCCCGCAAGGGCCGGCCGTGCAATGACGGCGATGATGTCGGGATAAGGATGGTGATGAGGGCAAGTCCTCTGCCTCGAGGTGGGTTTCGGTGCATGGCAATTGGAGGCCGCATCCCTGTCTTCCCGTGCGATCATCATGCACGGTGCTCCCTTGGTCCAACCATGTGCCCGGATCAACCTCGAGACCCAGTAAATCCGATCGGCCCTCGCCGTTGCGCTTGCTGCCATTTCAAAGCGAGACTCGTCGACTGCCGCGCGACCTGCAGCCCAGCGTCGGATTCCCAAGGCGACATTGAATCCCTGACTGAACCCACCACCCCCCAGGCCAGGAAGACCTGCTCCGTACTAAACCTCCTCCACCTTTTTCTCTGCCTTGCCGGATCCGTGTCCAGAGGCCACCATTCGCACACACCTACCCCGACTGCTTCCCCCTTCGAGTTGCGGAACGCGCGGTCGAAACAGGCTGCTAGCCATTGTCACATCGAGGCCTACGTTGTCTCGCCACCCAGTCTCTCCGTGATCTCGAGACTCATTAAGGCGACTGGCTGTCCAGCTGCCATCTCCCGGCTATCGAAACCCAAAAGTTTCACCGTCTCGCCGCGACAAGCCCCAGCATCCTTGGCCCCTTGGACACCGTCCTGTACGTTAGTGATAAGGATGAACCGCCCGAAGCAGGGTCCCTCTCCATGCCTTCGAGGAACTAATGTCACGTCTAGGCGCTCTACTTGTCCAGCGGATGTTGCCTTGACTCCGGGACCTACCACCCTAGCGGCTCGTCCACCCTCCGCACGCCACCCTCCATATATCGACCGTCTGGCCAATAGCACGACCTGGATAGGCCCCAAGCCCACACCCCTCCGCGAGTCGAACAATCACGAGCCGATCCTCAACCTTGATTCTACACCACTGTTTCTGAAGTGTGGTCACTCGGCACACAATTCCTAGACCTGCCTTCGTGTTGTTGTGAAAAGGGTCTCGGCCCTCTGCTACTGGGAAAGCCCCCCCTCGAACCACTGAAAGACGCCCTTGCGCGGAGGAGATTTGGAATACGGCGGAGAAAGGAAAACCACCAAGCATCTCGCGGCTATGGCGTCACAAACATTCCGGGATTCCATCGGCTCCCTGGGCTGGGCGCGCCGCGAACGGGATGCTCCCGTCAACACGTCCCAACAAAGCGGTCTGCTCAGTTCGCTCCAGTCCCTGAACCCCTTTGGCGACCGCGGATATGTCCAGCTGCCCACGACGGAGGGCCAGGGCGCCCCGCTACCGGCGCCCAGCCGGCGCGAGGAGGAAGAAGGCTGGTTTGTTCGTGAGTCAACCTACTACTACTGCCCAGTGCAGCCCTTTCCTCTCTCCTTATCGGGGTCTCAGACGCCGCCCATGTCCCTGCAGCAGATCCGGCTGTGGGACATGTGCCGGCTGCTGTTGGGAGGCCTTGTCTTAGCTCCGCACATGAACATCTTTCTTACTCCACCCCCTTTGTCTTGATATTGGGTTACGGCTCTTCTTTGGGGTGGTTCATGGACTGACGAATCTGGTTTGAGATCAACAGTGAGTAGGTGGGATCGTATGCTAGTCTTTGCCGGCTGCAATCTGGGCGCCCTGGCCTGCTTCGTCGTCTGCTTCTTCCTCTTCCCGGTCCTGTCGCTGCGGCCGCGCAAGTTTGTTATCCTGTAAGTTGCATATTCCCTCCCCACACTTGTCTTTCCCCTATCCAACCCCCGTCGCGCCATACAAGGCCCTCTCTTTTGGTCGTGGTCACCGGTCGGTCGCCTCGCAGGGCGCGCAACACGTTGGGCGGGATCTACGGCGTCTAGTTGGACAGGCATACAAGGCAGCCGTTGGTGTTGTTCCCGGCCCCTGCACGTCCAGCATGTCTTACTGCGGGTACCCGCTCTTGCATGCGGATATCTCGCATGACATCTGGGGCCGACCTCCTGTCAACCCGGTGACGTTGCGGGAATGACCTCAACTGCCATGGGGGGGAGGGCACCTCCTGTCCTAGTCACGATCGTACCTCTCTCCCCGCTGCCGAAGATTGATTGTTGTTGCTGCTTTGCCCCTTATTCTGCCTTCGCCCAAGGGCCAAGGTGGTTTCCCATATTATCGTATTTCGAGCAGACAAGACATGGGATACTGACTCGTTTCCCGATCCGCGGCGCAGATGGACGTTGGGCTCCATGCTCTTCCTCGCGTCTTTCGCGGCTGTGATGGGCCCCATGACCTACGTCCAGCACCTCGCGTCCGGACCGAGGCTGCCCTTTACGGCCGCCTACTTCGGCTCGATCGGCCTGACGCTGTACTTTTCGCTCGGTGTAAGTTCATAATTAAGCCATACTTACTTTTGCGTCCTGGACATAACCCCCCCCATCGCTTGTTGTGTTTGTTTGTCGTTGGTTTGGCTGACATATCTTGGGCAAAAGCTCCAAAGCACGATCCTCACCCTCTTCTCAGCCATCGTCCAGCTGGCCGCGCTGGCGTGGTACCTGGTCAGCTACTTCCCGATGGGGTCGAGCGGCCTGCGCCTGGCGACCAGCTTTGGGGCCCGGAGGGCGGCGGCCTGGATGACGGGCTGATGATGGCGGTTGCGCAGTTGGTCGAGCGAGACTAGATAGGAACGAGGGCAGTCACAACTTGTCACAGGGACACAAGGTACTGGCGGCAGCCCATTGTCATCCATGGCTTTTTGTACAAAAGTCTTTGCTTTATTTCTACTTTCAAAGATAATGGGTCGTAGGGTAATTAATGATGAGCATTTGTATGGATGGAAAGCTCTAGGAGGAAGCGGTATCGCTTCAAAGACCATTACGGGTGTACTTGATGCATCCATGGTCATGCATGCTAGGGTTTGAGAGCAAATGTCGGAGGCTCAGTGCCAAGTCTACGGCCTTGAATATATATATTCCTAGGCAGGTAGGCAACGTCAGGAGAGCTCTCCAATGGCCTCCTGTTCAAACCCTAATGATTTTCAGCTATAGCATGACGGTTCATCCCATCATTTCACTCGGCCAAGATCAGTCCAAGTATTTTCTTCGGCACGGAAACAAATGCCGGGAGCGGGAAGCGGCTCGGGTATCGGAACGACCACGGTAGTTGCGCAGTCACCTATTTATGCTGTTTGAGGGGGTTTGGTAGGTACCTAGGTAGGGTAAAGGAGGGCAGCGTAATGTAGGTAGGGGCGCACAAGTTTTGCTGCGCGTTTCACGGCAACGGCTTACACGTAGGAGGGAAAAGAGGGAGCTGGAGCACTTGGGGAGGTGGTAAGCGATTCTGCTCGATGGCAGGCTGACGTGTTCTCTGTGCGCGTCAAGTGTGTGAGAGGGCTCAAGCTTTCTTGCGTGAGGCAGGCAGACGTGTGTAATGTGCAACGGGGAGACTGTGAGCGATGGAGCCCTCCTTCTTTTGGCTGATGGCTGATAGCTGACGAAGAAAGGACTGGGTTGATTGATGGAAGAAAGGGCCATACTACGATGCCCTTGGATCTTGGATCTTGCGGGCTTGGACAGGCCGGGTTTTTACAAGGTAAACTACGTGTCCGGACTGCTAAACGCCGAAGGTGGGATGAATGGATGGAGGGCAAACTTGAAGCTTGGGGTGATGTGCCAGGCTCAGCTCAATCCATCATGTTGGTCGTGCAGTATTACGATGACCTGTCCATCCAGTCAGCTTGTCATGCACGACCCTTGCCGGCCGGAGGAATCCGCAGGATAGAGCCTCTACTTGTATGGACAGATGCATCTGGCAGGCAGTCGCGTTGCAGAACTGGGGCGGGCGTTATCGATAAAAGTGGTTGATCCCTGAAGTCCGTTTTTCCCTGGTGTATCCACTTGTGGAAGGAGATGATGGAATCTTTCTGGTCCCCAGAATTGGATCAGAAATGGACTGCGGTTCTCCCGGAGCCGTACGATGTGTGGGAACCTAGGTAAAATCAGAGAAATTCCGCCCTTGGCGAGCAGGCCCAGGGTAGCAGAGCAGGCACATCGTTGCCACGGGTCTTGATTGACACACATTCATACCCCGGGCAAGCTCTGGTGGGTACCTGAATGACAATTTCTCGGATGCTCTCTGGATCTTCCTCACTGGTTGTCCCCATTCGGCAGGTCGTCATACTGAATACGGACCAGACAACATCTGACGCTCTTGTCCCCTTGGCTGACCCCCGTCTGGAATATCAGATGCCGCAACACCAAACTCTGGATCCTAGCCGTCGAAAAGAATGTGAAAAGACCCAAGCCAAGACGGTGGCTAAGGAACTGCAACGGCTAGGCTTAGTGTCTTAGTAATAGGATCCTTGGCCGTGGAGAGGATTGACTGGGTTAAATAGCTTTCGAGGTTAATAGCTTGCTCGGGAGGGTCAGGTTCAAAAAAAAAAAAAGAAGCCAGGCCAAGACTAGCTGTGGAAGAGCCAGGCTGGTCCAAGCAATCTCCGGGAAGCTCTGGTTCCCCGGACATCGAGGATCAAATCGCTGAGCCTCAGGTCGAGTCTCCGGGTGCATTGTCTCCGATATATATGACTGTACGCGGCGTGCAGGCTCTGCCCTGGAAGGATGCAATATGTGTCATCCTGTCCAGCGTCACCTTGCTATTTTTAAGCACTGCCCTGGTGCATCCAGAAGTTGAGTTGTGTCCAGATGGCCGGCGGGCTGCCTGGGATGCTAATTAGGTTGCTGTTACCTAACGTGCCCTGCTGAGACGCTGCAACGCCAATGACTGGCCCGGCTAACTCTGCCAGACTTCCCCTCCCCCGCCCGAGACAGAGTTGCGATGTGCATAGGGTGCTCCCGAGCGGTGGTGTTGCATCTTGCCGAGCGCCACGGAGCTCTGAGATCCTATCCTGGCATCGTCTGGTGGAGAGTGTGAATTTGTGTTGGCAGTCCCTGATTCCTCGGCCGTTGATCTCAGTCACGGCTCTCGGGAGGAGAGGGGTCTGGGTCACCCCAAAGGCCACACTGGGACGTTGGGGGTCTTGTAAGGCGCTTTTTGTAGAGATGCCAATGCCCTTCCTTTTTTGAACATTAGGCACAGCCGGCTGCTAGCCGGTGGCACTCTCTGCTCGTGCTTTGACTCAGCGTCATCTCGTGTCAGCCATTGGTCGTATCTGCTTGTTGTATCACTCCTGAGGAATGCTGAATGCCAGCAGCACTGGGCGGTGATGTCGGGTCTGGTGAGTGAGTGAGCAGAGGTCAACTAAAAACAAAGTCCTAAAAGGCGTCTGTCTGCCCAGGCCACTTGAACCACCAGCTGGCAACCCTGAACAGCATCACTACCTTACCTACCTAAATGTCGGCGTGAACACAGGCAAATGTGCCTGCCGAAACCTTTTATAAACTTGCCCATTTTCCGCTAACAAATAACCGATTTATATTCGCGCATCTCCACTGTAGCCGGTGGGTGGTGCTAAAGTGAGGAGCCGCCCAAAATTTACTGTATTCATCCTGGAAACGCCAGTGACCGAAAAAATTTATTCCACACACAGACTCACTCACACACAATTCTACTCCTCACCTTTTCCTTAGGCGAGGATTTCTTTTTTCTCTTCTCGGATCCTGCCCTTGGCCATTGTGCACCTCCTCCCACAAATCCGTCTTCCTCTTCCTGCGACCCCGACCGGCTCTGACTTCTTCCACCTCGTGAAAGAAACCCTAGCACCGGTCCTGTCGTGCGGGAGCCTGTCGTCTTCCTCGTCGCCTGCATAACCAGCTTCCTGCTTCAATCACCGATCCTCTGCACTCTGTGCCGCGGACCACCGGCTTGTTGTTGTTTCTGCTGGCATCTACTGCCCACGTCCAACCCGCGCTACGACCGCTTCACGAAGTCATTGTTGCGATTCTCGAGGGTTCATTCGACTCGTCCAGCACTTTTTTTTTTTTTTCCAACATTCCCTGCCGGACTTGGTTGCGTTTGGTCGAGGTCTCCCCCCCAAAGGTTCACACTGCACCTCTGGCGCGGTCTGCCGCATTAAACACGAAACAGCAACAGTGACATAACGACCGGCTCGCATTCCGCGTAAGCCTCTGTTATTTTATCGCACCATCCTTGCCGATTTCGATCAGTCCTGCGAATCTTTGCCAGCACGATTTCCAGATCCGCCAAATCCTTTGTCGAATCACGATCAGCTCAGCACCATCGGGACATCCCAGGGTTGGGCTTGCAATTCTCGGTCGCCTCTCCAGACAGCGTCTGACTGGAGGAGACGTCGTCTACATCTTTCCGCAGTCGAGGCGTGAGGGTGGTGGTGAGAGCTAGACTCACCCATTCTCGTTGGGCACGTGGCTCGAAAACAGCCCGTCGCATAAACCACACGTCTTGGCTGTAATGGCTTCAGGTGATACTAAGCTACCTACAGACACAATGTCAAATTCGGGAACTTTCTCCTACGCGCAAGCCGCGAGAGGGAAGCCTGCCACGGCCCAGGCCACTCCTCCCCAGGTGTCCAGTCCCGCTCCGCCGTCGACGAGCTCTCTGGGTAAGGATGATGCGGTCTCCACGACCACTACTGCCACAGCGCTCTCCTCGCAGCCAGCTTCGGAGATCATCGAGGACAAGCCCGCCAGCACAGAGTCGGACGCTGCCCCACAGAAGCAGGATGCCGAGGTAGCATCTGTTGGCGAGGCTGCCTCGTCGGCCGCCCCCGCAGCCGACCAGCCCTCGGCCACGGTCTCGCGAGACGACGCCACTTCTACGACCGGCTCTGTGCCTACGAGCAGCGAAAAGCCTGCCAAGACTGCGAGCGCCAACTCGCGTCAGGATTCCAATGACTCAAGGAAGGGTAAAAAGGGCAAGAAGGGCAAGCAGGCGGACAAGGACTCTGAGCAGGACCAGGCTCAACAGAAGGAGGCCGAGAAAGAAGCCGTCAAGATCGCGCTGAAGGAGGCACCAGCACCCACCGTCAATCCCTGGCACAAGCGCATAGAGGCGCAATCTGCACAGGCGAAGTCGGTTGCAGGCCAGGCGCCCAAGGTCGCGGCCGCGGTTACCGAAGGCGCTGCCGCCACCGCTCAGGAAGGCAGCAAGAAGCAAGGCACCGAGTCTGCCGATGCCTCGGCAGCTGTGAAGACCCAGAAACGGGCTGGAGATGCCCCTCGTCCCGGAGAGCAACGGAGAAGCGGTCCTAGAGGGAGCAGATCCGACAAGGACGACAGGACATCTGCCGCACTCCCATCCGTGGAGGACGCCGCTGCCTGGCCGACCCCCGAGACCGCGGCTACCGCCGACGAAGGCAAGCCGAAAGCGACGGTCCAGGAGACCGAGCGTACCGAAAAGGAGAGCCAGGACGACAACGGTCTGGCCAAATCAAAACAGAAGTGGGTCCCCGTACCATTCGTACCAACTGTCGCCTTCCAGACGCCGCTCCCGCAGCGCACAACGAAGCCTCGTGGCGGTGGCCGAGGCGGTCGGGAGGTCAGCTCCAGAGGGGCACAAGGCAGTCCCACCGCCGCTACCGGTGAGAAAGTGAACGCCGCTTCCCCTACGACGACTGCTCCCGCGAAGGCATCTGAAGGCCGGGAGACACAGCGTGAGAGTGCCAGCACTGGTCGAGCTTCATCGCAGGGAGCACCCGCGCCCTCTAAGAGAGCATCTATCGATGGATCGTTCGCTCGGGAGCAGCGAAAGCCTTCAGCAACGACCTCGACGGAGCGGGCTAAGGACCCTGCTACTACAGAAGGATCAGCAGTAAGTCAAGATACATGTCTGATTCTCTCCAGTATCTCAGAACGCTAACATTGTTTCCTAGGTCGCCGGCAAGGCCGAGTCAAGCACGAGAGGTAATTACTATGATGCCCATACGTCCCTGTTCCATAAGACGGAACACACAAGTCCCAGCCAAGAATTGGGCGAAGTCACTGGGTACGGCGCTGACTATTGAAAAGATGCAGGTTTCCAATCTTTCAAGGAACAGGGCCACAGCGGCCGTGAGAGGTCGGATGCCCGCCATGAGCGCGGCGGCCGGGGCGGTTACCGGGGTGGTCGCGGTGGCCACAATGGCCACGCTGCGGCAAGTCACATCAACCAAGCAGGTTTCCCACCTAACGGCCAGCGATATTCGTCCCACGGCGTGTATTCGCCCCAGCAACAGAACCCCTACAGCCCACCGCCAGGCCAGTATGCCTTTAGCGGTCACGGTTCGAGAAACGGCCGCGGCAATGCTAGGTCGCAATCGCTCACAAACGGTCCTTCGTACAGTGGCCGCGCTGCTAACGGCGGCAACAACGCCCAGCGGACTCACTCTCTCCAGACGAGCGAGTTGCCCCAGGAGTACCAGATGCATGGCTACAATGGCTTCTCGCAATTTCCCTCGCCCTTCCAGGATCCTGATCTGATCCACGGCTTGAAGCTGCAGGTCGAGTACTACTTCTCTCTCGACAACCTGTGCAAGGATACCTTCCTTCGCAAGAACATGGACTCGCAAGGCTTTGTGCTGCTGTCCACCGTGGCCAGTTTCCAGCGCATGGCTGCCCTGGCGCCGTCGTTAGACTTTGTGCGCCTGGCTTGTGCTCAGTCCGAAAAGATTGATTACGTTGTGGGTGACGATAATGTCGAGAGGCTTCGATCCCGTGAGAAGTGGGAGATGTTCCTCATGCCCATGGACGAGCGTGATCAAGGAGCTCGAACTGCCGGTCCTGCCCACTTCCAGTGGCGATCTCACGACAGGATACCGCAGGCCCCATATCCCGGCCAGATGATCCCATCTGCCTACCCAGCAGTGTCACCGACCGGATATGGTCAGCACTATGGCCAGAACGGCACCGATCAGATGTACTCATTCTATCCCAATGGCATGCACGCTGAACCTAACGTGAACGGCGGTGCCGTGAATGGCTTCCACTACCCTGGCGAATCGCAGCTGTCCGCCACTGTGGCCGACTTTGCACCCTCCGGCTTTGCCGGCCCGGCGGTCACGCTCGACGACTTTCAGAACTGGCCTGATGAGCAGGTGGACAGCTTCATGGTCAACTTGAGTGACGAGCGGGCCCAGTCAGCTGGCGAAGAGAAGAGCAACCCGGCGGTCGTGAATGGATCCAAGGAGTCCTCCAGGTACTTACGCCCTCCGCCTTCTCTTTTTGATGAAGAACATCCATGACTAATCTTTGTATTCACAGCAATGCCTCGAACGTAGAACAGTCCAAGGAGGCACCTCGGACGAATAGCGTCTCCTACACCAAGCTCCGCTCGAGGGCGCTTGAGCAACGCAAGGCCGCGGCTCCCGGTGAGACCCCGCCTGAGATGAGGGATCTCTATGCTTTCTGGTCGCATGCCTTGACTGAGCACTTCAATGCTCGCATGTACCAGGAGTTCAAGGATTTCGCTCTCGAAGATGGCCGCAAGGAGACGCCCAGCAAGACGGGTCTGAACCGCCTGATGAGCTATTACCACAAGATCCTGAGCCAGGAGCGAAGCTGGGCTGCTGGCAAACCATTCCACGAGTTCTTCACTCCTCATTACGAGGAGGCGAAGCAGGTTGCCCAGTCGATGGGTCTCGTTAACGGCGAGGGACGGAATTAAGGTGCCACCCATCAGTCGCAGGGCGCCGTTCGTCTCCATGGTGTGAATCCAGGAGCTTCTGTGTTCATGACCAGGCACGGCACGTCTTTGACAGTTCGGCTGATTGTGTGTGCCTTGGGTACCTCTTTTCCGACGACCTTGAGAATACCTTCACACTCCTTTGGGACTTTGCAACACTCATCATCACTACCCCTAAAACGGCAGGTTCCGCTTCATGAACCAATCCTTCTTCGACAAAGTATAATACACCATCCACCACAAACCCTTACTGGGGCATCATTAATGACTGGGCGAGCATTCGATCTTTTCTTGGATCTTGCTCGTCGACTTGTCCGACATGGGATCTGAGCTGAGGCATCTTGGCTGGGATCTGTGCTATCTCCCTATCGAGCGAGACCAGTGTTTTGTTGTCGCTGGGCGCCTCATCACGCCCTCACAGCGTTTGTCCAGTACACACGTGGACAGGTACGCTGTGGTGACCTACTTTCCCCCTTTTGTTTCTTTGATACCAGCAGCATCCTTCATGAGAGGACCGGCGATGGAGAGGCAGGAAGGATATGACGCTGGATATGCTGGCATCATGACCGCCTCGTGGCGCACATCATGGGATGGATGTGCAAGGATGGCTCTACTCCCCCTGCGCTCTGGCACAGTTGAAGTGTGGCATATGGCACTTTGGTCCTCTCACAAGCGGCCATCCTACACCGGCAGCAACAAGACTGGGGTGAATCACCCATGACATCACATCGCTGGTCTCTCATCTTCGGTCCTTTTTCTGCTTTGCTGCTTTTGAGATGAAATGGGAGGAACAATATCAAAAAGTTTCTCTTTACATTGTTACCCGGATGAGTTGGCCGTTTTTCATCAGCAAAATCTTTTCTTCTTCTTTTTCATGCATGTCGGCCGGCTGGGAAATTCACAACTTCGTTGCATTCAAAAGGACCAACCAACATCACGGCACAAAAGAGGAGAAGCACCGGGGGTTTTATATTCTTTTTTTTGATGAATTCTTCGTCCTTTTTTTTTTCAATTCTCATTCTAGACCTGGGATGAGTGACAATCAAGGGTCCAAGAATGAGCGACCGTATTCTCCTCTCCTCACCTTCCTTACTTCCATGGACCTACAGCATCGAGGGGAAGATGAAAGAAAAGTCTCGACGGGGAAGGGGGGGGAAAGAAAAAAAGTGTTCTTTGCTGTGCCTATGTGCATGCACCATTTTTGTTTTTTGTTGTTTGTCGTTTGTTTTTTCCACAGGCCAGCGAGAAGAAAAAAGATTTTCCACATTAGGAGGGGAAAAACGGGAGGGGAAACGGGATATCATCCATCAGCAAATCACCCTTTGTACGAATAGAAATTCCCAAAAATTACACAAAGATAAAACTTGGTAATATTGTACATATACACACACACACACTTTCTTGCTGGGACTCGCGTGAATCTGTTCTGTTCTGTTTTTGTACTCTGGGGGGAATGTGGTGAGGCTTTATATGATTTGTGGTATTGGCAGGGTATCAACAGTTTGTTGTTTGGTATCATACGGTCGTCATGTCAGGACATATTACAATCTTCTGTCCTCTGAATCATCGACCACTGGCATACCGGATACTAAGTGAAAGTGGTCTTTTTTTCGAAACACCCCGAGTATAGAGATAGAAAAGGAAAGAATCTCCTCTCAACGCCCGACCATTCTCGGGGATTCCTTCCAGCAACACAACACGCCGATTCAAAAAGAAGGTCGAAAAAAAAATCACAGCAAAAGTTTCCCCATTCAAAATCCAAAAGCCCCTGTCTCTCTCCCCGAAAGAGAGACATTTGTGCCCAACAAGACGAGAAACGAGAAACGAGTGACGGACGGGCGGGCGGACGTGAACCCTCGGCAGCTTCCGCCTATTCCCTTAACCCCCGAGGGAAAGGAAAGGGGGGAACCCAACCAAACCTCTCTCCTTTTTACAACGCCACGGCGAACAGCCCGGCGACGAGGGCGAGGATCCCGCCAAGGAGGGCGGCGCGGCCCGGCGCAGGGGCCGCGGCGCCGGCGTTGGTGCCGGGCGCCGGCGGCGGAGCAGAAGTGCTGGCGAGCGCGCCTGCGTCGGCGGCCAGCACGGCGCTCGGGAACGCCGTGAGGAGGGTGTCGGTGGGCGGCGGCGGGGGCGCGCCGGTGTCTGTTGGCGGCGGAGGAGGCACACCGGTGTCTGTTGGCGGCGGAGGAGGCACACCGGTGTCGGTGGGCGGAGGAGGAGGAACGCCGGTGTCGGTGGGCGGCGGTGGGGGCGCGGGCACGCCGGTGTCGGTGGGCGGCGGCGGAGGCACGGGCACGCCGGTGTCTGGGGGAGGGGGGATGGGAGCGCCTGGGTTGGGAGGAGCCGGGGCGGGGGCCGGCGGAGCCGCAGGCGGAGCAGGAGGAGCAACCGGCGGAGCGGGGGGAGCAGCCGGCGGAGCAGGAGGAGCAGCAGGCGGTCCGGGAGGTGCAGCAGGCGGAGCAGGAGGAGCAGCAGGCGGAGCAGGGGGAGGGGGCGGGACGTCCTGCGGTGCTGCCGTGGCGAGGGCGGCGAGGAGGAAGGGGAGGAGGACGGTGGCGGTATGCATTGTCGATCTGTTGTTGGTTGTTGTGTGTTCTAGCAACGATATCGGCCAAAGAGTATTATATGCGACTGTTCGTCAAGATTTGGTGATACGGCCAAGCTTGGTGTTGGTGTTGCATGTTTGTTGTCTGTAACCGGGACAGATGGAAAAGGGGACTCAGGGGATCTTTATGTGCGATGAAAACGAGCGAGACTGATCTCTAGGACTCGTTCGTCGAGGGAAAGAAAGAGCAATTGCCGAGAGGCTTTGCGAGAGTTGTCTTGCCATGTCCACGCAATCCAATATCAGAGAAAGGCAGTCCGCGGTGGCAAACCAGGGACTAGGGTCGCTGGCAAAGGCTGTGTATAAGATGATTCTGGCAGCGAGCTACCGCGTATCGTGGTCTAAGTTTGGGAGGTGAAACGCACTGAACGGCTTCCTCCAAACAGGTGCTAGGGAAGCATCTTGGCACTTGAGTTTGCTTCGTGGCCCGGAGCTCTATTGGACGACTCGAGTTGATGGAGCGGGGTCGATCTCGATGGATATGGGATGTTGCCGTCTTACAACCTGCAGAACAAGTCACCTGAGGTGTAGCGATCTCTCTAGTCAAAGGAAAATATATAGATCCCTTTGGTGAAGATGTCGCGAGAGCCTGGCCATTAACCGGTAACTGCCGGTTTGGGCAGCAAGGAAGCTCCTTGGAGAATGAAAGGAGGCCGCCCTTCTTCGATATTGCATGTGATATTCCGACCTACTTTTGAGTTGCATAAGGTTCTTGCTCTGATTGCTACTGCAAACCACCTTGCAACAGCGATTTCAAACTGTCTCAAGTACACATATGCAGATAAGGTATGAACTGCTCAGACACCAGACGATAAGCAGGGGTTCAGCTACTTGTAAAGGTGAGCTGGGCCAGAGGACCCTGGAAAAATTACGTCATTGCGGTGCTCGTTACCAGGAACTCAAAATGCTCTTGGGCTGGCAGCTTCTCACTCGGCACTCGGCGCTGAATATCCTGGCGAGCAGGATGGCCGTTGATGGAAGCAAGACGTCCATACAAAGTCAGGAACGGACTCTGGTTCGTTTCAGTAGAGGATTGCGCGCACACGATGCGAGGATATGCAATGGGCGTGGTAGAAGAGTTATGCATCAATCTGTCTGGTCTGTGTGGGGGCCAAAAAGCAGCAGTGCAGCAGCGCAGCACAGCATCCGCATCGGCCACCGGACTAGCCGACTTCCAAGCACTGCGAGCACAGATCACGGGCCAGCTGCGCCACGGGGGAAGACAGGTGCGTCATTTTGGTGCGGGCAGCTGCGTGCCACTTCACCAGCCCCACTCTCTGCCTTCTCAAACCCCTCCTCGCCCACAGAGAAGGAAAGAGCGCCTTGCACGGTCCGTCCCATCCTCTGCCCCCGCAAGACGCCTACCTAGCCAGAACTTGCCAGAGACATCCCGCGCTGAGCATGACTTTCTGGGGAGGCCTCAGCACACGCAACACGGTACCCAACATCTCGAGGCTGCTCAGAATTGCTCACGGAAGAGAGGGAAAGCAAGATGAAGAACCCATTCCAAAAAATGACAGGGCCTCCTCTTCCTGCCACTCGACGTTGGCAGCCTCGAGTTGCAGGGCAATGCTGGTCCGTCCTGAAAGTCGAGTTTAGCAGTTGTCTCGGCGGGCGGGCGGCTACGGGAACTAATAAGTTACGGGCACGTTAGAGGCCACGCCGTCCACCACGGCCACTGCCGAGGACATCCGCAAGTGGCCTTTCCCACGTCGTAACCATCAGAGCCGTTACTCAGGGCTCTCACTCTTTCTTATTGTGCTGGCTTTGCTGCCCAGTCCGGCAGTCCCTTTGGGCCTCTATCCACCAGCCACAAGATCAGGATACCTACGAGTAGAGCCACTGCCAGGCTTCCCCGTCCCAACGCTGCGACCTGAAACCCCAACAACCGCCGGCCCGTGACGAAACCACCCCCCTCTTCACCTTGCCACCGGGCCTCCCTGTGTACAAGTAGCAAATGGGACCAGGGATGACAAAAGAGACGGCTTGCCTGGTCTCTAGAGCAGTCCAATGGGGAACACCCTGCAGATAGACCGGGCTGTGTAGACGCCGCCTCCGGCACCTTCAGGTTGGGCTGATCCACCGTCGTGCTTCTGCTAGGGGCCAGAGAGACCAAAGAGACATAAGACAGACACCAGATTACCGGCCCTAGCCCGCTCGCACCGACCGAAGCGGCAGCCCAACCAAGTCTTGCCAGTGTGCGTCACCTACCCTGCCTGTCTCGCCTGTTCAGAACCCTGAAAGGGCGTCTTACCTACCTACACTGTAGCGCCTCCCCTGCGAGCCAGCCCAGCCAAGCCAACGCATCCCCTCCCTCCCGTCATCCAGTCCATTTCGCGCTGCCCCGCCCCCCCTCTTCACCTCCCACTTCTCTGCATCTCTTGCCTTGGAATATAAGCAGACACACACCAAGGTTGGATCGCCCCTGCAATTCCCCAATCTACATACAGACTTGAAAATCGGCATTCTGTTTTCTTGTAGCGATTTCCCATCTTTCGCTTGACACGAACTGAGCCATCGATATCATCAACATCATTGCTACACCCTCCTCTTCCTCAAGAGAGGGAACTATACTATTTGCCTTTGGTTTTCCTTGACGCCCAGCCTATTGCTCAGGCAGCTGCTGAGCTGAGCTCGCCCTGCAATGTCTGCCTACGAGTACGACGCTCCTCCCACCCGGGAGCGCTCCCAGCGTTACTATCGCGAGGAGCGCCGAGGCGATCGCTACGGCAATGACAACTACCTGAGGGTGCAATCTCGCGACCTCGTCCCTCGCGCACGAGAGGACAGCGACCTGTCGGTGGAAGAAATCCACCGCGACTTTCCGCCACCAGGCTACCAGAGAGAAATCCGCCGCGCCCGGTCAGCCGAGCCTGGCTATTACGACGAGTATGATGACCGCCGGTCCTACTACGCGCCCCGGGACCGAGACTATGACCGCGACTACGATCGCGAGTATGATCGCCGCTCCCACAAGAAGGCCGGCAGCGTCTACTACGAAGAGGAGGAGAAGAAGAAGCGCCGCATGCTGTCTCAGCAGCAGAAGATCCTCGCTGCCGTTGCCGGTGCTGCGCTCATCGTCGGTGGCAAGGAGCTCTACGACCGCCGCGAGGCCAAGCAAGAAGGGGGCGAAGTCCATCGTAATGCGATGGCCTCTGCCGCCCTCGGTGCCGCTGGTGCTCTGGCTGCCTACAAGGGCGCCGACTTCTACAACTCCCACGCTGCCAAGGACGAGAAGAAGTCGACATATGTCGTGCACAAGGGTCGTGACGGCAAAGTGACCGAGTACTACTCGGACGAGGACGAGGACCCCAAGGAGAAGAAGGGCCACAAGAACTTCCTCGAGAACGCCCTTGCGGCTGCTGGTCTCGGCGGTGCCATGAAGGCCTTGACTGGCGGGAAGGACGACGACAAGAAATCCGACACTCGATCGCGCCGGGGCAGCCGCTCCAGGTCGAGCTCGAGGACTCGCGGCGGTGACGACAAGAAGCCCGGCAACAAGATCCAGCAGGCCGCCATGGCCTCCCTCATTGCCGGAGCAACAGAGGCTTTCCGCGTCTCCAGGCAGCCTGGTGGCTGGAAGGGAGAGAAGGCCAAGCGCGTTCTCACGGCTGCTGCCGGTGCCGCTACCATTGATGCTGCTCAGAATCCTGAAAAGAGTAACAAGCTGAGTATGGCCGAGTCGGTCATCGGTGGTCTGCTGGGCAACCGTGTCATCAACGGCTCCAAGAAGAATATCGAGGAGGACAAAGCCACCGGCCGAAGCCGTTCCCGCTCTCGAGCAGCTTCACGCTCGGACGGCGGCGGCGGCGGCGGCGGAGCCACTGGCCTTGCTGCCCTCGCGACCGCAGGACTTGGTGCTTTCGGCGCCAAGAAGATCATGGAGAACCGAGAGCGGTCCAAGTCGAGGGGACGCGGCAGCCCTGATGGGTACGACAGCCGCGACGGCTCGCCCGATCGACGTCACCGAAGCCGTAGCAGGAGTGTAGTCGACACAGCGCGACGCAGTCTCGCCAGGCTCGGCATAGGCAACGGCCCTGAGGACGACCGGGACCGCGACTACGACTCACCTCGCGGCGCTTCCAGGAAGGACAGACATCGCCGCGACCCGTCTGCGGATAGCTACGACGACGGCTACTCGCGTGACCGGGGCTATGGCCGTGACAGGCGCGATGACTACGACGACGACCGGTCGTACCGGCGTGATCGCGACCGGAGCCAGAACCGATCGCGGCGAGGCGGACGGGGAGGAGGCTATAGCTCGGCGTCGGAGAGCGACTTGGGAGATTCTTCGGAGGACGAGAAGCGGGCAAAGAAAATGAGAGGTAAGCAAATCATCACTACAGGTCTCGCGACCGTAGCCACCATACACGCGGCGCACAATGTCTATCAGAGCATGGAGAAGCGGAACCAGCGGCACAAGGCGGTGAGGGAAGGTCGGCTGTCTCCGGAGGAGGCCAAGAAACTCAAGAGCAAAGCCATCCTGCAGGACGCGGCGTCGATCAGCATCGCGGCCCTGGGCATCAAGGGCGCCATCTCGGAGCTCAAGGAGGCCCGGGAGCGGACGCACGAAGTCAAGCAGTTCCAGGAGGAGAAGGCCAAGCGCCACGAGAGGCGGCTGCAGCGCCTGCAACGTGCCAACGAAGGGTATTCGAGATCGCGGGCTGACAATTGGGAACCGGCAGCTCCTCCGCGCTCAAGCCGGTTCGATGACGGGCCCCGTTATGTCGATGGGAACCCTTATTCGGCCGCCTTGCCCGCTCCTCCTGTTGGCTACAGCAGGAGGTAAAAAAAAAAAAGAGGATGCTTATACCACACCAACCACGGCACGTATGAACGCCCTTTTTCCTTGCCACCGCATAGCCCTGCCCAGAAAAAAAAAAGAACCACATCATCCGTCTTTGGTCAGCATGTACAGAAAGATCCTCCTGTCGGGGGGCACTGTACAACACATACACAACGCACAACATATACACACATGCACATGAACTGGGGCAACTTTGCCGGACCTCCCGGCGGCGCCACCTTTTTTTCACGAATGATGACGACTTCACGATCACGCAAAAAGATTTTGGTTGCTTTTTTTGGAGTTATCTAGGGCTGGTTTATATGGCTGTTTCTTGAGGCTCTGGAGAAAAGACAATCTTGGGTTCAGAAATTGGGCTGAGGTCAACTGTCCACGATCTTGGTTGCCCCATGTTCCGCTTCTCCAGAAAGAAAAAACGAGAAGAGCCTCTTCCTGGTGTTGCGGAAACCTCCGCAATCCCATCCAGGAACGCTCACTTGTGCCAACGGGTGTACGCAGCCGTCTCAGATAGACTTACGCGACCTTTTTTGCCTCCCCACCCGCCCTTTTTTTTCTTCTTGCTTTTGCTCTGCTCGAATTACACGAAACACTTGGGTTTCCCTGTCCTCTTTTTTTTTTTTTTGAGAATCCCTTTTTTTTACTACCATTTAACTGTGGGAGCGGTGTTGCTGATGTTTAACCTCCAACTCTCTTTGTGACAGACCGGCGCCGACGCCATGATTAAAGGAGGCCACGCCCTCCCCCCCATCCATGCATGCATGCATGCACCCATGCAGCTGGCCTATCCCGGAGTCCTGGTCCGCCCCTCCCCCCTGCTTTCGACTGGGTCAGAGACGGCAGGACTGTGTCCAAAAGTAAAAGGCTAGTTCACGATCTGATCGGAGAGAGAAGGGGTGTGAGTTGGGTTTGTCCCCGGGAGTGTGGCTTGTGTGCTAGCGGGCGGATCACGAAAAGGGGGTGTGGTTCCAACGAAAGAAACGCGATATGCAAGCGCCGAAACGGAACGATCTAGATAGAGAGATAGATAGGATGCCGCGGGAGGAGGGTGGAGCGGGTGCGGTGCGAGAAAAAAAAAGTGGTAAAAGAGAGAACGTGGAACGAGAACGTGGATTGAGGAGATGGAGAGGGGTGTGCGTGTGTGTGTGGTTGTTGGGTGTGGGTTACAAGGATCGGGATTGTGGCATGACTATTTTCTTCTGTGTCTCTTTTCGTCGTTACGAGATATCTGGGTTCTCTTTTTCTTTTCTCTTGTTCTTGTCTTCTCTTTTTTACCTTATGACTGAACGCAACGTAGGTACGGCTTGCCTCCTTTTTTTCTTTATTAGCTTAGTTTTTAAAACTTGATGACATGACCTGAATAGGGAATGGGGGATAGGAAAGGGGAAGTTCTTTTTGCATTGGCTAACATTTGATACGAGGAGGGAGGAGAGCTAGAAATCAGAGTTGGGTTCTTTTGTTATCCTCCTTGGGGAGACGCCCGCCGTCTCGCTCTGTCCGTGACTGGCTGGCCCCCCCTCTTGCGCTACCTACGTGTGTCCACTCAGCTAAGGACTGCAGGGTAGAAAGGGAAGTATGAGACGTTAAACGGTGCAAAATGCTGTCCGTCCGGGTGGACGGCAATTTGCAGACGGGAATGGCGTTACGGTCTCGGGGGGTGATGTTTGATATAGACCGGGATGTTGGGGCTGCAGTAGGCTACTGCAGTGTTGTCTGTAAGTGATGACGACGGTACAGAAGGGAAATAAGTCGTTGACGAGAGGGAAAGAGAGGGAGGGGTGTGCGTCCTGTGGGCATAGTTATGGCCATTAGTCAATGATATGCAGGAATGAATACGTGCCCCCTTGCAACGGGGAAGCTCCCCTCTCGACGCAACTTGTGCTTCGTGCCGTGCAGTAGTGCCCTTACTTTCTTGCATTCGGAGGGGATTTGCGTACGTAATGTGCGTGCGGCCGGCCGGCCACTGGCAGATTATGTACGCTCAGACTTGTTTTGTAGACGGACGGACGGACGGACAGACAAGTAGACAAGCAGACAGAGAGATGGGATGGAATCCAGAACGCCCGTTTTGTCTTGGTGAGCTATCGTCCGTACCAATAGTATCAACAAACGCCCGGATCATTTGTCGTCTGGTTTTGTGCAAAGTCCTGACCGTTTTTCTTTTCTCGTGCACCCCGTTCCCGATTTCTTGGGCGGGTCATGATGTCATGGCGCCCGTTTCTTCACGGTTTAGTGCACATTCCCAGCCACTCGAACGGTGGCTTCCGTGCCTATTGAAAAGCGATTTGTGATGTGTGTAGCTAGCTGCAGTACAAGTGCCGAAATCTGAACCACGGAGGTAACAAGAGAGCCCAGCCACTGACGGAGAGAAAAGAGAATGTGGTCTAGAAAAGAAGGGGGGGGGGCGGCCGAGTGTCATGGCCTGCCAAGGAGGGGGGAACGATACGATCCGCATCCGGCGAGACATGGTGTGGGAAAAAGCTTAGCATTCTTGGCTCCAGTTACACGCCAAACGTCACTATCAGAGTTAATGAGACCCCCCTGCGTGTGTGTGGAAGAGATCGGAGTACGTCCAATGTGTATATTGATATTGATGGACTGGCCGGAAGCGCTCGGGTCGGTGAGTCCATCTTGTGTGCCGTGACCAAACAGAACTCTGCGATACGTCACCATGCTAAAGCACGACCGGTCCCCCCTTCGGGCTTCCATCTGCTCTTCAGAGCCGGGAATACTGGCTCCAGGGAATGGCGGTGTGAAAGGGCTTCGGGAACCGGCTCTTGCAAGGTGTGCCCATAGTTGCCTACTCTGCACTATAACTCATCGTCAGGTGGTTGTTCACAGCAGGCCCCCCTTCCATCCTGCAAGGGATGCATGGTGCGCGACAGCCGGAAGGGTGAGTCTATGCAGGCCAGCTCGGATCACCCTTATCATGCATGCAGGAGAAGAGAGCACAGACCAGCACTTCCACACGGCGTGGGAGCTTGTGCACCAGTTTGAAGCCCTGAGTTCCATTCTTTCCTCTCGCTCTGGACTCCGCAGGACCCGGGTACGAATACATTGGCACATTTCTTTTTTCTTCTGGCAAAACCGCCCAATAGTACCAAACGGCATACAACAGATCATGACTAGACCTATTCCGCCGCGCCATCGCCATCGCCATCGCCATCGCCATCGCCATCGCCATCGCCATCGCCTCCCCCTCCTCCTCCTCCTCCGGCAATGTTGCCGCCCGTCTGCTTCCAGGCCTGCGCCATGGCCAGCAGGTTCGACAGGTTCTTGGTCGACTGGTCGTCGGCGGGGAAGACGTAGTCGACGTACTCCTCCCACGTGTCGTCCTCGAGCCGGCGCTTCTTCTTGGTCTTGCGCGGCATCTGCCTCTGGACGCGGTCCACGTCCCCGGCGCCGCCGTGCGTCTTCTCAAACGCCAGCCACGCGTTGAGGATCGCCACGCGCTCCGCCTTGGCCTCGCGGTCCTTGAAGACCTGGTGCGCCCGCTCGAACACGCGCCGCGCGCGGGCCTTGGCCTCCTCGCTGACCGGCGCCTCCTCCTCCTCCTCCTCCTCCTCCTGCTCCTCCCCGGCTTCCTCCTCGGGGATGTTGATCTCGAACTGCGCGTAGCTGATCCACACCTTGGGGTGGTTGGCCTTCTCGAGCAGGCGCTCGTACAGCTCGCGCGTCTTCTCGTACTCGCCCTCCTCCTCCTCAAAGTCGATGTAGGCCTTCCACACCATCTCGGGCATGTCGAGCACGGGCTGCGCGACGCCCATGTCGAGGATGGCGCGCGCGCGGTCGAGGTCGTCGAGCCCGCGCTCCAGCTCGGCCCACCGGATCCACGTGTCGCAGTTGGCCGGGTTGTAGATGACGTGCTTCTCGTAGAGCGTGCGGCACCGCTCAAACTCGTACAGCTTCTGCTCCAGCTCGATGTACCCCCGGAAGATGCGGTCCTTGGGGCACATGCCGATGGCGCGCCCGAGCGTCTTGCGCGCCGCGGTCAGCTGGCCCTGCCGCACCTCGAACAAGGCCTTGTGCAGCCAGACCTTGGCGAAGGTGAACTTCTTGTGCGGGACCAGGCCGAGGCACGTGTCGTAGATCTGGCGCGCGCGCTCGGGGTTCCTGGCCTCCGTCTCCTCCCAGATGGCGTAGAACACCCAGAGGTAGATGTACCGCCTCCAGTGCCGCTTCTCTTGCGTGGGCGGGATCTGCGCCACGGCCTTCTCGTAGACGTCGCGGATGCGGTCGGCGTTGCCCGACGTCTCCTCGAGGCGCGCGTAGTCGAACCATATGTCGTAGTTCTTGGGGTTCTCCTTGACCTGCTCCTCATAATGCCTCCTCCGCTTCGACAAGACGACGTCTTCGACGCCTTCCTGGTCGCCGAACTGCTTCTCGAACGTCGTGTACTCCTTGTGCAGCACCATAGACTTGGACCGCGGCAGGTTGTCCAAGCCGAACTTGTAGATGGCCCTGGCGCGGTCGTAGTCCTTGAGCTTGGCCTCGTAGCGGGCGTAGGCGATGAAGAGCTTCTCCTCGACCAGGTCGTCGCCCAGCGATTCGATGGCCGTCTGGAACACCTCCCTCACCAGGTCGCTGGTGCCCTCTTCCTCCTCGAACCTGGCCCACTTGATCCAATTCCTGGGCTCGGGGTGGATCGTGGTGAACGCGCGGTAGATCTCTCTCGCCCTCTCCACCTCGCCGTATCTCCTCTCCATGCGGATGTACGCGCCCCAGGCGGCCTCGTCGGGCTGCCACTGCATCCAGCGGTCGAAGACCTGGCGCGTGCCGGGCACGTTGCCGAGCATCTCCTCGACAAAGACAAACTTGTACCACAGCTTGTCGACACGGGGCAGGCGGGTGACCGCGCGGTCGAGCAGGTTGCGCGCATGGTTGATGTTGCGGTTCTTGATCTCGGCCTCGACGTAGCGGATCCAGAGCTGGACGTTGTTGGGGTGGACGTCGAGCGCGCGCTCAAAGACGGAGCGCGCGCGCGCAAACTCCTTCTGGTCGAGCTCGAACTGGGCGTACTGCAGCCAGTTCTTGAGCGAGACGCGGTTGCGCCGCACGTAGTCCTCGTACTCGCGCCGCTTGCGGCCCTGGTACTCGTGCAGCTCCTCGAGGTCGGCGAACCGCTGCGAGGGCGCCTCGAGCGCGACCTCCTGCCGGTCGACGGCCTCGCGCAGCAGCTGCTCGGCCGAGATCTGCACCGGCGCGGCCGCCTTGTTCTTGACCCTCGGGGGTCCCCTCGACTCCATGGTTGCTTTGTGTTGTTTGTTTGACACTTGGGACCAAGCCTGGGGTTCGGGAGTTTTGAACTGTTTGGCGCAAGTCTGAGCGTCAACTTCGACTTTTTGGTGGCTAGAGTCTTGGATGGTCTGTGCGCCAGTCGTTATCTGCTATCAATATTCACCAAAAAAAAAAACCCGCTAGTCCGCATTTAGCACTATCAATGATACGGTGGATTTAGCTGTCACTTTTATTTTGCGCCTAGGCTGCGGTACCTCTCTTGTCGCTTTTCCTTGCCAGCTTCGACACTGCGACGCGACAAACCAACCACGACGTACCTCGTCAACGCAAAACACCGTCACCATGTCGACCCTCGTAGACGAGCTGCTACAGGACTTCGAAGACTCCGGCTCCGAGGCCGGAGACAAGCGCGAGGATGAGGACGTGTTCGGCGACGAGGAGGGCGCCGATCTCATGGGCCTGGGAGATGGCGCCAACGGCGACGTCGAGATGGACGCGGGGGACCTGGCGAGCTCAGACGAAGACGAAGAGATGGGCGGCATAGACCGGTCAGAAGACGCCGAGGACACCAAGGCCAAGGTCGAGAAGATGCAGCTCGGCGGCGTCAGCGACGTCCGCAGCGTCGCAAATCTCATGAAGACTCTGGACCCCGTCCTAGAGGTTAGTACATCCCCGCTTCCCATACAAGCTACCGAGAGGTGCTCTCTGCGGGATGAAGTGTTTACATCTCCTGTTACGCGCAACAGCCCTGACAATATGGCCCGGATTCTACAGAAAATCGCACAATACAAAGCGCAGCCCCTCGAGGCGCAAACAGCAAACATCGGCAACGTCGAGGACCACCCCGAATACCACCTCCTGACCCAGTCGAACGGCCTGTCAACATCCATAGACAGCGAGATCGTGCTGGTGCACAAGTGGATCAGAGACCACTACTCGACACGGTTCCCGGAGCTCGAGACCCTCATCACGAACCCGCTCGAGTATGCAAAGGCCGTGGCGATCCTGGGCAACGGCCCCATGGACTCGGAGACCATGAAGAAGATGCCACAGTCCAAAGACAACCCGCTAGGGGTCTCACTCGAAGCAGTCCTCGACAGGCCAACTCTGATGATCGTCACCACGAGCGCCATCACGACAAGAGGCCAGGAGATGCCGCAGGAGGAGCTCGACAGGGTCGTCCTGGGCTGCCAGATGATCATCAAGCTCGACAAGGCCAAGAAGACCCTGACGGAATACGTCCAGTCCCGGATGAACATCTTCGCCCCGAACCTCACAGCCCTGATCGGGTCGCTGACGGCGGCCCAGCTCCTCAACGCGGCGGGCGGCCTCACGGGCCTCTGCAAGACGCCCGCCTGCAACATCGCCGCCTGGGGCTCCAAGCGCAACGCCGGCGCCGGCGCCCTGGCCACCAACATCGGCATCCGCCAGCAGGGGTTTCTCTACCAGTCGCCCATCATCCGCGGCGTGCCCGCCGACATGAAGAAGCAGGCCATGCGCATCGTCTCGGCCAAGCTCATCCTCGCCGCCCGCGTCGACCGCATCCACTCCTCCCCCGACGGCCGCGAGGGCGAGGAGCTGCGCGAGGCCTGCCTCGAGCGCCTCGACAAGCTGCAGGAGAAGCCGCTGAACAAGGGCCAGCGCGCCCTGCCCGCCCCGGACGACAAGCCGGCGCGCAAGCGCGGCGGCCGCCGCGCCCGCAAGGCCAAGGAGGCCGTCGCCATGACGGAGCTGCGCAAGGCGCAGAACCGCATGGCCTTTGGGAAGGAGGAGAAGGAGGTCGGGTACGGCACGGGCGACTCGACGGCCGGGATGGGCATGATCGGCGCCGCGCAGGACGGGCGCATTCGCGGCGCGCAGATCGACCAGCGCACGCGCGCGCGGCTGAGCCAGAAGAGCAAAGGGTGGGGCGGCATCGCGTCCTCGGTCGGCGGCGGCGGCGGCGGCGCGGCGAGCTCGCTGCGCGGGTTCGGGCAGGCGGCGGCGGGGAACCTCGACCTGCGGGGCAAGGGGCTGCGGGCGTCGGGCGTCGGCACGACGGTCGGCAACGGGGGCACCATGTCTTCGCTCTCGTTCACGCCCGTGCAAGGGCTGGAGCTGGTCGACCCCAGCATGCGGGCCGAGCTCAACCGCAAGAGGAAGGCCGAGGAGGACAGGTGGTTCAAGGGCGGCACTTTCACGCAGGCTGGTGGCGGTGGCGGTGGCATCAGTAGTAGTAATGGCGGCGTGTTCAAGAAGCCGGATCTGCCGCCGAGCAAGAGGGTCGACACTGGCGCGACCAAGTCTGCCAAGTAGAAGGCAGGTGGTTCAGATTGACGTTGTAATATCATCAATGTGGGAATATTTCAGCACTTGGCGTCCAAGAAGGGGGGGGTTTTCTAAAAAGGGAGATTGTCTGGCATTCCCCCTATATAGCATTTTTTGGGAGTCTTGAGATTTACACACCATGGAAATTGTTACTGATGTATTTACAAATACTATGTTCGAGTGATTCGGGAGATATCGCGCTTGTCAGAACAGAGTGTTGATCATTAGTCGTCATTAAGCTCTACCAAAGCAAGAAGCACCATATCTATCTATTGAAGGAATGTGTATCCCATCACCGATCTCCCCCTTTGAGTCATATCAAGCCCTCTTTAAAACCAATACCCATGTCGTTTCCTATGCCATGAATCCCCCCAATAAAAAACAACTCTCCAACTGTCTCTAAATCTTCCACCCATCAAGCTCCCTCTCCTCCTCGGCCTCGGCCCTCCGCGCCTCCCGGTGGGCCCGCGACCCGGGCCAGCACATGCGCTCGACGAGCCAGCGCCGCGCCCGCTCGGCCATCTCCTCGAAGCCGTCGGTCAGCAGCTCGAGCACGCGGCCGAAGAAGAAGAGCGCGACGAAGGAGACGGAGGCGATGACGGCGAAGCTGACCCAGTAGGTCCGGGGCGTGTAGTTGTCCATGAGGTGCGGGATCTCGACGGAGAAGTAGCTCGTCATGAAGGTCACGGGCAGGAAGAGGACGGACAGCTTGGCGAGCAGGGTGGCGCTGCGGGTCAGGCGGGCGGTGGCGCGGGAGTCGCGCTCGCGGGTGAGGTTGAACCACTGCGGCGGAGGGGTGTTAGTAACGTTGAATTCATCGAGGTAGAAAAAGGGGGGTGGGTGCGTTTCAGAGCAACTGCGGGATAGAAACGTACAGTTTCTTGCAGAGATTGCTGCTCGCCGAGGGCCTCTTGGATGGCGTCGAGCATCAGAGACTGGATGCGGTCCTTGAGCCGTTCGAAGCGGTCTCTAGCCTTCTTTGACAGTCTCCCCTTGGCATCTCCTCTGTTGCCGTCTCCTTTGGCATCGCCGTTGAGGTCAAACTCGGCCAAGAGTCGCTCGATGAGGGTCTTGTAGCTCGCGAAGAGCTGCTTGAGCTGGGACAGTTCTCGCTTCAGGGTATAGATCTTGTTGATGATCCCCTTGGTATCATGCTGTCGCTGCTTCACGAGAGAGTCAGAAACTCATTCGACTTTTGCGAGGCAAGAGGAACCCTCAAGCTACTCACATGGTCACTGAGGACGACCTTCCTCAGAGATTCCAAGGTCTTCTTGGAGCTGTTGACAATATCTACAGCCGCCGAGTAGTCCTCGAATAGATAGTAGAACAGGTTGCTCGATCCTTCGACCCCGAGCGCCGCCGGGTTATCGGCGTCGTCCCGCAGAGAGAAGCGGACGTTGCTGAGCTGGGTGAAGGCGATCTTCTCTTTCTGTGAAGCGTTTTTGGACAGCTGTTTGAGGACTTTGAGGGTGTTTGATCTCATGTATTTGAGCTCGTCTTTTCGCCACTGATGAATGCTTTCGCCTTCAGGTACCGCGTCGTAGGTGGCAGCTTCGTGGAAGGATATGACAGTATCTGCCATCGAATCAGCATGTGTTCTCGTAGCCCTCACTCAGACGTTGCGACGCACTATCATTGCAGAGAACGAACCAGGACCAGTGCTTGGGTGGGACAAGGCTTCCTTCCTTCTTCTCGTGACCCTTGGCCGTGAACTTCGGCCGCTGGTGCAGCCAGTTTGCTCCAAGGCAGATGACTGTGTCGATCGTTAGCTGGGAATGTCTGGCAGACTGTGGGCAATTCGCCTTACAAGCTTGGTCTGGATCGATGGAAGTATAGTTGAGGGAACTCTGCATGAGATGAAACGTTGCCGCGTCTTCCTCCGTTGTACGGCTCATCAGCATCTCCGCCATCTTGTTCTGTTCTTTCTGTTCAGGTTGCTGGACAGCGCCATTTGCACCCTGCTCCAAGTCTCGCCGACTTCTTGAGAAAGACGGTCTACCAAGCCGGTGTGTTGGTTCGGGTGCCTTGGGACGGTTGTCTTTCATCATGTCCCACATCACGATGCTCATCTTCAGGCGTGCGGAGAAGCCATATCTATCTGCCAAGAGGCTTACGGCCTCCATTTGCTTTCCAGGGTTCCAGATATTACTGTGGAATGTCAATGACTGTCGTCAAAGTCGAGCCCATGGTGATCCAAGAGTACTTACATCCAGCGGATAGGCGGGTCCTCCTCGCGTGAGCGAGCCTTGTCAATGTAGAACTCGATCTCGCTGGCGTCCAGGTCCGTGGCGATCTCGGCCTTCTGCGGCCCAAACTGGACGACAAAGTTCCGGGCGTGCTCGTTCGCGCCATGCACCTTGACGTCTTCATAGACCTCGGTATTGTCAAAGTCAAGGAACCTCTTGCGCAGCATGTCTTCAGTCAGCGTAGGCGCCGCAGGAGGCGCTGCAGGCTGGAGCTGTGCCGGGTTTGCCATATCCGTCTGGTGTTGCAAGACAGCCTTTGCTCAATGGGGTATCTCAGGTCCGTGTGATGCATCCAAATAACTACACACAACCAACGAACCAACAGGTTTTATAGCAGAGAGAGAGAAAAGAAGGCAACAAGGCGTATCCTGCGGCTCAAAGATGCTGCGCCCCCTTATGAAATCGGTGCGCATCTGCGCAAGGCTGTGGCAGCGAGATGCTTTCGCCGTCATTTCCTCTTGACGCCTTCTCCGAGACGAGACGCCCTCTTCGCTGACTGGCTGCTCCGTGTACAACCCCTGCTGGCCAAGAGAAACATCACTGGTCACCCCCAGGCAGCTGAACGCTAGGGGACACCCGTTTTAACCTCCCTGTAAGCGCGCCTGTGGGGGCCAAAAAGTCTCCATGGCTGGCTGTGATTCCCCAGATGTCATGAGTTGGCTCATCAGTTCAGCAAATGAAAGAGAGGTCTTTCATCCAGAAGCGCAGTGGCGGGGCCGGAGAGCCGAACGGCTACACTGACTCTACACTTGGTGCTGGCTACCTAGGTATTGACAGACGATACGGACGGCCTATTCGTAGTCCTTGCAGAAACACAAGCATACAGCGGCTTACACGTTTTCGCATGGCACCACTCACTTGATCGCAACTCGCGAGGCACAGCTTGTTCAGTGGGCCGGGACGCTAAGTTGAGTGCAGGTCATGACTTGGCAACGGTGCTATGTCGGAGACCGAGATCGTGGTCAAAGAAAACATCTCGAGGAGAACGGACAAGCAGGTCGAGGGGGATGGGAAACTCGGATACAAGTACCCACATGCTCCCGTCCAAATTTGCGTCCCCGATGTTGACTCAACGCCTATCTTGCGACGCGATATGGGGGACGTTGTCACCTCAATTGACTTGGTGACTCAGAACGCTCATCTCCGAAAGGTATAATAAGGGCCGCGCAAGACGACGGCTAGAACAATCCCATCCGCCATGGCACAAACGGCAAATTGGCATTCGAGCTCGAGCGTGTTCTCGGGGAATGGTCAACGGCATGCTCAGACTGTGCACACAATCGCCCTTCAGAGACGCCAGACTTTTGCGCGATGCAGTGGCATATTGAAGTCATACCACGCGACGAACAGGGGCAGGCATTCTACCTGGACAAGTACAAGAATTTTAGGCTCATGGCACTCCGCGTGAACCCAGGGTGTAAGTCTGAAACACTGTTGGCTCATGGTGTAGCACTGCAGTGCGTCCCAGTGGCTGGTTTCAAGAGCACAGACAGGCAGCATGGAGACGCTGACACAAGCCAACTTCTCTCAGCTTTCGGTTCGACACTCGCGCGAGAACTCGCATTCGACGACAGCGTCTGGCTGTCACGGCTGGCCAACCCTGTCAATGCATTCTTTGTTGCTGTCCGCGACACGCCAGAGAACAGCCGCGACATCCTTTCGTCGGTCTGCGTCAGGGGACCGCTGCCGCCTCCCGAGGACGACGAGGGCTACCTGCCCATGGTCTTGAGGAAGCCGTCCAAGGAGTACAGCGACAAGGAGGACCCATTGCTGTTCATGATTAACGGCATCTGGACGCTGCCCGAGGCACGGCGAATGGGCGTTGCGCTTGCACTCAACGAAGCCGCCAAGGAGCACGCGCTGAGCGAGACTCGCGCACGAGGGCGGAGCGAGTGCGTCCTGACGGTCGAGGCGTACCTGAGCAACCTGCCAGCGGTGTCCTTCTACCAGAGGGCGGGCTATTCTGTTTGCGGGCTGGCAGGAGGGGCCGAGATTGTTAGATTGAAGCTGCACTTGTCTGCTTCGGGCGCGAGCAGCAGCCAATAGTATCCACTAGAGGGTGATGAAAATTGAGGTATGGGGATGACATGGCCGTTTTTGCATGTTTGAGGATGTCTTGGATCGAATGAGAAGAAGTGTCTAGGTGTGGCTGAAGCGCATTCCGTATCAATCGACATGTTGAGAGTTTCTGGTAGTGGCCGGTTGGGCTGCTCTCTAGTCGGATTTTGGGGCACCTAACGTCCACTAGAAACAGCAGTTCAGCTGCCCAGCTCTGTGGGGACGCCAGCTGTCAAGAAGTATTTTGGTACCTAAAAACGCCATTGGAAGGAGCGCCGACAAGCTGCTTCTCATCCCTGCTTCATCCTCATTGACATCGTCGACGAGGCCAGGGCATTATGGCCTTTCAAATGAACTACATACAATGAAGAGGAAAAGGTAAACAACAACAGCACCCTCCTCGAGCCACTTTCGGAAGCGATGCGGCACGAAGCGGCCATGTGTAGACATGCAATGCCTCCAGCCACATGATCGTCAGTCAATCCCTAGCATTGGAATGCAGGCCCAGTAATCCGGCCTCCCCCTTCACCCAAGGGCACGCTCAAAAAGGTAACGATGTCTGCTCGCCCAATCCCTCTCGCGAAGGGGTCTCTTGGCCTGCACATTCAATTCATCCCTTTTGCAAAAAGATCTCTGTTGTCATCTTTCTGCTCGTCCCTTCTTTCTTTTGCTGGCAAAACCCCGCGGATGCGAGCAGTGCCTCGTTCTCTATCACATTCAAGACGACGACGACGACGAGGCTTCAGATCGCAGTGCGACAAATCGCTTTGTCTACAGGAAACCCACGAAACGGCATTTTCGGCTTTGTGGAACTTTGGCAGGGCACACGAACGTCATACACTGGGCACGTTGAGTGTCTACCTGAGTGTCTATCTGCCTGCTCAGCACCTGGCTGCTGCAAGTCGCAGCATCCAGATCAAACTTCACCCATCCCATACTACCTCAAGACTCGCCAGTCAAGCATGGCGACCTCGTTACCTCTTCAGCAGCTCCTTCTCGCTGTTCTGCTATTCTTCTCTCCTCTGGCGCAAGCCGCAGATCGTCAGGGGGCTCCGGCGCATCAAGTACAAGCTCGCGCTGGCGGTGAATTCATCTTTCCTGGCTGTGTGAACGATTGCGTCGGCGGCTCCGGATGTGGCACGAATGATCCGCAGTGCATGTGCAAGGCCGCACGGGGAAACCTCCTCGAGGCCGTCGTCACCTGCATGTCCAAGCACTGCACCAGCCAGATCGCTACCGCCAAGATCGACTTCCTGGCCATCATGGTGACCGACTGCGCGCAAGAGAGCTTGCCCATCCCATCCGCCAAGATCCAGTCCGCCCAGCGGCTTGCCGACCAGCTGGCGGCCGGCGCCTCCTCTGCTGCTGCAGACACGCCCTCGACTTCAGCTACGTTGCAGACGGCGCAGATGGCCTCCACGGCCATTCTGAGGTTGCCATCCACGAGTAGCGCACAGGCTGCACAGTCCTCGGCCTCACCCGCCAGGTCTTCCGTCAGTTCCGCTGCGCAGTCCTCCACGAACGGGCCCGCGTCAACCAGTGAGGATGCAGATACGGCAACGACCTCTTCTAAAGCCGCGGCGACGCCCTCTACTACGTTGGAAGTAGCGGTCACCAGCAAGGCTGCTGCCAAGACGGACGCGCAGAAGTCAACATCGACCAAGAACACCAAGACAGACCCGACGGACACGACTCCCTTCGGAGCCAGTGAGGGCTCTATCAAAGCGCCACTTGGCTGGTTGTCTCTGGCTGTTCCTCTGCTTGCCACTCTAGCAGTACTAAGATGACCAAACATGCGGACAAGCTATGACGATTGAATATGGTGAAACGAGAGCATACATACAGCGACGATCAGTACGTGGGATATGCATATCACGGAGAATCTTCTAAGAATGTACGATGATCTGGAGGGGCGGCGCCTAAAGAGGAGCGCGAGGATTGTTTGTGATATCCCATTTTGAAATTACATTTCTGTCTTGGTAGCTTGGTCTTCATAAGTTGTTTAAGTAATAAAGCGTGTTGAATGCACACTGTTTTGCCCGAATCCCGTCTCTCCCTCCCTTGGCGCAATCCTCGTCGAGTCTCGAATCTTTTGTTCAATCCGGTCTGGTGTCTGAAATAAAAGAACCTACCGGACTTTTCACCGTCCGCCAGCCTTTGTACTAGCACAACCTTGTCGAAATATGCCTGTGTGGTCTCCCGTTCTGATATCTCTTATCACAGCATCACGGCACACATGACGCCCAGGCCCAGCACCGACAGGACAGCCCCGCCGGCATTGGAGTTGACAAAGCCCATCGCCGCGCTGCGCACGGGCGCGCCGCTCGGCGTCGCCGTCGAGCCCGGGGCGCCCGTCCGGGTCGCGCTGGTGCTCGCCGTCGCGCTGCCGCCTCCCCGGTTCCCACCAGCGCCACCACCACCACCACCACCACGCGTCGAATTGCCGCCGGTGTTGCCGCCGCCCCTGTTGCCGCCGCCGCCGGTGGTCGAGTTGCCGCCCCTGTTGCCTCCGGTAGTGCCGCCGGGCGTCGTGGTCGAGTTACCCCTGGTAGCGCCGCCGGTGTTGCCGCCCCTGTTGCCTCCGGGGGTGGTGGTCGAGTTGCCCCTGTTGCCCCTGTTACCGCCGCCGCCGCCGGTGTTGCCGCGGGTGGAGTTGCCCTTGTTGCCGCCGTGGTGGGATGTGCGGACGGCTATCTCTGCGTAGCCTACGTAATCTGGGGGAGCGAAGTCCTGGTTTATGGGGTTAGCACACTTCTGTACGAGGGTTGTTGGTTGTTGGTTTTGTCTTACCTGGGCCACGGCCGAGGCGGCGAGGGTGAGGAAGACGATTGGGGTGAGCTTCATGTTTGGGCGGGTTGTATAGTTCTTCTGTTTCTCGGTTTTCTTTGATATGTTGGGCCTGCTTATTCACAAGTAGGTAAAACGCTTGTGGTTGAGAAGAAACCAAGATAGGAAAGAAAATATGAGTTAATACAACGTAGGAGCCTCGACCTGCGAGCGTCACTTGGAATGAAATGAAGAAAGAGGTTCTGGAGATCTCCCGAGATGAAGAGCAGTCGATCCAGAGATCATGGAGCGTCTCCCACCAGCTCTTAAATATTTAATGTCCATCATGCATGGCAGGAGGATCCCACCAGTAGCACAACTCCAGTCTTCCAGCCTTCCCACATCCTCTGATGAGCAAGTAGTGGGATGTTGATGCCATACATGACGGGGACAGCCCATGTGTCGATCCGTCGTGTCAATAGACAAGAATAGCACGACAAAGACAGGTTGATCCAAGTATGGCCGTTTCAAGACTGGGCTGTGTGGACTGGCTTGGCAGAGCTGAGACCTACGAGCTCGTGAACGGTCTAGACCTTGCACGCCTGCATCCCGGTTATCTGTCAGAAGAAGACTGGGGAACAGGGACGCGCGTTATGATCTTCGACGAGCGGTTCGCATGAACCAACAAGACAAGGCTCATCCAGACAGCGCGGCGCGCGAGGCGCCCACGCACGCCAAGACGATCAGCACCTGAGGAGGTGTAGCAAGATCGACAGTGAAGTGCCGATACCAAACCAGGTTGTGCTTTCGAAACAGCGTCATTGCAATAAAGTATCAAGCTTACCTCTCGCCAAAGCAGAGAAAACAGAGTTGGTCCGTGAGTTGCCAAGGCCAAGCAGCCTCGCCTCGAGGATTGTGACCACGGTCAGAAACGCCGGGCTCCACCCGCATACACGGCGGCGAAACAAGCTCAGTTGCAGAACAGTCATCAACATCGCTGTCGGTCCGTTAGCGGTGATTAAGACACTGTGCGCAGCACTGCTTCCAGGTTGGCAGGGCTCTGAACCTGAGAGCGGGACGGGATGTGTAGAAATGCAGGTGTTGTTCTGGGTTTGATGTCATTGCTCAGTCTGTTCTCGTTCTCTCTGCAGAGAAGATCATCTAGACCCTACATACACGACATTTGATGCGTCTAAAAGGGGCGACTATGCGTGACCATCAATGGAATACAATCTCGTCGCGAGGGTGCCGACCTCGTCGTTGGCGAAGTGCTCATTCATCTCATGGCCGAAGGAGAGAAGTTGATGAAACCGACAGACCAGAATTAATCATGATGGCAGCTTCATGTCTTTCTGTTCCCGCCGAGCACTAATGAAGTCTGAACAAGCACTCAAGTATGATTCAATTGAGGAACTGTTCTCATCCTGATCTCGACCATTCGTCTCTATAGAGAATGACTACTCCGGCACCCCCAGATGGCTACTCCGGCACCCCTGAGAAAAATACCTTTTTTACCACTAAAATCTCCACCATTTCAAAAGTCACTAAACCGGGGCCTTATCAATTAAGATCCACATCCCAGATAACCCAAACCGATCTATAACCCTAATACTAATCACTAACCCTAACCTCCTAACTGCTAACCCTAAGGTATCTTAATAAAAAATAGATCATCTTGAAGCTTGAAAGCTGAGCTTTCTAATGGTATTAATTTTGTTGAGAGATGTGTCTTGGTTTGTTTTGAGTTTTGAGAAATGTTGTTTGCCAAGGCGCTAATAGGGGTGCCGGAGTAGCCATCTGGGGGTGCCGGAGTAGTCATTCTCGTCTCTATATCATCGGCGGATCTTCCCGTTATGTACTGGAGATTCTAGTGTTGGCGGGGTCCTGATAATCGTGTGCATCAATTTGATGACTCAGCTTGCTCTGAGCGGGCAGTCAAAAAAAAGTCCAAAAAAGTGAATTAAGGAGCAACACGGATTCGAACCATGGACCTTGGGATGAAAGCTGCTGACTGCAATCTCACGCTACTACCACTGAGCTATTGCTCCTTTTGATTGGAAAGTGAACATTTTGATTCTATCATCAATAATCCGATTCCACCGGACCAATGTAGGTGCACCATATGGCGTGAAAATCCTTATCGGTTCGATAAGCCCAGAAATTTCCTGGCGATACCTGCTCTTGGCTTCAACTACCAAGCAACAGCTCTCCTTTCACCATACTGTGATCCGATTCTAGCCTCGAATTATTGATAAACCTCCTACTTACACATTAAAATTCAACCAATTATCCAAGGGCGGCTTCTGCTGCGCCAAAAATTCCTCACACAATGGCTCCCAGGAGACCAAATGCCAAAAAGGCAAAGTCAAAAGCTCGCTCACATACCGCCCCGCGTAAGGCCCAAGACAAGCCACCTCGACAGCTCCTCGCCGAAGCCACCGCCTTGCTCGAGCAGGCAGACGCCCTAGCAGCTCTGGCCGCGGCCAACGAGGCCCTCGAGGCCACAGGCGACGGCGGCGCGTACGCCGGCGCCGCCCTCACCCTGCTCGGCGAGATCCACCTCGAGCTCGGCGAGCCAGAGCAGGCGCGGGCGTTCCTCGAGCGCGCCGCGGCGGCCGACCCAGAGGGCGCCCTGCCCGACGAGAACGGTGGCGGGGTCGAAAAGTTCATGTACCTGGCGCAGCTGAGCGAGGATGGCGGGCACGACAGCGTGCGGTGGTTCAACCGCGGCGCCGAGGCGCTGCGCGCGCAGCTGCGCGGCCTCGAGGCCAAGCTGGCCACGACGCCCAAGGTGGCCTCCTCGCGCGCCGACCTCGAGACCCTGGCCGCCGACCGCAAGCGCAGGCTGGCCGACGTGCTGTGCGCCGTGGCCGAGGTGTACATGACGGACCTGAGCTGGGAGGCCGACTGCGAGGCCGCCTGCGAGGGGCTCGTCACGGAGGCGACGATGCTGGCGCCCGAGTCGGCGGACGTGTGGCAGACGGTGGCGAGCGTGCGCATCAGCCAGAGCAGGGAGGACGACGCGCGGGCGGCGCTGGGCCGCAGCCTCGAGGCCTGGCAGGCGCTGGCGCCGGACGACCCGTCCGTGCCGGCCTTCCCCATGCGCGTGGCGCTCGTGCGCCTGCTCATGACGGTCGGCCTGCTGGAGAAGGCGATCGAGGTTGTGGAGCGGCTGGTCAAGGAGGACGACCAGAGCGTCGAGGTGTGGTACCTCGGTGGGTACGGCCTGTTCCTTATCGGCGAGGCGCTCAAGAAGGCCGAGGAGGAGAAGAAGGGCGGTGACGACAGCAGTAGCAAGAATTGGGAGGAATTTTGGGTGTCGTCGCGGCGGTGGTTCCGCAAGTGCCTCAAGTTGTTTGGGCAGCAGATGTATGAGGATGACCGGTTGAGGGACCATGCGGTAGAGTGCCTTGATATGATTACCAAGGTGATTGGGGAGGCACCGGAGGAGGAAGATGGCGAAGAGGATGGTGATGAGTGGGAAGATGAGGAGGATGGGGATGGAGATGAGGAGATGGCCGAGTAAGCGCACTTCAATCTTTTGCTGGGTGGGTTTCGGATTCGTGCAAGCATGATGATGTGAATGATCGTCGTTGTCGCGATAAGGCATTTATACGGAGTTTTCGGGATGGACATAGAGAAAAGTAAAAGCGGGCAGTATCTGGGACAGCCATCCCAGAGTAGATGTTTGCTGCCAAATGCAGCGGGGTCTCGATTTGATATATTCGATCCTATATCTTTCGTAGACCGTTTTCCAAAACGCCTTGCAATGCAGTCATAAGCGGCTTGTCCGAGCCACAAAATCGCACCGACAGACAACAATTCCTAGGTTATGCCTCGACCTTGAGCCTCTCAACCTCCTCCACGGGCGCATCGCCGTCGTCCTCGGCGTCTTCCTCGCCCTTGCCCACCAGGCCGCGCTCCCAGAGCTGCCTGCCCGTCAGCCGCACGGGCTCCTTGATGCGCGCCTTCTTGAGCTCCGCCAGCCGCTCCTCCTCCTGCCGCGCGCGCTCCTCCTCCATCTCCTTGAGGAAGCCCTCGCGCCATTTGACAAACGTCTCGGGTGTGACCATGGTGCCGTGGAACTTCTTGTTCTCCTCGCGCTCGGCAGCCAGCAGGACCTCCTCGTGGCGCTTGGCCTCGTCCTGCTTGCGCGAGATGATGAGCTGCTCGGCGGCCTCCTTGAGCGCCGACACGAGCGTGAAGACCATGGCCATGCCGAGGTTCTCCTGCACCGTCTCGCGCAGGCCGTCGAGCAGCTCGGCGCGGTCGTCGCTCACGCTGAAGAGCGGGTGCGTCGAGGCGGCGTTTTGCGGGGGCAGGAGGTCCAGGTGCGGTTCCTTGTCCGGGTAGTCCTCTGGGTACTGCACGTCGAGAAGCATGGTCGGGGGTTCGTTGGCCTCGTCGTCGGGGATGTCGAGGGTTATTGATATCCTGTACTGGGTCTCGGAGACATCTGCGTAGGTGTTATTACGAATTCGTATTCCTCTTGTAGGGGTGTATAGCTGCGGCATAAAGCAAGGTGAAGAAAGCATACCTGTGATTTCGTCGGGGAAGATGGAGTCGAGGACTTCCCTCTCCTCGATCTGCTCTTCCCGGCCCATGGTGAACAGACTATTCAGGGGAGAATATTGAGAACAGTCCCAAGTCTATGCACAGAGCTCGTCGAGGATCAATCACTGGGGATTGTAGCTGCAATGTCTAAATGTCGGGCGAAGTGCTCAATGTCCCGAAGCTGTCGTCGCAAATAATCTCGAGGTACCTGAAGGTGGGGTTTAACCGCTCTAGAATTGACCCCTGTATGGCAGGATGATGAGTGGGGTGGTCACCGCCCGGCAGTAAACCCGCCTGATAAGAAAAAATCTGAAAAAGTTGATAGATACGACTTTTAGTGTGTCGGTGGGAGATTTCCGTTCCTGGTGCAATACAGTAACCCTTTCGTGTTCCTTTTCTAACCATTGAAGTCCCGACACACAAGATACAATGGCTACCAAGGGAATAAAGGCCGGCGACAAGCGGAAGGCCTCGGCGAACGAGAGGATCAGCTCCAAAGCGCCTCCCAAGAAGGCCAAGATTGACTCCAAGAGGAAGCCTTTGGAGGATGAGCTCTCAGACGACAATGGCGAGAGCAGTGGGTTTTCCGACTCCGAGGACGGCGGCGCTGCCTTGGAATCCCAGAGGAATGATGCCCAGAAGGAGAACAAGTTCAACAAGGCCAAGACTGGCGGCAATGACAACAATGGTAACCTCGACAGGAGTAAGTGCACCCATGACCTCCATTGAGACGATGTCCATCGAGACTAACACTGTTTTGCCAGCCGGAATGACGTCCAGAGAATCGCACGCCAAGCAGAAGCAACTAGCTCAGGAGCGCAAGGCAGCCAAGCCCCTAGCAGACGAGCTCGCCCGGACAAAGAAGCTGTGGGAGAAGCTGAGGAGGAAGTCTCATGTGCCCAAGGACGAGAGGCAGAAGCTCGTTGACGAGCTCTTCACCATCATCACCGGTCGCATCAAGGATTTTGTCCTGAAGCACGATGCCGTGCGGGCTGTGCAGACCGCCATCAAGTACTCGACCCCTGACCAAAGGAAGCAGATCGCCAAAGAGCTCCAGGGCACCTATGCGCAGCTCGCCGAGAGCAGGTATGCCAAGTTCTTGATCGGAAAGCTGCTTACCCAGAACGACAATGAAATCAGGGATATTATCATCCCCGAGTTCTATGGCAAGGTTCGCAAACTCATCAACCACCCGGAGGCATCCTGGATTCTCGACGACATCTACCGGGGCGTGGCAACGAAGCAACAGAAAGCTATCATGCTGCGCGAATGGTACGGGCCCGAGTTTTCTCTGTTCAAGCAGGGCGCCGGGGCTGCGGATGGCGAAGTCAGCCCCAATCTTTCACAAATTCTGGAGGCAGAACCGAGCAAGCGAGGTCCCATCCTGAAGCACCTGCTGGACATGGTCAACTCGCTCATCCAGAAGAAGATGACGGGCTTCACCATCCTGCACGATGCCATGCTTCAGTACTTTCTGAACCAGAAGGAGGGTACAGCGGAGCAGAAGGAGTTCATGGAGATCATCAAGGAGGACGAGAACGGTGACCTACTAAAGAACATGGCTTTTACCAAGTCTGGTGCCAGGTTAGTCTGCCTGCTCCTTGCCTATGGCAGTGCCAAGGACCGGAAGCAGATCTTGAAGGTATACAAGGATACGTTCCAGCTAATGTGCGGCGATCCGTACGGCCACGTTATCATCCTCGCTGCTTACGACTTGATCGACGACACCGTTCTTACTTCCAAGACCATCTTCCCCGAAATTCTCGGCAAGAATGAGGCGAAGGAAGTTGAGAATATCATCTTCTGTGCCAATGATCTGAACGCCAGGACCACTATTCTGTATCTTTTCGAGGGACCCTCCAAGGCGCTATTCCCTGCCAGCCATGCTCAGGATCTTGAGATCCTCAAGGAGATCCACGAGATCAGGAAGACTACCAGCAAGAAGGACCCGGAGACCAGGCGCAAGGAGCTCATCGCAGCGGCGTCATCACAGCTGCTTGCTGCCATTACTGCGTCGCCGAATGACCTGGTCTCCACCTCCTTCGGTTGCCAGATGATCACGGATGTGCTCCTGACTGCCAGTGGCGATAAGTCGGAGGCACTCGAGGCAGTCGCTGCTACCGCAGCAGGCGAGCCGGTCGCCCAAGAAGCTGACGAGACCTATACACGTGTGCACATCTCGCAGACCCCTCACGGCGGCAAGATGTTCAAGACTCTTATCGCAGGCGGCCGCTTCGACAAGGAGGCCGGCAAGGTCGTCACCGTCGACCCGCCCCTGAAGTTTGCCGACATCCTCTACCCCCACATCAAAGACCACGTCGTCTCGTGGGCCACGGGGCCGAGTTCGTTTGTGCCCTTGGCGCTGCTCGAGGCCGAGGACTTCTCCAGCAAGGCCGAGTTGAAGAAGACGCTGAGCAAGAGCAAGAAGGTGCTGCAGCAGGCCGCGACGGAGGAGACGGCGGAGCAGAAGGCCAAGAGGGAAGCGCACGAGAAGGAGGCTGAGAGCAAGGCGGGCAAGAAGGGCAAGAAGAAAGGCGCCAAGCAGGAGCGTGCTGTGGGCAATGCTGGGTCAAGGTTACTTTTGGAGAAGCTTTGAATTCCATGACTTGTGATCGGGCCGGATTGTTGCATCGGACTTAGCAGTTTATAGATTCTATTCCTCAATACCCAAATATGTCATGAAGGGAAGATTGGAAGTTTTGTTTCTCGATTGTGTCTTGGTGCCATTATCTTTGTGTCATTATGATCACAGGTGAATCCTGATTCTTGGAGCTAGAATTCCTCACCTCTTCGCCAAGGGTAGGCACATTTCATTTCGAGCCTTTCCATGCGGAGATGGGTGTTACAGATTGAGTAGCTGCTTTTGTTCTTGATGGTCATTGCAGTTCTCACTGCAGCATCCCGGGAGTTGAAGTGAAGGACCTTAGGGGTACCATGACTTCAATGCCCGGAGCTGAGTATGAGATAGCAAATCATATATTCTTGGCACAGATGCCATTCAGGATATAACAAGCCAGCGGATCATGGAACGAGCCGACAACTGACAAGTAATAAGGCATTGTTCCCTCGCTCTCAGGGGTTTTGCGGCTTCGCCACAGGCAAGATACGGCTAAGCAGTGAATCCTCAAGGGCTCTGTGAGGTCCATTGATATGAACTCGTGGCTGTACTACAGCATGAAATGCTCAAGGTGGCATGTGGCCTGGATACCTGCATAACATGGCCTACCATGAGATGGGATGACACTGTGCTCAGGCTCAGTACGAGCATATCCATTCCTGAACGACCTGAAAAGCATGCTGGGGTTTCTCAACCCTGTGAAAGAGGAGCTTGCTCTTCTCGCTGCCAGCTGCTTGTCGGACAACTCGCTATATGGAAGATCCTTTATTCACAGCATCAATTCTCTCACTACATTGAGGCACCAGATGATGACGCTTGGCCTGGCTGTGAGCAGGACAGTGACTCGGGCGTGGGCAGAGAGTGAAGATAAAAGGCAGCATCTCTGCCCCGAAAAATTCACATTTCCTCAATAACAAAATAGCGCCTGCCAGAAGCAAACAGCATACTCAGGGCAACCCCAGGTTCACTTGAGGACAACTTGGAACCGCCGCTGCACCTGCTATTCACATCTGCCCTGTGGGCAGCATTCTTATATCCATTCAGATTCAGAATCACCTTAGTCCCTAGAATTGTTCTAGGCTTCCAGCTCTTGCAGGGAAATCTCTTTTGAGGCTGCCCACCTCTGGTCACTTCATTGGTGACTCTTGTGAGAGATTTCTCTCCCTCTTTAGCCATTGTTGTGGCCATCATTTTCTCTCTCTCACTTTGATCCTCAAACCGACCCTCCTCGCCTCGATATCACTTCACGGCCTCATATCGTTTGTGGCCTTTGCCGGTGTGAAGAACCGTTGCAATGCGTATCCAGAATCTCAAAAGCCGCGACGACGGCGAGTGCAAAGGCGACCTCATTTACTACAGCTGCGTCAGGGAGAACTACAGCGGGTGCTGCCTCATCGACCCCTGTGATGCAAACAAGTACCCGACTGGCTGCCCGGCTGAGTACCAGTCCACAAAGAGGCCTGAGATCGATGACAGCTTCACCATGGGCCCTGGTGCCGTCCCCGTCGGGCCAGCCCCTCCCCCAAGCTCGGTCGGCGATCGGTGGCCCGGCACCACAACCATCGACGGCACGCTGATCATAACCATCACCACAACACCAGGCCACTCTCCCACCCGGACGCCGGCATCTACCACAACAACTACGTCCTTCAGCACCACCACGACGCCAGCAAGCTCGCAGCCCTCCTCAGGGTCGTCTCCCTCGACGGCCATACCCACCGCAAGCACGATGGTGGCTACCCCGTCGAGCACGCCCGGAGGAGGGCTCGTCTCCCACGGCGGCGCCGAGCAGGGCAAGACCGGCCTGGACACGGGCACGATCTACGGAATCATCGCCGGCGCCGCGGGCCTCGTCACCCTGATCGCCGTCCTCGCCGCCTTGCTCGTCATGCGCTACCGGAGGACGGACCGGCCGCAGGTTGGACCCGGCAACGAGGCGAGCCCCCTGGCGGCTGCCGCGCCCAACTCGCCGAGCGACGGGGGCGCAGCCGAGGAGAGGCTCAAGACGCCCCTCGAGCGCGATCCCAACCTGATCCTGCACTGGCGACCGCCGCTGCCGCCGCGTGCAATTACCGCTACCGAGGCCGGAGGCGGCGGCGGTGGTGGTCGAGAAATCCCGAGATCAGCGACTTTGCCCGCTCCTGCTCCTGCTGCTCCTCCTACCGCCGCGGTGGCAACTCCCCAGCCAGGACGCGTGTATAGGCCCTACAGACCACCGCTCCCGACGCGGCGCTCGGCCGACGACCACCCCTCGTACCCGCCTGTCGAGAACCACCACGTGCAGCGCAGCAGCAGCGGCGGCGGCGGCGCGGTCGTATCGCCCGTCTCTCCACCTGGCCAGTCCGCTCCAGGCAACTACGCCCCAGGGATGTCCGCCAACTGGGCGTCGGCCCCGAACAACTCTGCGACAGGCCCGAGCTCCCCAGGAGCAGGAGGAGCTACGTGCTCGTGCTCGTCGGCGGCCTCGCAGAACTCTCCGGCCGCCGCCGTGTACCAGACTGGTCAGAGCTTCGCGAGAGCTTCTTCCGGCAGCAGCGGTGATGGCGTCTCCCCTGCAGGGCCATCGTCGCTCATGATTCACGGGCCGTTTGCGGTCGCTACCACCAGCGAGTCTAGCGTTATTCCTCAGCGCCGGCGATCGCGCCCCCAGACCCGGTACGAGCTCGACGCCATTAACAACCAGATCTCGGAGCTCGACTCGCAGGTCGGCACTATCGCGCCCGTGACCACAGTCAAGGTGCTTCGCGCGACGCCGCGGGAGCTGGAGATCCGGGGTCCGCGCAGGAAGTCTGCAGAGGAGGCAGCGATGGTAGCATAGACATACATGAATGATACCCGAGAGAGGGCCTTGGTAGGGAAAATCAGTGATGGGTCCTCGTTGTTGTTCAGTGTCAATTCTTTCTGTCTTCTCGCCTTCAAAAGGGGGGGTATTCTAATACGAAATTGACGTGTGTGGAAATACGCCTTCCGTTTCTCCAGTCTTTTTGTCTTTGCCCTTTAGTTTATCCTGTACGCCAGCCATGCAGAAAACATAAACACACAAATTGGGATTCAAAGAAAAAAAAAGGAAAACTCCCTCTTGCCGGATGATTCGACCCCATGGTGCCATGCTGGTCTCTCTCAAGTCTCGGTTCCTTACGCCTCGATTTTCCCTTCCACCCAAGTCCCTCTCCCCGCCCCGTTTCTTGCGCCGTATCGTAAAAAAGTAAATCTTTGTGTGATTTGTCGACACCATGATGTAGATCGTCGAGAGTACACGAAAGATGTGTCGAAAGACGAAGTATGTAAAAGACGATTAGCCTTGCAACTTGCCCATCTCCTCCAGCAGCTCCTGCAAGTCGTCGTCGCCAATCTTGTCCGTGAGCGAGGGTATCAGCGTCTTGGCCTCCTCGACGCCGTCCGGGCAGAGCGAGCCCAGGGCCGCGCGCTCAAACTTGGTCAGCTCCGTGTGCGAGCCAAGCAAGCGCTCGACGGCCTCGACATTCTCCTTTTGCTTGAACCGAGCAAAAGCGTCGAGGTAGTCGATCGTCTTGGTGAGGATCCTAGTTTCGGGGAAATCTCGCTGTTAGCAAAAAGAACACCCCACTGCACCGGCGCATGGCGTCCGCCCGCAGCAGAGGAGCCGGGTTATCTCTCACTCGGTCTCGTTGACGTTCTTGCGGTCGTTGCGCCGCTTCGCGACGAGCGCGTTGATGACCAGCGACGCCTCGGAGAGGGAGAGCGTCTCTACACCCTCGAACTCGCCGAGCTTGAGGACGTTGCCGGCCTCCTCATCGCCTGGCGGCGGCGGCTTGGGCCTCGAGGTCGGCGCCTGGGGCATGCTGACGGTCGGGTGAGAAGGAGGGAGGTCGAGAGAAGGTGAGTCGGCGGCTCGATTGCCCCTGGCGTACGCAGCGCTTCAACAGCCTGCAGGGATAACAGCACGACAGCAAACCACCGGATAAATAGCGAGAAGAGGAGAGGTTGGCGCGCTCTCTGGAGTCCTGTTTGGCGAGAGAGACAGAGAAGAGGGAAGGTTGAACTTGTCTGAATTGCTTCCTCTGCCTGGCTGGTTGGGAGTTGAGTGCGGTTGGCCTAGCGCAGAACCAGGCACGTTTCTTTCAGCCTCTTTTAGATCTGGTGTGGAGGCTAGTGCGTCTAGTGTCAATTGGTCTTTGTGGTGCTCCATGCCGGAAAATTAGGTGCTGCCGGCATTCAGGCACCCTATGCATAGCGCGTCAGCTCGCTGTAGAGTTGCAACTGCCACGCCGTAACAAAGCCAATTCAGTGAGAGACACCGCTAAAAGCCGCCACGTCCTCCACTTCAAACACCAACCCACCTCCAAATCTCACATGAGAGGTTGTGATATCTCAAACAGAGGAAGCGCAAAGGGGGAAGTGTCTTTTTCACAAAGAACCATGAGCTAGAGGCCCACAATGTGAGTCGCATGAATGACTACACCCGAACTGATGAGCTGACTCTCACGCAGGACCGTCTTTACCCTCATCATCATCAACAAGGCCGGCGGCCTGATATACAACCGCACCTTTCATGAGGGCGGCCTCAACAAGCTCAGCACCAATGACTACCTCATCATAGCGGGCACCTTTCATGGGTATGTACATACCTCCCGGCCTTATCTATCTCTGATTTATTCTCCTTCTAACCCTCCCACCAGCGTCCACGCCATCACAGCCCGTCTCAATCCCCTCAAGAGCCAGCAGGCCGCCGCCGCCGCGCTGGCCCCAGTCGCGCCGGGCATGCCGCCCAACCGGCCCGAGCCGGCCTCGGGGCTCGAGGTCATGGAGACGGAGAACTTCCGGCTGCAGTGCTTCAACACGCTGACGGGCACCAAGTTCCTGCTCTTCACCGACACGGCGCAGGCCAACGTCGACGTGACCATCCGCCGCGTCTACGAGCTCTTCACCGACTACGTCATGAAGAACCCCTTCTACCAGTCCGAGATGCCCATCCGCTGCGACATGTTTGACCGCAAGCTCGGCTCGTACATCCGCGAGATCAACAATCGCTAGCATCGATCCGGCTTCGCTGGCGGCGGCGGCGTTGGCGGTGGCCTCGTCGGCGCGTTCTGGCGGCCCTTTCTCCTCTCTGCTGCTGGTGCTGCTGGTGCATCTGACGAAAATGATGCGGCGGCGGCCGAGGAAGTGTGGTCTGGCGAGTGTTCTGAGCATTCCTATTCCTCGTATTCGGAGATCTCGGCGACGAAGGAATGGTGGTGACGGAGTTCTTGGAGTTTCATCTTTTCATGCGTGGAAATTACTTATGAATACTTTCATTACGATTCAGGGCCTCTCCGTAGTTACAAATCAAGGCTGCCAAATTTGGGCAATGGATGTCATTATTCCCTGTTAACTCCTGCTACCAAGTGTCCGTGTCTATTAGTCTTACAGATGCTAATCTCTCTGACGATAACGAGCCTCGCAAGTGATGGGTACCAGTCTACTACGACGTATCCATCCTGTCGGCATCGTCCTTCTTATCCTTGGAACCGCTGCCGCTGGGCTGTCCGTCCTTATCGAGCAGCGCAGTCGACTCGTCGTCCTCCTTGACAGACTCCAGGCCAGACTTGCCGGCCGCTTCCGCATCCTCCTTGGCCTTCTTCTCTTGCCTCGCCTTCTCCTCCTCCATGGACATCCTCAGCGCCAGCGCCAGCTCGGGGTCGACAGACGGGTCAAAGTCGAACTCGCCAAAGTCGCCGCCGCCGCCGCCACCTCCCATGCCGCCGCCCATACCTCCAGATGCCGCGGCACCCTCGCCCATCAGGATCGGGGTGGAGATGAGCTGGTCGCTGAGAAGCTTGCCGCTCGGGGGGATGATGACCAGGTTGCTACCCTCGCCACCCTTGACCTTGTCGTTGAACGCGCGGAGCTTGGACTCGGTCTCGTCGTCGAGGTCGCCAAAGAGGACAAAGTCGACCGAGACGTTGTTCTTCTTGAGCTTGCCGGCGAGGGAGACGAGCGACTTCTCGTCTTCGGTGACGGGCGAGCACACAAAGACGATTATCCGGGTGCGCTGCGTCTTGTTCTGTCGGTGCTTCAGAGCGAGCTGTGAAAAGGTTCATGATTAGTATATTTGTTGGCTGACAGCGTAGGGGTAGGGCGCCAGCTTTTGAGACTCACATTGGCGACTTGGATGCTAGTGGCCAGGTGCGACGAGCCCCGGATCATCTTCCTCGTCCGGTGCAGGCCCTCGAGGATCTTGCCTTGGTCTGTCGTCAGGGTCACGAGCACCTCGGGGCCCTTGCCACCCATGCTCATCAGGCCGACTGCTGACTCTGGGTTGCCGCTGATGATGCTCTGGAAGATGATGCCGACGGCGTCGGCCTGGGCATCGAAGCGGTTGGGTGTGTAATCGCCGTTTCGACTGCTCTCGCTGTTGTCGACGACAACCATCACCGCTTCGAGAGGCATCTTGGCGGTTGTGTTGGAGGGGGCGAGGTCGGACGACGAGAGAGGAGAAACAGAACGCCGAAGTGACGGTCGAGGATTATGTGGTTCTCTCAAGAAGGATGAGAGCGCTGGCGGATTCGAATGCGTGTTGGAAGGTGATGAGCTGGAGGGTCTCTCGAAGGTGGATGGATTAGAAAGGCTTCAGAAGCTCCAGGTTGGCTGTCGTAAGGCGGATCAGCCTGGAGGCCACTGGGGGAGCTAAGGAGTGAGGTGCGGCTGCAAGTAGCGGTACTTTCGTTTGATCGCGAATTGGCGCTGCCAATGAGTAGTGCTACACTTGGTGAGTTTCGAGCTCTTTGTCGCAGCACAGACCACCTGAAATGCGCTCTGCTTGGCCCGCTGGCTAGCAGCTCTCCACTCTGACCATTGTTTACCTTCTCCAGTCCTGGCCACTCAGAGCGCATCAACAAGCACCCATTTGACGACATCCTCTGCATTTCATCAAGCTTGCATATCTGCATATCACCTTCAGAATCCAAGTCTCCAGCTCGACACTCACGATCCATTATCCAAAGGACACCAATTGACGAGAGTCAATTCTACAAAAATCAGCCTCGAATTCACGAGAGGGATATCTATAACAATGGCACCTCCACGCGGAAGGAAGAGAAAGTCAGACCAGTCGACGACGGAAGACGCGCCTAATATGGCCGGTCAAACAGTGCCTACCAAGTCCGGCAGCCCTTCGGAGAGTCCGAGGAAGAAGAGGAAGGTCGGCATCACGCTCGGCCAGAAGCAGGCTCTCATCGACAACCTCCAGCTCGAAAGTAGGCATCACGTACCGGGGTCTATCGTGATGATCTGATGCTGACAGAGTGCCCTCCAGTCACAGAACGTGCTCGCAAATTGCGAGCGCAGTATAACCTTCAGGCCCAGGGCCTCCGAACACGCATCGAGATACGCGTCAACCGTATCCCCATGGCCCTCCGCAAGGCCAAGATGGGCGACCTGCTGGACAAATACTCAAACGACCAAAACAACAAACCTTCCGCCACCTCTTCGGCGGCAACTGCCGCGCTCATCTCCAGGCCTCCACCGGTCCCCGAGAAGGACTATGCACCAGCGCGTCATGCTGCTGCTGCCAAGGCTGCTCCCGCACCGGCAACACGCGGACCGGGACGGCCACCGAAGCGACGAAGGTAATTATTGCCCCCCATCTTCAGTGAATATGCTTCTAACATCATCACAGCGAGGAACTTGACGGCGGCGGCGACAAGGAGAACCAAGACGCAAACATGGCCAAGCCCCAAAAGAGAGCCCGCGGCCACCCGGGGCCGGAGAACGCGCCGACCCCGGCACAGGTCCTCTCACCTACGTCCTCCAACTCGCGCATGAGACCCCCGCCGCGGCCCGCGTCGCCCGCCAAGTCCCAGATCGCACGCCCCGTGTCCCCGGTCAAGCAGGCCGCCGCGGCCACCAGCCTCCTGAGCAACATGGTCGAGAAGGCGCGCTCGACGCGCGCCGCCGCCACCACGAGGAAGGCGACGACCTCGTCCACGGCCAGCTCGGCCACCTCTGGCACGGCTGCCACTCGGGCGAGGCGTGGAGCTGCCGCCGCAGCAACACCGAAGACCACTACCACCACACGAGCAACGCGGAGGGCTAGCGGCGTCAGCGAGTCGAGTGATGGTAGCACGGCCACGGTGGTGCGGAAGCGGACGGCAGCTACTGCAGCTACCGCGGCGTCCAGGAATGCGGCCGCGGCGACGAAGAAGACGACCGTTATGAGCACTATCAAGAAGGGCGTCACCAGTGCGACCACGAGGAAGGCCGCCGCGCCCAAGACGGCAGCAGCAGCAGCACCTGCTACGACTAGGTCGGGTAGAGTGCTCCGAAAGAGAGATTGATGGTGGGTCATTCACAAACAACTACTGTATAAACGGGTGGGCACATACGGCATAATGTGCATACTTGATCATGGTTCACGGGGTGGCGTTTAAAGTGTGGCGTTTATGGAATTCGGTGCTTTTGTCGGTTGCAATAAGTTTTTCGGTTCTTGTTCCTAAACTCATGAAACCTGACAGGGTAGAAGTCAGATGATTATACATGTCCAAGTATGGAAAGTTTTTGCTCGTTCTAATTCATATGTTTAGTTTTGTGACATTAAAGAGAAGCTTCCCCGACCTCATGTCTCGAGGGTGTCTCTCCCCCTCACGCCGGCGGCGCGGCGCTCGAGCTCTTCTTCTTCTTGTCCTCAACCAGCTCGATGTTGTCCTCGGGTATCTCCTTGTACTTCTCGAGCAGCAGCTCCTCGATCTCGCCGCTGACGTCGCCCTGGACGACGATCTCCTCGCCGCCGCTGGGCACCTTGGTCACCGAGGAGCCCGTGGCGAACTTCTTGCCAAACTCCTTGGCGACCTTCTTGAGGTCGAGCCCGAAGGCCTCGAGCCCGGAGACGGAGGTGACGAACTTGCGCTTGTTGCGCTCGATGCGCTTGACCGTGACCATGCTGTGGGCGCGCTGGTCGGCCTTCTTGGCTTCGGCGGCCTCGGCCTTGGCCGTCTTCTTCTGGGCGTCCTTGGCGGCGCGCTTCTGGGCTTCGACGGAGAGGGAGGCTGTCGCGGCTTCGAGGGCTTCTGTTGCGAGGGGGAGGGAAGGAACAAGCATGAATTAGCGACGGACGTCGTGGGGATGGGGGTTTGGGAGCCCAGGGGTGGTTTGAGGAGGGGTTGAGGGGATGCTAACCTGCTGACCATATCCGTGCGTACATCTCTGGCTGGTTCTTCTCTAGCCAGTCCTGGCATTTCTTGACGGTGCCGCCATATTCGCAGTACTGAGAGGGAGGAAAGGTGGTGTTAGGACATCGTCTGGGATTTGGTTTGCTTGGGGAACCTGGGGGAGTAGTACCTCTGGAGGTAAGGAGCAGACTATGTAGAGAGAGAGATATTAGTTCAGGTTTGTTGTGTGAACAATTGCCTACGAAAGGCAAGGTTTCTTGGAAGATGTGGCTGAGAGGACATGATGAAAGTGGGATGGGAAGAGGAACGACATACCACCGCAGTAGACAACGTGCCTGCTCTGAGGCTCGGCGTGCTCGGGCTGCTCTACGTCAGCCATGTGTGTGCGATGTGATATTGCAAAATCCCAATAGCCGGGCCTTCAAGGTTCTCGTGCCGGTCGGGTCTAAGAGGATAATCGAGTTCAATCCAAGAGTGGTGATGGTGTAGGCGCGCGCAGCAATGGCAAAACATGGAACTGCCCCTCCTTTTTGGGTAGTGATAACAGATAAGAAATGCTGATAGAGCCAGCAGCAACAGCGACCTGCGGGGTTCTGCCGGCGATGTAATTGGGATGGCGGGGCGCGATTCGGCACAACCATTCGGTCTTAGCTCCAAGCAAGTTGTCCGCCGTAGTAATTCCATTCAATGCCATATTGTTGGACGACACTTGCGTAGCCGACACCGCTGGTGACGTCTATTGACCTCCGCAGGCAAACTCGAGATTGGTCGTTATTGATGGTCCGAACACCTCAGGTATGTAGCAATTAGTAGATTTCCGTTTGTTATACGACTCTCTGACAGGTTGCTTTAACGTTTGGAACATCACTGATTTGGGTGACTATTATAAATGGATATAACTATAGGATGAGCAATTAGCTTCGTATCGTTATGTTACCTCATGATAAGAGTTGCTGGACCCTCTGGAATTAGGTTGAATGTGGTAAAGTAGATCTGTAGAGCTGGACATGTTTCCTAGAACGTATGGTAAACTAGATCTACTATATATACCTAGTTCTCATAAGCATCGTAGCACTTTCACCTCCCAAAAACTAGAACACAAGAGAATTTGTGATACGTCGTAGCCCAAACATATGGTTGGCGGATTGAATCAACTTTGCGAGTTGTGAAGTATATAGTGCTTAGGCTGCCGAGTTGAGACTTGACATTAAACAAAATACCATCTAGCTAGAAGTGAAGAGAATATTCATCATTGCACTGCTAACATTTGTTATGGGCTTTAAGCTCAGTCCCTATCTTCTCCCCCTCTGCCGCTTACTTATGATTGCGAGAGCGATCTCAAGTTAGCCTTCAACTCTATCGCCGGTCCTTAGTTCACTAGACTGTTGCTCTCCAAAGTTGAGGAAATGACCGAAGTTTTCCATGCAATTGAAGTACTTTGCTAAAGACCGCTTGCTACACGAGGCCAAACGTGAGTGTCTCTCTCAGGTTGTTGCATATATACAGTGTATAGCATACCGTCATGAAGTGTAACTACTCAGACAGCAATTGATGCCGAGTAGGAGAGTATAGATAATGATCTGGACAACTGTAAGGCCCACTAGGTCCACTAGTGTGGACTGGCTGAAATCGTAGCATTTGTCTTGAAATCTAGTCCAGTTACAGTCGTACTGTTTCATAATCCGCCCAACCTGTCCACATCATCACCGACTCTGTCCTGTGCTGCGAGGTGTGCGGCGCTCTTTCAGCTTCGGCAGAGTAATCTTACCCCGCTCGGAAAGTTGTCCAATGAGGAATGTAGAGATGAGCCACCTGCAGAACGACAAGGCTGAGCGGTGCTCAAGGTGGTGGGGGCCGGCGGCTGTGTTGGGCGGTCACTTCAGGCAGCGATGCACACGGAAACGTCGTCCAGACACAGTTCTTGTTGTATTCATCCTTCGCTTTGTCTTCTTGATAGATCTGTTGAAGTGTATGGCGGCTGCTATCTGTTAAACGAAAAATGGACTTGCCATCACGTCTCGACCAACGGCCACACCGCCCAGCGTCGCGCAATGATTTCGAGATTGCCATCCTTTGCGCCCTCACCCTCGAAGCAGACGCTGTCGACCATGTCTTCGATCACCATTGGAAGAAGGACGGGATTACATACGACAAGGCGCCTGGTGATTCGAACTACTACATCACCGGCACCATCCACCGCCACAATGTTGTCCTCGCATATATGCCAGACGAGGGCAAGGTTAATGGCGCCGTGGTCGCAACGAATTGCCGCCTGAGCTTCCCAAACATCAGGCTTGCCCTTGTCGTGGGGGTCTGCGCCGCCGTTCCTTTCCCCAGGAGCGACTCAACAAGCAGAGTTGACGAGATAGTCCTTGGAGATGTGATCATCAGCAACGGTGTTGTGGAGTACGACCATGGTCGTATGCAGCCTGAGGGCTTCAAGCGCAAGGCAACTGTGATGGATAACCTGGGAAGGCCTAATCAGGAGATACGAACCTTTTTACGGATGCTCAAAGGCGTGCGGCCGGGTCGGGAACTGCGGCAGGCTATGCTCGAGCAGCTGTCGCGTTTCAAGACTGAGCCGAAACTTGACGCTGATTATCCGGGGTTTGAAAATGACAGACTATTTCCGACAGGATACCGTCATGCCACCGATGGCAAATCGTGTGATGAAGGCGGATGCGCTCAGCCGCTGGTCAAGCGTCGGCGTCTGCAGCAGCCAGACGTGCAACCTAGAGTTCACATCGGGCTCATCGCCTCGGGCGACATGGTCATGAAATCAAGCTTCCATCGTGACATCATTGTCGAGGACGAGAAAGTAATTGCATTCGAGATGGAGAGTGCCGGAGTGTGGGATGTCTTCCCCTGCGTGGTCATCAAAGGCGCCTGCGACTACGCAGATAGCCACAAGACCAAAGGCTGGCAGCGGTATGCCGCAGCCACGGCAGCATCTTGTATGAAGGCTTTTCTGGGAGAATGGGTGCCGTCAAACCTACAGACCATTCCAGCCCCTGCACCCTCGTCCTCTACTGTCACAGCAGAACTCTCCACAGCACAACCTGCCGTGGTCACGACCAGTTAGTCTGACACCTCTACCAAACTCGAAATACAGTTTTGGACGCTAATGCCAACCTATCATACTTAGAAACTGTGGTCTTCTGTGTTCCCCTGCCAGTGAACCCGCGCTTTGTGGGACGTACTCAGATTCTCAATGAACTCCAAACCAAGCTCTTCGACAATGACAATGGCAAGATAGCCCTGGTGGGGCTAGCAGGTGTGGGCAAGACGCAAATTGCGTTGCAACTAGCAGTCTATGTGAGAGACAACATGCAAGACCGCTCTGTTTTCTGGTTATCCGCTTTGAGCATGCCCAGCTTCGAACAATCTTGCCGCCTGATCATGAAGCAAAGTGGACTCAAAGATTCGGATAGCAAGGATCCGAAAGCTATCATTCAGGACTATCTCAGCTCGGAGAGGGCAGGCAGATGGCTGCTGATCGTGGATAACGCGGATGACAAGTCCCTGCTTTTTGGGTCAGACGAAGTTACCGAGTGCATTAAAAAGCATCTCCCACAAAGCGAGAGCGGCTTGATGTTGTTTACTACACGGTCACGACAAGTGGCAAGTGCAGCAGCTCAATGTGCGGAGAACATCATTCCAGTATTGGGGATGTCAGATCAAGAAGCCCGGGAGCACCTGGGCAAGAAGACTTCTAGCTCAGAGCTCAACCGAAACGAAGAGGCTACAGAGTCTCTTCTTCAGAGGCTCACCAATCTCCCTCTGGCGATAACCCAAGCCGCTGCCTACATCAACGAGAATCAGATAAGCATCGCGACGTACCTCGACCTCTTCGACAATACGGATGCGGTGCAGCTGATCAGCAACCATTTCTACGACGACACAAGATACAAGGAAAGCGACAATGCTGTGGCCACTACTTTGCTTGTGTCTTTCCGACAGATCTCCGAGACCAACGAGCTTGCTGCTAGACTTCTCACGTTTCTAGCATAGATTGAACCCAAGGGGATTCCCCTTTTCATCTTTCCAAGAGCTCCACGACAGGACCTGGTGCAAGCCATCGGGATGCTTCGCGGGTATAGCTTCTTGGTTGAGCGAGAAGAGAGAGACGTCTTTGATATGCACACACTGGTGCACATGGTGACGCATGCATGGGCCCGGACACGACATAACGAAGTATCCGGTTACTCACTACCCAATACGATCTCTCATCTCGACCAGATATTTCCAGACGACGAATGGGAGAATCGCGATAGATGGAGACAACTATTGCCCCATGCCCTGAAAACCCTATTCACCGCTCAGGCCGACCTGGACCCGGAAGGATGCCATTTGGGATTTTGGGTTGGTCGCTGCTTGCAAGTTGATGGGCACTATCCTGAGGCCTGCCAAGTACTTCGCCAGGTGGTGGCTGTCCGGAAAGGGAATTTGGCATCCGATGACTCAAAAGTTCTCACTTCACAACATGTCCTTGCCATGGCATGTATAGGTAATGGGCAAACAGCACAAGCGATCGAGATCCTAGAGCATGTGGTCAATATACGGGCTCAAACACTACAAGAGGAGCATCCAAACCGACTAGCATCACAGCACGAGCTCGGGAGCGCCTATCTTAAGAATGGACAAGTAGAAGAAGCAATCAAGCTGCTGGAGCATGTGGTCAATATACGGGCTCAAACACTACAAGAGGAGCATCCAGACCGACTAGGATCACAGCACGAGCTTGGGAGGGCCTATCTTGAGGATGGACAAGTGGAAGAAGCAATCAAGCTGCTGGAGCATGCGGTCAATATACGGGCTCAGACACTACAAGAGGAACATCCAAACCGACTAATATCACAGCACGAGCTTGGGAGGGCCTATCTTGAGGATGGACAAGTGGAAGAAGCAATCAAGCTGCTGGAGCATGCGGTCAATATACGGGCTCAGACACTACAAGAGGAACATCCAAACCGACTAATATCACAGCACGAGCTTGGGAGGGCCTATCTTGAGGATGGACAAGTGGAAGAAGCAATCAAGCTGCTGGAGCATGCGGTCAATATACGGGCTCAGACACTACAAGAGGGACATCCAGACCGACTAGGATCACAGCACATGCTTGCATGTGCCCTATATCAGAGAGGGCAGATTAGAGAGGCCATAGAGCTTCTAGAACATGTGGCCAGGGTGGAGAAAGCGACGCTTCGAGAGGATCACCCCCACCGCGTCGAGGCAGAACAACAGTTGCAACGGTGGTACAGTAGGAATGGTATCTTCAAGGAAGTTTGAGATGGCCTCGGGCGTGAGAGCGAGGCCGATATTGTAGGATAGCAGCCAGCTAAACATGAAGGATCCATGTTGTGGTCCCCAAATCATCACTAATGCACAGTACAATAAGAGCCAAGATTCTGGCTATCAAACTTCCAGAACGCATGTTTGATGGGCAGTGACGACAAGAAGTGAAGTGAACCGGCCATATGGGTCAGAAGAGCTGACCAAGATCGGATGAGCTCAACCGGCGATGACAGACTCATGTATCATACTTACACTAGTCATCCACTTCAGATTGACCCCAAAGTCTTCATCTGTGACGTCCTGGACTCCTCATAGAGTAGACATGTTGTGCTCGGTCTGCAGACGGGGGAAAATACAGCAGCCAGCTTTCTCGTCAGTAGCGGAGGTCTGACGCCACGCCGAAGCCTCTTTTTGAACGATTGCAAGACTCGAATGAAATCCGTGCCTTGGGTATATAATATATTATAGCGTAGCCACTCCCTGCCCTGTTCCGTGACCGCATCGGCCATGGCATAGCTGAGAGCAGCACACTTCTTCAGCTTGGCCCAGTGCTATGCTGGGAGGGCCTTTTCCTACTTTCCGCCAATGCGGGCACAACAAAGACAACTTCATAGGAATAGGCGTGTCTACAGGAGTTTGTAGTTGAAGAGTAATATTATGGTCTAGGATAATTGTACAGTATGGATGCATGTTCTGCAGGTGTCCTTGTGAATATCGAGACGAGAGAGGACATTCATTACGTGTGCAGTGCAGTGTGCACGGATCAAGAAGTGCCCTTCGCTAAGAAAGCGTTTCCGTTTTCCGGTGCTCGGCTTCACACTAGGCATGAGTCTCACGAGCAAACCAACACCTTGGTTATTGGCCCAGTGTTTATGGATCTGCTGATCCGCGGGCCACTGCTCGGCAGACTCGTTTTGTTTCGCTTTGATTTTCATGTTCGGGAAAGTGTCATGCAGCTACGAATCTCGGGTATGACTCGATATCCCAGACTGTGGGATGATAAGCGACGGGTCTCGTCGGATGCATTGTCTACGGTGTGCCTGAGTAGGGTAGGCTGGACCCGTCTCGCCCAATGTCTTGCTTGCATCTTCTCACCTTATGTCTAGGTAACGCAGTATGAGCTGAGCCCTCTCTTTTGTTTGGGAATGCCTCGATTCAAGGATTCAATGAGCAGCCGACCAGCCGACGAGCGTTGACGCCCAGTGGCAGCGGCAAGAGAGGCGGCGAGCGCTTAAGCGCCCAGCCGGGGCCGGGGTGAACTGGCCTGCGATTGGCTGAGGGGTGATGAAATGCAGTCTCGATATTGGCAATGCTGGTCCCCACACCCACACCATTCTTCCCCCTGTCTTGCCTGCGTCTCCATCTGTCAACTAAGGGCTGGATCAATCGAATTCTATTCGTTGAGGTGTCTAATTCTCCGCCGGCCCTTAGGGGTGAACCTAAAGGGCGGTGCGGTCAGAACCAACAAGACCCACCCTATCATCACAGAGTTAGATTAGGTTACAAACAACGGTCTGTTAGTATGGCTCGGCGCCCAAAGGGAAGTGCACGGGCTCCTGTTGATTTCATAAATGATCAATGATACCTAGCATATGTGGGTAAGGCCACCGAGACTTGTGAGTTACGGGCATGAAATTGCCGCTTGTGGCCCCGGCCACCAAGTTGCTCATGCCATGGTGTGTGTTCCGCTTCGCTCTTCCTCAAGGCAACTTTCGTCGCCTCTCCTCTTCTCTTGCAACTTTTCGGAAGAAAGCACTTTGCGGGGCCTTCTTCTTCTTGATTGACTTGTTGGCACTTCTGTCCTGCTCGACGTAAGCCATGCCCTGCCCACCACCGAGATCCGTCAAGGCGCTCGCCGTTCTCTTCGCCGACCTGGGTGCCTTGCGCATCGGCTTGCCGTCAGGGCCGTAGAACATGTTCCCATCCGCCTGGAGGCCCGCGCTCTCCTTCTCTTCATCCTTCCACGCCTTGCTCTCGGCATCGCCAAGAACTTTGGACAGAAGCTCGCGCCTGGATTGGGGCGTGCCAAATTCCAAGTCGGGCATTTTGTCCATGTCCTTTAACTCAGTGATGATCTTGAAGGAGTAGCCCTGATCCACAAGAAAGGCCTGCCGCTTGGACGAGAAGACCATCTCGTTCGTATCCTTGGACACGAGCGAGTAGAAGAAGGCGTTGAAACCCTCGTCTTTTCGCCGTGTGGCTCGCAAAATCCGGCCGAGGCGTTGGGCTTCTTGGCGGCGGGAGCCATACTGTGCAGAGATCTGGATAAGGCAAGTTGCCTCAGGGAGGTCGAGGGATGTATCGCCGATTTTAGAGAGGAAGAGAGTACTGCACTGTGGGGAGTTTTGGAAAAAATCCAGGACTTCCTGTCGTTCGGTGTTGCTGGTGCCGCCATAGAGATATGGCTTCATCAACTTCTTTGCGTAGATTTCAAGGGCGTAAACATTGTCTGAGAAGACAATAATTTTATCACCACGGCTCTCATGGTACCGTATTAGGTATTGACAAGCCTGGAACTTCTGTGGGTTCATGACACAGAATAGTGATCGGGCTCGTACTCCAGCATTCAAGTACTGCTCATAGAACTCAGTTGGCATAGGACACCATACCTCGGCGCATTGGACCTTGGCAATATGCCCCTGCTCTGATAGCTCCATCCAGTTGGCCTCGTAGAGCTTAGGCCCGATCAAAAAATTCAGATCTTCAATCCTGTCGTCTTCTCGGAGGAGTGTAGCAGTTAGACCAAGCTTAGAATGGCATTTGAGGGAACCGATAACTCTTCGAAACATTTGGGCAGGGACGACATGGACTTCATCTAGAAGCATAAGGCCCCATTCCCGACCCTGAAGGAATTTCATCATCTTAGCCGACTCATAAGCACGTTCTCGCGAATTTGTCACCATTGAGTAGGTGGTGATGATGACTCCTGTGTTTCCAGTAAAGACCGACTTCTTATCCGAGGAGAAGATGGCGATACTATCCGGATCGATGTTGGACCATTTTAGAAACTCATTTCTCCATTGTATGACTGACATGTTGCTGGTGGCCAGTACGATCACTCCCTTTTTGATGGTACATGCTGCGGTGACGCCAACTAGAGTTTTCCCGGCTCCACAAGGCAGGACGATGACACCACTCTTGGCACGACCATTGCCGAACATCTTGCTGAGACTCTTCTCTTGATAAGGCCGAATCTGGGTTCCCGGTCGCAGGTCGATCTCGAGGTTGGCATTGATGTAGTCGTTCCGAAAATCGTACTCCTCGAGTGCAGGATAGTGTAATGCCAGACACCGCTCTGCAACCTTGCTGACCTTGTCATCTTGAATCTGGAATGCGTGGACGACATCTTGTTCACTATAGTCATTATCGCCATCATCTTCGGCCAATACATTGTACACCTCGTTCGTCGTGGTTGCCCTCTGCCCTGTCTGGGGTCGCTTCGATTCTTCCATGTCTAAACCTGCAGCTTCACGCAAGCCGGCAGCCTCTTTGGTTCCGGCGATGGCAAGCCCCGCCATGGTCGGGGCGCTTGCAGTAGTGATATTTTCGACGGTCTGGACTCGGCACGGACCGATGATGGGATCCTTGAGCAGCATCTGCAGCACATCGAGGTCCGCGGTCTCAACGTAATATTTACTATCCCTCAAGACCATCTTCACCTTGCCATAACTCCTGCCGCAATGCCGAACATATTCAGCGACATTCGGTGGCATTTCGGTCTTGAGGAATCGGCCGAGCGTATTGATGACGTCGTCTGAGCTGAGGCCAATTGAGACGGCCGCGTAAAGACTGTGGGTTGCAAGGCGATACTCGTGCATGAATGTTGGGCGTGATAATGGCTCGGCAACCGTGATCAGAAAGTCTTGTACCTTGGGCGCGAGGGGATGGAAGCTTTCAAGGATAAGTTTCCCCCAACCGTCAATCAGCAACGGCCGATTGTGGTGATCAGGCTTGAGCCTGAGGGCGGTGAAGTCTCGCTTCTGTTCGGGCTGGAAGTCGCGCGAAGCTACATCCACAATCCCTGGCGGAAGGAGATATGGGAAAGCACTGATATCGAATTTCTGGGTGTTCTGAGCGATGACGGTATCGAGCACATTGGGCTGTTCATCCGGCTCCCAAGAGTCGTCCTTGGCATCGCCAACACGGCGGCGCTGCGAGGCTAGCCCCGGGGTGGAGTCTCTAGAGGCCCTGTGTGCCTTGCTAGCATCATCGACGGCCGAGGTGGCCTTGCGCTTGGAAGACATAGCCAATCTGCAGGGCATCGCTGGAATGGAGCGGCGGGAGGTGGATGAAATGATTGCAGGGAGGACCAGATACTGCCAAAGGCCCAGAATAGCGCGTTGGTCCCGTCGCTTTACTTGGAAATAGTCAGCTGCCGGAGCACAGAGTTGAGCATAGTTCGCATCTTTGTGCCGGCAGGGAAGCAGCTGAAACAAGAGACACGGCCACAAGAAAACCGGATGTGTTGGGAGTGCGAAGAGGAGGAGGAGAGAGAGACACAAAGAGGCCCTTTTACTCTTTTCTGCCTGCCTAGGTATCTACTCGTGCTGACCGCTTTGGCTCTTTGTTGGAACTGCACTGATTTTTGCCTGAGGCCTTCTATCTCTGGATCATTTCGAGGGGAGATTTCTTAGCGACAACGGGAACAAGTCGCACAGTGGAAGAGATTGACGAAAGAGAAGAAACTCAACTAGGAGGTGTTATAAACATCTCCGATTTCATTTACACTATCCTTCTCAATTCCCCGATCGATACGTTTGGTCCAAGGTAGGGGGCCGCCGGGACTTAGGGGTGGACCGAAAGGCGGTGCGGTCGGGCAGAAACAGCTCCACATACTAAGTTTACCCTGGGGTTGTCCATAGAGGAGGACCACACCATCTCATCATCCTGCTCGATGAGTTGGCGCGCGCCATCCATTGGCGACGCATGGCCTCGCCCTCCGCCGTGCTAAAATTAAACAAGGCCTCCTGCGGCCGTGATTGGTCCGGTGGTGCTGAACTGGCTGTTTCTTCTGTTTCTCCTACCCTCCTCTACGGCGTACGCATGCACGTCTCTTCTGATGTGTCCATGTTGGGCGACCCTCGATAGGTGTTGGATTCCCGAAATGGCCAGGCATCCTGGGTGGTCTCTCCCCCAAGTGGCGGACGACGACATGTCCCACAAGAAACTACTGCGTGGTAGTGCGTCCGGAGGGCCATGCGAGTCGAGGCCTGCAGCAAGTCATCGCTCCCGTCACATCCCTACTGCCGCCCGCCTCCATCTCAGCATCTCAGCATGGGCCAGAGATGGACGCAGATGGACAGAGACGTCCGGACATCGATGGCGCACACAGTCTTGCCAGTCCTGTTAGCCGCTCGCATATTGGCTGCTGCCGCCACCGTCGCACGCGCAGTGTTACCCTCCCTCGTCTACAGGTACAGCCTCTCCCATATTGTCTTGTTTATTAAAACTATATCCGTCCCCCGGTTGCCATTGCCGGGCCCTCCCTTTCCCTTCTCCTAATTCTCTTCTCCACGCCTCCTGCGCCAGCACAAGAATAGACGGTTCGTTGATCGAACCATTCCTGTCGTTTTGAACACTTACTTCCTTGTTTCCTTGCCTTGCTTTCGCCCGACGCAGGTCGTCACCTAGTCAGCCAGTCTTACTCCCAGAGACCGACGCAGTTTATTTCAGTGCTACTATGTGCTTATCGTGACCTTTTTACGACCACCGAAGCCGGACTCACACAAAACCTGCCTTTCCAAAAATGGCCGACCTGGTCCTGTCAAACGCTACTTATCGCCCGCCCTCCCCACCGGCTGGCCGGAGGAAGGGACGGCAACTTAATACCATAATCGAGGAGGACCACGACGACATGGCCAGCAGCCACGGTGCAGGTGCGAGGAGAGCCCGCGGACAGTCCAATGCCAAGATCGAGCAGTGGCTGTCTCCCCTGAGCGATCACTTCCCGACCCCGCGCGGCTTCCACTTCCTCGCCGCCCCGATCCTGCCTTCCTCGCCGTCGACGGCATCCGCCGACGAGAGCAGCTCTCCCTCTTCTTCCTCCGCCCCCTGGAGGCGAGCCAGCACCATGACTGACGTGACTGATTTTGACGATCTGTACGACGTGTCTGACGAGGAGGACGACCGCCGGTCGATGGCGAGGACTTCGAGCATCGGCAGACAGCACAGCATCAGGAGATCGGCAGCGAAGCCGGCACCGAATGCCCTGCCCCCTCTGGTCATTCCCGCTGAACGCGAGAGCTCCAAGGGGGCTTTTGACGCCAAGAAGTCTATCACCTCCCCAGTACCTCCCACGCCACCTGCCCAGGTTGCCATGTCGCCGGCTATGTATTCCTTCATGCAGGCGCAGCAATCACTCGGGGTCCCGACGATTTCGGCACCGCCATCTCTCGACGGCAGTCTCACCTCCGACCAGATGGCCCAGATGTCCGCTCCGCCCACGCCCGTGATCGGCGCTGAGGACCAGGACAGCGGAGACTGGTCCGGCGTGCAGCTGCAGCCCGGCGCGTTGGCAACTCTTCGCGCACTTTCCAGTTCTTCTTCGGACATTGATCTGAACGAGCCACGGGAGGAGCAGGTCATTGAGGTCCCTCAGGCTGAGATGACACAAACGCGCCCTGTCGCCCCTCGCCTCATCACCAACCTGCAACAAGGTTCAGCCATCCTCTCGCCAGCTCAGGCACGCTCACTGGCTGGCCTGACCCAGCTAGACATCCCCTCACCCGGCGGCTTCTTCTCCGGCCTGTCACCCCGGACCCGCAGCACTTGGCACCTACCCGGCCAGACTCCCGCTGATGAAGTCGCTCCTCCCACCTCGACGACAGCCGAGCAGTTTTACAAGCTTCCCTGGACGACCGAGAATGCTCCTGCCCTTCCGCCCCCGCCTCCTCGCCCCCTTCACATGGAGACCGGCCACTTCTCCGTACTTCCTGTCGAGCAAGTGGTTGAGGCTGAGGAGCCCGAGAGGGAAGAACCACTCACCGCTATCCACGTCCCTGTCACGCCGCGGGCAGCATCCACGCAGCCCAGCGGCTCATCTGTCACCCTTCATGATGGGGCCTCGTCCCCTATCGAGGAGATCACTGCCACCGAGATCGTGGTTGACTACGATCCCGAGTATGCTCGAAAGCAACAAAAGGTGGCTCTCTCACACCTCGACCGAACTGAGATGTGGTTGGTGGCCCAGCGATCGTACCTCACTGGGTTTACTGAGGCTGAGCACGAGGACCGCGCTGTAGCTGCGACTCAGAAGGAGGTCCCTGAGGCTAAGCAGGAGCGCCCGACTCCCCCACCCAAGGACGAGCCTACCAAGGCCGAGCCTACCAAGGCCGAGGTCGCCCCCAAGAAGATGGTACGCTTCTCGGACGCTGCCATCGCGGCTTCTGTCCCCCGTGGCCTGCCTTCCAAGCTGGCCCGCCAGGAATCGGCTTACTATCGTGCATTCACCGACTTCACCGTCCGGGCCCACCCCAACGACGTCTTTGTCCACAAGCTGGCACGCTTCGAGGCTCTCCAGGCGCAGCGCGTCTCGCTTCTCGAGGCACACCGCAACCAGCTCCTGGGCAAGTACCAGCTGACGGTCGTGCCCCAGTCCGCCAAGAAGCGCATGAGCGCCAACGTGGTCCGCGGCGACGACGTCATCGTGGACGACCCGGCCAAGATCCGCGCCGACAAGGAGGCCGACGCCCTGGCGCAGATGCACATGTCGACGTGGCACGTGGCCTCGATGAAGCTGCTCAACGGCGGCCGGCTCATCGCCTCGCCCGTGCACAAGCGGCTCGCGCGCGTCTCCCGCATGGCTCCCGGGCCGGACGGCCTGACGCGCGACCGCGCCCGCATCCTCGACCTCGGCGGCCAGGCCGCCTGCGACTGGGCGTGGCACGTGGCGCTGCAGTACCCCAACACCAAGATCTACACGGTCACGACCAAGGCCATCCGGCAGCTGTCCAACGCCAACATCCGCGGCCCTCCCAACCACCGGCAGGTGGCCGTGCAGCGGCTGACCAAGCTCCCCTTCGCCGACAACCAGTTCGACCTGGTGCGCGCGGCGGAGCTGCACTCGATCCTCAAGCTGGTGGGGGAGAACGGCGAGGACGAGTGGGAGACGTGCCTGCGCGAGTGCATGCGCGTGCTCAAGCCGGGCGGCTTCATCGAGTTCAGCGTGCTCGACGCCGACATCGTCAACGCGGGGCCCCTGGGCAACGCCAAGGGCGTCGAGTTCGGCTTCGCGCTCAAGACGCTCGGCTACGACCCGAGCCCGACGCGCATGTTCCTCAGCCGGCTGCACCGCGCCGGGTTCGAGGGCGCGCGCCGCGCGTGGACGTGCCTGCCCGTCGGGCCCAAGCCGGCGTCGGCCCTCAACAAGCTGCTGCCCGTGGCGCGCGACTCGTGCGGGAACCCGGTCCGCACGGTCGACCTCGAGGCCATGGTGTCCGGGTCGGCGGACCACGTGGCGGCCGTGACGGGGCTGGCGGCCGGCTGGAGCTGGGAGCGGTGGATGCTGCGCGCCGAGGTGGAGAAGGTGGCGGGCGAGCTGCGGCTGTCGGACATTGTGGCGTCCGGGGCGGCGCAGGGCGAGGCGGGCAAGGGCGGCGTCGAGGGCGTGCACGCCGTCGTCGAGGAGGGGCGGCGCGTGGGCGCCGGGTTCCGCGTGCTGAGGGGGTATGCGCGGAAGCCGAGGGCCGAGGCCGAGGTTGGGACTATTAGTATCTGCTTTGATGCTTGAAGGGTATGTGAGTGTGTGGGCGGTTGTGGATGGGATACCCGGGTTTTGGTGGATTGTGCCAGGCTTTCTCTTCTCTGCTATTTGTCGTCGTCCGCGGCTGATGGGCCGGCGGCCTTTTCTTCCCTTTGTTGCATGTCTGGTGTGAGTGAGTGTATGTGGAAGGGATGGGGGTGTGTGTGTGTGTGTTTGTTACATGGTAATGGGTGGTGTTGATCCTGGGCTGGGAGTTTGTATAGATACTGGGTTCGTTTTGGCGTGTACATATGTGTACATCTTGGGAGGACCCGGTGTAGAGGGTGCGAAGATACAATGGAAGTATTTGATGAAACTTTTATATCATCCTTGCAGAGAGAGTGCATGTAGGCTCACATCTTGATCCTCTTGTCGAAGAAGATGCATTGTCTCACAGCTTACGGGCCAGTTGGGCCATCGAACAAGGACGTGTCCACTTGTGCTATGGCCAACTTTGTAACATAATCTAGACGTTCTCTTATTGAGTGCTTTTACGTGGACCTCTGCCGCTTGGACTGGCCTGACTGGGCGACACAATGCTCATAGAAGCCGAGGATGAGAGACTTGTGTTTGTATTTGGTGGTAAGTTGCCTGTGATGGTGTAGGTCAATTCTGCCCCACGGTAAAGCTCTTGATTGGCCAGATCGAAGCTCCTAGCGCCAGGAACCCTTTGGAAGCAAGCAACCCCGGACGTTCCTGCCCCTCCATCTTCGTCATAACACAAAGCTCCAGTCGTCCTCGCACCACCAGTTCATACACCCTCTATCTCTCTCACGCACTTCCACTACAACGTAATCTTCTCCCCAATTGAGAAGAACATACCGCCCTCCTTCCAACTCCGCCCCCCGTCACCAAAACACCACCTCCGGCTCTCCCCGCCTCCGCCGCCGCTCCCCCGCGCGCCAAATATAGAGACAATGCACACCAAGGGCCCCGCCCCGCAGCACCACGACGGCTCCGGCCTGCGCATCGGCATCGTCCACGCCCGCTGGAACGAGACCATCATCGAGCCCCTGCTGGCCGGCGCCCGCGCCAAGCTCGCCGAGTGCGGCGTCCCGGACGCCAACGTCGTCGTCACCTCGGTCCCGGGGTCCTGGGAGCTGCCCATCGCCGTCCAGCGGTTCGTCTCTCTCTCTCTCCCTCCCCCCCCGCATACATTCACACATTCCATTCCATGACATGATGCCACTTCCTCGTCCGTCCTTGCTTGTAGCCTGTGTGTGAGCTCTTCCCCAGCTGACGACCCTGTTCACGCGCGCAGCCTCTACTCCGCCTCCCAAGTCCAGTCCTCCTCCTTCTCGGGCGGCGCCCCCTCCCTCTCGGCAGGCGACCTCCTCGGCGGCTCGACGACGGACCTGACCTCCCTCCCGAAGGAATCGTCCTCCGCGGCCGCGGCGGGAGGGCCCTTCGACGCCATCATCGCCATCGGCGTGCTCATCAAGGGCGAGACCATGCACTTCGAGTACATCTCCGACTCGGTCTCGCAGGGCCTCATGCGCGTGCAGCTCGACACGGGCGTGCCGGTGATCTTTGGCGTGCTGACCGTCCTGACCGACGAGCAGGCCAAGGCCCGCGCCGGCGTGGCGCCGGGCGGCCACAACCACGGCGAGGACTGGGGGCTCGCGGCCGTCGAGATGGGCGTCAAGAGGAGGGAGTGGGCGGCGGGCAAGATGGAGTGAAGGAGTGTTGGGAAAAGGGGAGCAAGGGGAGGCTAGATCTTTTTGCTTTGGAGAAAGTCCATCGAGCAGGACGGGAACAAGAGAGAAGCCTCTGAGAAGAATTGCTGCTGGACTTGATCTTGGTTTGCGGAGGCGAGATAGAAGCGTAGATGCTTGGATATCAACCAGCATATCGCAGTGCGGGTGACGATGACCATGTCTGCCTGGGCAATTAGCTCTGGGACTCACCCACATGTCTAGACGTAGAGGGCTATCCAGTTCCGAAAATTGGACAAAAGATGGCAAAAAAAAAAAAAAAAAAGGTGTATTTCACAATCCGCAATCATCCGTGACAATGACGAAGGGAGTGTAAGTGTCGTGTTGTCTTCACTCGTTGTTTCCGAGTCCTCGCTCATCATCATGGCCTCAAAGTATGGCATAAGAAGAGTCCAGTGTGCAGTAAAACGACTATTAGATTGTTGCGTACGTAGCTGCTCAGATGATGAAGGGCATTCCAGTTCTGTCTAGAGACAAAAAGCCGTTGCCCTTCCCCTCGCTCTCGCTCGTGCTCACGCCCCATCTCTCTCTCTCTCCCTTGCTCTTTTATGATGATTTCTGCAGAGATTAAACATTGCTCCTCTCCTTCGTCCATCCAACCCTATCCCAATTAAACAGAAACTAAAAAAAGAGGTTTAGAAAGTAGAAAGAGAGAGAGAGAGAGACAGAGAGATCCCCAAGACACGTGCTGCCATTTTCCCGCCATTCTGTAGAAATGATGACTTTCCAGAATCTTTCTCTTTGCACTCTCCTCCTCCTCCTCCTCTTCCTCCTCCATGGTTTCAGCAAAAAAAAGATCGAGTAACGCGCCATATGTAACGATGGAGGGAGGGGGGAACAGCTTCCCAAACCACTCCCCCCGTCTCCTCACAGTAAAATGTACAGCAAAACAGGCTCCCTTCCCTTCTCTTCTCTTCTTTCCATTCTTTCTGTCTCTTTCTTCTTCCACACCACCGTCAGTCGCCAGTCTAATGTGCGGAGAGTGTCGTCAAAAAAGACTCCGCCCAATGCAAAAAATAAATAAAAAAGAGAATGAAATTAGAATCCCCATCCATCCATCCATCCATCCATCCCAACCTGGTGGTGGACAGATAAGCAAAAAAAAGAGAAGGCTCATCGCCGACAGCAAACACACGTCTCACGTCTTGTCCGTCTCGTCTGTCATTTAGCTGATCAGCGCCCCGATGTCGCTGTCAATGTCCTTCTTGGTCCTCCACAGCGACCGCTTCTTCTCCCGCTTGGCCTTCATCGCCGCCCACCCTTGCTCGTCGTCCTCGTCGTCCGACGCGTTGTTGGACCTGTTGAGCGGCGACGTCGACGGGCTCGCCTTGCGCTGCTGCGGCGGCTGGTCCAGGCCGCCGCCCAGCCCGCCCGACATGAGCGACGACTTGCGCGAGTGCTCGCCGGCGCCGCCGGCCGAGGGAGGCGGCGCCTGAGACACGGGGCGGTAGCGGCCAGGCAGGCCGACGTTGCTCCGCTCCGAGGGCGCAATCGACGGCGCGTATCCGTTGGCGCCGACGACCCGGATGGAGGGCGCGTAGCCCGCACCCTGGGGCTGGATCCAGGAAGCCGAGCTGGGCTGGACCATGCTCATCGTGCGGCCGTAGTCGTTCTGACGACCCATGGGCATGTCAGCCACGGACCCGGTGTCCATAAAGGAGTGGCGCATCATGTCGGGGCCGGGGCCGGGGCCCATGCCCATTCCCATGCCCTGGCCCATACCCATACCGCCCATCTGAGGAAGCATCGGAGGGCCCATGCTGCCCATGCTGCCCATCGAGGCCGTAGGCATGTGGCTCATGGGTCGTCCCTGGGGTGGCTGCTGCGCCTGGCCGCCGCTACCGTTGGTGGCCATCATCTGCATGAACTGCATCTGCATCTGCATGAACTGCTGCATCTGCTGGTTCATCTGGATCTGTGCCTGGTCGCCAGGCGTGAGCATCATGGGGTTGCCCATGCCTTGCATCTGCGGGTACATCATCTGAGGCGGGATGCCGGCCATGGGATCGAACTGCTGGGTGCCCATCGAAGGCAAGGGCTTGTTAGCCTCAATGTTGGGGCTCCCTCTCCGGAGTGCCCGCGACCGCTCCTCGTTCGCAATCACGCCGACCAGACCACCCGGGGGAGCGGGACCGGCCTGGGGCACAGCCGCCGGAGCACCCGCGCCGAAAGCCAGGCTCTCCCGCGGCGGCCCGTTGACCAGTCCTGCTCCCAGGAAGGGATCTTGGGGCAGCTTCCGGGCGAAGGCGGGCAGGCGAGAGCTACCTCCGGCTTCGCCCATGGCTGATCCGGGACGTTGGTAGCTAGGTTGCTGCGCCGTTTCCCGAAGGTTGGGGTTCGACATCATGGTGGTCAATCTGGTGGGCGGGCGGTTCTTGTTTGGGAAACCATGCGCGGCCAAGATCGCCAGAGGCACCTCCTCGTCCTCCTCGGAGCCTTCCGAGGTGTCCTTGGGCGAGGGGCCCATGTTGGAGACCATATTCGGCAGGTTCGGCGTGCTGAACGATGTCTGCATAGAGGGTCGCGACGCTGATGGCCCTGCCGAGCCGGTCTCTCCCGTGACCTTCATCATCTGCTGTCGATACACGGCCATGTGGGCTTCCTGCTTCCGCCTCTGTTTCGCTGCTTGCTTTGTCTTTTCAATCTCATCTTCGTCATCCTCGTAGTGGTCCTCGTCATCTTCATCACGGTCATCACCGTGCTCCGAGGATGCAGCTTCTGACCTGGCACCCTGCCGTTCTTTGTCCTGCCTGTAACGCTCAAACTCGGCCGGGGTCATCACCTTGTGCTGCTGCGGCTGCTGCTTCTGCGGAGCGGGCTTGCGAGGGATCGTGCGCTGAGGAGTCGAGCGGTTCGAGGTTGGGCGGCTCGTACTAAACAAGTTGTCTTCCTCGCCTGCAGCAACCGACGTACTCGTGAGCCGGGACTCGGACGAGACCTGTCGCCAGCTAGGGGTACTGCTGAACGAGTCCTCGTCTCGTCTGTACCGACCTGAGTGGCTCGGCACGGGTGGTGGCCCACTGGCCAGGAACCTACTGGCAGCGGAGAGGTCCTTTAGTAGCCTCGAATCCTCGTCATCACCATCCCCAGATTCTGTGGCCGAACGTCGCCGGCCCATGATCGCACTCGCCCTCTTCAAAATACCACCGTCTGATGCCGAGATGGGAATCTGTGGCCGATCACCGGCTGGAGACGCGTGTCTGGGCACTGGAGGAGCGTTTTCATTGGTGGGCGAGTCATAGGTCGGGCTTCTGTTGAGCAATTGGTCGTTGGAGTGGTGGCTTCCCCAAGAAAATGGAGAGGGCTCGATGCGGGAAGATTTGTCAATCTGCAACGGCGCCGGCTGGGCTAGCCGGTTCCCAGTCAGTGATCGGGGCGCTAAGGCCTGTCGTGCAGCAGGGTCGTCTCCCCGCAGAGTCATGACACTCTGCCTCTTGTCGAAGGTCAACATCTTGCCAAAGTCTCCGCCCATGTCCATGTTAAACTCCTCGTCCAGCCTGGGAGGGGTTGCGGTGCTCGTAGTCGACTCGGTGGTTGCTCGCGACCTGCCGCTGTTGACGTAGCTCTGAGGTGTCGCGGGCACGGGAGGAATGGGCTCCTCCACAAGGGGCGCCGGTGGTGGTACATTGTTCTTCTTCTGACCCCCAAATGAAAAGGTCCTGCCCGCCGCCTTCAGGAAGTTGGAGCTCGACTTGGGCAGCGGGGGTAACGGCATGTCCGTTTGGCTTCTCCTCATACCTCCCTTCGCATCCTCCTGTTCCCTCGCATCGGTTGATGAGGGGGCCGTGGAAGCGTTGCTGTACCGCGACGAATTATCCGTCGACATGGTCTTTGTGGTGTTGGATGAGCCGCTGCCGCTGTGACTATGATTAGCAAACCACCTGACCGAGCCCAGGCCGTCCCGCCAGCGAGGCCTGTGGACAACAACCAAGGGAAATGGCGCCGGCTTACCGATTCGTGTTCAGGTTGGCAAAGATGTTGTCCTCGACTGAGATGTTCGAGACGCTCGCTCTGGCCAGAGCATGCCCCTTTGCCGCCATCCTGGCACCGCCGTCAAAGGACTTGCCATTGGAAACCTCGTTCCGGTCGAGCACTCGAAAGGTCGGCTCGGCTACGGCGCCATTATCGAGACTGTCAGCGGTGGATCGCCGCCTGCCGAAAGGTACCGGGAACTTAGGCATGTAGGATCGAGGTCGGCGGCTTGGCCGACGAAGATCAGGGCACAGCCGGTGACGATATCTACGCCTGCAACGAAGCAGAGGTAGTGGTGGTGAGATTCGATCGGGGAGGACGAACGGGACAAACGTTCAGGTGTGGTGGAATACGAGGCTGGGCTTGTTGTGCGACCGGCTAAACACGACGTGGGTGGCCTGTGGTTTCTCCCACCCCCCTTCTTTTGCTGCCTGTCAATAAGGCGATTAACTTATGACGCGCGAGCTATCGGTTGACTGCATAAATGAAGCGCCCCAGAGTTAGCAAGGTTTCTCTGTATCTCACTCGACATGCAGCTTCCCGCGTCCTGTCGCCGAACACCCTCTAGAAATCTCCAGGGACAAAAAGGCGAGCGTGCTCAGAGCGCCATCCTTGTGAGACTAAGCATACGCAACGGCACAACAACTAGTTCCCAAGATCGTAGCGGCTTGATGATGACAAAATCCGAGATGTGCTCCTCTTTGTAGGACTAGCGGTTGTGTCTGGCTCGGCCGGGTAGTAGGCAACAAAGGGCGAGGCGAGGGCATATCCACTGGCTATCGTTGCAGGCGTCGACATTCGTTTTGAAGAAGAGGAGGGCTCCAGAGCATCCTAAAGCAAGACAAAGAAAGCAAGAAGAGCTTTTCCCACTTACAGCAAGACCCGATACCAAGCTGAGCTTTAGGTATTCATCAGACCGCAGCAGATTAATCGTAGTACAGATGAGTATCCGGTCGCACTCTGCGGAGATGGTTACTGCGAGGTAGGGCAGCAAGATTGGGCGTGCTCAGAGCAACGGAGTCCCGACGCCACGAGAGCGAGGATTTGTCGAGGCGGATGAGCTGAAGTGAGAAAGGGGCCGATCTATGGCGGGCAGGGAGTGTCCGAGAGCAAAGGAAGACAGGCTGACGCAAAAGGAATCTATTGGGCGTTGGAACAATCAGGAACAAAAGGTCAACGAGAGACTGGGAAGGAGAACAAGGCTGTCAGCAAGGGCTTCAACGCTCGCAGCAACAGTGAGGGTTCATGGGAATTGACGTCGCTAGCTTCGGGATGAGGAAGACAAGGGAAGAGGGGAAGCAGAGTCGAAGAATACGGAGCACGGAGAAGAGAGGTTGAAGCCAACACAAAGCCAGCTGGAGACCTGTCTCGTTGTTGCGTGACGGGTGCAGAGGTGCAGGCTGGTATGGGTGCTGCTGCTGCTGCTCGGTTACCAAACCCACCCGCACACTACACTAATAGCTTAATAGGGGCCGCACAGTACGAGCAGGGTACCTCAGTCAGTCAGGGACGGAGCAGCCCAGAGAGAGAGAAAAAGCGCGAAGCCCGAGAAAACTGGACTGGACGGTTGGGACCTGGGCCACTACGCAGCGAGAAAAAAAGTGGTCGACCCGTTAGTGGTTAGGGGTTCCGCAGGGGCCATTGGAGTACCGGGCTAGGATCCACCGGGCCAGCGAGGACCAGGGGTGGTGGTGGGGGAGAAAATGCTCGCTGAGAGCAGGGACCGGGGACGGGGCACAGGGGGGCCAGTAGGGTGGGCAGGGGAGTGGACCACGCACCGAACCGCGAGAAAAAGGGAACAAAACAGCACACAAGTCACGATGAACCCCTGTTGTAAACATGACGACGGGCTGGGCTGGCAGAGTCTCTGTGCGACCTATGACCTATGCTCCCGACCGCCGCCTGCTAACAAAGCATTTGTGACTTTATATTTGATGGCGTTTTTGGCGGCTGTTTGGCGGCCTTTTCCAAGAGATGGCAAAATCACATGTGTACGCGTTTCCCATCTGCTGCTAGCTCAAGAGTCGCAGGCTTGGATAGATAAGGTCTAGCCTTGGAGAGGTCTTTTGCCTCCTCGACCCCGTCCTGAGCCTCTGCATCACCTCGGAAAATTTTCACATGTGCACGAGGAACCTGTACGTACCTTAGACAGACAAGGCCGAGCCAATTGTCGAGACGTTATCGAGATCGCGAGTCGGTCTTCTAACTCTTCTGTTTCACAGTCAGATCAGAAACCTGATGACGCCTCTCTCGAGGATAAATAGGCATTCATTCTTCCTGTGATTTGACTTTGGCTAACATGGGCTCAACTCGGTCCATTTTCCACCTAGTATCTGGTCTCACAAAAAAACCCCGGGCCTTCCCACCGCCCGTCGGGCGAGACTCAGATAGTCGGTGGGGACACTTTCAGCGCTGATCTCCAGTAAATTGAAGCTAATGACGCCTTCTGCCTGGAATAGCACCAACCGACCAGCGCACGGGTACCACGCAATCTGAAGGCTCCTGGCGGGTATTTGGGCAAATTCTCCTGGGTCGTCGCCGCCCTATGATCTTGGAGGATTCGCCCACCTGTGCACTCGCTGAGGCGAGATGAGATGCGCTGTGCTGTTATCGACGACTGCTTTCATTGTCTCTGCTTCTTCTTCTGAGATCTCGGGAAGCTGGTGAGACTTGGAGATTGTGCTTACATCGGCGATACGAATCTGCTGACTTTGCAGTACCCATACAGCAGGCACAGCACAGGTGGTTGTACAAGTACACAACAACACGACTGGCTGCTCCTTCCTTCTCCACGCACGCTGCACCACGTCCATGCATGTGCCTCGCGCCGATGCACAGTGAGGTCAAGCAACACTACCTTACTTGTACAATACACTACCATACCTTAGCTTGTACAAGTACTGTGGTCAGTGATCCACCTTCGCATCTCTGACTACGCCGTAAACGTGCCACTATTTGCAACGTTGTTGATCCTTCCTGCCGCCGCCCCTCGCTGACCCTCGAGCCCTATGCAACCCAAAGCAAGGCAGGAACAGCGCCACGACTGCCTGACTTGCTTGTCTTGTTCCCTGTTCCTGCTCTAAACAACCTGCTGGGCCTGCTGGAGCGGTGGACCCTGCCTTGGAAGGCCCAGATGATCCCTTTCAAGTACCTCTGTCAAGTTCGTGCTGTCTGATTGCAAGCTGGTTCTCGGAGTCTCAGAGCAACCTCTCTTCTGGCACTCCGAGAAACGTCTCTGGCGTCACATTTCTCACGCTGACGGCTGAACAACCCCCCGACCCCGGCCGCTTCGGACAGCCCAGCAAGGCGCTGGCTCAAGTTCCTCCCAATCACTGGGCTTGACTAGTACTACTTGTAGGGCCGCGGCCCGGACTTAGTTCTGGAATGCTACGTTCGTCTAATCGCTTCCCCAGACGGTGTTGATGAGCGGGCTTACCCATCCGACTAAACGTTAATCACATTCCTGGCTTCCAATGGCATTCTTTGCAACCAAGAGAAGAGACACCTACCTACTCTACTTGTACCTAGGTAGTAGGCAGATACCCTTACCCTTGCGTGCAAAAGATGCCGGGGACCTGTCCAAGGCACTGGAATCCGTGCTGTTCACAATGGCATCCTCACGAAGTAGCCATGGGAACACCCGCGGCCATGGTCATACACTCTCCGCAAACCTCATGTGAACATCATCGCAAAGGTCTCACCACATTAGTCGCCCCAAAATCTCCGGCCAAAAGGGCCTGCACTGTGTGCTGAGTGCGTACAAGACCGGCACCACGATATCAGCCTTCTGTGTTAGCCAGCCCCTGGTCTTGCCAGTCGGTGCCGAACCGGAAGGGCAGAAGAAACCATGCTACAGCTGCTGTGCAACCTCGACAACCCGAGGATTTGGGTCACAAGGTGTTTAAAAACAGACAAAAGCTGGCAGCGTACCTAACCGCATGAAACGGCGCTGCTACCTATTGCCCTTCTTCATTCCTAATTCAGCTATCTTGACTGAGTCCTTGGGTCAGTCGTCTTTGCGGGCTGTCGACCCGGAAGACAACATGCCAACCATATCTGCATCTCCTCTATCTATGGTGTCCAGTCGGCATTTTCCCAGGAGACTGCCGCTTATGCCAAGCCTTGACAAGGACGACTCCTCATTCTCGTGGCAATGCGCCTGGACATGAATACCTACCGACGTCCAGATTGTTTCGTTCCAGTACAAAGGATGCAGTTTAACGGAGGCTACTGGGTACAACCTACTTTTAACAACTGAACCCCTGACGAGTCCCATCGCTGCCCGCTGCATTCCAGAAACCCTCTACAAGTAACTACAAGCATAAACCGAGTGGGGGCGCAGGATACGAAGTACAAGTAGCTTGTATGGAGTATGTATCAGAGCACTGGACCTGTGGCAGTTCCCTACTGTGGAGCGATTGCGGACAGGGTTTCGGCAATGCTCATCACCATCTGTTAGCGGGATGAACTACGAGAGGTAGGTACAAAATCCTGGACGGGCATCAACAGAGATGGTTGTTGGTATCCTTTCGCTACGTTCTACTGTACCAACTGACCCGAGATGAGACGGTCAATTCGGAAGATTTTCGACTCACCTACAGGACGCGCGCCTTTCTCTTATGAGCGACAACAAGTTTAGCCTAGTTTCCGACGTGGTGTTGGGATCTGTGTGCAGATATCATCTGATGGCAGGATCCGGCCAAGCTTCTGAATAATCCGGGCTAGCAGCAGCTAGCGCTGGACCTCTTCTGCCCCAATCTGGGATATTGGGAAGATCCCAGGAACCGATTCCCTCTTGCATGTTGTTTTCCTCAAGGAGTATGCAGTCAGCTATCCATCCAGCACACGCACCCCTCCACCACAAGGCTTGGCTGGGCAGTGGGCATGGATGGCGGCGGTGATGAGGATAGAGAAGCGAGGGCGGGTGCTTGCTGAGGATGACACATTCGACAACACGGTGGGAAAGTAGCCTCTTGGTACCCTGCACCCGCATTGGCTTGGCGGTGCGTCCCTTGATGGTGACAAAAAGCCAAAATTTGCACACCTCGTATTCCCGTCAGCAGCAGCAGCACCCCGTGGCAGAGAGTCCCGCAAAAAAGGGCATTGGGCAAAGAATTCAGCGTGTCTTGTTTTACGAGGTTACTGTTACTCTGCGCCAGGGCACCCGATCCGTTTTGTGGAATTTTTTATTCTGGCTTTCTGGTCTTCTCTTTTCTTGCCTCTACCCTCCCCCTTTCCCAAGATTGGACCGGCCAACCCGGACGTCTTTTTTCTCTGCAGCCGCAGCTGCTGTCTTGCATCGCTAGCTGGGTCAGGCCAGCAAGCCACGATATGTCAAAAATTTGCCGGTGGGGTCGGTTGGGTCTCGCAGCAAAAAGCAATACACACCTTCTCCGTACGTGACTATCTCCATGGTACACCCTTAGTGCCTTCAAATGCCTTTTTTTCTTTTTCTTTTATCGTTGCCTTTGACATTCACGTGCGAGATCCCCTATGTGGCGTGCCGCTGTGGACTTGTCTGGCGATGTGTATGAGACATCACTAGGCAGGCAGGCAGGCAGGCAGGCACCGAAAACGCACTGTTCATGCATCCATCACTCGATCTCTACGCCAGAGGAATTGATCAAAGGAAAGGAAATAGGGTAGCCGGTGCGAGCTCCTGCCCGCTTTTAGGCTTCAGCCCACCTTGAGGCTCCAGAGAAGGGTCGCCGTCTATTACCGGTAGTGCTCTTGGACCAGTCGATTTCCGCAAAGGAGAGGAGGTGGACCGCGCCCCCCAAGGGACGGACCCCTGGTGTATGTCATCTCCTGTGCATCCGGATGGGCGCCAGCTCAGGTACGATGCGACTCTGGCAAGTCTGGCCCGGCCAAGGCGCAAAAAGGAAGACGACCCTATTGGCTGCGGGATTCACGATGGCGCCTTGGGTTCCCTTTGTTCTGTTTACTGATCCTGGTACCTACTCCGTCAGAGCATCGTGGATGGACCTAACGGGGCAATAGTTGCGGGTTGACACCCGCGCGCGTGTCGTGTGTGCAGAAAGACGTGACCTGACTGACCTGAGAGCTTGTGCGGGTGCTTTATTAGCTAGGCAGTTAGCTCGCGCCTGAAAAGGGACGGTCCTCCCGAGAAACATCAATGCAGCACACCATGCCTTGGACAGTGTTCTCCTGTGGACTCTCTTCTCTTCCTGTTCAAGTGAGCCCTTCTCCAGTGATCTTCGTACGTCCGGCGTTTTGGAAAATGCTACTCCCCAGAAAGAAAAAAAATCAGAGATAAGCCTCGTCGAACTGCGATCTTCTCATTACACTGTGCAATGCAAACCCCTGTGTTCACTGGGACCTGGGTCGATCGCCATGCCCAACATGACATCAACCAGCGCGTCTTGTTAGCTTGACTGTACCCACCACCCTCCCGCGGTATCTTGGTCGGCGGCTGCAACTTCTTTTTTTCAGCTGACGACTGGCGGCGCTATTGGTTTGGGCGGCTTGAACAAGGGCCTGAGAAGCTGGGGGAGGTGCCCGGCGGGCGGTAGTTGGGAAATGAATCTGACTCTACTCAGGTGCGCCTCGGGGCGCTGAAGATCTTTGCCAGGTTCAGAGTAAAGAGTTTGGTTAGGTAACTCGTTCCTGAGAGTGTCTTTCAACCAGCGAGCGCGAGGTGACAGGTGTCGCTTTCAATGATCTATCTATCTAAGCCAGCCGGACATGTCAGTGTCTCGCAGAGGCGTGGGCCTGGAAACTTGGAATTCGTTATTGAAGAGTGCCAACAAAAGAAGCATAGCAGATCATGCTCGACGGGCTTACCGAGCTGCAAAGCAAGGACACAGGGTAATAACAGGTTTGTTCCTTGTAACTAACCACATACGCGGCGTCTCTTTGACTCCCGCGAGCGATCTGCGCCCAGGTACGTTAGGTAGGGCACGTTTTCCCGGGTCTCAGGGACCAACGATTTGCAAGACTTGGAAGTCTTTCTTGAGGCTGTGTGAGTCGCTCTTTTAATGCCTTTTTTGCGGGCCGCATTAGATTGATCTCCATCGTCCTTCCAAGAGATTTCCTGATTGCCAAGGGTCGGGTGCGGTGGGCGCAGCGGAAGACGCGACCCGATCGAGCTTAAGAGCCGGGAAAGCGTTAATTGCAGTGCGATATAACTCGGGATTTATCGACGTTCGCAACGCGGTTCTGATAATTATATCTGCAAAGAGGTGGGAAAAGACCCCAAGGACCCAGCTGGCTACAGGTGAGTATTGATTGGCTTTCTTTCAATGCCCTGCCTGGGAAGCTATTTCGGGATAGTCTCCTCCGCGACAGGCAGACTGTTGTATCCACACACTTGTGAGGGTCTCTGTTCGATCTTGACAAGTTGCTGTTGCTTTCTGCTGCAAGACGGTGGGTTGTCTGCTACTCTGCCCGTACACATGCCTACCTGACCTGCTTGCTTAGGTAGGAGCACATGCACGGCTGAGACCGGGAGTTGGGCGGTGTGCAGCCGACGTAGGAGAGCGTTTCATTTTGTTGAAACAACAAGACTGCGCAAAGATGCTCGCTAAAAGAAGGCTTTTGGCTGTTGATACAACCCTACCATGACTCGTTTCCACTTCTTGAAGGAGGGACCCCTGATGGAGAATGATGGACCTATTCCGTACGTAAGAACAAACAACCTGCCCTTCCTCTGCATCCATTTGGGAGACAATTCGTAGTGAGGAGGTCAATGTTGACTGAACTACAGGCCGATTAGTCAGTCAAGGGTTGTTGGTTAGGCTTTCCTGAATCCGGGAACGGCGAGGCAAATTCGAACTCTCGAACCCAATCAGACCGTGTCGCGGGCCGGCAGCTCTGGTCGACACGCGGTACTGCCAAGCGGCTAGCGAGCTTAAAGCTGCCCGCTCTACAAGTAATTAGCTGCGACATTGGCCAGCCTCGAGCCCAGAGAGACCCGCCTCAGCATAGCCCGCACCCATCGACGTCAGCCTCGCCTTTGTGTGGCGGCCTCTGCGCAAGCTATCACCGAACCTCCCACCGCAACCACCAGCGAGGTCATGCAATTGACGCACCCGAGAGCTTGCCATCGACGGGAGAGCGGCTTCTGAGGCATCCAGAGCAGTTATCGCATTGCTCGGGGCAAGTCTTGCACACTCGGCGCGACCTCCCACCGCGCTCAAGACAAGCCCGCGCGCGCTGCAAAGCCACTTAGTCGGAGTGAAAAACAGATATCACCGAAAACTCGCTCACCTCGCTCAAGCTTCCCGCAACAACCGCACAACCGCCCGGTGATGGGCGCCGATAGCCCAATGTCGTCGCCCGGCAAGCCGCCCGCCCTCACGCGCGTGCCCTCGTGGCGCCGCTCCTCCTTCCTCATGCTGCAGGAGGACCCCTACCCGCTCGCCTCCAAGGGCCAGGGCGCCCTCGCCTCGCTCATCAAGAACAGGTCGACCACCTCGCTGCTGGGCGCCCGGCAGAGCAGCAGCCGAGACGGCTACGGCGGCGACGAGGAGTCCGGCAGCGAGTACGGCGGCGGCGGGGCCCACTGGGCGACCGACGACGAGGACGAGTTCGGCGACTACGGCCGCGACGAGCGGCGCATGAGCGCCATCCTCAACGCCCCGCACATGCGCAGCATGCGCCTCATCGGCAACAGCAACCCGCGCTACCGCTGGGAGCGCTACTGGAAGACCGAGGCCGAGCTCAGGGCCATGCGGAAGCCCATCCGGCGGTACTACGAGCGCACAAACGTCCTCGTCCAGCAGTACCTCTACATCGACCGCCTGCTCGACTCGAGCCTGCCGCACGACCTGCTCAACGAGTACAACGACATGCCGCCCTGGGCCTTCCGCGGCGTCGAGATCCCGCAGACCATCTCGGAGGAGCCCTCGTCGGCGGGCACGCCCGTCACGGGCTCCACGCTGGCCAACAGCAGCAACGGGAACGGCAGCGGCGGCGGCGGCGGGCTGGGCCTGGGCTCCGGCGGCGACTCGTCGACGAGCCTGGCGGGCGCGGCGAAGAAGGTCAAGCGCACGCCCAAGGACATCTACCGCCCGACCGAGACGTCGCCCCTGCTCACGCGCGTGCCCTCGCAGGAGGAGCTGGGGCCCGCGCACCTGGAGCAGCAGCCGGCGGCGCAGGAGCACGAGATCCCCTGGCTCGAGGACGACGACGTCGACGCCGGCGCGCGCATCGTCACCGTCGCCATCTGGGTCAACTTCGCCGCCAACGTGATCCTGCTCGCCGGCAAGATCGCCGTCATCATCCGCGTGCCGTCCGTCTCGGTGCTCGCGAGCCTCGTCGACGCCGCGCTCGACTTCCTGTCCACCGTCATCATCGGCATCACGACCTGGCTCATCAGCCGCCAGGACAGCTACCGGTACCCGATCGGCCGGCGCCGCCTCGAGCCGCTCGGCGTGCTCATCTTCTCCATCGTCATGATCACTTCGTTTGTGCAGGTCGCGCTCGAGGCAATCCAGCGGCTGGCGTCGCCCGACCATCAGATTATCGAGCTGTGAGTTTCTTTTTTTTTTTTTTTTGAGATGCGTGACACACGCAGAGTGGTGGATACGATGCTAACTGTACTGGGTGAACAGTGGCTTCGCGGCTATAGCTATCATGCTGAGCACGATCGTCATCAAGGGCCTTTGCTGGGTCTGGTGCCGGCTTGTGAAGAACTCGAGTGTTCAGGCGCTGTACGTTTTACTTCACGTCTTCCGGTGTGTAGTCTCGGGGGGGGATCAAACTGACAATGTGTAAACTCAGGGCATCCGACGCCGCGACAGACGTCATCTTCAACGCCGGCTCCATCGCCTTCCCCATAGGTGAGTCATTCTTTTGCACCCCGACTGCGAGTATCCGGTCTTGCTAATCCTCGCGGTAACTACAGTCGGCTTCTACGCCCGGATCTGGTGGCTCGACGCCCTCGGCGGCCTGCTCCTCTCCATGGTCGTCATCTTCAACTGGGCCCAGACGTCGGCCCAGCACATCAAGAACCTGTCGGGCTTCTCCGCCACGGCCGACCAGCGCAACATCCTGCTCTACCTGACCATGCGCTTCGCCAAGACCATCAAGCAGATCCAGGGCCTGCAGGCCTACCACGCCGGCGACAAGCTCAACGTCGAGGTAAAAAGGAACCCCGACCCCCCCTGATTATGGGGGATTGCTCATGCTAACAACGTGGGTCATATAGGTCGACATCGTCTTGGACGCGAGCACGTCGCTCAAGGACAGTCATGATCTGAGGTGAGAGAGCTCCTGACGACTTTATTTGTTCCCTTGCTGTCTTGGTATAATTTGCTAATACAGACCTCCAGTGAGAGTCTCCAGTACGTGCTCGAGTCGGTGCCCATCGTCGACAGGGCCTTTGTCCACGTCGACTACGCCACGTACAACCTGCCCACGCACATGGAGCAGCAGGCGCGGTAGAGGGCTGCGCGCGCGCGTTGTGTTGTATTGTTTTTATTTTGTAAAACTGAACTCTATATGTGTGTGTGTGTGTGTGTGTGTTTCTTTTTATGTGACTTTCGTGGCGTTTTTCAAGATGGGATGGGATGTACCATGCAGATAGAGATTGTTAGACTGAGCGAGCCTTGTGCCAATATATCATCAAGAACTGTAAAATCATTGCAGCGAATTTTTTCTACTTGTGTGGTTCGTGTTTCAGTGAATGGAAGTCTCCTTCTCGCAACCACACTCATGACACGAAGTTTCCAGGAGCCAAAAGAATATCATATACCCCTGCAAATGGATTCAGTAAGGTGATATCAAAATGTAATTAACTAATAGCTTTTTGTCTACAATCTCAAAAGTAAGGTGCAGGCTATGCATATGCTGTAGTTCAATAACAAAAACCCTTCTGCAGTCCCTCACCCATTTTTCTTTTTCTTTTTCTTCCTCTTCTTCTCCTTCTAATACGGAATCCCATTCGTCATGAGCTGGAACTGGTCGTAGAAGCCCGTCGAGTAGCTCGAGTAGCTCTTCTTGATCAGGTCCTTCATGAACTCGGCCGCCTCGCGCTCGCTCCTCTCGACGACGAACCGCTCGCGGAAGTGCCTGACGCTCTCGGGCTTGAAGCAGGGCAGGCCGCTGTCCATCATGAGCGCCACCAGCTGCGACAGCTTGTCCGTGTGGGGGCGCGACGCGAGGAAGGCCTTGACGCACAGCTCCTCGAACCACTTGAAGCTCTGGTGCTCCGTGCTGCCGCCCATGACGGCCATCATCTCCCCCGTCAGCTTGAAGGGCGCGCGCTCGAAGCGCACGCCGCCGGGCGCGATGTCGAAGCAGAACCCGAAGTCGATGTGCAGGATGTGGCCCGCGTCGTCGATCATGATGTTGCCGTTGTGCCGGTCCTTGAACTGCAGCAGGAACGAGATGACCGAGTAGGCGGCCATGCTCTTGACAAAGTTGGCGCGGGCGCGCTGGAAGCGCAGCGAGTCCTCGTTGCCGTACTTGGAGATGAAGTAGTCGTACAGGCCGTTGACGGCCTCGCGGCCGAGCATGTCGCGCGAGATCGAGTTGGGCAGCACGTCGATGACGCCGCACCCGGGCGCCGTCGCCGTGACGCGGTTCGGGTAGACAAAGACGTCGAGCCCGACGCTGTGGAAGATGCCCCGGAAGGCCGCGATCATCTGCAGCGCCAGCACGTCCTGCCGCACGTCGTCGCCCACCTTGAAGATGGCCGACTGCCACGTCTCGTACGTGTTGTCCACGGGCACCACGGCGCCGTTCTGCCGGCTCGTCTCCTCGAGCATCTCGTCCGTCTCCTCGACGCCGCCCTTGTTCTTCTGGATGCGGAAGGTCGCCATGTACGGCGCCTTTGCGTGGCTCTGCAGCGGCTTGCCCGACTTGCGGTCGATGCCGATGACCACGCCGTCGGGGTTGCTGGGCAGGTAGACTCCGACCTCGACCTTGATCTTGCGGAGCTCCTCCTCGATCTTCTGCTTCTTTTCGGGCTTGGACTTTTTGATGTAGGGCTTGAGCTTGCCCGAGATGCCAGTGACCTCGTCAAAGAAGGAGAACTCGCGGTGGTAGAACTCTCGGTCTACCTCTGAGAAAGACTCAATCATGCTCGTCATGACCTTGTCAAGTGTAGGCTTGATGGGGTCAGGCTGTGAGGCAGATTAGCAACCCTGCGTAAAAAAGCAAGGCCGGAAAAAGAACCTGAGAACTTACAATAGTAGCATCGTTGTCCTTGTACGCGTTCGCCTTCATGTTCCAGATGATCTGGTGAGCAAAAAGCTGCGAGAACTGTGCTGTCTCCAGTATGTATCGTTCCACATAACCAAGGGCGTCATAGCGCAAGGTCTGGACCATCTGGGGCACGTAAAAGAAGGTCACATCGACCGAGTGGCTCTCAAGAGCCCTCATGGCATACTGTACTAGGAAGGGATGGTCCTGGTAGGCGGGCAAGAAGTAGGTCACAGCAGTAACAGGGTTGACGGGAGCCCAGAACAGCAGGTACTGGAGTGCGTCAGCGAGCCATTCACATTTCAAATGGTTTCGGGGCTGGACAGACCTTGAGCTGGAAGCTCACATCGCCAGGAAGAGACTGGCCAAGGAGAATGGGCAGTGCCTCTGGATCCGAGATCGCCTTGGACGGGAAGTTGAGCAGCAGCCATCGGACCTCTTTATGGACACGGGGATGCTGGAATCGAGTAGCTAGCTCGATGGCAATCGACGGGTGCTCGGCCCATGCAGTCCGTACAAGAGGGCAAAGCGCATTCTGTGAGAGGTCAGCAACAGTGCCAGTAGAGAAAGGTGGGGAGCAGCAATACCTCAATAGCACCCTTGCCAGTGTGAGCCGCAGATTGCTGAAGTCTCGGTGGCTCGTTCAGCGGCGACATCCATACCGTGAGCCTCGAGATCTCGTTCTCGAGGAGGAGCTGAAGCAGCTGCTCCTTGGCTTGCAACGACTTGATATTGCCAACTTGATGCGCGCCAATGAAAGACACAGCGCTGAGCGCGGTCATGACGTCCGAGAGCAGTCGTAGCTCCGTCTTGAGCTGCACGTTGTTGCTGCCAAAGGACCATCGGGGAGCATGTCTGAACCAGCTGAGGCCAGCCGACAAGACCTGGTCCTTGAGACGCCATTGGGCGATAGCACCGATGGTGTTGCTGGTGCGCAGAACCCGGAGACCAAAGAGCACGATCTGGAACCGGATTTCTCTCGCCATGGGGTGCGCAGTGGAGTTCTTGAGTGCCTCCAATGTGATATCAAGAAGACGCAAGAAGACCTTCTGTGTGTCCTGGCTACCAAGGCGAGTGGCGTTGAAATGACTGTTGAAGAACTGGAGCAGCCTGGTATGGGGAGACAGGAGGTTGTGAACCAGCTGCTTGCGCTTCGCCATAGCAGGGGCATCAGTGGGCGCAAATTCCTCCTTAAGGAAGAACGGGTCAGGGTGAGTGATACTGGTGCTGAACAGTCCCAGCCTCTTCTGTACGCTCATTTCCCACTGCTGGGCGATTTCGTTGAGGATCCTCGATTCCATACGAGGATTCTCATTCATGACGCCAAGCCAGAGGGAGACTCCGAGCTTGATAGACTGCTTCGTAAACATGGCAAAGGGAATGGTCACCATGTAATGCGCAACGGCACACTCATCCCCCTGACTGCGGCAAAGCAGCGACGCCCCACGACGCAGGATGTCACGGACATCGCCAATAGGAGTGGCCTTTTTGAGAAGCAAACGGGCCTCGATATACTTCAGTGCCGTGATCGCGTCGCTGCTGTCGGCATCAGTGTCGGGAATGAACGACAGCTTGCGGCTGTGGCCCATGAAAGTGGTAAGCTCCAGGCTTTGGTCGCCCAATGGCTCGGCATAACGATACTCCTGCCGTGTGGTGTACTGAGCGACGAAGTCCGAAGCGGTATTGATGTTGCCTGCCCCGAGCCCGCCCAAGTTTGTGAGCCGCTGATCGGTCGAAGGAATCCAGGATCCGATCTCGAGTGCGAAGGAGCGGCCAAGGGAGACGTGCCCATACGCTCCGTCATCGTCCCATTCCGAAAGGTAGGTCTGCAGTAAGCCCTTCACATCGGCCGGAGCCAGCGCAATGACACTGGTCAACCAGACCTTCGCCTTCTTGTAGAGGTGGTCCAGCGTAAAGCGGCGCAGCGCGTAGTCATCAGAAAGCTCTACAGTGACCTTTCCACGGACGGACTTGAAAGTGCTTCGCGGTTCGTACATTTCCGTCTCGGCCTCCAAGCAACTTGTCCACATCAGGGAAAGAAGCTCGAGGAGTGCGAAGAGAGAAGAGCGGTGGCAAAGCGTTGATGGGATCTCTTTGATGAACCGATCCGCGCAGATGTACGCCGCCTGCTGCACGCGCTCAATGCGATGGCAGCAGCTGCACAGGATGGCAGCAAGCTGCCTAGCCGCATACTGAGCTGTGAAGTTGGTGCTCGACCCACTGAGAGTCCGCTTAATGTATCGCTCAACCACGGAGGAAGCGATTCCTTCCATGATGCTGCTCACATCTCCGCGACGCATGCTCGGCTCCAGGAAGTACGAAAGCGCCTTGCTGCAGTCTCCAGCGTCGGCGCGGAGACTCTCCACGAGGTAGGCAGCGTGGAGGAAGATGACTTTGCGGTAGCTGAGACCTCTGATCTCGGAGGCCTTGGCGGGCACCAGCTCGGACAGATTCTTCTTTTGCATGGCCTCACGGTCAGAGCTCATCCCCCGCCTCAAGACAGTGTTGAGCTCAATGTCGCTTTCAACTTGTTCGCCTCGCTGCTCGGCAACCAAGGGTGGAGAGTGGATGGCAATGATGCGCAGCTCGTTGACATACTTCTTGCCGTGAGCAGTGCCATTGGTGAAACCGTGCACAACAATGTTGAACCAGGCATCTCGAAGCATAGCGTGAGTTTCGTCATCGGCAGAAGCGTCGAGAGCGAGGTCCTTGGCTGACATGAGAACTGCCAAAGGCTGAAGAAGCTGGGCAATCTCCCTTGCAGCAAGCTCGACCTCTGAGTCCTTTGCATGGTGCGAGGGATGTGTGTCACCCTTGGAGATGATGTCGTCAAGCATATGTTCCCAGTAAATGTCATAGAGCGGCGAGTCTCGCTTGATGTTTGTGGAGATATAGTTGCGAGCTTTCATGACGGCATCGAGCAGGATCTCCCTGTCCTCGACCACGCCGGTGTGGCAGACGCGGGTGAATAGCTTCAAGAGGGAGCGGAACTCAAGGGAACCGCCAGCCAAGGACAAAACGGCTGCACCCTGGATGATCTTAGCGGCGGCATAGCTGCCGAGCTTGTCGACTTTTTGAAGCAACATTGACTGCGCCAAGGCTGTGATCTTCTCGTCCCTGCAGGTTGCCGCAATGCCGCATATGGCATCGATGACATTGTTGTAGATGACTGCCGTCTCCTCCTCCCCGCTGATTCTGAGAGAGATCGAACTGCCCGTTGACTGTCTGCCTTGATAGATGGGGCGAGCCGGATCGGGACCCTGATCGCCGTTTACGCTGCCGGTGAGGCTCCCTTCGTTTTCAGGACTGAGCACGTTGCCCAGAGTGTAGAGTGTGGTAATGACTGCATCGTTCGAGAGCATGCGGAGGACATATGCGAGGCACTTGGCAGCGATGTCCACGGTCTCCTTTGAAGCACCACCCTGCACGATGAAGCGGGGAAGCAAGCGACTCACATTGGCGGCATACGTGGGAGAGAACTTGCAAATCAAAGCCATGGACTTCAGTACAACCGCGGCAAGATCAGCATCGGCCATCTGAACCGGATCTGTCAAGGTTTCCTCTAGCCAGGCCATGAGAGCGTCGGTATCGGCAGCGTCCTCGTTGAGTCTGGCGCAGTTCAGATAGCTGATCAGTGCTGCGCCCTTGACAGCGAAGGCAAGCCTCTGCTGCCCGACGGAGCCGAGGCGGATGAAGTCGGCACTGGATTCGAGATAGTTCATTTGGTCAACTACACCGGCGGCGTAAACCTCGACCGACATCAGGTCTGCATCGCCACTGCGGGCTGTCATGGGTCGCAGAAGTCCTTCTCCCGACAGGAGTAGATCCAAGACATGGTTCTTTCCCAGCGATCTCACATCTACCACCAGGAGGGATGTCGTGGCCACGAGCAGATGCGACAGGCTACGCTGGATCAACAAGGCACCAAGAGGTCGACCAATCTCAGCATAGTTTCTCAAGTATCGCTTCCATTCTCGAGTCAAACGGTCCGAGGAGTGCGAGTTGCGGATTGTCGACAGTGCCGTCTCAACCGCGACCAAAAAGGGATCCGAGACCATCTTCCTGACTCTCTGGACGAGTGCCAGCCGCCCTCCGGACCTCCAGAAGTCAGCTTGCGCCGCGGCGGCATCCATGAAACCCAGAAAGGCCACCGCGATAGTCGCAGTGCGGATGGCATCTTCCAGGTTTCCGTCGCCTCCATCCTGGTTCGGCAGGACCGTATTGACGGCATGCGCGCAGCTCGACAGGAAGGCCCAAATGTTATCCGAGACGATCTCCTGCACGGCGTCGTGGCGGATCCCGAGGGAGAGCAAGGCGGCCGTGACGTGGTAGGTCAGGGCCTCGGTTGGGCATGGCTCGACTTTCTGGAAGAAGGGCGACGGCACGAAGAGCTGGACGTGCGAGTCCATCATGTAGGGTATGAGCTGGCTCGAGAGCTTCTGGGCGCTGTGGCTGGTCTGGATCCCAGGGGCGGCCTTGCAGAGGGCAAGCAACACCTCGAACTCGCGAATCGTCTGCATCAATCGCGTTAGGATACATCTTGACTTCACACGGCTGCTTCTGAAAAGGGATCACAGGTGCGCAAAGGGCGAGAGGGTCGTACCATGGGAATCCGCCCCAGAGACGACTGCTTGGGCCCGTGGCCGTTTGCAGCATCCCTTCCCTTCGCATGGCTGGGACAGGCTCGGCACAGTCGGTCCAGATCAGACTTGTCGAAGGAGGCGCCCGAGCTCGAGGCAGACAGGGCTGCGATCTTCTGCAGCGCCTGCTGGCGGATGCTTCGCGACATGGTGACGTTGTTTACAGTCGGCAGGGATCCAGAGCTTGATTGGCAACTCTGAATTGGGATAAAGCCGCCAATGTTAGACTATCATGATCGCCGAGTGCGTGGTAGTGTTGTCGAGGTTGTTCAGGAGCGTCTTCGCCTTCATGAGCATCTGAAAAGCGTGGCGGAAGGTATCCCCTATCTTTCTTCTTCCTGTAAATGAAATCAAGTTTCTAGGGCGGTCGCGACAAATTATCAAGGTGCTAGTGGTAAATAAGCCGGTCACAGCCAGGTACTCTATCCTCATTCTTTGGTGCATTTTGTAAGACCTTTTCCCAAAATGGTACATATCTCATAGCCTAAACTTTGCACACCCCAGCTCCCCTAGCAAGGTCAGCTCAGGCTGGAGTGCGGGAGCATGGACCAATTGATTGCCTTTAGCGGATGATTCTAGTTCTAGTGCCCCAAGCTTGGGCTGTACCGTCACCGTTTTTTCATTTTCGCCCAATCAGCACACTCATGCCCCCTTCTGAACCAGCTTAGTCACCCAGGAGCTTCAGGCAAGGCTACCACGTTGACGCGTGCTAACCTCAACCTTCCAGCTCCAGAGCTCCCCCCCCAAGCCTCACGATCACCACACATCTCCCCCGGCCTGCGATTCCATCAAACCGACGCCATTCCCGATAACCCTGCAGACCTCTCTCCCATAGGCTGCCCCTCCATCCCTCCAAAAAGGCAAAACAAACCATCACCGAACGAACGGCAGCGCTCGTTCGCCCTCTCCCCGAGACACAATGGCCGCCATGTTCAGCCAGAACCCGATCATGAACGGGCCCAACTACTCCTTCTCCGACACCCCCAGAACCAACAATGCCCCCGAGGGCGCAAGGCAACACCGTTTTGACCCGTATGCCTCTCACTGAACGTTCTCTACCGCCAGCCAACCGCCCTTCACCACCCTCCTCCCTCCTAGCCATCAGAAATCTAACATCTCATCCCCCGACAGGTACACCGACAACGGCGGCTCGACCCTCGCCATCGCCGGCGCCGACTTCGCCATCATGGCCGGCGACACCCGCCACACGTCGGGCTACTCGATCAACTCGCGCTTCAGCCCAAAGTGCTTCCGCATCGGCGGCACGACGGCCGACCAGTCGGACGCGACCATGGTGCTCTCGGTCGTCGGCTTCGCCGCCGACGGCGAGGCCCTCAAGGAGCGCCTCGACACCGTCTGCAAGATGTACCGCTACCGCCACGGCAAGCCCATGAGCGTCAACGCCTGCGCCAAGCGCCTCAGCACCATCCTCTACCAGAAGCGCTTCTTCCCCTACTACGCCTACGCCATCCTCGGCGGCCTCGACGAGGAGGGCAAGGGCGCCGTCTACAGCTACGACCCCGTCGGCAGCTACGAGCGCGAGCAGTGCCGCGCCGGCGGCGCCGCCGCCAGCCTCATCATGCCCTTCCTCGACAACCAGGTCAACTTCAAGAACCAGTACGTGCCCGGCAGCGGCGAGGGCCACGCCCTGCAGGAGAGGGAGCGCAAGCCCCTGCCGCGCAAGGAGGTCGAGATCCTGGTCAAGGACGCCTTTGACGGCGCCGTCGAGCGCCACATCGAGGTCGGCGACTATCTGCAGATGATGGTGGTGACGAAGGACGGCATTGAGGAGCTGATCATGCCTCTGAAGAAGGATTAGACCAGATCTTTCTGGGTAAGGAAGAATGGTATTTTGTGGGATTAGGCGTCTTAATGTACAATACAATACAATACAGCATTCAAAGGGGCCGTGAATAAACCTTCTTTCTGTGGCAGTCAGTTCGAGTTTAGTGCGTACTCCCCCAAGATGAAAGAAGCTATTTTGCTCGGATGTCCGAATCGGCAGAAGCAGCCCTCGACGGAAATCCATGTCACTCAAGCAAAGGTCTGAATTGTCTACTCTGCTACAACTACAAATTACCATCAAATAGTTACCAGATAAGCGTTGTGCAGACTCGCTGTCTTCACACAAAGCGGCCCTTTGAATGAATAGTATCACGACATCAGAACGGCCGACAACAAGGGCTCTACGGAGAGTTCGTTCGGGACCACTTGGCGGGTTCCTGCAAATCCCTCGAATGAACGCTCTGGAAGATCAGATCAAGGTATGAGCAATCGTCCAAGATTCTGGCTGGACTAGGCAAGAGAACTCATGCATTCCGTGCTGACTGAAGTTCTTTCGGTCAGATCTGCTACGGGTCTGCTCACCGTCTGTGCCACGCTCAGCTTTGTCGGTGAGAGCTGCCCAGGTATGTTCACGAGCCGCCGTCCTTTTCGCAGGTATTTGAGGCGAGAGCTTTACGATCTCCCAAGGCCGGGACCTCACAAAGTCCGTAGTGGCACTGCCGCAGCCCAGAACGCATCTCAAAGTGTCGTCAGTGCAGTGTCCCAAGTATCCATTGGCCGCATATCGCACAAGGGGCGGATTGATGTTCTCCAGCGCAAGCCACTAGCTAAAGCGCAGACGTCTGCAAGCTCCGAGAGCATGCGAGCATCGACCCTACCGGTCCGGAGTTGACCATATCGGATAAGTTCGCGTTTGCATAGCAAGGCGTCGATATTTTTGTCAGGCACATCGACAGCATCGCATGCGCTTGGTTGAGGAGTGTTTAAGGGGATCATCTCCGGCAATATGAGTACGGTATTTGTTGGCGCAATGATCCAAGGAACCTCGATCTCGTCTCCAATGTCACTTGAGCTTCCATTCATCGTGGTCATGCCTTGGGAAGGCTCTGCTTCATCGACTGGGGAAGGTATCGGTCCTCGAACTGGGCTGTAAGGACGTGCACCTGCAACGAGCAGTCTCAGGGCCTCTGTCAGTGTCAGTTCGACAGCACGACTCGATCCTACCTCGCACCAAGCCACCAGGAGGAACCCGCAGCCTGCACAGGGCCAAACGGACAGGCCGACGCGACCACAGCAAACCCCCCCTTCCTCTCCAACGCCTCTTCCTTGCCGGCGGGTGGCGTGACACGAGGGCAGGAGCTGGCGATGCCGTAAAGGCGAGATCATTGCTCCTGCACGATAGACAAGGCCGCGTCTGATCAGCAGCGGGGAGCGCCTGCGTGGTGCGGTCACAAGGCTGGAATGATCTACCGCCGTCCCCGGATCGACAGGTGATGGGCACCTGAGTTTGCGCGGTCAGTACCGCTGCATCTGGAGCGTACTGAGGGGCGCGCGCGGGCCAAGGCAGGCACGAGAGCGTGCCTTGGTAGCTGTGCGTGGACGAGCAAAGCTCGCGTGCGGGACAGAGAGGTGCGGGAATAGCTGGGCAGGCTCGGTCGCCTTCGAGAGTGAGGGGGACACTTTTTTCGCCACTGAGGGGACCAAGGCAAAATGCAAGCCTCGGGAGAACGACCCTCGTTTCAAATCAATAAAGTCTCTTCGTAAGCCCCCGTTTCCTGAAGTGGTGTTGTGAGATGTCGATCTGAGGGGTGCTACTTGATGAGTACATCCTCCTCCTTGAGCGTAGGAAAGGCCATTGATGTTTCTTTGCGCTTAGCCCCGTCTCCGCTTCCAGTTGATGATCGGCCCTTTCGCACTTAGAGCGTCGGCACCAAGGATGCGGTGGCTGGAATTGCGACGGCCGTGGGCCGTTCACATGCCTCTCCTCTCTGCCTGCAGGGCGGAAAGCAATGGACGGGGCGACCACGCCAAGGTAATCAGAAAATCGGTGGTTCTCTATGCAGGGCGTTTCTATGTTTGTTCGACACCAAGCGACCTTGAAGTGTGAATGGCCCGTCGGAGCTCCCTCCGACCAATAGGCCGGCTCCAAAAGTGTCGATCTTTTGACAGATGCACAGCCACATCTCAATTTGGGGAAAAGGGCCAAGCCAATGGACCCCTGATGGGGAAAAGAAGCCTCCATTTTTCCACACGGCAACTACGTCATCGTTACTCTGCGGGTCCTCCCCAAGCGCAACGACGTACCTCGACCTGCTCGCACGTCATGAACGAAAGCCTCGGCGACTCCATGCCGATCATTGCCTGAATATGTAATCATGGATGGGGCTTTTTCAAAAGAATCTGTCTCTTTGGCGTTGCATGTGACCCCTCGAGGGGTTGCGTAGAAGAACTAGGGGTGGAGGTGAATCTGGTCTACGAAATATGAGGCGGGATCTAGACGGGTCTGCGGCCCTGTCATTCTCCCAAAAGGCTGGATCAAATGGTTCTAAAACGGCGGGCGGACGGTCGGCTTTCCGCGGCAGCGGCTACTGCGACGATCTTGCACGTCATTAGCACATTGCGACGGGTGTGGGAAGCTCAAAGCAAACGGCCACAGTGTCTGAGAAGCCACCTTGTCATGGCGATCACTCAAAAAGGTGAGGATAGACAGGGCAAAGAAGAAATAAGGGTCCTCGCAGCCTGCATGACGCCGCGGATGAGCCCAGTGTTTGAGAATGCTGAGATCCGCGCAGCTGAGGCTTACAAGATCCGTATTTGGGCGGGTTGTCGATCCCTGGTCCCCGTTAGCAAAACGGTCTCATGACGACAGAGATCCAGACCCGACGTGACTGTTGACAACATTCAAGAGGGCTGGACCGTGGGGACGGGCTGCTTGGGGATAAACTCAACAACGAAGCTCCGCAGGACATGTCTATCGCCAGGGTCTCGACGCAGATCACGTACGATATCGACGTATGGGTTCCGCGAGCTTCGCAATGCCCTGGCCTGGCCGAGGGCGGGTGGCGTTTGGTGGAGTTATCATCAAACTAGTTCGCGAGCGTCTTTGCGTCGGCATTGACTACCCTGTAGCAGTCATGGACAGAATGGCCGTGATGAGCACGCTTAGCGACCGGCCTGTTGCCTCAAACAGAGAAAGATGAGCCGGGGGGTCTCCATGTGTGCAGCAGCATGGGGTCCCTATGCCGGTAAGCGTCTTGCATCGGGAAATAATTACCACTGGGACTGTGAACGGCGTCATACAAGTACACTAGAGAGACGGAGATAAAACTAGGAGAACGTCGCGGTTTGACCACGTTTCCGCTACCAGACTTTGAGGATGACATGACAAAGGTTTTTGCAGAGGAATTCTCATGTAAGGACAACGGGATTTGGGTCCCAGAGGGCAATGATCGACAAGATTGGGCCTAGAACATCGCGATATCGGTCAAGCCACAACCAGATCTGTCTTGAAGCGCGTCTGTAGCAAGCTGTACTGTGTACAAACCCGAAAAATCAAAGGTACCAAGCAGGGACGTCCCATGATCGCACGTTCGACCAAGATGAGCTTTGCGCGCCTAGCGTCTATGGCCACCGCTCGAGCTCAGCGTCTCAGTGTGGCAGGCACGGCAGTTAGGCAGGCACGTTGGAGAAGCTGTTTCCAGGGTCTACCTACCTAGGTAGTCGAGAAGGTCCGGCAGAAGCAAAGGTACACCTACCTTCCTTGCTTCCTAGCTCCCACAGTTCAGGGCCCGGACAACGTCGCGACATTGAGGTACCTGAGGGTTGTTGCAAGCCACCAAGAACAGTACTAAAGCCGCACTACGACGCCACACATTGACGGCGCTGATCCGTCATCCCGGCAAAGCCAACACCCGGCCGAATAGTTGGCCTTTGTGGCGCATAACGCCCAGGATCATTGTCCCGCATTCACCTCGTTCTCCAGCAAGCAAATTTTCACTTTCACCCCCCGGCTCTCGTACAATACGGAGTAGCTCTGAGGAATGGCATTGGCGTTGTAACCCAGTATGGCATTTCCAATTGTCGATCGTGTTAAATTTGGCCTCTGACTGGAGCCACTACGATGGATCTCGTTTCGCAGGGCACGGAGTACCTCCGTCCAATCGCAGTATACAGCCAGACCTGCACCGGCATTATGCCACGGGATTGCGAGCAACGGAGCTTCCCTTTCGCATGCCATCCAAAACGGACATTGCGCAAGTGTTACCCATCTTTTACTCCAGCTCCAAGCCCAGGAGCAGCTTGGGGTAGGTCATGGTGCATCCTAGGCGCAGTTGCTAGCGACACTGAACGACGTCAACAATTGATTGATGGCACACCAGCGTTGCGAATTGCTCAGCGCCGGCTCGTAGGTACCCCGTTCTAGCGTATTTCCCGCATGCATTTGCGGAACAAAACGTCCGCGAAACGTCGTTCGATGTGAAAGGGCTAGATCATCATAGACTCTCATCATCCCTGGGGGTTGGTGGACTGGCCACGTTAGGTCGTACGGTAGCAGGAGAACGGGCGGCTAGCAATGCGGTTGCTCAGACAGGCAGCTTACGGCCAATTTGCGATTCTAGCCAATCGCAGTGACAGTTCGCTGTGTCCAGCAGTTCGTTTCAGTGGTCCTGGGGGCCCGAGCCAGTAGACGAAAACGCTGCCAGGCCGGTTGGAGCAGGGATGACCCGTTATTTGATGGCAGTTAGCTGCAGGTTCTCTAGGCATCGATACCGCATACGAGCTATCATCATGAGATACGACAAGGAGGCTGATCAGCATTGCTCACGGGCAAGCCGGCAATCAGCCAGATGCCAATATTTGCTCGACCTCCCTCATGATGACGGGGGAGGCATAGAGCAGTAGGCAAAGGGAGTGCGCAGTGTGCCATCGCCTCAACGGTGCATGAGCCAACAGGCGGGATGACGAGCTGATGATGGCGCAACGACGGCGGGAGTTGCCTGAAGTTCCTTCACTGGACACCCACCCAGCTGGTATCGAGATTAAGCTCAGTGAACTCAATGAAGCCCTCGCGCAACAAAAGTCCCTTTGGGCGCAGGTGTGCCAGCCACCGTTTTCATGATGAAAATTTGTGGCGGACTGGGGCAAAATTAGCAACCGTGACGCACTCGTGTGTGGCTGCGTCAGTCGCCAGGAGAGCTCTCCATCCAAGCTGGCAGTCGGAGTAGGGTTTCCAAGGTTCAAGGTTCGGTTCTCCGAAAGCTGTTTCTGTTCGCGGTGCGCGCGCACACAAGACCACTTCCAGTGATACGTGGGTTGCAAGCAAAGCAACGTTTGAGGATTGCGGTGGCGAACATGGGTTTTTAGCAGGCTACCTACAAGTACAGGTAGAGGACCCCTGTGGAGACAGGTTGGGACGGCGGATGCGGTCGAGGGAGGGGATTCGCCTCTGTTTCTGTGTCTGTAAGCTTGTACCTGTTTGGCTCAGACTTCACACGCTAAGGGGGGGGCCCTTGTGGGGCTGCTGAGGCTGTTAAGGCGGGCAGGGGTCTCAGGGACCACCCACTGGCCCTGCAACTGCAACGCCGGTGGGACATTTCGTTGCCTTCTTTGCTTCTGCACACCCAGCTGTGCGTGGTGTCTTGGTCTTTGCCAGACACTGAGGCTTTTAGCGTGCCTATGACGGGTTGGGGCTTGCTCTTCGGGGGTTGAGAGACCTGGCACGCCTGGCAAAGTGCTTCCCGGTGACCAGGGATCCTACCTATCATGGATCTTTGTGGCCGCCAAGACCTGACGGTACCATGGCACCAAACTGTCCATCACGGCTATTGAAGATGTACTCACAGGTGCTTCACTGGCCGTTCCTTACCGGACGATACTTGTAAAGTGGCCATCCCCGCCAGAGAGTACGCGTGTCATCGCTCGCCCCAACGTTGATCTGGACCTCGAGACCATGGTTCGCTCGACGGGCAGACTGGCAAGACTGGGTACTGTCTCCTCCAGTACCACCGCCCCCCGTTCCCGCTACGGGACTCGTCAAATCCAATTCAAGCGGGCACTACCCACAGGCCGACCTGCCGTTTGCGCCACTCCATAGGGCGGGTTAGGCGGGGTGCTGCCCAAGCTTGCCAAATACGCCGACCGATACTCGTTGCCAGTTCACAGGATATTGCCGATCTGGGACTGAGCGGTGGACGAGATACTAGCTTTCTTGCTTTCCAAGGCCATGACCAGCTGGAGGCGCGCCACTGTGGCTTCGCCTGCATGAGCTGCAGGAGAGCACCTCCAGGAAGGTGGAACTTGCAGCGGACCTGGAGCGGAAAACGACCTGCTGTCAAGGATGCGCCATGCATGTTCCCAGTCCCAGTCGAAGGCCAAGACTGGGTCATCCCGCAAGTCGCTATCTCATGATGTTCTCTGATCCCTCCCTCACGGGAGCGAGAAAGCCAAGGCCAGTACCTTTCCCGCCAAGAATTAGAGACAGCCTGTGCCGCTATCATCAAGAAACGGAGCTCCCGGGGCCATGGAAAAGCGGCAATGCCCTGCCGTGGCCGCGCAGTCCGAATCCAGCCAGCGCCGTTGATTGGTGGTCGCACAGCTGCGTATGGGTTATTAGGGAGCTTCAAACAAGACCGGATCCGCCTTGCTTGGTGCGTTTGTCTGAGGTGGGAGAAGGGCAGGACGTCGGAAACGAAGAGCTGTTTGCCACATCGTAGACCCACAACAGCACGACTTACACATTTTGCACGTAACGGTGCAGTGCAAGACCAGCCGAGACGCCGCCATTGGAAGTGCTAAGGAGGGCCGGCAGAGTTCACACTGTCGCTGGTGACGAGTACCGGCTTGTACAAGTAAGGCAAGACAAGAATCGCGTGTCGCGCCTGGTCCCCGAGTGGCCCGGTAGTGTCGGTTTTTTTTTTCCTTTCTGGAGAAGGACAAGCTGATTGATTATGCAAGGCAGATGATCAGCCCCTCAGCTGTGGTGCTGATTGGCACCTACCGGTGAGAACATAGATGCCTGCCGCGAGACAGTCTCGTTTTCTGTTATCTTGGTAGAGCAGCAGATGCAACTTGGACCACTGCCGGGTCAGGAGTGTGCACCTGCGAGTAAAGCATGGGTTGCGTGGCTGCATGGCTTGAGGTTGTACAAGAGACCAGTATTACTACTAGGTAGCAACATTTAGGTGTAAGCTGTGTAAGCTACGCGGACTGGGTACGGTAGGAGGTAGGTACACGAGCCTAGCCTAGCTGCCACGGCTACACACCTTGTTGTTGCAAGTGTGGCTCAGTCGGTCTTACTACTTATGTCGATCATCTCTCCTCAAAACGAGGGTAAAATGCAGATTGCAGAATAGAGGGGCTTTTGAGGTGACATGGCGATACAAAGTAGGCGGAGCGTGCGTGTGAGAGATCCATGGATGCTTTTGGGCCCGGCAAACAACAAGATGGCAGCAAAAACGGAAAACGGCGAGGTCGCAGATTTTGGGGTGGCGAATAACCTCGTCCCGGTACCACACGAGTCCCTCCGGCCGTGGACCAAGGTACCGCACCCGTAACTTGTAACCAACTTGTCCATCCCATCCACGCAATTCCCGCTGGTCTCCTCCACCCACCGTCCCCAATGCCAATACCATACCTTACCAATCCCAACCCAATCCCATCCCATCCTTACCACCTCCTACACCCAAACGAGGCAATCCACACCCGGGCCCCATCCATCAACCCAGCAAGCAAGCCCGGTCCCAGTCCAAGGCCAACCACCCGAAGCGCCAAATTGGAGTTTCCCATCTCACTTCCCCATCCCTCGAAAATGCGAATCAGACCATCCCCGACCCTAGCATCCAAGCGATCTCAAACTACTTACAGACCAGATCGTCAATGGCACGCCCAAGCTCCCCTAACTCCCCTGCAGACCTAATCCACACCTCCTCCCTAGTCTGTTCCGTCTTCACTAGGTAGGTATTCTTCTACTTCCTCTTTTCTCTCTTTTCATTCTCCCGACACTGGCTTGCACTTACACCACGGGACTCCATTCGTTGATGAGTTAGGTAGCTCCCATCTGTGACTACTGACTCTTTTCTTCTACTCGGTACCATTAGTTGTCGTCTAACCTCCTCTTCCTTCCTCCTCCTACTACCTACTACGACTACCATTACTACTAGTATCCTCAAGTGCACTCTTCCTATCCAGACTTCTTTGGTACGCGCCATATTGGTCTGCCTACCCTACCTAGTCTAGAGCAAGCAGGGATCTCTCTATCTCTCCTCTGCAACTCAAAGGGTTGCCGTCATCCCGTCTTGGATCACCTGTCGTTCTGTGACCTCAAAAGTACCTACCTGGACTCCTCAGTACATCCCCGTTTAAGTGGGAACTCTCTGCTGGAGCTTTAACCAGAGCTACCGAAGCTGCTGTATGTCTGTCTGTGACAAGGGTTGTCGTGCAAGCTTTGATCTTCCGAGACCCGGTACCTTCCACTCTCTGCTGACAGCTTCCCATCTCTTCTCTAGCTCGCCCACCGCTGGACCTATTGCGGCGGCATCCACCCTGGCCGACAGGTACATACCTCTACTCTGGATCTGGCCTATTCCCTCTCCCCTGCACCCAAGACGCCTCTTCTGGGGCTAGCAATTCTGCGAAGAAACGGGGACGTCGAACGACTTCCTTGCCGTCTTGGGCACGATACCCAGCCTAGCACGCCTACCTACCCGGATTGAGCCCTACGGAAGGTAGTTTGGCCACCCACCACTCCACGCCGTGGGACCGTCCTGCTGCTCTGGCCCCCCTGTCCTCCACAATCTCTCGGTCTTCTCGTCCCTGTCTCGTCTCGCGGTGGATTTCGCCATCCTGACACCCAAGAATTAAAACTAAAAAGGGCATTCGTCAAGGGTTCACCTCTAAAAAGCTGACCCTGGGCCTGTCCTCCCGTCCTCTGACCGTCTATCCTCTGCCGAAACGGACGCAGACACAGCAGTCATATCCTTGCTGTCTTCCGTCGAGCCAAACTGCGCCTCATTCTGCGCATACCCTCCCATCGAGCTCTCCTCATTTCTTCCCGTGGCCCAGGAGCTATCAACTCTCTTCAGCCACAGTTCACACCTCGCCTTTGGGCTTCGACTGTGGCTTTCCTAGCTGTCGAATGAGCTTTGGCTCCGCACCCTGCTACCACGAGTTGATTGGAGCACAGCCTTCATACAAGCTTCTGCCAGCTCTCCGAAGCTGCTCCCCGCTTGGGACAAAGATAAAAATATCCTTCTCTTTGCCAGAAGAGACTCTTCGATCCGATAAGTACGCAGAGCTTCCTCTGAGATCGGGGTAAAATATCCCATCACTGGCGCTCTCCGACTCGTTCCCTTTATCCTACCCTCGTTGCATTAGTGTACCTGAGCCCCCAGGCAGACCCAGCTCTTCAACGACCGAGATTGACACACCGATCGATCTTCTCCTCGTTTCTCAGAGGCACTAATCACTAAATCTCCGGGAAACCCATGCCGATATTCTATTTCAACATCTCTTCCTTTTAAATTATGGGAGTTAACGGCTCTTGATCTTTTCTACTTTGACCATCTTTCTATCGTTTTGATTTATTTTTCTCTCCAAATCTCTTTTGTCGGCCCAGGACGTCGTCCTCAGCAACTTCTCTTAACATTCATATCTCTGTTTTGGTTGTGTGGGCACCTCTGTTCATCACACAAATCCTACCAGGGGTCTGAAGCCCGTGCTGGTACCGTCTAACCACACTCTCTGGCCTCTTTGTCGAAATTGAGGAAGGGAAATCCTCGTGCCACTCGTTTCGATCCGCTTTCTAGGGCTGTCCAGGTGAATAATCATTATACTGCCCCGCTGGAGACAAGGTGTTTGTGTCGGTTTTGTGGCTGACTCTGGCAAAGGATTTCGTTTGTCGACTTTGCCAACGCTGCTGGCAATCCCCACGCCCAAATGGGAGATGCACCAGCCACGTCCAACTCGGCAAGCGAGTATCCAACACCCGATGCCGTGACAGGCCAAAGCCTTGGATCGTCGTCCGCAGATGCCCACTTGCTCTACTCGACAGGAAACAACTCTACAGATAGCCAGCTGTCTTCCACACCGCAGTTTCAACATCAGTATCCGGGAGGCGGGGGACACAATGCTTATGCGTCGGCCTACGAAATGCCTCAATCTCAGGGACCTCAGGGACCCGGCCGGGGTGGCGCCTTCAACATGAACGCGATGGCCAATGCTTTACCGCAGCCTGGTTACCGGCCTGCGCAGTACATGCCCGGCGCCCAGAGGTACAACCCGGCTGGATCAACACCGAATATGGTTGCTCAGATGCACTCTGCACCGCCCTACCCCGGACAAGGCGCCATGGGCACTGTCCCCAATCAGCAGTACTATATGCCTCAGCATGCCCACGTTGGACCGTACTATGCGGGCCCGATGTCGCCGACCCAGCAGCAGCAAGGCAACATGTCTCCTCGAACCAACATGGGGTACTACCCGGCACAGGTCATCATGAACAACCAACAAGCGGCGGCGCCGGGCTCGTACTACTATACGCAGACGTCGCAATACGCGCCTCAAAGCCAGATGGTCCCGAACCAGTTTGTCTCGCCGGCCCCGCCGCCCGCCGAGAATCGATCCATGTCTGCACCAGGTGGTATACCACAGACCGGTCCGGCTTTCATGTACGACCAAGGCCAACAACAGCAAAGTAAGCACACCAAAAGGATGTCCAATACTGGGAGCAATCGGGGCTAATCAAACATCAGGCGTTCAGCAGAGCAGCCAGTCGAATGTCGTTCGCGGGCCACCTCGAAAGCCAAAGCAAAGCGGTTGGTTTCCTCCCTATTCCAGCCTTCTCACGACTAGCGTTGGCTAATCACGGCAACAGGTCATGCTATTTGGATCGGCAATCTTCCTCCCGCTACGGACCTTATGAGCTTGGTGCACCATGTCTGCGGCGAGGCTGAGGGACTCGAGTCTCTATTCTTGATATCCAAGAGCAACTGCGCCTTTGCAAACTTCAAAGACGAACAAAGCTGCGTCGCGGCGCAACAGAAGCTGCACGATTCGAAATTCCAATCGGTGCGTCTTGTCAGCCGCCTACGGAAGAGCACGGTAGAAGGAGCGTCAGGCGTGACTGCACCGACGGGACCCGCCGCCTCGGCGCCACAGCAGGCAGCGCATCACGATTCTGCCAGCGACACGTTTGCAGAAGATGACACGGAAAAGTCGACGAAGACGTCGCCCCCGCCGCCGGCCGCCGACGGCCAGACGGCAGCGCGGCCCGAAGTCAGCCTACGCAAGGACAAATTCTTCATACTCAAGAGCTTGACGGTGGAAGACTTGGATTTGAGTGTACGCACGGGAATATGGGCTACACAGTCACACAACGAGAGGGCATTGAACAGTGCTTTCAAGGTATATCCACACAGATCTCTTCCTTCTTCTTCTCCTTCCCTCCTATCCTTTCGTACACGAAGTTGTTGTTGTGCGGTTTGGCCATGGCCAGGTGTCCATAGTCAAGAAGCAAACTAACCAAAATTCGCCCCCATGCATAGGCGGCCGACAACGTATACCTTGTCTTCTCGGCGAACAAATCGGGCGAATACTTTGGCTATGCGCGGATGACGTCACCTATGGACGAGGACCCTGCGGCGGCGATCGAGTTTGCACCACAGGCGCAATTCGCCAACGATGTGGATCTGCCCAAGGCCATCCCCACCGAAGCGACCGAGTTCGCACCGCGAGGCCGGATTATAGACGATTCGTCGAGGGGTACTATATTCTGGGAGGCGGAGAGGCAAGAGTCGCCAGACGCTGCGGCGGCGGCGCCGCCCGACGTCGAGGAGACTGCGTCGACCGGCGAGGCCGACGATTCCAGCAGCGTGAGGAGCGGGCAGGAAGGCGGCGAGTCGAAGGCCTGGGGCAAGCCCTTCAAGCTGGAGTGGATGTCCACGACGAGGCTCCCCTTCTATCGGACACGTGGCCTGCGCAACCCTTGGAACTCGAACAGAGAGGTGAAGATTGCCAGGGACGGCACCGAGCTGGAGCCGTCGGTCGGCCGGCGCCTGATCAGCCTCTTCAATCGCGTCCAGAGCCCGGCGCCGAGTTCACTAGCCGGACCGGGTATGAGGCACCCACATATGCAGATGATGCCCGGATACCACGCAGGACGACCGCCCTACCAGCAATGAATGGACAATTAGAACAGGGGAATTGGAATTACGTGAGGGGGAAACCATTTTTCAACGACTCAAGCAACATATTTCGGATGGGCTATAATCTTGTTTTGCCGGTGGGAGGAGGGGTGGGGAAAAAAAAGTTGGGAATTTGCTTGGAGATTTTTCCGGACACGCGTCTAAGCTCCTTGGTATACAGGATCTAGTGTGCTGTAGGAAAGCTCTTGGGAGGGGCGAGATGAGAGGGTGCAAAAGGAGGATGAGAAGGACAGGACGGAAACGGGGTTTTATGACGGCGCAAGTGCTATGCTGGGTCATGGCCGTAGCGATTCTAGAATAATACCTACCTACCCAACCCGAACACCTTGGCGTCGTCTACATGGCGATGGCCGACGACTCCCCCCACCCATTGCTCCTGGCATCATAAGTATACGGGGTGCCAGTCTAAACTCTATACTACTACTTTCTGCTCCCGAATACCGACACATCTCAGCAGACACCATCATGCCCGAGCTCAGAACCCTAGATCGTATGAAGAGCAGGGCTCTTGGTCTTCGGGCTTGTTGACGAACAGAGACTCGCAGGTAGGAGTCGTTCCCACGTGCATGGCGATATGATTACAAGTAGTGTGGGCGAGGCCCGTCTCTCGTCTCGCGTGCTTTCGAGCGTGATATAGGAGAGGTATTGGGTTGGAATAGCATCGACGACATCCAAGGATGACATCAAGATGAGTTGACTTGTCTCGAGTTGTGCTCGAACACAAAGTGAGTAGTGACGCCCCCTAGGCCAATTGGTCTTCCATTCCGCTCTGATTCCGTGCTGCATGCATGTTCAGAGGTTGAACTGGCTCTGACTTGTGCCAGATGCTTAGGTAAGCTGCCCCGTCCAGTTCTGCACAACCAACACGAGCTGGAGCTTGAGAGGTTCAAGGCCCCGCTTTTTCTTCCCCCCCGCCTGCATCATATCACCAACAATCAGCAATTTTTCCAGACGCAATGAGAGTTTGCTATGGAGTCGAAGAAGACTTGTCCAACAGATGAAAGAGACGGGATTGGCTCAAGTGGGTAGCGGGAATCATCTGATTGAGCTGCAGAAACATCCGGACGGCGCAGAGGTTGTTGTGCGGCGATGTGACCATGCGAGCTCAATCAGATGGTTTGGTGGTGCAGTTGGCGCGTGGAAGGTTCTAGCGGCGCCGTGACAGTTCGTGTAAGTGCCGGGCAGGGCATGGTGGAGAGCTGGCGGCCCAAAGTTGTGTCCCGCTCGCTAACATTTCTCCTAGCAGTTTACATGCAATCTACCATACATATTCTAGAAGCTTCTGTTAGTGCATGACCCTTCTTTGTGAGCATTCATGATCCCACCCTCGCATCTTCTTGCAGCTTCCCCCATATGCCACCCAACCAACGAGACGCCAGAGGAGCCCAGTAAAGAAAGTTCACTACCATTCTAGAATCTCCCAAGTCTTGCGCGCGACTTCTCGCGGTTGCTGACAATCATGCAGAGAGGCCTACGCAAGCTTCTTCCTTTCTCCCTCCTCAACTCGAGGCAGGCACACATCGCTGGCGTGATCCAAGGTATAAAGCAGCCCTCGGTCTGCCCACCATGGCTCAACCCTTTCTCTTCAGCAGACAACAACAAGATCAACACTTCAAAAAAGCCTCTTGATGCACTCTTGCAAGTCAACTCTCTCCAGAAACATCCCTCGCGCACTCCTCCGCCAGCGAACAGCATCCACTCCCGCCAACATTAAAGCCATCAACTCCATCATCAGACCCGTCTCGTCCACCACGACCACCACCACTCCAGCAACCATGTCTCTGTTCCAGCGCTTCCCCTACGCCGAGGACGCCTCCTTCACCCCTCTCTTCCGCCTCCTCGACGACTTCGACACGTACTCGCGCGCGGGCGGCCGCACCGGCGGCGCCAGCGGCTCCCGCAGCGCGGCGCCGAGCTTCAGCCCCAAGTTCGACGTCCGCGAGACGGAGAACACGTACGAGCTGCACGGCGAGCTGCCCGGCATCGACCGCAAGGACGTCAGCATCGAGTTCACCGAGCCGCAGACCATCGTCGTGCGCGGCCGCGTCGAGCGCAACTACACCTCGGGCACGCCGCCCGCGGGGCTTGTGGAGGGGGCCGCGCCGCAGGCCAGCGGCGCCCTGCCCGCCGCCTCGGAGAGCCACCACCACGCTTCCGTCTCGGACGAGGAGACCGAGGCGGCCAGGGAGAAGGGCGTCGTGAGCGCCAAGAAGACGGAGAAGGAGCACGCCCAGCAGAAGCAGCAGCAGCAGCAGCAGCCCGCCGAGCGCTACTGGCACCAGGAGCGCTCGATCGGCGAGTTCCAGCGCGCCTTCAGCTTCCCCACGCGCGTCAACGAGGCGGGCGTGTCGGCGAGCCTCAAGGACGGCATCCTGCACGTCAGCGTGCCCAAGGCGATCAAGCATGAGAAGCGCAGCATTGCCATCAACTGAAGCGACACACTGCTGCTTGCTCCCTTTTTTTCTCTCGATTTGATGAAGGAAACAAGGAAATTGGCATCCGATTAAGCAAGGAGTTTTCTTTTTTTTCTGCTGGTACTGGCATTAGTTTGTTGAAGGACCGGAGCTTTTGGGGCGCCTGTGTCTCTCCCTACACATCTTCACGCGCACACTCAGCATGGACTTGGGGCGTTTTTGGACTTTCACTCAACTACTACTACTACATCATCACATCACGGCATAATGAGTCTTGTTGGTTCAGGGGTTGTGTCCCAAGAAGTTTACACCTAATGACGACAAAATCCTTCCTTTTTTAGTGTACAACAATTAAAAAAAAGTTTACATTACTTCTATCTCTTCTGATGTGTGCAAAACGTGACAGGTGTACCTAAAGCAGCATACCAGTGCGATCTCTGACCTTTTAAATCGGTCTTTATGATGTTGTTTTGGCATTGTATATGTAAATTCGATACGGAAGAACCTATGTATACGTGATCATGGATATGAGTTTCGTAGTAGCCTTGCCAATTTCTCGTTTTAGGAGCAGGTTGGCTGTGCTGTCCAGAACGGGGATCCCGGGCTAAGGCCCCGAGGTGCGGCTCCGAGGACCCTACAGGATTGATGCTGCTGGCCTGCCCCCCGCTCCCCCCCCCGAAGCGCCGCCCGCTTTGCGCCATCCCCCTCCGAAATGAGATCAGCAATTCCCCCGCAACCTTGACTGTCCTCCATTCGTCATTCATGACGCTTTTTCAAGATTCTTTGATATTTTTCCCACAAGACATTTCGAGTCGCATAATACTTCGTCCTTCCATAAATCACAAGCTTTTCTTCACAATTGATCGTGGTCCCTCCGAAGGCTCATCATCACCGCCACAACCGCCGCACACTACACACACACACCCATGTCGTCACCACCGTCGGCGCCAGCGGCCGGCGACCCCCTCCCCGACGCCGCATCGCGCGGCTTCCGCGACGCGGCCTCCTACGACGCCCACCGCCCGGCCTACCCGCCGGCCCTCGTCGCGGAGCTCCTGGCGCGGATGCGCCTGTCGGAGGACCGGAGCCACGACGGCGCCCGCCGCGCGCGGGTCCTCGAGCTCGGCGCGGGGACGGGCAAGTTCACGGCCGCGCTGGCTGCCGCCCTGGCCGCGCGGAGGCACGAGGGGTTCGAGGTGCTGGCCGTGGAGCCGCACGGGCCGATGCGGGAGCAGCTCGTGGCCCGGGGCCTGCCCGGGGTGCGGGTCGTCGAGGGCCGCGCGGAGGGGATGCCTTTCGTCGGGGACGAGTGGGCGGATGGGTGTGTTGTTGCGCAGGCTTTTCATTGGTGAGTTTTCTTTTTCTTTTTCTTTCTTTTGATTGTGTTTTTTTTTTTGCAGTGGTGGGGGAGAGCTGCGTGGGAGTGACGTGACGTGGAAGGTTGAGAGGATATGGGGTTTGTGGTCGAGTTGTATGAGGTGAGGTGAGTTGTGCTGTGCTTGTCTCGAGGCTGAGCTCGCCCACGGTGGTGGTGAGGTAGGTAGCTTGGGAAGAGGTGAGATGGGAAGATAGAATATGAGTGATGAGCATGCACTGAAACACCAGATATTTCCCAAAAAGGTTCGCAACAGAGGAAACACTACGGGAACTGCACCGGGTGCTCAAACCCGAAGCCGTGCTGGGCATGATCTGGAACATCGAGGACTGTACGTAAAGCGCAACACACACACACACACCACTGCACATCCACAATCGCCAGGCTGCATGCAACAAGGCAAGAATGCACATCGCAAGAACACCAAGAGACAAGGCCCAATATTAACATGTCCCCTATCGCACGCACACGACAAGATAACAAGCCCGCCTCGTGGCCGGCCTCGACGGCCTGGGAGCAGCAGCTCAACGACCTCGTCCTCGCGCTGCCCGACGACGGGCACCCGCGCTTCCGGCACGAGCGCTGGCAGGGCGTCTTCGCGTCGCAGATGGAGGGCACCAGCAACCCCCTGCGGGTGCTCAGGGCGACGCTGCTGGCGGCGGGGGCGGCGGCGGAGAGCCTGCCGCGCTTCAGCCTGCCCCTGGGCGAGAAGAAGGTCGCGTGGAGCGTGTGGCTGGCGCCCGAGGCGCTGTGGAGCCGCATGCGCACGCTGAGCCAGCTCGCCGTGCTGCGGGGCAAGGAGCGGGAGGAGGTGCGGGCGCGGTTCGACGGGATCCTGGGTGGCGAGGACGTGCGGAGGAATGAGAGGGGGGAGGTGCTGGTGCACGGGCATACGTACATGGCGTGGACGGACAGGTTGTGATATGCGCAGGAGATGGATGGGTGAGTGGGAGGATGAGAGATAATTTGGATTTCTATGCCAGCGATATATCCTGGCTTTTGATTCGAGTCATCAAATTGATGCCCTGGTGCATGAGTTTCTTCACCGGGACGGACAGAGGCCCCGGCCTAGCATCCTCGTGATCTCGGGCGCCATGTCCTGCACCAACCTCCTCTGCCGCCATTGCCTTGGAATGCCCTTCCCAACCAAAATTCCCTTTCCAACGACCTGGCCCTATCATGAGTCGGCCGAGATGTACATGACTGCCGACAGGTTAGCACCGACCGGGCCATCTTTGCGCGGCAAACGCAACGGCGACAGGCGCACAGCCTTGAAAATGCTGATGACTCACCGTTGTTGCCTCTTACAAAGGCATCGCCGTAGGCCCTCCGCTTCACACCGTTGACGTACTCCTCGGTCTTCTCGAGCGCGATGTTCATGTAGCCATCGACGGATTGCAGTTCACCTGTGGCACATGTGAGTCCCTTGCATGCGCCTCTACAACACCCCGAAACCGCTCTAGATTCGCATTCTAGATATACACGGATCCACTTACCCTTGTACACGACGCCCGAGTTCAGCTTGACGACGACGGGGTTGCCGATGATCTCGCTCAGGAAGCTGGAGGGGTCCTTACCCTCGCCCTGGCTCACTGCGCCGCCGTTCTCCATGGTATGCCTGATCGGGTTGTGGATGAGTCAGAGTGAGAGGTGTAGGCCTGAGATATGTGTTGGCGCCGATGAGAGTCGTTGGTACTGAGGCGATGAGCGTGGACGGGCGAGCTGTATGAGGAGGGATGGAGATGAAGGTCGTTTGTCTGCTTCGGTGGTCGTGAGTACAACCTTCTCTTATCTCTTCTCTTATCAATCAGCAAAGCTTCCTAAAAGTGGGGCGAGGTGAAAGAAAGTGTGGTCCTCCATCCATGCAACTAAGCGAAACTGCCAACCTCTGGCGTGTCTGGCTAATTGCATAGCGTGTCACCTAGCCCACCGCCTGGGCGTGAACGACTGGCGGGTACAGGGGAGCTTTACAAGGGATGCAACCCCTGTACCTGCCAATCTTTTTGGCTGCCGACGCAACGACAGGAAGAAGGGAGGAGGCCCTTCCATGTTCAAAGTCACTTTCTCACGACTCGACCAGCGTCGACTCGCCGACTCGAAACCACGCCGAGCGAGGAAGCAGAGCAAACAGCACAGTGCCGAACCGGGAGATGCAGGGGCGCATCCTCCATTGAGAGACCGATAGACCGAGCGCCCATTCACTCGCCGCCCTGCGACCCTGACCGGTGGTGAGGTGCAACATACCTAAGTAGGTAGAAGAGAGGGTCCGGACTCACTCCAGCCTGACCCTGACCCGGTTTGGCAACAACTCCAGCGCTCCCTCACTCACCCGCATCTCATTGTTCTTTCCGGGCTTGCAATTCACGCTGCCTGCGACTGCACTGCCTGCCGACCACCTCCTCCTCACATCCAAGTCTCTCCTTGTTCCCCCTTCTCTTCATCTTTCATTCACCAACGTTTGGCAAAGCAGCAATCTCTGAGCCCCCCCTGTAGACTCCCATCATCGATTGCCTTGACCCGCGCCTATTTAATTCATCGCTTCCCACGCATACTATGCATTCTTACCCCCGGGTCAATCATCGAGGACCCGACCTCAGTTCCAGGCAAAGCCTTCTGCAGTCCGACATGGCTTCCACTCGCGCCGGTTCCACCATGGACCTTGACAGCCAGAGCTTTGGTGTGAGAGACAGCGACCGTGAAGACACCAACCAAGACATGAACCAGACCATCATTGGTGCCGGTCTCTCGTTCACCAAGTCCCAGACCAGCCCGGCAAAGGGCGACAAAGCAAAGTCTGCAGCGGCGCAGCCCTCCCCCGCTCATCTCTTCAGGTCAGCCCTCCTCCCCTCTCGCTTCTCTCCCAAGCATCTCACTGACCCTCGACAGGTCGCCCCTGACTATCGTGACGATCAAGGTCGGGCCCCAAGCGTTCCAGGTCCACAAGGAGCTCCTGACCAAGAACTCGCGCTACTTCGAGGCAGCATTCAACGGGAGCTTTATGGAGAGCAAGGACGGCAAGATGACTCTGGAGGAAGTCCAGCCAGCCGACTTTGGCTTCTATGTCGACATTGTCTATCGAGCCCACTTCAATCCCGGCATCAGTCTCCGCAAGGAGCACACCGGCGGCAGCCTCTCGACCAAGCAGATCCTGACTCTCTGGTCGCTGGCTGACCGCTTCCTCGATGACGTCGTCCGCGCCATGGCCAAGGAGAGCCTGGACCACCGACTCGGCCTCTACTCGGTCACCCTCTGGAAGAGCCTCGCCCGCAAGCGAGAGAAGGACGACGTCTCGGGACGGATGGGCCGCCTTCAGGATGCGTACTACCAATGCCTCGATCACGACATTCCTTTCGAAGACCTCATCGTCGAGGCAGCTAGCAATTGCCCGCCTCAGGTCTATGTCGACTGCGTCGGCATGATGGATCCCGAGTTCATGGCCCTGGTCTCCAAGAGGCTTGTTCTGCGCCAGGCCGGCGAGGAAGTCATTCCCAGGAAGCGACGGGCGGCCGGTACAGATTAGTATATCTGTACGGCATGTGTAAACAACAACGAGTCGGACGACGAGGGGCTGCTGACCTCTGTCCTTGTCGACACCAACGACCAAATGGATGCAGGTATGGGGGGACACGAAGGCGAGGCTTTTCGCATCGAAGACGACGAATTTGCTGGTGTGGCAAGATACAGAAACACACTGGAGCGTGTGCGATATAACATCAATATCACGAACAGGAGGTATCAGATTTGATATTGGAGGCCGGCCACATGGAGGAAGGGAACCTGTGCAGGTGGGCTAGGTCTCGTATCTTTGGGTCGACATACTTGCCTTTCGCAGTAGCATGGAGTTTGGGGCGTCATTTCCATTCATGAAGCACGTCCATCTGCAAGTGGACCAGTCAGGCAGTCGTTAGCTATGATTCATTTGATAAGCTTTTTACAACAATTTGCTTTTTCAGCTGTGCAAACGTGGTGATGATTCTACCATGGTGCTATAGCGTGTATGAGAAATAGTCTGTAGGGGACCATCCTCGGATATGCTCTTTGATCTTGAACTTGATCTGCAGGGCTCTTCCAAGTGTTATTGGCTCAGCTCTACTGTTTCTATGCTATCTTGTGACCTCTCTAACCTATCTACTAACTTGTTTCTTCTTTACGAACAAACATTATAAGGCGCAAATAGAGGGCCAGAATTTCATTTGTTAGTCCGAAGTTTGCTGCTTTCCATCTGAGCATACTGACTGGCCAGGTTATTTGTGATTATATATAATAGTGGCTACTGACAGCCTATAAATTCGCAACTCAGTTTTGTGTTGAACAATGAATACTATATGATGATTATAAAGAGGGGTTGGGTGAGTTGTGTCTTTCTTGGTTCGTTCATCAGCTGAAAGTAATCATAGTCATTGCAATATCAGAACAGTCGAGGTATAATGAAATCATATCCTGAGATGTATTGTATAGTTACGCCAGAATGAAAGCCGGCTCATTGCTCTCAACCGAGCTCAAGTGCTGAGATGGCCTTGGATAATTATGACAATAAGAACTGAATTTGCGAGCTGAGTTTTCAGCGGTTGTAGATTGACAGAAGTGCGCCAGACTGGAATCCCTTCTTCCTTCTTGCCTTCAGGTTCTTTTTCCAGTAAAATCTCCATTCAATCCAATCGATATCAACTATACCGCGAGGCCTCATGTTGGATGACGGTATCTGACTGATGAGGACCAGATATGGATTTGACTGAGACCATCGAGGAGGCATGGATCTGAATGATCTGCTTCAAAATCTTTTGTCCGAAATCGTTCTTGCAAAAGTAATCTTGTAAAACATCAAGTCTGCATCAATGAAAAAGGTTACCATGTGGTATAATATCCAGTAGGAAAGCATGGGAGTTGCTTGTTGTGAGTACCCATATCTCCAGTCTGAGAGGAATGTACACCTGCCCGAAGACAATGATATTTCTATACGATAGCTTCGAGATTTTGGAATGTCATGTTGCATTGCTGTCGTGTAATGGTTAGATTGCTCGTGGTTGACTTTTGGAGTGCTCTATGCTGACGACTAAGCCGGGTGACAAGATTTGGCGCTACCTACTCTGGGCCAGTCATCGGCGTGACTGATCCTCATCACCTCACATCATACATATATCTGCCACAGAAATGCCCTCGCATAGCCGTGGCATTGGAAGGGGAGAAGAACAGGTATCATAAACATGACTTTATCACAAACGGCCCTGTGACTCAGAGTGCATTCCTAGTCTGGGAGCGGCGCGGCTGCGTCACCCCTCACATTGCACACACACCTCAGAAGCAGCACCATACTCGTGAGCTCCGGCTACATCTTTCACTCTTGTCCAGTCGAGATTTCTTGGAATATTGATCTCGACCTCACTCTCTACTTCTTTCTCCTTTTCAACGCCTTCGGGACAAAGACTTGAGCCTCTCTTGCTTCAAAGCGCAAACGCGGCCATTCCACCTTCTCGCCTAGGACAGCGTCCTATCCTCTCTTCGCTCCTCTCACCTATTTAACCACACCACACTTTCAATTCATACCAATTAGAACGTATATTTTGGCTTGCCTCACTTTCTATTTTGAGGCCAAACACCGAACAGCGCGCCACAGCCTCGGGTCCCGGACATCTCACGCGCCGTCATGGGCGGCTCCCGCTTTGCGACCGGGCCGGATCCGCTCTACACGCCACGCATGCCCCCGGCGATCTACGAAACGGTCAAGGAACGCTGCCGGGATGTCTTGAGCGAGCTCTTTGAGCGCGTCGGGTCGCCGATCGAAGGCCCCGGTAAGCGGGACCACGGCGACATCGACATGCTCGTTGCGGTCCCCAAGGGCGCGATGGCTTCCGCCTTGGCTGGGAAGGACGAGTCGTCTGATGAGACGGCCGATGAAGAAAACTCGCCCAGCAATAATGACGAGATCTCAAACGCTTGGGACATCATCGCTGCGGCCTTGGGAGCCGTGCGCATGGCCAAGGAGCAGGACAGAGCTGCCAACCTCGCCGTCCCCTGGCCCGACGATCTGGAGCCCGAGCACGACGACGACCACGGAGCCGACGATCCCGGCACCACCGCGGCCAAGAAGCACATCCAGGTCGACGTGCGCATCTGCGCCTCGGTCGAGGAGCTCGACTGGATGCTGTTCAAGCACGCCCACGGCGACATCTGGAACCTGCTCGGCTCGACCATCCGGCCCTACGGCCTGACCATCGACGAGACGGCCCTCAGCATCCGCGTCCCCGAGATCGAGCGGTCCAACAAGAGGCTCGCCCGCGTCGAGCTGTCGCGCGACCCGGCCGCCGTGCTCGCCTTCCTCGGGCTCAGGCGCGACGGCTTCTGGGACCGGCCCTTCGCCTCGCTCGACGCCATGTTCGAGTACGCCGCCACGTGCCGCCTGTTCTGGGTCCGGCCCCCCGCCGCCGCCGCCGCCGCGGCGGATTCTAGCCCGGGCGACCCGCCGACGACGACGGCGCGCCTCGCCGGCCTCGTGGGCAGCGACGAGGGCCGCGCGGGCCTCAAGGCCAACGACCGCAAGCGCATGGCCACGCGCCCGGCCTTCCGCGCCTGGCAGGACGAGTTCATCCCGGCCTGCCGCGCGGCGGGGCGCTTCGCCCCGGACCCGCCGTCCCTGACGGCGGACGAGGTGGCGGCGCGCGTGCGGACGGACGCGTTTGCCGCGTTCCCCGGCGTGCGCGAGGTCTTCGAGGCCCGGCGCGACGAGTTCGTCGCCGGGAGGCAGCGCGAGGACATCACCAAGGCGATCCGGACCGCCGTCCCGCGCGACCTGGACCCGTGGCTGCGGGGCCGGACGGTCTCGGCGCTCAAGAAGATTGTGCTGCTGGGCGACGACGAGGACGGCTTCGGCGTCGCGCCCGACTTTGCCGTGCGGGACGACAGGGGCTTCTGGGACGTCGAGAAGGTGGTGGGATGGGTTGGGGATCACTGGGAGGATGTGCTCGGCACGCAGATCACCGTGGCGGCGGCGGCGGCGGCGGAGGACAAGGACGGACGGTGCCTTGCTCGGCGAGAGTGAGGGAGGGTTGGAGGCTATCTTTGGGACGATGTGCTCCCTATTCGCATGAGACGAGCAGATGGTCTCTGGGCGGGTAGTGCCTGCTTGGACAGCTTTTTGTTTTCTGTTGATAGAGCGTGACGGTGTTTATTCTCGTTGGGTTTGGAGCGGTGCATGGATCTGGGGCGTTGAGGTTCTGTTCCTCCGGTTTGGTAGTTATCTCTCTCGGCGAGTTTTGGGCCTTAAGCGTTTTTTGCGTTGAGTTGGCATATGCACAAGTCACAGACACACATGGCATGAGGGTCTCGAGGATAGAAGATGGGCGCTCCCCTGGGACACACTGGCCCCTTCAGTTAAAGCTCTCGAATTGAACTTTCGTTTTTGATATTGGGAGCCTGTGTGCCCGTGAAGACCAAAATTTGCATGTTGAAGACTGATCATAACCGCCTTTCCTTTCCCTAATGCTCGATGCTCAAGATACTAAAAGAAAACAGCTCTCCTCCAGACGAGACAGCGAACGATACACTCAGCCAGAGAATATCAAACACAGTTTAGAAAAAGCCATCCCACCGACAACGTCCAGCTTTTATGTACAACTCCTTTTTTCCTTCCAGAAAATAACAACGCCCAGCGATGACAAGCCACCACCACCACCACCACCACCAACAACAACAAGGAAACATATATATGACAAGCGACCGTAGCGGCGTGCGTGAGCCAAACAGCTCTTCCCCAGGCTCTCAAAACCACCCAGGCGGCGACACCTTCTCGTCCCCGCCCATCCTCTCCTCGTCCTGCCCTGCTCCTCCTCCTCCCCCTCCGGACCCCATACCCATGCCCATAGCATCCTCGTACCCGGCCTCCCTCGCCTCCCGCGCCCGGCGCGCAGCCTTGCCCACGGCCCTCCACGCCTCGAGCTTCTCCCTCTCCGCCGGCCCTCGCGGCTCCTCCCACCCGCGCACGAAGCCCTTCCTGCGCAGCCGGCGGCGGTGCGCCCTCCTCTCGGCGGGGGTCATGCCGCGCGTGTCGAGGCCGGCGGCGTCCACGCCCGCCAGCAGGTCCCGCGCGTCGGCCCAGAGATCCCACGCCGGCTCCGCCAGGGCCTGCGCCAGCCGCCGGCCGCGCCCGCCGGCGACCCACTGGTCCAGCTTGACGGGCAGCGCGGCCCCGAAGGACGGGTCGTCCGGGGACCAGGCGCAGTCGCGGCCCGGGGCGCAGTACTCGGGCCGGCAGTAGCGCGCGCAGGCGGCCGACTCGGCGGCCAGCCAGAGCGCCAGCAGCAGCGCCGCCAGGCCGAGCAGGGTCAGGCGCAGGGGGTTGCGGCGGTAGAGCGTGGGCAGGCGGAGGTGGAGGTACGTCGCCGGTGCCTGCTGGGGGCTGGCGGCGGCGGTGGCGGCGGTGGTGGTGCAGATGTGGCATTCGTCTTCTGCCTTGAGCTTGGCCTTTTCGCCTGCCGCAACGGCAGGGGTCTGCACCTGCGCATGCGAGACCTGGTCCTCTAGGCGCTCTATGCCGCGCTTGGCGGTCTGGATGCCCAGGAGGCCCGACTGCAGGCGGCTGTTCATGCGGTCGAACGTCTCGAGCTCGGTCTCGCGCTTGGTGGTGATCGTCTGCGCGGCGGCCTTCTGCTTCTGCTTCTCCTTTTTCTCCTGCTGCTCGTCGCTGTCGTCGTTATCGTCATCGTCGACGTCCGCCTCCAGGGCCCTGAGGGCCACGTCGGCGGGTATCTGCAGGTTGGCCGAGGCCATGAGCTCGGCAAAGTCGTCGAGCGTCGAGTCGTCGATCTGGTTCTGGCGGTGGATCTCCATCAGGTCGTCGCGGACCGAGGGCGGCTTGGCCGAGTTGATGAGCGGCGACTTGCTGCGCGGGATGGACCTTGACCGCCGCGCCGATGACGAGACCGACGACGAGCGCCCGGCTTCGCCTCTGTTGCTGCTGCCGTTACCGCCGTTGACGGGCTCGGATCTGCTGTTATCGGATCTGCGGCTGCGAGTCGGCCTCTCGCGGAGGAACGAGGCCACGGCGACGGATGGTATGGGCTTCGTGAGGTCGGGTTTGGAACCCTCTGCGGGCTCGTCCCACGTCTTGTCCACCTTGACCGTGACTGGCGTTTCCACATATGCTCCCGTGACCTTGGGTGTAGGCATAGTCTGGGGATCCGGGCGCTTCGCTTTGGGCGTCTCGTCCATCGCGTTCGCTCCACCATCGTCGTCGTCGTCATCTTCATCACCGTTGGGTCCCGGCGACGGTGCCCTGGTCGATCCCTTCTCCGAATAGTTGTCGAGCGGCGCGAACAGCTTCGCCTCGCCTTCGATCCGATCGATGGGGTCCACATCGGAATACACCTTGCTCGAACGCTTAGTTGAAGCTGATTCCACTGACGGGACGCGCTTCAGCTCATCTGCGAAGCCGACTGACGCCTTGGGGGGATCCTCGTTGTCTGCGGGCGACGAGGCAGAAGGCTTCTCCTTGCGGGACGCTGCTTTTCTCTCGTTGTCCTTGACTGTGTCCTTGACAGATTCGGGCATCGCCTTCCCCTTGCCTCGCTCTCGCTCTCGTGGCGCCGGCTCGTCAGGCAAGGGGCTGCTGCTTGCTGCCTTGGATAACCTGCGAAGCACATCTCGAGAGTCTTCACGCGAGTGCGAGCTACTCCTACGCCTCTCTTCCTCGGGAGCCTTGTTCTCTCGCTCGCTACTGTCTTCCCGACTGGGCTCTGCATCTGCACCATGAGACTTGTTGTTCTTCATGGTTCGGAAGATGGTGATTGGCGTGTTGGGTATCTGCTCGCCTTCTTCCTCCAACACACTTCGCTCCTGCGACTCTTCCTCCCCCTTGCTTCTGCCGCCCGGATTTGGTTCCCGTTCCGGTTCCGCAGGCGGTTTCCTCTCCACCTCGGGCGAGGGCGACCGGAAATTCGAGTTCTTTTCTCGGATCTCGTCGAGCCTGGCCGTAGCGAGGGCTCTCCTAGAAAGGCTCTCGATCTCGCGAGCACGAATTTCGTCGAGCTTGGTGTTTGTACGTTTTGCGATGCGACTTGCTGGTGAAGCTTGCTTCTCGCGGTGGTGAGTTTCGGGATGTAGCTGTGGCTGAACCTCAACTGAGTCGTCTTCCGAGGGAAACTTGAGCTCGGCCTCAATCTCCAATTGTCGAATCTCATCGAGTTTAGTGTTCCTCTGTCTTGAGGCGTAGCCGCGGCTGGTAGTCACTCTAGGGCTCTCCGAGACCTGCAGGTCGCCAGCGGTAAAATCGGCATCGGCCTGCCACGCAAAGCTCTTGCTGGGAGAAAAGGGCCGAGGAGGCACAGTGGCTGGCCTCAGCGTAGTGGGTGCCTTGTCCGCTGTAGCATTGACCGCAGGGCTCCGAGGTCTGTATCCGAAGCGGCCATCGGGCACGACATTCTCGGACCCTTGGCTCTGTCCCGGTGACGAGATGGCACGCCTGAGCCACTTAGAATCGACTTTGCCTTCTTGTCCCCATGATCTTGGCCGGTGAGATGATGATGCAGGCACCTCCAGCCCCCCATTGCTCGTCGTCCGTTCCAGCGGCCGCTCTCGCTCCGTCAGCGCCCGACCAGGACTGTTCCTGGCGAGCCCGCCATTGTGCTGCTGCTGCTGCTGCTGCTGCCCTCGGACGCCCTCCATGCGCAAGCGGTCCAGCTCGTACTGCCTCATCCTCCGCTCGACAGCCTCGTCCGACAAGTCGCTCGCCCGCGACCCGACGCTGCCAGCCGAGCTGCGCGCGTCGTCGTCGTCGGCCGCCGCCCCCCTAGAGCCCGACGACGAGTGACGGGAGCTGTGCCGGCGGCCCAGCGTCAGGGGCGCCTGGTTCAGCAGGGCCCGCATGCGCTGCTCGTTGCTGCTGTTGTGCTCGTCGCCGCCCGCGCGCGGGTGCCGCCAGCTCCGCGGCGCCGGGCTGGGCGAGCCCCTCATCGCCTCCTGCTCCTCCTCCTCGGCCATCCTATACGCCTCGGTGAAGCTCAGGGGCCTCCGCGCGTTGGGCGAGGCGCGCGACGCCTGCTGCTGCTGCTGTTGCTGCAAGGGTGTCGGCCTGGGTATCCGCGTGGCCGAGTGCGCGGAGCTACTGCGGGGAGGTTCGGGCGACGGCGACTTGGAGGGTACGGGTAGGCGCGAGGCAGGATGCTGCTGGTGGTGTTCCTGCATGTTTTCCTTGAACTCGTGTCTGGGCGCAAAGCTCTTGCGCTGGGCGAGCCGGCTCGTGAAGACGGGGGCGCCCGAGTGGTGGCGGTCGTTGAGGCGCGTGGACAGGACGTCGGGCTCCTGTCCGCCGGGCCGCTCCATCGTGTCGGTGGTTTCTGGTGATCGTCGGGTTGTAGGGTAGGGGGCAGAGAGCTGGCAGGCTTGTTTAGACGGCGAGCAGCTGCATGCTGAGCCTCGGGGGCGATCCTGTGTCGCGTCGCTTGAGTAGAAAAGGACGGTACGCAGGCCCGGCAAGACTCGAGTGGATACAGCAAGAGGTGAAGCTGGCCTTTGTGGATAAGTCCCCCCTATTTGCGCACGATTGAAAAAGGGGAGGGGGCTGTTCGGACTTTTTGGGTGCTTTGTTGTGGGTGTGGATGTTTTGGGAAGTGAAGCTTGGGGATGCGCGGCGCGCGATGTTCCACCCAAGCTCCATATTTTAGCCTCAAGTGCCCCCCCGACGAGACCACACTAACGAGCCGACCCCAGCGGCTTTTAGGGAGCTGAGAGGCACAGCAAGCCCCTAAGCTGTCGCCAGGGTCTCCGAAGTGACCGACCGACTGCTCCCTATAATATTTGGACTTTGACAGATGCAGCTAAAAGTGAAGGGATGGAAAGGCTATGCATCAACGTTGATGTCAAGCCTGGCCCTCATTGTACAAGTACGTGTACGAGCACTCACTGAATTCGCTCGGAATATAAATTTTGAGGAAAGGAGAGGGAGTCTTCATCTAAGATGCCCTTTTCTTTTCTTTTGCCTTGATTACTCTATTCAGAAATGTCATCATGTGTGCATTCGCGGCTTCTACAAAGGCATCGGGTCTATCAATGAGCACCGAGTTCAGGTCTAATTCAAACAAGGAATCCATCTTGGTATAACTCGATTCAAGTGATGGAGATTGCCCTTGAGTTATGTTGTGACTGTCTGGGATGATATCACCAAGAGGCAGATGGTTTCCCAATACAAATACACCCTGCTTATAGTCTACATTTGAGTGCCATCTCGTCGAAGAATATGGGCTACACTATGATACAATCTCATCTGTTCGGCTGTTATACATGTGAGAACAAGCCCCCTTTCTGCATGTCCCTCCCATTCCTCTTTTACTTCCGATCTCTCCATCACTCCTCGGCCACAATCTCCACGACCTTGCGCACAGGGGCAGCGCCCTTGCCAGGCAGGATGTCCACCTCCCAGCGGCCCAGCGCCTTGACGCGGTCGACGCCGTCCTCGAGGCCGACGAACTTGACGTCGCGGGCCTCGACGACGGCGACGGCCCCGGCCTCGGGGTCGGCGCGCGCCAGGATCTGCCGGACCGTCGCGGCGACGTCGTGGGTCGAGACGGAGCCGAAGATGGCGAGGGCCGCGGCCGCGGCCTCGGCGGCCTCCTCGGGCGTGGGCTCGGGGGCGGCGGCAGGCGCGCCCGTCGACACGGCGGCGCGGGCGGCGAGCAAGGGGGAGCGAGGAGGCGCGGCGGGCTCGGCGGCGGCGGCGGCGGCGGGCTGCTGGGCGTTGATGGGCTTGCGGGCGAAGGTCAGGGTCTGGGGGAGGTGGCTTTCGAGGAGCTCTGCTGTGCGCTCGGGCTGTGACAGGGGGGAGAGAGAGAAGTGATTTAGTACAAACACATACATCTAGCCGGGAAGGGTTCTGGGATGCGAAGAGACACGTACGCTCATGGTCCGGATCTGGATCGACGACAGCTCAAAGTCGTCGCTCTCGTCGACCTCGGGGGGGGCAAAGGACCCAAACATGGGGTCGCGCTCGCCGATGGCCTCGCCGCGGGAGAGGCCCAGCTCGGAGAAGCGCGTGGCGGTCATGTACTCGGCCTTGCCGCTGGGGTACCACAGGTTGCGCATGCGGCCCCTGTCGATGCGGAAGATGGCGTCTGCATGATCATTCGCGCGGATGGTCAGCCCTCTGTCCGTCTTGTCCCCTCTTCCCGGTATTGGATGCAGCTCACCTTTGCGGCCGAACTTGGGGATGTCCTCGAGCAGGCGCACGACGACGCCCTGGTCCGGGGACTGCTTCGACTTCTTGCCGCGGACCTGCGTGCGGACGACGGCCGAGGCGAGCCAGGAGCTCTCGACGCCGGCGGTGGCCAGGGAGCGGCGCAGGCAGCCCAGGCAGGTCGGCGCCCTGCCGAATAAGGGGGCGACCATGATATGGTGCAGCCGATTGACTTGGCCGGTCCGGGCAGCCAATTGAGGTGTTGCGAGGAGGGGAGGCGAGGCCGTTTGAAGGTGTGGTGTGGTGTGGTCTGGATGGATCCGGTTCGAGAAAAAACCCGGAGAAGAAAAGGTCAGCCAAATTTAGTATCGCGGGTCGGGGGGAGTGCACGGTCCACACCACCACCTTGATCCTCTGTCCCAGATTCGATGTTCCGTCGGGGCGACAGCCAAATCTATCATGTTGAAGTCATGAATTTGAGTGTCCTCATTATTAAAGAAGTCGTCGTGTTCATATGATAGAAATCTAGAAATACGAGAAATGTGATTGAAGCAAGATCATTGATACTCATCAATCCCACCCCTGTCCCTATCTAAAAGCCCCCTTTCCCAGCCCATCAAAATGTTTCTCCCGAAACGCCTCGCATTATCCTCAAGAGGAGGTAATATCAGATCAAATGACAAGCTCTCCAAGGTAGGTAGGTAGGTAGGTAGGCAGGTATGTCTCAAGCACAGATCCACACACCTCACCTCACCTCACCTCACCTCACCTCACCTCACTTGACCTCCGCCGCCCCGGGCCCCTTCAGCTCGGGCACCACCCTCCGCCGCCACCACTCCCCCCAGTCCACGACCTCCCCGCCGAGCCGCGCGTCCTCGGCGCAAAAGACGAGCGCGTGGCTCCGCAGCACCTCCTCGAGCGTGCAGCCGACGATCTCGCGCTGGGCCCGCTCGGCGCTCCACCCGTGGTTCTTGACCTTGTCGACCGCGAGCACGAACTGCCGCACGAGGCCGTTGTCGCCGCCGCCGTGGCCCAGGCTCTCGACGCGCGGGCGGTGCACCGTCGTGGCCCCCGTGCGGAAGTCGTTGACCGTGATGGTGTAGCTGTCGGCGTAGGCGTCGCCGTCGGTGCCGTAGATGTGCGTGTAGCGGTCGCACTGCTTGCGCGAGTGCGCGACCATGTGGAAGACGGCCGTCTTGGCGCCCCGGCCGCGCGGGACGCGGCCGTCGAGGAGGAGGAGGGGGGGCTCTGAAGAAGAAGAAGAAGAAGAAGAAGCCTGCCGCCCGTTCGCCGCCGGTCCGGCATCCGCACCCTCCTCCCCGGCAGCGGCGGCGGCCTCTTGGTCGTCGTCCCACGTCAGCGTGACGACCTGGTCGTCGCACACGTCGTTGTCGGCCTCGAAGACGCACCGCCCGAACCAGTTGCGCGCCGCGACCTCGGCGGCGGGCGTCTCGGGCCCGTAGTCCTCGCCCAGCCGGTCCAGCAGCATCTCGCGGGCGCGCTCCAGGGCCAGCGGCGAGCCCTCGCGGCCCAGGTCCTCGATCTCGGGCACGACGATGCTGACGGGCCAGCCGGTGTTGCCCGCGCCCAGCCCGCGCAGCTGCCTGCCCACGTAGACGCGCCGGGCCGAGTACTTGCACGCCTCCTCGACGGGGCACGACAGGCAGTTGGTCGTCGCCGCGCCGGCGCCGCGCGGCTTGCGGCTCCGCTTGAAGAACTGCAGGCTGCCCGTGCTGGCGACGGTGGACGGCAGGTGCGGGTTCTCCACGGCGGCGCGGTCCGCGTACGAGGGCGGGGAGCTCAGCAGCCAGAGCAGCACGTCGATGTCGTGGCAGCTCTTGGTCAGCAGGCTCGGCGCCGAGGTGTCCTCGCGGCGCCAGTTGCCGCGCACGTAGCTGTGGCTAAAGTGCCACCAGCCGACGGGCTCGGTGTGCTCGACACTGAGAATATCGCCGACGGCGCGGTCCTCGAGCAGCAGCTTCCGCAGCAGGATGTTGTGCGGGCTGTAGCGCATGACGTGCCCGATGGAGAAGACGGTGCCGTCCTCCTCCTCCTCCCCCTCCCCCTCCCCGCCGCCCGAGCCCGGGCGGGACCGGTTGGCGCGCAGGGCGTTGTACATGGCCGTGCAGTCGGACAGCCGCGTGGCCAGCGGCTTCTCGCACATGATGTGCAGGCCGCCGAGGGCCGCGAGCGCGAGCACGACCTCGCGGTGCATCTCGTCGAGGACGCAGACGTAGGCGCCGTCGACGCCCTCGGGCACCCCGCGCTCCCCGGCCGCCGCGCGCCCGCGCCGCGCGCGCTCGTAGGCGACAAAGTCGCGCCAGGACTCGAACTCGGCGCCCTCGGGGGCCCGGTCGGCGTCGCCCCAGATGAAGGCGCGGCCGAGCTGGCGCCGCTTGAAGGCGTGGGGCTCGGCGACGGCGGCGACGAGCCCGTTGCTCGAGGTCGTGATGGCCTGGGCGTAGCCGGAGCCGCGGGAGCCGGCGCCGATGATGATGAAGCGCGGCGGCGAGGCGGACATGGGCGGCGGAGGCGGCGGGCGGAAGGTGGCGGGCGCGTCGGCCCCGTAGGCGTGCACGCCGTTGGCCACGGCCGGGTGGGAGGTCGGCGCCCCCGGAGCCGGAGGGTCCGAGTCTGAGGAGTGTGTGCTTGCTGGCATGGTGTGGATGTGTTTATTGGCGATGGTAATGACTACTCAGGTAGATGGTATATGAGGTGTCTTAAGACACGACGGGTGGTGGTCCTGAGTGAGTTCGGAGAGGGTCGTCTTGGCTGAAGGGAGGTCCCGGGCCAAGAAGACTGATATACCGGAGGCTACGTGCGGGGTGTCTGAGCTAAACCGCAAGCTGGGCTGGGTGCTACGTTGCCTTGCATTTGGGGGGAGGGACCAGGTGAGAGAAGGGCGAGGTCGCACAGCTTGCGCGGAGAGAGGGTGGTGCGGTACTGCACCGCCGATCGGCACGACGGGATGCGAGTCAAGTCCTGAACCGGAGGCCCAGATATGTTTTTTTTTTCGAGACTGTTCAACAAGTTGATAATGGGATACAGACCAACAGAGGCAAATGCCGACCACAAACAAAGCACAACAAAGTGTTGGATGTGATCAAAGTTGGTTAAGCCTGTCCCTGTCGGCCCTCCGTTGCGCGGTCCATCCGCCAGTTCACCGAGCTAATCTGGGGAGCCCACGTGTATGCACCAGTCAAGAGGCTCGAATTACCAAGTTGGAGCCCGCCCTAATAAATGCCGGGTGGGTGTGCTGTTGGTGTTCTATTTTCGGCCATCTCGGACAACCTCAGGTCATAGATATTGTCGAGTAACCCGAACACCAGCTCCTCGAGGCCCTTCTTCCTAGACGCCGAGTTAGACATAGAGATGTGTATGAATGCATCCCGTGGTTTGATTGGCCAAGTATATGGTTGAAACAAACAGAAGGCTCATCTTCATGCCAACGTGCGGTGTTGGCTAAGCCACTTTGGACTGGTTGGCCAAGTCTGCGTGAAGAGAAGAATTGTTGTTGGTACAAGATCCCATTCGGAAACTCGTCCTCCATTCGTCCCATGTAAATATCTGCACAAGAAACCTTCCATTGAGCAAAATGCCTGAAGGGAATTGCTTTTTGAACGCCATCAAAAATCGTAGATGAACGCTCTCGCCTTGAGTAAAACGAACCTCACTAGCACATGCCACCTTTTCCGTGGTGAAACATCTCTGCGCTGTTACATCTCAGCTCCACCAACACCCGCCTCACTTTCATCACCCGACCACTGGCACCGCCAGCAGTCCTTGACGCGGAGACTGCGTACAGAAGACACTCATGATGGACAGGGACGTCCCTCTCGTGTGGATCGACTGCGAGGTAAGCCGCCATCAAACATAGCAGCCTCACGCCTTGCCCTCACAACCCGTAACTCACACACACCCACCCCCATCGCCAGATGACAGGCCTGGACCCGGACAAGGAGGAGATCATCGAGATCTTCTGCCTCATCACCGACGGCCAGCTCAACCTGCTCGACGAGGCCGGCTGGGGCGCGGTGGTGCACCAGCCGGCGGAGCGCATGGCGCAGATGGACGAGTGGTGCACGCGCACCCACGCCGCCACGGGCCTGACGGCCGCCGTCGCCGCCTCGACCGCGACCCCGGAGCAGGCCGCCGCCGGCCTGCTGGCGTACGTCAGGCGGCACGTCCCCGCGGCGCGGACGGCCCTGCTGGCGGGCAACAGCGTGCACGCGGACAGGGCCTTCCTGCGCAGGGCCCCCTACGCGCGCGTGCTCGACCACCTGCACTACCGCATCCTCGACGTCAGCAGCCTCAAGGAGGCCGCGCGGCGGTGGGCGCCGGCCGAGGTGGTGCTGCGGGCGCCGGCCAAGATGGGGAGGCACCGGGCGCGCGAGGACATCCTGGAGAGCATCGCCGAGGCCAGGTACTACAAGGAGGCCATCTTCTCCGCGGGGGCCAAGGGTGCCGCGTAGAGGGGAGGCATGTCGAGAGAATATTCTTTCATCCTTTTACGTCTTTCTGAGAGCAGGGAGCTGCTGGGTGTTACTGTTACAAGATCAGGTACCTAGGGATGCATTGCTAGTAGTGTCACCATCTTGGTGCATCAGAGTGTCAACGTCAAACAGGCCGTCGACCGTCGAATGCCAATGTCAACAGAGCAGAGCGATCTGCCTCGTGGCTGTTAACCCGCCAAGCGCGAGGTACCTGAGCGGGTGGGAAGGTCGACAACGTGTATTGGTGGGGTGGGATCAGGCAAAGTACCTTATCGGCGGGGATACTTCAGATTCATGGACAAGACATAGGCGGGCCAGAGTACACCCAGCTAATCACTACTTGGCGAGCTGTTCGAAAACAGTGGGAATGAGGTCATGATCACAACCCCTCATCCCACCTCAGGTACCTTCAATGCAATAGACTCCAGAGCTCCCACTCCCAGCTCCTCAACAAGCCCGCCCGCCCGTTGGACCCGTGGAATCGCAGCTCCAATCGCAGCTCCAAAGCACACCACCACCACCACCACCACCACCACCACACGCCACCTTTCAGGTCGTGCTGAACGGCAGCTCCGGGGGCCCGTTTTGCTGGGCCAACTCGCCGTCGAGACCGCCACCTTCAATTCCTCAGACAGAGACTAAGAGAGAAACAGGCTTCTTTCCTCTGTCAATTCATTTTTTTCCATTCTGATCATCACTAATTGCATCTTTTTTCTTCCATCATCGCCCTTCTTGTCCACTCTTTGAGCCAATTCCCTTCGATCAGCAGGCCATCATGAGTGTCAAGGCCGTCGAGTTCACGCCCTTCACCGACCAGAAGCCCGGAACGTCAGTTTGCCTCCCCTCACCCTGCTGCTCCCGCCAATTGGTGTCCGGGCTCGATTGCTAACCAAGCTTTCCTCCTCCGACATAGCTCGGGTCTTCGCAAAAAGGTCACCGTCTTCCAGAAGCCTCACTACAGCGAGGCTTTTGTCGCCAGCATCCTGCTCTCCATCCCCGAAGGTGCCCAAGGTACGCAGCGCACCGACATCATGAAGTTGTGCCCCTCAATGACGCAACTTGGCGACCCTCCTCCCTCTCTCCTCCGCCCCGAGCTGGCCCGTTGACTGACGCGACCTTGGTCCACCTCTAGATGCCTTCCTCGTCATCGGCGGAGATGGCCGCTACTGGAACCCCGAGGTCATCCAGCTGATTGCGAAGATTGGCTACGCGTACGGCGTCAAGAAGCTCCTCATCGGCCAGAACGGCATCCTCTCGACGCCTGCCGCCAGCCATGTTATCCGTAAGAGGAAGGCCACCGGCGGCATTCTCCTGACTGCCAGCCACAACCCCGGAGGTATGTCTGTCCATCTTCCCCCGCGCCCTCCTCATCCTCCCCTGCTCCGCCGCCGCCTCTACATAAGATCGCTAAAGTCTCGGTCTCGAACCTTCGCAGGTCCCCACGACGACTTCGGCATCAAGTACAACCTCGCCAACGGCGGCCCCGCCCCCGAGCCCGTCACCAACAAGATCTTCGAGACCTCCAAGGCCCTGACCTCGTACAAGATTGCCGACATTCCCGACGTCGACATCACCACCATCGGCACCAAGACGTACGGCGACCGCCTCGAGGTCGAGATCATCGACAGCACCGCCGACTACGTCGCCATGCTCAAGGACATCTTCGACTTTGACCTCATCAAGAAGTTCTTCAAGACCCACCCGGACTTCAAGGTCCTCTTCGACGGCCTGCACGGCGTCACGGGCCCCTACGGCAACGCCATCTTCCGCGGCGAGCTCGGCCTCGGCCCCGAGTCCACCCAGAACTGCGTGCCCTCGCCCGACTTTGGCGGCGGCCACCCGGACCCCAACCTCGTCCACGCCCACGACCTCGTCGCCGCCGTCGAGAAGGCCCAGATCCCCTTTGGCGCCGCCTCGGACGGCGACGGCGACCGCAACATGATCTACGGCGCCGGCGCCTTCGTCAGCCCCGGCGACAGCCTCGCCATCATCGCCCACCACGCCCACCTCATCCCCTACTTCAAGAAGAACGGCGTCCACGGCCTCGCCCGCAGCATGCCCACCGCCTCGGCCATCGACCTCGTCGCCAAGAAGCAGGGGCTCGCCTGCTACGAGGTGCCCACGGGCTGGAAGTTCTTCTGCGCCCTCTTCGACGCCGACAAGCTGTCCATCTGCGGCGAGGAGAGCTTCGGCACGGGCAGCAACCACATCCGCGAGAAGGACGGCCTGTGGGCCGTCGTCGCCTGGCTCAACATCATCGCCGGCCTCGGCGTCGCCAACCCGGGCGTCGCGCCCAGCATCAAGCAGATCCAGCACGACTTCTGGAACGAGTACGGCCGCGTCTTCTTCACGCGCTACGACTACGAGAATGTCGACTCGGAGGGCGCCAAGAAGGTCGTTGATACCCTGGGCGACCTGGTCAAGGACTCTGGCTTTGTCGGCAGCAAGATTGGCGGTACGTTTCTTTTTTGTCTCTTGACTAATGTCTTTCTCTGGAAAAGCAAGGTTAATCTAACACATCATTTTTTTTTTCATCTTCCACAGAGCGCACTGTCACCGACGCCGGCAACTTCTCGTACACGGACCTCGACGGCTCCGTGTCGAGCAACCAGGGCCTGTACGCCTGCTTCTCCACCGGCAGCCGCATCGTCGTGCGCCTATCGGGCACGGGCTCGAGCGGCGCCACCATCCGCCTCTACGTGCAAAAGTACAGCGGCGACCGGGCCACGTACGGGCAGGACGCGCAGGACTTTTTGAAGTCGGAGATTGAGTTTGCCACGGGCCTGCTCAAGTTCAAGGAGTATGTCGGCCGGGACCAGCCTGATGTGCGGACCTGAGAGAGTGGAAAGTGCCAAGGGCAGGGAGGGAGAGAGGGAGAGAGGGGTTTTTGAACTGAGGTTGTCGGGTTGTTATTTTTACTCACAAGCCATTGTTTTCGACTTGAGATTAGCAGATGAGACAAGAAGAGAGAAAAGAAAAAACGGTAGCCTTATTTTTGTTGTTCATCATTCAACAAAGAGAAGTTTGTGATATGGCTTTTTTAGTGAAAGTGAAATGCAGGGGAGAACCCTTTTCTCATATGCCATCGATGTAGGACAAGGCCCAATGCTTCGGGATCTGAGCTGCCTGAGTCCCAGAGTTGGTGCCAACCCGTCAAGCAGGTCAAACCTCAAGGACCGGTCCAAAGAAGTTGGCTCTGCCAGGTTGATGTAATGGTGCCAAAGCCTCGGGTCTCCGTATCGGTAGTTAGAAAGGGGATAGAGCGAAGAGACTCGGTGCGACGGCTGGCACGACCGTCTACAAATAGTGTATGTAAATAGGTCTCATTCTGAATATCACCCAGTCCCTCTCCCGTTGTTGCGAACTACGGAGGGTCAACTTGTATGGCCAGGACGAAACCCACAGAAGTACATAATACATACAGAAAGGCGGGAAATTGGGGGTGGGGGGGGAGGATAACATATCGGCAATTCTTGGGGAGCCGAACCATGGCAGTTTTCATTTCCACTGCCCAGGCTCTTGGTAAAGTCTTCGGGGATTCATGGGATACCAAAAATGCCTGACAACATGAACCCATTTGAGCCCTGAGACTCTGAACGCCCAGCAAACGGTAGAGGAAATTGGCCAATCTGTTTTCTTCTGAGCAAAATCAAAGGCAATAAATAGGCCGAGATGTCGTAGAGTTGATGTTATGCTTTGATGGTCACCACAAGATGAGAGCTGCGGGTTCTGAGGATGGCTTCCGGGAGGCTTAGGCAGGCAGGCATCCTCCATCGAGCCGTTGTCGCGAGAACCGAAAAGAGATAAACAGCGATAAGATGACAAGAAGCGCTGCCGTAAGGGGAGCGGGCCAGAGGGCGAACGACCAAGTGTAGATGACTCCTCCCTATCCCCTGGATCTGGGTCGGTTTGAACAGATAAAGATGTGCTACTAATGCAGAAAATTGCTGATGGAAAGCTAGTAGACTGTCAAGCAAGGCTTCCTTATAGAACGCTTTATACCGTCGGTGTGTGTCTGTGGAAGTGTTGAGCATGGCAAAAAAAAAAAAATATTAAAGGGCAAAAGAGCAAAAGAGCAAAAGAGAAAAAGAAATACAAAAAACAAAGCAACATTGGTATCATCGGGAATCGAACGCAGACCAGGTGCACCAGTGGATTGCTGAAATGCAACAGCTATTACTATCCGACTCCCTAACCGCTATGGCATATTGCCACAAGCTGCTTTGTTATTGTGAGTAGTGTTGTTCTTGACTATAAGGCCTTTGGAAGCTCCCATTTCAAATGTAATTTACACGCTCGATTGTCAGGTTCGAAGTGTTGTACGCTTCCATCATCATCATGTACGGAGACAGGGCCGTAGGGCCGTTGAAACCTGGGTCAGTTGCAGAGAAGTACGCGTTATGTCGCACGCATAGACATTCTCCAATCTTCGTGCTGCAGATGATCGTAGGGCTGAGACGCCTGGCAAGCCCCCCTTCCGTTGCTTGCCAAATTTCACCTGTCTGATGATGCTGGTAGGTTTGCATAAAAGCTGAGCAGACTCCGAGAAGCTACATTCCGCTGGGCGCATTTTCGTTGCGGTCCAGCTGTCCCCGTTGAGATAGCGGTGTTTACTGAGCCGACGAGGATGATGGCGAGTTCTCTCGTCGTCGGGTGTCGCTCGAGTTGCCACATCCAGCTCTTTGTAAGCGCCCAACTTGTAAAAGATTCCTCAACCGGGGAGCCCACCCCCGCGCGAAAGCACGACTGGGAAAAAGACTACCGGGTACACTCTGGTGTGCTGAGCCCAAGTATGCCAAAAAAATGGGAAAACGTGTCCGTCCACGTGGAAGCCCAGCTCTCGGATATCCAGAAAGGTATCTGAAGTAGATCCAGGATAGTGCCGTTGGCCCCGTGGTACTCCGCCCGACGAACACAACAACGATCGAGCCTTCTAGGCAGTCCAGCCCGGTGGACAAAGCCTCTACGGTCGCCTTCCATCCGGGTATAGCCAGAGCCATTCGCCTCGATGGACTGGGTAGGCATATTGCTCGGAGACGCCAAGTGGAAGGTTCAGAAGGTTATATGTATCGGCCGGGTATAATAGTCGCCGGAAAGAAGCTATAGCGATGGGGCCTGCTGAACTGCTGTTCAACGCTATCGACAGAGGTACTCGTGATTGCCATCGAGGTGGTCTCTTCTATTTCAGTAGGTAAAAGTGTGATGAGACCGGTCGAGAAAACGACAAGTGAGCTGATCGCCAACGAGATCCCCGGAGTGCATACAACAGGCCAGTCTCGATTCTTCATGGCCCCGTAAACAACCCTTGGCTTGATTAAGGAGTGGTAGTCGAGGAGCAGTGTCCGCTCTCCAGCATGCCAGCCTTTTGAAAGACGGAGCCAGGGCGCCACTACCTCGGACTGGAATTCGACTCGAGCCCAGCAAGCGGCAATGAGCGTGAGTATCGCAGTAGGCCCAAATGTCCAAAGGTAGTGTAGATCGTTCGTGCTGGTCGCCAGACCTCGGCTTTTGTCGGAAACCGCCAACAGAACCTCGACAGTGATAGCCGTCAGGACGAACAGGAGCCCGAAGGTGCCGCCTATGACACGACGCCGGAGATACGCTTGGTCGCCATGGCAGGAGAGATGCGTCCTGTTGGCGTTCTTGGTGTGGCTGCATAGCGGTTGCAAGGCTTCACACATAAGACAAGATAGGGAACGAATGTTGGAGACTTGGATGTGTCACAAGATCTCTGGTGTTATTACAGAAATGTAGATTTTGACCTTTCTAGTTAAGAAGTAGAGTACTGTCGCCTCCTCCCCTGAAGCGTCATACAACTCCTGTCGAGAGCCTGGCCGGAGACATAAGCTCACTACCCCCAACCTGTGTATCCTGGACAGATGACAAGTTATATTGCACTATAAACCTGCTGCAAAGTTCTCTCTGTGAAAGGCATATCATATCGCACCGTACAGACCGGCTCTTATATATGGCAGTAAGCAGCTCTAAGAACGCAAACCGCTCGTGAACTAAATCTATTGTACATTCAACGGCCCCGCAATAGCAACTGGGAACCTAATAGCAGCCTCGTCTGACAAACACCGAGGCTGTACCAAACAGGCTCCGACGTACCAATCTATTCGACATGCCGTCTACGAGGCGGAGATAAGTCCGCAAAGTCGTGAACCTGGTATTGTATCGCCAAGGTCCAGCGAGCGCCGTGCAGGTCTCTCTAACATCCGGTCCCAACCCAAACCAAACCAGAAGACGGTCATGAAAGAGAACCACTTCGGATGTCTTGGGGAAAGAACGCTCTTCCTCACGATCCGGTAATAGCCCACATGGTATTAGGATTTTTTTTTTCATGACGCGAGAGAATGTTTCAGGAAGCCGACATAATCCCGGGCTTATTCTCGAAATCGCCATCTACCAAGATAAGAGGTAGGTATGCAACACTGACAGGCCAAATTTGCACATCTTCGTCCTGATGCTCCGTTGGGGGTTGGGGGGGGGGGGGGTTTGCGTCTCGCCGCAATCGCGCAAGCGCACGGACCACCCGGGATCCCGTCGCCTCGGCGGGGCGGATGACACGAGAACACACAGCACAAAGAGCTCACACAACACAAAGCAAGGAAAAGCTTGAGTGGGGACGGATGGAGCTTCTCCAAGCTCTTTTGTTGTCATCCGGCGCGTTTCGCCCGCCTGACACGGCGGGCGCAAGGTGTGTGTGTGTACACGTGTGTCAGTATCGAATCTCCTTGTCCTCCCTCCCTTCCTCCCTCCCCTCTCCGCTGACAAAGCCCTTCCACAACCGACCGGGTGCTCAGTCTCACAGGTTCAAAGGCTGGGATCAGAGCTGATCGTTACGCATCTTACGATGCGCGCCCAGGGAAGGGGGAACGAGTACAACCTCAAAAGCTACGTTCTCGTGTGAAATACGGCTGCACTAAGCTGGAGGAGCTTGGGCCATCTCGCACCTCCGTTCAAAGTCAAATAAAGTGCACGCAGCAAAAGGCGCGCAAAGGCGCGCAAAGTTCTACAACCAAAAACTACACATGTCGTCGCAGTAGAGGAGAGGATATGGAAAAAATGCATGCACGTTGGGTAGCGGGGGATGCGTAGCTCCCGGAAACCGCATGGTGGCTGGTCTCCGGACCCAAACCCAGACTCAGACTCGTCTTGGGCGAGATGCAGGAAACAGGAGAGAGCAGAGCATGAAGCGAGAGGAAGAGGGAGAGGGCGCGGGGGCGCATGCAAGGCAAGGGGGAGGTTTTGTGGCACGCTAACTCCGAATCAAGAGAGGGAGTGATTGTGCTGCTCGCTCGCTCGCTCGTGCGGGAAAAACCAGAGAATCAGGGCGAGACGCCAAAATCAGACAGGGCCCCAGAAAAGTAAAATCAGCAAAAAAAATGGGCAGCAAGAAACACAGAGGTACGTCCGGGAGTGGGAGGTACATTGGGTCCAGAGAGTGCTTGGGCGGGTGTCTGTTAGGAGGTACCACACCGTCGGTGACGCGAGAGCGAGAGGTACTTGGCCGTGGGTACTTGGCAACTTCGTAGCGGTACATGTCGGAACCGAGTCAGGGTACATACCAGCCCCGCCGACGACAAGTATCTTTTTCTTGGTGTGTGTTGTGTGAGCTTCCCTCCCGCCCTCCCTGCCTCTGCTGGGTGGGCGTTTGGAACCAGTCGTTTTGCTCAACGGGCATGCCGCGAGGAATGGCTTTCTATGCTCTACCAAATATCAACATGCCAGTATGCCAATAATGGGAGCAATCTCCAAGGAGACGGCACAATTGGCAGGCGGCTGACCAGGTGCATGCACCTAGTTGACCAGAGAATGAATGCTCACCATCGGTGCTGCGACCAGAGTCCTCCAAGCAAGCGTCAACAGCCAGGCGGCGGCGATAGGTATCCTTCCCTGACTTACATGACCGTTGCTGTAGGCTGCGCATCGCAAATCCCATACTTTGATATCGGGGTCTTCTTGAGTGGTGAATCGCATTAACAATGGCTTCCACTTTCCAAATCGCACTTTGGTCTTGACAGGCGCAGTCATGCACTTGCTAGGGCTACGGCGACATCGCTTGCTAGGTGGTGGCCAAAGGGTGATGCTCTGATCCCATCCGTCATCAGAGCGGATTTCATCACCGGAAAGAGAATGAATGCCATGGACAAAGCTGCATCCCCTTGGGCACTAGCCGTGCCCATCGTACCTTGCAGATCTGTCGAGTTCCATGGAAACGAGCAACATCCTCTGGCGCCCGGTGGACTCGATCGGCCAGGTCTTGGTGAGCAACGGCCGGATCGGGACCAGAGGTGGTCACGGTGGTATCGAATGTAAACAAGCCCAAGTCTCTGTGACGCGCAGCAATTGTCTGAGACGCTCAGGATGGCTGTAGTGCGTCAGCAGTCGGAGGCACTGGCTGCGCTAGATAAGGTACGAAAGGTACCAGAGTGACCAAACAAGGACGGCGAGGTACTTGCGGCCGGCCTGGAGGGCGGTGTTTGCTCTGGGCGCGGGGGGTAGGCAATCGCCCTCTGTGGGAGGGTGCAGGTATGAAGCAGCACCTGGACGGGCACAATGGGCCCGCGGTGCTGGGCGCACTGATTGACTGGAGGCGCCTCTGCGACGGGGCACAGCCTGGAAAAGGACGCGCGAGCGACGCCGAGAGTGGGCGTGGAGTATGGAGGAGTGACGTGCGCCCATTGAAGAGGCAGACCTCTGAGCGCCGGAGCAGCTGGGCAGAGGCAGCGGTGCTGGGGCTGGCCCAAGTACCGCGGTACTATGGACGCAGGCCCTGGCCAGTACATTGGTGGAGCGGCGTGCAGCCAGAGTGGTACATGGAGGCCATTGGCACCGTTTAGCCTGTTGTGAAGGCGTTGCTCAGTCCCTCCAGATCACACACTCCCGTTCCGCTAAGATGAGTCCGGCAGACAGTAAGGTACGAAGTAAGCACGGAGCTGTTGTCTCTTGTTTTTATTTTATTTTAGGGTGGCTGGGATGAGGGAGAAGAGAGGAGACGGACTGGGGTTTCGGGAGTGCACCTGGCCTCCCACTCCTCCTCTTGGCTGGCGTTCCTCGAGGGCTATCCCTCTATCGCGTCCCGTACGACGGGGACATGTCGCCTCGCCGTTTGCTCAGCTATGGACGGACTCGTATTATGGGACTCGGGCCAGGACCGTTCAACCGTTGAGGAGCTGTAGGTACTCGCAACGGTGCAGTTTCGAAACCAGGCTTTGGTTATTCCTGTTTCGCTAGGGGGGAAAAGGCGAAGTAAAGCTTCCAATATGCCAGCGAGCGCTTGGGTGTGTGGGTGTAAGTGGAAAAGCGCGTGTGTGGATGTACCTTCTCATACTGCCGTACATTTGCCCACACATGCAAAACGGAACTGGCATGCCATGTCCGGCTGTGGGTGTGTTGTGTGCGTGTGCGCGAAGCCGTGTATGGCACTGGCCCAGAGCGATGAGATACGACGTCTCTTCCTCTTCCTGGTGAGCCGGTCGTCGCCCAGAGACTGAATCCCTCCCAGCAGGGGCCCCGTGTGCATGCGTGCCCACACCACAAAGCGGCCTCTTCCCTGCGAAGGCCGAGTCTAGGCACGTACGAAGTAGTGGAAGTACAGGCCCGTCGTAGGTAGGCACGCGGGCCTGGCTCCTCTGGCGTGGTGTCTCTCGTCTTAGCACCAAGTACATTGCTTGCCCGCTGCGGCACTACCACACACACACACAACGCGCACCCCTCCTCTTTGATCTTCCCCCCTACCCTCCTCCCCCTACCACCAAAGTCCACAGTGTGCCCCAGCCAAAGCTGCCCTTTGGCCGCTTTTTTTTCTCCTCCCCTTCCCACACACCAGACAACCCCCCTCTGCTTTGGTCTGTCCTGCCGCTTTCCCCCTCCAGTCTTCCTCCTCAATCACTTCGGTCCCGTGGCCCATAGTAAAAAGGCAGAGCCCAGTCCCCCCCATATACAAATTTCCTCTGCCTCTCCTTCTTCCTCCACCAAATCTTCCCATACAAATCTCCCATACAAAATCGCAGCCTTTTTTCGCGACACCGCAAAACACACGCACCAAACGTGAGTACCTCATCGCACACTCTCCCCCACTGCCATTGCCAAGTCACCCTGCCCAAACGCCTCTCTCCCACGTCTTCACTTATACCCAAAATCCACCTCACCGGCGCGACTCGTTTGCCTTCTGAGAGATCCCCGTCTGGGCGATTTTTTACCGTCTCATTGGGCCCGACTTGGAGCTCGTCCTGGCGCACGAACCCGCGCAACCTGGTCAACGCCGCCTTTGCAAGCTTGCACCCGGAGGAGCACCAGCACCAGCACCAGCACCTTCGCCCTCGCCTTATCGTCATCGCCAATTGACGCGACAAGTCGGCCATCTGGTGTCAACCACGATTGCGCGCAACAGCACACAATCAACATCACTGCCCAGCCGTTGCGAAAAGTGTCTCCAGGTACGCATAGCGGTCTAATTGGGCCGATTTTGTGGTCTTGGGCGCTTGCATCGCTCGTGGGCGGCCGCAATCGCAATTGCGACACAAGCTTGTCACCACTTCAACAGTGTCAACACCACGACTGGCAGTCGCGTCGTCGCGCACTTGCCTATCGCGACACAGCTTTCCCTCTGACTAGGCGTCTCTCCACCAAAAAGCCATCTCACCTCAACCCTTGGACCAGGCACCCACCACCAGCACCCATCACCCACCTCTCAAACCAATTCATCTACCCAAACAGATTTCAAACCACTTCCCTCATCCCTCATCCATTATTCATCTTCATCATCATACCTGATCAGGCATCTGCGCCAAACAACTCCTGAGATCCTCAACTGACATATCGGCGATAGCGTCATCATGCCTAAGGCCGCAGCTAAGAGCAAGACCACCGGCAAGGTCGAGAAGCGCCGTGGCAAGAAGGGTAAGCTCTCAGCTTTCAAGTAAGGCCTGGTAATGGGCGCGCATGACTGATGACAATTCAATAGACCCCAACGCCCCCAAGCGTGGTCTGTCTGCCTACATGTTCTTCGCCAACGAGCAGCGCGAGAACGTCCGCGAGGAGAACCCCGGTGTTTCCTTCGGTACGTGACCCCCTACATGACAGGTCGCCCCTGGCAGCTCTTTTCACGCAGCCAAATACTGACCGTCCAACAGGCCAGGTCGGCAAGATCCTCGGTGAGCGCTGGAAGGCTCTGACCGAGAAGCAGCGCGGCCCCTATGAGGCCAAGGCTGCTGCTGACAAGAAGCGCTACGAGGACGAGAAGCAAGCCTACAACGTGAGTGACGCCCAGGCATCCCTTGAGAGAATTTGTTGCAGGTGCTAACAGTTGATGCAGAGCTAAATGACCTGCTCATGATCAATAACGTCCATCTTGGTCCCCTGCGGACCTAGGGTTTTCTTTGTTTTTGGGTTGGACGGTGTTGGGAGGGGGCACGGCAACGGGTCTCGTCCTTGGCCTCTTTGCGTGGATTTCTTATTGAATTTCTTTGGGTTGTCCGAGAACTCTCATGCTACGAGCTGGCTGAAGGAGATCTCTTGGCGTGGCTATGGAGCCTCTCTGTCGTCGGTCAAGCTATCAAGTCTCTGATCTGGAGGGCATGCTGCGACGGACGTGTACAATTAGGGAGAGGGTATGGATCTCTCGGCATGAATTGATTGAAAAGGTCTAAATCCTCTGTTCGTTTTGGTGACGTGACTTTCTGCTGGTGTACATGTCGGCTCAGGGCTGCCCTGGGTGTATCATATCAATCTTGCCCTTTTGCCTGCCAGGTGCCTGTCAGATGGGATGGATGGATACCTAAGGCGACATGAAAATGAGTACAGCCCAAGAAATCAACCTGCCTCTCAAAATTCTTCCTCTATCGCACAACAGCACCAATCAGTCTGATCTGGTGCTGGGAGCACTGTCGGCTGGACGATAAATCGAGCTGCCACCCGCCCTCCCGACTGCAGCGCCTCCTGCTTCCTCGCTACTCAATGTTCCCCATGCAGTACCCTCGGTCGCTCGTTCCGGCACTCGTTTCGCGCTCTGTGCTCACTCAGTATTCCGATCCCTGATGTCTCACGGAGCGACAATCTCTTACGGCCGCTGGCATGAGCTACAGCATGTGGCCGCCACTTGTGAACCAGCAGTAGTATCTGATTCAGTGCGACCGGCCTTGTGGCTGTCTAATATACCATACATAGCTCGCCCATTGATGGCAGAGACCTTGGCGAGCCTTTTATCACCAGCTACATGCACACTAATAATACCACTGCTGCAATGCAGTCAGCCCTGCGAGTCCCCAGCTCTCCAGGTGGATACCTACTCTCTCGTCTCCCGTGGTCTGGTAGACTAACTGAGACGAGACAAAGCATCTCGATCGCATCTTTCAGCTTTCCAAGCGGGTATGCTCTCTCCAGATCCCTGCGGTTGTCGCGCTCATGGACCATCGTCTCTCGACCGGGGACAGCATCTCCTTGGCGGACCAGGCTGGGATCCATGCGAGACTCGACGGGCAGTGGCCACTACATGCTGCACATCGACTCCGTATGCATATCCTCGTCCAATGCCACTTGTCTGCCACCCCAGGCCGTATGCAGGAGCGGGAGAGGATCCCCGGTCCAATTCGCCCACAACGGCCGTCCTAATGCACCTCCCGACTCAAACGTGTGTTCGTCTGGCTTCGTGGCAGACGCTGAGTCCTCGAGAGCCGGGTCTTGTGTCTGCAGCCGGTGGCGCCCGTTGCAGCAGTCATCTCGTTACTTCTCCAATTCTCTGTCTTGTCTTTCCACCTGGGCTGGCCCCCTTTCCCCAGGCCACCCTCGTGCGCTTTTTTTTTCGCGGGAGGGCAGCGAGTGCTGCAGCTCCGCACATTGCCGTCGACGGGGCCTTGGGAATCACCCGTGGTGGGTCGAGGTGCCCGAGATAAGTCTGCTCGCATTTCCTTGTCTGTTGCCGCTGGCATTGCCGTGCCATCTTTTGCTTTTGTTGTTCATCATTCGGATGCTCTTCTCCCTTTCATTCTCCCACCTCGACTGCCCAAGCAATGACCGCTGAAGCAAGTGCACAGGACGAGGGGGTTGGTGGCTAGCGGACGCTGAGAACGGCTGTGAGTGGACAGTGGATGACTCCCAACATCTAAGGTGAGTACGATCGCGTGGCCGATTCGATGCTCGGAACACAAATCCATCTGAACATGACGGGCTCCTGGTCTGCCAGAGTGTGGGAGGGTTGGACAGTGCCACAGGAATGTCCGGCGGGTGTGTGAACCGCGGCGTCGCTTTTTCCTGTTCTTCGCACAAAAGCTGATCGGTGGATGGATCTCGACCAGCCGGCAACTCGACGTCATTCTTTCCCACCTTGTTGCTCCTTCACGATATCTTCGAATCCGAGCCGTTTGTGACATGCCACGCTGCACTACTCGGCTCTGACAGAAACCTTGTTATTGCCGACCGCCCTTTGTCCCGGGTTCAACATGCTACATGAAAGGAACTCTGGCCACCTTTGACTCCCTCACACGATTATCAACCGAGCTGTATTTTTCAACCCTACAAGAAAGATACTCTGACGACCAAAATCAAAGTCCACTACAGCATTCGATACGATGAAGTAACGGTACTGATCCTAATATTGCGCGATATCACACGGACGCTCTTGGGAATGGGAGGGAAGAAAGAATAACCTACCTGGGACTATATCAAAAACCAAACACTGCTAGACACGAATCCAGCGTGGCTCCTCAAGATGGATTATCTCAACGCATCTGTGGGCCCGGCCAATATGGAACTCCTCCATGGGTGCTGCCGCGAGGCTCAACAAGCTGATTTTGTGGCCTTTGGTCTTCAGGGCCTGCAGAGCTCATTATCGGAGCCATTGCGGCCCATGATGGTGACCCTTTTGGAAGAGATCAGAAGATCGGGACGGCTCCTGCGTGACTTGGCGGACAAGGCTCAGCTACATGTCTCGAGGGTGCCCGTCATGCTGAATTATCTGAACATCATCATGCCATGCTTCTCCAAAAGCCTGAAGGATATCACGTCTTACTACGAGAACAAGGCTATATCGAGGGAGAACCGCTGGCGGAAGATGTACCATGAGATGGGCAAGGAGGCATCGAATCTCCCGCTCCCCCAGCGCTTCATGCTCTACAACCACTTCCTCGATCAGCTCGGACATCTGCTGGCACGCTCGCCAGACTTTGACCCAAACACCCTCGAGCTCCTCCAGACCCAGATCCTGAAACTTCGAGACAAGCGCGGCATCCCCCCACCAGCGGCCCAATCGAGCCTCGTCGTGATCCCGCCAACCAGCCTCGTCCTCCCCTACACCCCGGAGCGCCCTATCCACTGGGCTGAGGACATCTTCTCGCGGCCCCTGGCGTCGCGCACGCCGCTCAAGCACCTGAAGCCCTCCGAGACCTTCCGGCCCTTCTCGGCCGTGGGCGAGCTGCACATGCCGCGCAACCTGCAGACGCTCTTCAAGCGGCCCTTTGACAACGACCGCATCTCGGTCACCGTCTTCCTCGACACGAGCGACAACTCAGCCTACCTGTTTGCGCGCTCGCTGCACTTTGGCACGCCCTGGTTCTCGCTCAAGGGCGCGCACGAGCTGTGCATCTCGCGCGAGAGCGCGGCGCTGGTGCTCAAGCGCTGGTCCGCGAGCATGCAGCGCTCGACGCCCTGGGCCGTGCTCTACTTTTTGACGTGGGAGGAGATGGTGCTCTTCCACTGCGCCTTCGTGGCGCTCAAGCGCAACTCGGCGCGCAGCTTCGACCTGCACCCGGACGAGTTCCGGCTCGAGGGCGAGCGGCGGCTGTTCCAGGCGCGCATCAACGACGACGGCTACGAGCACTCGCTCATCGTGTACCGCGACGCCGAGACCCGGGGCCTGCGCCTGCACGCGGCCGTCTGGGACGGCGACCTGCGCCGGTGCCCCGTCTGGACGGCCTTTGTCACGCACCAGAGCCAGAGGAGCCATCCGGCGTGGCTGTCCCGCAGGGGCCGGCGCCGCGTGCTCCTGTCGGACGTGCAGCTGTACGTCTTCTGCGCCGACTACCGCCAGGAGACGATGCGGCGGCACAGCAGCAAGGGCGGCGGCGGCGGCGGCGCGTTCGAGCTCAACTTCCAGAGCGAGGAGGCGGCCGCGCGGTTCAAGGAGGTGTTTGACCCGTTTATGTCGGTGGCCTCGAGCGAGGCTACGGGCGCGGAAGGTGGAGGTGGCGGCGGCGGCGGCGAGGGTGGAGGAGGGTGATGATGATGTGTGTGGTGTGTGGTGTCGTTTGCGGGAAGTTCGGTCTGCTCTCTTGCTGTCCGTCCCTCCTCCTCCTCCCCGTAGCCTCTGGCTTTTATATTCTTTGTCATCGTCTTGCTTTTCTTCCTTTTCGTTAACTCTTTATCATTTGCTTCAAGATTCGTTTTCTATCCCCGCTTGTTGCAAAGATCTCCTGTCAACGAACGATCTTTGGCTTCCCCCATCAAGTTGTGTTCTTCCTGCTTTTTGTAACTTGCTCCCTCCCTTTGTTTTCCGTTTCTTTTGGACGAAAGACTGGGTAACTCAGCGCCCCGAACCCGGGTGGTCGGTCCCAAAGACCACACACACACACCCAAGATACCCCCTTGTTTCGTCATTTTTACCTCTTTTGATTTTCGTCTTGTTTCTGCGCGCTGTCTCTGATGATTTCCTTTCCGTTTCTCTGTTCCTTTATCATGACCAGCCTATGATGATGATGAAGCAAGCTCACAATGTTGAAACGATATGTTATGATTATGTATGTAATGACACGACAGACATGAAATATCAATCCTTTATTTACCTGAGGGTGTTGCGACTTTCAGCCCGTCCTGCTGACAAGACTGATATATCTAATTGGGACCATGTTCACAGCTTTTTTTTTTTCTTTTTCTTTCTTCTTTTCAGGTTCATTATTTGTTCGTGGCGCGATCATCTCTAGATGTATCTTCGATTGACCTACAAGCTTCCGGCTCCTTCAAGCCTTTTGAGATGGGACCTGGGTGCTTGATGGTGATGGAGAGGGTGGTAGGGCTGATCTGGTGGAATCTGCAGTAGTGGATAGGAGTGGCGATGATGCAGAGCCTGCCAGAGATATGGCTGTGTCTTCTGAGTCTGAGGCACACGGCTGTGGAGAGGATGAACCAATCGCTTCGAGAGTTCCTCTTTGACGCAGCCACTCCCTGTGTCCGGGGCGTTGATGAAGCTTGAAAGAAGGTATCAAGTCTGAAGACTTGGCAGTTCACGTACTTACTACAGAGAAGAGAATTTGTAATGCCGTCGATTGAATTCTTATCCAGTCCTCAATACAAGGCGGTCTCTATGCTTCTATGACATGGAGCTTATCTTGGTCATATGCTTGCCTGCCATATTTGCTCCATGAGAACAGTCCATTCTCCGTGCTTGAAGTAATACCCCCTTCTACTTGGCCGAGAAAGTATTTTCACGCCTGGAGGTGAATAGATAACACGTGTGCTCCAGGCACTGTAGAGTATCCATTTGGCAGGATGGTGCGGCGGCTCTGGTGACCCATGACATGGCTAGACTTTGCGGGAGCCATGGGCCCCGTTGCCAACGGCCCCGCCGCGCAGGTCTGCTGGGACTGGGCGGCCGGATCAGCTCGGGGGAAGTGCGGATAAGATCGCCGGCATTCATGACTTCATTCGGGATCAAGTACCATGTCGCGGAGGTGCTCGTCGCCAGCCCAGTCCACGCCGCTTCCCGCTACGATGGCGCTAGAGGTTCCCTTCATGACCTGCCACTTGCGCCGGCTCGCCCTCTTGTCGTCTTCCAGACGGCGGATCTGCTGGGCTGTTTGCGTGTCCTCATCGGCCATGGCCTTCTCCCTGTCGGCCTCGACAGCGAGCCGGACGACCTGTGCTGCCAGCTCGGCGTTGCGGCGGCTGAGACGCAGCGCTTCGGCTTCTATGTCGATGAGCTGATCCAGGACCTTGCGGACTTCAGATGCCTGCTTGGCAACGGCAATGGACGTCTCATCTCTCTGTTCCACCAAGGGCAAAACATCCCTGATAGACGTAGGTTAGTGCGATGGCGTTCTCATTCCCAGGGGTGCACATGGGGAACTTGCTGCTCGATGAGCGAGGCACGTGTGGCGCCGTGGACCGCCCTCAGGATAGGGTTGACCGTGTAAATGCTCTCGACGACATCATTCTTCAGGATACGCGCTGCGCCAGCTTCTAGAACATCGTCCTGCGCGGCTTTGATCTCTTCCTCTGTTGGATTGCCGGATGCGACTGCGTTTGTACATGATCAGTGGGGGCGAGCTTAGATGAGAAAGGCCGTCTTTCACGCGTGCTCGCGTCAAGAAGCTCACCTGGTTTATGCGCCTGTTGAGCCCTCACCAGAGCGATCTCAAGCTGCAAGTTCCGGAGCCGGTCGTAGAGATCCAGGACCTGCTTTTCCTTATCTGAGATCCGGAGTGGCCATGGCGGTGATGAGCCGGGTGCTGCTTGATCTTGCATGTCGGTGTCCTGCCCTCCACTCATTTTCGGGCGAGACGCGTTGTATTGATTGGTCTCGATGTACAGGGGTCGGAGGGATCACGACTGTGAAATGGCCCCTCTAAATCCGGCCCGGGGTTTTCACGAGTCTGATAGCACCGACGTTCCCTCTGGATTGTAATACGTTTCGACCGGCACCTGGATGATAAGACGGGCGCGTGCTGGTTGTGAATCCTCTGGTCGTCATCGGGCGCTGTTTGGTGTTTGGTCTTGCAAGAGCCAGACTTGTTCAATTGGTCGACCATTGAGCGGCCAGTGGGAATGAGCGCTGGAGGTGAAACTTCAGGGTCACCCGTCTAGCGTCACGGGAAGGCTTTTTAGTGGGCCACAAAGCCTCACCCCAGAAGGTCCAGGCTCTCGTCAAAGCTGGGGGCATTGTTCCGACTTTCCCAGCCTCGACGCTCGCTCCGCAAGGAAGCCTAAACTTCGAGTCGCACCACACCCGGCACAAAGGGCGATACTCAATACAACACCCGGGCGGCAAGAACAGATGCGACATGACCAGCTCGCCGACAGTCGCTTGCATCCGATCAACACCATCTCCCTCAGAGCTGCATCCATAATCGCCCTTTATCCTAGCGTCATCTCGGGTGGCATCCATCATCTCACCGGCGTGGATGGGGGGCATGTCCGGGGATGGCCACTTCAGTCCTGATTGCCCACACGGGGCAGCGGCTGCAAGTTGATACTGCCCAGTTTACGTCGTAAGTCTCATTCATTCATTCGCTGTCCTACCGTCTCTTTGTCGCGACAAAAGCAACACGCCCGCCGCATGTGCGCACCGCCTCGCAGACATCACTGCTGACTCAATGCGCCAATCATAGGGTCGACGACCTGAAAGCCTCCTTGGCATCCCAAAGCTCGATACCTGCGAACTGCATCATTGCTCTGACGCCTCAAGGCAAGGCTTTGAAGCTCCAGTCTATCCCGTTAGAGGTCAGTGCCAGCATCGGAGGACGCTTTGAACCACGCCATGTCTCGTGACTAATATCAGCCTGTTCGCAGAAGGACATCTATGTCTACGATATCCGCTGGACACAGTCTACGACACCGGCCGGCTCTTTGCCCAGCGTAGATATCCCTCTGCCCCCGAAGTATACCGTCTCCGATCCTCCAAACGATATCCGCGATCACCGCTCGCTTCAGTCATGGCAGGAGCTGTTCAAGGTGCGCCGGGCGTGGGCGCTCAAGGCCGCCGAGGACTGCGCAAAGATGGCGAATGCCACGCAAGACCGGTATAGCGAGATGGACGTCATGATGCGGTGCCTCGACGCCGCCGTCGCCAACCTGGAGGCTGTTGTCAAGGGCCTGGAACCGAGATATACCGAGCTTAAGAAGTGGGTTGGGCCGGCGCAGACGGAATATAGTTCCCTCGTCACCCGATGGGAGAGGTACATGAGCCTGGCGCGAAGCATACCGATATCCAGCGCCATGGCTCGGTTCATGACGGGGCTCGACACCCTCGGCTCGAGGAGTAGAGGATCGCGCGAGGCCTCGCTGGAGGACCTGATCGAGCTGGAGACTGCCCGGAAGGCCGGCAAGCTTGCGCCGACCGCCCTCCGCAAGTTTAACACCAAGGTCTCGGACCTGGATCACGCGGCTACTGAGCTGTTCCAGAGTTGTGGGAGCCTGTTGACCGAATTCGAACGCACGGTTGCCCGCTCCGCACTATCCCACGATGGCGAGGCGCTACAGCTGCTCCAGGATATCGAAGCGGTGGCCAAGAAGATTGATACTGATTACTACACCACTCTGGAGTACTCGGACTCGAATCAGAATGTCTTGCAGGCATCCAAAATCGCAGCCAACCATACTGAGCGCCTGCTCCCTACCATGCGGACGCGCGCCTTGGAGATGGACGAGATGCTGCAGTATGCATCACGGGCGAGGAACTCCTTGGCCAACGAGTCGATAGATTTTATGCGCAGCATCGCCGAGATCACAAGCCTGAGTACCACCGTCAAGTCGCAGATCCTTGGCATCAACAATGATGAAGATCTCAACACGTTCGACTACTTGCGGCTGATCCAGCAGGTCCCTTACATGTATGCCTCCTTTGCGGCAGAAGCGATCAAGCGCCACGAATGGCTCGACAAGGTCAAGTCCGACTCTTCCACCCTGGCGAATGAGATGGCATTGTTCCAGGAGGAAGAGATGAAGCGCAGGAGGAAATGGCACAAGTCCGTGGGCGACGCCTATGGACCGCCGATGTCTACCTCGGAGAACCAAGTGCCGGGCCTCGAGGTGAATCTGCTGGGCGACGAAGAGCAGTGGCCTTCTGTCACGAGACAGAACCTGGAAGAGTTCTTTGAGACCCTCCAGCGGCAGAAGGCGGACAGCGAAGTTGTCGACGACATCAGGAAGTTGATCGCCGAGCTGGACAGCCCCACGAAGCAGCAGTCCAAGAGGGTCAAGGCGTTCAAGAACGGCAGCGTTCACGATGTGGCACTCGGCAGGAGCGGGCTCATGATTCGCGGCGACGATGATGTCCTCCGCAACCTGCAGGACGAGAACTCCAAGCTAGAGAACAAGCTCAAGACAGCAGAGAGTCGAGTCAGGCGCTTGGAGGATCTGCTTCACCGCCAGAGCCAGGCGTCTCGGCCGACGCTCGGCAACCTCTTCCAGCAGCCTTCGCAGCAACTCTCTGAGCGTGTCGACTCCAGTGAATCGATCAGATCGCCCCGGCTCTCAGATGATCGTAGGCTGTCGTCGGATTCTGCGGATCCTCGTCACCTGCAGCGTGTCCAGCAGCTGGAGAGCGAATTGGCTTCTGCCAAGGAGCGGTCCATCACGCTGGAGAAGGATATCGGCGTGCATACAGACGAGAACAAGGCCCTCAAAAGCCAGATGGAGGAGGTGACTTCGACCAAGAACGATCTCTTGCAAAACATGGAGGCTCTGAAACGAGAGTTTGACGAGGAGCGCAAGTCGTATGAGGAAGAGATCAAGCGGCTACAAGCCAAGCTTGAAGATACCGAGGACGCGATAGACCACTTTGGCGAATCGAGAGAGAACGAGAAGGCACATTACGACGAGCGAGTCAAGGTCTTGGAAGCCGAGCTCGAGGCACTGGGGAAGGATCACAGTGATGATATCCTCAAAGCGCAGGGGCAGGTCGACTTCCTGCGGAACGAGTCCAAGCTGCAGCGTGAGAGGATCGAGGCCCTGACTAACGAGCTTCAGTCTGCGAAGGACGAGTCTAGCGGTCTGACTAAGAAGGTGCGCGAGGTCGAGGAAGCCGCACAAGGCCACATCGAAGCTCTCAGGGACCTGCACGACCGCATCCTTCCCGACAGCTCGACGCCGTATGATTTGAGCGATATGATCGAGGCCATCTCTAATAAGGCAACGGGCCTGCTCTCCAGACTTCAGTCGTTGGAAAACGACACGGCAGTCTTGAAGTCGGACCTGGATGCTGCCCACTCGGCAGTCAGAGACTCAAAGACTGAGGTTGCCACCTTGAAGGAGCACTTGTCTACTGAAGAGATGAAGTCTTTGCGGTCACAAGAAACGCTCGCGTCTGAGAAGGCAAGGGCGGCGACCTTGGAAGCAGAACTCTCCGAGGAGCGGGAGCAGCTCAGCCAGCTCCGGGTCAAGATTGCAGATGGGGAGACCGGCTCTGAGACCCTCCGGAGCAAGCTAGAGGAGGGTGAGCGGAGGGTCAAGTCTCTGACGGAAGAGCTTGCGTCTAAGCAATCGCGTGTTGGAAGTCTGGAGGAGGAGGTTCACCTGTACGAAGAGAGGCTGTCGGAATCGCAGGCTAAGCTGGCTACGGTCAACGCCCTCTTCGAATCCCGGACAGAGCAGGCTCGAGACCTGACCCAGAGGCTCTTCTCTCAGAACGACCGTCTCGTGCGGCTCTTGGAGAGGGTCGGCTTCTCTGTGACGCGAGATGGCACTTCGATGGTCATCCAAAAGGTGCCCCGAGCTGAGCGCTCCACTCAATTGTCCTCGGATCCCAACGACCCCAGCTCGTCTTCCATCCGACGCTCATCCGAGGTGCTAGACAACCGCAACCTGGCTGACAGCGCCGACCTCGAACTCCTCCGGTGGATGGACGCACCCGAGGTCCGCATTGCCGCCGAGAAATACGAGGCCTTCATCACCCGGCTTGGCAACTTTGACGCAGACGCCTTCTCGGAGAGCATGTACCGGCGCATCCGCGACGTCGAGCACGTGGCCCGCAAGTGGCAGCGCGAGGCTCGCAGCTACCGCGAGAAGGCGCACTCGCTGCAGAAGGAGGCGCACGACAAGATCGCCTTCCGGCACTTCAAGGAAGGCGACCTGGCGCTCTTCCTGCCGACGCGCAACCAGACCAACGGCGCGTGGGCCGCCTTCAACATCGGGTTCCCCCACTACTTCCTGCGGGAGCAGGAGGGCCACCGCCTCCGTAACAGGGAGTGGCTTGTGGCCCGCATCTCCAAGATCCAGGAGAAGGTCGTGGACCTCTCGCGCAGCCTTCAGGGGAGGAGCGGTGGCGGCGAGACGGAGTCGGTCAACGACGAGGACAACGACAACCCGTTTGACTTGTCGGACGGCCTGCGGTGGTACATGATCGACGCGGTCGAGGACAAGCCGGGCGCGCCGACGACGCCCGGGATGGCCAAGACGACGGTGCAGGCCAACACGGTCGAGGCCATGGGCGACATGCACTCGCACGCACGGTCCGGGTCGACGGGCAAGGTGGGGCTGGGGCTCATCTCGGCGCGCGGGCACCACCACCACGCGGGCGGCATCGACGGCGTGAGTAAGACCCTGTCCAAGAGCCTCGAGAGCCGCCGGTCCAGCTCGAGCTCCAAGAGGGCCCTGCCGTTTGCCGGTGCCGGTGCCGGTGCGAGGGCGGGCAATGCGCATGCCGTGGAGACGGATAGCCTCCGGGCCGTGGCGGCGGATACGCCTGTTGCTACGAGCCCGACTGCGGGACCGCATCATCCACCGCCGCCACAGTCGCAGCAGCAGCAGCTGGTGGTGGCTGAGTCTCCGGCGACGCCGGACGCGGCTAAGAAGACGGCTGTCGGTGGCGGGCCCGCGACGCCGGAGGAGCGCGGGGGTAATACCGAGGTACGCTCCGACAATGTCATCGATTCTCTTCTTGGGCCTTGATGCCCGCCTTCTTTGTTCCTTCTTTACTGTCCTGTGAAGACTTACGCAACAACGGTTCGCTGATATTTGTCTGTGCGCGCGCATTGACAGACCCGACTTCCGAAATCCAATACCAAGACACAGCAGCTCCAGAGGGAGCAGAGCGGCGCGTCGGTCGAGAGCCCGGGCAAGAAGAGCGTGGTGTGGGATTCGCTCTGGAGCATGGACTTGAGCTATGAGAGTGGGGGCCGGAAGGGGAAGTGAGGAGCAGGGTTATGTCGGGGTGTATGAGTAGATTGCATTGGTTGGGGTGGGTGTGGTTAGGAGGGGGTGGATGAGAATCTGTCCAAAGGGGCGAGGCACTACTCGATGAGAAGAGAGGAAGAAGGTATTACATCTTGTCTTGTTCGATAGCCTGGCGTTTCAAGGGGCACTGTTGCATTGTGTCTTTTCCTGGAGACTGTGGTTTCATAGAGCCCTCTTGCTTGGTTTTCTCGAGGTTATACCCTACCGTTAATTCTTTGAGATACACTTCAGGCCTACAGAGGTTCTCTTACAGAGATATTTTGATAAATGCTTATGTAGGTGATTACAGTATGTTTGATTTGACATGGGACACAGATCGAAGGAGATGACAAGTAACGATCTCCTCTCTGGCATCCTCGCATCATGGCCAGGGAGGCGATAGGAATCCGCCCGCGGACCTCTAACAGCACGCAACAATCAGAAATTATTGACTTTATGGTTATCTGAGGCAAATAGCTTTGGTCTGAGGCATTGTGTTAAAGAGTATCATTACCATGAGGTATGATACATGTTTTCCAAACGCATTGACATGGTTTGCAATTAGTCTGGCAGCCGACCCCGACGACGTCGGCAACCTCATCCTAGCGCCCGAACTCCGGGTCCGCGACCGGATGTCATCATGCGGGGGCCGCGAACAACCATATATGTGATAGGGAAACCTGTCATCGGAAAGACAACAAGGACCCATTCCGTGTTATCCTCACCATTAAGAAATCATACGAGAAAAAAAATCGACCTAAATACCTTCGCCAACCAACAGCCATGCCGATCTCCAAAATCGGCACCATAACCATCGGGCAGGCCCCGCGCGCCGACATCACGCCCATCCTCGACGCCGCGCTGCCGCCGCACGTCACGGCCGTCCACTCGGGGATCCTGGACGGCCTGTCGGACGAGCAGATCGCGGCGCGGTTCCCGCCCGGCGGCGGCGGCGAGGGCGAGCCCGTCCTGACCTCGCGCCTGCTCGACGGGCGCGCCGTGGTCATGGGCAAGGCCGCCGTGCACCGCGCCGTGCAGCTCGAGATCGACCGCCTCGCGACGCGGGAGGGCTGCCAGGTCGTCGTGCTGCTCTGCACGGGCGAGTTCCACGGCCTCGAGTGCCCCCCCGGCGCGTGGCTGCTCGAGCCGGACAAGGTGCTCCTCCCGGCGCTCGAGGCGCTCGTGGGCCGCCGGCGGGCCGGGGTGCTCGTCCCGCTGGGCAGCCAGGTCGCCAGCGAGGTCGAGAAGTGGAAGGGCCTGCAGCGGGCGCCCGTGTTCGCCGTGGCGTCGCCGTACACGGCGGCCGAGGGGGAGGTGGCCGCGGCGGCGAGGACGCTCGTCGAGAGCGGCGCCGAGGTGATCCTCACGGACTGCATGGGGTACACGGCGTGGCATAGGGAGGTCTGCCGGCGGGAGACGGAGGTCCCCGTCGTGCTGTCGAATCAGTTTCTCGCGGATATCTTGAAGAACATGCTGTGATCTGGCGACAGGGTGGAGGCGGCTTTGCACAAGTCTTATCGACGACAAGCAGAGGGAAGGAAATATGAATCAGACGAGACGCACATGCTCTCACTTACGGCCATAGATGGTAGAAAATTCGGGATCCCGTCCGCTCTCCTATAGACAAGCTGCCAATCGCCTGAATCAGTACTCAGGTCGGTGACGACTGGGGAATCCTCGGTGCTGTAAGTTTTTCTTTTTGGTTTTTCTTTTGCTTGTTCCCCACAGTGGCCAAGTTGTTTTGGTGTGGGAGCATGGAATGGTATTACATGTATATAAGATTTCTCGTTTCTGACGAGAACATGATGATTAGAGGACGAACGTCGCGAATGTGCTGGATCCTGATGTGGAATCATCGTAAAGGGCGACTAACCATGCTCCAAGAACCATGCTCCGAAAGCAGGGGCTGTGAGGGCCGGGAACGGAAAGGATCATATCATATGTAGACAACCCCAAATCCGGCCTCGCTCGAAAAATAAATCTGTTCGACCTTCAGTCATACTAGAGAAAGCTTGCGCAAGTCACACCGAACTTACAACACCAGACTGCACAAGCGTCATCACAAGCGATAAATTCAATATTTATTTGAAGTTATGCAGGCCCATGGTAACTAGAGGAGCCAGTATCCATACGGCAGTTCCGAGTGCGGACAGGCAATAAAAGGGTCTCTATGTCTCTCAGTCGAATCGTGTTGCTTATTTCTGTCCAATCTGATCTTTCTGAAAGCCGCAGTTGCGTGATGCCATACACAACCGCAGCCAGGATCCACGACACCGCTCGCCCTCTCGTCACCCTCTCTTTCACGCCTCTCCTCGTGCTCCTCCTATCCGGCATCAAGCTCAGGAGCCAGGACTCTTCTGGGCTCCCCTGCGGCCACAAACTTCATTTCTGGCTCGATAGAGTCGAGACGGACAGCGGTAGGGAACAGCTCCTCACATTTCAGGCTGAACGTGTGCTGGTAGCAGGTAAAGAGGAAGAGTCCAGCCGCTGGTAGCCCAGGGCGGGGAGGCTCGCGGGGAGGCACGCCGGATGGTGAGTTTCACCCAGTCATACTGTCGAGCATATACCTCTCGATCTTGTCGTATGTAAGGCTGGCTCCTTGCACTATCGTCTGGTTTCCGGGGATGCCGCCTGCCGGTAAGAAGCATGTCCGACCAGCACGGACGTGATACCGCAAGGGAGTTGATCTGGCAGCCCGGTGGTTCGGGTGTTTTCCGTGGCGGGCGCCGTGGCGGGCAAGAGCGGAGCGGCATGGCGTTCTTGAAGGCCGTTTGCTCTGAGGTGGACAGCCTTGGCCACAACCGTTAAGCGTTATACCGGAGTCGGAGGTACCAGCACCAGCACCACTGCCCCAAGTCCCACCATTCCTCACACGTCAATCATAAAAGTACCACTCCCGATCCCTCCCCGCACCCACACCCGCACCAGCGCCCACACCCGCCGCCGCCGCCGCCGCCGCGGCCCTCCTCTCCACGTCCGACGGCCTCAGCGGCGCCAGCACCTCCCGGCGCACGTGCTTGCCGCGCTTCCAGATGACGACACGCAGGCCCCCCAAGTACCGCTCCATCGTCTTGGACAGCTGGCCCTGCGGGCACCACAGCGTGTGGATGGCGCGGCGCTGCGCGAGCGACAGGCGGCGCTCCTTGAGTACGAAGCGGTCCATGACGTGCTTGCTGCAGAAGGACCACTGGTTGAGCTGGAAGGGCAGCAGGGCCGTCTCGAGGTAGAGCTGGCGGCAGACGCCCGAGAGCAGGGACAGCGCCGTCGGCTGGCCCGCGTGCCGGCCCGACCAGGGGTCCGCGTCGGCGCTGTACACCTGCGTCCAGAAGCCGCCGGGGACGACCTCTGTCCTGTGGTGATTGTGATTGTGGTGGTGGCTGCTGTTGTTGTTGTTGTTGCTGTTGTTGTTGTTGTGGACAGCAGCAGGGGCGCGGCGGCGGTGCACCCAGGGGCGGTACTGGATGTTGATCTGGCCGTAGGTCAGGGCGAAGGCGTAGATGCGGTTGCGGAGCTCGGGCGGCAGGCGGAGAAGCGGGGAGGATTCTTGGTTCCGGACCCAACTGTAGCATGGAGGTTAGAGACAGACGAGTTGTGCTCGCTGTGGTGTGTCATCGCACTTACAGCTCATGTTGCGGAGAGTCGGGCTCCGGGGCTTGGATGGTGATGTTGCTGCGACATGATGACCGTTGTCTGCCGGTCTGCCGGGACATGAATGGCTGTGTGTGCCGATGGAAGTGCTCGTCAATTGATATCGCACTGCCTCCGCGATAGAGAGAGAGAGAGAGGGTATCGAGAGTGCAATGTTCAATGGTGGAGGGTTCGTGGTCGAAGGTGGGAAGACATCGGAAGTTGGACAGCGGACGGATCAATGGAGCTGAGGTCTGGTGACGTCTACAGGGGGCTGCAGGGCATTGGTCGGGCTCCCGCCCAGTGAAACTTGGCCAGGGATTAGCGCTTAGTTATCCCGTGTTCGAATCGACCAGACCAGACCATGTGAATCCATGGGTGGCGGCCCGGCGCCGAGCCAATACCAAACATCTCGTGGCGCCGAATGCTTAAAGGTTAAATGGACCTGCACGAGCATCCATGGCCTGACTTCATTCCAAAATGCCTTCTTTTCTCGCTCCGGCGACCGTTTCTCATAAAACATCCCAAAGTTATTTGCTGATACAAAAAAGAAAAAAGAAAAATCTAAAGCGCCTTCCAAACCTGGTTAATGGGGTATCACATCTCTAAGCCGTGGACTGTTGATAGAATTCTCCGAGCTATCAAGGCACAAACCAGAACCTGGAACGATCGATTGTCTCACTCCATGCTCAATCCCGTGCTCTCCGTGACCGCCAGCTCGCCAGCCCAGTCGTGCACGCCTCATACGTCTCTACCGCAAAGCTGGCGCAGACGAGCGCCAGACATACAGAGTACTGCACCCGGTAGGAGTCGTACTCGGGCGGCGGGCCCGTGAAGATCCGGCTGCTCGCGAGGATGACGAGGCAGGACAGGTACAGCGCCGCGGCGGCCGCCGAGAAGCTGGTGCGGAGCAGGTAGACGCGGGCGGGCGTGGACACCCGGTCCATCCAGGAGCCGGGCTTGTACTGCACCGACCAATATCTGTTGGGAAGAGGCGCGTTAGCCCCTCCGTGAGAGTTTGATGGCAGCTCGTAGCAGCAGAACTTACGAGGGCGCACGGACGGGTACGGCGTCGAGCAGGGCGCGCACCATGGTGAAGGCGCAGGCGACGAGCAGGATGTACGTCCACTTGTACAGCAGCCGGCACTCGTTGTGGTACCGGCCGGGCCCTGCGGCCCAGCTCCCTTCCCACGGGTGGGAGGCGTCTTTGATGTAGTGACCGGTGCAGGTCGAATCGAAAGGGCTGCCGACCGGGTTTTTCAGCACGCTGCGCCATCGAGAGAACATCCGTAATACCTACTCATGTCGCAAATCCTCCAGCATCATGCCGGCAAAGGCCGCATTGGTGATGGCCACGGCAAACATGAACTTGGACGTGACCCGTACCACTTGGAGATTGGTCTCCAGCTTCGGCTTGGTCCTCCTGAGCTGCGGCGGGGGCGCGAGGTTGCCGTCGCCGCGAAAGGTGCGGTCGGCGAAGGGCACGCCGCTGAAGTCCCGGGAAGGGCCGGAGGAGTAATGGACGGTAGTGCTGGTCCATCCGTCGCGGGTCTGCTCGGTCGTGGTCCAGCCAGTGCTGGTCTGCTCGAAGTGGGTGAACCTCGACATTTAGCCTGCCATGCAGTCGCGATGTCTACACGAGCGTACGCGAGTTGTTGCACGAAGAAGGACAAGCCTGTCCTGGCAGAATCATGGCATCGCACAGGTAGTGTGCCTCGAGGAAGATGGACACCCATCATGATAGCGACAGCCAGCTGAGCCCTATATACGGAGCTAGCTAGGGCCTTTTACAGTAGTTAGAGACGTCATGTCAGGAACGGCTGTCATTCTAAGGAATTGCTTGATTCAGCCTGTCTTGGCCGGTGCGTGGCGCAGCTATTTCCGTGCGGCAAGCACTGCTTGACGAAGAATCGGCGCGTGGGGCGGTGGATCTGGATCGTGAGGCTACTTGCGAAGTAGCAAGGCGTTCTTGGCCTCATGATCCCGACTCGGCATTGGACCCAAAAGTCGTGAGACAAATAGGATTGAAAGGCCTAGTGAAGATGCCGGCATCTCCTCCGGCTGGTACCATGTAGGCTGTCTCTGTGCTTCTCGAAAAGCAAGGTCGCCTTCGGTGACACAAAAGAGGCTTCTCTGCATGGAAACATTGCGGCGCAATTGCGCTACGCCTGGTGAAGCTGTGATCGACATTGTGACAATGTGCCATGTCTCGCCGGACGAGCTTGATTAGGTAATATCTCCCGTCCAATCGAAGAGGTGAAATGCAAGGTAAACTCAAGAGAGCCAGACCGATGAAGAAGGCGCGAGGCTTGCAGGCTCGCAGTTGCTCACAGGCAGGTGCGCGCCAGGAGGGATTGAATTCGGATGTCGCGATGGATGTCATTCCGGTGCCCGCCCACTGAGAGTTGAGCACCACAATTGCTACTTGAGGGCCATCATCGGGATTCAATCACTTGCATCACTCTTCACACCACTGATGAACTGACAGACCAACAACGGCAACAACTTCGGGCTCCACATCGACAACGGTGAACAGGAGACTGGACCCATAAAACGGCATAGGGAGAGAACTCGAGAGATGGTCACGGACAATGCGATGGTCCCCTCTTTGTCTGGCGATCATAAGCCAACTGATTGATAAATTGCATCCATTGCTCTCGAACTCTGCTCGCCGTCAATCGATCTTAGTCAGCCTGCTCTTCTGCCGCCTTACTTTATCCTCCTTCCTGAAAATGTCGGACTAGCGCTCCCCGACCCGCCGTTTTGCTCCGCCCCCAGACCGAGAAAGCCACCGACGCCGCGGACGCCAGCAGCCATCTCCTCCTTCCCCCGCACCCGCCAGGCTCCAGTCTTTCCGAGAGAAGAGAAGACAAAGAAAGTTCTTACATGGCACGCCAGCCTCAGCCTCTCGCGAAGCCGCCTCACCCTCTCTCCTCCTCCCTTCCTCACCTCCCCTGGCCGCCGCATCCTGCCAGCCCGTTTCATCGCCAACCCGCACGCCGTTGACGCTAAAACCACGCGAAAACAGCAGCGTTGAAAATTTAACCCGGTGCGAAGCGGCCGAGGATGCCGGAAAAGTCCCTCACCGCCGTCACCTACGCCGCCGGCGCGTCCCTGGCGGCCATCACCCTCATCTACGTCTTCGCCCCGACCTACTTCCTCGACGGCGACCCCAATGGCTCCTCGTCCTCCTCGGCCGGCGGCGCCGCCTCCTCCCTGTTCTCCGGCCGCAAGAAGGGCGTCGTCGGGCTCGCCAACGCCGCCAACGACTGCTTCATCAACGCCGTCCTGCAGGCCCTCGCCGGCCTCGGCGACCTGCGCCTCTACCTGATCCGCGAGACGCACAGGCGCAACCTCGACGACAAGTGGATCTACACGACCGCCGTCCCCGACGACGTCAATGGCAGCAGTCTCACGGAAGGAGGCGTAATACCGCAGAAGCCGATGCCGGCGTGGAAGGTCGAGGGCCTGCAGGGTGGCATCGTGACGCGGGGACTGAAGGAGGTGCTCGACCAGCTCAACGAGCGGCCCATATACAAAAAGACCATCTCGGCGCTGCCCTTCGTGCGCGTCCTCGAGGTCGCCTTCCGCCAGCGCATCAGCCGCCAGCAGCAGGACGCCCAGGAGTTCCTGCAGGTTGTCGCCGAGCGCCTGTGCGACGAGTACCACGCCGGCCGCAGGGCGCGCGACTACGCTAGGGAAAAGTTCGACTCGTCCGGCGCTTCCGCGAGCAGCCTGTCGATCCCAGACCGCAGCAACAACGTCACGCCGCCCGAGCTGCGGTCCGCGGCGGACGAGATCAAGCACGCCTCTCAGCCGAACGGCGGCGCTCTGGTCCCACCATCGGCAGAAAACGGCGATGACGACGAAGAGGAAGGCTTCCCCATGGAGGGCAAGATCTCGTCGCAGATCGAGTGCCTGACCTGCGGCTTCAAGCCGCGCCCCTCGGAGCAGACGTTCTGCACCCTGACGCTCAACGTGCCGCAGGTGTCGTCGACGACCCTCAACGCCTGCTTCGACAGCATGTTCAAGACCGAGTACATCGACGACTTCCGGTGCGAGCGGTGCCGCCTGATGCACGCTAAGCAGACCCTCGAGGCCCAGCTCACAAAGATCACGGCGGCGGCGAAGACGACGCCCGCAAACGAGCACGAGCTCGCCCTCCTGCGCGACTCGATCGCCAAGCTCGACGAGGCCATCGCCACGGACCCGGAGCGCGCGCCCGACGGCGTCGCCATGCCCGACCCGCGGTCCGCGCCGACGAGCCGCATCGCACGGCACATCCAGCTCACGCGCTTCCCCAAGATCATCGCCATCCACCTGTCGCGCTCCATCTACGACGAGCGCCAGTCGCTCAAGAACTCGGCCAAGGTGGCGTTCCCGGAGCGCCTGCCCCTGGGCGGCATCCTGAGCCAGCGGCGGTACAAGCTGCTCGGCCTCGTGACGCACAAGGGCAGCCACCACAGCGGGCACTACGAGTCCTTCCGCCGGCAGAACCTGTACCCGGCCTACTCCAACCCCAACACCTTTGCGCCCTCGGGCGTGTACACCCCGTCCGCCACGCCGGCGCCCACGCCGCGCATCGGGGGCGGCGCGAATACGCCGCGCAGCATCAGCAGCAACGGCGCGACGCCGGCCGACGGCGGCGGCGGCAGCCCGCTGGCCTCGACGCCGGACCTCACGGCCATCTCGTCGTCGCCGTCACCGTCGTCGCCGTCGCCGTCGGCGGAGCACCTCCCCGACGCGTCGCTGGCGCCGGCGCACCAGGAGAACAAGCACCTCCGCCACGTCGCCGGCAGCGGCAGCAGCAACGGGTTGTCGTCGTCGTCGTCGTCGTCGTCGTCGCCGCAGCGCAAGGCGGCGCCCACGTCGGCGCCGCGGACCGAGGATAAAGAAAGGGACAAGGACAAGGACGCGGCCGACACGGTGAGCCTGCGGTCCGTCGCCAGGTCGACGCTCTCGCGCATCAGCCTGTCCGGCTCCCGGCCCGGCAGCCGGAGCGGGAGCCGCAGCGCGAGCAAGTCGCGGCCTTCCTCTGGCGCCGGTGCCGGTGCCGGCGGGGACGGCGATGTCCCCGCGCCGCCGCCCCCACCGGCGGGAGTCACGCCGGCTGCCCCGGCCGCCGCCAAGCCGCGGCGGCACAGGAAGACGACGGACCGGTGGTGGCGCATCAGCGACGAGAAGGTCAAGGAGGCGAGCACCCGGGACGTGCTGGGCATGCAGCGCGAGGTGTACCTGCTTTTCTACGAGCTCGAGCGCAGTCACTGACCTGGGAGGAAGGTGGCGGGGAGGGAGGCCGATTCCCCCATGACCATGGCACGGCGGTGGCTTGTTGCTTGCTTGTTCCCTGGGGGAAAGGGGGGGGCTTTCATCCCAAAGCAACAGAGCCTCTTTCTTGCTGTATTCTCTGTTTTTTCTATTTTCTATCCATGCATCCATGTCATCCATATCTTGCATTGGGTTGGCGCCTTTTCTCAGGGTTGGGTTGGGTTGGCACCCCCCCCTTCCCGATTCTACTGTCTGTTTTATTGTTTCTTCCAGACGTTGCATCTTCCTCATCGCATCTCTTTTTCTCTCGCTGTCTGCGACGGGCAGGGCCGGGAAAGAAAAAAAGAGAAAGGGGTAGCAGCATTCGCCCTACTGTAAATAAAGATGGGAAATCTCAGATGTTTTTTCCCGGTCTTGTTGGTGGGTTTCCTCGTTTGTACATGACCCAAGAGTTGTTCATCAGCATCATCATCAACACCAATATGCATAGGGGGAGGGAAGGAGAGGGGACCACCGCGCATGCCGTGGAAAGAGGTAAATAGAAAAAAAAGAGAAGAGCAACATTTAGAGACATACACATCTTGTAGAAATATATAAACAAGCTTTTGTTCGTTATTCATACCAATGTACTTTTATTAGACCTTGGGTTTTATATATCGGACTTAGCTATTTAGAGACAAGAGACATCGCCATCATTGGCATTGGCATTGGAATACAAAGTCAGGAAGGAAGGAAGGAAAGAGGGCAAACTCATCCCATCATCAGAACATAGAATTATTACAAATCTATCAGTACAAGACGTTGATCAGAAACAAGTAGTAAAAAAAAAAAAGGTACAGCAGAAACTACAATCGTTACGTTGACGCCGCTGCTTGCTCTTCATCAGGGATGTTATCCACCTCTCTAAGATGATGTAGGTACCAGCCAGTCCCAACAACCGCTGCCACAATGTCCTCAATCCAACGAACGCCCCCCCTTCGAGAACAAGACACACCCCGTACTCTAAAAAAAAAAAGGGGGACAAACAAAAATATCCTTCCTGCCCCAGGATGAATCTCTTCACTGTCCCAGAAGCTCCTTGGCCATCTTGGCCGCCTCGTCGGCGCTCAGCTCGGGCTCCGCCTTGACGCGCTCGTACTTGGCCCAGTCGAACCTCCAGAGCCCGCCCGTCTTGTCCGCGTCGCCGTGCTCGGGGACGCCCACGGCGGGGCCCAAGCTCTTGAGCACCTCGTCGTCCTCGGGGTCCTCGTCCGCGCGCGCAGTAAAGTACCTCCGCTGCCAGGCCGTGCCCTCGGCCCGCTCGCGCGCGCGCGCCTCGCGCTGCGCGCTCTCGATCTTGCCCTTCTCGACGCTCACGAGGTCGAGGTCCCCCGCCGCGACGCCCCGGCCGACGGCGGCCCACGCGCGGCGCGACTCGAGCGGGTGCTGCCTGTCGGCGGGCGCGACGACGAGCTCGCTGACGGGCGCGGCGTTGCCGTCGAACGACTCGACGAGGTTGGCGGGCTTGTTGCCCTTGGCCGGGCCCGAGTGGATCTCGAAGGCCTTAGTCCACTGGCCCGAGACGTTGAACAGCACGTCCTTCTCCTTGCCCGTCAGGTACAGGACGGCCGTGAACGAGTTCTTCTTGCCGCTGAGCCAGCCCTTGCCGCTGTAGTCGATCTTGGCCGTGAACCCGGACGACGAGGTGATGTAGGAGGCGCCGTCGAGCTCGATGAAGGGGGCGCCGAAGATGAGGCCTTCGATGTGCAGCGAGGGCAGGGTGATGAGGAAGGTTTCTTTGGTGTCGGAGCCGGGCACCGGCACGGTCAGGACGGCGTGGCCAATCTGCTTGATCTGGATGGTGCTCTTGAAGGTGGCCTTTTGGGCGTTGTAGCCCTCGAGGTGGACGCCGGTGGGGAGGTTGGTGATGCTGTAGGCCGTGGCGGGCGGGTGGTGGCTGTGTGTGAGGGAGAAAGGTTAGCGACTGAATGAGAAATGGAGAATGCGCGCAACTCCTATAGAGGTGTGTGTGTTTGTATAGTAAAAAAAAGAAAAACCCCATACCTAACCTGCTCGCTGATGAGCTCCGTGGTGCCCGCGTCGTCCTCCCACTTGCCGAGGAACAGCTCTCCCAAGAAAGGGTTGAGGGGCTTCTTCTCGTTGCCGTACTGCTCGCTGCGGCTGGCGTACTGCTGCTTGAGGGTGGTGAGGAACCACTTGAGGACGAGCATGGCGCGGCGGGCGGGGTCGGCCTCCTTGGCCGGGGCGGCGAAGACGGAGGGGTGCTCGGCCCAGTAGGAGCTGAACTCGGTCAGGCTGGTCGCGGAGAGGATGAAGGGCGGGGCGGTCAGGCTGGACAGGTCGCCGTTGAAGGAGGCGATGGACTTGTGTGACACGGCGGCCATATTGTCAGCTTTGCTATTCACGACGAGGGTGCGCGCGTGTGCACACGATCCAGAGAGCGGGTGTGTGTGTGTGTGTGTGTGTTTGTTCTTTCATACCTTGAGGAAGGCGGTCCAGCTGCTGCCGGCGGCCTGGGGCGCCGTGGTTGGGGCGTCTTTCTCCATGTTCGGGTTCGTGGTGGTGTATTCGGCGACCGGGATCGGAAGAGGAGGAGCTGGAAGGGAGTCTGCGCGACGATGATGGTCGGTCTTGGGTAGAAGGAGGGGAGTCTGGATGGCGGAAACGATGCGCTTCCGGACCTCTCAGCTCTGGCGATGTGCGAGGTCCCTGTCTTCGTTTGACGGCGGCGGTGAGTGCACCAGGGAGAAAAGAAGCTGGGAGGTTTTCCTCTTTTCACAGGGATCGGGGGATGGGAGTGGGGTGAGGAATGTGACAGGATCACAGAGGGCGAGAGGCAGCAGGCGAGGCAGGGCGCGTGCTCGTGTGGAGAATTTGAGGTCTTGGTATTTGGGATTGTGGGGAGGAGAGATTGTTGGGAGGGAGGAACTAAAGGTGCTAGTTCTAGGGGCAGCACAAAGATGCTATTCTAGGTAGACTGGAAAGAAAAAGGAGGCAGAGAGGATGAGGAAGGCCAAGTGGAATCTCAAAACGAGAACCCGGAGATTGAATCTAAAGAGCTGCAAAGAGTTGTAAGAGCAGCAAAACCAAGGTTGGGGCACCGCCAAAAAGAGGCACGCGCTGTCGGCGATGTTCCAGGGCTGCGACACTGCGTCATCGCTGCTGGGTTTTATGGGTCGGGCCGACCAGTCTAGCCGAGACAGGCAGGATGCAGTGCGTCCGCTAACCTCATTGGTCGCCTTTCAGCTGTGTTGCCCAACTACAATTGATCTTTCTTCAACATTCATCGAACGCTGTTCAGGATACTGCAACTTCAACGATGATCAAATAAAGGTCGAGGCCTACATAAAGTAGGATCATCAAGGCAAAGAACAATTAATCTCCTGTCTACGTTGGTGCCTCTCGCCTCTCGCTCGACTCGTAATTACCATCAGAGCTCTTGATATGCCAGCCTTGTGACCCTGCTTGATAGAAAGGGATTGCTTCGCAACGACAGGCTATGCCGTTGGACTCTATTGATTGTAGCTTGTCCCTGCCTCCTCCCCCTGGTCAGGTATCGGGAACCGTATCCCACCGGTCTGGCAGCCCCTGCTCTCGTACTTGTGGCTGGTCGAAGGGACCAGCCGTATGCTCCCTCCGTCCAGCGTCACCACGGTCAAATCAGTCCCCGTTGCGCGGGACTGCGGACGTGACGACGCCGCAGCGATGTGGTCCGGTCTCGTGAGGGCGAACATGACCATGGCCACTACCACCACTGCGCGAAAAGAAAGGTCAAAGATGTTAGCCGAGAGCATGCCAAAGGAGCAAGAGAGAGGAGAGTGGGCAGCGCTCACAGTCAAGTCTGCAGCAGAGGAGGCACAGCCACGCCGGCTCGCCGTCCATGCTCATCAGGGCTGAAAGGTTGCTAGATATCGCAGGTCAGTGGTGGATAGGGGGTACGACGAGGACTGCTGCGGAAAGAAAGGGTACGCACGCGATGGTGGCCACGCTGGTGACCAGCGCGCCCGCAAAGGTGCGGATGGCCAGTGCTCGCAGTTTTGTGTCCATCGCCGAGTTGTGCCTCTGGTCGACCTGGAGGAAGTGGTGATCCCCATTCCGTTGCCAATATTTTTTGTTGAGCGAATACGTCCCTGGCAGGGAGAATAGGGTGCGTTAATACGTGAAGAGACTCGAGTGCTCGGGTGCAACGGTTGCATAAAATAGATCGAGGACCAAGAAGAGAACGAAAAAAACAGAAAAAGATTTCCAAAAAGGGCAAAAAGGTGACAAAAAGCTCACCAGGTCCGGGTTGAACCGCGGGTGCCTGGCTACCAAAACCCCCTTCGGGGGTTTTACTCTACGGGGCCCAAGGGGTTAGGGGGGTCTTGCTTACGATACTAGGAACCGTAGTGGTCCGCCACTCGGCGCCATATTAACCACTGTGCCATCCTACCCGGGGCTGGGAATGGACGCGTTAAGCAAGACCATAAGGGTTGTTTGGCGGGTTGAGTCGTGAATAGGAGAAAGGGGGCCCGTGCTTGGGGAGGAGGGAGGGAGGTGAAGAGTGAATCTGAGTTGGAGGTGAGCGTAGGGGGGCCGTGCCCCCGACGAGACTTACGGAACAACGGTATCAGGAAGAGAAGTGTCAGATAGATCTAAGCCCGCTTTGTCAATTGGTCTGTCACGGTGGTCCAGGGGTTATGCTGGTAGCATACGTACGTTTGCTGCGACGTCAAACGCGATTTCGGGGATCATGACGACGGGCTCCAGCCCGATGAGACACATCCCTCTGTCTATCTTCCCGATCCGGCTGATGATTTCATGTGTAAGATGAGCTTCCCTGACAGTGAACATGACGGACTAGGTCTTACAATACAAAGAAGATGATGTCCAGCGCGACATATATACCTAGCCACGAAATGAGCACTCTGCTGTCGAGAGTTCCGATGTCTCTTGGGCATAGCCTTGCCTATGACAACGGTGACATTAAACATGTACAGTCTCGACTTGAGTCGGCTGCCAACGGCACCTCGAACGATGTGCTGTGTTCAATGAGCCAGATGTCCTACGATATCAAAGTGAAAGGGGAGGAACTCACCACTCTGTCGATAAGGAACAGAAAATAAACCTTTGAAAGAAGTAAGTCAAGACCACTAGAGCCTCACATCAAGCTCGACCACTACTTACAACCTAGGACACATATTAGCACTGTATCTCTAGCCCAGCACAAACTCAGCATACCTTGACAACAATATAAGCACTCAAGCAGAGTATCGTTGCCGCCCCACAAGCAACGGCATCTTGGTCAAGGGGGTATCCGAACTCGAGCAAGGTAGACGACAGGACGAAAGCGAACGCCGAGGCATATATGGTCAGTACGACTGTGGAAGGATACCGTCAGCGCCGGATACAGGGAGTTATTGCCACCACAAGATGTGTCGTACGCCATACGATATATGGGACCTTTCGCCAGTTCGTCACTGCCGCGATACGGTGCGCTTTCGTACCGGGTAGGCAAAACTGTTAGTCAAGAAGGGGGGCAACCACGATGACGGATTTGGTTTTTGACGAGATCTGGCGGCGAACATACTGAGGGCAGCGAAGCATATGCTGCTCGACAAGACCACGATGAGCAAGCTGAGGACTCTGACCGCCTGCGGCATGGCGATGTAGTGCCCGCGCTCGACGAGCTGGATTGCTTCTTGGGTATCGGGCGGGCGCGTGTCGTCGACGGGTGCGCTGAGTGCGCCTGGGGGCATCATGAGCTGCGTCCACGTCAGCGCCACGACCCAGGACCGCTGTGAGGGCATCGAGCGAAGCATGTCGCGAGCGAGTTCTGTATTGCAGGTCATTGGTTTCGCTTGTCATATCATGATATGATCAAGAGCGAAAATGGGCTTTCGAGAAGTATTTCCCCAGTGTTTCGGGTACCCGGACAGCTCGGTTAGGAGGGGATGTCGTTCCTTTTTTTCCACTCGACCGTCCTTGGGATCCGGATTGCCACCCCCCATATTTGGAATCTTCTGGCCGTCTGACCAGCATCGAGAAAAGATTATCTTAGCGTTGAACTTGTTGGCGCCGCTGCGCACCTCAAGCCACTTACTCGGAGCCGATCCGGCCTGCATACCTAGGCCAAACCTTGCCTTGCAGGGCACTTCACACCCTCAACTTTGCTTGACAGCCAGTAATCCCCTATGATTCACCACATATTTTCTTTGGCGCTGCCAAGACTGGTGCCAGCGTTGGAGGACGGCAGCCAGGATGCATAGTGTTTCAAGGGAGAAGGAGGATCGTGGCTGCTGTCTCATTTTCGGACCTCATCAATGATATCATGAATCGGGGCCCGGCCTATCGAGAAACATCACATGCAAGCACAAAAGCTTAAAAAGGGGGAAGGTAAATCTTATTGCATTTTCGATGAGACCTTATAGAGCGAGAAGCTGAGCACCGAAACAAATCAAGACCAATGACGGTAAATCGGGGGTTTCACGGGCTGGTTTGCCGTGCTGTGGCTGCAGACGCCGCCGGTGCCACCCTCGTCACTGTTTTGAACAGGTGTAACAACAATTTGGGTGCAGACCCCGAAGAGGCGTTGAGAGTGATCTTGCGAGATTGCTAGGGAGCGCCAGTGCCGCAATTTGTGATAGACTGGGGATTGCTGACATCGAAGAGGCTAAGTTAGAGAAGGATCACTTCGATAGTGACGTGGTTAAGGTTGGAGATGTCGCGGCTTCATGGGTTGACGAGACTTGTGCTCTTGGAGTATAAGTAGATGAAGGAGTGACAGACGAAGCAGATTCAGGTGTTGTAGGCAAAGAGCAGCCAGCGGCCGAAACGAATGGGGATACAGTAGTAGAAGGCGACGGAGACTTAGGTGTTGAGGCAGTAGGGGGCAGTGTGAGGTATTGAAAATACAGCCATCGTGGAAGTCAAAGCAATCGTGGAAGATGAGGACTAGTAACCCCGATTAGATGATCTTCATCATAAGCTGAACCGCTTTCTGGCTCCAGCTCTCAGGACGAGTTGTGGCAGTCACGGCGGCCTTATAGCCGACCTTGACATGGACACTGCCATCGGCGAGAGTTTCAGTCTCGTAGTTAGACTGACCGACGCACTCTCCGTACTCGTGGAAGTTGCTGAGCTCTCCTCTGCCGTTGTCGCCAGCTCCGGAAGTGGTGGTGGTCGGGACCCCGAAGGTGATCTCGGTGTAGGGTAGGGTAGTGCACTCGTGGTTGGCTGTGCCGTCATTCCACAAGTAGTACTCGATGAACCCGACCTCGGAGCCCTTGATGTTGCCGGTCCCTTCGGGCATGGTATATTCGCCGATGACATACTCCTCTCCGGTGTCGGTGTCGACCAGCGTGCCCCTCCACGTGGTTCCCCCAATGTTCTCGACCACGGTGTTGTACGTATGGCTGTAGTCCAGTGGGACGTCGTTGGCGCAGCTGACGCCAGGGCCATTGTCTGCGCCATCGTGGCAGTTGGGATGGTCGGTGGTGGCACCGGCCTGGAACGAGGAGAACACGCCGTGGAGGACGCTCTGGCCGTTGTCATCCGCCCGGGGCTGGACGCCAGTGTAGCCGCCATCCTGGGCGCCCTTGAAGCTGTACTGCTGGGCGAAATAGTACCCGGCCTGGTGAGGGGCGTTGGCCACGTTGAATGAGAAGGTGACGTCTGTCAGGCCGTCTTCGGGCGTCGGGCTGAAGTCCCAGTTGCTGCCCGTGGACATGGCGGCTCCCAGCGCGAAGGCGACGGGGAGGGCTTGAAACGACCTCATTCCTGCACGAGAGCGATTCTTTGTAAGGCAAAATGTTGTCTTGAAAGTACTCGATGGAGCTCAGAGTTGAGACTGCGGCGTTGAACAGCGATTGCATCGGAAACCGGACTACCTCGGGCACCGAATTTATCTGTTCTGTGCACTGCATGCTTGCATCTCTCGTGATTCAATTGGCCTGAACAGCCTGTATCACCCTGTGACGTAACATTGGAAACATGTGTACCCGAAATAGCGTATCCAAATCATGAAGCTTGAGAAAAAGTATGGGGATTTTGGTTCTAAAGATTGCGACTACTTTTGGAGCTTGTACTTGAGAGGTTATTGTTATAATTTATGCTGCTTGAGATTGAGAATCGGTATGCCTGATGGCAAGGTAGGGCCTAAGCTGCAATACTCCTAGCGATCGATGCGCAGAACAGAAATTGTGGATGCCCCGAGTTGGCTTCGAGAAGAATGAGTATTAATTTTTGGTACGGATGAGCTCGTATCCTTCTGACCATGTCTAGACAAAATCTACATCGGTGGGAGTTGAGTTGCTTTCCCCGTAGCTTTCACTGGCAAAGCAGGCATTGTCCGGCACAAGGGGCAGGGAATGATGATGGAGTGGAATATGGGCAACCAAGCCGCGACGGACATGAACACAGACAGGCAGGCACGGTAATGACTGTATAGGCAACTGACTTGAACTTCTACGGTAACGACAGACCTGAAAGGTATCGCATATCTATCCTCTCATCTTAGACCCCTTGTCTCATCCTGATCGAGCCCTGGCCTTAACCGCGGACTGGGGCACTAGAATGGCCCACTCGCCGTTGAGATCGGGGACGGTGAGCGACCACTCGTTCTCATCCTCCTCAAACTCGAACTTGCCCAGCCCCGTGGTGACAAACTGGTTGGTAGCGGCGTCCAGCTTTCCGGTGACGGCCTTGCTGGGGTCGATGGCGCCCTTGACCGCCTCGGTGAAGATGTAGTCGACCTTCAGGATGTCACCAGCAGCAGGCTTGCCTTGGGCCTTGATGACGAATGTCTGACCGTCGACGTAGAGCATGCCGGGGGGAGGAGCGATCGAGGCGGGCTTGTTGACAACATTGATGGTGTTGGCTGCGGTGCCGTTGTACTCGACCTCTAGCGAACCGGCAATCTGCGAGGATCGTGTTAGTCTCGTGACCCTTTCACTGCCACTAAGAGCTGCTAAGAGTCCACTTACATCAGCGGGGAAGAGAATGTCCTGCTTGGAGTTACCGCCCGTGACGGCAATGTTCTTGTTGAACGCGCCAGTCAGGTTGATCTCCCCTTTTTTCTCGCCCTCCGCCTTGCCACCGGTCTCTGCGCCAGTCTTGCCCCCAGCCTGGCCAGCCTGGCCAGCCTGGCCAGTCTTGCCAGCCTGAGCGTTGCCCGCAGCGGCCCCAGCGGCGTTCGGGATGAGGATCGCCCACTCGCCGTTCATGTCCTTGGCCTTGAGCGTGACCTCATTCTCATCGGCCTCGAACTCTAGCTCTCCGATGGCGGGGTCCGCGACGAAGACCTTGTTGCCGGCGCAAAGCTTGCCGACAGTAGACTTTGTCAGATCCACGCCCTTGAGAGCAGCGTCTACAAATCGGAACTGGGTCAGCTAACTTGCGACTGAGTGCAGGGGGATCGTGGTTGCATGCTCACTCGCTGTGTCGAAGATGTAATCGATCTTGCCCAAGGTCAAGTTAGTGCCTCCCTCCTTCAGGTTGACCGTGAAGGAGGTGGGATCCAGGAACTTGAAGCCGGCAGGCGCCGCACCTCCGGGAGCCTTGTTTTGAGCCACGTCCAGGGTCGCGCCTTGAGCGTTCTGGAACTCGACCTCGAATTTGCCCACGGTCTGCAGTCGGCCGGTTAGCTCACTGAATGTCCTATGAAACAAACACGGTGAGGTTACTTACAGCAGGGAACTCGGTGTCCTGCTTGAGGTTGCCACCTTGGAGGTTGACAGTCTTGCCGAATGTTCCCTGTTGAACAACCTCGTTCTTCTTCTCCTCGGCTTTGCCACCACCTGCAGCGCCACCAGCCGCGCCGCCTGCTGCTCCACCAGCTGCACCACCGACGGCGCCGCCAGCAGCGGCTCCCGCTCCCGCACCACCGGCCTTATTCTTATTCTTGGTCTTGTTCTTGTTTCGAGTCTGCAGAATCTCAGCCACCGAGCGAGGATAGACCTGGTCGACGACGTGTCGAGGCTTGGTGATGCTCGTGTCTTGGGAGGCAGGTGTCGGGAGGCCGAGGACAGCAGACAGCTGGAGGGCAAGGACGAGTGTTCTTGAGAGACCCATAGTGATAATGATGGACGAAAGGAACTGAAGAATACAAACAATCTTAAGGATGTTGATCGAGAGAGGATGGATTATGCAATCAAAGAATGGAAAGCAAAAGAAATGATACAATGATTGTGGAAACTGAATGTCGGCTCTGCCGTGAGTTGAAGGAAACCCAGCCAGCTGTTGATGTGTCAAAAAGATGAGATTGATCTACAGATCGTCAAATCTTAGCAGAGAGGCTCTGAAGGGATGGTTATATAGACAGAGCAAGTGCACTCGACGGGGCAAGTAGACTCGAAGCCAACTTCGCTTAGTCCTGCTCTCAATACAACTAAGTGCTATTTACGGACCATGCCCTGTCTCTCCTAATGAAAAAAAAGATGAAGCCATCACATAAGACACCCTCGGTAGTGCCGCTTCTTCCGCTGCCAAGCTTGGCACCCACGGAGGCCGCCCCCTTTACAGCTGCGGATGTGCCCAGCGAACTGCGAATAGACTCCAAATGAGGCCCACTTGGGGCTGAAGTTGGCAGTCAAGCACGCGACCCTCAGACGTTGAACAAGGGTCCAGGGCTTTTTTGTGTGGTAGCACACATATCTGAATTAGACTCGGACGGCTCTGGAGGTTGTGGATTGGGACCGGTTCAGTTCAGGCATGGTCTGAGGGTTGACGTGTTTCGGACCCTGAACTCCAAAACGTGGTGAGGCTTGGCGGACCAATGACAACTCGTCGTGCATCCCAAGTCGAAGAAACATTGAGGAAGAAGAAACACAATTACTCCAGATTTGCTTAAAATAGATTTAAAAATAAAAATAGTTTATCAGATGTGGTGATGAAGTTTTGACAGACGCTCCGGGAACAGGAGGATGGGGTTGTTGTTGATCGGGCCTCTCAACGCATCACGAGCCCGCCCGGCCTCCCTGCCAAATTAACCCCCCCCCAGACACTGGTCGAAGTACTCAAAACTCCTAACCTCTTGGAAGGAATGCGCTACCCCTTTAGTTAGAGAAATCTATTCTGGGATGCGTGATAGAAGTCAAAACCTTCTCATGAGCAAATGGGAATGCTTATTGAACTCACGTTTGCAGCACTGAGCGTTGAGTGGGCCCATGCAACTGTGGATGTCTGGAAGGCTTCGGCATTCAGACAACACACATGGGACAAGCGTGATGGGAGGTCCTGCGAATCATTAATTTCTGTCAGATTCCAGGAATGCAAGGACCCAAACATCGATGCGGGTCTCTCACAACAAGCCACCAGCTGTTGATGTTGACAGGCTTGGTACAGAATCCTGATATGGACTGCGATCTGCTGAATATCCCAAGATGGTGGAGCTAAACTCTAGAAGGAACGTGCTCTCGGATAATTGGAATGAAAAAGCGTAGCGTTCTCTGTCAAAATTTTCATTTTCATCATGCAAAGGACCCCTTTTCCTCTTTACATCGACATCATTTCGGCTAGGCCACTTCCATGGTTGATCCCAAGTCTCCTTGCTACGACACACGCAACCTTTGGTGCGCTAGAACCATTGGCCCACGAGGAAATGTCAGTGGAATGGAGTTCTATCATTTGCCTAACAATACCCTTGGCTACTTCCATCTATGCTTGTGTTCTACAAGGTGTCGTCAACGATCTAAGGCAATGATCTCTCCAGCTGACGACGATAGACTGACTAGTTTGAATCTTCTCTTAGCTCACTCCTCCAAATCCCTTACAGACAAGTTCCTCCCACTCCTCGACACCGACAAATTCGATCATCTCGTCCTGCGATCTTCAACGGCGGCGGTGTCAGTATCCCCAAGTTTTGGTCACCTAGCCTTAAGGAATGGCTTCGATGTCAACATGAGCTGGTTGGGAGAGACATGGTGGTCAAGTCTCTACCAAGGAACCCTTCCACGGCCGGTGTCGGTACTACTTGCGGTGAGCTTCACCTCCGATGTTCTTCCCGGGCCGAACTTTCTCATACATTCTGTCACTCTCGCCTGTCACTCTTCCCATGCTCTTGTGTGATTCGAAATGAGCACGGCTGATGCAGTGGTTCCATCATTGACTCCTTCCAATCCGAATGCCGTCTCCCGTACATGGAAGAGTTCCCTGGCACTACATGATGGCTCGTTTGATTCCACCATCTGCTCTTCCGTGAAGAACATCGATCGTCAGGAATAATCTCCGGCTCTGATTATTTGCGATAATACGGCTGACAGATCCAGTTTGTCAGTCTTGGATGAGCAAGAAGCCCATGCCTTGTACCTGTCAACAGAAGCTCAAAACCTCATTCTTAACTTATACATATATACTGACATCTCCACTACATGACTAAATGGTTTTTAGCACTTTTATGCAAAGGCTTTGTTCTCATATGGCACGACTAAGGCCTTCTCAAGTTTATCGACATGACCGATCAGCCGACTGAACTCTCTTCTAACCGTGGACATCGACCTCACAACAATATGCGAGGTTCAGAATTTGCTCTACCGGGTTAGATACAGTGCAAAGAACACAAGTTCGCACTTTGAATACTTCCAGAGGTTCTTGCATCGACCATCCTTCCGGCGTGACCGACGCCACAAGCGACGTTATCCCGACATCATGCCGGGCCACCCTACCTGGAACCTTCCAAACTGGGACCTGAGAGAGAGAGAAGATAATGGAAATCGGCAATTGAGGGCCTGGTAAGCCGAAACTGCCGTCTTTATCTTATAAATCATGCTTTCCGCTGGCGTTATTGGACGCCACATTGAGTCATTTTGGGATGGATGCTGATGATACTACCTATATCTAGAGATGCAAGGCAATAATCAAACGTAACACTTACGAGATAGATAGAGAAGTATGACTTGCCGATACCAAGCTCATTGGCCCATTGCAGTCTGGTTGTCAGATGCCTTGTCACCGAGCCCATGATCAATATCCGACGACTCCTGGTGTGAACACCCAACGCGAAGCTGGACAGGTGGAGCTCGGTGAGAGATAACAAAAATGCCGCCCTCCTCCAAGATCTGCGTATGTTTCACAGTAACCGCATTCGTTGCGTTGAGGTAGCATCCAGTGGAGGCTGTCACATCTCCTGTCACCGTGTCAAGTGTTGAGTGCGAGCAGCGCGATCCCCAGCCCCCCTAGTCATATATCGCCCGGTCAAATCTGTGGAGTTGATTACTGTCAATGCTTCTCCTCATTCCGTTCTTATCCCTTCGTCAACGTTGCTGAGCATTGTGTTCTTCCGTCGGATCTCAGCATAAATAGTGTGAACGGTTTCCTTCAAGAGCAAGCCCAAGGCTCGCGCTATGGCCCTATCCAAACAAGTACTCCGCCCTTCCATAAAAGGACCGTTTTCAGCTTCTAGGCTCTGTTCATTCATCCTGGATTTCTGGTCACTCCTACTACAACAAGATTCATGGCCCCTTAGCCAGACACCAGGCCCACTGGGACCTACTCGAACAGGTAGTCCCGTGTCTTCAGATGTGGAATGGGACGAAGATATCGACATGGATTTTGAGAGCGGTAATGATGACACGGCTGCTGAGGACATCAACGGAGATTCAACCGAAGATCTCGTCCACGATCAAGCTCAGAGCGAACCGAGTAGTTGGAATATGGCACGTTTTCTACTCAACCAGGAGCGAGATAGATTTTGTCTATGGCGATTCGGCTTCTCCGAATCGGAGCTAGATCAGTTAGTGAAGGGTTCTGACGGTGGCGGTACGCAGACCAACGTATTCGGAATCGCCATGCTGCAATCAGTGGTACACATTGGCAAGGCGCTACATGATCAGACTCGTAAGTTCTCAATTTTGATCTCTTGAGTAGGGCTAATTTTAATCTTAGGAATTGCTCAGGGAGCCGATGAAAATAGCTGTTACCATGGTTTGGACCTCGAGATAAAAAAGGCGCAGCAACTGATTCAAGGAGCATGTGGCAATGTCTCTTCGTGTCTTTCCTCAACCCCTGACGTTTCAGAACGAGGCAGCACAACATACTCGTTTGCTGTGACTATTGGAGACGATGACGAGCCAAAAGATTTGTACTCCATCATAAAATCCAACATTGTCACTCTGCAGGAGCTAAATGCTTCTTTGCTAAACACTTTGAACGACATGACTCCAGAGGTGAGGAAACAGTCCGAGCCCCATGCTGACTCTTGTGTGTCTGATATCGAATGACTAGGATGTGGACGCGGACGTGTAGCAGAGTCTTCCGGGCTTTCCTCACTCTATAAGTGCTTGATTCAAGACAGTTCTTACCCCGCGGGTTTATTGCCGGCATGTCAAACATGTTGGTAAGGAGTTGATTGAATAGGGTTATACTAGTTAGCGACCTCTCGTCCATATATCACTCCTTCACACTTGTCTAGAGGAATTCATTTTCAGACTGCAGCTCTGATTATGTTGCAATTCACTTCGTTTAACGCATATGTACTTGAGATCCCATAGGACTATGATCGAATGATTCTTCCAAATGGTGGGAGCCGAAGTGCATGATGTAACCCAGTTCAGTATCGCTCACAGCCCCAGAAGCACGAGTCTGGTTGACTGACATCGACACACTACGAGCAATTTGATAACACCCATTGTTTGAAACATGTGTTTCAAAATTTCTCGCAACTCGATACGGAATTGAAATTAGAGATTCTCACATACAAAAGGACTTATTTCTTACCCTTCCTAAGATCAGCAATCATATCCTTTGCATATCCCTTATCGCCCTGCAAAGTCTTCAGCCCACTGCGTAGCATCTCCATGTCACGATTGGTTTCATAGGACAGTGTCCCGACGATCACCCGTCCATCGCCGCTGACATCAATATTCGTAGCCACAACCTCATTAATCAAGGGAGCCCCTTTACCTTCGTCACCCACGTCTGCACTGACAAAACCCCACTCGCTGACCTTGGCGTCTTTGATGACTCGAATTGTCCAGTTACTAGGGGATGACTTCTTCAAAACATTGTCGAGGTCCTCCTGCTTGACCTCGTACCAATCGGTCTCCCCAACTCTTTTACCCTGTGCCTCCACAAGGTCAATGATTCGTCGAGCGTATTTGACCTCCTGGTTTGTGTCAAAGCATGCATCAACTTGACGAGCGAGCCTGAGGTTGATCTGTACGACACTCGTCCCGTCTGCCTTTGCTGCAACCATAGCGGTGATCAAGATCACCAAGGCCTGACTGAGCTCGGATTGCATCTTGTCGAAGCGTTCGATTTGATCGTCGCCCTTCCAGAATTCATTGAAAAAACGAATGAAGGCTGGCTTGCTCTGGGACTCTTCCAGGACCGTGGCAGCATTCTTAAGCTTCTTGGCTGTGTCCTTGACTAGCTCAATTGTCTTGCCGACTGCTGGGTGGTGAAGGTGGGGTTCAATATCGGGCCCTTGAAAAAGGCCTTGGAGTATCGAAGTGAGGGTTTGTGCTTGGGCGCGTACGCTGTCCAGGTATCTCGGACCGTTCTTTGTGCGGCTGAAGGCTCGTCTGGAACGGCTGACGATCTCGATGATTTTGCTAAGAATCTCGATGGAAGCAGCTGCCACACCGACGATGTCCTAGCTCATGGGAAAACGTACTTGTAAGCAGTCTGAGCAACCAGGAAGCTCTGGACCGTTGTGGAAGTGGCTTACCATAGTTGAATGCCCCGACGGATTGCCACTTGACACGTTGTAGATCGGCTGTTCGATGCTGGCTGGCTTTTATAAGGGATTAGAGTAGATTCAATCAGTGAAGAGATCGAGATATTTCCAAAGCCACGAATTCGATGAGGTGTCCCATCACAACATAATATGTACCCATCTCTGACGCAACGTCCACAAGTATGTCGAACTGAGAAGGTAAAAGAAAGAAAAAAGCCTGACAAGGCATTAACCAACTTTTCTCCACACCCACCTCAACCTCAAGCCAGTCGATGGAGCATTTAGCCACTCCTCATCACTGCTCTGCAGAAAGCACCTGACAAGGATTGGAACCGAGTCTGTGTATTCAAGCCGACAGGCTGAACATCATGCAGATACCTTGAGATGGAGGGTTACCCTGGCATGACTGACATGCCCATCAGGCTGTCGAATCACAATGGCCGTTTTCTGCATTATTGGGACCTGCTCGCCTCACTTTTTATCATCCTTTCCAATGAAATCACGAAGGATGCCTTCTGCAGACAGTAGGCAGCTTGGAAATCTGCATTTCTTCTCAGTTTCTATGGTCTGATAAGCACACTGTGTACAAAAGCAGCCAGTCCACCACGGCGAGCTGGTGAATCTATGCATCTCTGGTCTCGTTTTCTCTCCAATGAAAGAGAGTGCGGTATGCTCTGTTTGCAAATTGGTGACCAACCCCCACGCAATCATGCAAGATGTAGCTATAGCCGGGCGTAGTTGGCAAGGAGAACAACGGGCGGCAAGCTCGCTTGAAGCATGCTTCGTTCCAATCCCGAGTCATCCCCATAGCTGCGATCCGTCTTAAAGGTGGTATGGTGGTCATAGTAAGCTTTGAACAAATTAATATACGGCATAAAGTGCAACTGTACTGACAAGTCTGAGCTGCCCCCAAGTTCACACAGGATACCCGACATCTCCAGCCCCTCATGCCACCCAAAATACCACCTAGTCGACCTGATGAGGACCCGGCCCCTGAAGTTCACGGGTCTAAAGCAGGAGTTGGAGATGGTCTTGCCAACAAAGGGTATCCCGATCCATCCTTGGAGCCTTATATTCTATCCCTAACCTCTCCGGCGAAGACTTTAACTACGCGTCAATCTTCAGTCTCAGATGCTGGTATCCTTCTTACCAGTGCCGAGACCACAGGGGTTGTGGCATCTGGTGGCACTGGCGCCCGGGCCGATGGACAGCAATCGCAAGGCCCTAATGTCTTTAATGGCACTAATCATGTCACAGTTATTCAACACATGAAAAACACCGTGTCGGCAACGACTCATGACGAATACAACATCGGTCATGGAGCCAGAGCAGCGACACCAACGAGTCTTTCGGGGCATTCGTCTTCAAGTGTTCATTGTAGAGATGTTGTCTCAAAATCACAGGCCACCGTCATGGCTCCCATAGGTCCAGTGGCTCCGGAAACTGTGCCTGGGATTTCAGATCTGGTAGTAGAGCTTCCAGAGACAGTAACATCAGAGTCTACCGACCAATATATGGACATATCGGGAGACGAGGGCCCACTCGTGGCCATTCCTTCCACCGCCGATGCCTTTGCCTCGCGGGTCAAAACAATCGGGGACGACATCGTAGCATCGTACAATGCTATTCTTCCTCTACTGAGGCGACGTACAAGTCCGCAGTTCTTCCAGTCAATCTGCATCCAGAGTGGAATGTTCACTGAGAAAAACCGCTGGCTCTTCGACAAGATCGATGCGATATCCGTGCATGATCCCGAAAGTCAGGAGGTCTATGAGTCGCCATACGTCCTCGTATACAGCGAACTAGTGTCCCTCCAAAAGCATATGAAGCTGCTGAGATCGGGCACGGGAAAGGAAGCTCTTGCCCAGAAGGAGGTAAGCCGAGATCCTCATCTCTGTACTAAGCCTTCTACGGGCATTTATTCACACTAAACAGAGAACTAGCCCTTCAAACTTAGGCTCTAGGGGTGAATTTAAATCCTGGTGCAAGCATCTCACACCGAAGTATCAGCGATATGCGAAAGCTGCCGATGTGCTTACCAGGGAAAGAGACCACAATCTCATTACAGGCCAGACCCATCTTAATGGGGTGCTCGGGGACCTTTTAACAGACGCCCAGACTTGTTCATGTCTAAGGCAGTGTCTTTGCCAGGCCTTTCCGGATCAATGTCACAACGATCACACTGCTTACCTAGGACTCCAGCCCGATGACTGGCACACTGACGTGGCACAGACCTCTGGGAAGAAAAATGAGGTTGAAGAGAAACTGAATACCAAATCAGTATGGCACCTGGCTTTCAAATCTACAAAGTCTGCTAAGACTACTGCAACAAGAAACGATCATTTGATCTGGCTCAGGGTTGAATCGTGTGTCGTTGAGGTCTCATCGTTCAGGGAGTTAAGTTTCCAAGGCCACAACCAGGAAGCCATCGATGACTCTGGCATGCTGGACCCACCATCCACTGAGGGAACTGGACCCCACAACTTGAAGCGGAAAGCGTCATCCCAACTTCCTGAACCTCCGGGAAAATGCCAAAAGACAAGGCCCAACCAGACCCGCCGGATGACAGACCCAGGACCTCAACTCCCTCGAGGCATCCAAGTGTGCCCCGAATACCTCATGCCACATGACACCACGGAGAAGGCAATCATGAAGCTCACGGACATGGTGTGCGATCACAGCATCTACTATCTTTCACAAGAGACGAGGTCGGCATACGGAGCGACAGCAAAAGGACTGACGCTCCGCAAGATACTTGACAATCGGCACCAGAAGAGATACGAGCGTTGCTGGAATCTCTTGTGGATCGTGCGGCTCGCACGCCTTGCGGCGGAGGCGGTACTGCGGTTCGACCTTCGTGATTCGGATCCTCATCCTCAAGAGATTATTGTGTTCTACGGAGCAGACAAGAAGGACTCTGAAATGCACTTGTCACCATTTCTAGAGGTCAAAATTGAGAGATCCGGTCCCCAAGGTCTGTCAGATACCGGGGGCGAAACCGACGACGAAGCCGACCAGTCCAATCACCAGCCAAAGCGACAGCAGGTTCTCTTGAACCTTGGCAACGTCTTACTCCAACTGGGAGTCAAACGGGACGTCAAATTGGGGAAGGCGCCCAGTGGTCCTGACCAAATGAAGGAATACATCAACAAGCATGCTGACAAGACGATCACCGGGGTTCATCAGAAATACGCTGATGCTGTGCGTAGCTGCACCAGGTTCTATGGAAAAGAGAAGGCTATGGGAGAATCGGCGTTCCGGGAAAGCTTTTTCAAGCTCATTATAGAACCGCTGAAGGATTGTGAGTCGATTATTGATGGACAGGAGAAGGAAGGCAAGAGGCTTAACACCAAGCACTGAGTTGGTAGGTAATGTCATTGATGAAGGGCTGCTGGTGCGGGTTCTGGTGTTTACTAAAGGCTGATTCAAGAGACTTTGAAATCACAAGCCCTTTCGAATCTCGGGAGAAGTGTGGTCCCTTAATGCTTTTGGAATTTTCAAATGTATGTACCTAGGAAGGCCTTCTGAATTTGATCAAGTTCACAGAGTTCTTTTCCTGGCTGGGATCTGATGATGAGCATGCCACTGCTGTTGAGAGGCGCGATCGTCATACAGGATGAACCGGGGACTTAACTATCCATTGTAGCAGCCCCAGTAATCAGGGCTGGTTGCAGACGGGCCGCACATGAGTCTAGGTTCACAGAGGTTGCCGCTTGATGTGGCTCGGAATCCGTAGATGTTTACCCCGCCATCTGCATGTCTTAAACCTACGAAATTTTCAAAGTTCGGTGGGCGGGTGAACGTGAGATCTCCGTTGCGGCTGATATGCCGTGTCACAATGAATAGAGTCTCGAGCGGTCGAAAGAGACGCCCATGGCCAGCTCGTCGGAAGCACACGATTAAGCCGTTTCTTGGCATATACCAGAAGCAAAACCAAACCCTCCACCCTCAGACTGGGATCATACTAACTTAGAACAGAGGATTGGTATAAAATGGTCGGCAGCGGATGCCTTTAGAAACTGACTTCCTCTCCACTTTCTGTATCTGGTCTGCATCTCAAGCCCTGGACAGTGTTCTGATCAGGAACTAAAGTTTATCTTACACATAATGTTGTTCGTCCTCGCACTCATGACCTCGGCGCTCGTCGCAGCCCAGGGCTCTTTCTATGACCCCGCCAGGAACGTTACGTGCCAAGTCGGAAGCGGTGGCAATATGACATGCCAGGCTGGCGGCTCCGACGGCCGGATTCAGGTAAGTCTCCCGGCCAGCTAGACGTCTACATTCATGTCTCTAAACGGAAGCTTTCAGCCGTCCGTCTGCCCCATCTTCTCGGAGGAGCCGACCAGCTCCACATCGACTACTACATCTTCCTCGTCCAAGCCTACGTCGTCGTCGTCGAAAACGTCGTCCTCATCCGTCAAGCTGGCTACGACTTCGAAGCCCCCATCCACTTCCTCCAGCCCTCCTCGAACCTCTTCGACCCTCCTCACCTCGTCGGCCCTCAAGGCTCGGTCGAGTGGTTTGCAGAAAAGAGTACAGGTTGTCGACACCAGGCTAGCCTGCTCGTTTTACTGCGCGGCTCAGGGATGGTGCAAGTACGCCGTGATCGCGGATGTAGCTTGTGAATGCAGCTGTCTGGATACGACGCCCTGCCTTCGCGCCAAGTATCCGGAAAACGAGTATGATCCGTGTACTATCAAGGACTGCACGGTCTGACATTGCCTTCGCAATGCCCTCACCTACACTACTTGGCTTTTTTCCCCACACGTATTCATTTGCCAAGAATGTTCTCGCTTTACTTCTGCACAGTCGGATTCAAGACGATGTCGAAGCCTTGGGAGTTGTTAGGGCTATCGGGTTCAGAATAATCTAGTGGGCGATGAGATCAATGCAACTTTGAATCCGTAACTACACGGCCCAGTCTATGTATTACATGCTATTGATTCTGTGGTACATGTGTATTGTATGCTAATGCTTATAAATCCCAATAAGTAACAACGCTCTGCATGTTCATTCGAAAGTCTGCTCCGATGCGGCGGTGAGAGTCAGGCGGGGCCAGAGCAGCAAGCTCAGTAGCTTGGGCTGCTTAGCCCACGCCCTCTCGAGGTAGATGCAAATCGCCAGCCCTTCGGTCCAGGAATGCCTCCAGAGCCACCATATGCGCCGGCTACAGAGCTTCGCATACCAGTACAAGAGGATCAGCAACGCCTTCTCGTCCTTTTGGTGCAATAGCTTCTGGAACCTGTCTTCTAGACCCCACACCATGGCGGTAAGCAACATGTGATGCTGGCCGTTAATCTCTTGATGGCCGTACAAGTCGGCGAGGCCAGCGATTCCACAATAATACGGACTGTCTGTGTGCGCGCCATCGAACCCAAAGACCTCGCAGAGGCCTGTAGGTAGAGTCTTGGGGTCGAAGGGCTGGGTGATGAGCTTGTGCTGTCTCGCGACGATGCCCTCGATCTCCACGGTACAGTCGCGGAGGGGCCCCGCCGCATGCGGTCTTGACGAGTCGGCCATCTCAAAGACGAGCATCTTGCCAGAGCACATCCTGAGCCACATGAGGTCGAGGACGGATGGCGGGCGGAGAGGCCAGGCCTCGTAAGGGGTTTCGGCCTCGGTGGAGGCGACGGTGCCCAGACTGACGAGGCTAGCCGCCATATGGACGGCGCTTGTCTCCGAGGCGTCCAGCGGCGTGCTCAGCCTGTCATGCAAGAGCTTTAAGGCTGAGTTCCAGTGATAGATGTCTCTTCTCCGCCTTGCGATGGGGCCGTTGCTGGCTACAATATCGTGAAACCGAGAGTAGGCCAAGACGGCATGCATGAGAATGGAATTCTGTTGGAGGGCCCTATCAGTGGGGTGGACGGAAATGTACGACGTAGCAGTCCGACGTACCGAGAAGGCAAGGGGCAGGACATTATCCGCGTAGTGCTGGCCGGTTCGTTCCGAGCCGATGGTCCGGACGACGCGGAGCTGGAACTTCTCGATCAGCTCGACGTCGACCGGCGCCAACTGAAAGACGTCTGCTGGCCGACTCGATGGGATTACCGGCAGTGGAGCTGCCGGCGACCGCGGAGGGTTAGGAGCCGGGGACGACTTTGCTGAGAAGCAGGTACCCGAGTACAACGTCTCGGCCGTGAGCTTCGACCCGTAGACGCATGACACACCTAGCACCCGGCACCTGGAGCAGTGGGGTCGCGCCTCATCGCACTTTTGTTTCTGATTAGATACGGTATTGGTCTCATTGGGTACAGTAATAGTCAGTCGTAGGGAGAGAGATTGGACATGCCTTGATGCTCATCAGTTTGCAGTTAGCGCAGCCTAGTCGTGACTTCTTGTGGGCTCGGCGTTTCCTCTGCGCCGGGCTGATCTCGCGGCCCTTGTTCCTCGACGCCATGGTATGGTCGGTTGGTAATGGAGGGTGACGATTACTGATACGGCAACCGCTTCTGGTAGCCTACCTGTGTGCTTTGAGAATACCCAGATTTCCCGTCTCCGTGGGGGTTTAAAGGGCATTACTATGGTAGCATGGAATCCGGGCCCGGTCCTCGCAGCGTGTAAAGCTTCAGATGCCGTGCCACACTGGAGGCGGAGCCCAGGTCGAAGCTCCACCATGAGCCTCATTTGGTATCCAGAAGTCTACACTAAACCATTCTCGTATTCAGGATCGTCGGGTGACAGGATTGACGTCAAGCCGCCCCCGCCGCTAGCTCTTTCAAGCCCTACGGTAGGCTACGCGAGAGACAGCAACAAGCCAAACCGTGCGAGATAGTGAAGGGGGGAAGAGGGCGCCATCATGGACTGCCGGGGACTCGAGTTGCAGCTTCCATGAATGGATGCACTATTCATCATTCAAGACGATGTATCCAACTGGCAGATTGAATCGACCAAGAAGGCCGAGATCTATCAGAACCCCGACATCACACTCTGGGCGACTGTTATGTCTGGCACTCGACCCTCTCCTCTCAGAGGGTGGAATCTTGAGGAGCGGGTCTTGCCTTGAAGAACTCTCAGTTTGGAGAACCGCAACCATTGGTTCATTAGTGTAGCGGTTATCACTCTGGATTCGTAAGTTCTCCATATACTAAAGCCCCCACAGCCTAAAACTAACACCAAGACAGTGATTCCAGCAACCCCGGTTCGATTCCGGGATGGACCTAGAAATCTTCTTTTTTTTTTCTTTTTTGCTCCCGGGAGTGCGGCGAGGAGCCTTGTGGCGAATGCGGAAGCTTGCACCCATTCAGAACTTGGGAAGCCAATTTGCTCTCGCTGTACAAGGGTGGTACCAATGCCGACGGCTGGGCTGCTGAGCAGATTTTGGAGGAGTGGTTTGCATATGCCGGTATTCTCGTGTTGACAAGCCAGCTTCGAGGACGGGATTGGCAGGTGGGCCTGGAGCAGCACGCAGCCGGCTGGCAGTGCGATGAAAAGCTACGAAGTAACAGTATGGCTAATAAGCAGGGTCGCATTTCTTGTCAAGCACTGGTTTCTGTCCATCAAGATTCCTCACTGGGATTAGGTTTGTGCACTGCTGTGCTGCTGTCGTGACTCGCTCCGGATCGCGGCGCAGAAGCCACTGAACAAGATGGCCAAGCATCGCACAAGACTTCCAAGAAGGCAACAAGCGGTTCCAGAACGTGTGCTGCATTATTAATGCAAAGACCCATCCAGTCTGGTGGGAAACCTGTTATTAGCGAGCAAAAGCAGATTGCTCTGCTTGCTTTGCACTGCCAAACCCTCCCAGGGCGTCCGGCATGGGTCCTGATGCGACGGTGATCACACGGGCGATCGAGCAATGCGCAAGCAGCAGCCCCCTTGTTGTCTTGTGTGTATTTATAGCTCCTCCCGGGTAGGGAGAAGTGACAGGAGAGATCAAACACCGAACCGGCAGAGCGGCATCGATCTGGAATGGGGTTTTCTGGGGCCAGCCTCCCATACCTGACGAGCCTAGGTAAGCTTATTCCCATCGAGTCACTGTCTGGCATCCGTGGTGGATTTGATGTCTTCCATGCATCCCTGTGTTGAGCCTGTCAGCCTGTCAAAACGGCCCCTAAAAGAGCCCCGACAGTCCCCAAAAGTCCCCACTGTACAGCCTACGCGCGACTCACATTTTGGCGGGCGGGGACACTAGAGTCCCATGAATCAAACTGAGCTCAGTTGAGACCACATCTCATCTCAAATCGTCCAGCTGGGACCCTCAAATTTCCAGCCCAGCACCGCAAGGGCCACGACGACCAGGAAATCCACCCCCCTTTAACTGCATTCCTCGCCTGGCCTCACCGTGTGCGCGTTTCACCTCATCGCCCGCACCGGTCGTCACTCTCACCTCCCCTAGATGTCCAAGGTTCCAACCAACATGACGGTTTGATCAGCTTGTCAGCTCTCGCATCGATCGCCTGCACCGCCCGCCCGCCCGTCCGCCGCACTCGGGGTGACCCTGGCTCCCCGCACCAATCATCCGCGCACAGTCGCCGCCACCGCCACCGACAATGCCAGCCGTGGTCCTCAACTACAAGCTGGCCCTGCAGGCCGCCGCCCTCAAGGTCAGCGCCAACATCCTCGTCCAGCTCGTCACCCACTGGAACCGGCCCCTGGACCACCCGGCCGCAGTCAACGCCGACGGCACGCCCGCCCTCTTGCCCGCCGCGAGGCCGCCGCCCATCGACTGGCTGCAGATCCTCGAGTTCGCCCTCTTCGGCTTCCTCGGCTCCCAGGTCGGCAACAACTGGCAGCACTTCCTCGAGTACCTGTTCCCCGGCGGCGGCGGAGCCGGAGCCGGAGCCGGACCGGGCAGACCCGGCGCGGAGCCGAGCCTCGACGCCTACGCCCCGCCGTCCCCGATCTCCAAGCGCGAGGACGGCCGGCGGCTCTCGGACGCCGCGGTGACCACCAGGAAGAAGCCCGACTGGCGGCCCTGGCGGTGGCGGTGGCAGCGGCGCGGCCGCGCCGCCTCCGTCACCACCCCCTTCCGGGCAGCTAACAAGGCCGCCGGGAGCGGGAGCGGCATCCGGTGGCGCAACCTCGCGCTGAAGCTGCTGCTCGACCAGACGGCGGGCCAGCTGCTCATGGGCACCATCTTCCTCGTCGTCACCAACTTTGCGCGCGTGCCGCGCCCGTGGGTGCTGCTCGCCGTCGTCCGCGACCGCGTGCCCAGCTTCATCTGGGCCGGCTGGCACCTGTGGCCGCTGGTCGCCGTGTGCAACTTCCTGTTCGTCCCCGTGCGCTCGCGCGTCCTGGTCGCGTCGTGCGTGGGGTTCGGCTGGAGCATCTTCCTGAGCTTCTTCGCCATGAGGAAATGAAGAAGCGTGGCTGGCTGGCTGGCTGGCGTATGTGTGTGCGTGGAGTGAGGGAGGATGAGGAACTGGGTCATTTCGTGAGATGGGGTGTGCCATGGGGCGGTGGAGGAGAACCATTGTAGCATTTTTGTTCGAACTGGGCGGTCTGAAGCGTGCTTTTTTTTTTGTGTCTCTTGCCTGTATCAAATCTCCCATATACCAGGACTCGCATGACCTTTTTCGTTTCTGATCAGGGACGTGGATGGAAAGACGCTGCCCGAGCGCTCGTTGAGTCTATCTTGTTCGTGTGGTATAATCGGTACATTATGTTGCCTTTCGGTATATCATGATCCGCATCCCCATCTCCGAGTATTCACTTCGTGAAAACCGGCCCGTCGCCCTCATCTCTTTCTGAGACATAATTCTATCAATGGGCAACTCGTTCCGCCGCCACCCAACACGCTGCACCATGCCCATGCCCACGCCCAGCTCCTCTCCCTCATTCACTCCTGCCTCTGGTTGGCGGCACCGGGCGGCAGGCCGCTAGTGGGCATGCCCGGATTTATGACATTGACAGGAGACGGCATGCCCTTGAGGTCCGCCGGCGAGCCTGGTTGGCTGCTGTGGGGGCTGGCCTGGTGTTGCCCAATCTGCATCGGCCTGACGTTCGAGACCGGCATCGGCTGGGTCTCCTTTGAGCTCGTGCAACCCATGTCGAATCGAGTTTCTGACCGATGTTGGGTCTGGTGAGTCGGGAGGTTGGATGCCGATAGGTATAAATATATGTATAAAGCTTGCTCCACTGAGAGGGGTGTTCCCTCAAGTCCTCTTTGTTGCGGGGATAGTGGACCGGAATAGACGAGATCTCGAGAGGGAAGACAAGGTTTGCCGTGTCGTATTAGGATGGGTTGTATCGTCGCGATTAGAGCTCGTAGAAGGGCAGGACAGGATCCAGGTTCGAGGTCTTAGATCACATCTAGCACAAAGGAGGTCTGGAGGACTCCCACGATTCCTGGATAGGACCGGACCGCTCGATATTAAATATGTAGTAGGTATTAGGGAATTCCGGGGACGCGCAAGCCAAGTTTTACAAACACTCTCTTGCGGCCAAGAAGTCTTGGACAAGAGGGCAGAGCCATATATACACGAAAAGGGTTCGTCCTAAAGGAGTGTGAACCGGCCCACCTCACCTCCCTGAAGGATTGACGACCGAAGTGCGAGCATAAAAGAAAAGCCGCATGTTGGATCTACGTCAAGGGCATATTCTGGCAAATGCTTGCAGATCTGCCATTTGCGGAGAGAGTGCTAGCGAGGGACCGCCGCTTACACATGCCCTCTGGACTCGATTCTGGGCTAGAATAGCCTCGCCGGGAAAGAAGGTTACTCGATGACAGGCAAAGGCAGACATGCGATTGGCCCCGGCGTACGTCGGAACGGTCCTGCGCCGTTGGGGGTGGAGGCTGACGGACCAGGGTTCCAGCATGTTTTGTCGAGAACGTGCTACTGCCTGAGACGTTCGAGAGCGCAGCTGAAGTAGAGTGAGGCCAAGGCGGGCTTTTGCTGTCGAGGGGGAGGGGGCGGCGCGCTGGGGCGATGAGAGTTGAAGGGCGGGCACAATGCTGCGTCGTCTGGGTTCGAGGATGTCCAGCCCTTTATGATAATTCTGGCCTGATTATGATGTCATGGCTGCTTGGACGCCCCAGAGAGATGCGCGTCCAGGAGCCGGGGTGCGTTTGGCGGTTCCGGGGGGGAAGCCCATGCAAAAGCGAAATGCCTGATGAAGGATCTGCTGCTGCTTTTTTGGTGGGAGCTGATGGGATTGACCGGGGGTTGAGCAGAGCTGTTGCAGAGGTGAAACATCTTGGCATCGCAATGCCAGCGCCGTCGCAGATTCCACCGCCCAAAACCATGGGATTCGAGGTTTTGGCCATAGGGTCTAGTCGTTTCTACAAGTCCTGCTGCGGCGTCTCCTTTGTGTCTCCCGCAAAGATCTCCGACTGAAACAGTCGCTTATCAACTTGGACTTTGACTCTTGGAGATCTCCCCCCTCTTTTCCCTCAACTCAATTTCCTAGCTTCTTCCCACATCACTTCAACCGCTCATACCTACATCATTACAAACATAATACGTGGTTGACTCGTCATTGACCAATCTCAAACCTCAATCTCGCTACGTTTCCTCTTCCCTCGTCTCGCAAAGGAAAACCCCACGCTAAGCAGCCCTTACCCATGCCCGCCCGCTCGCGCCTCGAGACAGCCGCAGGAGGCCCCCACCGGATCCTCCTGCTCCTGTTCGCGTTTCTGCTGGCGGGACCCTGGGCCTCCTCCTCCTCCTCCTCCTCCTCCCTGGTGCTCTGCTCGCCGTCCCCGTCCCCGCAGAAGGCGCAGCTGCCGCCGGAGTCGCTGCCGCCGGGGACGACGCTCGACGAGGACTCGGGCCACCGCGCCATCAACGACCCGGCCGGCGGCGACGGCGGCAACAGCAGCGAGCCCGCGGACCCGGACCTGCTCATCCGCGCCACCATCTTCAGCGGCGTCCCGGGGCCCAAGCGGTGCCGCGGCGCGCCCGTCGCCGTGCTGGACCTGCCCCGGCCCGCGGCCCAGCACGCGACGGAGCTGTGCTACGACGTGGACGCCAGCGGCGGCGGCGGCGGCGGCGGCGGGAGGTCGGGCTCGGCGGTGCCCGCGGGCTGCGGCCTGTTTGTCGCCAACAAGGCCGACGGGTGCGAGGCGCGGCTGTTCGCGGAGCCCGGGTGCCGGATGTACGTCAACACGGCCGTGTTCCTGCCCGAGATGAGGCCCGTGGGCGGCAGCTGGAGGAGCATGGCCGTCCGGTGCGGCGTCGTGCCGCCCGACCCGGACTCGCTCGGGGTGCCGCCCCTGTCGGGCATGATCATGAAGCATCAAGGATGAAGGAGGGTGAAGTGAGTGCAGCATATCTCCGGGCTATCTTGGCAAGATGAACGACAGGATGGGATCAAATTCTTGGTTTTTTTTTTTTTTTTTTGTTTACCTTCCCTGATCCCCCATACCAAGAACGGCAATCACTCGACGACCGGCCAGAACCCAATCTCAGCTTGCAAGACCGCATCCCACACCGACTGCACCCGCACCACCACGGCCTCGGGGGTGACCTCGCCCCCGCTCCCGGAGATGTACTCCCGCACGCCGCGGTCCAGGACGTCCCGGAACCGGTCGACAAAGGCCCTGAAATCGTCGCTGCTCCAGTTGTCGATGAACTCCTTCCTCGCGGCCCCGCCGTCCGCGTCGCCCTCGTACGACGACGGCGACGTATCGTCGCCCTTGAGCGACCGCGCCCACGTCCACGCCTCCAGATAGCACTTCTCCGTCGCCCACAGCAGCACGCCGCCCTCGAGCCACGCGCAGGGAGGCGGGCTCCCGCCCCGCAGGACCGCGAGCCCCACCGCCTCGAACAGCCGCTCGTACAGCGGCAGGCCGGGCAGCTTCGCGCCGGCGCCGGGCAGGCGCAGCTCGAGGCCGTACCGGCGCGCCGCGTCGACGAACCAGCGCTCCTCGCGCCGCACGCCGGCCAGGGCGTCGCACAGCCAGTCCACGATCTGCGACTCGACGGCGGGGTCGCCGTTTTCGCTGCCGGGCGGTGGGACGGGCGGGACGTCGACGAGCGAGAGCAGGCAGCCCACGGCGCGCATGTAGGCGTGGACGTAGAGCCGGTCGTTGGCGAGCCAGAGCGCCAGGTCGCGCTTGGGGAGGCGGCCCTCGCCGGCGGCGCGGAGGAAGGGCGCCTGCGTGGCGGCCTGCCAGGTCGCGGGGTCGGTGGTGGCGAGGAGGTGGGACGTCAGCGAGAAGGGCTTCCCCGCCTGCTCCTCTGCTGGCGCTGGTGCTGGTGGCATTTCTCACGAGTGTGTGTGTGTGTGTGTGTGTGTGTGTGTGTTTTATGAGTTCGTTGTTCCTGTGCAGGAGTAGAAATACAATTGGTCGCGGCTGGTGTGATGAAGGATGGATGGGATGGGAGAGACTGCGGGTAATAATCGCGACAGAACCTTGAGAAGCTGGGCGGCGGGGCGCTAAGGCTTGGCTTCTTGTGCCACAAATGATGTGATCTTCGGAGCTGTCGATAAATGACCCTGTATCCCATCAATCAGATTCGTGAATGGCCGAAAACATCCAAGAAGAACTGGGTAGGGATGCAATGCAAGCCAATTGACAGCACCCGATGTCGGCGTCCACAGGTGACTCAGGGCTCCGCGGAGGATCCTCGAAGCCGCAGTGTTACGCTGGTATTACCGCTGATCTCGATCTTGAACCCGTGGTATATGTATGTACGTACTGATTCGCTTTTTGATGTCATCAACATCAGCTCTTGTTGCGTCTCTCACTCCCAAGGCCCGAATGGATGGATATGGACAAGAAGACTGAGACCTCTTACCACGACTTGCGCCCTCTCGGTATATTTGAGCCCTCCCTCCCGCACAATGCATGGCTAATAGTATGCCCCAGGGCCACTGGAGCAGTACTCGGTCACTCGCAGTCAGTTGGGGATATATCTCAATGTTTGTCTTACTGCCTTTATCAGTCGCCAGACCGCAGGGCATCTCAAACCGAGGTTATGTCGCGCCCTGGCTGCTCTCATACTGCGGCACCCCGTCCTGTCTGCAGTCCCAGTTGACCTCGACAGCCAACCCAGCCGCTTTGTTCGCCTGCCGACCATTGACCTTGACACCGTCGTGACGGTACGGGACGTCGCCGAGGATGAAGAGTTTTCTCTAGACACGGCGCTGGAGGCGCAACACAACGAGCCGTTCGTGCATCGACCTGGGGAGCTCATCCCCTTTTGGAGAGTGCTGGCCTTCGAGAATGGAGCAGATATTGCTTTGACACTCTGTTTTCATCATTCCCTCTTTGATGGGAAAAGTGCCGTGGTGTTCCTCGAAGATCTGGGAGTGTTGCTGTCCGATCCATCTGAGCACACTTCCCTCGCGGAAGGAGTCATACCTACTCCGATATATGCGCCTCTGCCGCCAGCCCTCGAATCCATTCTCGAGCTGCCACTCTCTAATGCTTTCGTTGCCAAACAAAAAGAAGAACCGGAAGTAGAAGCGCATGTCTGGTCCGCTCGGGCCCAGTCGCTTCCAGTCAGGACGCGATTCTCCTCGCTGCACCTCTCATCGCGGGCCTCCAAAACCATCGTGAACCAGTCCAAGCAGCACGGTGTTTCCGTCACCGCCACGCTTATGTCCTGCCTAGCCTCATCGATCTTTGCCGCTATCCCGGAGGAGTACTCCACGATCCAAGGCGACTGCGCGGTCTCACTGCGACCGTTTCTAGGGCCGCACGTCACCGAGCGTGACATGGGCTGCTGGGTAGCTGCATTCAGCGAGACGTACCACCGCTACCCCTGCAGCGAAGACCTCCTCTGGGAGAACGCACAGCGTACAAAGGCAACGATTGACAAGGTAATGCGAAATAAGGGCAAGGACACGGGCACTGGCTATCTGCGTCATGTCTCCGACATGCGTGCCTGGTTCCTTCAGAAGATAGGCAGGAAGAGAGCGGCGGCCTTTGAACTAAGCAACCTCGGGGTCCTCGCCCCTAGGACGGACGCCGAGTCAACCAATGATTATGAGATCCAGGGTGTACTGTTCAGCCAGAGCGCTAGTGCATGCTCGGGAGCACTCAAGGTCAGCGCCGTGACTGGGAGGGATGGCAGGATTAGCATTGGCTTCGGCTGGCAAGAAGGGATCGTTGAGGATGAGCTGGTGAGCTCTGTCAAAGAGAACTTGGAGGAATTGATATTGTTTGAAGAGACTACCGGCGACTCGGATAGGGCGAAAGTCATTCCTGTTCCCTGACTAAACCCCCATGGTCCGTCTTCGACCTTTACGAGGCCTTTCTAATAAGGTACTCATGGCATTGCAAAGGTATACTAGGAATAAAATATCTAATAATCCTGAGATCTAATTTTAGCGACTGTCTGGATCATTTCGTCTGCCTGGTCATGGGCAACACGAAAGTTGCCACAGCCGCAGACGGCGGTGCAGTCTCGGCAGAACATGTGGCGACATGGCCACTCTCTAGGTAAAAACTGTCAAGTGAATGGGACTTCTGGCTCGAAGAAGGTATCTGGACTACATAAGTCGACTGAAACCAGCGGTCATTCTTTCAGCCGGTGATGATCGGGCCGGGGCGCCAGCCCGAGCGAACGCGGCTAGGCTCGGCTGGCTCGGCGCCCAAGACGGCTAGCTCCCGATCTCGCTTTCGGTATCGCTGAGCCCAAATCTTGAAGTTCAAATCATCTCGGCACAGCACACCGAAGTTGCACGTTCTTGATCGCATTCAAGACACGAATTGTCAATCCCTTGTGTCTTCTGACCCCACAATTGTATCCTGCCTTGATCCTTGCTGGATACCCCCAACCTGAAGAGATGTCGGCCCTCGCCGATTTCCGAGTCTTGTCCTTCGACGTGTACGGCACGCTGATTGACTGGGAGACGGGCATGCTCCAGGCGCTGCAGCCCCTGCTGGACAGGAGTGGCGCCACTTTCACCAAGGCCCAGCTCCTCGAGGCCGTCCACGAGGCGGAGAGGACCCAGCAGGCCAGGACGCCCGACATGCGCTACGCCGACCTGCTCGCGGCCATCCACCCCCAGATCGCCGCCAGGCTGTCGCTCGCGCAGCCGACGGCGCAAGAGTCGAGAGAGTTCGGCGACTCCGTCGGCAGATGGCCTGCGTTCCCGGACACGGTGGAGGCGCTGCGGCGCCTGTCCAAGCGCTACAAGCTCGTCGTCCTCTCCAACGTGGACCGGGAGTCCTTCTCCGGGTCCAACAGGGGCCCGCTCCAGGGCGTCCCGTTCGACCTCGTGCTCACGGCCCAGGACATTGGGTCGTACAAGCCGGACCCGAGGAACTTTGAGTACATGCTCAAGAGAGTGAAAGAAGAGTTCGGGGTGGAGAAGGAGCAGGTGCTTCAGACGGCGCAGAGCCAGTTCCACGATCACCACCCTGCCAAGGCGGCGGGGATCAAGTCGTCCTGGATTGTTCGACCTGGGGCGATCATGGGGAACAGGGCCGATGAGGTCTACGACTGGAAGTTCGACACGCTAGGTGCCATGGCTGATGCCGTTGAGGCTGACGCTAGGTAGATATGCATATATTACACGCTATTGTGTTCATTGTGTCTCTTTCAACTGTGTCGTATCGACAGTGTAGCTTGGCTTCACCAAGAACCAACAAAATAAATAGGTAAATAGATATATTACACGCTATAAATGAATGCTTGGTTCAGAACAACAAGTATTTACTCAGACTCAAGAGAGCGATGTGCTTGATTAGTCTCAGGTGCCGGTTCTTGATCCAACGAAATTTCCAAAGTATCCCCTGACGGAGTATCACGCAGGGATGAGTGTCAGTAGATAGTAAAAATAGGTACTCTTCCCCTTTCAAAGGATAAGAAGACTGCCAAAAGCAGCAAAGGCCCGTATGACCATCCGTCCAAGTACATCGAGAGCGATATTGCGCCCCCACGCGCATCATATGGGTCTAGCTCCCTTAGAGTCTCATCCCACAAACGCTCCATCGTGTCGAGGCCCTTTTCAGTGTACATTAACGGGTGGAACCTGGCTAGCTCTCAGCACAAACATAGGATGGAGGATGAGGCTAAATGCAAAACTCACGAGCTGATCTGCCAGTCCCTGAGGAAGCTGCCGTGGGTCTCCTCGCCTCTGACGACAGCGGCGTCAATGTAGGCCCATGCCCCCCCCTTTCCGGAGACGCCGCGAACAGCTTGTAGGGTAGCCAGCAAGCGACCTTGACCGGCAGGGACAGCGAGCGGAACAGGCCCGTCCTCTGCGTGAAGCCAGGATCGACCGCATTGATGATCACGGCGTCCGGTCCCACTATTATGTCGCAGGGCTTCTGCATGAACATCAGGAGCAGCAGTTTAGTGACGTCGCAGCGCTCCTTTGCCACGGCAGAGTCCCACCCTGTCGAGTCGTCGAGGGCGGTGATCAACGGCGCGGCATCCTTCTCGGGGAAATTCATGGTCACCGAGGCGCCTGAGCACACCAGCGTCAGTCGGCCAGGTCCGCCGCCGGGGTGCTTAGGCTCTAGCGTGGGGAGGAGCAGCAGGGCTAGTAGCGCCGTGGACAGGTAGTTGACCTGCAGGGTCTCCTCGTGGCCCGTCGTGGGGCTGACGCGGAATTCACTGTTCATGATACTGGCGTTGGGGATGGCGATGTCGAGACGAGGCAGCGCCTCGCACCGCGGGGCAAAGACCCATACCGAGCCGTACAAGTTCAGGTCAAGATGCCATACGTTGATTTCGATGTTCGGGCATGTTTGCCGAAGCGGAGCTGCCTCCGACTCGCCTGCCTCTCGGGACCGAACTGCCAATATCAACCGGGATAGGCCGAGGGAGAGCAGTAGACGCGCACATTCCAGGCCGATCCCTGAGTTGGCTCCAGTAACAACCGCCACGCGGTGATGAAGGAAGAGTTTGGCCAACGATGGTTGGTTATGGGGTCGAAACTGGTGCTTGAGGAAGGTGACAGGGAACGGGTCTCGGTGGGGCGGTAGAGACGCCGAGGCGGAAGAAGGGGGCAGCATTGCCGCGACCAAGCGATACGGGATTTGGACGTCCAAGTCAAGTAATGACTTCAGCCCATCAGAATGTTGAAACCACGCTAGGATGAGAAGCACTCCATTTATGCACCCGGTCGTTGACCGAAGTATCGGCGGAGCAAGGCTCCCGGCTGGGGGTATCGGCCGAGAGAGGAACGCATAGAATCTAATAATATGCTGCTTAGTCCCACAGGCCTTGTAAGATCCAGGCTCGACATCCATCGTTGCAATCTTGTAAGTCAGTACGGACCCGATCCTTCGACTCAGTCCACCTGCAGGATTTAGGGCTGGGTTTTATGGGAACGGGACTCGAGACGTTGGCACATTACATCGGGTCAGACTTTAGGCTTAGACCAGGCTGCTGCCACATTACTAGAAAGGGAAAACCTCCGAAGCTCGCCAGATACCTTTAAATATATGAACTTGGCACCTCTGTCTGTGGCCTCCTAGCCACAATGGCTTCCCAAAGCGGTATCAAATGTCCTCGTCCTCGTTTGCGTTTGTGCCAGCCGACCCCTCTGGCCGGGTCCGGTCTCCTGATCGAACGGTCATTCGCCGCCACTGCATGAAGGGAAAGAACAAGAAGGCGGGATCACGACGGTCGATGCGCGAGCATGCTCGGGCTGCCAAAGCCAGGAATTTATCACAGCAACAATCTCAAAGCCCACAATCTCAAGACCACGCGAACTCGCAAACTGAACTGCTTGCACACCGCTCCTCCGACCTTATTCCCCGGCCGCCGCCCTCGGACTGGGCGCTGTGTCGCCTTGCGGGAGAGCTGAGCGAACATTCCCAGAAACTGATGCACCATCGTAAGTTCAGCTTTTGTCTTGAGAGAGCTCTCCGCCGGATTATCGCTAACGGCGACGCTAGACTTCGTCCCTAACCCGATCAGAGATGCGATATGTCCGTTTGGGCATTCGGGGATGTCGAATTCCCTGTCCGGCAGCGCGCTAGACTTTTTCAAGATGCTCTGCGTCGATGTCACCTCTTTCCGCGCGACGGTGCTTCTCGTGTCTGCCTCTGATGACCTGATCGCTGGTCGGCCGCTGTCGACGATCACGCAGCGACACCTGAGAGTTGCCATAGCGTCCCTGAAAAAAGCACTTCTCCACGAAGACTACCTAGATCTCGACGTGATTATCTACACCGTCGGGGTTCTCATCGGAGTCGCCCTCCTGTTTGGGGACCGCGCAGCCGCCACGACGCACGCGACTGGTAGTTCGCAGCTAATACGTGTCCGCGGAGGAATGCGTGCCTTCGCCTACAACCGTTTTGTTCAGCTATCTCTCGAGCGGTGCGTCTCCACCACCCATGTCTCTGCGTTCCTTGCCAGTGCTGGATGCTAATGCTGACACTGATTTTCAGGATGAACTTTTTCGGCGCCCTCACTCTTGAGCATTGGATCCCGCACTACGACGGCTCCTTCTGGGAAGAACCTCTGGCTCTACTGGATTCCTTGGAGGTCCCAGACGTTCTAAGGACCATGTACAGCCTAGACGGGATTGTTGACGACGACCTGGCGCGCGTGTATCGCAATCTGCAGTACACCTCGGTGCTCTTCGACATGCACTACCGCGGCAAGACCCCAGTCAGCTTGGCGCTGCTGGAGCACTGTCTAGGCTATCTGCACCACCACCTCATGCGGCTGGCAAACATCCTCACAGAGGCATTTTCAATAGGCGTCTGCTTGCATCTGATGGCTTTCCTCGGTACTACCTACAGGTTACCGGGCACGGGCGTGCTTTTGAACTGCGCGAGTCTCGTCTCTAGGCTCCGGAGGTGGCACTCGGAAACCCCCGTTTCCGCGCCGTATGTGGAGGAACACCTCAACATCTGGTTCATCTTGCTGTTTGTCATGGCCAATGGTGGAGTGGTCGAGCCGGCCGTCACAGCTCATTGGAAGGAGACAGGCGCGTCTGGAATGCCGTGGCAAGAAGTCCGCGGCTATTTGAGTAGAGTCATGTGGACACAGTCATTCCATGACGACTTCGGGGAGAAGGCATACGAAGCGATAGCTGCAAGTTGCCTAACCCCCGGACGTGACACGATATTCCTGTCGTTCGATGCCCAACATGATTTCGAGTCGTTTATTGACCCTCGACTGATTGGTTAGAGGCAGAAAGTTACTCCGAATGTTCGTAATACCCAATGGACGAAAATAAAAATCAGCGTTAAAGATACCTCTAGACATTCTGATTCGAATATCTCTCTTAGTGAACCCTCCTGAACTTGTCTCTACAGGCTAAAAGTTTGACCGAAAACAGCGGAACACCCAAAAGCAGATCCCGATCAATACCACTACGGGATTTGTTTCTTGAACAGGACTAGTCAGATCTATCCCTACCACAGCTTGATTAACTAGCGACTTTGTCGTATCGTGTCGTATCGAGTGTTCAATGCCACCCAAGTGGACAAGCTGTCACTCTGTAGGCTAATTAGTTCCCCGTTTCCGCCCCCAAATGCTTGGCATTTGAATAAGTTTAGCCTTAATCCTACTCCCTTCCTTTCCCATCATGATCATGAAAATCGCCGTTGGCACGCATTACCATCCAGCGTCCACACCTCTTCCAGGCCGAAGTGTGAAATATAAGATCGAATGCATGTACAAAATTAATATGCTGGGAGATGGCTGAGATGCTAATCCAAAGCCTCCCCGCCCTCTCATGCCTACGAGACCATGCACCTCGCTCACCAAACCATTCTTTGTTTACTCCAGCAGCCTCGCCCACTGGAATTACAATCTAGAGTTCGAAATATATCATAATACCGTGATGGATGCCCACAAAATGATATGACTTGGATCCTGGACATATTCTTTAAGGGGAGGCAAGGACCTCACGTGGTGGCTCCAATGCCAAGATCCATTGGTGACATCGAAGCTGACGTGATGAAAGCTTTCATCCCTATCGCGGCCAATCACTTTCTACCCAGCTGGAGACTGTTGACCAATAGAGGAAATGTTCGGCCGAACACTGTCGATCAAGCTGAATCGAACTCTTGGGCCGAAAGAATGACTGACAAAAGGGGTCTACTCGGCCGAGAATCGTCTCTTTGGATATCGAACCAACGCCGAGCCAACGAGTCTGTGTGCATGCGACTTCTTCATAGGTAAAAGCAGGGACCATTTCTGGAGAATATCTGCATGGAATTAGCCCTCAACGTGGTCACTGCCTAGGAGCAGCTCGACCTACACTCCCCCTTTCACTAGGCCAACCGGTAATTATATAATAGCTCTCGGTCTCACCCACACAGCAGCTTTCTCCGAGCTACTCAATCGCCACATTCTCCTCATCAACTTGATTAGCCCCTTTCCACACAATGATCTACCCTCAGATTCTCCTCGGCCTCGTCGCCTCGGTCTCGGCCATCGACGCCTACTTCCACCTGGGCCAGAACTGTGACGGCCCGAGCATCCTCTGCACCAACCTGAACCCGGGCGTGTGCTGCACGGCGTCCGCGAGCAACACCGTCGGGTACCGCGGCATTCCGACCGACTGGGTGATCACGGCCGAGGCCTTCACCGGGGGCGGCTGCAAGAACTTCTCGGCCCGCGGGAGGGCCCAGAACACAAACTTTATCTGCATCTATCCGGCTCCCGGCGGCGGGCCCTTTACGGGCACCAAGTATTCCTTCACTAGTAGGAAGCGAGACGGTGTGGAGGGCACATGCGCGGCTGCCGAAGAAGCTGCGGGCAAGTGCTCTTCGTCGCAGAAGCCAAATGAGTTACATCTTGCGGATGGGACCAAGTACAACATTGTGGACTTGAAGCATGATCTTCTCGAAGAATTGGTATGTTCTGCCTTCCCTTCGACACACTTTGCCTAGCAATCTTCCAACCAAACTGACCAATTGTAGTAAGCAATCCTTAGTCCCTACCAGCGTCGCGAGTTGAGAGATGCACATGTTTTGACTGTGATACGGTACTGTCTTTGCATTGGGCTAACTGCGTTCATCTAGGATCGGACTCGCGTGGAACGGAACCACTGCTGCTGACATGCCGGCGAATTTCAAATCTCTACAGGTCGTCTAAAGCACAAGGAAATCACTTATTGAAATTCCTATTTCGCAGAAGGAGATGACAAGGCGCTGCTGAATGGCGCGCCCTGATCGCCAAGGGCGAGCATTGAAGGATAGTCAATTTGTTCGTTTCCAGGATCGTCATACGAGACCTCCCAAATATATAGCTTTCTGTTAACTTTGACGAAAATGAGCAAATCTCCCAGGTATTCTTTCCATTTCTTTCACTGATCCATGTTCAGCCAAATGCGTCGCTACCTCCTCCCTAGTGTATTTGATTCTGAGATGCTTCGTTCTGGATCTGTCTCTTCCTAACAACCGAGACAAAAGTAATCCCCATCCAGCCTGGCGGCCAGAATATTCTTTCTTTTTTTCTTTTCTTAAAAAAAAACGCAAGGCGCAGTGATGATGGCCATAAATCTTACAGGTTCTTCGGTGGTCGTGTCATGGGGAGGAACAGCGGTGATTGTCGGGCGATTGGCGGGTCCCGGCCCAGCGCAGATCGTTCAAAAAGCTCTATTCTCTTCCGAGCCAAACCGCTGTCAGAAGGACAGTACCGGCCTGGCAAACCGAGCACACTTGGAGGCTTTGCAACCTAGAGCCTGGCGACTGTGAGGGAGTTCTGATGCTCTCTTGACTCCGAGAGGGAAGTATTCCAGTCGCCTGGTGTAGCAGAGATAACAGACGCGACGGAATTGAGTTAGTGATAGGAGGTCTGTATATAGGAGAACTTGGATCAAGAGCTCTGCCGGAAGCTGGTCCAGTTGACGAGCTGAGAACCGTGCCAGCCTGGGCGCGCTGGCGCTGCGCGCTGATGGTCCAGTGGACATCACTCCGCACGGCACGCATGATCCAAAGTGCGGTCGCATATGTTCTCCTTTGTGTAGGTCGGATGCTTGGAAAAACCAGGACATGCTTGTTCCATAGCGGCATTTTGTGCCCAAGTGACAGAAAATGTTGAAATCTGAGGTGCAAGTTGGGCAATTTTGTGCAGTGATAGGTTGATTAGCCGCCGGGCTGGGATCATGTCACCTCTGACCGCCCTCTTGCGTGGCAAGCTAATAATTCCTTCCTATTCCATGTGTCGCATCATCTCACAGATACCGCGGACCGCGCACCTTGTGTGTCTTTCTACGGTCTCTTGTCCCTCTCCTACTTCCATCTTCCTGAGCAACATCAGTGCCAGTAACGGTCGCGCGCCTCGACTGCACTTCTCTAGTCAAGCCACCTCCACGGGCTCAGTACCATCGCCGTATTGTAACATCTCCGCGATGGAAACGCCCAGTCAGAAGAACGCCAATGTCCGGATGCTAGCATGTCTCGTTGATATTGACGGGGATGGCGAAGGCGATTATCGAGTCCTTGTTGACGACAAGTATGTGAAGTACGTCACCACAGCCCCGGGCACATTTCGTGACGCCGATGAGAGCGAGCGTTGCTTCGGGCCTGTCTTGGTTGGCGAGCTGTTGCCCCAACTACCGACTGGAGACTGGAACAAGGGCCACGTCGCCATTGAATCAGAGACAAGGAACCCAACTTTTGTCGAGACTACGACAGTGCAGTTCGGCGGAGTCATGAATCTGTGGCACGAGAACAAATTTAACGAGCTTGATTTCACGCGGCAAGATTGCGTAGGGCAAAGAGTTCACATCTCAACGCATCCTGAGTTGGAAGGCGGCACGAAGCCTGTCCTTGTCAAACTCGCGGTTTGGCCATGGGAGATCCCTCACATGGAAGCTGAAAGCGCCATTTATCAAGCAATTCATGACACTGGCATCGGTCCCAAGTTCTTGGGCCATCTAACTGAAGGGAAGGAAGGTCGTGTGATTGGCTTTGTGACCGAATGGATAGAGGATGCAAGGGCAGCGGGACTTGAAGACATAGACGGTTGCAGAAAGGCATTGTCACAGCTACATAAGCTTGGTATCAGGCACGGCGACATCAACAAATACAATTTCTTGGTGAAGGAAGGACAAGATGTGATTCTCATAGACTTTGAGGTGGCGGAACAGGACTCGACCCTCGAGGAGCTCGAGGAAGAGATGAGTACCCTCGAGAGTCACCTTGCGGACAAGAGCTTCCGGGGCGGAATAGAAGTTATCTCCGAATAAGCGTTCGAGATAGTCACGTTCAACCTTCACAATGCCACTCGTATAGACTTTACAAGAGATTGCATAAGCTATTATTTACAAAGCTCAGTAGGTTTATACGTGGTACAATGTGGGTGGCCGCCCAACAGTAGAATGCCCTTGCTGGTATATCATCTCAATCTCTTCAGCGTAGAGAGCGAGGGAAGCTTCACGTCTGACGGTACCTTTGCCTGCTCGGAGCAAGGGTTTCTCTGGGTGTGTGAAGAGGATACATCAAAGCAGTACAAAGCGGCAAGGTTGTGATCGCCTGCATCAACTCTCCTTCCTCTGTCACTCTGTCTGGAGACGAGTCAGGCATCGATGAGACCCTGACAGGTTTACAATCCAACAACGTCTTTGCAAGGAAGCTCCGCGTTATGAACACCTACCACTTGCACTACATGCAAATCCTGGCCGATGACTATCTCACAGCGGTCCACGAAATGGCTCCTCGAAAACCGAGCAGGGCAGCCGTGATGTCCTCAAGCGTGACGAGCCAAAATATCACATACCAGAATCTGGGGCCATCGTACTGGATTCAAAATCTCGTGTCTCCGGTCCAGTTCTCCACTGAAGTAGAGAGTCTATTGAAGAAATGGTCCCCTCCGTCAGATACTACAGGCTCACTCAGCAAACCAGATCCAGTATACTGACTTCACTTCTAACTCGTGGAGAGAATGCAGTCCGAACGACTCTTGCAGCTGCGGGCGATACATTTGCCCATGGCACTCAGATCAATATCAAAGAGATCAACATGATCAGCAAGGCTCCTTCTCCCCTGATAAGCCTGCCCCGATACCCTCGGAACCATACACTCAAATACTGGGCCGACTCCAGGATCAGCCGCGCTCGGCAGCACCGCAAGTCTGGCCGACATGATGTCTTCGGGGCGCCGGCACAAGAGTCTGACGGCCTTGGGCCAAGATGGAGACACTTTCTCAGAGTCTCCGACAACCCCTGGATCCGGGATCATGTCGTCCACTCTTCCATCCTATATCCTGGCTCGGGCATCCTCGCCATGCCGCTGCAAGCACTGCAGACACTGGCAGAACCGGGCAGATATGTTGAACTTGTGGCAGCAGAGCAGTCGGACTCTCCCAGCGTCGTTGTCCAGGGACTCCGCTGCAGAGAACTTCCTAACGACAATGCCAAAACGACGGCATCGGATACGATCAAAGCCCCTATTGGTGAAGTCGTTCACAAAGCGGATATCGAGCTACTGGATGCACATAGTCTCGCCTCATATCTAACTACACAGGGCCCTATGGATGCACTTTGGTCCGAGGAAGAGATTTTGGAAGCCGTGAGCAGTCTTGATGCGGCATTTGTTGCGGTAAACATGACCTTGGTGGGACATGCTGGGTAGTCACTGACAATGGATATAGATCATTGATCTGGTTGCACATAAGAACCCAAATTTTGCACTTGTAAAAGTTGGTGCTGTCAACCAGATCTTGACTGGGAGAATATTATCTACTCTGGGAGCGAGCGATGCTTCGAGGCGCTTCAGATCCATCCTTTTCCAAGACAAAGCCTCACAGCTAATGGACAGCTTGACCATGCAGTACGGAGAGCTAGGTGTAGGTGTGCAATTTGCTTATAGCGAATAATTTGAGTTTACTCAAGGTGATAAGACCCTGGATTTAATCATCTTGGGCGCCCATGAAATGTCCGAGTCTAAGGCTACCGGACTCATATCGAGTGCCACTACGAAATTGAAGCCCGGCGGCAAGTTACTTGTTGTTGGCACAGCAGGACATAAAGAAGCCTAGTAAGCTCCAGCTCCCAGAAATTAGCACATTGAATCGTCACTGATAGACTCTTAACGTCAAAGCGAGAATTTACACCTCGAGGTCCTCGCCAAGGTGACACGGAAGCATCAGCAGAGAGTTGTATCGTGCTGATGGCGACCGAGCCTGTCATCGGCTTCGAGGATCCTACTCTTGTCATTGTTTTGACTCCAAACTCTTCGTCGGGAGCCGCAGAGATTGCCAACCATATCGAAACACTCGCCACTGAAACTGGAACGCCAGTCCAGATTGTGACATGGCCCGAGCCACTGCCCGACTTGGAACCCCCTCCTGTGATTGTTTCCCTGTTGGAGTATGACGCGTCCCTCCTCACCAATCTCTCGGCAGCAGACTACGAGTCCCTTCAGTCACTAATCACGGCTGCCCAACGTCTGCTCTGGGTGAGCCGAGGTGACGACCCTGTTATGCAGACCGCGACGGGTTTCATCCGGTCTCTGAGCAATGAGACTATCGGCATCGACTACTCTTTCATCCTGGTCCGGGATGAGGGCACACGCAGCAGTTTGGAGACTGTCAAGATGCTACACAAACTTTGCTCTATCGCTCAATTGGAAAAGGAGTACATTGAGACTTACGGAGATACACATCACGGTATCCAGACTGGTCTGCAAGGGATGATTATCCCACTGGCCAAAACACCGTCCGGTGTTATGACCTGCAGTCGTTGGGCATACAACCAAAAACTTACTGGTTTGGCTGGAGCAGGCCGAAGTCCTTCTCACGCTGAGTCATTGGCCTTGAGCGACGCACCTGCTGCTCTGATTCTCGACAATGAGGACAGCCAAACAAGAGGAAAAGTAGTCTATACTGCTTCTGGCCAGCTCCGGACCAGTCAACTGGCCGATCATGAAGTCGAGATCGACATTCGATGTCTGGTCTTGAGTCGAAACACCAGGCGAGAAACTGCGGAGCAAGATTGGCGGGAGGCTGTTGGCACCGTCGCCGCAGTCGGATCTACGTGCACGATTCTACCAGGTACGGCAGTATCGTTTGTCTACTCTGGACCAGTCTCGACAAAGGTGCGGGTTCATTCCAACCACTGTTGTCGACTGCCTCGCAACGTTGAGCTTGAGTCGTTCGCACTCCATGGCATTACCTACCCTGCCGCCTATCACCTATGCACACTAGCCCACTTACAAGAGAATAAGAAGGTTCTGGTTCAGGGCACAGGAAGTGTTCTGGGACAAGTGCTTGTGGCTCTTTCTCTAGAGCTTGGCGCCACAGTCTGGGTCGCAGTGGGTAGCGAGGACGAGGCTCTTATAACGCAGGAGATGGGGGTCTCTGCAGCCCGCGTCCTCAGCGACAATGAGTTCTACCGGCCCACGACTTTGATGAATTTCACTGGAAATCATGGCTTTGACGCCATTTTAAACACAAACACAGAGGAGGAGACAATATCTAGACTGTGGCAGCGTATGGCACGTGGCGGCAAGTTCGTTGATGCAAGTTGCAATGAGGCATCGGGGCGCCTCAATCTCGGTACCAAGCCATTCCAGCTCGGGGCTTCTTTCGAAGTAGTCAATATGGACGACATGTTGAAGAGTGACTCCAGCCTTTACAAGACAATTCAAGAGAAGGCGGCATGGTTCTTTGCCAAACGGCAATCAACAAATGGACCTAATCTCACTGTATTCTCCTCCAACAAGACTTACGAGGCTCTCGACTTCGTCGCAAATCCGGCAAACCCTGCAAAGGCCTTGTTGTTATTCCACCCAGATGGGACGGTTCCGGTCTCTCCCGAGGTCAAGAACCAGCTGCGTCTGCGTGCGGACGCTACCTATGTTCTTGCGGGCGGTCTCGGGGGCCTCGGCCGAAACCTCGCCAGACTCATGGTCGATGCAGGCGCCAAACTCCTGGTATTCCTGTCTAGATCTGGTCCAGGATCTGCGGCGGCGCAGAATATCATTCAGGAATTCAGTCATTGGTTTGTGACCGTCCGGATATACAGCTGCGACGTAGTCGACCCCGAAAGCGTGTCACGAGTCTTTGCCGTGGTGGGTTCGGAACTGCCGCCTATCTGCGGGATAATTCAGAGTGCAGCAGTGCTCCGGGACTCCATCTTCGAGAACATGAGCCACAGTCAGTGGATGGAGGCTATCAGGCCCAAGGTGCAGGGCTCATGGAACCTTAACCAGGCTTCGCTACGTAGCCCTTGCGCAGAAGAGGGACTCGACTTCTTCGTAATGCTCGCTTCTATATCTGGCTTCGTCGGAAACCGTGGTCAGGCCAACTACGCAGCGGGGAACAGCTACCAGGATGCCCTGGCCAGGTACCGAAGGTCGTTAGGGCTGGCGGCGACCAGTGTAAATCTTGGTCTCATGCAGGACATTGGCCTCATTGCCGAGCAGGGTGGTCAGTCCAACCTAGAGGATGACACTGTTGTCCCTCTCAACGCCCAAGACTTTAACCTCTTCTTCAAGATGGTCATGAGCAGCAATGGCCATGATGTGCCAGCTCAAATCATTACCGGACTTCCCACTGGTGGCATCTTGCAAGAAAAGGGCATCGCGACGAAGCCGTTCTACTATCGCGACCGGCGCTTTGCTTCCATGGAAGCAATGGGCTTCGACGAGTCTTTGGCCACCGGGACTGACAGCAATTCTGTGTCGATCGAGGAGCAGTTGGCTGCTGCAACGTCTCGCGAGCAGGCTACTGCGGTAGTGTTGTCTGCGCTGCGGGAGCAGGTGGCAAAAGCGCTCCGCTGCCCCGCCGACGACATCGACACAGCCAAGTCTATGCATACCTACGGTATGGACTCGCTCATGGCGGTGGACATGCGAAACTGGGTGCAGACGAAATTGAAAGCCGAGATATCTCTATTCCAGATCATGAGCGGGAGCAGCATCGGGGTGCTAGCGGAGAAGATCACTATGGGAAGCAAGCTTATCAGTGTAGAGTAGATTCATTCATCGGGTATTTTATAATATTCAGGTGCATAAGAGGATGTGATTTCCCGATTAAGGCATCGAACTTCACTGGATTAAGAGAATCTCCTATTGACCCCTGCCTCTGAAACTCACATGACTACACACTGCCGACCTCGTCCCTCTAATGGCACCCAAATCTTAGATGCATGTTGTTTCCGTGACTTGGAGGGTTTATAGTGAGGCAGATCATCCGTTCGATTAACGCGACAAGTGGAGCAGCTGAGTCGATAGGAGCTTCGGGGAAAAGATCTGATCCGATAACTGGGTCTCAAATACAACGTGGATGTTGGCAAGGAAGTGGACCTTGATCTGTTGGAATGTGTCAAACCCCGTTAACCTTTTAACTCTAGTGGCTTGCTGGGACTGGCTGCAACGTACAATGAGGGCTGGATGTGATCCACCGCCCACCCATCAGCTGCACCGAGAGTCGGAGATCAATAGTGTCATTTTACGCACAGAAATCCTTCACGTCCATCTGATCTTGAGTTTGCACCGGCCGTCAGGCCACCGGCCGATCCTCCGAGGTCCAGCAACATGGGTAGCGCGCTGGGAAATGTCTCGTGGCTCGGGTGGTACCGCGCCACGCGCCAACGGCCCACGTCTGGTCGTAGACTTGTGTCTTGGCAGCCTCCCTCAGGCTGTCGGGGTTTTCCCGCTGTTGATCTAGTTTGGACCCTTTAGTCCGGCTGCATGCAGCTTACAGGCTCCCTCAAGGTGTGGCATCAGGGGGGCCATGCAATTCCTGCATCATGGCCTGTCAAAACAGCGCCTCCGCGGCTCTTCTCCGCGGATCTTCATCCTCGACTTCCGTTTGGGGCGAGTTGCAGAAGACGCAGTCATCTACCCGTTGCAGGCAAGCCAAGTCGTAGACACCTATAGTCCCTTGTTGGGGCAAACTTGAAAAAGACCGATCCGGATCCGGATCTGAGCTGCAAAACTCGGCTCAGTTGCAATTGAGGATTGATGCTAGTGTCCCAGCCGTTGGGCCAAGCTGTGCCTGCCAAGACTGTTAGCACTGATTGATAAGATTAGATGATCAGATAAAAGAAGACGCTATTGATTCCACCAACTCGTGATGGGAAAAGCCATTATGATGCAGGGATTATGGGGGGGAACTGCACTACTTTGCACTAGTCTCATCCTTATTCACTCACAGCTTACGGCTTCTTCGGCCGATACTATGCCTTTTCGTTCTCTCTGGTCCCCAGTGCCAAGCTCACGATGCATGCATGCGCCGTACAGGACCACCCTCGCCCATACGAGAAGCGAATGTGCCCCAATTCCGAGCTTGGCAGTGACCAGAGAAGACGCCGAGATCGCTCAGTCTCTGAGCCACCGTCACTATGAGGCAAAGTTTATATGTAGGAACCATGCGCCGGGGGTGCAAAGGGTGATCTTTTTGAGACTCGATCGATCTACAGCTCGGACACTTCGTTCACATCCGCCCTATGTATTAGTCTTTTGGGAGCTTCCCAATCCCTTCATTCGTTTATCACTCTCTTTAACAGGGGAAGAACATAGTCATGGCGAAGTGGGCGCTGGCTCTCAAGGCCGTTGCCGCCGCCTGTCTGTTGGGTGCTCCCGGAGCCTCCGCCTGGACTCAGCAGGAGCTCAATGCGTCGCGCCGGCCGGCTCCCGCAGTTGCGGGCCCTGTCGTTCCTGGCAGATTCATTGTCGAGCTGGAGCCTGGAACTCAAAGTCGCCAGCGTGATCTCGCCGCGCGGGCCACCACTCTTCTCGGCGATATGAAGTCCAAGGGCATGGACGCCGAGGTCAAGACCGACTACTCTGCTGTGTCAGGCCGCTTCCAGGGTGTCTCTGTTGAGATTACCAACAACAAGAACGCCAGCATTGACGACATCAAGGCGATTCCTGGCGTGGCTGATGTCTGGCCTGTCTATTCCATTGCCCTGGATGACACTGTTAACACCGCGGACCCGAGCCCTAAGTGGAACCCACACATCAGCACCAGGGTCGATGAACTTCACAAGCGTGGCCTTACTGGCCGGGGCCAGCGGGTTTGTGTGGTGGACAGTGGTGTAGATGCCTCCCATCCCGCATTGACTGGCAAGGTCACTGGCGGCAAGAACTTGATTGATGACACCAGAAACTTCGAGGACTGCCTCGGCCACGGCACCTTCGTCTCTTCTGTTATTGCCGGGTCCACGAAGGACCTCACCGGCGTGGCTCCGGGAGCGGAGATATTCATGTACAAGGTCTTTGGTTGCGAGAATAAGGTGTCAAATGACCTCGTCCTGAAGGGTCTGCTCTCCGCTGATGCTGATGCCTGCGACATCATCTCCATGTCGCTCGGCAGTGACATCGGGTACTCAGGATCCATTCTTTCCCGCATGGCCAGTCAGATTGCCAAGGACCGATTGGTCATCATCGCAGCCGGCAACAAAGGCGAGATTGGCCCTTTCTACGCCAGCTCGCCGGCTTCTGGCAGAGGTGTCGTCTCTGTCGCCTCCACGGATGCCAGGCAGATGCTCGGCTGGCCTGCGACCATTGTCTCGTCCAGCGGAGAGACCTTTAACCTCTCTTATGTCACTCCTGATGGGTCAAAGCTGAACGAGTCTGTCACTGCACCCATCACACTTGATCCAGGCGACTCGTGCAACCCCGAGAAGTATGGCAGGGAGAATCAAGCCGTCCTTGTCCAGCGCGGCATCTGTTTCATTGGAAAATCTTACAACTTCCTCACCAGCTCTGGCTTTGGTTACTACCTCATCTTCGACACGTACAACCAGGGAGTCGGCTATATGAGCGACGTTGTGAACTGGAACCCATCGGTCCATCTTTTCGCTCTCACTGGTGCCCCAGTTGGAGCCTGGGTCAAAAAGCAAGTGGCTGCCCAGTACAACCTCACGCTCCAGATTGAGATCGATGCCAACACCGCAGCCTTTGCTTCTGACCAGCCCAGTGCAGGTCAGATGTCCTATTTCTCATCCTGGGGACCCAGTTTTGAGAATGACTTCAGCCCTTCTGTCGCTGCTCCAGGTGGTCTCGTCTACGGTGCTTACCCGAACAACAAGTTTGCTGTCGGTTCCGGTACCTCCTTCTCGACGCCATATGTTGCTGGTGTGGCTGCCCTGTTCTACGCGCACGTCAAGAAAGATTTCGCCGAGTTTTCTCGTCGCCTCTCGTCCACTGCTGCTCTGCTCCCTGCTTACAGCGCAGCTCAGAAACAGGTCCTCGGCAACGTCGCGCCTCTTGCACAGCAGGGTGCTGGCCTCATAGATGCTGTCAAAGTACTTGATTACCGGACGGTCATCACTTCCGACCGTCAGATCTCGCTCAACGATACGGACAACCGCGTGAATACGCACACCATCCGACTGCAAAACACTGGTGACAAGGCTGTAACGTACAAGATCTCTCATTTGCCTGCTGCCACCGTCCAGTCTCGCGACAAGAGTTTATATCCTTACGTTTACTACCCGCCTCTTCTATCTGGCGTTGAAGGATCCATCGTAGCACCAGAAAGCATAACCATTGCCGCAGGGTCGACCCAGGATGTTGTTGTCACTTTCAACTCTCCCGCAAACTCTGACGGTAACAGCGGCGCTGTATGGAGCGGAAAGGTTGTCTTCCGGGGCGACAACGATGAGGCTGTCTCTGTTCCCTACATGGGCGTACAAGTCTCCACGTACAATTGGACCCCTCTTGAAGGCGCCCCTCTTGCTTTCCGCTACGACACCAGGGACGGGTACCTGTATCCCGTTGATTGGCAGAGCAGGCCGTATAAGCCAGCCGAGTACGATTCCCCTGAGATCTACTTCGCCCTGCGGTATGGAACATATGAGTTCTCCTTGGACTTGGTCGGGCAGGATTACACCACTGCCGACTTCTCCTACCCCCTCAAGGCTGGCCCAGAGTCAAACCAGTGGCGCGGACCACTCCGGACGCAGCCAGACGTCTGGGGATCCTTCGTCGACTTCCCGTCCAAGTTCGCTCTGCGCTTCAACAATGTTGGCTTCAACAAGTTTCAGAGCTTTGCCAACGGTACAAAGATCCCATCTGGCCGCTACAGGATCCTGAGCCGTGCTCTCCGGATGTTTGGCGACGCAACCAACCCCAAGGACTGGCAGCTTTTCCTCTCGGATCCTTTCTCCATTCAACTAGGAAACGACCCCATTCCCGGGCTCAGCACCTCGTCCAGCGCATCGTCCACAGCCTCTCCAACCTCGACGGGTGGCACAACGACCGTGCCGACCACCACTAGCGCAACGACAACCACGACCATAAGCTCTGCCAGCGCAACAACTACCTCAGTACCCGGCATCACCACCACGCTGACGGCCGTGAGCCAGCCCACCGGTCTAGCCAACGCCTTCGTCGACCTCTCGCTCTATCGCAAGGGCACTCAGCAGTCGCCCGACCTCTTCGACACAAATAGCTGGCTCGAGATCCATGTGCAGATCTCCATCCCGACGCGCCTGTACGAGGGCACCACCGTCTCGTTCGCCCTGCCGCGCGCCCTCGTCGATGTCGCCCAGTCCAGCTACGTCATGTCGCCAGGCAGCATGGTTGGCACGGCGGTCTTCGACAAGAACAGCAGTCTTTACACCGTGACCTTCAACGACTGGGCCACCTGGCACAAGAACATCGTCGGCGACTTCTACATCGCCGCGCGCCTGGACCCGGCGTTCCAGAAGGAGATGGTCGCCGGCACGTACGTGGTCGAGATGGCGACCGTGGGCAAGACTTTCTACCAGCCCATCTACTACCGCGCCATTGACCGCTCGCGTGTGTACGAGTATGCGCGCGAGGTGCCTTCGAACGATGGGAACAAGCTCTTCGCCTTCAATGTCGAGGTTCCGGGCTCTATTGGGCCCTGGAAGTCTGTGACGTTCGCTTCTAGCCAGACCAGCGGTGATGATGGCTTCCGCTGCGATCAGACGCGCGTCAACCTCGGCACCAGCTTCGACGCGAGCAACCGCATCGTGGAGTCGACGGATGTCACAAACCAGACGGTCAAGCGGTGCGAGGTCAAGGCCTTCCGGGCTGTCTACGACGGCGCCATTCCCAAAGAAGAGGTCCTGCAGTTCAACATGATCAACATGTTGGGCATGAGGGGTTACAAGTCGATATCTATGCCTTATAGCCTTGCCGTCGAGCTGCAAAACGGAACCGCGATTGGCTTTAATCTGAGGACGATGAACTACGATATGCTGAGCAGGAGTCGCCCGGACAACTGGTTCAACGGGGTCGTGGATCAGAGTGGCCCTATTGGCGGCGGTACTACAACTTCAAGCTCGATGTCTTCCACGGCTACGTCCACTTCCAGTTCCACGTCGACGTCGGAGACCTCGACCTCTGTGACTATCACGTCGGCTACATCGACTGGGCTCGGTAATTCTACAACATCCAGCTTTACTTCCACTGTGACATCGGTGACAAGCACATCTGCCAACTCTACATCCGTCCCCACCACAGCGCCAGTCTCATCATCGTCAGCCTCGTCGTCGTCAGCCTCTTCGTCGTCAATCTCGTCATCCTCCACCGAGACCACTACAGCACAATCGACCGCTTCGTCGTCATCGTCTAGCTCGACTGTGATCTCCACGACAGGTGGCAATGCCACGAGCACGGCCTCATCGACCAGCACATCTGCCTCAAGCTCTACAATGTCCAGCTCGAGCAGCACCTTGTCGAGCTCGAGCAGTGCCTCTGGCTCCAGTACTGTATCAACCTCCGGCACGGCGTCGAGCTCAAGCATTTCATCCAGCGCAAGCACTGCGTCCAGTTCAAGCACTGGATCAAGCTCAAGCGCTCCCATCTCAAGCCCCACAAGCCAGCCCCCAAGCTCTTCGAGCCGACCGCAGACAACATCGCCAACTACAAGCCCCACTGCGTCATCGTCAGCTGGACACACATCCTCAAGCACCGTCCCCTCCAGCTCTAGCAGCATTTCCTCGACTCGAACCACCGGCTCATCAGGCTCATCGACCACCAAGGGCCCATCATCAATCTCTTCGTCGCAACCACCCCACCAGACATCGGCATCCACGAAATCCATCACCAGCATTGTAACTGTCATCACGACGGTCTGCACCGACCCCTCCTGGACCTCTCCCGTGACAGTGACCTACACCGTGCCCTGCGCCACGGAACCAAACGCCCCCATCACGACCGTGACCTCGGTCTGCACCGTCTGCGCGAGCCACCCCGTCACCCTGACGTACACGCAGCCCGTGGTGAAGCCGGCGCTGCCGAGCGAGGGCACCCGCGGCCCGGCGGTCGTGACGTACGGCTCGCGCACGATCGATCTGGGAGGCGCGTCACAGGCGCCGGCTCAGCCCTCCGTCGTGACGATCCCCACTGTCGGCAACGGCGGAGGGCGACCGAGCGGCGATAAGAGTGCCAGTGCGCCGCAGCCGTCCAAGGCTTCGACTCCACCTGTCGGCGGCGGCAGTGGCGCCGGACAGACGAGCGGAGGCGCTGCGCCGCCTGCTGGATCGTCTGCGCGGACTTCGGCTCCGGCCGGCTCGTCGCCGAGTACACCCCCCGTGGCTGCGGCTGCATCTCGCGCTAGCATGGGTGTCTTTGCGTCGACGTTCCTTGGCTTTGTGATTGCTGCTCTTCTTTGAAGTTGGCAAGGTAGATTTACTTTGATGTGTTAAGGAGGTCTGTACATAAGACCGCTGCTTATCAGAGCGCATGCTTCAAGATCTGTTTCACTGTACATATTTAGAAAAGTTTCGTCTTGTAGATCACTACTGTTTATTGAAGAGAGTTGCTTTCTTATGGTAATATGTACAGTTAAATCTCTTAATGAATGGTATTAGACAACAAGCCAATGCAGTCGACCCTTAGGCCCGTAGAACGGAGTGATCTGGACGCTGGTGTAACGTGTCTAGCATATTTCTAAGGTTTGGATAGCCTCATTTCTGCCTAGTTGTCTAAGGCGCAGTTCAGTCGTATTTCTTCCCATTTAGGACGCGACTGTACGAAGTGAAAAGTGTGTTGGCTGTCTTTGCACAGCTCATCCTGGCCACATGCAATGACCATCCTGATTCTCGATGTAGAAACGCGACGTGGGCCATTACCCCGGTGACTCAGACTTCCAGGATTGTCATTAGGAGGAGCTGTAACAGGGTGATCAAATAATCTGAGTCGACTGTTATACTGTAATATGGTGTTACCGCTGCCACACTCACGGCGCCCTCGTAAGCAGACAGATCGGGAAGATCTGACAGCATCCCGCGCTTAGCTTCGTAAACTGCCGAAAACGGCAATCACTTGCCCCACATGTCAGAGCGGCGAGTCGAGACGTGCAACACAATCAAGGTTCGTGAGATCTCCATTATTTCGTAAATGATATGTCCCGTTTCGTAAAGTTTACGAAGGCTGCACCTATCGAAGGACTTCCTCGTTCTCAGCCTCAAAGCAAGTTAATAAAGCGTCAATGTTGGCCTACACTCAGAATGTGGCTTCCTGCTCTTGAGATATCGACCGCTTCTGCGCTTTCTTGTCCTTCCTTAGTTGATTGTTCTGAACCTTGATTTTGATGTTTCCACTTGACTATTCTTGATATTTCCTTGACGAACCATTTGGGACACTCTCCTAGCGTACCTTCCAGTCAGCAATAACATACCATCTGCCACACAAACATCGAGAGTTGCCAGAAACCTTGCGTCGGGACACCAACATGCCTGACGAGACCCCTTCCTTTGACAGCAAGGGAATCGGTGACAAAGTCGACAATGACAAGGCAAAGGACAATATAACAGCGGTTGCGGATGGAGAAGCCAAGACCAGGACCCCGTCGATGGCCGATTACTTCAGAGTCTTCCGCTACGCAACCAAGTGGGACTTTGCCGTCTACGCCGTCGCCGCTCTGGCCTCCGTCGGCGCCGGCGTGACCCTGCCGCTCATGAACATCATCTTCGGCCAGCTCGTCGGCCAGTTCACGGACTACTTCAACCCCTCCAACCCAGACCAGATCGACCGCGCCGCCTTTGAGCGCCTCCTCAACCGCCAGGCCCTCTACGTCTTCGCCCTCTTCGTCGGCCGGTGGGGGCTCAACTCGGTCAACAAGTTCTGCTTCCGCATGATCGGCATCCGCCTCTCCTCCGCCGTCCGCCTGCACTACCTGCAGGCCCTCTTCGCCCAGCCCATCCACGTCATCGACGCGATGCCCCCCGGCGCCGCGGCCAGCACGATTACCTCGACGTCCAACACCCTGCAGATCGGCATCTCGGAGCGCCTGGGCACATTCTTGCAGTTCAACGGGACCATATGGTCTGCGCTGATCGTCGCCTTCATATGGAGCTGGGACCTGACGCTCGTCACCTCGTCGCTCGTGCTGTACACGTTCATCGTTCTCGCAGTGATGATGCCTCCCATCGTCAAGGCGCAGAGCGCCAGCGTCGAGGCCGACGTCCAGGGAAACGCCGTTGCCAGCGAAGCCCTGGGTGGAATCCGCCAGGTCATGGCGGCCGGTGCGCAGAGGCACGTCATCGCAAAATACAACGAGTGGGTGGACGAGGCGAGGAAGAGGGCGATGGGTTGTGTGCCACCGGCGAGTCTGCAGTTTGGCCTGATGGTAAGTTGCCGTTGATCCACCGAGGGGACAGAGTGATGTAGTGGGTCTTATTATACCCCGATGTTAATGCGTGTGTGCGATTTTGATATAGTTCTTTGGCGTCTTCGGCGCATTCGGTCTAGCTTTTTGGTACGGCACGCAGCGCTTCATTGCCGGCGCCTTGCGGGATGCCGGCGTCGTCATCGTCGTTCTCATGTCGGTCATGATGATCTTCACCTCGCTCGAGCGCATCGCCACGCCTCTGTTGGCGGTCAGCAAAGCCATGGTTGCCGCATGCGAGTTCTTCACCGTCATCGACGCTCCGCTGCCCCCGTCCGGTACGCTCAAGCCGGACATTGCGGGCCAGGATATCGTCTTTGAGGATGCCCAGTTTGCATACCCGAGCCGACCTAGCACTGTCATTCTCGAAGGGCTGAACTTGCGCATCCCCTATGGCAAGAACACCGCCATCGTCGGCCCGTCCGGCTCGGGCAAGAGCACCGTCGTTGCACTCCTCGAACGTTGGTTCTCCTTGAGGCAGCCCCATATTCTTCCCCGGGTTGTTGCGGCGGCCCCACAACAAAATACAAGAAAAAGGGATAAGGAGAAGGCCGACCAAAACACGAAGGAAGAGCTGACCCCCACCAGCGAGGAAGAGAAGCAGGCCGAGCCCACCCCGTGTAAGCTGTCCGGCAGCGTTAAGATCGGCGAACACAACCTCGAGGACTTGGATCTCAAGTGGTGGCGCGCACAGATCGGCCTGGTCCAGCAGGAGCCCTTCCTCTTCAACGACACCATATACTGCAATGTTGCAAACGGCCTGATCGGCACTCAGTGGGCGGACGAGACAGAAGAGCGCAAGCGAGAGCTGGTGAAGGAAGCATGCCGAGAGTCGTATGCCCACGAATTCATAAGCCGCCTGCCAGACGTAAGCATTGTTATAAGACAGCCTACCTTCTTGCGCTTTCAAACTCCGACTATGAGGCATGATTTCAGGAGCTAATGTCAACGGTTCAGGGCTACGACACCCGCGTCGGCGACGGCGGCACCAAGCTCTCGGGCGGGCAGAAGCAGCGCATCGCCCTCGCGCGCAGCATCGTCAAGAAGCCGACCATCATGATCCTCGACGAGGCCACCAGCGCCCTCGACGCGAAGGGCGAGCGCATTGTGCAGGCGGCGCTCAACCGCGTCATCCGCAACCGCACCACCGTCACCATCGCGCACCGCCTGTCCACCATCCGCCGGGCCGACAACATCGTCGTCATGCAGGCTGGGCGCGCGGTCGAGCAGGGCACGCACGAGGAGCTCGTCGCGGACCCCAGGGGCGTGTACTGCGGGCTCGTCAAGGCGCAGATGTTGAAGATGGCGGCTGCGGGTGACAGTGACGGGGAGACGAAGGGACAAGGACGAGGGCCAGAAAGAGCGTATAACACCGAGTCAGATGAAGATGTAGCCAAGATGGGGTATGATAACGCGGAAGACATGGCTAGGGACAACGCCATCAAGAACAACACCGGCACCGCACCCGACTCCTCCTCATCCCCGACCCAGCCCAAGCCCCGCAGCCTCCTCCGCTCCTTCGGCGTGCTCCTCATGCGCCAGCGCGCCCAGTGGCCGTGGTTTATCTCCATCGTCCTGGTATCCATGTGCGTCGCGGCCGCCACCCCCCTGCAGGCCTGGCTCTTCGCCCAGGTCGTCAACGTCTTCCTGCTGCCCCAGGGTGGAGCCGAGATCAGGTCCCAGTCCAGCTTCTGGGGCCTCATGTGGCTCGCCCTCGCCGGCGGCGTGGGCGTGTCGTACACGGCCCAGGGCTGGACGTCGCTGACGTCGCAGTACCACGTCAGCGCGGCCTGCAAGAAGCAGTACCTGCGCGACATGCTCGACCAGCGCGTCGCCTTCTTCGACGACGACGCGCACTCGCACGGCGCGCTGAGCGCGCGCATCGGCAGCGACGCCAAGCAGCTCGAAGAGCTGATGGGCGTGAACCTGGCCTTCCTCGTCTCGGGCAGCTGGACGGTGGTCGGGTGCGTCGCCGTCGCGCTCGCCTTCGGCTGGAAGCTGGGCCTCGTGGCGCTGTTCGTCACCATGCCGGTGCTGCTGGGCGCGGGCTACTGGAAGTACCGCCACGAGGTGCAGTTCGACGAGATGAACACGCTCGTCTTCGCCGACTCGTCCCAGTTCGCGACCGAGGCCGTGGGCGCCATCCGGACCGTCTACGCGCTGACCATGGAGGCCGCCATCGGCGAGCGCTACCGCGCGCTGCTGCGGGGCCACGTCGACGCGGCGTACCGCAAGGCGCTCTGGACGGCGGCGCTGTTCGGGTTCGCCGACAGCGCGAGCCTCGGCTGCCAGGCGCTCGTCTTCTTCTACGGCGGGAAGCTGCTCGCGAGCAGGGAGTACAACATCGAGGCTTTCCTGGTGTGCTTCATGGCCATCATCCAGGGGGCCGAGAACGCGAGCTCCGTCCTCGCGGCGGCACCCAGCGCCGCTCAGGCCAAGGCCGCGGCGAACCGCATACTCGATATTGAGGAGTCAGCCGATGCCCAGCGAGCTGCTAGCCACACAACCGCTGACGGGCAGCAGCAGCACCAACTGACAGAGAAGAAAACAGGCGGCGTCAGTATCGAGTTGCGTGACATCTCATTCAAGTACCCCACGCGCAACATCACAGTCATAGACGACCTATCCCTGACCATAGAAAGGGGTCAATACGCCGCGCTCGTCGGACCTTCAGGGTGCGGCAAGACGACCATCATCTCCCTTCTCGAGCGGTTCTACGACGTCGACACGGGCACCATTTTCGTCGACGGCGTTCCTGTCGGCGACTCACCCCTAGACGCATACAGGCGCGAAATCTCTCTCGTTGCCCAGGAGCCGACCTTATTCCGCGGCACCATGCGGGACAACGTTCTCTTCGGCGTCGAGGACCCATCTTCTGTGAGCGAGGAGCGCCTGCACCAAGTCTGTCGCGATGCGTTCATCCATGACTTTATCATCTCGCTACCGGAAGGGTACGACACGGATATCGGGTTCAAGGGTCTGAGCATGTCCGGCGGGCAGAAGCAGAGGGTTGCCCTGGCGAGGGCCCTGATACGGGAGCCCCGACTGCTGCTGCTCGACGAAGCCACGTCCGCGCTCGACTCGGAGAGTGAGAAGGTGGTATTGGCAGCGCTGGAGCAGGCGCGTGAGGGTCGTACCGTTGTGGCTGTTGCGCACCGACTGTCGACTATTCAGAATGCCGATGTCATCTTTGTACTTGATGAGGGGAAGGTCATTGAGAAGGGGACACATGAGGAGCTTGTAGCGAGACAGGGAGTGTACTGGGGCATGGTAAGTTCTCTCTCAGGTTTAAATGACTGCGGATGCTGACAGATAGTTTAGTGCCAAGCTCAAGCACTGGATCAGTAATTAGAATTCATGCTGTTGTATCATTAGGGATGTGTAAATAGCTTTTCCAGCTAGAGACACATCTGTCTCAATCACGAAGAGACTGTTCGGCCTCTCCATTATAGAATGGGAATCGGATCAATCTCTTACTGGAAGGGGATTTGCATGTATACTTGAACAATCTTCTCTTCCAAAAGCATAGGCATTAATCATAGAACAAATAGAGTGGCCTTCGATTATGCATTCCCAAAGATCAGTAATAGTCTCCTTCCAATTCTAAGCGCCAGACCCTGTACATGCAATGACTTAACTTTAAAACTCCAAATTCCCTCTTCAACCTCACATATAATGTCGCTCATCAGCTAAACAACGAACTACTCAGGAGTCTCACTTCTCCGTGCACCATCTGCCGATGCCACACCACGTTGTCCGACTTGCCCCTCGTGTCGCACCACTCCTCGACCAACACCCACTTGGCCTCGGCCTCGTCCTTGACCAGGTACCGGAACAGCACGCGGTCGCCGCCGTTCTCGAACGCGAACTCGCGCCGCCACAGGCGCTCCCACTGCTGCTGCGGCGTGCCCTCGACGGTGTTGCCCGCCTCGACGACGCGGTTGCGCCGCGCCACGGCGTACATGCCCCGCGTGTTGAAGAGGCCGTCCTGGCCCGGGTAGTCGCGCAGGAGGAAGACGGCCTCCTCGCGCAGGATGGGGTCGCGGCACATGAGGGCGACGTGCAGCAGGCGCAGCGAGATGTCGGCGTGCAGCGAGAGCTGGTGCGCCGTCGTCTTGATCTGGCGGCGGGCGGCGCGCACGGCGATCTCGGCCATGGACAGGTAGTCCCGGAAGCCCGGGTTGTTGGCCGTCAGGCTGTCGATGTCGTAGTACTGGGGGAAGTCGTCGAAGACGGCGATGGCGAGGTACTGCAGGCGCAGGTAGATGGTGCGCAGGTAGGCCGGCGTGTCCGGGTCGTGGTTGACGAGCATCTTCTGGAAGAGCGGCGTGAAGGCGGCGTCGAGGGCCTTGACGAGGCGGCGCGCGTTGGCGCAGTGCTCGAGGATGGCCGGGTGGGAGATGAGGCCCTGCACGAAGGAGTGGATCGCCTGTCCGTCTGCCGAGTGGAGGACGCCCGAGTCGTGGATGAGTTGGAGCACGAGGGGGCCGACGGCGGTCTGCTCGCGCCGGACTAGGGTCCAGAACTTCTCGAACTCATCCAGGGTCGTGAAGACGGCGGGCATGCGATCTATAGTTGCTGTCACATCGCGTGGGAGCTGTGATATGAGGACTGCAAAGGACTCCATGGTCTGTGCTTTGTCTCTGAGCCCTTTGCTGAAGTTGGGCAGGGAGAGCGGACCGCCGACTTGGGAGGGGAATATGCAGCGCGCCTGGTTGCCCAGGTGTGTGAATATGTCTCCGATGGCGGCTATCAATGGTTTTGGGTCCGGTGCCATGGTCTCTAAGTCTTGACCACATACGTTTCCGTCCATGACTAGATAAAGCAGCAGCGCAAGACCGTGGTTGACATGATCGATTGCTGCTGTTCTGTTGCCTCGTAGCGACTCGAAGCACAGCAGCAGCATGGACATGAAGATGGCATCTTGCAAGCCGAAATTCTTACTCAGCATCTTGAGCGACTTGCCATAGTGAGCCACAGCCCGATAGGCATGCGAGTCTTCGCCATCCGTCGCTGTGGGCATCTCCAATCTTTCAGCAGAGCGCAGGGATTTGTGCTTGGACTGGCGATGCCACATGATCAGCGCACCGATACCCATGGCCGCATGCCGGAGTGTGGTACTGTTGCGCGCGACCTGGGGGAGCGTATTACCCCACAAGTCCGAGTTCGACGTCGCCACGATCCACGGGCCACGCACCAGGCGCACAAACTCGTCAAAGTAGCGCTTGCCCGCGGCGTCGCCAAACTCGAGCGAGTCGAGCGTGATCTGGAACGGGATGCTGCTGGGCGAGATTCCCCTCGTAGTTTGAGGAGAGCTTCCGACCGAGGAGCCGTTCGGTGACGTCCGGGTAAGAGCCGTGTTGGAATCCCAGCAGATCTGCTCAGGCATACCCGCGACCGGCTTCTTCTTCTTCTTGGTAGCTTCATAGCCCTCGCAGTAGCCGCGGGTCTTGATGCAGTTCCCGCATTGAGGCTTGGCCTCATCACACTTGACGTGTCGCTTCTTGCAGGTGATGCAGCCCGTCCGCACTTTCGGGGTGCTAGTGCGGGAGAGCTTCAGCCGCGTGGGCAGAGACTGGCCGGAGAGCGGCGAGGCATGCTGCGACCTATCGGCTGTCAGCCTGTGCAAATACGTTAGACACGCTAGTCAATTCCTTATGGGATAAGTCGAGTCAAGAACCCGGCGGTACACGCAGGTGCAGGGGGGATCCCATCGGGCGGGTGCTCAGGCTGGACGCTTACTCTGCTGGTGGTGGTGCTGGGGTTGATTGATCAGACATCGTGAGATGGTGACATCAATGCTCATGGCTGCCCGTTACATATCGCTATCGTCGCCCTACGTCTGATGTAATTTCGAGACGGAAGCAGGCCCCAATGGCCGTTCAATAGGGGTGGAAAAGAGGGACAGTTTCAGCCTTCTTCGTCGTCTTTCGTCGTCTGCCTGGCCTGGATTCGCTACTTGAGGTCATTGCTGGCGATTTCCAGGACGGCCCCAATCAAACGGTGCCGATAGCGTCATGTGACTCTGTTATCACCCCTCTTGCCCACACACGCGAGGCACGCTATGTTGCCAAGACGCAATAGTACGGACACAAGATCAAAGATATCAGGAAGGAGCGCGATCGAGGGCAAAGGAACCAGATTAGCAGCAAACACTCCTCTGATTCGTGGTCTGAAGGCCTGTTCAGTTCCACCATCTGGTACATGGATGCATCGGGAAGAAAAAGAAACCATCCTCTACACCGAAGCCTGATGAGGTGCCTGACCAGGTGCCCTCAGGAGATCGGGACTTCGTCCGTCATTGGGGCTTTTCGAAACGAATACCCTCAAGGGTTTCGAAAGGCTCGGGCTCCTCCGCCCGATTCCGCGGAATCGAGCTGCCTCTGGCGAGCGCAGAGCCAAAGCCCAATCGCCCAAAGCAACGCCACAATCAGAAAAACCCAAGCAGTCATGTGGCGCAGTAGAGCTTCAGCTAGGAGAGGTGATTGGATAAGAGGGCTAACTAGCCAGTCTGATTGGGCCAAAGGTCTCAGGGCCCATTGTATTCTGCGCCACACATACACCCTTATTCGCGGAAAAGACCTTTTCGTTCCAAAAGGCATCAAAGGCCAAGAAGCAAGTGACCGCCTCTTCAGTCTCCTGAGCCAATAGGAGGTATACCGGAGCGAAAGGGACAAGGGGCCAGCTGGCGCCCCGAGAGCCTGTGACCGCGTGCCCTCATCCAACCAAGGTAGTTATCATTGTCCTGCCCTAGAAATTGAATCGGTGTGACAGGGTCCATGGGCAAAGTGTCAGAATTGGATTGGTTGGACGAGACCTACCTAGCTCTCGGCCGATGCAACCATCTGGCTTTCTAGTGGGACCGATCTCCAGTACCCCGACCCTATCTAAAAATCCCCGACGACAGAATTGCATCCTCCCTCGTACAGAACCAAACAAGAACCCTGACCTCAGCTTGAACCAAAGGTCTTTCGAGTGTTCACCCAGAAGACACCGTTTCCAGGAGTTACAGAACATTATGTACACAATGGCATCTAGTATAAAGGACCAATAAGTACCTTATAAATTCGTATACGACATCAAAAACTGTGTACTAAACATGTGTCTGTCTAGCTAGACAAAAGTTGACTGATCTGTGCAGCGACAACCAGGGTGATATTTGGCCCAGAGCAAAAAAAAACCTCACTCAAAGGAGATAAATCAACATACTAACACCCTTTGGACTTCATCAAATTAGAGATAGAGAAGAAAGACATTGATAGAGAGGAAAGAGAGAGAAAGCAAAAAGAATAAATTCAAGTCTGCTTGTGGTAGCCGACATCCATCTGAGACGGATCCTGATCCGCTCCCGATGCGGCTGTCGCGTCAAGGCGGCAAGGGGCATCGTCATGGGATGGAGTGTACCACTGATCCAGATCCCCAACCGCTTGCACAAAGCCAAGCGTGTTGTAAGGCTCATCTGCCATTGTCTGGCTAAGCCATCTGTCAAGTGGCAGACTGTTGTCAGGCGGAGCAGCGGTAGTGGCGGCACCCAAGGAGCCGGCATTGCCGTTTTGAATATTGCGTGAAGTGTTTCTATCACGATGAACGGGCATCATACCGCAGGGAATGAGAGTGCTTCTTGGTTTTCTGTTCGATAGTTTGGTCTGCTGTTCGAAGTTCGGCTGAGAATCTTGTGGGATCTCGGCTGTTGGGGTGCCGTCCTTGGGATGGCAGCAACGCGGTTCGTGGGGGGGAATCTTCTACACAGTAATTACTTATTAGTAAGAACCTTCAGGCCTCTTGTAATGGGGCTTAACTTACATCTTTGGGCGTCATGGTTCCCGGGCTGAAAGAGTGCTATCGACAAAGGTTATGGTGAGCACAGATTGACAGCCGGAAATCAGCTGAAGGAAACATAAAGATACAGAAGCAACTGGAGCAAGCTGGAAGGATGAACACGGCCATTTAAAACAAAGCAGCTCGTTCATTTTTCATGATCATAGGTCGATTTAATTCAGAATGCTCGGTCGAGTTTATGATTGGTCGCCGTCACGAAGGGGGTTGAAAGTGCACGATTGACAATCCTGCGCTTGTTACTCGAGTACAATTCCCGATTGACCGAAATGCCTTCCTGGATTATGGTCAGTGTCATTATTCTACCCCATGCTTTCCATTGTTCGTGGCGTAGCGAGATTCTCGACCTGTATTTCACTAACACTTTTCCAACCTTGACCACTCAGGGGTCACAAATGGTGCCGCCGCAACCCATTACAAACCAATATTATGCGACCAAAAGTGCACATTACATCGTAAGCTGTGCACGAGTAGTGCCGAGCCAGAACCCTAGAAATCCAGCGGAGTCTAATGGAGGGCGCCGACTTATCTAACTCGGTAAGATGCTCCTGAACTTTCTGGTGCGGTCATCATACATATATCTCCTGGCTACCTACACATAGTTGCCCGATATTGATTGTTACTTCCAATTGCAAGCTGTGGTTCTCTGGTTCAGCAAGCTATTTATTTTTATATATGTATTAAAGGCAAGAAATCGAAATCTTGCTCTCTGCAGGGTATTGATCAACTCGGGGCTGAGTGCAATGCTCGCGCTGCAATGTAGGGACAACACTTGGAACGGCCGCTGTCGACGGAAGACTACTCCTCGTTCAATTTAATTTGTGCCGAGGAATCTCTGTAATTTGGGGAAAAGCGGCGGTAATATGTTCGAGAAGTCCACTGGGTCCCTTCTTCTAGCCCTTGAATTATTGAGCTGTGGGAGAGTTCACCGCCTGTGGATGGACTAAACTTGGGAATTTTACAATATTAAAAAACTCACATCCCGAGATATACTATTCTGACGTTACTAGCTATCCGTCAGTGAGGTTCATAGACGAAGAGTATGACAACAACCACTCAAATCAATCAAGCCGAATTCGAGTTAGACAATGAATATGCGCCTACCAGAGGGCTTGGGTTTGCAACTTCAAGCAGATCGTCGATCACTACCGTTTGAACACACTCAAGGAAATGAGGTAAATGGTTTGGCGATTCAGCTTAATTTCTACTCCATTAATCTAGGGTGATACGTTGACCTTTTCTTTTCATCTTACTATGGATTGAGGCCAGTTTCGAGCCCTTCTCTGACAACAATGACTTGTATAGTGCGCTTTGGCTCAAGAGCACTTCATATAAGATTAAGCTATCAGACATCTAGGACCTTGCCTTGACTACCGATATCAATTCTGAGAGCACAAGGACTTCATCTGGTGACCCTTGCTCGAAAATCCCGGAGAATTGTGTCTGTGGCGTGGACACGAATATCTCAAACCTGCTTGGCAATTTTGTACAGACGGTATTGATAGAATGGATCTCAACAGGGTTCTTTCTTGGAAGAAAATAGCAGCCATATGATTATACGCAAGAGATTGAGTTTATGCGATCAATACATTATTCACAAACCCTAGTTGAATTGGAAGGAAATTACTATAAATGCCAGTTCGAAGTCGGAGTGCTCGGCTCATCACGGAGCTTACAATATCCCTGCTGCGCGTCTGCATGATGACAGTGTGACTTATACAACAACTCTTTACCTCCAAACATCTCAGGCAGCCAAAGCACCGTCGACAATCTTCCACGTGTGCGCCTCGACCTTGTCGAGCTGGTCCTGCGTCCACTTCGGCTTGTTCTGCACCACCTGGCCCTTGGCATTGATGCAGCTCCAGAGCTTGCCGTCCCTGGCGCCGGCCGCGGCGCAGTCGTACGTGCCCTTGAGCATGTGCTCGGCGCAGGCCTCGGGCGTCGTGGCCAGGACGCTGCTCAGGACGCGCGTCGGGGTCTTGAGGTACCAGGGCAGGTTGGCGGCGATGTTGGTGTTGACGAAGCCCGGCAGGGCGTGCACAAAGTGCCGCTGGGTGCCGAGCTCCTTCTGCTGCGCGGCGTACCGCTGGACCATGGCGTCGGTCATGGAGATGCAGTGGGCCGCGGCGTTGGCGATGCTGAAGTGCGTCTTGAGGTCGAGGTCGTCCCAGATCAGCTTGGCCGGGTCGCCCCTCTCGCCGTCGAGCACGACGAGCACCTTGCCGTCCCTCTTGAGGGCCGGGGTCAGCTCGCGGATGAGCAGCTGGCGGCCGTAGAAGTGCAGGGCCATCTTGTTGTCGATGCCCTCGGCGGTCTCGGCGCGGCCGGCCGTGGTCAGGATGCCCTGCGAGAGCACGAGCATGTCCCACTCCTCCCGGACGGACTTGAACTGCTCCGCGTAGCCCGAGATGGCCTTCATGGAGGAGGCGTCGAGGCGGCGGAACTGGATGTTGGGGTGGGGGATGTTCTTGGGCTCGGTGCGGCCGCTGATGATGACGGTCGAGTCGGGGTGGTCGGCGGCGAGCCGGCAGGCGATGGCGTAGCCGATGCCGTTGGTGCCGCCGACTACGAGAGCTCTGGTTGCCATGCTTGATGTGTTGAGGGGTGGTGAGAGTATCTGTGATGTGGGTTTCTGCAAAAATGGCGGTTTCCTTGCTCCTTTTCAAGGCTGAAGGGAAGTCGTGATATCACGTTGATCCGGTCAAGCTGTCGCGATCCAAGATAAAATTAGAGTTGGCCTGGGCCACCAAGCCTGGAGTTAACGGAATTAGAGCCCCACATCAGGGATGGTCTGACCAAAAGTCCAAGCACAGCATTCGAGGTAACTACTCCGTAACGGCTGGGCGACAACGTAATCCTGCCTGCCTGCCTAGGTTGATGGACATTGAGGCTCCCTATTGGCGTTTCCAACCCGATATTACTGCGGAGAGCCTTGCAAGATGGGAGATGCACGGTCAGCACCCGCCTAGTAACTGGATTGCTTGTCAGCACTGTGGACTCTGGTGAGCCAGCTGCATATTTTGTGGGAACTACTGGAGCGGGAACTAGCGGCCGCTTCGTCGGTAGTTAGGGAGTTATCCATGGATGGCAGGGGATGATGCTCTGAAGTTGCTAGAAGATCCCGAACTCGGGGGTCCGGTTCCCTCATGGATGAAGACCGCCCAGGTCAGATGAGCGCTGCACCGTACAGTAGTGGTTCTGCAGTGTAACTTGGACAATGTTGCAGTTCGAGGAGGGGTCCAGTCCTCTGCCCATTTGCGTGGCTCCATGTGGTTGGAGACTGGTGCAGCACATCCTATCAGAGGGGCTTGGGTCAGCGTTGGCCAACTGTGATTTGCGGCCACGACAACAAGGTTCGTGAACCCTGCAGTGCCTCAACTGCAAATGGACATGGCACCCACGCTCGCCGGGGGGCAGCCGCCGCCGATTGCGCAAGGGACGACGCCAATAAATGCCTTCCTCTCTTAGAGAGGCGATGCTCCTCTCCTGGTGTGAAATCCAACTCCTCGCAACTGGAACATTTGTATTCAGTCGAACATTGAACCCAACAAGACCTTCTCGCTCAACATGGCAACGGTAACATGGCTCGACAAGCTCCAGGAGCAACGTATGTACAGCAGATATGCATAAACTGGAACAAATGATCTTGTTAATGACTCGCAAAACACACTCAGTGAAAATCGACATCGACTGCATGGACCCCGCCGAAGCAACCAGATTCCTCCCCTTCAAGCCCCACGACATGACCAGCAACCAGGGCATCGTCTACAAGCAGATGATCGCCCCGGAGAACCGCGACCTGTTCCTCAAGACGGTAAAGGAAGGCAAGGACGAAGGCGTGGACGTCATCATAGATCGCATGGTAAGCCTGGAAGCGCTCCCACTGAGGATACGCAAGCTTTCGTCCAGTATCATCAAGATCAACCACATTAACTCGGGGGAACGGGGGCGGGCAGAGCGCGCTCCTCTGCGCCAAGAATCTCCCCAACCTCCAGGGCCGGGTCCTGCTCCAGTGCTCCGCCTTCCACGCCTACGACACCGACAAGGTCGTCGCCCACGCCCGCTCCTACGCCCGCGAGTTCGAGAGGCTGGGCGTGCCCAAGGACCGCATCTGCATCAAGATCCCCGCTACCGGGCCCGCCCTCAACGCGAGCCCCGTCCTGCTCGAGGAGGGCATCCGGACCCTGGGCACCTCGCTCTTCTCGGTGCCGCAGGCCATCGCCGCGAGCCAGGCGAGGTGCCTCTCCATCAGCCCTTACTTCAACTGTGAGCACCCATTATAGCATTCCCGATGTTTGCATACCATCCGCCGCCGCCATCTGTAGCTGACATTGCCAAACGGCGAACAAAAAAAAGTCATCTGGTGCCACTTCGACAGGTCGCAGTGGCCCGACGCCGCCGACCCGGCCCTCGAGCACCCCATGGCCCCGCGCCTGCTCCAGATCGCCGAGACCTACCGCCGCCTGCGCGCGCAGACGGGCCGGCCGCAGCCCCAGCTCAAGCCCGCCAGCTTCCTGTCCGCCCGCGAGGCCGCGGCCATGGCCGAGCTCGGCTGCGAGCACGCGACCCTGCCGGAGAACATCCTTCTCGAGCTGTCGGCGCTGGACGCGCAGGCCAACCCGCCGCCGGGTGGTGGTGGTGCTGCTGCTGCTAACGACGGCCGGCCTTCGCCGCGGCTGGCGCACCTCCTGGCTGTCGACCCGCTGGCTGGCCCGGAGGGGTGGGACGGCAGGCTGGCCGCGACGGACGTCGACTACCTCGCCGACAACGGGGCGGCTCTGGAGAAGGCCATCGCGGCGGACCCGATCACCGTCAAGGGCATCAAGGCGGCGTTGGAGTTCTTCCAGGGCCAGGAGATGCAGATGCGGGCTGCGGTCGAGGAGATATTGAAGCAGGTTTAACTCTGGTATCAAGGCTGAACACACACACACACACACGCACACACACACACACCCAGTTAGTCCTTTGAGACATACCCTGGCAGTTTCTAGCATCATCTATCACAAGTCACCAGTTCACATTCACATTCACATTGGAGCATCGCCGGTTGGGGGAATAAAGAGATTAGGATTATCAAGGAGATATATGAAATCTAAGAAAAACACTCTCCGTGCACACCGGCCGGGCCGCTAATCGGCTCCGGCTCAAAGTGTGATGATGACCTTCCGTCCCATTCCCCGTCAGTCTTATGTCGACCGACGATCCAATACCGTCCCAATGTCCGGGATTCAGTAGAGAAAAGTCCCATATAATGACCCAGATGACCCAGATATACCATATAGCGCAAAGAAATGAAGAAAAAAGTAAACACCCTTAAAGAAAGTCCAAAGTATATAGAGAAGGCCAGTTGTTGAGAGAAGGTGAGAAGAAAAGAGAAAGAAAAGTAAAAAGAAAAAAGCTCATACATGATGGGGTATAATGCGGAAATCCTCCTCTCTGTACAGGATTGCCCAAAAAGGTTTACTATGAGACGCCAGGCAAGCAAGCCAGTCCCAAGTGTCTCCTCGTGTATTCCGCGCCGCAGCGCGCACTCGGGATCAACCCCCCTTCCGACCGATATTGTGTACTCCGTAGTGTAAGTAGTTTCCCAATACGCCCAGTTACCCCCTCCTCAATTTGCTAGTTGAGCCCCATGATGTGTGTATGATGGAAAAGACGAGAGAAGGAGTGTAGAGAAGATGTATGGAGAAGATAGCCAAGTAGATGTGGATGAGAGGCAAAAGCAACAGAATAGATGGCCAAGAAAGAAAGCCAACAGGATGCGACCCTCGGAAGCCCCGACCACCGCGCGTAGTAGTCTGGCCTCTCGCCAAGCCCCAGTCTTTCTATTCGAGTCTAGACTTGAGAAGAGGGAAGAAGAACCACCCAAGGAAAAAAAATAAGACTGTTGTTAAGGAAAGACCGAGAAGGAACCTCGCCGTCGATGTAGACGGGACAGGTAGCGGGAGCTGTTCCGCAGTGTGAAAGACCGGGCACAAGACGACGACAGCGTCGGCGACGCCAAGACTTCTGACGACGAGGTGAACCTCATCCGTCGATGCCGTGCAAAGCAGAGGGTAGTCCGCCCGGGGCGTTCCCACCACCACCCACCACCCACCACGCGCACACACCAGAGCACCAGAGCGTGTCGTATTCAAGAGGCAGCCACCCGTGTAGCAAGGTGTGCGCAGGTGACGAGTCATAGTGGAGAGCTGCGCCACACCCAACGTCGGCGCATGAACGTGCGCAATCAACCTGAGGAGGGGAGGTGACCCTCAAGCAGAAACAAGGTCAAGCCACCCGCGCCAGGCGACAGGATATCCATCCTGGGTATCCAACACGCCAAGGATGCCTCGTCGGGCGGCGTGCGCGCCGCGCGATAGCAAAATCCCTTTCGTTTCGCCCGGCAGGCAGGAAAGTCAAGTCGCATCAAAGCAAGCGCCTAGGCCCGTAACTGGCAGATTTCGCAGCAACAGAACCCGGCAGTAGCTCCGAAACGAACGAACCAGACCAAGAGGGAGGGGTCAAGTGAGGGAACGCTCATTCGCCCGGGTAGAGATAGGCACTGCCGTGCATGTCATGCAATGCATGTATACAACACGCGGTACCTCCCGTGCGCAAAGCAGCAGCAAGTGCAAGAAAAAGAAGGAACCTGCTTTTGCATCCCGTGAGACACGCAGGGCTGATCATGGGAAGGAAGGACGCGATCTGATAGAACGAGATAGGCAGCCGACACATCCCACATCCACCCACTCACCACACAGGCTCCCACACACCCAACCCAGATGATTGATACATAGAGGGCCGGGGGGGAGGGGGTGTGGTGGTCCAAGCTCGTTTCCGGTGATGGATGGGTGGTGTGGGTGGGTTTGGTGCTGCGAAAAAGGCGCCAATCGTAGCGTCGAGATCGTCCCGCGTAGATCACGGCACACAACAAGTTTCCCTCCCTTTCTTTGGCTTTGTGCACTTTCCCTCCGCCCTCTGGCGTGGGAAGCCGGCGTTTGCGGGCTGGTCCTTGCGCGCGGGCGGGCGGGCGCGGTCGGGGGCGACGAACTAGTAGAGATCATCTGTACGCCGGACCACGACGACGGGTGCGCGTCGTTCGCGCCGCCAAGAGAAAAAAAGCCCCATTCGATAGTCGGGGGGTTTAAAACCACGCCGCCGTTGCCGGTCCAGGCAGGTTCGCTCTGCTTGTGCACGACACACACACACACACACACACACAAGCCCTCGTCCATCTGCGCCCAGACCACCAGACACGAACAGCCGCCCCGGGATAGTGTGCCCCAAGAATAAAGATCCTCACACGGTTGTCTTCTTTTTTCCCTGCTCCGGGGCAAAAGACGAAGGGACATGGAGTGTGGTGCGAGAAAGGTTGGGGGCCGCGCCGGGCCGTGATTGGTTTCGGCCGCGTCCACCTGACCAATAGTCTGCACACCACCACCCTCGATGAGGTAGTTCATTCCTTTGTGTGGGGAGTGTGGTGTGTGTGTGTGTGTGTGTGCCCTGCCAGTCCCGGCATGGCAAACACTATTCCCTGCTCCATCTGCCTGGCGTGAAGACGAGATAAAAAAGAAATTCCCCGAGAAAGACCAGCAAGGCAGTAGTAGAAGGTGACTGTGATGTCTGCGATCCGCACACAGCGGCATTTCTTCCCTAGCTGATGTAACCCCCTTTGGGAGCGGTCATGACCACACACACGCCCCCCACCCTGAAAGCTCGTGCTGGTATCCTTGATCGTAGTGCAACTCAGGTGCGAGGTTCCAAACATCGCAGGTGGGAAAGAGGGTGTCATCATTCGGCGCCTTGAGTCACCCCGTGTTTCGCCGCCCGCCCCGCATCCAAACGTCTCATGGCTCCTCTCTCACTCACTCACTCACGCACTCGCACTCACACTCACACAACACAGTCTCAAGGGTTTTAGGCACGCTGGGCCTCGTACCCTGGCGCCGCACCGTAGATCTGGCCCTGCGAGTGCGGGCTCGAGTAGGCGCCCGCGTCCGGCGCCGCCATGCTGTAGTTCTCCCAGCGCGGAATGTGCGCCGCGGCCTGCTGCTGGCTGACGGGGATGCCGGCGCTGGTGGGAGTGCCCAGGTGGTGGTGGTGGTGGTGCTGCTGCTGCTGGTGTTGTTGTTGTTGCCCGCCCTGTAGCTGGTAGATGTGCGCCATCGACTTGGCGCGCGCGTCGTAGCCCACGGGGCTGGGCGCCATGGTCGTCGCGCCCGGCATGCCTGCGCTCATGCTGCTCATGCGCAGGCTGGGCGCAGTGGGCGACGGCATCTTGGAGTGCGGCGAGATGGCGCGCTGCTGCTGCTGCTGCTGCTGCTGTTGCTGTTGTGCCGACGGCGGTGCCGAGCTGTATGAGCCCCACGACGTAGACGTGGTTGACAGCGACCGCGGGCTGAGCAGGCCGTCTGACGCGTGGGGTTGCGCGCCGAGATAGCCCGAGGTATCCGGGAGCGTGGTGGTGGAGCCCGGGGTGGGCGGGAGCGTAGGGTAGGACGGGTTGAGCGAGCTCGGGGTGAGCATGTGGGTGGTGGAGGGGGCGGCGGCCGAGGGGGGCAGCGTCTGCGAGGAGGGGCTGGCCGAGTACTTGGAGAAGATCTTCTTGAGCGCGTGCGACAGGATCTTCCAGGGGAAGACCTTGACGTCCTTCTCGATGTTGCGGGGCTTGGGCGCGCCAAAGCCCATGATGATCTTGAAGAACTCCTCGCTGTCGGCCTTGGCCTTGCTGACCGTCGCCGGCTTGAACCCTTCGAGGTTGCGCCGGATGCGGTTCTTCTCCTCGACCGTGAAGCGGTTGGGAGCCGCGGCGAGCTGCTCGAGCAGGTGGATGGTGTCGACCGACGTCACGAAGCACTCGCCCTTCTCCTGCCACCAGATGCAGCTGACGCAGATGCTGTGGGGTTGCCGCTGGTCGATGGGCACGGGCTTGAAGGTGACCTCGACGTGGCCGCCGACCTGCTTCTTTCGGAACACCACGATGCGGCGCTTGTCCTCCCACTCCTGCTGGCTCCAGTCGCTGGCCATGGCATCCAGGTTGCCGACGATGTTGAGCACGGCCCGGTTAGGGTAGAGAGCCCACGGGTTGGAGGCGCTCGTAGACTGCAGAGTGCTTGTGCGAACGAGCTGAGGCGCGGACGAGTTGGGGGCGGGCAGCGACGGGGTCAGAGACGGGCGGGTAATAGCCGTCAGACCGTGACCCAGAGATCCCCGACCGACAGTGTACCGGTCGGCGGAGAGACTGCCGTAGCCATAGGGATGCCTGAGCATGGGAGGCTGGGTCGTGCGCGAGTAGCTGTCGGCGACCGAGAACGACGAGCTTCTGTAGGGCCCGAGCATGTTGTTGTCGTGGCCAAAGGTTTGGGCGGCCGATGCGAAGTTGTGCTGGGCGGCCGCGACCGCGCTGTCAACGGTCGGCGTGTAGTCGTAGGTATTTGTAGCCGAGTTGGACGACAGCTGCGACTGCGCCGGGCTGGTGCTGGACGTCCGCACGGTCAGGTGTGGCCGGCCAGGTGACCTGCTCGATTTGGCCATGACATCCTCGCACGCGCTCTGGTCAGCACCGGTCATAACACCAGCAGCGCCTGCAGCTTTACTGTCGTGATAAGTAAATGATCCCGCGCTGTCCACCCGTGCCAGCTCCTGCCCGTCCACGCTCTCGACCACGACCGTCAAGGGGACGGCATTTGGCGTGTGGCATCCGGTGGTCATAAAGTCAGGAGCGTCGGCCGTGACGCAGTAGACGCAGCCGCCGTCTTGCGAGACCTCTTTTGACCAATTGGCGGCGCATTTCTGGGAGCCGAACAGAACGCAAACGTATGGTGAGGCCGTTGACATCGCCATGAAATCGTACTGACTCGCGATCTTGATCTGTATCCTCGTGCCCTCGGGACCGGCGGTGGGTAGGGTGGAAATAACGTTGAAGGCAGAGCCCGGGCTGGACGGCATGTACTGCGCAGCATTGCTGCTCGCTGCGAATGCCAGGTTGTTTAGTTGTGACTGTCCATTCTCGGTCTGCTGTGCGTATGACTGGGTGGGATATTGCGTATGGGTGTATTGCGCATCAGCATACCCTGTTACGCCACGAGGCGCAGTCTGTCAATGAACACGTTCTATGGGCCACAAGTAAGGCTGTCTGCCTAAACTCGGAACGGCCTGCAGTATGGGCGCGAGAGTTTGGACTTACCGTGAAGCTGGGGCAGCTGCTGCTTGAAGGTGGAAGTAGCCATCGGGAGCAGCGTCGTAGGAGACTCTCCCTCGCCGTTTGCTCGCGCCGCTGCTTCTTCCTCGTACCGGAGAGTGATCGTTTCCGGTGACTCAATGCCGTCTCCTACGATGATGGGCCGTTGGGTGTGAAAGCTCGGCTGTGCCACCATGTTAGCCTTGCATCCTGTTACTGAAACCACTGCCTGAGGTTGCATGGCCGCCCAGTGAGGTCTGCCTAGACAGCTCGGCCCAATAAAGTCGCGCCAGACAAGGCAACCGTGAAGAAGCCAGCTATATCAATGCACGCTCAAGTTTCCAAGAGGATGCATTGCCCGATGCTGCTCGACGGGTTCGTAGGATGAGAGGAGGCTTGTCAACATACCTCGAATAGCTTATATACCTGTTGTTCAAACTTGACGGACGACATGAAGACCGACTTTTTGCACAAATAATGTCGAATAAAGAAAATAAGATGTTGCTTTCGAGAAGATATTCCTCCAAGCTCAGTATGAGCAGCAGTGTTATAAGGTCGCGGTAGTGAGTGACGCAGTAAGTCCCGACGACGATACTGCGATGCTGACCTTGCAACACTGAACAGGAATTCGCAAGATCGAATTGCTGGAGGGATCTTTCAGTGAGAGCTGTACTAGATATGCCGAAGACGGAGAAACATAAGTCGGGGAGAGGGCGGATCTGATCGCGCGGGACGAGGCGTTAGATGTGTTATATTATAGACCAAGCTTGTCTCCGCAAGACGTTGACCTGACTCGACTAGCCGGCAGAGTGGGAACGAGCGACAAGAGACGGGACAGCTGGATAAGCAATCGGCGCGATTCACTTGAACAGGATCACCGGGCGCCCAACACTCTGCGTCAGGAAAGAAAGGAATACGAGTGTATCAGATGCTTCTGTTGCGATGATGAGAACGTGGAAAATGTAAAGAAGAAGAAGAAGGGTCTGCGTGCGCGAGAGAGCTACAGAAGACGAGAAATGACCCACGAGCGAGTGAGGAACAGTGTGTGGTCTCAAGAGGAACGTGCAACGCGCGCTGCTCGGAAGGGTTGGAATGTGGCGTAAAGAGGGTCGGCCAGAATAGGTGAAGGTAGGTTGATCGGGGAACTTATGTAAGGGTGTATCACATAGCAGTGTGAAGGGGGCGAACTATCGCTCTTTTCACTTCTTCTCTGCTTTTAGTAGGGGCCCTCGAGATCTCGAGAATGTTGCTTTTTATCAACCGCCCGTCCCTCTCCTGTCTGCACATACGGTACCCCGAGCTCAGTGTACCGATCGAGGCGGGCTAGCGCACAAGTGGCCGCCGCTCTCACTGTACGCTGGTCGAGCCATGGGTCCTTTTACCCAGCTACTTTGATCTTGTCAATCTTGCAGGTGACGTTAGATCAACTTAGCGGAGACCGAAGGGTACACTACTTTGCTTGGGGCCTGGCAAGGGGATCGCGCCTCTCGAGCCGGCCGTTGCGGCAAGCAAGCAAGGTTTGGATGTCTCTCCAATTTGCGAGCCATGCAAGGGTCGGTGGACAAGGAAAAGAGATAGGGCAGAGCAGTGAGGGATTGCCCTTGCTCGCAAGTCATGGGGCGGGCGGGTAGACGAAGGCACAAGGGTGGAGATTTTGAAAGGTACAGTGGGGGGAGGGAGTCCTCAAGCCAGAACTCTGCTTGATGGGGACTCAGGTACCGCGCGGTCTGGTCGAGACGGAGAAGTGTCTGTTGACTCGGCAGACTAGCTTGGGGAGTTGCTTGTGAGGGTGCTTCGTCCAGACATCAGATGGTGCGAACAGGTGAGCGAGGGACGAAGTACCCAGGCCGTACACCCCCAACAACAGCAGCAGAAAGAAACGAAGAGGACCACTTGCAAGTGGAGTGTGGGATCGCGAGGGAGAGATTGGTCACTTACTGAGGATACTGCGGAGAACCAAGATCTTAGTGCAACGGAGCTTGTGCAGGAGGCGTGTGACAGCGACAGGGTGGTGGTGTGAGGATATCTGCACAAGTTAGGACTGGCATGACCACTGCTGCAAGGGTTCGTTTTTGGCGGCTTGGAACCAGGGTTTGAATGCCTCCCGGTACCTACTGATCATCAACAGGGATACGCTGACCCTGGTCACCACCTGCAGCGCTGAACTCCCGAAAAACCAGGTTGAGAAAAACGCGCCGACTTAGCACTGCCGGGAACCCTGCAAGACGCGTTGGGCTGTCTTTGTTGATAGGTCACAAAAAAGTCAGCGTTTCATACCTCGTCAAGATAATGTTGAATGCCAGTTCTTTTCCAGGCGGACATCGGCCTGGGGCCAGGATGGGACAGTAGGATCAACTGGATGGGTCATCAGGTTGGGGTAGGTTGGTGGTTATGACGATCGTCTATTGGTGGGCTTGGGTGAAGACATCGAGACAGGAGAGAGGCCTGGACAAGCGGCCCTCCCGTACCTCTGCCGTCAGGATGTGTGAAGTAACGTACCTGCAAACCTCCGGAGACGACCAGAAGTCCCTTTCGACTGACGCAAGTACCTCGTCTGTGGTGCACCACAGCCAAAAAGGGCAGTGGATCAAGAAGACCTGACTGGTGAACAAGCCGCTGTGAATGTGATTGGCCTGGTCAGTTTCTGGCTAGTCATGTCATGAGTGCTGGAGAACTTCGAGGACCGAAGCATTGTTTGAGTCTGGGCACTTAGCCCACACCATGACGACCTGCCCGTGATCACAGAAACGGTGTTGCAACCCGTACAGAAGAGGAAAAAAAGACGCAAGAGATCGCAGGGAGCAGGCTGATCTCCGTCAATCTGCATATCTCCGACCCAAGGATCGGCCTGGATGCATTGACGGCAGAGCGGGGAATTCCGCGGTCGCTTGACAATAAGTAAGAAGCATGATGCAGGCACGGCAGATCTCGCCGTCAAAAGGGCAGGGCGGACGGCCAGACAATAGGCCGGGCAGCTCAAGAGATGAAAGCCCGCGTCTGAAGCAGCAGGACGGGCGCATGCTCCCTGCCAGCCGTCTGATCTGCTCCGTGATGGCCGGCCAGGCTGCTCCGAGTGCAGAGGTGGCTGCCAAGAGCGGGATTGCGTCTCGAATCAAGCCAGCGAGTGTCGAGCGTAAGATTGACCCTCAGCCATTGGCCGTGCGCATTTTCCCACCTGGAATTCCGGGTGGTGGACGGCAGACGGTACGGTGCCATCTTGGCCCCCTCCCTTTGATGGCGGCGTGATAGTGCCCGGCAGGGAGCGTCAATCACCACCACCACCACCCAACTATTGATCCTTTCCGCTCTCTGTGCATCCCTTGAGAGGATTGAGGCTGACTTCCCGCGAAGCCACAGCGATACACAACGTACCAGGCGCATCACTTTTACTCATGTGATCTCCTCGTATTCGCAGTGCATCAGGGAGACAAGAAGGAGATGACGGGACGGAGATGGAGTTGACTGAGGAGGAACATGAGTCAAAAGGCGCCCACTAACCTGTGTTTGCACAGTCGCCCGCTGTAAGTCGGGCGTCGCTGTTGCTACTGACAGTGCCCGGGGCTGTTTTTGCGGCGTTGTCTGCTGAGAATGGTTTAGGGCACTTGGCTGGCAACTTAGCGCTTTTTAGCGTATGGCCCCTCTGCTCGATCTCCTCTCGATGCCGAATTTCCGTGGTCAAACGGTACAGAGAAACTCGAATTGATCCAACAACGAGGTCTGATGGTAGATCTAGACTTCCTGTGAGCAACCATGGTAGTCTAGTGTGCTTGATTGGCTTGATACCTGCTGCTATCTTCGCTGTTTCGTCTGGTCGACAATGCCGTTGTTGAGAGCAATGCAGGCAGTCCGAGGCAGCGATATGCACTGCGGGATGCAACTCTGGGTCCGCCTGTGTGGGCTTGGAAGTGTGAACCAGCTCGATAAGCGGTGGATGCCGTTGTCTCGCTCGGTTGAACCTGAGACCGGGGATGTTCACTGAATCGTCAAGCCGAAAGAAGCAAGAAAGCATTCGGCCTCGGTGGTCTCATGAAGATGCCGTGCCCATTAAATAAGAAACGAGGGAGCAGACGAGAACGAATCAACCAATTTGATTTGCAAAGGCGCCTCCGAAGGATCAACAAATGACGAAGGGTGGGAACGGGCGAGAACGGGCTGGCAAGCGATGTCGTAGATTCTGCAGGATGCCAGCAAACGTCTTTTGTCTTAAAGGAAGAGAAAGCAAGCATCGCACGTATGTATGTATGCATGTAGGTGTATGTATGTAGGCGTATGTGTGTGCATGCGCGCGCGCGTGTGAATATGCTTTGTGCTTGGATGTGCGATGCTTGGCCCCCCGTTGCATCTAGATCTCGAGGTGCCCCTGTCTGTGTCGCTCGAGCTTCGTTTAAATCGAGCACCCATGCCATGAGACGTGCGACAGCGCCATCTGGTGTAGTACACCTCTCAGATCCGGCAAGAGGGAGAGCAGCTGCTTAGGCGAGAGAGGCGACCTTGGGGGCGAGCAGCGCCCACATCGTTCTGTGCGCCGTTGGACCTTGGCGGGACCTGTGCTCGACCTAGAGATTGTGTGTCCTCGCGGAGGGCAGGTCGGGTCACTTGGTGGTCTTGTTTGTGTAGCCGGATGTACATATCTCATGTGGCCAAGCAGTGCTGCAGGTTATCCTCACTCGAGGCCAGATTCTCCTGTATGTCTCTTTCACGAACCAGGTCATTCCCTGTTCACGGCCAAGGGTATCCAGCAGCAATGGACCTGGTAACCTGGTAGCAGGAGAGGTATCAAGGCGCGCATAGGAGATGAGCGTTGGACAATGCAATTTATCATCGAGGCTTTGCAGTCGAGATACGTGCGTACATTGGACGGCCATGGCCGTGGCGATTTGCGGGTGTACATGTACCACCCTTTGCGTCCACTGTCAGCTGCCTTTGGTAAAGAGGTAGCTAGGCATGATCGATGCATCAGGAGAAAGCCAGAACGCTCAACGTTCTGGATGACCGTGAACTGGCTTGGCTTGAGTGAATGTTGGAACAATGCCCTTATCGAAAGTTGGTGGTGATCGTGGTTTGTGATTGACGGATGTTAATTACTCCTGCTGCCAACCAGGATTGAGCAACATTGAAGTGGCCAAAGGTCTGGGCGACTGTGCTTCAATCCTCGGGCTGTCTATGCGGTGCATGATGCTCTGGGCTGGGGGTGCT